CTAACCCTAACCCTAACCCTAACCCTAACCCTAACCCTAACCCTAACCCTAACCCTAACCCTAACCCTAACCCTAACCCTAACCCTAACCCTAACTGATGACACTCTCCTTCTTCTCAAACCACGTTTCCGGGGTCCTTCCTTGAAATCACAGTGGGCGAAGGCAGGCGTTCCGCAGGCTTATCGAGGCACCTTGATCCACGGATTCCCTAATTTTTTCACCATTTTTGGACCGAACACCGTTACAGGCCATTTCAGCGCCATTTGGACAATCGAAGCTTGTGTTCAGCTCATGACCACCGTTCTTCGACCCGTCTTCCACAAATCTTCGAAGTCCACAGCCAGCGTTATGGTGAGACGTGAGGCAGAAAACAAAGACAGACGCCATATCGATCACATCATGTCGCAAAAGATCTACACTACCGGGTGCAGCTCCTGGTACACCGACCCAGACACAGGCAAAGTCACTGCCTTGGCTCCTTGCAGGCAGTTTACATGGCGAAAGCGGTGCAGGTTCCCCGGTGAGTTTGGACACGCGTTGCAGTGCTCCGGAATACTCAGTTTCAAACGACAAAACTGACTTTTTCTACTAAATTCCTTTTAATCGTGTTGCCAGTGATGAGCGATATGATCTACGACGGAGTGAAGTCGAAGCCGCTCAGCTACCTTCCGTGGAGCCAACAGATTGGCATCATGCTTGGTCGAGGCCAAATCCCAGACCACACCACTCAGAGCAACTTTGCGGCTCCCTTCCGAGCATGCAAGCTCTATCTCGACATGAAGGTATTTCAAGCCATTGCCTGGTTCTTCGACACCATCGTCGAGTGGGACTTCCCTGACCACGACAAATTCGAAACCTTGGCCGGCAAAAAGTTGTCGTGAGCGTGTTTTCTTCCCTATTTCCTCCGTCACGTTCTGTGACCCTGTTCGAATGCACGCGATCACCTTCCTTTTTGTCTTCTCTGGATTGTGTATCCTTGTGAATGCAGAGAAGAGATGATTGACCATCCTCTCAAGGTGGTTTGCATTTCGCGGTTCAAACAATCTCGTTGCTTCTCGTGCTAGAGTGGAATGATCTTCCATCTTCTTTCGCCCGATAAGTGATGAGAAGTGACTCTTGTCGCACCGTTACCGCATGGTGATCTGCCAATTCTACATTCTATCAATTCTGTCACATTGCTATTCCGGACAATCCTCTATTCCATTCTGATCAAGAAAGCCCGATTTTTTCTCACAGTGATATTTCTGCTTGGAGAATAGAGATTCCGTCAGATGTCTAAGAAAAAAACCCAAATCATAATTCTCACGCCCTTCTGATAAGTTTTCTTCGGTCAACATTCGTCGTCATTTCGGTGGCTAGTCAGAAGCAGGATGAAAAAATTTAGAGTCGGTTACCAAGGAGGCGAACGGCGTTGTCGCGGGCAGCCGCAAGGAGGACTTCACCCTCTTGCGTGTTTACAAATTTGTCAAAGGTGTCCGTCATACTCTGACACGTGTGCAGGGGCGCATAGGGCCAGTCAGAGCCGTATAGGATCTTGTCTGGGGTGGTGAATTCGAGACAGCCAGTGACGTGTGTTCTGTATCAAGGAACGAGGGAACAAAGGAGAGTGGTTGGTCACATGAATACTTCGATCAGTCTTGCCCTTCCCCTATCAACCTTGAACTCTGATTGGATCTCGACTTACTTGCTCGTGCTAAGTGCCAGATCGAGGTAAAACTTTTGAAAAGCCTTCTTGGTCTCTTCTGAAGAGAGAAATCCCGAACGACCATGAAACTCCTCGTTTCTGGTGAGCCACATGACACGAGTGGCGATGAAGGGTAGCGTCCCACCTGCGTGGGAAAGAATGATGTTGACATCCGGGTGCCTCGTCACTGTACCTGTCAGCACCAGGTCAACAGCAGTGCGGGTGGTAGCCACCGGGTAGTCTACCCAAGGTTGAGGAAGACGATTGGCAATCATCATCGGCTTACTGGAAATTGTCTGAGTCGTAAGCATCTCGGATCGCTTCTGCACTGCTCAAGGATTTCTGCTTACATGTTGATAGCAGCTGGGTGGATAAAGACATTTGCCTTGAGCTCATTGAGACGCTTCCAAATGGGTTGGAAGAGATCGTCTCCAAGAAGGCTAAGGAATAAGGGAGACTCGCTGAGTGCTGAGTACGATGAAGTTGAAATAAAGGTACGGTTATCCGAATGGTACGCACCGGTCTGCGTAGCTGCTCATGATGACAACACCAGGCAGGTGATTCTTGACGATGGCCCACTCGATTTCTTCTATTGTGCCCTCCACATCAATCCAGCTCGGTGTGGAAGCCCATAGAGAAAATCGGCTGGGGTTTGACTTTACTACAGCCAGACATTCTTCATTGATCTCCCTGGCGGCCTTTCGAGCCTCGATGCCGCTTCCCAGCACGCTCGGTCCAGGAGCAGTGATGGAAAAGATCGCTTTTTCGATTCCGAGATCATTCAGAGCGCCCACGGCAAGCTCCGGGGACCATTCAGGAACGTGCCATCCAGATGGGTCTCCTCCCGCAGTGCGAATGGCCTTGGCCAGCGCCGGGGTTACGATGTGAATGTGAGTGTCGATTTTGTTCGAGGGCATCTTCAGTGATCTATTGTCGTTGCTGAAATTGTGGGCTTATCTGTTGTTTGCTGCAAATTTGTCCTCGGGTAGCTTGTTTTATATATCCACAAGTCGCTTTGCCTGGCAGGACAGGCCTGGCCTACACCAGTATGAGCATATAAACACACAGCAGGAAAGTGTAACTCAATAAGAGGATCCGGACTCGCCGAGAGCTTCCTGTAGACCTTTCTGCGGATCCGGTTGCCTTCTCGCTCCTCCGCAACTGAGATATCTTGGCTTTGCAGGCCTCACAAATGCCAAAAGAATTCAAAAGTGAATGGGGCAAATTAGAATTCTAATCTTCCTTCTCAAAATATGAACTTAGCATGTGGGGCCCCGCGAACGGAAGCGATGGCGGAGTTAGGAATGCGCAACCGTCAATCGGAACCGATTTCGTAATTTGATGTCTAAACAGATGCCCTCTAGAATGCTCGCTTGGGCTGGGCTGAGGAGGCGTGCGATGTCGCAAGACATTTAAGATCTTCACTTAATTCCCTTTGATTCGTGTTTTACCCTCTTTCAACCTAAACCTCCAAATTTTGAACCTCGCTCTTGCCTTTTGAACATACCAGGCATGTCTACCGCCATAACCAATGTCCGCCTCTTCGATGGTTTGGAGGTACACGAGAAAGCCACGGTGATCTTTGAGGACGGAAAGATTAAGGAAGTCCGACTTGCTAAGGATCAAGAGGTCAAAGCCGACACTGTGCTAGACGGACGAGGAAAGACACTGCTTCCAGGCCTCATCGATGCACACGTTCATGCCAAGTCTCCCGCCCTGGAGCAAAATATGCTGTTCGGCGTTACAACAGCTCTCGATATGTTTTCCTTTCCCGAGTGGATGAACGACCTCCGAAAGCAGGCTGCAAGCCGTTTCGACGTCAGCGACATCCGTTCAGCCTCTTGTGGTGGAACCGTGCTCAACGGTCATCCGACCATGCTGATCGGCAAGTACTTTCCCACCCAATTCCCAGTCGTCGCTAGCGTGGCGGAGGTGGGTCCTTTTGTGGCGAAACGGGTGAAAGAAGGGGCGGACTACATCAAGTTCATCATCGACTCTGGGTCCCAATTCAGCCACAGCCATCCCAGTGTCGATGAGGACATGGCCAAAACGTTCGTCCAAGAGTGAGTGGTCGAATTTGAGGCAAAGCAGCAGCTCACGGTCGACAGAGCGACTAACACGCTCTTCTCGCTTTCTCACAACAGGGCTCACAAGCACGGTAAGATGGCCATCTGCCACGCTCTCGACGCTAATTCGGCCAAAATTGCTGTTCGCGCCGGAGTGGACGGCCTCATTCACGTCTTTTACGACGTCGCTAGCGATGATGAAGCCGTCCAGATGATTGCAGACGCAAAGATTTGGGTTTGCACCACGATCGTCACGCTTGGTGCCTTAGCGGGCGAATCGACTGGCAATAATGTGGCCGAAGACAACCGAGTGATGAACATCCTCCCACCAAAGCTTCACAACAATCTCACCTGCTGCTGGGGTCCTAAACGTTCCCCTGCGTCCACCGAGAACGCGTTGTCGATCACGCGCGCCTTACACAAGGCCGGTGTGCCCATCCTGGCAGGCACAGACGCTTGCGGCATCGTCGGCCTGGGGGCTGTGTACGGCGCCAGCTTGCACGGAGAGCTTCGATATCTAGTCGAAGCTGGATTGACGCCCTTGGAGGCTTTGCGTTCCGCCACTTCCATCCCCGCCAACAAGTTCTCCCTCAGGGACAGGGGTGTCATCAAGACCGGCCTGAACGCTGATCTCCTTCTAGTCCGTGGCAATCCAATTGAAGATATCCACGACATCATGGAGATCGATAGCGTATGGAGGGCGGGTCATCTTCTCGATCGTAAGAAGACTCAAGCAGACATCCTTTCCATCGTCGGGACTGAGTAGATGATCGAAGGCTCTTATAGTTCCGGAAAGCTAGTATCATAATCTGGTGGTCAGCCTTTGGGAGAAGAAATTCAAGATGATGAACTGTTATGGAAGAAAGATGTACAAGATCTCACCAGTCTCCTGACCGCGCGCCCTCTGCTGTCGTCTTTCGCATCATCATTTTTCAATTACTGCAGACAATCGAACTTTCGTATCGTGAGGAGGTTCAAGTACGTGTAACCGTCGAGCGCAATTCATGGCCGGCAAGACACATTCATTCCCAAAGCAGTATAGGTTTTACCGTTGCTCCGCTCTGCATGTCACGGACTGCCGTGGCAAAATCGGAAGCTCGGTAGGTCTTCATCATCTTGTCTACCGGAAATTGTCCCGCTAGGAAGAGGCTTACGAGCTCGGGGAGAAGTTTCCTTGGATCGCAGTGACCTGATAGGAGGTATCCACGTCAGTAACCTGATTCCTTCTCCATTGCCTCCTCCCCTTCCAGCAAAGGGTGCATTTGCAAGCACCCGCCTTCCAGCAGGGAGAGTATTTAGATGCACCTTCGATAGTCCCTCTCCATGACATCGTGTTGCGCACAAAGAGGTCAATTTCCACATTGACAGTCTTTCCAGGGCCTGGAGAGCCAGCGGATAGCAGCGTACCATGCGTGCCCACCGAACGGAGCGCCTGATCCACCACCGTGGGGATCCCTGTTGCTTCAAAGACAGACTTGGGACCGTCCTCCTCCAGAGAGACCTCTCGAATCTTCTCTGGCACATTCCTCTCTACTAGAGAGTCTATGGTGTGGGTAGCGCCGAGCGAGCGAGCGAGCGACAAGCGACCAGGCTTGACGTCGACCACGACGAGTGCACCGTAGCCGACCAATTTGCCGGCCATGATTGCCGCCAAGCCCACTGCTCCAGCTCCGAAGACGACCAGGGTGTGATTCGAAAGGCTGCGCTGAGAGGGTGTGATCGAAACAGAAGCGAGGATGTTGAAAACGGATCCCGCCCCAGTCTGGATTCCGCCTGTCTCGTGGAAACAGTAAGGAAAAAGTCAGCACAGAGTCATATGCCCGTCACATGTCCGCTCAGTAGGGCGCAAACAGCGGGGGTAGGTGCTGGAACGCGAGATAGGCTCTCACATCCAAAGGGGGCCATCTCTGGCTGCAGCTTGGCACCCACTGGCAACTTGACGACGCTGTTCGTGTCGACAACAGTGAGAGAAGCAAAAGAGCTCTGTCCAAAGAGCTTAGACGAGAGGACTTTACCCTGGCTTTTGATGCGATCATTGCGCCCTGGACTCTGACGTAGAAAATTGCGTTGGTAGAAGGAAGAGCAAAGCGCTGGCGCCGTCTCCACGCATGACGTGCAAGTGCCACAAGACGAGAAGCTCAACATCACCTCATCGCCTACGGCCACTTGATGCTCATTGCCCTTGCCTAGGGCGACGACAGTGCCACAGCCTTCGTGTCCCAGAATGGTGGGGAAGAAAGAGCAGGGCAGGTTTCCTTCGGCAATCAGGATGTCGGTGTGACAAATGCCTGATGCATGCATCCGGATCAAGATCTCTTCTTCTCCCAGGTCGCTGGCATCGATCTCCACGTCCTGCAGGGTATATTGAGCACCGATGGAGTCCACGACGATTGCTTTTCCTTTGTATTGGCCTTGAACGAGGTCCGTCATAATGTTTTTGGAGAGTTGGTGATAAGACGAGTCCGTAGAAGAATCCTGCGTTCGGTGCTGCTGATCGGAGGATGGACGTCATGTTCGTAGAGGGATCTCGCCTCGTGTGCGGCTTAAGTTCATCTTTCGCGTGAATTGGTTTTTGTCCTCTCCGCTCCGCGGATCCGCTAAAATTTCACGTTCTCTCCCTTTTCCTTCTGCAGAAAATGTTATCCTCTAGGATCCGATTTTGCTATTCTGTGCAGATACATCAGTGGACGCACTCACGTACCCATCACGTCGTTGCCGTCATCTCTGGAAACCAGCTGCTGAAATATGTGCGTTTCTTCACGTAGTGTCAAGAAGGTGGCCCTCGTCACGGGAGGAGCCAGCGGCATTGGGCGAGCGATCTCAAACCGATTGGCAAAAGACGGTTTCCAAGTCGCCGTTGCCGACATCGCCCGAGAAGAGGCCAGTCAGGTCCTGAAAGAGCTGCACGGAGGCCGAAAGCGACACATAGCCCTCGGCGTCAATATCATCCATAAAGAAGAGGTAGACAAAGCTTTTAGAAAGGCGAGAGAAGCCTTCGGACAGGTCGACGTTGCCGTTGCTAACGCGGGTATCACACGAGTTACGGCACTTCTCGAGTGAGTGACAGATCTATATCCTCCCTCTCCCTCCTCATTCATTCTCTTGCGCCTCTTGTCACGCTTGATGACGACGATTTGCATTTTTTCCGCCTGCTTCTTTCGCATCTGTAGACAATCGCTAGAGGAATTCAGAGACGTACAGGACGTCAATCTGATGGGCGCTTTACACACCTTTCGAGCAGCTGCGCAGACATTTATTGACCAGAAAACGGGAGGAAAAATCATTGCAGCGAGCTCCATAGCAGGCCATCGTCCGATCCGTGAGTCTCGTTTCTCCTTTCGGTTCAGCAAACGAAGAAGCAGAGATAATCTGATGCTTAAACTGACGACGACGACGATATACATCTTTTTCTTTCTTTCTTTCCTTTCACTGCCTCTCAAAGCCTATTCGGCCGCCTACAGCATCTCGAAGTCTGCAATAGTCGCTCTGACCCAAGCAGCTGCGATCGAATGGGCTCAGCATGGTATTACCGTCAACGCCTACGCTCCTGGCTTCACTCAGTCCAAGATGTGGGACGTCATTGATCCGGGCTATGCAGCTTTAGTGAGTGAAAGAATAGGAGGGGAAGAAGACGATATTCTCGTGCACTTTTGAGACCTTTGCTGACGAAAATTCCTCGCCTTCATCGACACGCAGGGTCAAAATGAGCCAGGAAGTGCGCTGAAAAAGTTTGCTTCTGGCCTGTCGGCGATGCAGCGCCCCGGAACTGCTGAAGAGATTGCAGGCTTAGTCTCCTTTCTCGCTTCGTCTGACTCCAGCTACGTCACCGGTCAAACCATTCATGCAGACGGCGGAACCCACTTCGTGTCGTGATGTAACAGTCGGGTCGTAAGCGAAAGAGTCTTTTGCATTGTGTTCCTAGAAAGGAATAGAATCTAGCGGCTAAGAAGTAGGTCAAGAAAAGCTCCATCGAAATCCCAAAGTCCAGACAGCATCTTGCTGCATTTGTCTAGGAAGGAAGCACGTCATTGAATGCGCAATGTATGCTGTTCACGTAAAACTGCACGACCTCCTCGGCGATCTTTGAGCCGGGAAAAAAAGTCTGAGGAACGTGAGGCGCTCCAGCAAACAGCCTCGACTCTACGGGGACGCCTGCTTCTAATAACTTGGCGGTGTATTCCAGACCTTGAAGTGCCAGGGAATCGCCTCCATGCAGACCAATGACATGCAGAGGAATATCTTCCGAATGGTCGTTCAGCCACGCCTGAGGCACCTCGTTGACGTGTCTTGGAAGTAAATAGTCCTTTGGTGATAGTGATGAGAGACTAGGCTGGTCGAGAGACCAAGAGTGAGACTGGGCGATGTTTCTTGCTGTCCAAAGGAACTCTGGGTCGGAGACACCTTGAATCGGATGATACGTGCCCCCGATGTCTGGTGCATCAAGTACCACCACCCGGCAAGGCATCCTTTCTTTGCCTGTCTCGGCAGCCCGGCTCAGCACGGCAGAAGCGACTAGGCCAGCGCCGGAAGAAGTGCCGTAGATGGCGATACTCTTTGTCAATCGCTGCAGGTCCCGCGTTTCCGGGCATAGGAGCTTCTCGATATAGTTCCAGGCTGCGAGTACGTCTAAGATTGGAGCCGGTGGCGGGTTCTCGGGCGACAAACGGTAGTCCGGTGACACGACACTGTAACCTGCCCTTGCAAATGCCCTGGGCGACAGATTCTGGAAACAGTCAGTTGCTTGAAAAGTCGTTACCCTTCGTATTCTGCACGTCTATCGCGAATACGCACCGAATGATGGCGCCGTCGTCTCTGGGATGACCGGTAAGCAGACCGCCACCATGGACCACCAGGACAATATTTCGAGGCTCGAGTCCGGAGACACTCTCCTTTACGACCATCAGCGAGAGGCTGCCTTCTCCGTCGGCCCTAGGAAGATTCACTTCTGTCACGTCCAAGCCTCCGAACAAGACATCGTTGGGTGGAGCCTTGAAGAGTCGGATTCCTTGGGCTGGATGAGTCTGGGTGTCAAATTTTGGAAAGTTCTGGACGGCATCCTTCAACTCTGGTACCACCAGCCGTCGCAGGAACCTGGAGTTGTTCATGATTCTCTGTCTTGGCCGGAAACGCTAGGGGATCTAAAAAGCTGTCTGCTTTGTCTGGGATCTGCGTTGTCGATGTCGAGTGTTCTTTGATGCGGTCGAGTGGACATAGCTAGGCCCGCGCATGGATTTTGCGGAGCCCAGACAGCTGACCTAACCAGAAGAGATGCGGATCCAGCAAATTCCGTTTCAATATCTCGTGACGCGAGGCATAGTGGCAGACCATCGGATCCGCATCAACTTTTACTGAGCAGCTTTGTGAGGTGCTAAGTATTTGCGAGCTGATGCGCCGGCAGCTGTACACTCTTCCCATGCGGGGCATGATTGCCAGCAGAGAAGCTTGACATTAAAATATTCACCTATTCACCTCACGTTCCTACCATCTAGCCTATGATGAGCCAAGAAGAAGAAGTCTTTGCCTATAAACAGACGATGGGGGGAGCCCGGGGGAATGGGAGATTGATTTGCGTTCTAATCATTCAAGTCTATCTGTGGTTCACATGAGCTCGAAATCGTAATAGTGAGGGGGATTGTATGTGATGGTCTTGAGGTAGGTGAATTCCTGAATGCCATGCAAGCCACTGAAGCGCCCGTTTCCGGAGCTCCTGACGCCACCGTGTGGGACACTCTGATCATCATGGACCGTACATCCGTTGATGTGGACGGCGCCGCTGTCAATTTGCGATGCCATAAGATAGGCTTGCGTCTCATCTTGACCAAAAATACTAGTAGAGAGGCCGCTGACACAGTCATTTGCGAGCTGAACAGCTTCCGAGACAGTTCGAAAGGCGAAAGTGCCGACGATAGGAGCAAAGAGCTCCTTCTTGAACAGATCTTCTCCGCCCGTGCAATGAAGAAAGACGGGCTGGACTAGCGAGTTCTCCACGTCGAATGCGGCCTCACCGGCGAAGGCGAAGGCTCCATGGTGGCTAAGCGCTTCTTCATAACTCTCCTTTGCTGTTCGAGCTGCTTCCGAGCTCACGACGCCTCTCAATCGATGTTGACTCGGAGCGGTCTCTGCCGCTCGTTGACCAAGATCGTAGTTTGAAGAATTGTCCGCTCGAAAGAGCAATCTGTGATTGCCGACAATCTCTCGGATACGATCTTCGAGTTCTTTTCGCACTTCGACATGGACTAGGACATTAGTCGTGGCCATGCAGATTTGACCTTGGTTCAGCAGGGCGCCAAAGACAATATTGTTGGCCGCCAATGCTAAATCTGCGTCTTTGAGCACCACTACGCATCCTTTTCCGCCGAGTTCTAGCACGACCGGGGTGTCATTGCTGGCGCAGAGCTGAGAAACTATACGGCCGACGTGAGTAGAGCCTGTAAAATTGACCTTGCGGACGAGTTTGTGCTCCACAAACGTCCTCGTCACTTCAGGCATGGCCCCACGAGCCACATGGACCACATTGACTAGGCTTGGGGGCAGCCCTGCTTGATGGAAGATCGAAACCACCGCCGCTTGGAGGGCTGGACTGTACTCAGAGGTCTTCAGAATGACCGCGTTTCCTGCCGCCAAAGGAGTAATGATTCCCCTCATTGCCAGACAGACAGGCGCGTTCCACGGCACTCGAAGAAGGAACTCGATCAGTACCTGCTCAAGAATTCTCGGCTGTGCTGTGTTCCTTTTCCTCACCTATCGAAAATACGATCCCGTACGGTTCCCTTTTGACGGTAAGACGCTTGCCACTCGCTGTCGAGGGGGCCAGTTCCCCTCGAAGGGCGGCAGACATGCAGCAGATAGTCTCCTCCAAGCACTGCAGGGCGAGAACCTTGACGTCGAAGTTGGCAAAGCCGACGCTCGTTGTCGTCTCTCGGCATTCAAGCTCCACTAGCGCGTCCATCTGGTCTCGGTACTGATTCAAGACCTTAAGAAGCACCGACCGTCTTTCCGTCACATCGGTCGCTCTCCACTTTTCGAACGCGCGTTGACTCGACTTGACAACATCGCCGACATGCTCGGCAGACAGCGAATCGACCTCGTGGAGAACAGAGACCTTGTCGGTCGCGTCTCGTACTTGGAACGAGCTTTGGCAGGGAAAAGGCACGCCATCGACAAGACAGCGGATTCGTTCAGCGCCCATTGTGACTCACAGACCTTCACGGGATCGCGTACGGATAGGTGGATTCGCGGATTGGGACATCATTATAAAGTGTACGACAATTCAACATCTCCTCACCCAGAACCATATCAGGCCCATTCTGGCCACTCGCAAACGACAGCAGCATTCAAGAACACGTAGACGGACGAAATAGGTGCGGATCCGACACAGGAGCTCAAATTTGTTCCAGAGTATACTTTGAAAAGCCATCAGAATATGATTATCCCTCTCCTCAAGTGCACTTTTTTTCCCCTCAACAGTTTATTTCCTATTGTGATTTCTGTAATGTTGCATTTGAGTCTTTGATCTTTTTTTTTTGATTTCACTGAATCCACCTATTGGCGGCTGCGTGCATTCGCAGAGGTGATGGCGGATGCGTGAGAATCATTTGCTCACCGGTAATGGACTCCAGGGTATATGAATACAGGCCGCAATTTGGTTCATTTCTCCTTTCCTTTACCGTTTCGAAAACTTCAGCGTCGGTAAAGACCCCTGCCAGCTCGTCCACTCCATGTCGAGTAATATGGCGTCGAAGATGTGCACGGATGTGGCGATCGTGGGGTCAGGTCCTGCCGGCCTCGTGCTCGCTGCTCAGCTTGCCAAATTTGCCAACCTTAAAGTGATGATCTTTGAGGAGCGAGACGGCAAGCTGGAGATGGGACAGGCAGACGGTATTCAGTGCCGCTCTGTCGAGATGTTTCAGGCGTTTGGATTTGCGGAAGAAGTCTTGAGAGAAGCATACTGGGTCAACGAAGCCACATTTTGGACTCCATCGTCATCGAATGAGGCCAACATCGCTCGGATGCGTCGAGTCAGAGATACAGAAGCGGAGTTATGTTAGTATCGTCTTCGTCACCCTCTCCTTGCTTTGACCTCTCTTTACGGCCATAGAAGCGTCTGACTATGACTCTTCCCCTACCGTTACGACCAACCAGCCGAATTTCCGCACGTCATCTTGAGTCAGGCTCGAATTCACGATTTCCTGCTACACGTCGCCGCCAGCGGGCCAGGGGCCTTGCAGCCCATCTACTCGCACAAATTTCTGGGATATGAGGAATCCGAGGATAGCGACTACCCGCTCAAAGTTTCTCTTCACGGTCCGAAGCACGATCAAGTCTTTTGCAAGTATCTTGTCGGCAGCGACGGAGCAAGGAGCGCTGTACGCAAGTCCATGGGTCTCTCGTTACAAGGCGAGTCGGCTCATGTAGCTTGGGGCGTCATGGACTTTCTCCCCGACACCAACTTTCCCGACATCCGACTCAAATCGGCCATCCGTTCTGCCGAGCACGGTAGCGTCCTCATCATTCCTCGCGAGGGCGAGTCCTTGGTCCGCTTCTACATCGAGATGGCCACCCTTAAGGACGACGAGAGAGCAGTGAGTGGGCTCATAACAACACAACCATGGTCATATATGCCATTGTCCAGCTTCGGGCTTTCTCATCCTTCACTCGCAGGCAGATCGTGCATTCACTTCTGCAGAGCTGATTGAACGGGCGAAGAAGATCTTGTCGCCATACACGCTCGATGTCAAGGTAGTGTACTGGTGGTCTATCTACGAAGTGGGACAGAGGCTGTGTCCTCAATTTGACAACGTCAATATTCATCGAGGGGAACGGACGCCCAGCGTATTTTTGATGGGAGATGCTTGTCACACCCACAGCCCTAAAGCAGGTCAGGGCATGAACGTCTCCATGCAAGACGCTTTGTGAGTCCTTGTTGCTCTGAGGTGTTCAAAGCTGTCCACGGTTGCTAAATAGACCGATCGTGACACAGTAATCTTGGCTGGAAGCTTGCTGCGGTCTTGTTGGGAAGGAGCTCATCCAGTCTACTCGCTTCTTATTCGGCAGAACGCTACGCGGTAGCCAAGGCTTTGATTGATTTTGACCGCGAGTTTGCAAAAGTATTCAGCTCGAAAGCCGCCACTTCTCCAGCCATACAAGTGAGCATGCGCCCGTTTCCTTGTAATCATTGTCATGAGTGAAGTCGACAATGTCTTTCCCCTCTTTCTCTTTGTCCTCGCTTTTTGTAGAACTTTTCTCAGCCTTCCCTGTTCCCGCAGCTTCAAGGCGAAAGCTGCCCTGAGAGTCTAGACAACGTGAGTAGTACTTCAAAGCGCGCAATTCTTCTCGCCGAGTCGACCTGAAGTATTTTCTAACTCTCATGCTCACGGACAGCTCTTCGTCAAGGGCGGACGATTTACCGCGGGCGTCGCGACCAATTACGATCCTCGGCTTCTGGCTCCACGCAATGCTTCAGACACTACTTTGGCGTCCGGATTTCCGATTGGTGACGTAAGCTTGTTTTGGGCAGATATAGGTGGTAATTGAGAAGCTTACATGGTCGTTTCACATATTACCGCTCTCCGCCCTTCCGGTTTTTCTCGCTTCTTCATATCAGCGTTTCCATTCTGCACAGGTACTACGCGTCGCAGATGCCAAGCCTGTGCATTTGGGTCACACCATGCCGGCCGATGGGCGCTGGCGCCTTGTCGTCTTTGCTGGCGCTTGGGAAGCAGACGATCAGAAGCTCGCTCTTCGGAAGGTGAGCACTTCACAGGAGGAAGGATGTCGGCGGACTTGCCACTGCTAAGACAATCGATCTTCTGTCCAGTTCTGCAAAGCCTTGGAAAGAATTTGTTCGCGCTTTACGCCCAGACATCTGCCCATTGACTCTGTTGTCGACTTTCGATTCGTCTTTTCCAGCCATAGGGAGACCTTGCACGACGAACAACTTCCAGACATTATGACGCCAAGGACGGCAGCAGGCCTTGCTTTGAAAGGTGAGCATCCTAACTATCTAGACCGGCATACTTTCATAAGTGGACATATATATGTGCATTTGCTTGTGTCTCTCTCATGTTCTGGCGTTGACATTATCCACTTTTATGCACCGGCAACATTCTCTAGATTACACGAAGTTATTCACCGACGACGCTTCTTATAATCACGGCCACGGTCGCATGTACGAGAAGAGGCGAGTCGATCCGAAGCGAGGCGCCGTGATCGTCGTCCGCCCCGATCAATACGTACTGTCCGTTCTGCATGTTGAGGAAACGGCAAAGCTTGGTGAGCAATTCCGACCAATGACCAGAACATCGACGTCAATCCTGCTGACGACACTTCTCCCACGATCCCTGCCCTGCTTTCCGGCCCCTCCTTTCATCCCTTCATCCCCGGCGGAAAATGCATCGGACAGAATCCTTGCTTGAAGAAGTCTTGCTCCCTCAATTTTGATGTCCCAATACTGGGACATCCCCTTTTCCCCCCTCTACAGCCCCCTCTTGTTCTGCTACACACACACGGTAGTCTACGTGCCTGCGGCCAAGGATGATTGTCATGCAGCTTTCAATTTCAGTGAACGGTCGCAATTGCATTCTCTCACATCTCTCCTACGAAGCAGAAAGAAGCTCGCTCAATACTTCGGCTGCACAGGTAAGGTCGTAGCCCTCCGACGACGCTCCTACTGTGGCATGCGAATCCGCAAAGCTGTGGTCGGCTTCCCGCAACGCTTGACAAATCCAGTCGCCATGGTCATGTACGTGTTCTTCAAGGTGGAAGTCGCGCATGTCTCGCTCTTGCTGAGACCTGGACGATTGTAAGGTGTCAAGGTACTCATTCGAAGCATTCTCCGTCGCCGCAGAAGTGTCTAGGCCCTGATAGGACGTGGCTGATTTTTGAAGAGCTGAGACCGATGAGGTGAACTCGCCCACCAGTGCTGAAACGCAGGTCGGATCGTCGAGCGCCAGCACACTCGTGACATCGCAGTCCCCGTGTCCGTCCGCGTCATCGCGTCCTTGGCCGAGTCCGTCGCCCGTTCCACCGCCGACGCCGTCCCCTTCATTCACGTGAACACCTACTTCCCTTGCCGAGACCGAATTGAGGCGCACGATCTGGGAGTCGATCCACTCTTGCATCTCGACATTGGCTGCTCCATAATGAGCAAAGGCTTTGAGACCTGTTTTGAAGACTTTAAGCAGTCGCACCATCTTTTCACGGGTCAGCGGACCTTTGTCGCCATCGTTGGACCATCTGCTAGAGGCACGATGAGCATCGTTGCTGCCACTGCTGCCACTGCTGCTACTGCTACTACTGCTGCCTGTCGAAATGACGTTATAGATTGATACCAGACTGCGCGCAGCTTCTGTGATCGCCCTGATAGGGACTTCGATCCATGGATCGAGCGTCAAGATCGGGATCTCATTCCGAGATGAGCGAAAGTGATCGCTGCCCGGCGAGCCGATGTGCTCTTCCAAAGGGGAGCCGCCCTCTGACCTCAGAGCCTTGTCGATAGCAACGGCAATGGTATTGATCGACTGGAGCCTGACGTTGACAAGGATGCGGGAATCTGCCAACGACCGCGTCGAATCTGTTCCGCCGCCGTCGCGGTCTTGATCTTCGTAGCCACAGCCGAATATCGATGGGTCGACATCGGTCCGTCCTTGCGTGTCGCTCATGCTCAGAATGGAGAGGTGCCAGGGCCACAATGTGACCAACAGCCAGGCACGCAGCTTGAAGGGCAAGGCCTCGAAGGAGTCCAGGCAGCTCTTCATGAACGGCTCGTAGGTAAGCGACCATTGCTGGACGAGCGACAGACAATTTGTCAGACTGCATTCGCCCGTCTTCAGCATCAAGACTTTGCGCATGAAGACGACCGTCATCAGCGATGCGGCCGAGAAGATGCCCTCTGCACTGCCAAGGTCGCAGGGCCAGGTCTGTAAAGCGACGAGAGGGTAGTGGTAGGACCGGAAGGTCTCGCTGATGTCCAAAGCTCGGCGCCACCTCACCCCTTCGTCACCTCCGTCTCGACTCGGAACGTCATCCCTACTCCTTCTTCCACACGAGCCCATCACGCCAAAGTCTTGAACGCCTGCGATGGGAGCACCAGTCATGACAAAGGGCCTTTTGCGCATCAAAGAAGAGACGGTGTCGATGCTGATAGCCAGCCAGTAGTAGAGCCGGTAGGATCGCGTGGCTCGCTGCTCCTTTGCCGTCGGCCGCTTTTGGTGGAGCCAAACGTGCATTCGCCTCAGGGCTATGTCGAGTAGGGTGGGGTCGCCACAAGTTATCTCGGCCTCATCGTGCTCTTCGCCCTTTGGACGAGGGGTGAAGGCAAAGAGAAAAGAAGCGAGCGAGGCATTCAGCGACTCGTCGTCGATCACCGACAGCAGGCTGGTCTTGGAGTGGCGCCAAAACATACGGCTCATGTGGTGCTCTCTGCCAAAAATTCTGTTGCTCGAGAAAGCGCAGATGGCCATCTCTAGGGCGGTTTGTCCCATCCTCTGCTGACGAGAACTTGACGAGGCCACTCGCTTATTCACGGATGTTTCTGAGTCCTGCGCCAGACCTTGATTCTTTGCCAAAGAGAGGAGGCTTCCTTTCGTCCCTTCCTCATCGCCACTGCATTCTGGACCCTGTCTACCTCCTCTTGTACGATGACCATCTCGTTTAGCGCAATCGCCATCGCCGCCTCTATGGTTGTCGTCAGAAAAGTTGCCGTCCTGCGAGTAGGCGACGACACTCCCCTTCGAGGAATCATCCGCCGCGGTGAAGTCTGCATCGGCGAGCCTGACGGTATCAGAGAGTAGATGCGCGGCGGTGTTTGCCTCGGCTTTTGGCACCTTGACCTCTTGCAGGATCAGAGGACAGGAGAGTGGCGAGACCCAAATAGTCATGACATGCTCGAATGTGCTGTGATAGATCCTCCGCATGTCGCTCTGTAACATCGACATAGTCAGATCTTGCCATCTGCCGCTCCCGCATGCCAGATTTTTGTGAAGTAATCGATCGATGATTCCCTCCGCGATGGCCTTCGTAAAGTCGCCTTGGAATGAGGCTCTTGATGCTTTGCTTCCGCCCTCCGGTGATGTCGTCGCCGGTGTCCTCCGTCGCGTCTTTCTCGAGACGGGATTTCCTTCGAGTCCCCTGGTCAGCGGTGCCTCAGAAATCTCTTCGGAGTACAGAGAGCTGATCGAGCCCGGCGCATCGTTAGCGCTCGAAGCATCTTCCGAAGACTGCCGGTCCTCTCCGTCAGATTCCCTCCTAGAACGGTTGGCGGATGCTGAGGACGTGAGCAGCGCAGGCCCTGCGCACCCGTATGTGCTGCCTTGCTCTCTGTCAGCGCAGCTCGATTCGCGATCGCTGCTCTCGTCGACGATTTCTGTCATCGGGTTCGATTCTCGTCTCACTCTCTTTGCTCTCGAGACGAAGCCAAAGGTGCAGTACTGCGCCGTTTTGGTGCAATTTGAGCAGCTCCCGTCTGTGCGAAGCCTCGCATCGCAAGCTCGCTTTCCCTTTCGACAGGGATCACAGCTGGTGAACTGCTGTCTTTTCAGCATTTCTCGAGACAGGTCCGTTGGAAATAATCGACAGTCGTAGTTGTCCCGAGAAAGAAAAGCTCACCCGACGTCTCCCTCGCCTTGCCTGCCAACCCCACAAAAATCCGACACCAGGACAAGCCGAACTTATGTCCTGTTATAGTACCCTAACCCTTATCTATATGTACAGACTGGTACAATACCTTAATTATAGATGACAGAGGTAATGACATAATTTCGGCTTGTCCTGGTGTCGGATTTTTGTGGGGTTAGTCAATTTGAATCGACTAGTTGACTTGCACTTAATCGATTTGAATCGGCAGTCATCGGCGGCGCCTTGCTGATTGAGTCATGAACGTACATGCTCTTTCTAGAGCGCCTCTGATGCCTTATAAAGCGCGGAGAGGCGTCGACGATGCCTCGCTATAGCGCTGCACCGAAAAATAAACGATCGAGACTTTAGGGATCGACTTCCTCTGTAACGCTCTTTCTGTTCTTTCAAATACCTCCTTTGCTTTGTATCGTCTGACCGATCGAAGGCATCGACGGCTTCGTGTCGCCGCAGCACGCTGGGCGGCAGAATTCTGCGAGAAGGCCAGTCAAGTAGACGGTTTGAGATGTTATGCATCGTGCTTCTCTTGAATCTCTTGCGCGTTACTACAGCGCGACCCCTCGGCTAGAGATTTATCGTCAAGCCAGGTTGAATGGTATCGAGGGTCTTGTTCAACCCTCGTGGATCACTGCGTCTGCCCTGCCATCCGTTGCGCGGCCACGAGGGTGTGGCTGCCAATTTACGTAGTACAAGCAGAAAAAAAACTCACCACGGTGAATGACAACCAGCCTTCCCATTTGGTCGACAGGCCTGATTGACAATGTTGAGAGCTACACCAGTGTCACTCAGCTTCGGCGCAATCTGTCGGACGGTATGGGATTCGACCTCACAACGCTTTTGCATGTTCTTGCTCTTCGAAGAACGACTCTGTCTGGAAAATCACACCAAGCGTGCACGTCGCTCGACGCTGTCTTCTTTTTGTACTTTTCATCCGTCGCTTTGAGCTTTGGTAGCATGAGCAGGCCCAAAAGAAAGCGTTGAAGGTGCCTTCATGGCTCTCGGCCATTGAGTTTGTGACTTTGTGTACACCAGCATGTCTGCAGAGCACATCGACAAGCTCCAAGTCGCAAGTCGCCCGTGCCTGAAAAGCTTTCGCCGATGCAAGACTCATCACTTTCCATGGCCGCACCTCCATCACATCGAGAGAGCAAATGGTGGTACTCTCGATGTCGGACTGGCAAGTGTTTCGAACGGAAAGATCATTCGTTGACTAACCCCGCAGTATAAGTAGTACCATCGTCGCATTTTGAGCATTTTCAAAAGGCGAGCACTCTTTCTCACTCGAGCCGTGATGAGCTGGATACCTGAGAGCCGGCATGATTGTCCCTTTCAATCTAGGCAACATCCACTGTGAAAGAGAGAGCTCAAAAGAGGCGTGAAGAGGAGTAATCGAGGAGAGAAGATAGGACCATAAGAGTAGTCAAAACGCGACGAGGTATCACTCTTGCATAGCTGTATGTCGTTGCGAGAATTGGATTCAGAGCGCACCGCCTACCTCCTTTGCTTTCCGATGAAGAAGCCGGGGTATGCTGAGTCGGTTTGCTGAGCTTGAACCGCTTCATTGAACTGGACAGATTAAGTGCGACAACAAGTTGGCGGACGACCCGCGGCTTGTGATTGCGCTTGTGCTCGGCAGGATGACTGGGGCTTATTTCGCCCGTCCATGGTTACTAGGCCCTGGTTTTCGGGACTATTCGCCGTTCCCGATGTCCGGGAGCACGCCTTGAAGCACGCCCTGCGGCACGAATTACAAAGATAAGCCAGGAGAAGCAGGGCGACGCCTGCCTATATAGCGAGGCCTTTTTCCTGTACTTTCCTTCTTTTCTTTGTCGCATAACACACTCTGATAGCCCATGTTTGCTCAGGCGTCAAGCTTCCTCATACAGGATCCTGACGCCTCCTCATACAGGATCCAGTTTTGTGAACGTCTCATTCAGCTATCGGCAACGGGTCGCTATTTCAACAAAGTGGATTTGTGAAATACAGACGAGAAAGCGGTTGAGTGAACACCGCTGGCTTGCCTCCGACAAGCACGCATCAAAATAAAAGTCTCATATTGGATCTTCTCGCTTTCTCACAGCGAGCAGAGGCCATATGACACGATCAGTATCTGGTCAACTGTGGCTCAGCAGCCCGGCATGTCAACAAGCTCAGCATGACACTCGCTCGGACACTCGGACGCGACAGAAGGTCATCGGACACAGACTCGAGGCCGGCGACCAACTGATAGACCGTCGTGGAAGCAAAGAGGCAAGCCGAAGAACTGGTCGCATTAGTGGATCGCAGCCAAAAGCTCACACCATCATTCGGCCACAGCGCTCTTGGTTGCAAATTGACGGTGCCAGGCAACTCGACGTCGTCGATCGCTCATAGGACAGGCGTGCCGCAAGCACTGTCATCGGCTTCTCGATAGCGACTCTGTCAGCCTTGCCAAGAATACGAGTGGATTAGAGCCGACCATCGTGCTGTGACCTCTTTTCCCAGCATCTCGTCTTGCAGCAGCCATGTCACAATTGCTGCGGGGGCAATTCTCTTGGTCTGTAGCTCGCGCGCATCGCTCTCCCTGGCCAACATTCGCGACGCTCTACTCTCTCGCCGCGGAGCCACAGAGTCCCTCTTTCTTGCCGCTCTCGATCTGAAATACCTCGAGATCACCTCCAAGCGGTAAAGCTGCCGTCGCGGCTCGTCCCTCGAAGATCCACAGACGTCGATGAAGACGACCACCACCAATGGGTCGCTGTCACTTCTTTTGCTTTTTCGTCGCCATTGGATAGCTCCAGAGAACAACTACGATCCTGCTCATTGTGTCCTCGCTGCGTCACCATCATACAAATCAGAGCGTTCCCGCTCCGTAAGAACGAACCCAAGTTCCTATTGCTAAGAAAGAAAACGGTACATTGTCAAATCCTTGGCGGTGTGATGGTGACAGCACGACGACTTGGTTTTCAAGCCTGCGACAGCTTCGAGTGACCTGGAATGCGCTGGCTGAGGTCGCCGACGGGCAGAGCGATGGGGAGGTCGACCGACGAAAAGAGAAGAAATGCGAAAAAGTACCAGCCGAACTGTTTTAAATCCACTCAGCTCGGGTTGTCCAGGCAAAAGTAGGTGCAGGAACTCACGCAGCATGTGACGAATCCCACGGCGCCGCCTGCCTTGAGCAAGTTGGCACCGACGGCAGGGTTGCGCGTTAGCTCGAGGTAGCCGACACCGATGAGTTCGGCGGCAATGGTGACCGTAGTAAAGACGATGAGAAAGACAAGGTTGGTCCTGATCGCAGCGAGAGTGCCACAGACGCAGAAGAAGCCAAAGACGCAGATGAATATGCCTTTGGAAATTATACCATCAGCGTGTGAAGGAAAAGAACCTGGGACGATAGACTCACCGACGGAATCGAGAAATGCGGGTGAAGTTGGTCCACCCAGTGCGGCAGCGATTCCGAAAGTCGGATCATTCAACGTGCCAAAAATCATCTGCGGGAGAATGTTGTCAGCTTGCTTGCGCGACAGTTCCCTTGCGCTAAACTCACCCAAAAGGACCCGAATCCAGCAAAAGTCACCATGGAGAAGCTATTTCCCAAGATGAACTCGCCTGTGTCTGTGGATGAGTAGCCGAACACCTCCTGCAGGAAATAAGAAAGAGACTCACCGATCGCGGTCAGCCATCCGATGGCACCACCAAAGAGATAGAAGAGACCGCTACAGAGTCAAACGATGTCAGCTTCTCCAACCTGCTTCGCTATAAAAACTAACATGTAAGCAGTCATGGTCGAGGGCGTCGAGCCGCCAAAGCTCATCAGGGAGCAGCACGTGGGCGTAAAGGTGCAGCAGAAGCTGAGAAGGCCGAGCAGCGTGGGATTGCCAAACGTCATTGCGTTGCGCTCTTGCATCTTTGACAGCTTAAAGGGCTGGAGGTAGAGCTCCTCGAACTGGGCCTGCGAGAGCGTGATGGATCGCTCTCGTCCCAGAGGCGCCTTGTCCTCCTCCTCGAGAGAAAGGGTCTGCTTGGCCGACGACATTTTTGATGGCTGTAGTTGTGGAAATGAGGACGCGAAAGAGATCTGTTGGAAATGGAATGTTTCGAAGAACGATAATGGAGACTTAAGTAGTCGACGAGGCATGACTCTGTACTCGGAAGTCTGCAACATCGCACGTCTGCAGTCGTACCCCATCCGTGCGCATGTCTGCCATGTATTGGTGGTCGGTAACGACAGTGACATTGCCGGATCAGTGACCGACCCTGAACATTTCATTCATCTGTCGGCATTCTGATCGGCACTCTCGGAAATTTCGGGTCGGCGATAAAGGCGGCTATGCAGGGCTAGTCGAAGTGGGCGAGTAGTTTATCTCTTGACACGTCGGAGCCGGTCGGCAAATTTAGCGGATAGATAGTCAACTTTTGACTACATGTGCATCTTATCGAAGTTGGGGACTCTGCTTGACAAACGGAGGCCTTGCGTTTCGCTGTAGAAACAGACTTAAGATGCAAGTCGAGACATGTTTTTACCTCGTCCCCATAATCGAAACAATCACAATGGCGCTTGAATCTGCCATCTGTCCCCATCTGCAGAAGCAGCGCACGCAGGAGAAGTCGACGCCCGCCAACTATGAGCCGGGCTTTCCACTCTTCTCTGCGCGCTTCGACCCGGCGATGGAGGAGATGGCCGCCGTGCTGATTGGCGCAATCGCTAGCCAGCCAGGTCGCCTCGAGTACGATGCGCTGGAGCCAGTGGACAAGCTCCTACAGCAGGGCTCGCCTCGACCACACTATGCCGTTCTGTGCAGTTCCGAAGACCCCACGGGCCGCGAAACTCGTGCGTGGAAGGCGTACTGGCGACGCAAGGAAGACTATCTGTCCTGGAGCCACTCCAGTGGCTTCGATACCTGGTGGAAGGACGAAAAGAGACAGATGGACGACGACCAGGGCTGGATCCTCGAGGCTCTTTTCCCTACGATGGATCGATTCGAGGCTGTGTTTTCCAGTCAAGACGCCCGCGAAGGTGCTTCACTCATGTGCCAGGGTATGAGCGACGCCATCGAAGAGCACGGCTACTGGGGCAGTGCCAGAGATCGCCTCCCCATTGGTCAAGTTGACGCCGTGCGGGGCGAAAAGTGCAATGCAGAGACGGCAAAAGGTTCTCGAGTCGTCGTACCCGGACGTAAGAATCTCTGCGTCATCCACTCTGGCCAAGATTGGTCTGCTGTTGAAGGCAAGGAGCGATCGCTGTATTTGGACACGCTACACCCGACGCTCGAGGCCGGTATGCGCTTTCTCAGCAATGACAAGTATCCAGATACGACACGCGAACACTTTGGCTGCTTCGACTGTCGCTTCATGTCGCATCTCGACCCGGAGACACTCGAGCCGAGCCTCTCCAAGACATTTGGCCTGTGCTACTTTGACGACCTGGCCAATCTTGAAAGGTGGAGCAAGGAGCACAAGACCCATCTCAATATCTTCAACGGCTTCTTCAAGTACGCCACAGATACGCAGGGAAAGGGCAATCTGAGCCTCTGGCACGAAGTCACCGTCCTCGAAAAGGACCAGCAGTACTTTGAATATGTCAATTGTCCTGCAGGCACGGGCATGCTTCCTTTATAGTAAAGTCTTTCGGCGGAAATGCTGCTACTCTTTCTTCAAAATCGCCGCTTTCACAGGATTTCATTCCGTCTCGCGCATGTAATCTAATAAACTGGTCATGTACTGAGCAATGTGATGCACGGTATCTTCTGGCGACAGGCTGGCACGAGTGCAACTGTCTCTCATCGTGGTGATGAGCATGTACACGGTGCCAGCGAAGTCGCTCTGTGCCGTCGAGGGGCCTGGGCCCGAGGCGGCCAACGGTGGCGTCCAACTGTTGCCTCCCTGGCGTCGAATGGGGATCGACGTCAAGGCAGCACTGACGACGACGGTGGCAGCGTGAAGGCACTGTAAAATCGTCGGATCGGGTGTCGTGCGTAGACGCTGCGGCGGCAGGGAGCTGAGCGCTTCCAAGACACCCTGTGCCGACGCGGTGCAGTGGAAAACCAAGACCGAGTCCACGTCAGAGGTACCGTGCGTCACATACTGCTGCAGGAGCGGAGGGATTATGAAGCCGAGGGCGTTGTCGTCCTCCTCACCGCTACGGGTTCCTCGCAAGCCCCTCCTTCGAGCAGCCCAGAAGCGCAATACCCGGCTTGCTCTGGAGTTGGAGCTAGCGGCGGAGACGGCAGGGGGTGAATGAGGGCTGTCAGCAGACGCCAAGTCCGACAGCTCGTCCCGTTGCGAGGCAAGCAGCGAGCAGCACAGGTGCAGCGCGATGCTGTTTCTCCAGAACTGAATCATTCGAAGGGCGACTGGAATGTCCATCGAAGGTTGTTGGTGCTCACTCACGGCCACGGCAGCTCGCCAGCGCTGTTCGCAGTCATTGAGGTCGGCGAGGATGGCTTCGAGCAGCCAGGAGCGCTTCGCCCGCGCCGACGACGTGCTGTACGTGGCATGGCCCAGATCGCGCAGTAGCGATACGTATTTCTGACAGCAGCAAAGTATCAGGCCTTTTTTTCATTGGCAGCATCAAGGTGGTGTTCCCACTCACATCTTGCACCTTGCGGAATTCGACGCAGGCGCAGAGAAGGCCGTCGCCCGTCGCTGTCTCCTGCCCTGTGCGCCACTCGGCTGACTGCGAAAGCAGCTTGTGCGTGTAGGGAATCGCACGCGTGTCGAGGTCGTTGACAATCTGCTGCGCCTTGTCCATGATAAAGAGGACGAGAAAGGTGCGTTGGCGGTTGCGGAATCCCCATTTCCAGGCCTGTTGCGTCTCTGCATCGGGCGCAGTAGCGTCAGGTGGGGCTTCGGCATCCAATCGGAGATCACAGCCCAGTCGCAGGGCAAAGCCAAATTGCAGCGCACTGACGCCGTCATGCAAAGACCGCCAGCAGCTCGTTAGAATAAATGCCTGGCAGCACTCGACGCTCCTTTCCTCTCCATCGGCAAACGTCCGGGCGGCAAGATCCTGGCAGAGGACGTAGAGCAGCTGGCGCACTCGCCCACCACCCGCGATTGGTGCTGTATTGCGACGGATAAAGGCCGGTGGCTCTGCGCTGAGACCGGCGCACCAGCGCGTTGTTTGCGGGTCGGAGGGGTCTAGCGAAAACTTGGAGGCGGTGGATAGGATGGCAACATATAAAAAGACTGATCGCCGTCGCACAAAGTCGTGTGTGTGTAGCCTTCGGTCGAGGAGATTGGACCAGCGGGTCATGTGCTCCATGAAGAAGTCGAACAACGCTCGAGCGGCTTCTTCGCTGAGGATGCCAGAGGTGACAGGGTCATCTGCGCTGTCGTTGCCGTTGCTACTGCCGTTGCATTTGATGCTGTCATCGCTGCCACCGTAGGAAGACGAAGGGCTAGACAGAGGTCTCAACAAGTCACCAAGGGTGACGGATCGATTGATGATGAGGTCGTCGTACGGCAGTACTTGCTCCCCCTCGAATACGAACGCAGGCGTCGGTGAAGCTGTCGCCTGAGCCGACTCCAGCTCCTGCGACAATCGAGGAAGTCTTTTCCTCTGAGTCAGCAGCCAAACGCAAACTGCAATCTTCCCCAAAGCCCGTCTATTCACTTGCTCTTTGGTTTACGACCCCGCTTGGCTTCCACAAAGACGCATCGAAAATGGTGTCGCCTGCACCGGTCGCATGTGCCGACCGGAGATGCATCTCTAGACGCGGTTCGAAAGGAGCACCTCGTCTGTCTTGCAAGAGGTCAGCGAAGAGAGAAACCACGGACCACAGCTGAGAGTGAATCACCTTTGCAAGACGACACTCCATGCAAGCCAAGGCGATTCGCGGTTCTTGTTGTTGCGGGTGTCCACTTCTCCTTTCCTCGTTCCTTGTTGGCCAATTCTTGGCCGAAACAAAGTCGAAGGGAGATAATGCGAAGTCCATTATGGGGAAATGTAAGGCTTGAAAAGCGGGAGAGGGATGAGCAGGCCGAGTCGAAGAGAGGGGCGCCCCCTTTTTAAAGGTGCTGCACCAGACCCGAAGAAAGAGCCGTCCTGATTGCCGTTCAAGGATCCGGGCACAAGTAATAAGCGCAAGCCTCTAGTGTAGCCGGCCCTGGCCCGGAGATTTTTTTTAATCGATTGGTTGAAAAAAGCTTATCTCTAGAGATCTGAGCCACGAATTCCCCCGCGTGGTTTACCCTGTCAAAGACTTCTCCGTCGCTCGCAGAGTGCTTTTGAGACGAGGCTTGACCCTTATCATGCTTTATCCATACCGCTCCGGCTCGGTTCCTACCGGGAAAGAAGAGAATGGCGGGTCTCTGACCGGAATTGATAGGGGATGCTGGCTTTCCCCCTCTCCTGGTCGCGAAAGATAAGGTGTCGAGCAAAATGCCGATGTAGCCCTTGGTGCTCTGGGTATTCGCGCTGCAATGCTCTGAAATGCTCTATATAAGCGCTGCGTCCGTATCACGAGTCCACCTCTCTTCAATCTCTCCTCGTCGTAAACGAAAAGAAAATGGCCCCAGCTCCCATCAACGTCGGCGTCGTGCACGCTTCGCCTGTGTTCATGAACAAGGAGAAGACGGTGGACAAGTGCGTGGCTTACATCAAAGAGGCAGGACAGAAGGGCCTCGATCTCCTCGTCTTTCCCGAAACTTTCTTGCCATGCTATCCTGTGAGTTCCGTCCACGAGACGATCGTGTGGGAAGAGAGAAGGAAGACTAACGTTCCACAAAGTTCTTTGCCATGGTTTACCCGCCCGTCACCTACACAAAGGTGATGCCGGACTACATCGAGCAGTCGGTCCGCATGGATGGTCCCGAGGTGGCCACCATCAGCGCAGCATGCCGCGAAGCGCGTGTCGCCGTCGTTCTGGGCGTGTCGGAGCGCGCCCCCGATGGCACCAATACCATCTTCAATTCGCAATTCTTCTTTGACAAGGACGGCACCTTCCTCGGATCGCACCGCAAGCTCCAGCCCACCTTTATGGAGCGCTCCGTCTGGGGACAGGGCAGTGGACACACCCTGCGCACGTTTGCTGTCCAGGACGGCTACTGCCTCGGTGGTCTCATCTGCTGGGAGCACACGATGAACCTGGCTCGGCACTCGTTGGCGCAGCAGGGTATCCAAGTCCATGCCGCCGCCTGGCCATCCTATTCGACGCTGGAGGGATTTCCTGAGGGAGCACCCGATGCGCAGATCGAGTGCCTCATGAAGTCGCACGCCATGTCGGCGCAGACTTTTGTACTTGCTGCCTCTTGCCCTGTCGACGAGACCTGCCTCGAGTGGATGAAGGAGAAGCTGGGACCGCAGCATCTCATCGGCCTCGGCGGAGGCTGGTCGGGCATTGTCAGTCCATGGGCCACACACATCAGCGGGCCCGTGCTGGGCTACGGCGATCGACTCTTGACCGCTCGTCTCGACTTTGAGAGTGTCTTGCCCCTGGCTTCTTGGGTCGACTCGGCGGGTCACTATGGCCGACCAGAGGTACTCAAGCTCACCGTCGACGACAGCCCCACGTGGTGCTACGACACGGCGAGCATCCACAAGGATCACCCCAAAGCGGCCTACGGTGCCCCAAGGCGGACGGCTAGCCAAATCTCGCCTCCCGTAAAGCAAACACCCGAACCTCTTCTCGTCGCCGGTGGGCCTGCCAAGCGAATCACAAATGGAGACACGGACGCGCACGCGCACAACAAGGTGCCCATCAAGCAGCTTGCATCGATCGGCGCCACCGCTTAGCCTAGCCGATAATATGCTGCAATGTCACATTCGCGAGAGTAGAAAGTGTCTGAGACTGTGTGGGGATGCCGAATGAGTCTGCCAGAAGAACAATTATTGAGCTCGTTGCATCGTCAAAGATCGTAAATCTTGAGAATGTCGCATGAAGGATTAGGCTGGGCTAAGCTTACCTGGCAATCTGGCGTACTGTATCACATCTCACTTGCCGAAGCCGTCATCGCAAAGGTGGCTGAGATTGGTTCTCGCTGCTGCACAGAAGATAGCAGGAGACGACAGCTGCTCGAAAGTGGCTGGCTCCATCGAGGCCCATAAGTGTCGCCTCGATTTTGACTTAGTGTTGATCATGCTATGCACTCGGAGCCATATGCAGGTGACATCAGCAATGCCTTTCTTCCTGCTCCTCCTTGTCTTCCCTTTGTACTCAGATCATCAGTCCAATCGATCCATTGCTGCGGTAACTCTCTCTCTGCCCTTTGCTACTACGCCATCCCTATCGCTCGGCCCATCGCGCACGAGACACATAGGGACAGCTGCGTCACACGTGCACCAGTCTAACAGTCTAATAATATTCGCGTTGAGATATGAGACGGTGTAATTTGTAAGCGCAGAAGCATTACATGGGAGGGTGATGTGCCTTCCCTCCTCACCACCAACTTAGGCTGAGGTTCGTTCGCGGGAGGATAAATGAACGTCTATGGTACTCCACCAATCGACCATGCAGTTGGGGCCTTAAGCTGACGTCGACGCCGCGGATCAGGTCGATCTGATGCCGGCGACTGCCGACGATCAGCCCCTGGAGGCGCCGCTGCCGTGACATGAGCATTGCGGTTGGCACGTCGCCCGTCGATCGGAGAGATGGGGCCGCCGACGCGCTCGGCCTTGATCAGCCGACATCGATGTTGCCCTTTATACGTCTACCAATCGGAAAAGTGCGCGGCGAGGCCGGTTTGGCCCGGCGCAACATGGTCGGCCATGGTGTGGTGATCGGGAAAGTCGCCGTCGTTTTGCAACCGGAAGGGGATCGGTGTGTCGGTGAACAGCCCGGCGAGACGCTCACGCCATGCTTCCTTGATCGCCTCCACTTCTTCCGCCGTGGAAACGCGACCCGCGCCATAGACCGCGTGCGTCGGAAGTACGTCCATGCCGGGGTAGAACAGCGCGCCATGAGTCAGCGGGAACAGCAATTGCTCGATCGGCCCGTTGATACCCCGCGGGCCATAGTCGGCCGCTGGGCCGCCTGCCTGCACGTTGACTAGCGCTCGCTTGCCCTTGAGTATCCCCTCGCCAAAGCGGAACTGGTTGGAGCCATTCTGATAGCCGTAGGCAAAACCGAAGGCGTAGACCCGCTCTATCCAGCCCTTCAGGATCGCAGGCACGCCGTACCACCACAGCGGGAATTGCACGACCACAGCATCGGCCGCGAGCAGCTTCTGCTGCTCGACAATCACGTCGGGCGTCTGATGCCCACTTGCGTAGGCATGTCCCGACTCCGCGATGAAAGACAGCCGTTCGGGGTTGTCACGCACGGGAAAGTCATCGGCGTCGTACACCGCCTTCCACTTCATGCCGTAGAGGTCCGAATGGACCACGGTATGTCCCGCTGCCGACAACGTCTCAACGGTCACGTCGACCATCTGCCGTGTCAGCGACGTGGGTTCAGGGTGCGCGTAAACGATGAGAACCTTCATAGTCCGATGCTCCTACTGGATGCGTTTATCAGAACTCGACGACGATCTTGCCGAAGTGGTGCGCCGGCGAGTGAGGGCGCCTTTATTTATTCCCAATGGGTTAGTCTCACTACGCTGATACGAAGTCGCTCACCCAGCATTGGCAGAAAATTATTCATCTCAGGCTGTTTACGGCCGTAGTTGGCCGCGCACGGTGAGCGTGAACTCACTTAGGGCCGTGTTTAAAGCCCGATTTTTTTCTTGGAGATCGAGTGCTCGATGGAATAGAAGCTGCCGGTATATTGAACGTCTTCAAACATCTCGTGCGAGATGCAGCCGCTTTCACGCCGCGCCGGCTCAACGAAGGCCTGGAGGCCTGCCCTTCACGGCCGCTTTTCGCCCTTGCCTGTCCCAACACGGTGATGGCTTGATTGTCGCTGCTCATTGTGTCGGCTCCTTTGTCGGGGGGTCGATGGATCCTCCTGGACCTCGATTCCGATCCTCATATGGAGCGGCATGACGCGGTGTTGGAATCGAACCTTTGGCCTACTATTATCCAACGAACGGATACCAAAAACCTTGATCTCGGCCTGCTCGTCACGCTCGAAGCCCTACTGGCGGAAGGGAACGTCACGCGTGCCGCCCGGCGCCAGAACCTGAGCCAACCCGCCTTGTCGGCCCGGCTGGCGCGGCTTCGCGATGAACTCGGCGATCCCCTCCTCATTCCGGCACAACGCGGGATGGTCCTGACCCAGCGCGCTGTCGAACTTCGGCAACCGTTGCATGAAGCGGTGGAGGGTGTCCGCAGGGTTGTGGCAGATGGAATGCTGTCCGACCCGGCAACCATGGAGGTCTCCCTGGTGATCGCCGCGAGCGACTATGTGCAGTATGCGCTGCTCACCCGCTTCTCGGTCGCGCTCCGGACCGAGGCACCCAAGGTCCGCATCGCCTGGCGTGCCCTCGACGTGCTGGTGCTCGCCACGCAGTTGGAGCGCGGCGAAGTCGACCTGGCCTTGGCATCTCCAGACCATGCACCGGCGGCCATGCGCCAGCGCCAGCTCTTTTGTGAGGATTACGCGGTGATCGCCCGGCAGAGACACCCGGCCGTGCAGGGCCGTATCAGCCTGGACGTATTCTGCGCTTTGGAGCACGTCGTCGTGTCGCCCCAGGGCGGCGGGTTTTCGGGGCCTGCCGATGCGGCACTAGAGGCCGTCGGCCGCCGCCGCACCGTAGCCCTGTCCACGCAGGGCTTTCTGATCGTGCCGGAGGTCGCATCGCGGTCCGACTTGATCGCTTCGATCCCACGGCGGATCGCCGATGGCTGGTCGGATCGTGTGCAGGTGGTGGAACCGCCACTCACCATCCCCGGCTTTACCATCGCGAGCGTCTGGCACGACCGGACCACCAACCATCCGGCACAACGCTGGCTGCGTGAGCGGCTGACGACGTTGGCTGCCGAAGGGTAACTACCGACTGGACGAAAGGCTGCACACGGCGTTTCCCGTAAAATCATCGTTCGCGGGAATGGCCCTGTCGTCCCGCTGGCCCTTCGTTTGTAGGAAAACCCGCAGCCTAGGTCGACAGGTGCTGCCCCAACACATGGCCTCTCTTCGTGATCAAAGAGGGCATCCGCAACGGTACGAGGCTCTCATCATAAATTTGTCCGGTGAGTATCGGAGGCTTCGCGCGTGTGTCTCGTCGTCTGGACCCCCGGCAAGAGGCCAGATCGTCTTCAGGTGGTTGCTTCCCATCCTCGGCGGCTGCGTTGCTGCGGCGGCTCTAATTTTCGCCGGACTAGTTGCAGAGAGAGAAATGAGCCTTCATCTGTGCAGAATGGTAGGAGCGACTCCAGAACAAGTATACGGAGCGATGTATGTACAGTACATCAGATGACAACAAAAAAGAGATGAAGCTTACCTTTGTTGTCTTAGGAGGCCGGTCAATGACCGCAAAAACACAAAGATTATATCCTAGTACTATTACGAAGTTCGATGAGGACATACAAATTCGCTTTTTTCCCCAGAGAAGGTCTGCCAGAGCACCGGAGGAAAAAAATGGACGCTCGAGCTGACTGGTAAAAGGCGACGGTCCAAAGAGAAGGAAAATGTCGAGGAGCAGTGCGTCGCACTGGTCTCTGATCTTGAATCTTCAAGCCCGCTGGACAAACAAGGTTGAAGCACAGCGCCACTCGCGGCGATCTCGTCCGAGGATGTAGAGTCTTGTCTTCCTTCTGCCTTACCAGGGCGCTCCTGACGCGCTTCTGTTGCTGGACGAAGCCATAGATCTGTCGTCGGTATGGTGGATGCATCTCGGTAGAGGTAGTTCTCGAGCACCGAGTGCATCTCAGACGGCAGACTATCAAGTATACTCGTTCCGTCGCCCCGACCACACGCCTCTCTTCGCGTATTTGAATCATCTCGCGCACTTTGAGCTGCGCCGAGGCGTCATCTACAGGCGCCGAAGAAATGCCGTCAAGGCGTCGGTGGACTTCATGTCGGCAGACACTGTATTCTTCCACCGCTCTCAATGCTCCTTCTCGCATGTGCAATCCTCTGTCAACTTTCAAGCAAGACGATTCTTTGGATTCTTTAGAACAAAAGCAAGGCGAGGATACGCAGCGATAGATAACGCGTTCATATGCCCCACCTCCCTAGATCGACTTTGAACGCCAAGCGCTTTGGGCTTCCCTTGAGCGCACCTTGACGCAGGAAGAGCGCCATGGAGACAACGGCCAAGCAGAGAACGACACTGACGACCATCTGAACAACGTAGGATGTCTCGAAGGCCGACGTGCTCGGCAGCACCCATGTGGGAAGGAAAAACGGCACGCCAAAGGCAAAGACAAACTTGATCGTGTTCACAAAGGTGATGACGTAGATGCCCGCCTGCGGCTCCACCTCGACGAGGTACGTCTGGACGACGGCTGAGATGATGTTGAAGTAGGCGTACGTCATTCCCTGTCCGGCCACAACGGCGACGCTGAAGGGTCTCTGTCAGCGACTATCGTTACGACGCTCTGCGGTACTCACGGCCAGTGCATGCGTTCGCCGATACCGTACCCATAGCATAGCCATCCTGCAATGCCCATGGGCAGAAACACAAGGAGAGACCAGAGACGCTGCTCGGCATACGCTTCATCGACGCCTTCCTTGGCCCAATGGTCGCGCCATAGGATGAGGCTCGCATCCACCACGTAGCCGCCTAGAAGCTTACCGACCAGCGTGCCTGCGAGCGCCCCAAGATAGACCAAGCCAATGTGCACCGCATCAAACTGCCATGGAGCCTTCTCAAAGACCTGTGGATCTGCAATGCTGTGATCAGTGGCGAAAAGAGTTCTTGTTGTTTCGCACTTACTCAGGATGGTGATGCCCACGGTCCATCCGAAGGGAACAGCAATAAACAGAGAGCATAAGAAGACGCGAGCGTCCAAAAACTTGGACAAAGGCAGGGGAATCGCCAAGTACCACGCCTCGTGATGAAAGCGAGAGGTGACTGGCGGTTCTCTCCGAGCAGAGCTGGTCTCTGTCTGTGCCTCGACGGCGCGTTGGGACCATCCTTTGTCATCCAAATGTAAAGCGTCATCGATGGGCTGATCCGCTTTATCCGTGAAGGCGGTCTCCGGCACATAGGCAGTCTCTGGCACAAAGATGAAGAGCAGAACCCAGACGACAGCCGACGTAACTGCGACAAAGTAGTAGATGTTGCGGAACGCGAGTGGTCCAGGATTGATCTTGAGCAGACCGGCACCGACGACTTGCCCTCTCAGTCAGTGGGAGATTTGCATGTTTCCGAACAAGATCCGACTCACTGGGGGTCGAGACAGGTCCGATTGTGATTTTCCAAAGAGCTGTGGCTCGTAGGGAGATCCTTTAGCGGGCGAGCTGCTCCAAAGCTTGAGGATCTGTGGAAGGAGAGGTTCCAGCTCATCTCCATACGTCGAGGTCACCGTTTTTGAGAAATCTTCGTCGCTTGTGACGTTGGGGGTGGAGAGGGCAAATACTGTTCCTTCGTCGAGATTGTCGCCCTGGATGTAAGGGATGTCGGGAAAAGCGCCTCTTTTGAACTGAGCAGATGGTAGGCCCCGCACGAAGAAGTCGTCTTGGAGTGGCACGAAAGCTGCTTGCTTTCCAGAAGCAGCCTTCGAATTGGCATCATTGAGCGCGTCGGAACTGGCGTTGCGAAGGCATCGCAACTGATCGGGTTCGGATGTCTCGAGGGAACATCCGGCACCAGTCAGAAACGCATTGTATCCATCCTGTGCGAAGGGGTGAGTAGGCGGTAGCCTACGGCTCCTGCAAGGTGCAAAGCTTCATTCGTCAACATACTGCGTCGCGAGATCCAACTTGTGCAGACAGAACATACACGGACGGGTTGCCGCTCTGCATGATAGCGGCTCGAAAGAGGCCCTGAACGTCTCCTTCTTTGGCAAGCATCTGTTGGCCGACACTATTGGCGCCAGCGCTCTCGCCAAAGATGGTGACTTTCTTTGGATCGCCTCCGAAAGACGCGATGTTGCGCTGGACCCAGTGGAGCGCCTCTCTCTGATCGTAGTAGCCTGCATTCAAGGCCGCCTTCCCTTCCTTTGCAGCATTTGCAATCGTAGAGCCGCCAAGGAAGCCAAATGCACCCAGCCGGTACTTAACGGTGGTATTTGGCGCTGCTTCAGCTACCGGTCTGATCAGTACCTGCTTTGTGTACTCACGTTTATGGAGACGAAAATTATAGGCTCTCGCAACTTCAGGCTCTGCGTGAGCAGCTTCGTGGCATTGAATTGCTCTCCACTGCCCGCTCCATTCAAAAAAGCACCTCCGTGAATCCAGACTGACGTTCATTGGTCAGACAACTACATTGAGCAAGGCTCTGCTGTGTCTCTACTCACACAGGACCGGAAGACTCTTTTTGCTCTTTTTTGGCGCATATATATTGAGATACAGACAGTCCTCGGCGTAGGACTTCTGTACGTCGTTGAGAAAGAATGGCGGTTGTCGACACGCAGAACCAGGCTCGTTTGCTGGGCGCTTCTTCGAGGACGAATATTTTGGCAGAGGTGTGGTCTTGCTGAAGCGAAGAGCATCGACAGGCGGAGTGGCGTAGGGAATGCCGAGATACTGTAACGCGCAGGGAGAAGGTAACATATGATCAGCAACCAATACACGAAGGTCGGTATGTGCAGAGGCGCACGCACCTCTTCTACTTCCTCGAGGCAGTTTCCGACAAATGTGCCTTGTAGGGGCGTGGTGGTTTCGGCACACTTGTTTTGTTTCACTGACGAGGCTCTCGTCAAGAGAACAAGCACCTGTAGGACTAATGCGAATTGGATCTGGAAGAACATCTTGGCAGTAGGCGAATCGAAGCTGAAGGTGCGTCTGTGCGTCTTCTCGAACCGATCCTTCTTATACTTATCTTTAGTCCGAACCCCACAGCGGGCCGGCAAAGCTTGATTACATGGAATCGGACCGTCACCACTCCACCGGCTTCCATGCACCTATTTCAATTTTACCTTTCCGAAGAACTAGCAATTCGGAGGGCAGGTGGGGCAGATCGGGCAGGTGGGGCAGTAATAAGACATGCTGACATCTGCACGCGTAGCGATTTAGGGATCAGATACGCCATAGTGTTCGTCGTGTCAGACGCCGCGCGTGCCATCCGAGTGGGATAGGAGGGGATTATTGTTCCAGCCATCGGCCAATCACATCGTTTGCTTGACGTAGAGAGCCACCTGAACGACACTTTGATGAGCATGCAGCAAGAGAGTATCTAGCGATGAAATCGACGATGGATGACCCATCTTTGCCACAAAGTCTTTCATGGCAAAGTGACCACCAGTACTGTAATTAGCTGCATTTGCCAGAGTAGGTAGTAGAACTTGCAAGAAGACATCCCGAATGCGTAAGACTCTCTGACTGATTCGGAGACTAGGTCGGGCCGAGTTGGAGAAGATCAGTGGGCTTGCTCGATTGGTGTTGATGATGTCAAAGCCAGCACGGCTTCCAGCAATGCCAGCATTTGGATTCAGGATGCTTAAGACCTCCTGCAACAGCCTGCCACCAGTCAAGATTCTCTTCATGATGCTGAATACAGGATGTGAAATCAAGGCCGCCGACTCTAGTTCGTCTGTGCCACCGCTGGAGTTGCCAGACAAGAGGACGGAAAGGTGATCAAACCTTTACTCTTCAGAGTACGTTCCATCTCAGCCTTGCCCCCGAAAGTACCTTACTGCCTTACTTTATTCGCTACTACTCAAAATTGACCAAGCTGAAGCCCTAGTCACAGTGCGAAACAGATCTTGTCCATAGCGAAGGATCTAAGCGAGAGTATGCTGGCAGATGACTCTATCTCCTCGAGCATTCTTACCAAGAGAGTTGAATTGTCGATCTCCTCATGTCGTGGAGGGAACATTGAGGCACGAAAGGCAAGGGCCATAGAGGGCAACGAAATGCAGTCAATCTCATCTCGTCCATGCGTTCTCACGTGCACCAAGTCTTTAATACAGCTCAGCTAAGACGTTAGCAGCGATGTCAATTCCACGCTTGCATCGGATATCCAAAGGATATTCTGCTTCTTCGCCCTTTCAAGCTACTGAGAGCAACGGATGTCTTTCTGACAACAAAGATGTCATGAGCAGCTTGCATGCCAGCGTACGTTCATGGTTTTGCACCTGATCTTCCGCGACTCTTTAAAAATGATGGGGTGACTCCAATAGCCGTGCATATTCCCGACAAGAATGGTCGTGTAGTAACGCATTTAACATTAGCAGAAATGTTCACTACGACCTACACAACAAAATTGGGTCCAAGGGCACAGGATCGTTTTTTGAATCGCAAAAGTCTCGGTGTTGTCTAACAGCCGGCGCCATCTTGTCGTTGGCAGAATCCTAAGACGGTAAGGGGTATGACAATTAGTGAGTCGCAGAAAGGACGAATGAATCACATGACTTACCGACTCTGTTCGCAGCACAAAGAACGAATGGATCATTGTCAATTACGTCCTGCGTGCAACAAACGCCGCTGGGCTTGTAGGCGCTACAATCCGCGTCGGTGGTGCATGGCGTATCCCGCTCTACAAGGTCACGTCTTCCGATTGTGCATTGGCGTCGTTCAGCTGGAACGGCAGCACCTAGAGCAAACAACGTTGCGAGGATGTAGATGCTGGGGAGAGAAAACAATTGCATGGTGAAGAGTTCGTTGCTGAAGGAATGGTGCCAAAAAGTAGGGCATCGTCCGAGAAATGCGTCTTTATATACCTGCCTTCGCTCTCTTTCTTAGGAGTCTGGCACACAAGGACCGCGTGCTGCAAGGACACGCTTGGAAGAGTGATGCCGTGCCATCTCGAGTCTAAATACGGAGAATCGCCCAAGTCTTTTGTGTAACTTTAAGGCACACAAGGACCGCGTGCGGCAAGGACGCGCGCTTGGAAGACTGGGGAGAATCGCCCGAGTCTTTTGTATAATTTTAAGGCACACAAGGACCGCGTGCTGCAAGGACACGCTTGGAAGACTGGTGCCGTGCCACCTAGAGTCTAAATACGGAGAATCGCCTGAGTCTTTTGTATAGCTTTAAGGCACACAGGACCGCGTGCTGCAAGGACGCGATTGGAAGACTGGTGCCGTACCATCTCGAGTCTAAATACAGAGTATATCAGCATGTCCGACAATCTGATGACACTTCTCTGCGTGCAACTGGAGCCTATGGTCTTGACCTCAAGTTGCAGCGGCTCTTCATCGTTACCTGCTCAACGGACACATGTAAGGTTTGGTTTTCGATGCTTTGCCTCCGATAGCTGCGCTTAGTGAACGACGAAGCTGAAGTTGCTGGTCATTGCTGCATCGGGAGTCATAAGGAGCATCAGCACAGGGGCCGAAAGTCGTGCCTTTCGAGCTGCAGGTGAAATGGTCCAGGTTGTTGTTCCTGTCAGTTACCACATCGACATCGAGGGACACCACGATTGACTGATGAAAATCAAATTGATGTCCTGGGAGGTAGATGACGTCGAAGCCTTGCTCTAGCGTTGCAGCGACTGACGGGGCTGCTACGGCGGGGTGGTGTCAGACGTCGCGTGGGCCGTCCGAATGGATATAGAGGTAGAGTAGCTCAGTGATCGACTTTCAATCTTCCAGTCACACCATTTGTTTTGTACCATCCCAGCGACCGACGGCATTGACGGCAACAACGCAGCACGCCGGGCAGAAGAGACTTCCGAGAAAGCCGGTTAAGTAGAGACTTTGAGCTGTGTTGTGCCTTGTCTTGTACCTCTTGCTCTTCCCTCTTTCATTACATCTCACCCCCTACCATTTCTGCATCTTCTCGCTCCGTCTAGCGCCTCGAAGAGCGACTCTTTGTTCTTTTCTGAGGATTTTCACAAAGCCTTCACGTCGCTCGACACGATGGTGAGCATGGTGTCCTTTTTGAAATTTTCAGCTGACGCGTTGAAATGCGGCTGTCGAATGCTACTGCAGATCGTTCAACATTAATCCATTGAAAGAAGATAAGACACGGCAATCGGAGCTTGGGTGTACAGCAGCAATAAAGCACATCACGGCAGACCTGTCCTCGATCTTGGACGGGAGTCAGTCGGGACCTTATGACTTCTTGAGAACCCTGATGAAGGAGGAGATAATGATAGGAAGAAGAAAATCAGGGCAGGAACAGGAAAGTGGAGGGAAGGAGGAGAACGTCCAGGACGAAGAGAGGAAATGTATCTGAAGAGAGTTCTTGCGTCTACATGGGTCGACGACACGCTTCTGGCGGTCCCTTAGTAGTTGTCGACGACAATGAGCTTGCCCGTGTTTGTCCCGGTTTCTCCAAAGACGATGACTGTCCCGAACAGAGAGTGTTTGTATGGATCAGTCCGACCATATTTGAGGGCTGTAAGTCTGACTGCGTCCGTGGTGAAATTAAAGACGCTCTTGGAGCCGCCGGGATAGATAGTGGTGATTGCATTGTTGCTGGCAACGTGAATGTCTCCATTGGGCGCCGGGATGAGGTCGTCGTTGACTGCATCAGCAACCTTGGTGGCATTTCCGATGGGCACGAAGTGCTGATTGATCCCGACCTTTCCGATGACGTTTTGATCGGTACTCGAAAAGATAATCTCGTGCTTGTTCAAGGGGTTGAGGTGGATACCATTGATTCCGAAGCCAACGAGGTCGGGATTGCTGGGGTCCGGCGGCAAGCTTTTCATGAGAGGATCGTTGCTATCAACGAGCTTGGGGTGGCCACTGTGAACATTAACTCGGAAAATGCCGCCGACGTGAGAGTCTGCGATGAGAATATCGTTGTCGCCGACGTAGACCAGGCCGTTGGGAACATCGAGTTCGGGGATCGCAAAAAGTTTTCCAACGCAGGGCTTCGTTCCGCGTAGGTCGATCTTCCAAAGGCCAAACGATTCTGAAAGCAGCATCAGCATTGTTAGCTTGGAGTTCGCTCCCATTTCTGTAGTACACTCACGCGGTGTGCTGGTGAACGTGGCGAAAGAGAAGTTGCCGACGGTTGCAACGAAAACGTCTTTCTCAACCTCATCAATACCCGTCACGCTCATATGCCCATCAAAGGTATGGAGAACAATGGGCTTGGTCCTTCCCCAAGGGTCGATCTGATAGAGCTTGTTCTGGTTGGATGCTGTCATGAGAATCTGGCCACTGTGACGCACGACAAGATTCTCAGGGTCGATGTCGGCAGGAAAGGTGGCCACGGTGCGAACACGGTGCCTCTGTCCGCTAATCGAGGCGCCCAAGGCGGCAGAGTCTAGGGCCAGCAAAGCGACTACGAGGCTGAAGATCAACATGAAGATCGAGTGCTGTCTGATGCGAACGAAAGGAGGGTGCAGAAGTTGTGAGAGCAGAACATGAAAGTTGATGAAACCCTGCTTCTTATGTCCTGTTACTCCGAGAGCATGCCTGTACATGCTAGGCGAAGGAAAGAAAAAGGAGAAGTGTTGTTTGCTCAAATGCCCTTACGACATGGCTTTCGGAGTTCTTAGGATCCGAATGTTTCTCGAAAGCCAAACATCCAAGTACAGGAGCCGAAATCACGCCACGACGTTGCCCTGTCATGCAGACTTTGCCTCGAGAACACAGATCTTGGTGCCTCATCCTCAAATCACGTGTGTACCTGCATTTCGTAGAATGTTTCCATTTCTCATGCACAGCCCTGGTACACGGAGTTGTGTCGCACAGGGCTGTGATCAATTGCTCGCACGCACGACCTGGGCCTGACATGCAGGAAAGTTGCTGTGACGATGTGGGAACTTTGCTAAGTCCGACCAGACAAAGCTGAGGAAGTAGTAAAGCCAATGAGATAAAGCCGATCGTATAAAACCGATCGGATTTGCTCTGCCAAGCTGAATTTACATGAAATGTCACCCCGGATTTGATCAGCCGTGGTTCTTCCTCTTAGAACGTTCCGCCATGCGATCGCCAGCGTCCAGTATCTTCACGTGCGACCTTTTTTTTTATAATTGGGCAAGAATTAGAAGGAGGCGTGAAAATGCAAGCTGACTTGGGTGTGGTCTGAGACGTGTACTCGTATGTAGCTGAATTGTGGCGTGAGAATAGTAGTCGCTATCCTATGCAAGCATGCAGAGTGCCCATCTTCGGACAAAGATGCACCCCCCTTTGAGAAATGCTCGGCCGGCGCACACGGGTCAATTCGCTTCTAGCCATCGTACGAGAACCCGCTATAAGGTAGGATGGAGTGACGCCAGCGTACATAGCAGGGATGAACGTGAATCACTGCTTTCCGCGTCCGTCGCGCGTTTGAGAAACTCGTTGATGTCTGATCAAGCTCATATCTCCTTTCATGGGGTGACTAGTAGAGCAAGACATCTTAGCAGGTGGTGAGTTTTCGAATACACATCTCCTGAAGGACAAGCCTATGCTACTCTAAATGAAGAAATTCTGAGGATGATCTAAGAGAGAACTCGTCTGTTTCCACTGATAGCTGTCCTGCTGTAGCGAGACATTACCGCCTTGAAGGTACAAATTGATGCCAGCGCCTCTACTGTCGATGTTGGAGCCATACGGGGGCCAATGCGGCACATCTGTTCCGCGAGGGTTCAAGTGGTGGGCAAAGTGAATCCACGCTGACGACATGATGCGAGCGATCTCTGTGAGTTTCTCATCTGTGGTGTATGCTCGAAGCGGCTCTGGTACCTGGCTGATCTGACGTCCTGCCAAGACAGGGTTGTTGTAGACAAAAGCAAGCTCGGTAGCGTGTGGAACACCAAGCTGTGGTCGACAGAGTGTGCGCAAACTATGGGTCAGCTTGTGACCTCTGAATAGAGTTGCATCGCACTCACATATGCTGCCGTGTTCAGACCTGGGCTCAAAATCGAGAGGGCAAGTGGTTGTGCGAAGCGGTAGCTCCAAATTTGGTCTCCGTGCGTTCTGAGCCCCGCCTGAAGCTGTTGACGCCTGCCTGATTCGAAAAGGAGATCACCAGCGAAAGAGCTGAGACGCTTGAATTGGTTGCCTTTGCCAAAGTACGTGTCATTGGGCGAATCGCCAAAGAGGAACGGTAGGTAGGGTGAGCCTGCAGCAGGTTTGTTGGGCCACAGCTTGAGAATGCGCGGTATGAGTGGCTTAATGGTGGGGCCATACAACGTGAGGATTGCGTTCTCAAATTCGTTATCGGTGGTGATGTTCTGCGAAGTAGAGAAAAAAGTGCCTTCATCGACGTTGTTGCCTGTGATAAAGGGGATAGGTGGAAAAAGACCGCGCTTGAATTGAGCTGAGGGCAATCCTCGGACGAAATAATCATCTTGAACCGGAGCGAAAGGTGTTTGCTGGTTGTTCGCGGCAGCCGTGTTGGCTGCGTCGAGCACATCGGAAGTAACGTTTCGCAAGCATGCGATCTGAGCCTCGTCTGAAATCGTAGAGTCACAACCTGCGGCCGCCAAGAGGATATCGTAGCGATCTTGGGGATAGGGGTCGTCTGCGGGGTAGCGACGAGATCTTACCAGAAAGCAATGAACATCAGCTGAGAAGTATTAGGGCGAAGAGATCTGCACGCTGTGAACTTACAGCGAAGGACTGCCACTCTCCATGATAGCAGCTCGAAAGAGTCCTTCGACGTCCCCGTCATTTGCAAGCATCTGTTGACCGACGCTGCTAGCGCCCGCACTCTCGCCAAAAAGCGTGACCTGGGCGGGATCCCCGCCAAAAGATGCGATGTTGAGCTGAACCCAGCGTAGCGCTTCACGCTGATCCCAGTAGGCGGCGTTAAGGGTTGTGCTACCGGATCTAGCCGTGGTAGCCATGGCTTTACCGCTGAGGAAGCCAAAAGCGCCGAGGCGGTAGTTGAAAGAGACGTAAATGACGGGCTTTTTGAGCAAGATGCTTCGCTCGAGGAAGTTAGTCGCGTTAAACCCATCATCGGAACCGGATCCTTGGAGGAATGAGCCACCGTGAATCCAGACTTGAATTCTCACATCAGCGACCTTAGAGCTGCATGAATACGTAATGTGCGCAGTCAGACTCTCACCCATAACAGGCAATGGTTGTGCGACGTGTCGCGGTCGATAGACATTGAGGTAAAGGCAGTCCTCGCTCAACCGTTTGTATTGTTGTCCGAAGGACACTAAAGGCTGTCTGCAGACGGGACCCGCCACAGTAGCATTGCGTTTCTTGCTGGAGGTGTATGGCTCGACCGGCAGCGTCTTGGAAAAGCGGCGCTGGCCTGTCATCGGCTGAGCGTAGGGAATTCCTCTGTACTGAAGGAAGTAGAAAAGAAAGAGACGTCAAACGAAGCAGCCTGCGCTAGGGAGATGATCTTCATATGGACTGTTCCTTCGTGTAGAATGGCTCACCTCCTCGACAAGCTGCAGACAGTTTCCAAGGAAGGTGCCCTGTGTCGGCGTTGAAACATGGGCACAACATGCCAGTGCCACCGAGTTGTGCGTGAGCAGAATGAGCGCTATGAAGAGCAAAGACGCAGTCATGATGGTCTGTTCAGAGAAAGAGCGCAAGTCATTTGTAACTGTTCGAAAGACTGCTGCTTCTAAGCTCTTTAGAGCAGATATCAGATGGCGGTGGCAAACCCGAACAAATTGTCGTGCTTTCGCGCTGTGCGTGCAGAGGTCTCCATGCTGTTGCCCTTAGGTGGGCTGAAATGTCTTCAATTGTGATCTAGCCGCGTATTGCAGCAACAGAAATCAGCTGACGAATGTTTTTTTTTCTTTTTCCGCCCGGCCAAATGGACTGAGGCCGGACTTCTGTCGCGGCTTTGCCCAAGTCCGTAGATCGGAGATCAAACGGTCTCATCACGCTCCCAGCCGGCAGGATTTGGGAGGGCAATGCATTCGCTTATCCGCTTCAAGTGACGACGAAGTTGTGGTCACAAATGGCAGATAAATTGTATTGATTCAAGGCAGTGTGAGGCTCCCCACCAAAGATTCATCTAAGTGTAACGATCAGTCAGCCACTCGTATCACTGCCGTCTGCAGCCGCTCGCCTCCCAGGAGGGTGCAGATTCCACCAAGCGTCGTCCTCCGTTAGGATGTCAAGAAGCTGATCTGCGCTGATCTGCCAGTGCTCTATCGGATGCACACCATCCCTTTCAGTCGAGACCGAATCATGCGCTCGAATAGTTGACCCAAGCTGACAGGGCAGCTCCGGCTGAGGAGACGCTGAGTTAGTGATGTGTGGAAAAGGCTCAACACTATTCGAAGAGCGCTCCGTGCTCCTTGAAAGAATCTCAGCTCGCTCGCAGAGAGCCTGCAGCTGCTTGATTATCGCGGTCTCTGGGTTAGCTACGTTTGCATCGACCGCAAATGTTTCCGCCTTGGCTCGAGTCCTTCTCATCGTTTCTACCCAACGAGATCTGGTCGTTGCGTCGAATTCTGCGTCGAGAAACTCCAACGAAGCTACGATGCAGATAAGAAGGGTACTGCAGCTCTTGTGTAGGTTGATGCAAATGCCCGTCGCATATCTGTGGAGCCGATCCTCTACTGCACTGACGCACAAGACAGCGTCACACAACATCGTTGCAGCTTCGGCGCTGCAACGGATCGAAAGAGCGACGTCGGATGCCACCGAAGGCGATGACTCTCCGCGAACACAGGCTTTGAGGTACGGACGATGAAGCAGGAGACGATGAAATGTCCACGCTAGCACGACTCCTCTGCTTCGTCAGCTACGTATCTCTGCCATCGCCAGCAAGCGAGAGCGACGACTTACATGCGCAGGTCATGAGCCTGGCAGTCAAGACAATAGACGAGTTTCTGTGTCCCATTTCCTGTTCGGGGTCGAGAGGGAAGGGCGAATCCTCCGGCAAGGCCTGTCGAGCGCAATCTAGCTCAAGCTCTATCGCTGATATTTGCGCTCTTAGCCGCTCAGGATTCTGACCGACCCAGCTCGGGGAGTCCATCGGAGGTAATTTCGACATGCGAGCGGCTATGGCGTCCATTCGGAGCATATGAGCCATGTACGGCTCCTTCATCTTGACAGCCTCGATATCCTGCCGATTGGCCAGTGGACGCTCGGGCAAGAGTTTTCTGAAGCGGAAAATGTTGCTGCCGGTAATCTGATGAGCAAGTGCGGAGTGAACAAACGCACTCAGACACTCAACTTGTCAAAGGTTGCGCAGCAGATCCACAGCTTCCAGACGTCTTCCCGTGCTTCTTCCGCTTTGTCTATTGTCGTGGCTTCATGAGGCGAGAGAGTGTGTAGTTTGAGGGCCATCGACATCATCACAGCCTTGCAACCGAAAGAAAAAGCCACTGTAGATGAATCCAGAATCAGTGCAATGAGCCCTTCTCGAGATACCAGCCACAACTTACGCCAAAGATTTTGACTGAGGTTGAACGAAGCCAAGAGACGGAAACACTTGGCTACCTCGATGCTGGGCTCTTCGGCCTCCAGGTCTACCACCAGGAACCTGGCTGCAGTGTAAAAGTCTGCCGCCTTCTCCGCGCAGAATCGAGGTTGAAGCCAGCTCCTGCTTGTCTGCGTATCGTCTTCGTGAGCGACACGCTCCAATACAAGTAATTGATAGACTCGAAGCATCGCCTCATCGCGGATTCGGGAATTAGCAGCTTGCAAGGCTACAGCATGTGATCCCGCGCCCACAGCTAGCACGATCAAGATATACACTAGATCCTGCTTCGGAAGCTCGACCTTGCTTGCCGCGTTGCAGTACTCAGCCATGACTGCTCTGAGCCGGTGAGGCTGCAGGATGGGAATCATAGGATGGACAAGATCGAGAAAGTCGTCCAGAAAGCACCACGCCAGCCTGCTTGGAACGCACGGGATGGTGAGCCGCCCCACCACACGAGGTGCCACTCCAATCTCTCCGCCACCAAAGTCTCTAGTCTGCGCCTCTTTTGAAGAATCACAGTCATGTCTTGGGGGTCCTACGGACTGTGCGTTTTGAAGCTCTTGCATCTTGAGAGCAACCATGGGTTCGAACTCCTCGGCATGAAGCAGATCAGGTGACCATTCGCGGACGTCTTTCAAACGGTGCTTCGTTGAATCACCAGCGGCAAGTCCCAGTGGTCGTGATTCTGGTCTGTCTTTCCCTTGAGGCAGACCAAGTGTCCTGAGATCCGCAGTGAGGTCAGCGAAGATTTTTGACTTGGTGAAGCCGCGAGGATCGCCTGAAGAGGATTGAGCGAGCGGCGCTGGCGGTATATTCCCCGAGGAGCTTGCTTTCTCGCTTTCTTCGGCGGGAGTGCTCTGATCTCGGATCATAGGGTCCGAGTTTATTGGCGGACGTTGGCCTGTCCTTTTTTCGATCTCGGGCGCGCTCTGGCGCGACGGCTGTAAGTCCTTCTTTGTGAACGCGCAGACATCCCCCAAACGCTTCTTCAGACATCTCCCGCAGGGCGATCTGCGGTCGCACTGATCGGTCGCCAGCTCTCAACAATTGCACACGTCGATAAAGGCTAAGGCTCTTCTCACCTTCGCTTTGTCTTTTCTGCAGAGCAGGCAGCTGTAGGTTTTCCGTGGCCTCTTCAAAAGCGTGCCCGTCGTCTCCATCTCGCCAACTTGAATGACGGGAACAAGCTATCGGAGCTTCCAAGTCCGAAAGTAAATCCGTGTCCGTCTATATTTCATGCGTTCCGCATGATCGATCATCACGAAATTAACTGTTATTCACGTGGCTGGCTAGTGCCTCCTGAGATGGCTTGGAGCCAGGCACGCATCCATAGACGCGGTGGGATGGCCAATGGCGAAGTCACTGACTGATGACCAAAGCGAAAGTGCAATCCATTGCCCACCAGCGTAAGATTGTGTACGACGAAGGATCGTTACTTTGCCAAGAAGAAAACCTACGAGGGCGACTTGCTAAGATGAATTGTCTTCAAGTGAAGGCTGCGGTCCACGGTCACTGCTTTAGTATCGCCAGAAGATCACTGCAGTAACGCCTTCCGCTAATCGCATTCTTGTGCAAGACCGAACGGACACTTGAGATACTCTCACAGCTCGAATTTGGCTCGATTCGCCTCAGCGAACTGCTCTACCGATAGAGGCTTGCGCCCAGTGAGGTCCTCTACCACCGAATTTGTACCGGCAAACACTCCGTTCTTGTAGTCTTCAGCAACCGCGCGTAAGTGCTGTACAAGTCGTGGGTGCATGCCGCTCTTCTCCAGGCGCGCCACGAACTCCGGGATGCTCAGTGGCTTGTAGATGAATGGCCTACCAAGCGCACGTGTGAGTCTCTCGGCAATCTCGCGATGGTTAAGTTCTTCAGGGCCGTAGAGCGGATAGACCTTTCCTGCGTGTTGCTTCGGATTCTGAAGTACAGCAGCAATCACGCGACCCTGGTCTTCGGCGGCAATGGGCGCATGACGTGCATCACCAAACGGAAACTCTATGCTCCCCTTTTTCACATTGAAAGCTTCCATCGGATAGGTCAGCCATTCGGCGAAAAACGTCGGACGAATGTGGGTAGTGGGAACCCCTGACCAGTCGAAGACCTGTTCACTTATCCAATGGTCGCGAGATGCATGGCTCTTGGCGTCCGCACGAGCTGGCTTCTGTGACATGTTGACGATCGAAGTAACGCCCGCCTCGATCGCGGCCTGGGCGAAAAAAGCAGTCGCTTCAACAAGGCCGGGAAGGAAAGGATAGACAAAGTATGCACCCGTTACGCCGTCCATTGCCGCGCGGATCTGTTCCAGGCTGAGGAGGTCGCCAACAACAATCTCTGCTCCGAGGCTCTTCAACGGTTCTGAGCGTTCGTCCTCCTTATGCACCAAAGCTCGAACTTTCCGGCCTGAGTTGAGCAATGTTAAGGTGGTGAAGCGCCCGGTTGCGCCGGTGGCTCCGGAGATGAGATACAGAGAGTCAGACATGTTGCTCACTTAGAAAGCGCTCGATGACCGTCGTTGCAAGTTTGCACTGCTCTTTATACATACACCGCGGCAACTTTGCACCGTTCCAATTGTTGTGAGCAATTATGGCTTATGGTCTCTGCGCTCTTCTGCGAAGTAGTGGTATCGGAAATGCCGAGCCGGCAAGCCCAAAACATTGAGCATGCCTCGACTGAGATATCTCCAATCGCAAATCTGACGGAAGTACCGCCGCGTAAATGCCCGTAAGCAACTGTATAGCACCTTCTTTTTATTGCACGCGGATTCTCGGAGAAACCGCGGCTCGGAGAGCTGACGGCAGCAAACAGTATCACTGTCCTTTGGAGGTCTATCCTTGAACGGGAGCTGACAGTTGAGGATTGAATTGCTTGCTCAGCAAATTGGTGCAAACTGGTTCATAAGGATGGTAGTGAGGACCGTATCATCCTAGATTTTTATCTTCAACTAGCTACATCCTCAAGAAAGACTACGAGGCACTGCTTTCGAAATGACAAGCGACGCTGCTCGTACGATCATGGTTACCGGAGCCACAAGAGGAATCGGACGAGCGCTTGTCGAGATTCTTCTGCAGCAACCGGACAAGCAAGTCATCGCTGCTGTACGCCATTTGCAGTCAGCTGACGCAAAAAGTCTGAGTGCACTTCCACGTGCCTCTGGAACAACGTTGACTTTGGTGAAGATCGATTCGTCGCGCCGCTCGGATGCACAGGCAGCACTTGACATACTGAAAGAAGACGGCATCGAGAAGATCGACACCATTGTTGCCAATGCAGGGATTGCGCACGAAGGAATCCAAATCTCGGAAACCGATCTCGATGTGGTCGGTCAGCAAATGGAGAACAACCTCATTGGACCTTGGGCTCTTTTCAAGGCATTCAGACCCCTCTTACTTGCGAGCAAAGAGCCCAAATTTGTAGCGTTGAGCACTGAGGTTGCATCACTCACGCTTCGCGACAGCCTACCTCCGGTGAAGTTGTCCGCTTACGGTGCCAGTAAAATCGCCCTCAATTACTTTGTTAATCGTTTGGCTGCCGAAGAAGCGTGGTTGACATGCTTCGCCATTCATCCAGGCGTGGTCAACACGGCACTTGGTGACAAGGCGATCAAAGCCTTGGGTGGCATCACTATGAACAACCTGTTACAAGATGGTAGAGCAGTGACCGTCGGAAAGGCAGCTCAAAGAGTTATTAAGTTCATCGAGACGGCCAACAAAGAGACGGTATCTGGTCTTGTCTTCGACTCTTCAAGTGGCAGTACCATCCCTTGGTGACGATAGCGCACATTTATGGCGATCAATCTTTCGTCAAATGCAATTCGAGTTAAATTGGCGCAAACCTCGCATGTCATCTGCGCAGCAATCAAACTGAAAGAAATTTCCAGCCTCGTCAAGGTTCACGTTTTTGCACTGCAACCCTGAGGTCGTACCAGTTGGCGTAATGGAAGAGATTTCTGCGAGCCGCAAGCTCGCTTATAGCTTAGCTATGAAGCGCACTGCTGGAAGACAAACTCGTCGTAACAAACATGGTGAAAGGGCCAGCAGGAAATGCAAGCACGAGCATATTGGGGCCTCAGAACGATGCTCGTCTTAACCCTTCTGACCTGTAGATCCGGTCTCTAGATTCCCCGTGTTTACCGTTCTTCTCTTCACAACAACGCCAAGCCCTTCAGATGCAGAGTCGACCGAGCTTCATGAAATACATGTGTCCACTGACCCCATCTTCACGCTAAGAGTCGAGATTGAGTCATGCATGTGGAAGCAAGGGAACTTGTGGTGGACTTAATAGTAGTGGAGCTTGCGCGGAGATAACATATGTGAGGTGAGCGCTGTCCCTCCTCACCAGGCGGCTATGTTTGCGGAGATAATGGAGGCGTGGCTCACACTAGTGTACTGTACAAGGTGGTTAGCGAAAACACAGAGGGTCGAACGGCGCATAAAAATACAGCTGCTCTCGCGGAGCCTCAAAGGGGTCGCACGGCACTGTACATCAGGCACAGGAAGCAAGAGCGAACCATGCAGGAGAAGCGAGTCGCCCTTGTCACTGGCGCCAATCAGGGGGTCGGCCTCCAGGTAGCCAAGGAGCTGGTCCGGCACGGCTTCGTCGTCGTCGTTGGCTCACGAGACCTGAAACGTGGCGAGACAGCAGCAGAGGAGGCAGGACCAGGGGCAACTGCAGTCCAGCTCGACGTCACCGACCAGGCCTCCATTGGCGCAGCAGCGGAACGCATCAGGCGCGAGTTTGGCCGCCTGGATGTCCTTGTGCAGAACGCCGCCATCTCCAACACAAACAGGCAGCCAGGCGAGAGTATCGCTGAGCATTCCAGAAAGACTCGGCCGAGCAATGTGCCGCTCGAGGACATGCGCAAGGTCTGGGACACCAACGTCTTTGGTGTACTGGCCGTGCACCAGGCCATGCTTCCGCTGCTCCGAGCGACGCCTGGTTCCCGCATTGTGATCGTCTCGAGCGGCGCTGGGTCGCTCACGCGCAACGCCGACACAGGCAACCAACATCGATCCATCTTTGGCCCCGTCTACCCGGCTTCGAAAACGGCGCTGAATGCATTGGCACTCGCAATGGCCATCGAACTGGAGCCAGAGGGCATCCCAGTCCGCATTGTCTCGCCCGGGTTCGTCAGCACGAACCTCAACGGTTTCACAGGGACGCAGAACCTCGAAGAGGGCGCACGCGAGATCGTACGCGTGGCGCTGCTGTCGGACGGAGTGACTGGCACCTTTACGAGATGGCCGGGCGAGGCGATTCCCTGGTAGACACGTGAAATACTCAATGTCGCTGCACATGCACACCGCGTGAGCTGGTGATGAACTACTAAGCTACAGCCAGGGCGAGCAGCCTTGACTATGAGGTGGCACCGCGTCACGTTGCCCTCCAAGCTCCTGCCTGTGGATAACAGCTCGAAGCCATTGGTACTCGGAATGAGGTTGGAGCCCTATACTTTTGCACATTAAACATACACTTAGAAGACGATGACTGGTTGTCATTTTCATAGCGAGCTGATCGAAAACTAACGTGTGGTAGGATGATAAGCGACCGATCCGATCACAAGGTGCACAGCCGTTGGCGCAGGTGAACCGATGAAGGGTCCTCATACAGCCCAAATTTCCGCTGCAAGGCTCGCTTGAGATTTTGCTCTTCTACTCGCCCAAAGGTCCTTTGCTCATCGGTGCCTTATTGGAACCAAAGGAGCTGCCTGTGTGGAACGCCAACCAGTCCTTGTATGTCTGCAACAGAGCCGCTGGTAGTAGCACTCGAAGACGACAACGACAATTTTGATACGGTGAATAAAGCGCGAAATTCGAGCCAGGCGAGCAGCGCGCAGCTTCCTCGCCCCACGTGGCATCACGGCCCGAAGATATCAGATTCCCAAATCGAATCCCGGCCTTGCTTGTCAACTTCGACAATGGGAGTCTCTGTGACCCTGCGTGCAGGCAGTCTGGCAGACGCAGCAATGATCAGCGATTTTCTGATCAACTGCATCAGGACTGCTTTCACTCGTGACCTCAAGCTCGGACCTCAGGAGTACCTTGCCTCGACAGAATTCGAAGTGGACTACTTGGGCCATAGGAAAGCAAGCCTAGGTGACGATCGTAATCTAACCAAGATCGCTTTCGAAGAGACTTCGGGTGATACCGCAGGATACATCGAATTCGGGCCTCCGAAGGCCTACCTAGACGGCCTCGGCTGTCGGTACGAGCTCTTGTGTTTCTTCACATCTCCATCAATGCTTGGGAAAGGAGTAGGCTCGAACTTGCTGTGGACCATTCTTCGAGATGCGATCGCGCTCCGCGACTTTCGTCTAGGCGTAGATTCGATCGGCATCCAAACAATAAAAGGAAATCCTTCCGTCTCGACATTCTACCGCAAAATTGGAGCGTGTGTGATCAAAGAAACTTCTTTCTCGGTACGTACTGAGCTCGCGCGTATAGCTTCGTTGCTGCTTACCGGTGTGAAGTACGGAGCCTCGGTCATAGAGACGGTGGTGCTCAAGTGGGACGCGGACAGTGTAAAGACGTTTTTTCAAAAGCAGAGCCCTGGGAAAGAAGACAGAGATCCAAGTCCCCGCCTACCTTGATTGCACGCTGGCGGCCCGAGGGCCATCGATTCTCTCCCTACGTGCTAGATTCCTTTTTCACCTCTGTAGTGCAAGGCACTCTACCATGACAATACATGTACGGCACGACACTGAAGAGATCTGCCATAGAAAGCAAGAAGATGCAGCAGAAAGCAAGAAGATGCAGCAGAGTCGCGGGGGGGGAGCTCGAACAAAGTAGATTTGCCTTTCTGCGGTCTCGATGGATATCTCTCATCATGCCATGGCATTTCGTTTCGAAGTCTCCAGTCTACTGCACATCAAAATTGAGCTCAATCCTCTTATCAGTCTTTCTTGTATGCTGCAAAAATACGAATTGCGATCCAATGGTGTCTTTGGGGTTGCAATTGCGCGACGAGCTGCCACTGTCCATAGATTTATGACGACGATCAGGACAGGACTACTTGGATGGCCCTGCCCAGCCTATGAGGCCCAAGGTCAGCAGTGTTTCGTCGGCCAAGAGCTCGTCCTTGCGATTGGTAAGCTCGTCGACATCCCAGGTGGCCCACACGAAACGTCCCTCGAGCCACGTTTTCTCTCCAGAAACCAGCCAGACCACAAAGGAGCCAACGAGGTCATCGTCGTCGACGGGAAGATCGGTGCGCCGATACCCCGCCTTTTCTCCCATTGTCGACCACACCATCCCAGGATGCAAGCTGAAGAGACGCAAGTGAGCACGATTCTCCGAAGCCAGCGCGGCAAGAAGGAACGAGGAGCCGATCTTCGAAGCGCCGTATACGCTGTTGCGACCATTGGTCGAGTGGGCGGCACCGCTGGATACCTCGACTATACTGCCACGGACTCCGTTTCGTTGGCAGCTCGCAAGGTAGTGCCGGGCCATTTCCCAGTTGCCGACAATATTTGTCGTCATTGCGGCAGTCGCATCGTGGGCGTCGATCGTCGTAGAAGGCCCTCGATGCGGGCTATGTGCCGCAGACAGCACGACGATGTCAATTGTGTCTTTCAACGTCTGCCACAGCGTCTCAATGCTCGAGAGAGAGTCCAAGGAGACCTGCACAACCTCAAAGACGACGCCTGGGAATTCATCCTGGAGCTGCTTGCAAGCTTCTCGATGGGCTTCGCGGTTGCGCAGCGCAACGAAGATGCGTCTCGCGCCAGAAATGGCAAAGGCCCTTGCGACCGACTTGCCAACGCCGGTCGCACCCGCAGTGATCAGAACAGTCTTGCCCTTGGTGCTGTGTTGCGGCAGCAGAGGATCGATGGCGGGGTACGTTGAGTGGCGCTGGGTGATGGTGTTGAAGCTGTGAGACATCGTCGTTGTGCGACGCTGCGAGAAGGGATCTGCAAGACTTTAAAGTGGTTGTCAGGTTCGTCTTCAGCGCTGAAATTAGTCAAAGTCGAAGCTTCATTTCATGCTGGTCAATGCGTCGATGTTTGCCGTCATGCGCAGGAGCTGACGCCTCACGCTGTCGCCCGGACATAAGCCGGACTTTTGCCACGTTCTATTCCTTCACTCTGCCTCGCGTTCGTCTGAATACAACTTGGATTTCTGTTGCTTCTCTCTATCTACTGTACAATGCGTTCTCTCTTCCTTGATCCTAAGCGCCTTGGCCAGACATCTTTGTGGACCACTTTTCGGCGTCGTCCTGTGATCGCGTTCTTTTTGCTCGGCGGGACCCGATCTCTTTTAACTCTATTTCTGTACTGTACTGTACAGTACTTCATTCGAATCAAAATAGACTCGGGTTATCTAGCTATCGGCCACGGACAGACCAGGATGCGCACTGGATCGGTCGCTAATACAACGAAGTGAAGCGACAGTTCCCGCGGTCAAGCGAGCATCAAGAGGAAAGCCTCAAGTTGGATCTTTTCGCTTTCTCACAGCGAGCAGAAGCCGTATGAGATGAGGTGTCAGTTCGCAGTCTGGTCAATTGTGGCTCAGGAGCCCTGCGTGTACACAAGCTCAGCTGGACTCAGCGGCAAAATCGACGAATCGTCCATGTGGAAAGGTCTTTGGCTCACGCACCAGCAAGATGCGGCAAGACCAAACTCCTTCTCAAGTCCGATCTTCTGCGCGCTGACTGTTTCATGACAGTGTGATTTTCCACTCAGTGTCGGAGACGGGAGACAGCAGGAAGCTCGAAATCCGCGGGCGGTAGCTGAGCACCGGTGAAAGAGGTTTGGTAAGGTCACCTGAAGGGTTAAGAAGGGGGACTTTGTCTCCACTCTAGGTGCTTCGGTCGCCGCCATCCTATGTGCTCAGGGTGCCGGTAAGACGACACCTCTTTGATCGGCACGCTCCATGCAATGTCCCTATCACCACCACTTCGCCTCCGTTGTCTGGCTCCATCTGGCATAAAGCGAACCCGCCAAAATATGAACGACACTTAGTAGTAACCACCCTTGCAATCATCAGTGTGGGGGCACGTCAGAGCAAGGGAAGTTCCCATGTCAGGCTTCCACACCAGAGGGACCGGCAGGTATCACAATGTCAATGGCGCAGCTTGGGTACATGATCACCTGAAATAGGCTCGAAGCTTGCCCTGAACCCATGCAAAGCGAACAGGGATGTTCTTCTGGCCGAGATCCATGTTGTAGCCCTCCAGAATAGGTGCCAGCTGGTCACTGAGCTTGGTGTTGCCCACGGACCGGCGGTCAACCAAGAGCCAGCCGATGATTCCACAGCAGAAGATGCAAGCGGGCCAGAGAAAGGCCTTGTTGGTGTTGCTGCGCTTCTTGGTCTTTCGAACGCGATCGACAATGTCATTGAATGTCTCTGCCGTCAAGCCCCGCTGCACCAGCTCTTGAGGGCAAGTCGGCTTGATGTTCTCCAGGTCGATGTTGACGAAACGCTGGTAGGATGCTTTGATCGCATCTAGCTCGTATGCATAGTCTGGGTTGGGAGCATTGACGGGCACAGCGACTACCTGCTGTGGTTGCTGCACAGCAACGTGCTTGGGTGAGGCAGACTTTAACCTTGCTGCACCCTAGACGACAGCCTCGTCAGACTCACTTGCTGCTTTTCATCGGAGTAGGCTGGTGCGTTTGCTGTCACTAGGGTTGAGCCATAGTTGGCTTGCGGTGGGGCTTCAGACATGGTTGGTAGAAGACCGTATTGGAAGAGTGAGTGTTCTATCCGCCTTGGGAGAGTGAGTGGATGGAATCGATTCTCTTTCGGCTGGATTGGCTCGCTTTTTATGTCTGTTCCCTCTTCCGACCCATTTCCAACTTCGCCAAGCGGAATCACGCCTGGCCCGTGTGGGAAACCGCTTCGGGGCCGTGCACATACCGAGAGAGATACAGCTTGAAAAAAGAGAGAGGGGCTGATGGTCGAAGCGGGCTGGGTTCCAATTGACAGCAGCTGTCGAGATGCACTGACAGATCTGGCTGACGCGCGTTCTCACACTAGCGTCTTACACCACTGCTCTCGGGACCCTCACCAGTAGTGCCTAGTGTCGTTCCTGAGAGCACTCATCTTGGCCGCCCCGCGAGACAGTGGCCGGGTCTTGCCCGCCAAACGGCCTGTGCGCATAATCAAGCGCCGTGCCTGGCCGCATCAGTATCTTCTTCAGCGTCGAGGGCTCAACTGCTGAACAGCATAGCGACCTCTCCACGGCCCAAGGGGTGTAGCGCAATGCTCTCCCGCCCGCTAGTGCTGATTTTCACTAGCTTCGATGGGAGAGCTTCTGCAGCACACCGCTGTGGCAGGAGCCGGCCAAGAGGGACAGCGCGGTACTCTCCAACCATTCCTTGCTTTCCGCCGCGTGCAAATTCATTTTCGCCTGCCTAGCCGCCTCAAAAGTACACCCATGGATCAAGATCACCGCTAGAATCAAAACCAAGCTGGCCAAGATCATGGTTTCGACTTACTGTTTCCTGGCCGTTGGAGTGATGTGCAGGAAAAGGGAGTCGAGTTTGCGACGAAAGCATGGTTGCAGTGACGCGGTCTCTCTTTCTAGTAGCCAATCGATCATGGCAGATTTCTCCCATCTTCAGACGAGACAGCCCAGTCAATGCATTCGTCACCCATTCTGATCGATTGATCTGTTGTCTGTGATCGTACAAGCGCTTGCTTAGAGTTTCTATCTCTCGCGTTTCCGTTCATGTGCAGCCGTATCATCTACACATCCATCAGGTCGCCGCTGCAGGGCACCCCTGTGGGTCCGGATCCTCTTTGCCTACGTGGCCGAAGTCAATCACAGTCGCCATCCTTGTCGTCCTCGACTTCACCTTAAAGAGGTTCACCCCATCGGTCTTCGAAGAGGACAGCAAAGGAGATGTTGAACGTGCGGGCGACAGTCTCCCCCACCCTCGGCATGGACGACGATGAATCCCATTTCTCTCGGTCCATGTACTGTACTCGTTACTTGCGAGAAAAGAAGAATCTATCGTTCAGCGCAAGAGCGAGAGAGCAGCAGAAGACGTGCGCCGAGAGACCAAGACCGGCATGGATCTTTCCGTCGATGAAAGGCTTACTAGTGCCTGCAAAGCGCGCACGAGACCTTTGCGGACCTCTCTGGAGGACTTGTGTTACGCCCTTCTCCTTGTGTCATACACATCTGTGCTGCACGGCCGTGCTGGGCTTGTGGTCAGGTGCCGTCTGCTACCCTGTGTCCGTCCGAGTGGGTATAGGGGATGAGCAGCTTAGATCAGGTGTATTGTTCCAGAGATCGCTTGCCCAGACCCGCGCATCGGGGCCCATGGACAAGACGTTGCCGGGCAGCTCGTAGTTGAGATTGAGAGCACGGAGGGACGCCTGCCATGTGGTGTGCTCTTGGTAGGAGAGAGGCGGCAAGTGGCACTGCACGCCGCCGTCGCCGGCGGCCACCTTGACGTCGTCGATCCACTGCATCATCTGCGTCTGCGTGGCCTTGAATGTGCCGTAGATGGTCGATGTCGAGGGGACGGGCGACGAGGGAAAGGGCAACCAGGGAGAGGACGTCGAGGAAAAGGGCGACGAGGAGGGCGATGACGAGGGCAAAGATGACGAAGAGTCGGACGACGAGCCACGTGCGTCGGCAAGAAATCGCTGCAGCTTGGTGACCACCGCGCCCACGTACCGGCTCGAGTCGCACGTATGCGCCGCATCGATGAGCTGCTGCACGAGGCGCGCCATGTCCCCGGCCGTCAGCATGGCCCCTGCCGCAACAGCAAACGGGCCCAGCTTGGCGTCGCTGGGAACGTGCACGTGGCCGCCAGGGGGCATGTGGCGCAGGAGCACGCAGCCAAAGAGGGCATAGGTCGCGCTCAGGTCGAGTAGCACGCGGTGTGCGCGCAGCAGCCGCCGAGCGGCCGCCTCGGTGTGGAGCTTGGCGACGCGGAAAAGGGCAGCAGTCATCAGCTCGTCGAGCCGTCCGCGGGAGGACGGGGCATGGCAGTGACACTCGTCTGCGCGCACGCCATACTCGTGCAGCGCACTCCAGGTGCCAGCAATCTGGCGGAGAAAGAGCGACTCGAGAAAGAGGGCCTTGATGCTGTTGCGCTGGGAGACGTCGTCGTGCGAAGACGGGTGCTGCACGGCCGACTCCCAGGTGATGACAGACGGCAGCCGGTGGCGCCACTGCTCAAACGCATGGAGGGCGCGCTCGACATCCGTTGGGCGCACGCCACGCCCCTGGGCCTCGGGCGTGACAAACTTGATGGAGACGGTGCGGACGAGAAAGGCGAGGCGGAGAAAAGACTCGAGGTGGGCGGCATCGAAGGAGGCCATCGTCGAGAGCGCTTCGCGCGGGACCAGATGCACGGGTGCATCGTAGTGCGACTCGGGATGCAGCATCCACTGCGGCAGCTCCCAGTCGTAGTCGCTCTCCCGGATCACTGTGCTTTTCTGCCTCCCAAACGAGCTAGAGTTGCAAACGTCAATGAAGAGACGGTTAGAAAGAGGGAGGCGACTCACCGAAAGGAGTCCTGCATGAGCGCAAACCAAAAGATGCGCGAGCGACGCTGCACCTGTGTCGCGCTCAGCGCAACGCCCGTGCTGGAATCGTACCGCTGCCCATCGACCTCGAGCGGCTCGCGGTTCATGTGGGTCTCGAGCACGAGGCGAGTGATGAACTCAAAGGACGACGACTCCATGCGCAGCGGCCCCTCTTCCTGGCTGGCGGACCGCTTGAGATCAGAAAGGATAAATGTAGCCTCGATGACGTCTGCCTGCTCCTCGAGCGTTCTTGCTGTCAGTGGTCTCTCGCTCAGCATCTCGGTGAAGCGCCGTTCCATGGCCAGTTGTAGAGCGAACCGTGCCGGCCCCGTGGTCGCATCCAGGAGCGGGGCACCCATGGCCGCCATCGCCAGCACCAGCACATCGCTCTCGTATTGTATTGTCCGCGACATCAGCGAGGATATGTCGATGATGGGCACGCACGGCGCCATGAAGCGCAGGTACGCGTGCACACACAGGTCGACGATGGACAGCGACAGTCCCCGCACCCCAAACGGCGTCTCTGTCCCTGACTTGTCCGACCTCGTCACGCGCTGTTGTCTCCTGGTAAAGGTGCATGCGATTGCGAATCGGGCGCATGCGCTGCACGTCGCCTCGCCCTTCTCCATCCTCGCCTCGCGATCGCACGCCACCTGGCCTTACATAAGTCAGTGCAAGTCACTCGCAGATCGCAGGGACGCACTGACCTTGCGGAGGCGACATGCATCGCATGACGCTCTCATCGCCCGCATGGCGATCCCGATGATGGAGGAGAGAGACGAAAATCCACACGTCTCGTGAGCGTGACTCAGGCAGCGTGCCAAGAGAAATGGCATATTTCCGGCGCTAGTCGGTCATTTTGATACCCTGTACAGTACACTGACACTGCCTCGTAGCCAAAAGCAGTCCACTACTTCATACCTCGTCTCATTGTATTGATTGACGTATAGGTCTCACTGCTGTGTGCTGCAGGGGCATCGGAGTGGCCCTGACAAAGAGCACTGGGATGACGCCAGCGCGCTACTCGCTTCTGTCGAAGATCTCAGTAATTCAAAAGAGGCGGGGTTCAAGCGCAGCGTGACCGAAGTTCCAACCACCCATTGACTCGGCTTCTCCTCAAAAGGGTTCCTATCCTGGCACAGGAGACGGCACCATCGCCGTTCTGTCACAGAACTGGCTAATCAAGCTGAAGGAGTCCCTCATTGCTCAAAAGAATGCCCACCGAGGCCGATGGGTACCACAGCTTTTCTGGGGGCGTGTGCCTCGACGACATGAAACACAAGCCTTTCAAGTCCACCCCACCGTCGGGTCGAACCGTCTGAGTCTTTTGCTCATAGCAGCCGTACAGGACTGCATCGACATGCACAGACGCTTTGAATTGAGTCTCAACGCCCTCTCAAAGATCTCGAAAGACGAAAAGGGCTTGGAGGTACAACATTTGTCGCACAACATCACGAATCCGGCATCGTGAGTCCGGCATCGCAGTGCCAGTCGAGGCCCTCGCGGGTCTGATTTCTATGCCAGACGTCTACGTCCGCCTCGTTTTGGCCATGTCACTCTGCAAAGGAGGGCACAGATAAAGGTTCTGAGCGGACGGCAGAGGGAGCGAAGAGAAAGGAGACAGTCCATTATAAGTAAGTAATCCAGAAGATTATAATAATGTATCTGAGAAAGAAATCGAGGCGCGCTGATTGTTATGCGCGCTTCTCGGCTCCCTGTCGGTGGCATGCATACATCTTCTCCAGATCGGCGATTTGGAATCTAACGGAATAGAACATCCGACGTGCCTTTTCTATATTGAATCTTCAGGTGGTTTCTTGCTCGCATGGACGAGCAGCGTGCGACTCGGGATGTAGGAGAGGAGAGGAGAGGGGTAGGGATAGGTAGGCCGCTCACCATTGGCACCCGCAACAAGACCGGCAGCACAACCTCCGGCAGCGCCGTTGAACGCATCGTTCTTCTGTCTCCTGTTTGCGACAAAGGAGTCGGTGAAGGAAAAGATGCCGCCCATGGCCGTAAAGAGGCGACTCTGCTCGTTACAGCACGCTTGCTGCTCGTCGGTCTGCTGCACGCCAAGAAGCCATGACATACTTACTTCCAGCCCCTTCCCTCTCTGTCCGTTGCGCCATGACACTCGCGCTCCTCGAGGTCAGTATCCAGCCAATTTACACATTAGGTTCGTGAGGTGGCTACCCCGCAAAGGCATTTGCGGCGGCTGTCCTTTCAGCACCAGCGTCGCGGTTCTTTTGAAGCTCTTGCACGTTTGAGTTGCTGAGCGGGAGCAACGTCGATCGACCGCTGCCGCCACGACATCGCCTTGGCAGTGTGCTGTCACGGGAGGACTTGAAGCTCCTGGCGAGGCCGTAGAGGACGAGGCAAGCGCCCAAGACCAGAAAGACGGGGCCGTGATCGCGCAGAAAGATGAGGGAGCTGGCGTCCTTGGCATGCCAGCTGGAGCCGTAAAAGTGGCGGAAAAAGGCATCGGGGACCTCAGAAAGCGCAGCATTCTTGCCATACAGCGCCTTGGAGAGGATGCGGACGCCCGAAAAGCCCGCGGAAGGCGCCCAAGACGTCGAGGGCATCGACTGGTTGTGCACGTTGGCATAGAGCTGGTACGAGGAGCTGACGAACATGGGCCCTGTGCTGAACATGACGGTAGGATAGTGAGTCACGTAACGGTGGTTGAAGGCGACGAGATTGTGGATGAGGTAGTCCATAAAAGGATGACCCTTTGCGGCCAGCATGACGTCGTTGGACACGCCCACGGGAATCGTCTTTGGCAGCACAACCTCGAAGCGGAGCAATGGATCACAGGGCCGGCGACAGCCAACGTCGAGGTCCATGTAGATGCCGCCGTAGTGATAGAGGACAAAGTAGCGAATGGCGTCGGCCCGCTGGATGGGGTAAGGATAAGCATCAAAGACGGCGACGAACCAGGGGTAATGCTCGACGAGAAAATTGCGCGACTCGGCGTCCGTCCAAAGCATGTACTGGCTGTGGAATGTCAGTGTGCGCTTCTCATCTCGCGTCAACCCACACTCACTAGTCTGGGTGCATCTGGGCACACTCGTCACGCATCGCCTGCCACTGTGGCGGCAAGAGGGCGTCTTTCCATGTCTGGTGGATGATGCGCGGGATCTTCTCCGGCGGGTTTTTCGGGTCCCAGGGCTTGGAGACGTTATCGCGGCCATGTGGCACGACAATGCTGCCTGCTTCGTCGCCAGAGCCATCCGAGACAGCCGCGTCCTCGTGAGCCTTTGCGGGGGCTTCAGAGAGAGGCTTCTCGGCAGGGGACCACGGCAGCCGGTGGAGATCGCCATTCCCTTGAATCTCCTCCCAGGAACCCAGCTCTCCAGGCTGTATTACGGCCGCAGGATCAATGGAAAAGTAGACATTGACGGCGGCGAGAAAGACGATTGTGCCAGCAAGAAAGAGGCTAAAGAGGACGAGGAGCAGCTGCAGCGCCCGTTTGCCAGAGAGACGTGCCATCGAGCGATGAGAAAGGCAGGTCGAGCAGGAGAGCGTGTCTTGGTCCTTGTAGTCTGCGCGCTGTCTCCGTAGCCATTTGCGAATCTGTGTCTACTTCTACGCGCTTTATCGTGATGCGCCCATTGATCTTCGCTTTCGTGACTGCTTCGTACGAATGTGGTTGTGTGTGTCCGATCTGACGGAGATCATGCTATATGAAGAGGGTGGAGAGGTATAAGAAACAGCCAATCCCCCGACGGACAGCCGCACGGCGCGAAGTCTATCTATCCACACGCTGCGAGAAGAGTCGGAGAAGCGGCTCTATGCAGAAAACCGACGAGGAGCCGCCGAACGCGTCTCGCCGACGGGAAGCCGAGCAGCGCGTACGGCAAGAAGCACTCACCCTACCCATTTCCTTGTGCGCAAATCGCGATACTTTGACAGTGCCAGATTCGCACACTTGCTCGTCTTTTTTGTAGTATGAGCGCGAGGATAGCTTTTTGTAGTATGAGCGCGAGGATAGCGAAGTGAAGGGATAAAGGGCCCTCCCATCGAAAAGCCACAGGCAAATACCTGCCTTGCTCTGGCCCTCCTCGGCTTCGTGCGCCACCGCCTTCTTATCACACTTGACTGTCATGGGCCCACCTACAGCAAGACCACCATGCAAACATCTGACCCTTCAAGATGACTTGCTGCACTCTTCGCACCTCACAGACATGAGCACCTCGTCCCCCATCATCGCGCCCCAGGCCAGACGCGGCGCTTTGGACCTGGAAAAGACGAGGCGAAGACGCGGGACGCCTCTCAATACGAAGCAAAGCCCAAGACGGGACGGGCAAGCCTCTCGACTCGCAGGGGCTGCCATCACAACTCTGCAGCACCCCATTGAGTCGGTGCGGGGCGTCGCAACGACACTTCGCAGTACAGTCCTCAGCGTTGATGCCGCCTTTCGCCACCCAGACACCGGGCAAAGGCTGTGGCATCCTCCCTGGCTGCGCGCCTACATGCCCCTGCTCGTCTGGGTAGCAATCAGCCTCACGAGCACCTTTATCGTCCTGACCTGGCACAATCAGGTATTCCGAGCGCTCGACCGTCTCGCAAGTCATCTGCAGAAGCTGGGCATGGCCGGTCGTCTGATCCTTGGCGCGCTCATCTTTCTCACCACCTTTCCGCCGTTGCCGCTCTATTCGACGCTTATCGTCCTCTCTGGCTTCACCTTCGGCTTGTTTCAGGGCTTCGTCATCAGCTACACTGCCGCGTTGGCAGGCGCCATCGTCGTCTATGTACTCAGTCGGAGCGTACTCCGCGGCTGGATGTTCAGCCTCCTCGACCAGAGTGGCGGTCTAAAGAACGTGGTGCGAGCCATCGAGAAGCGGCCTCAGCTCCTCTTTCTCATTCGTCTGGCACCCTATCCGTACAATCTCATGAATACGCTCCTGGCCAGCGCGCCAACGCTGACGCTGAGGACGTACACCCTCTGCACGGCACTGGCCCTGCCTAAACTTCTCGTGCACTGTGCTCTAGGGACGTCTATCAAGAACTTTGCTGCGTACAACGGCGCTCTCAACAGCTCAGAGAGCACGGCATCTGTCGGTGTTGGCGCCGACAAAGTCAACAAGGGGCAGTACTCCGCGACAAGCGCTTCGTTTGGGGCAGGGAATACCCAAATCTCGTCGGGTGCAAACGAAGCCGCCGCATCGGAGACGGCCGAACTGATCAAGCACGCAGCTGGCTTTCTAGGCGTGGGCCTCTGTGTGGGCATCTTCATCTATCTCTTCATCGTCGCGCGACGGGCCGTCGATGAAGAGCTAGAGGGCATCGAGAGCCATGAGTATGGCCTGGTGCCTTTGGATGAAGTCGAAACTGGGGACGACGAAGAGGTTGAGGCAGTTGACACTGAGGACGAAGTGCACTGGTCGGACGAACTCAAAGACGATGGTCTCTCCCTGGGCCGCAAAGACTAGAAAGGTGACATCACACTCCAAGAAAGACGGGGCCTGAAATGCATAAAGCGACAGCTTCGAGCGGCAGTCATGAATGGCTGACCAAATCAGAGAACATAGTCTACCGGTATTTCTCATATCATTGTGCCGGAGGACACAGAAGAAAGGGCCTCTATCGAACTCGTGCGCTCGTAACGCGGGCTACTCCTGTTCTCTGAGCAGTTGCTCGGGCGTGCAGAAGCCTGTTGGCCACTAAGTCACGCCCGCAATGTGTCCGCAGCCTCCGTCGCCCCCACAGAGCCGCCCCGCTTCGTCCGACTTCCACGCCACGATGATTGGCTTCATCTGTATGCCCAGATAATTGCACTCTAACGTGACTTCTCTCAAGGTAGTCTCGAATGGTGACCACGTGCAAGCAAATTCGGACAATATCACCGCATCAAATCTGTAATACTCCCGACGTCAGCCGTGTACTTCTCGTTGTCCGAGCAGAGCGCGACACAGACCAAGAGCACCGCTTTCCGACGACAGTCAATTACTTCAGTGAGTATTCTCGAATCATGCGGCAAGGCAAAGGAAGCGCTACTGGATCCTACGCAGAGGCTTCACGTCCAACAATACGCTATAAATTGTGATGAGAAATGATGAAGACACCACCTAAGCACAAACAATTAAGCGAGTGTGACGGCAGCGGCGTGGAGCACGACGCGCTCATCCACGCAACTCTCAAAAAGAATGGTCTTTGAATCCACCTTCCATGCTTTGACGGTGAGCTGTTTGCCAGGCACAACTGTGCCTGCGAATCGAGCCTTGATGTGTGGGAATAACCCAACCTGTCGTTGCAACAAACGTGCCGAGATGCCAAAGGAACAAAGTCCGTGCAAGATGGGCTACGATGAAAAAGCAGAACAATCGATCAGTATCTGGCACTTTTGCGTGCAACAGTCGGGCTACGTCCAAAACAATGACTAGGACAAAACAGCAAGCAGGTAAGTGACGTCCACTTATTTTGCCAAAGCCTCCCATCTCTGCAAAACCCGGATCAACACGCAGAGGATATAGTCACCCGAGAGACGGTAGAGTACCGCCTGGTGAGCGCATGTTGTATAGCACGTGATGGCGTCCGGATCCCGAACAGGTGCTCGGCCGATCGCGGTGGACTCGTCGTTCCTTGAGCTGTGCCTTCGTCCGCCAAAGCCGCCCCTCCCACGAATAAAGAGTGTACCCACATTCTCAAAAAAGAACGTCTTCGCCGCCGCGGCTGATATCGCTCGTGGTCGTCGTAGTCTTGAGCACGACACTTGCTGCTTTGCCTTTGTCGAGACACTCTATGAGTCGTACCCTTGAGATCAACGCGCCGCTTGTCGGGATCTCGTCAAGGATGCACAGGCTTTGTTAACCGTGGAGCAGCCGAGCAGGCTCAAAACTGGGCAGGAAATCTAATGGAAATTGATGGACGGCGTCAATCATAGGTAGGACGCCAAAGGTCGGCAAAGCCTGGAAGGCGTCTGCGCCTTCGTAGGCGTAGTCAAGGTTCTCTGCGTTCGCCCCAATGCCAAGGTTGTACAGTGCGACATCGCTCTTGTCCTACTGGCTCTCGACGGCGATGCGCTCTTTCTTTGCCTTCTTGACGATCTCAGCTGCGGCCGGGTCATCATAGTTGTTGGCAGCGGAAGGTGGCGACATGTTCTTCTTTTACTGCGAGGCGGTGTCCTAAAAATCCCTCCTTTTCACGTTACCTGGAGGGCGGATGGACGAAATTATCGGAGGTTTCGAGCAAGCTTCTAAGACGCTAGCTCGAAAGCTTTGGCAATCAGCTTCAGAGCTGTGGAGTTCTGCACGGATACTTGATGATGATTGTACCATTGCTGTTGTGGCTAAAACTGTCGTGGAGGCGAAATCGTATTTTTTTGACTTTGCACCCCGCTTTGGTCTTTTCCGGCTCCTTATGCTCCCTTCTAGGACGTCATGCCCACGCAAATTTCCTTCAGTAAAGCAGCAGTGGTCAGCAGCCGCCGTAAAGATGTCGAGAGGTAATACGTTCTTCGCGTTTGCAACCTACAAGAGTAAATCATCTGATCTGTAGCTAAATGCGGCTATTCACTAATAAATCTCAACAAACTTTTGAAAGGTGTTCGCAAGACCGTATTACTTATGTGCAAATCGTAATTCACTAATCACTAAGAAAAGACGGCATCGTTTGTAATTCGAGGTGACCAGAAGTGGCGTAAGGTCCTTCCCGCGGAGGCGGCCTCAGTGTGCCCGCGCATCGAACAACATGCGTGCTTAGGTGGAAACGTGTTAGGGAAATTATGCTCGTGCTTACTGGAGTTCAGGTTGCGATCTTGTCATGCATGATGAGTTCTTTTCGCGCGGACAGCGCTCAAATCTACTCTCCCTCTCCCATTCGGCTGGAGGAGAGCGACGAGGTCACGTTAAGGGTTGTTGCAGTTGACGCGTGACCGCGGATGCATTACCCACTTCCTCGACTGATTTAGGATGGACGCGCGCAAGGTTTTGATGGTTCTTACTCGGTACCTCGATATCCGACGTGACGACGTACGAACCTCTCCTGTATTGCCTCACGCTTTGACTACTGATATTGTCATGCTCCGGTTGTCATCACCTTCGAGGAAAACCATGACCACATCTCTCTTTGCCCACGCGATTGACCGGACGTGCATTTTCCGACATTTGGAAAGGCGAAGTGCGAAAGACCGGAGTGGGTACCGTGCTTGGTGTCGATGGCGCGAATGCTGTTCCAAGGGTGATCTTCGTTAGGTCACACACGATTTTGAGGTATATAAGCACCGACGAATTCTATATGATCTCACCATCTCAATTACTCGGCATCTGAAGTCAAAGTCTCACATTACTACAGAAGCTCCCAAGGTTTCACCATGACAGCAGCAGCAGCCGACATCCGACCAAAGATTTCGCTATCTGATTATGCCAAACTCGACGAGAAGCAGGTCGGCCATCTGCGGCACTTTCACAATCTCGTATCTCAGCCGGATGGGAACTGGCGTTACATGGAGCATGAGGACGGTCACGAAGAATTCGATGATGCGAAGAGGTATCAGCTGGCCTTGATGGCGTATGCAGCTGGTGTCGCCCATTTCCACCGTTTACCGGCTCTCCGGGGCGCTTTTCGAAACCTCATGAGGAAGATCATCCACAAGATGCTCCGACGGGAGGTGTGGAGCTACTGGTATTCGGCTAGTCACAGTGGGAAAGTTTTCGATCCTGATCTGACCGAGCTTCGCAAGCCTTGGGCGGACCCTGTGAGGAAGGAAAACATCATGTACAGCGGTCACCTCCTGTTGATGACCAGTCTTTACGCCATGCTCTTCGACGACGACGAATTCGAAAGGGAGGGGAGCATCGTGTTTAGATGGGACCCAGTCTTTTGGGGACTCGGGCCCGAAACCTACGTCTATGACAATCGCAGCCTCGCCAAGGTCATCCTCTCGCAGATGGAGGAAAATGAATGGGTCGGCGTGTGCTGCGAACCGAATGCTGTTTTTGTGGTTTGCAACCAATTTCCTGTAAGTTTTCACCGCGGTTCTGACAGAGCGATGTGCTAATGGTTTTCCTTTTCAAGCTTATTGCCATGAGGCTCAATGATTCGAGAGATGGTACGGACCATGTCGAACGACAGATTTTACCAAAGTATAAAGCTGCGCTCTCGGCGAAAGGGATGCTCGGAAGGTCCGACGGACTATACGCTAGTTATTTCGCAGTGAAACAGAAATGTGCAATGCCAGCGAAGCAAGGAGCACATACCGCTTGGTAAGTCTTTGATCCAATCTCCCTGGAAAGTGGTGCTGAAAGGATTTTTGCAGGGCAAATGCTTTCATGAATACGTGGAATGCAGACTATGTGCAAGCCTCGTACGAAGCGCAAACTCTGGGTTTTCTGACGCACTTCGACGGGAACACCCGGATTCAGCCGACTTGTGTCGCGAAAGCTTTCCGTACACTGGTCCACGAAAGAGGATACGATCCTGATGATCAAGCAACACTCCACGCTGCACGAGAGATCGCGCAAGATTACCAGCCAAAAATACCCTTCGAGACTTTGAATTGGCTTGGGTACACAATGATGCTCTCCGAGCTGGGCAAGGAGAAGGAATTACGTAGCCTTTTAGAGTCCGCAGACACGCACCTCGAACCGACATGGGTTGACGGTGGCTTTTTTTATCCTCGCAATAGCCAGCTCATGGACGAAAATTGGAACTACACACACGTCGAACCACACTCGGGTAATTCTGGGATCGGATACGCGAGGCTGAACGTAGTCGACGGGCAAAAGAAGATTTGGGAGAAGCCGTGGACCAAGGACCTGCTCTCGAGTCGGCCGTACATCGACGGTGACGGCTTCGAGGATGATCTCGACTTCACGCGTGCAATTTGTGACGTTGAACGAGCCGCGGTGATTTTAACAGCAAGGCGGTGGCGAGGTCATCCCAGAGAGTCTACTTTCTATGTCAACAATCTTGCACCTGGTAGATGGGCACTTTTCGTCAACGGCCGCCTCGCTAAATCGGAGCTGCTCAATTCGAAAGGACAGATGCAGATCGTTGTGACCGTCTCGATGGATGAGACAGACATCATTGTCGAGCAGATTGAACCGCAGGAAGCAAGAAGCTGAACTTCACGCTGTCTACCACTCCAGCATTCAAGCTTAGACGTGTGACACCATTCTGGGAGATGCTAATACATTCATCACTTATGTGTGAGCTTGCTACAAGTCTGTACCTTTCTTATGCATTCCTTTTGCGCTCGAGAATCGAGAATCCAAAAAAAGTGCGCCACTATAGAAAAGATCCCTTGCTCGTTTTGCGCGCTTTCGAAGTCCCACACGATTTGCAGGCTCAATGCGTTGATCCTGCGAAATTCTTCGTAGGGTTGGACATGCTTTGTCATGAAAATTCTTGATTGCAATGTGGCCCAACGAGCCTGCCGTTGCGGAAAAGGCCAGATCCGCGTAAGCGCGTCCAAGCTCCAAGTACAGTGGGGGGACAAAAGTCGTACGCGAGCTGATTTTTCGCGTTTCCAACTTCCCGCCAAAACATAGGGAAAATGCGGAATTGCTGGTCCTCACGGCCCCCAGTCATGACTACCCTTTAAAATAACGCTAAAAGTAATTTGAAACCTGGAAGAGCTGCTCTGTGCGTACGGCTACCACATAGCTAGAGCACAAAGAGTGGTCACGCCAATTGATTGAGTAGAGGGTGAAAAAGCAAGCCCATTTTCGAAAAAGTCGAAATTTACTAGTAAAATCGACCTTTTTTGGGAGGGCACCTCTAAGAGGTCTGTCAGCTCCATCACCACCCGTGAGAAACGCTTGGCTCTTAGCTATGTGATGGCCCTACACATGAAGCAGGTTTCTTGCTTCTCAAAACCGCTCTAGATTGCTTTTAGAAGGTAGTCATGACTGGGGTCCGTAAGGGGCAGCATTCTTGATTTTTCCTATGTTTTGGCGGGGCGATGAGATGAGAAAAACGCGCTCACGTACGACTTTTGTCCCCCCACTGTACAGTACTTTGAATTTACTCCTTGAGATGCTGACTCTCTGCATGACCAAGATTCCGCAGTTTACGCTCTCCGAAGATTGAACAAAGAGGTCATTTGCAGAAGCTGCAGTCTGCAGCCAGTCTTCTCTCCTCACGTCCGGAGCAGAATACTGTGAGACGTGTGCTCGTGACTTGTCCAGAAGATCGCCCATAAATTGCTGAAGCCGCCGCTCGTGACGTTCAGCAAGAAAATTTTCCTCTGAAAGCGGAAGTTTTGGCGCTTTATGAACTTTACACTTGATGTCTCTCCTTGCGTTCTTCAAATAAAAGCGATAGTATCAGCGATAGCTCCGACGATGGGCTCAGAAGTTTCATCACTCTACTCAACACGTATTCCTTTCCTCGAAAAGAGAACGAGAGAGCTGGCGCTTTGTCCAAGCTCTGAAGCCTTCCTCTCGAGAGACTCGAGGAAAGCCCGAGTCGAGCTATTTGTTTGTTCTTCTTCTGGATCCATGTACGTCTTGGCCGAATGGACGAAATCCTCGATCCCTGAGATACCCGACAGCTCTGTTTCCGACGGTAAGGTGAGCTTGATCGTATTGTGTGGCGCTACAAGTGTGTGAGTATGCTGAAGTGAAGGTGACAATAAACTTACATACCTCCACTTTATGTCTCCTTAGAAAGGTCGGTTGTCACACGAAGGGGACAATCCCGAATAAAGGGAACTGCTTCTTCAACGGTTCACAGACACGATCATCTCACCAGGCGTTCTGATTCCAGGATTAAACGGAAAAGAAGGTTGATCATCGGGAGTGTGTTACCTTGTCGCTGCAAACAGAAGATACATTTCAAAACATCCAGAGCCGGATACTTGTGCGGCGCGACATCCATTGTGACAATGCACCGTGAAGCACATCAACAAGTATGCGAGTGACCAAACTTGAACGCAGTAACTGCGCATTCTTGAACGAAAGTGAAGACACCAATTTCCTACTAGATCGACAAGCCTCTAGCTATTCTGTCCAAATTTTCAACGATCGCCACCATGTCTGCGTTCTGCAAGTCCGGGTGTATACTACAAATCCTGAGGACAGTCTTGCCGTGAAGTCTGGTCGTCAGCGTGACTCCGATACTTTCGCGTATGGCGGCTTTCGAAATTTGCTCGTTGAGAAGATCGCGTTTGGCTTCGGAAATATGAGGAGGAGCGTACCTGAAGCAGACGATGGCTAACTTCGCGGACGACACTATGTCCCAGTATTTGAGCTTGCTTAAAGCTTGCTGCGCTACCTCGGCAAGTTCGAATCCTCGATCTATGGCTGTCTCGAGAGCGCCCAGTCCGATCATGTGTAAGGAAAACCAGAGCTTCATCGCCCGCGCCGGTCGTGTCAACTCTTGACCATAATTCCAGAAATTTGGACATTCTTCCGGCCCGTCCGGGGCATCTCTCGTATACTCTGCGCCGGTCTGGAAGCTCTCAACCAGCAAGTTTTGGTTGCGCACGATAATTATGCCGCACCCATAGGTCTGGAAGAGCCACTTGTGAGCATCCCAAGTCATGCTGTCGCACAAATCTACTCCTCGCAGCAAATTTTTGTGCTTCGCAGAGAGGACGATTGATGCTCCATAAGCTCCGTCCGCATGAAGCCAGAGTCGGTGCGCGCTGGCGATTGCGGCCAACGAAACAAAGTCGTCGATACTGCCGGTGTTTGTCGTACCGCAATTGCCGACAATGAGAAACGGATATCCTCCTTCACCCCGGTCTTGGATAATCTGGCGCTCCAGATTCGAAATCGATATGCATGAATTGTTGTCGCAATCTATTTTTCGCAGCTGGTTGCCGCGAAATCCAAGAATACGTAGTGCTTTGCCGATGGAGGAGTGTGTCTGTTCTGACACGTAGACTAAAGCTTTTCCTCTGCTGTCGTCGGACAGCATTTGATCTCTTGCAACCATCAATGCTATCAAGTTGGCCATTGAGCCTCCGGAAACAAAGCAGCCGCCAGCTGTATCCGGAAGGCTGAACAGATCCCTTGCCATCCAATGAATGAGCGACTTCTCAATCGAGGATGGCCCCGAGCTTTGAAACCAACTTCCTGCGTGGGGATTGTAGGCTGCATTAAGCATGTCTCCTAGCCAGGAATAGTCGGAGGAAGGCGAGGGAATAAATCCGAAGAATTTGGGATGGTCCATCCTAGCACGAAATGCAAAGATCTTCGCAGCACGCGCAAGGACGTTATCGATGGACGCGGGCTCCCGATCGGGGATTGCCGTAGAGTGCAGGTGGTCTACATCATCTGGACCAGCGACTCGAATTGCGGTTTGTTCGGATGTTGTTGTGCGGTTTTCGACACATTGTTGCAGCACCTTCAACCCTAATGTCATCAGGTCTGCTGGGTTGATAGTCGTCGCCATTGCCGTAGAAAACTTCAAAATTGTTCGATTTTCTCCCGTGGATAAAAGATCTCTTGACAAGAGGTCAAAGCAGTGAGTTGAAGTGAGGGCCTATATGTATGCTGTTCAACCCCGGCTACTCATAAAGATATGAGTCAGGCCAATAAACCTGACGCACTCTTACGTAAGAATGAGGCCTTCTTGAGCACGTGTACAAATACGATTCTGGCCTTGGCTAACACAAATGTACTGTACAACTATGAAAAATATGTTGGTACCCTCGTCGCGCTTTTTATTCGATGAAAGAGCTCCTCACCACCATTTTACGCCACAACACCTTCAATCTTTGCTTTTAATGAGCAGAATTTTTGCACATATCAGCGAGCTTTTGAAAGCAACAAAGACACTGGCCAACTCAGTCTCGACGTTTACCTTCTTCAATGGCGATACCAGGCTTGACAAACAAGTCTTTCTCTATCTCCCTCCAAAGCTCTTCAATCAATGGAAGCAGTGCATCGCGGACAGCATCAAGTACTCTTCCGCCAAGCTTCCGGATGCGTTGATGCATTGTTGAAGCCTTTCTTCAAGAATTGCCCTGGCATCTACGAAGAAGTTCTGATCTCTAGAGTGTGCCGGGCAGAGAATGTGTTGATTGTCTTGCTTCCTGAACCAGCGCCGCGAAAGCTTTGGTGTGTGCACTAGGCTGCTGTGTTATTGGGACTAGCTCTGTCCAGGCAGAGTCTCGAGCCAAGAAAAGAGGGGTTCAGCGAGCACGGAGTGGTAATCTCTTGATCCGAGATGGATGCCATGTGTCCTTGTGTCTTCTGTTCGCTCCCAGGAAACAGGCCCACAATGAAACACACAGGCAGCCCCCAGCTGTTGCGTTCTTGACACAATCATCGTGCTACTCTGCAGCAAGTGCGGGAAACCCAGTCCTGGCCCAGTTGGAAAATCGTCATCGTCGGAGCGTCCTTGGACCACGTGCCTATCGACACGCGGTCCGTCCGGGGTGTCATGCGTGTTCTTCCCCGGACGAGCCTTCGGCTCGCCGTTGATGTACTTACTTTTCTTGATCTAACTACTTCAATTGAATGGCTTGTCCTTGAATTCAGCTTCCTCTGGAGAGGGCATCGGTTGTCGGCGATGGCGCCGCCGAAGGGATTGATCTCCCTTTGAGACAACATCAGACAGTTTGGACGTACTATACAGTCCCAGCCGGAGGCCTTCGCTGCCGCTCAGGCACTCCGTTGAGGATTCGCAGCTGATCCAGTACCTCCTCGACGATCGTACGGCGACCACGTGGGTACCGCTGCGCCCGAATTCTCAACTGAGAGACCCCGACTACTGTGCCTTTTATTCCGCCGCCAGAAAAAGCACAAGAAGAAATAGAATTGAGACTACATTTTCAGGAGCTCTTACAATTCGGCACGCGACTTGGTCTTACTTTCATTTTCCAGAAAGTCTTTCATGGTCTGTAGAGGCATGGGCCTATTGCCGGCGCACCACATGCCATCCTTGACCTCTCGGATGATGATCCATACACGAGCCGACAAACCTCTGGATGCCTCGCCTTCTGCCTCTTTCAGCGCAGAAAAGATGTCTCGTGAGATTGCTGGCGCAAAGCGATCGTCGATAGTGCCTTCCGGAATTGTGATGACGAATTTGTAGTGAGGAAGACTGGTCTGGGCTGATGCCACGTACATGTTGTCAAAGTGATGGACAAACATCCAAGCAATTCTTCCTGCAGCCTCTTTGATAACGGTAGTGTCGCCGCCGATAAGCTCTGACCACCTGCGGATTTCGTGGTCCACGATGAGATCGGAAACGGTGGAGACCAATTTCGTCTCGACTTCGGCTTTGAAGCAGCCCGAAGGCAGGAAGATGTCGCACATGGGCATGATGACAAAGTACGCGGAGAGGAAGGTGGAAGTGATTGATAGGCGATTCGAGTGGGGAGTCTTCGCCAAAGGAAGACTAAGTTTTGGTTTTTGCCTCAACACAGGAGCTGATTTCTCGAGATAAAAGTGGTCTATATATAGCTGTGAGCGGAGACCAAAAAAGTTGGGGAAATCAGCACAATCGTCACCCAACAAATGATTCTCACTGGCTTGCCGAAGGTGATCGGCTTTCGCACTGACGATGTCAATGCGGCAACAGATTGTTCGGCTTCACTTCTCGGAGTTTTCGCTAGACTCATTTTGATTTCCGACATCCGATTGCCGTGTGGACTCAGACTGTGGCTGATAAAGACAATCTGTCGTTTGCAGCCCACGTTACTTTGAAACATTTGGCGTTGCATGCACGTTTACTTAATCAAGCTCTCAGGGCCGGAATTTTCTATATTCATTCATGGAGCCTCAAATGTTTCACTACAATCTTCTGTCGCGGTGACACCTGGGGGCCCCTGCTCGTCTTAGGAATTATGTATAAGTAGACACCCTTTTTCATTTTGTGCTCTTCAATCGGTTCCTCTGTTGCGATCTCAAAGACACACTTCGACTTTAGTATTGAGATCTAGAGAGAGGTTACTCGTCTGGAAAGATTGCATGTATGTGTAACTCTATAGAGTACAGGGATCAGCGTGACCCAATGCTGTTCTTGTGCCCGTTTTGATGCGATTCAGATACTGTCGCACGTCGAAGCGGAAAGGCGCGGCGAGGTCCCTTCCTGTCTCCGTTCCTGACGATAGGGACCAAGGAGCAACGAAAAAAAGGTGTCGAACACCGTTGTTGTCGAAGCAGTGCAGCCACATCGAGGTGCCGTGGTAACCTTTCAAATCGTTGCCATGATGAGACACTCGATTGTCATCGCTCCAAGTAGAGGTGCGAGTGTTGAGGTCTGGAATTTGCTCACCCTCTGCATCGCATGCTTTCTCGAATGCCGCGAGAAATTTTGATGAGGTAGACGTCAACGGTCAAGGGAATAGGCAGAGACTCGCAGGTTCGGCGTGATGTTCTGCGCGGTATCGGCAGTCAGAAGAGCTTCGGTGGGCACAGTAAGAATTTTAGAAAGATATACATCTTATAGATGATCTCGGGGTAATTTAAGTAAAAAGGTCGCTTTAATTTCCTTTAGTCTCAATAATCTTGGAATACAACCAAAGTAGATTTTATTTGTTCATGTCCTTGAATCCATGTATCCTTTGAAAACAGGTTGAAGTAGATTTACTCCGACACTTTCGGTGAATCGGCCCTTCACGGCGAAGTTGCTGTTGGTGCCTCAACTCTCAAAGACGAACCGGTTGATGAGGCTCCCTATCCGATCTCCATGCCACACGACAAAAGTGTCGCCATTTTGGATGAGCGACTGGGGCTTGCTGAAGTAACCGATGCCGCTGGTGGTCCCCATAAGGATGATCGTTCCTGCTTCCAGTGTGCTTCCGTTCGAGAGGAAGGCGATCGTCTCCGCGACGCCAAAGATCTGGTCGCTATCCTCATGGCATCGACTGTCAGGAGATGTTTGTGCAGTGCATCGCTTTGCTCGTGCAGACTCACCTGGTGTTGCTCTTTTGCTTGCTTTTGCCGTTCAGGAAACCCTCAAAATCAATATTCTGCGGGTCAGCGATACAGCGGTTGCTGACAAGGACGGGGCCTATAGGATTGAAATCGTCGAATCCCTTCGCGAAATTCCATTGGGCTTGTGACTTTTGGTGAAAACGTGCAGTAACATCATTCGCGCCCGTGTACCTGGCAATGTATTTGATAATTAGATGGTGTCGGCTTGTGCTCGAGTTTCCTTACATACCCCAGTACGTAGTCAAGGGCATTCTCTTTCTTCACGTTCTTGACATCTTTCCTAATCACCACCGCCAGCTCTGCCTCGTAGTCGAGCTGGTCTTTGTCTTTGTGAACAAAAGCAGGAACGCTGATGTTGCCTGGTCCACCAAGTGATTTGCGAGGTGTGACCATCACGATGGGTTCCTGTGGAAATGGGATCCCAGCTTCCTCCACGTGCACCTTGTAGTTGGCTCCAAGAAGGCGCAGCGAGCCTCCGCAGCCGTGTTGATCGATGGGCGAGAGTAGCTGTGGGAAGAGAGAATGAGAGATGAGACAAAGCATTGGCTGCAGCGTAGTACAAAGTCACCTTCTGGACTGTCAACACGGTTTTCGTGTCTACTTGCCCGTCGAAAGGAAGCTTTTCGCCGACGATCTTGTGAGCTTTCACTCTCTTGCCGTCTTCCATCGCTTTTCCTACGTCCACATCGCCTTCGATCGGCTGACCATAGTGCACCTGGCCATCTTCAGCGCTGACGAAACGGATCAGTCTTGACCAAGGGGCGAAGGAGGCTGCCATTTAGCAATTGTGCCAACGTCGTTCTAGCGGTCGCAGAGGACTCCCCTCAAGTCACCTCTGTTATAACGCCGTCCACTCAGGTACCACCAAAGCCAGGAAGTCAGATTGACGCTAGCGAAGCGGAGGGAAAAAAGGTACCACCGACAAGAATCTACCGACAAATAAGGTACTCCTCCACATGATGCGTGTTGCCACCAGATGCGCGGTGACTCTTCGGACTTAACCGCTTACAGACTGAGGCCCGCTAAAGACCATCGAAGCCACACTTATAAGACATCATTGAAAGCATCGGCAGCATCCAGAGCAAGGAGATGCAACTGCAAAGGTGCCTTTTCAGCCATCAGACTGATGTCGCACCCAAAGATGGACGTTGTTTGGCGACCTCCGGGGCGCGAAAGTCAGCCGACGCATTTGACCAAATTTCGTACCAGTCTCAATTCCTTACATGGCCTGGATATGAAGACGTACGAGGACGTACACCGCTTCTCAATTGACAAGACATCGGAATTCTGGGCCGCAACCTGGGATTATGTCGGAATTCAATGCGACCGCCGCTTCGATCGCGTTCTGTCCGATCCGAAAGGCCAGGCAGCTTCTCTCCCGAGGTGGTTCGAGGGAGCAAGGTTTAGCGTGGCTGAAAATGTCCTCTTTCCAATCCATCCCGACGTTGAAGAAAGCCGTCGGCAGTCCAAGTACGATTGGCCGAGAAACGAAGAGACGGCGCTGGAGGAAGTAGATGAAGCTGTCCGAGATGGACGAGATGGATCTCGCAAGACAACATGGGGCACTCTTCGCCAGAACGCCTTCCACCTGACGTGGGCCTTGCGGCGCAACGGGATCGGTGTCGGAGATGTGGTTGCTTGCATAAGTGCAAACAATGGCTTTGCCGTGACCCTAGGAATTGCTGTCAACGCTGTGGGCGCCATCTTTTCTTTGTGCGCGACCGATGACGGGGTTCTTTCGCTCCAGCGAAAGCTCTCACAGGTCGCACCCAAGGTCATCTTCGCACAAGATCGGGTAGTCTGGAAGGGAAGGGAGCACAACGTCGCCGCAAAAGCTGCCACAATCGTCAAGGAGTGGGACGACGGGCTCAGTGACCCTCCTCGTCTAATTACATTTTCCGGACGGTCTGACAGTGCCACTATGTCCGCCAACGAAGTGCACACGACAATGGCAGACTTCGTCTGCTCCGGGGAAGCCGCGCCCCCCTATTCCCGGAGTAATTTCGACTTTTGTCGACAGGGCGCCCAAAGTCCCCTCCAGATTTTCTTTAGCAGCGGAACGACGGGGGAGCCAAAGTGCATCGTGCATTCCCAGTGCGTCGCCCTCAACCTCAAAAAGGAGTGGCTTCTACAGTCAAACAGCTCGCCTCGCGACTCTTTCCTCCAGGTGACCACTTGCGGCTGGGTCATGTGGCTTTTCAACTATGCAAGCCTGCTCGTCGGTGGTACGGCGCTCCTCTATGATGGCAGTCCGCTTCACCCAGATCCCATGCACCTCGTCTCGCTCGTCGACGAGCTCGGCGCCAACGGGCTGGGCGTCAGTCCTCGATTTCTCAGCGAGCTCCAGGCCCATCGCTCCTCGCACGTATCACAGACGCCGTCATTTGCTCGGCTACGCCACGTGACGAGCTCGGGGGCTCCCTTATCGCCCGGAAACGTCGAGTTCTTCTATTCTTTCTTCCCTAGGGATGTCCGCATCGCCACGCTGTCGGGTGGAACGGACGTGGCAGGAACATTCTGCGGCCCGTCGGCTGATCTCGAGGTGCATGGTTCGTTTATGCAATGCAAGATGCTTGGCATGGACTTGCAGATCTGGCACCACATCACCGGCAAGAATGTAGAAAATACGGGTGCTGCAGGGGAGCTGATCGTCGTGAAACCTTTTCCGACACAGCCGGTGAGAAAAGCCGAGGTGGTTGTGTTTGTATCGTAGACTAACTGACACCTCGTTCTCGCTCTCTCTAGCTTTGCTTTCATGGACCGTCAAGCAAGACTGCTGAGCTCAAGGAGAAGTACATGAAGTCTTACTATTTGCGCTTTCCTGGGGAGAAAGTCTGGTGTCAAGGAGACTTTATCATGCGCCATCCGGTCCATGGCGGTCTCGAGATCCTCGGCAGGAGCGACGGGGTTCTGAATCCTGTGAGAAGCCGCAATCAGGGTCTGAGCACGAGTAGCACTGACGGGACAGAATCACTCGTCAACAGAGCGGAGTTCGTTTCGGGTCTGCAGAAATTTATACGGTGGTCGAAAAGCTGGTCTTCGTCGAGGATTGCATTGTCGTTGGGCAGCGTCGACCAAGCATCGACGAGGACGAGCGCGTGCTGCTGTTTGTCAAGTTGCGCAACGGCTATCTCTCATTATCGCAGATTCAAACGATCAAATCGGCCATCTCAGCGGCGTACACGCCACGCCATGTCCCTTTCGCAATCTTTCAAGTCGACGAAATCCCCGTTACTTTGAACGGAAAGAAGCCGGAAGTGGCTGTTAAGCAAATTGTCAACGGTGCTACAGATTTTGAACCGAGCAGCGTAAGTCCCACAGTCGCTCCGGCGTGCAAAGGTTGCGTCGCTGACATCTTGACAGAGCATTGCGAACCCCAAATCTCTTTTGCAATTCAGAAAGTATGCCGAGTTGGGCAAAAGCAGAGCGCCTATGTCATCCCTGTAGCAAGCTGTTCTGGTCAGCAGCTGTGCCTCTTTTCTCCGAGATTTGTCTTCTCAGCACGGTCTTCTCAACATGCAAGTAGCATTTGCATAATATCTCGTTCATCCTCCCCGCTCACAGTCTTTTCGCGGTCCGTTATTTCAAATTGTCAACAAACAGGGGTTTCTAGCACTCAGCTGGCGAACGACGCATCCCCGCCCTCGTAGATAACACAAATGTCGCTTTGTGATGATCGGTATCTGGATCAAAAAGACGAAATCAGGCTCTTGAGCTCGCTTACGCTGCTTCATCATTCTATTCTTGTAAAAACTGGCATTTGATAAGCGTGCTTACTTGTCTCGAGATCGACGATGCTGTGAGCTGAGTGTGTGGGTCGCGATGGAACATTAAGATTCTCTCTTCTCTTGCCGTCGCCTAGCTCCAAGGTTTGCAGCAAGTATTGAGGTCGATGAAGTTTTCGGCAGGCGCTCACATACTACTTGACGCCTTGTTGTACTTCGTCATGCTGCCGCTGAACTCTTCATACCTTTCGAGGCTCATGTATGAAGAAGGTTACTTCTCTTTTCCTGCCTTACCAGGTCAAAGTCCGCGAAGACTACTCTGATGTCACCTTGTTGGTTTGAAAGGTTTCGCTGCTTGACATTTCCATGGAAGACGTTCCTTGAACTGTTCGATGTCTTTGAACATTCAAATGAACAATGTCTCTATGATTCGATGGAACAGTCCTGATTCTCTCGCAATCGCTGATATCCGTCTGCGATATGTCTGCGAGATGTGCATTGAGGCCAGAACGCTCAAGCCTCGAAATGGTGGCCATTGCTTTACCGCAACTGCGATGAATGATTGCTCTCACGGCAGTGCTTGACTAGACATATTGTAAAGCCTCGTATTAGAAGGAAAGAAAAAGAGAAAGAAAAAAGAGAAAGAAAAAGTTGACCTGATTGAAAGCCTAGTCCTGTGTCACTTAGAATGGAGAGACAACGGCACATCTTTGCGCCTGAAAAGACCTTCTTTGTGCCTGGCAAAGTTGCCCACGACATGGCGGAGCAGTTGACGGGAGGAGTTTTGTTAGCCTCAGAATCAGAGTCGTATGCAGAGGATGCATCCGGATTTCTCCTCTTCGAGAGCCGAGGTTCTTTTAGCAAGGTGGCTTGGTCCATCCACTAGGAAGGCCGATCGACGGAAGTGTAGGAACTGATATAAGCTATTTGTGAACTAAGGACATATCAATACATACTGTAGATAATAAAATTGGAAGGTTCCCAAAATTACGCTGCCCCGAAGCTCTTCAAACTGTCGCAGAGCGTTACGCCTCACTACATTTGCTGAAAGAGCATCTTACGCGCCTCTGCCGCCTCGATAGAATCGCTTTTGGAGGCATTCGACGAGAAAAGACTCGTCGAAGGTGCGGGCAAATTGCTGCGATTGTGCTTCGCGAAAAGTGCAACAGCGTTCGCGCTGAGCTGCTCCGGAGACAATTGACTGCCCTCTGGCTCTTGTCGGACAAAGGTCGCATACCGCTTGAAACCGCGGTGTATAAAGGGTGTAGGCGCGTATGGAAAGTCGGTCCCAAAAAGTATGTGGTCAGCGGTGGTTGTTGCCAAAAGTGCTTTCAGCTGTGCAGGGCTCGTGGCTAGGGCCACATCGTAGTAAAATCGCGACGCAAGGGCTCTTCTGCAGGACGGTAACGCGTCAGACAGATCCACAGGGAAAGGATTGGAGCCAACTTAGCTCACCCCTCTTCTGCATCGATACCTGCTGCCGCAGAGAGGGCGGGCACGGAAAGCGCGCCAAGAATCCTTTCGGCGAGAAAGGGGAAGGTGCCACCGGCGTGGCTAAGGATGATGTCCACCTGCGCGCACGACTTCAGCACCCCACCATATATAAGAGAAGCCACGGCCCGCGTGGTGGCTTGCGGGAAATCGACCACTGGTTGGGGAAGAAAGTCGGAGATTTGGGTAGGCTTTCTGTGCACAAGTAAGTGATTAAGCTACGTGCAAAATATCGATGTAATAACCTTCACCCACAGAACCATGTCGGTTGGGTGCAAAAGCACCAGAGCTCGTTCTTCATTCAATGCATCCCAAATGGGCTTAAAAGCTGCGTCACCAGCGAGCTTGTTTCCATATGAAGACATGGCGATCACGCCACGAGCTTGGGCTTGAGCTTGAGCTTGCGCCGAGCCAAAGATCCGCTTGATCTCTATCAATGTGCCCTCAACATCGTTCCAATCAGGTAACGAAGCAAAAAAGCCAAATCGCCCATCGCTTGAAAGGCATATTTCCGCAACCTCTTCGTTCATTGTCCGAGCTAGGTCCCGTCCAGCTGCAGTGGGTCCGAAGAGTGAAGCACCAGGGGCAGTCACTGAGAGCACGGCAAAAGAGGTCTGTACCGAGTCGCAAAAATCTTTGCACTCATCCGATGTCCACGACGGCACCGGCCAACCCGTAGGATCACCCCCATTAGCTTGCAGAGCCTTCTGGAAGCTGGGAGGAAGCACATGGATGCTTTTTGTAGCAAGAGTCAGAGGAGGCTCAGAGTCTGACGCGCGAGAGATCCATCGACGTACTGCACATCGATATTGGCGTTGTTGCGGAGTGTCATTTTTGTGAAGGCAGAGTTGAAGGAAGTGGACGAGGTCGAAAACGGAAAGAGGAATGGCAGCTCGAAAAAAATACTCCAATAAATGGATGAAGTTTCATGGAAGTCAGTGAGATTGGCTCTTTGCAGGGTGCCGGTGGGACCGGAGATAGGTGTGAATATCCGCGGATCGTTCCCGCGGTTTGGTGGTTCCGCCCTAGCGACGAAGTTACACTACGCCATTGAATAAATTTTCCAAGTCTTCCTGCCGTTGCCTTTGGGAGCAAAGGGCATTTACGGCGTTAACGGGCGTATTAGAAGAGTTCTTTGGTGTGTCCCCATGTGGCGTTGACGTCCCCGCATTCTCTCCTCGTATCTCTTCTGCGCTGGTGTAAAGGCAAAAGGACACGATAAACGAGACGCCCGGTCATCTCTTTCCTCATTCGCATTCCACCCAGAAAGATGCTCGTGGCAAAACTTCCCCACTTGAAAGAATTCCCACCCTTTTTACCCCACGTTCATCCCCGCAAAAATTTAATGGCTGTGGCTATGAAACGCTAGCAGCCGCTGGTGGTACCCTCTTCGAAAGAGTTTTCGGACCTCTATTGCAGGTGGGGGCTCGGGCGGGCACATGATTCGAAACAGTTCCAACTTGTCCAGAGTTCTGAAGCTCAGAGAATTCAACCCTTTTATAAGACACGAAAATGCGGCCAGATAGCCAACGTGAAGCAACCTGGGAGCATCGTGTCAAGTCAGTCAATTCAAGGCTTACGATACGATGAAAGTTTGTCCTCTTTTGCTTTTGTCATCACTCTGTTCGCTGTGTCGAGTTGCGGCTTCCCCCATCGGCGACATTGTCAACACACGCTACGGTTCGATTCGGGGAAACGCTCCTGATGCGAAAGGGATCCGATCATTCAAAGGCATCCCTTTCGCGGAGCCTCCTGTCGGCAACCTACGATGGCAATCTCCACGCAGCCCACAGCTGTGGAACACAACGCTCGACACCACCAAGTTCGGCCAGTCTTGCTGGAGTTTCCTCACACTGGTTCCTCCTCCTACTGTTGAAAGCGAGGACTGCCTGACGGTGAATGTTTGGTCGCCTGCAACAGACACGCAAGACAACTTGCCAGTGATGGTATGGATCTATGGTGGCGGCTTCCAATTCGGCTCAACTGCAGAAGCGCGGTACGATGGATCAGGTCTCGCTTCAAAAGACGTTGTGCTGGTCAGCCTCAACTACCGCATGGGGCTCTTCGGCTTCCTCGCACTGTCCGAGCTCGACAAGGAAGGCTCAAGCTCTGGAAACTACGGTCTGCAAGACCAGCTGTTCGGCCTTCAGTGGGTCAAGGAGAACATAGCCCTTTTTGGTGGCGATCCCAGCAAGGTGACCATCTTCGGAGAATCAGCTGGTGCTCATGCTGTCGGCCTACTAGTGAGCTCTCCGGAAAGCAAAGGTCTGATCTCGGGAGCTATTCTGGAGAGCGGAGCTTTCTGGGATTCCGTTTCGGGCTCCTTGCGAACACCGGCAGAAGCACGGGCGTTTGGTCAAGACTTTCTCCAGCGGATGGCCGTCTCCAGTGTTGCTCAGCTTCGCGTCATGTCAGCCCAGACGCTAGTCACTGCGGGGCAGTGGACGCCCACAACGGATCCAGTCATAAGCGCCTTCTCTCCCAGCATTGACGGCTTTGTTCTTCCGACTACGCCGGCAGAAGCATTTGCGACAGGTCATCAGGCACTGGTCTCTCTCCTTGCAGGCTGGAACGGAGCCGAGTACAATGCCTTTGTGCCGTTCGAGCTGCCTCACTTGACGGCACAGCTGTTCGAACAGGCCGCTATGGTGCCATTTGGGAGCGACCTCGGGCAATTTAAGGAGCTGTACCCCGATGCCACCATCGAGCAGCTCAACAGCTCCGCCGAAACGCTCTGCAGCGACACGGTCATCCGGCAGCAGACGTGGGATGCAGTTGACAAACAATCCCGTCACGTCCCATCTACGTATGCCTATTTCTACACCTACGCCTCTCCATACTCGCCGGTCCCTGGTCACACGGCCGAGATTCCCTTTGTCTTCGGCACTCTGAACTCGACCACCGTTGCTGGAGGCTCAGGCGTTCCCACAGCAGCCGATGAAAAGATCTCTGACACAATCATGACGTACTGGACCAACTTTGCCAAGACCGGTGACCCCAATGGCCCCGGCCTCGCGACCTGGCCAAAGTACACGAGTGAGGCGCACGAGGTGATTATGCTGGCGAACGTCGTCTCTGCGGGAGTCTACTCTCTGGACCGCTTCCAATTTATTGAGAAGTACCGCCTCAGTAACGGATCTTTCCCTCATCGCTGGCGCAATGTGCAGATTCAGGGCAGTCTTCCCTCCGACTGAGCGCAACCACATGCTCCTTGTCACACACATCCTCATTGCAGTGATGAGGGGAGGTCATTCTGTTGTGGAGCGAGAGGAATTCCTGCTAAATGCTTCGTGAACCGCAAGGATTCGCCTTGGGTTCCTTATTTCTTATCCGCTTCGTTACGATCAATATGGTGTTGATGATTTCAATTCATTTGTCTTTGGGTTGAGATCAAGCGCGTGGATCGATTGTTCATTAATCAAAGTCGCGTCTACATATAGGCCCGAAGGCTCTTACCATTCTCGGCGTCTCATTCCTGCTTTGCTTTCTTCCCTCCTCTCCTAGGCACACGTTCGCAGATAATGCTTCATATTCCGAACCCGGCTATTTATTCTCGCGTATGGATGGGGGACCGCTCGTGCCTGAGTCCAAGCGCTTTCTAGCACGCCTTCGTGCGCTTCCATGCGCTGAACAAGGCCGAATTTGTCATTTATCACAGGGACAGAAGACAGAGAAAGGTGAACAGTGCCTGAAGACCTATTTGGACTATTGCGAGCAAGAATCATGAGTCTCTTCGTGTGACCGTCCTCCCTCTAAAAAGGAGGAAAGTACAGAGGAGGAGACCCAAGAAGACGGATAGGACAGCCTGGACTACATAGGCTTTCGTGAAGCCTGAAAAAGCCCAGCCAGGGAGAAAAAAGGGGCAGGCAAAGGCAAACGTGTTCTTTGCAAAGTTGAAAATGGCCATGCACTCGATCGTTGCTTCCACTGAGGTGCCAAGTAAGTGTTTGAAAAGTGACAGGAGGGATGAGCATCGAGAGGGAAACTGGTGGAGTTACCATAGTACTCACAGTTGCACTCGATCATGTAAGTCTGCAAGATTCCGAGAGCGGCCACGAGAGAAAATGCGCTGAGAGAAAAGCAAAGGGAGGATGAGCCACACCTGCAACGTAAATGTGCGAGCCGTTCACTCACAGGACTCCAAAACCAGCAATGATGGGCGCAGGCCAAGGCCAGTGATTTTGTAAGCCAATTCCGAAAATGAGAAGACCGAGCCCGTAGAGCAAAAAGTGAGGAACGCAAGCCCAAAGACGTTGCTCGCGAATGTACTGTCCGCTTTGCCTTTGCTTATAGATCGCATAGACATCGGCCAAGTATCCGCCAGCGAATTTACCTATGACGAGTCCCACGACACCTGCACCAGAGAAACCGCCGACTGCTAGCTTCGAATAATTGTAGGGTGGTAGTTCGTAAACCTCGGGAACTGCACGAGGTCCAAAGGGAGAAAGTCAGCGCTCGCACGTCCTTGAACTCAAGCTCAGGACCTACCGATCAGTGTGACACCGACGGCCCATCCAAAGAGCATGGCGCAGTAGAGCGACACGAGCACGACGGTAGGGTCGAGGAGCATGCGAAGAGGGCGAATCGCTTGGCGCAAAAACACGCGGGAATTCTTCGCGATCGCAACCATGACTCGCTCTTTCCGAGATGGGGCCGTGTGGTCTGCGCTCACGCTGGTTGTCTGGCAGGACGGCTCGAACATTGACTTCTCTTCGAAGACGTTTTCCGCATCGAAGTGCTTCGTCTCCGTATCTCGAATTCGTGCCTTTGCCACCGTCGATCGAGGGAGAAAAATCCAGAGGAGGAAACCATTGAATCCGACCAGGATAATCGTAAAGTAGTATAACCACCTCCAGCCGACTCTGGTGAGGAACGCAGCGCCAATTACCGGTGATCCAGTTGCCGCGCCTGTGCGTGAGAGACAGCGCATTGCAGGGAAATAAGTGATGTGCCAAAGTCCAAGGGCGAGGGGGGGGGAGGGGTGAAAGCAAGATCCTCAAAGAGGGACTTACCAATCATAAAGAGAGTCCAGCAAGCTACAGCCGAGCCTCTCCAGCGCTCCGCAATCCTCTCAGCAATAAATATGGCTGGTAGCGATTGGGCCACGCCTCCAGTGAACGCAGCAAAGAAGCGCGCGGCAGAGAAGCTGGCGTAGGATGTCGACAACGCAATCCAGATGCTATGAAGAAATTTTGAAAGCTAGTCAAAATCGTGCCGAGTACTTCTGGCTACAGTCACGTACGTCATTAGAAGGAAAAGGAACCAGGCCAACAGATATGTAGTCCGCTTTCCAATCACCGCACTCAGCGGATTCCAGAGAAAGGGCGCGGTGCCAAGTCCCAAAAGACCAAAGCCAATCGTGTCGGCCGACGCTTTCAGGGACACATGAAACGCTTCTGCCACCTCGAAGAGGGCCTGCACAAGGGATTGCACGGTCAATAAGGAAGAAGGGGACGCGACCCCCTTTCGTCATGTCCACTCACAATGAGGTGAGCGGCGGCGACGTAATTTGCGCTGAATGCCGACAAGGACAAGGTCAGCATCAAGGCGACCTGCCTGAAGGGCGACAAAAGCAGTCCGCTGGAAGTCATGACGAAAGGGGACGAGGGGAAGCTGCGTCGATTTAGTGGCCATTTTTGGCTTTTTCTATGTAAGAGCCCCCCCTCTCCCCTTTTTTTGTGGCGAGACGATTGCGTTCCTAAACATCTCTGGTCTTTCGCGGAGACGTTTTGAGCTGGTACTGCCCGCCCGGAAGCTGGTGGGACCACCTCTCCGGAGTGGTGTCAACTAAACTGGCAGCCAGAGACTCACGCGGGCCACCCACCCGTCTCGTCTATTATGATGCGTCGCCCACGCTCACGTGTTTTATCTGGTGGTACCCCTAGTAAGCCCGCTTCGCTGCCTTTTTACGCATCGGCTACTCGTTGTCCAATATTGCATAAGTCTCCTCTCCTACCCCGGGTAATCAGTGAGAAGCGGCTGCATTTGTGGGGTATGTGTGTTTGTTGTCTGTGTCTGTGTGTATGTGTATGTGCGTGTCTTTGGCGGTGAGAAGAGACGTTTCAACAACTCTTCACCTCTGAATTACATCCTACTTGCATCTTTTAACGCATCTACCAAATAAGGATTGAGCAGGAAGGCAGGTCTCTGAAGTGAGCCTTGACCTCTTCCGAGCATGGTAGCATATTTCTGATATCTGCACTGTCTCTTCCTCGCAGTGGCTACTATCCTGAGGCGCCCACACGTTTGTTGACTGATGGCTCGAACGACGTTCCATTAAATAAATTCTCCATCAGAATGTTGTAGAAGGTGAGAAAGCCCAAGCTCTTCAACCACTAAGAGCTGTACAAACGCAAGTACAAGTCACTTGCTACCTCCTCGAGCTCATTGCGATCTCTTGCAAATGCATAGACATACGAATCTGGTCGAATGAGCACGTGTTTTGCCCCTCCCTTGTCTTGAAGCCATTCGCCGTATGCCGACCGGTCGCTCTCGCTCACTACAACCTCTTCAATGTCCAGCTTACCAAAGACAGACGCAGCAAGGGGCGCAGACTGCGGCGCAAAATGCAACAGGCGCCATGAAAAGCGCTCCTCTGCGCCGCTCAATTGCACCTTTTGGGCTCCTCGTCGAAGCTCCGGACAGCTTCCGTGTCGTGAACGATCGAAAAAGCCGTCACCGCTCAGTGGAAAGGACATGAGTGGTTCCGACGCTCCCTGTTTCGACTTGTAGGCCTCCTTCATGGCCTTGTTCTGTGGTAAGGTTGTCAATAAATTCGTCCAGCCTCACAAGCCCTCCTCGTTCGAACGCACCATTTTCTCGCTGATGCCGGCGTCGGTCTCACAGATTGGCTGACCGAGCTCGATGGCTTTCTTAATCATTTGTTCCACATGGTGTCTGCGCTCAACCGTGTAGGAGGCGAGCAGGTCGGTAGATTGGCATCCGCGCAAGTGCGCAATAAGGCGCCATGCCAGCGCTCCAGCGTCGCGAATGCCTGAATTGAGTCCTTGCCCGATGAACGGAGGCATCTGATGAGCTCTGCAATGAACTTTCAGCTCGTGCTAGGTGCAGTGAGGGCATTTTCAAAAACTGACGAGTCTCCAATCAAGAAAACAGAGTTCCTCGCGGTAGAATATGTACGTGCGCTGTTGTCACATGTTGGAGACCGAGACGGTCAGTGCGCCATCGAGAACGAGAAGAGCTTCAGCGAATGCAACTCACTTGAGGCTTCGAAACGTGTATACCACTGCTCTCTCGATCTCGCAGTTGGTTTCATCAAGGCCATATGGTGCAAGAGAAGCCCACACATTTTTGTGGCTTGTGAGCTCCGACGTAGTCTCGTGCGGAAGGCGCATGAACTCCCACCGGTGGCGATCGCCGCCGCCACCAATCACTGTCGTTGGGCGCTCTGGATCGCAGATTTGTGACCATGGCCAATCGCTTCCGGCTGTCTTGGACGGAAGCTGCACCAGGGTAGAGGGGCAGGGTCAGGGAAGCCGACATTCACACTGCCAAGATACGTACCGTGTCGAGGATGAGCCAGTCGGATCGCAATCCGTAGTCTTCACGATCAATTCCAAAGTGCTCGCGGACCGAGCTATTCGCGCCGTCTGCGGCGACGAGAAAATTGGAGTGGACCTGCACGCCGGCGTTGTAGCAAATTTGCTTCTCCGTCTTGTAGCGGGTAAAGAAAATCGTCATGCGGCCATCTACTTCCTGGACGGCGTCCTGAAACTCCCAGCCTCGATAGATGGGCACACCTGCGTGCTCGCAATACAGTGCGATAGCAGCTTCCAGGTTCGGCTGGCTAAAAAGACTGGCGTTGGGCAGACCGGTCGGACCAGGCTGAGCCATGTTCAGTCGGACAAGTGGATTTTGCTGCTTGTCTCGCCAGATAAAGTCCTCCTGCGAATGATGCTTAAGTACGTGGCGTTGCACTTCGACACCAAGACCGGCTGCAAGTAAGAGACGAATAGAATCGTCGGCGAGCGCCACTGCTCGAGGTAAGGGATATACAGAAGCTTGCCGCTCGTAGATGTGAACGAGGATGCCCTGCTTGCGAAGGAGAAGAGCGGCGACCATGCCCACTATGCCAGCTCCCACAATGCAAATATCGCACTCCCGCTTCAACTTTGCTTCTCGTCGGCCTCCATGAATGCCTTTTGTCGTCCCAGAAAACCTTGCGGTGACTTCGCTTGCGTTGTCATTCTCGTGAGCTGTGCGCCCATTTGGCAAGCTCATCGCAACGGCAGTCTCGATCAGTATGGACACTGGGCTGGAACTGTGCAAGAGAAGGAGCAACGAGGGGGGTTGCAAGGCCTTTATCTCGAGGTCAAGCGATGGAGAGATCCCAAGGGCGAGATTTCGGAGTACCACCATCGCGTCCGATGGTGGTACCGCTTGTTAATCAAGAGCGTGCGCGTTCTGCTAGGGAGATTTTATCTATTTGTCTATTTACTTTTAGCTCATTGAGTGTCGGAGTGGGGAAATGCGTCTGTGTCCCCTGTTTAAGCTTACTACTACTATACACCGATTAGATTGACAGTTCCGAAAATTGTGTCAGACAGTACCACCACAAGACCTCACGCGGTGGTCCTTTTCCCCCGTTGCAGCTGCTCTTGCGCCCAACATTCGGAGGACGAAAGAGCTCTCTTCAACCAGGGCAAATCGTGTCCGGCACGGATAGCCCCTCGCTGCGTGATATATGACGTAACGTCTCATAGCGTCAGGACAACGTGGCGAAGGCAACAACGTCCACATAGCGATGCATAGCGAGCGAGAAATCGCTGCGCTCTCTCGCGCGATCTAGCCGCCGTTGAACACGCCGATGCTGAAGTGCTGCAGATGTGGAAAGCAAAGTGGCAAATTCTCTGGTTATGCTTTTGCACGTGTCCTTGCCTTTTCGGCAATCTTTACACAGAGAGAGGAAAAGCTGTGCCAAGCTATACCTCTCCAGCTCGGTCGAAGCAAGCGTGGACTGATGCTAGGGCTTATATCTCCTACAAACAATAAAAAGAGTGAAGATTCGACAGAAGTAGAAACAGTTTCATTTTTTTTTACTAATACGCTTTTAGAACGAAAGCAGCTAGGAACAGCACTGTGACAATTAGAGATCGGTTCCACATTACCCCGCATAGTATTCGTTGCCCATCCCCTTCCACCGCTCCACCACTACGATCCGATCTGAGAAGGGTGCCTACAGATGGGCGACTTCGCAGATGAGGATGGGTTTGGATAAGTGCAAGTTTGCATGCGACGAGCGAGGATGCAGCTACGCTAGTCTCAAGCGGGCGCACCTTGAGCGACATCGGCGTACTCACACGCAGGAGCGAGCCTTCCTCTGTGCGTACTGCGGAAAGGCGTTCGCACGCGCTGACAGCCGCAACCGGCATATCACACGATGGCATATGCAGGCCGAGATGGCAGGAGCCGATAACGCAGCAAGATCCTTAGTTGACGAAAACGAGGCGCACACGAATGAACCGACGACTAACAATCACAGATCGTTCATCACGGAGCAGAGGCATCACGAAGTCGACGATCCCTGCGCAACCCCTTCTTGGGCTTCCGCTTCAGCTGCATCTCAGTCTGTGGGCTCTAGCCGCGGCACACATCCGAGCCATTCACTTGTCAGCGGTCTAGAAATTGACCTTGAACACGAGGCCTCGAGTGGGCTCGAGACGCGCTCACAGGACCTGCCCGAAGCAGCCTCGACTTATCCTCTCAGCGAAACGGTTTTCGCCAATGTTTTCTGGGACATGCTGCGCTCCTCTTTGGGCGATGGCGCCAATGATCTCGGTAGCACAGGCCTAGAAATGACGAATCAGAGTGAGTCGAGAGACTCGGGAAAGCTTGCGTAAATTGAACGAATCGACAAACCTTATCAACGACCTTCAGGCGAATCAACAGCAATGGCCGCTCTCGAGACATCTTCTCCCGGCATCTGTGCGCCGCTGCTCAGCGTGCAGGATATAGAAAGGGCAACACCGACCTTACGCAGCTCACGGTGCGTCACGCCGTGGGAGCTGCGCGAGGTAGACGAAGCACCCAACATGATATTGAGTCGGATGCAGCGCGACATTCACGCGCTTGTTCGACGTATCAAACCGCCGGAAGCACCAAGCAAGGCGCTTGCCGATGCCTGCCTTTGGCTGTGCCAGCGATTCTTCTTTTCCCATGCCCACTATCCAGTGAAAAGCGAGCCACTGAGACATTATGCGTCACGGCCGTCGATGCTCATGAACCTCATCGCCATCGGGTCTCTATGGAATGCCGACGAGCGCGTTTATGATCATGGGCGCCAGCTGTGGCTCTTTACCGTTCGTGCAGCCTCATCGCGGGGCACCTGCCTCTCGCTCGACGATGCGAGTGTGGCCGATCTTATGTCGCTCCTCTACGTCGGCCACTCCTATGTGCTCTTATCGGGCGACGCCATGGTCCACTCGTTGGGACGACGCGCCTGGATTTCGACGCATAGGATGCTCGAGGAGAGGCTCTCGGTCGTTCCTGCAGACCCTCCATCGCTCGACGATCTTTTGGCGATGAGTGCAGAGAGTCTGGACGAGGCCTGGCATAAGTGGCAGAGGGAAGAGGAGAGCATCAGGACTACGATCGGCCTCTGCGCATACGACAGTCAGCAGTCCCTCAGCATGTTCCGCACGCCTTCCCCCCTCACCGTACTCTTACAGACACGCTTACCAATGCCGGACGAGCTCCTAGCTGCAGCGAGCGCCCAGTCTTGGCTCACCACTTATGCGCGTTTCTTTCCCTCTTTCCAACGCCTTTGCACCCCTCCATGCTTTGGTCCATTGCTTTTGGAGCTGCACAGGTGTGACAACGGCCTTTTCCGTTTCGAGGAACACATCGAAAGGATGGCGTGGCCAGGGATTCCACTGTCGGAACAGATCTTAGCTACGCTCTTAGAGGCCATTCACGTTGCGTGGAGGCTCGAAACGGACAGCAACGGAAAAACGTCCGACTTCAACTCGACATCGAGCTTGGCCCGATCTGAGGATGGTCCATCGTGTCGCACAACAGTTGCACTCCGAAGGTGGGCCAACCTTGTGAAGCGCGTCCCGAAGGCTTCCTCGGATAAGCGCTTCTTTCTCACGGAGCGATGGCACGGCATCCATCTCAACATGAGCTTCTCCGGCTCACGGACCGTTGCACTTTTGCGGTCGCTGCCGCAGCGTGTCCGGGACAGTAGGCCGCGGTACAGAGGCGATGCAGACTATCCAGCGCGAACGAGCATCGCGGCCTTTCGTCAAGAGCTTCTTCCGTCGCGCACCGTCCGACAAGCGCTGTATCACGCAGGCTGCATTCTTGCTCGCTTTACGCAGCTGAGCAGAAGCGCCTCGTATCCGACTTACGTCGTCCAGGGCGCTTTTGAAAGCGCCATGTTCGTAGTATTGTGCTGTCTAGCGCTGCAAGGCATGGCGCTTTCCACTTCACCGTTCGAGATTGCGAATCTGGGGAGCAGCAGCGAGCTCGAGGTTTTGTGCAGCAAGCATGTAGCCGTGGGCGAGGAGCCTTGTTCGACATGTGGAGAGCGTCAATCATCGACGCCTTACGGGGACCGCGCAGCAAGCTGGATCAACGACGGTGACGTGAAACAGGCCTGCTTTCAGGGCCTTGCACTCGTCGAAAACGGTCATTTGATCCTGCAGCTGATTCTTGATCTCCTTGATTCTTCCAAGCCAAAATGGTGCTACGCTCTTGACTGTACCGATCTTCTGCAGTCTTGCCAGGAGCATATCTAGGCAAAACGGTCAGCAAACAATGTACAGTACGACAATAAGTCCATCCATACGGGGCCTTCTTCTCAAGCTCTCCCACAAAACAATCACTTCAGTGGTCGTGGCAGAAAACGGGCCGTGGTGATGGATTCTGCTTTGTATGGGAAGACATCGTGCATACGAGGCCGGACGAAGCCAACGAAGACATGCACGAAATTTGCTCGTGACGTAAGCTCATGCACCGCTGCTTACATCGATCGGGATTAAGAGGCATGCAGGCCACTTTCGGTGGGACGCTTGTTTATTGAAAGTCTTGTCGCCCACGCATGCAGGAGCTTTGCCCATCTCGACATCCATTGTCTCCCAACTCCACCAACGCTTCCCCCCATCTGGTTACACATCTATCTCCCATCTCAGCACAGCAATGAGTCTAGAAGACAAATCCGAGCTGTCGTCCCTCATCAATGCCTGGAGATATCGAGATCTTGGTCAGTGGGACAAACTTGCCGACGCTTTCCACCCAGACGGCCGTGTCGAAATCACCTGGTTCGAAGGCCGATTCCAAGACTTCATCGAGGGCTCAAAGCAGATGGGCAAGTCGAGCACGCGCACGAAACATATCATCGCGACACCACATATCCAATTTCGAGGCTCGCGCGCGGTGGTGGAGACGAATGCCACGATTGTAGCGCAGCATCTGGATTTGCATCTCGGGTGCGACCAGCATTGTCGGTTCTTTGATTGGGTAGAGAAGCGTGACGGATGCTGGAAGCTGGTCAAGAAGCAGTGCATCTACGACATGGGCACCTTCACCTTCCCGCGTGGGCCCGTCGAAGTGGACGCAACAGTCCTTGAGCGGTATCCCTACGAATATGGCCCATTGGCCTATTTGTTGGAAAAGACTGGTTACACTTTGCGACGTGTTTTCGCTACACGAGGGAGCGACCTTGAGCGCACGATGAAAGAAGAGGGTGCAAGATGGCTTGCGGGGCCCTGATTTGCCGTCTCTTGGCCGGGATTCGTGCACGACTGACATCTTTACCCACTTCGACATGCGCTCCCCCATGGATCATCAGCACAAGTGAAATTGTGGGAGCGATACCTCTACGGCTCCAGCCTAGAAAGCTCGCTTGCAAATCTTGTAGCTTTACACTAACTTAGCCCAATTAAAAGCTTTCAAGGCGATCCGTGCGCGCTCTGGCTAGCGCGTCCCACCAAGCGTCCCGCATTTGCGGTGGGGCGGGCGTTTGCATTCGTTTCCACCAAAAAAAAAAAACATGCTTTTCTGGCACGGCGAGAACTGCACACAGCAGCTGCATTTCGTATATAAAGCTGTGGGCTGCTTCGTGCAAGACAAGAAACCTCGTAATCCACAATGATAGACGACAGACGAGTGCACCTGGTGCGCATAGCTCACATTCATTATCGTCACCATGATCTTGCCAAAGCGACGCAGTTCCTGGAGGACTTTGGCATGACGCAGGTCAGCACCGTAGACAATCGACGCTATTTCCGAGGCTACGGCGAGCTGCCCTTCATCTACGTCGCCGAGCAAACAGAGACGGAGCGGGCCGAATTTGTGCGGGTGGCGTTCGAGGCCAAAGACGAAAGCAGCTTAAAGCGTGCATCGGAACTGCCGGGTGCGACGCCGATCATGGAGCTACAAAGCCCAGGCGGAGGACGAGGAACCTCGTTGCGTGATCCAAGTGGCATCCAAATTGATGTCATCTTGGGTCAGCAATACGTCCCTGTCGAGCTGCCTAGAAAGCGCACCCAGGCCTTCAATCGTGGTGGCCCATCTGCAGAGGAAAAGCCAAGAGCTGCGGGCAACTTTCAGCGCTTCAACAGGGAAGAGGTGGTGCGCGTGCACAAATTGGGACATTTCGTCCTTCAAGTTGCAGACTATGCGAGGTGGGTCTGAATCAACTAGCGCATTTTTTACTTGGCGATTTCTAATGTTGTGTCTTATGTCAAATTAGCTCGCGAAAGTTCTATACCGAAACACTTAATTTCGCTCCAAGTGACATCCTCCAGATTGGTGAGATGGAAGCCGGCGCTTTCCTGCACCTAGATCTGGGCACGCGATCTACAGACCATCGTGAGTGTGGATGAGCAATCTGTCCGACGGTCAATCTCTTACCTTGCACTGCCGACGGCAGACACACTGTTCCTCCAAGCTCTACCCCCTGGCGCACATGGGCCATGCATTCACCACTCTGCGTACGAGGTGTACGACATTGACCAAGAGGTGCGTCCATCTGCCGCTCCCTGTTCTCGCAATTTCTTTGCTAAGATCGGCGTAATCGAATGACCAGTTCCTAGCGCATCAGCAACTTCAGTCCAAAGGCTACGAGCTGGCGTGGGGGATCGGCCGCCATATTCTTGGTAGCCAATTGTTCGACTACTGGCACCAAACGTCCGATAATTTCAATCTCGAGCACTACGCAGACGGTGATCTAGTCAATGCCGCGACGCCTGTTGGAAGACATCAGATCACGCCAGGCGCACCGGTCGAGCAAGAGCTGTCGGTCTGGGGACCCGCCTTTGGAAAGAGTTTCCTGTCAAGTGGGGAAATATCCTTGCAGTAGTAGGATGCCGAACGGTCTTCTTGGTCTTGGTGGAAGTGAAGCTCTGTGTTTGTGTATCTCCGTTATCGTGAAAGACACTGTTAGCGAAGTGTCTTTGAAGAATAATATTCGGATTTGCTGATGAGCGGTCTGTGTGTAGAATGTGGCGCAAAGGATTGTGTAACGAAGCAGTTGATGAGATATAATTTGTGAGGGAGAGAAGGGAACTAACATGAGAATCTCTCGCAAGTTGCGGGCGTCGAAATTCCTACTTTCTTACGTTAATATTGTGATTTCAATTGATACAAGGGCATTATCAACTGCCGTCGACAACTCGCCGCCTGACAGAACAACTGGACCGCACGTTGGCGCAGTCATAATTTGCACGCTTTGACGCATACATGATACATACAGGTGAGCGATATCTACTGTGCCTTTCTTGGAGCAATCTCGAGAACACATTTTCCCGATGAAGGCAGAGTAAAGAAACCCTCGACCATGCTCATTGATTCGGGCGTCGTTTCAGGAGGCACGTCCAGCCAATATCGTCTCAAGACGGTGGCTGCGACGATGTAGATCTCGGACCACGCCAAGCTCATGCCCACGCAGTTGCGCTGTCCCAGGCTGAACGGCATCCACGCTTGCTTCATGTCCTCGGTCACGTCACTGAGCCAACGTTCGGGGCGAAACTCATACGGTTCGTCAAAGACGTCGGCGTGCGTTTGAGTACGTGCGACTGACGATGAGACGACCACGCCAGATGGTACAAAAAGTGACGACTTTGGTGAGCCAAGCGTTAGCCCCCTCTCGGGTGCCAGGCGCGGCAAAACACCCGGCACGGGCGGATGAAGGCGAAGAGTCTCTTTGATGCACGCGTTGAACAGGGACAGCTTCTCAACGTCTTCTCGAGTAATTCTCTCGTCGGACCCAGTTGCGGTAGCAGTCGAGAGCTCATCGAAGAGCTGCTGCTGCAGGTGTGGCCGAAGGGCAATTTCGTAAAAGAGGTAGAGGAGCGTGGTTGAAGAAGTATCGGAGCCTGCAATCATGAAGGCAGACACTTCCTTGATCAACGACTCTTCATCCGAGAAAAGAGGCGCAAGGACGTGAGGCGCCATGACAAAATCTGGCGTGACGGAGAGGTCATAGGTGCGGATGCCTTTAGCACCCAGCTGCAAAGGGGATTGTCTTAAGCTAGAGAAGATACTGCATGAATGGGCTGATGACCGCCAGACGCACCATCAAAAGCTTTTGCAGCGAGCTATGAAGCCTTCGTAACGTGGGGAAAGGCGATAGAAGGCAAATCGTGCGAAATCCCGGAATCACGCTCGAGAGGACGCCAAATCGCATTGAATCGAATATGGTCTGTGTAAGCGTGCCAAATTGTCCTGTGGCCAGCTGTCCAAAGTCGTGTCCAAAGGATGCTTCGGAGATTATGTCAAAAGCAAGAAGACGCAGCCAAAGCAGCATGTCTACTTTTTGCCCCGGCACGCCTTCGATGCCCTTGATGAAGATATCCAAGTGCCTGTGGATGAGCGACTCCAGCTTGTTGAGGTTGTCCTTTGCCATGATCTTCAGCAGCGGCTTGCGAATGCGTCCTGCACTCTTGACGTCTTTGAGCTGAAGCAGGTGTTTGTGCCCGGCACCAAAGCCAACCGTGTCGTAGAAGGGTGCCTTGATCAGCGAATTTGAGCTGTAGATGGTTTTGGCGCCAAGCCCCGAGCACGTAACGACGAATCGTGGCTCTAGTAGCACCACGTCACCATACCGATTGTGCAGCCTATCAAGCCATTGGATCCGATCGCCGCGAATTACGTGCCAGATGTGTGGAAAGGACGTTACACGGTGTAGCAAAGGCCCGGGGATGTGGCGCAGATCGGCGAAAAAGAGTGTCTGGACGACCTGGTACAAAACAAATGCAGCAAAGAATGCCGCAGAGATTGCGGCATAGCTGACTTGGTGAAAGAGAACGTCGATGAGGTCCAACATTGGAGTTGCGAAGTGGGTGGATTGACACTGGTCACTATTACGTTCTAGCATGGGTCATATATGAAGTAACTTCGGTGAGATGAGAATATCCCCACACTTGGTGCTACAACTATTTCACTTACAGCAGTATCAAAACATGCGTCCTGACCACCAAGGTTGCACCAGTCGAAGATTAGCGCAAGAGCGCCAAGTCTATGGAGCATAGCAGTGCTTACTGTTTTGCCTAACACCGATGAAAATTTGGTTGCCACCACCACTGGTACCCGGACCACCGGGCGGGCACTAGCGCTTGTGGTTCCGAGGTCGTACGCCTAGAGCTCGGATTATTTACTTTTCAATATATATATGCCCGACACAAAGAAAATCCACACGATGAAACGCTCTTCAAATGAAGGTTTACTAAGTCCTGCAAATTGAGAATTCTCTCTTGGTGACATTTCGTAAAGGAAATGATGTCTAGAGAAGAAGTACTGTACAATCAATCATGGATGTGAACGACTTGCACGAGATGGCAACACGATGTTTATACCTTTTTAACTCATCGTCTCAATAATTTTATGACATCTGAGTTGAAAATTCGGGCGCAGCGGTAACCACGTGGTCACCAGAGGCGACCACGGCGGAGCGTACGATCATCGAGGAAGTACTGGATCAGCTGCGAATCCTCAACGGAGTGCCTGAGCATTAGTTGAGACCTCGGACTGGGTCCTTCCTACTGCTCGAGCCACTTCCTTTTCTGTTTCGCTGGGGGCCTCTCTTCTACAGTCTCCGCCGCTCGTCCGCATCGGCGGATATCGATTTCTTTGATCGCTCAAACATCATCGTCTTGAGATTTGTGTGCTGGTGAAAGGACGAGCTTGGCCTTCAGAACTCCACTCATGCGTATGAGCCGAGCCAAAGAGAGATTGGACTGACTTTTTGTGGATTTTCCTGCTCCATAAGCTTGGCCAATTTGTAAGAGATAATTTTTGTGCAAGGTCTATACATGGATTATTCAGACAGACATGAGAGGGTCTTTAGAGCTTGTTGAAAGATTCCCAAGCCGTGACGACATCTTGGACGCTCCACGAGGCCCGTATCTCATTGTCTACGGGCGCATTTGGGTTGGTACGCGCTGCAGCTTCAAGATTTACCTGCTGCTCGGCCACATTGAGCTTTAGTCTTTTGAGGACCGTCACGAGCTGTTGTCCCGACGACACGCCACGGCCAGGGCCACCGTAGGAGACGACAAGGGCGGGCTTGCCCCCAAATTCGTGGTAGATGTGGTCGAGTCCCGCTTTGAGCGGCGAAGGAAAGCTTCCATTGTACTCGGGCGTGACGAACACATAGCCGTCGTGGCTTCGAATAGTCTGCGACCAGGCATTGACTTTGTCATCAGGGTACTCGTGTCCTTCTCCATCTTCACCCTTTTCCTTGAGCTTCATGAGGATCGCAGGGTTGCCATCGTGGAGAGGCAGCCCGTACTTGGCTAGATCCACAAGTTCGAGCGTGGCGCCCTGCTTTTCGGCTAGCGGCGTGAGTTGTTCGTGGACCCACTCAGCGACTTGATGGGCCTTGCGGGTTTTGCGGACTGAGCCAATAATAATAGCGATGTTCTTGGCCATTGCAACAATATTGCGCGTCGAGGTGCTGGAGGATTGGTGAACTTGTGCTGTCCGTTCAGCCGTCCTTTATATGGGCTACCACATCAATGCTTAGCAGATCATCTCCTTCTGTCAGCCGTCTGTCAGCTATCTTTGATCATCAGCATCGTTCCGCGGCCATCAGCTCACTTCGTACTTAACGCATACTTCACTGGTTTTATAGGGTCCGTGCTTCGCGAGAAGGTTCGCTGACAGCTATCACTGCTGGCTGCAATATTGACAGAAAATGCTGACGAGCATGGCTGATCCGTCATGAGGAGCAAACGCGCGGTGCTAGTGAGATTGATGACTGGTCGCGAAGCCCGTGCATTCCGTCCGCGGAAGCACGCGAAAAAATCAGCAGACCCGGCGGCAAGTTCAGAATAGTACTGTACTTCAAGGCATCTCACCCTCTATTATTGTGGAAAACACGGATTTAATTTCTTACGTGCGAATTTGTATTTATGTCCGCATGCCGTGGCAGGAGCCATTAGTGCGGACTGGCCCTATGTGGCAGCACGTCCTCGATCATCGAGCGGATTCATTCTCGCAAATTTTTTGCTCTACTGTCCCTCCAGCCCCAACATAGCAACGCCATTTCTCAACCCATGACGAGGCGCAAACCTTGTGAATCTAGAATGCTAATCGCTTGGCTGCGTTGAGGTATTTTGCCTCCTTCTCAAGAGCGGGCAACTCTTACGTCCGCTTATTTCCCGCTAATTTGGAAAGGTGAATGGCTTGCATGCCTGTATGAAGAGCACAATTATCACTTCTGCAATCAGGATGTGCCATCAGATGATCGCGGCCTCACCCGAACTCTGCATTCTACAGGCGATAACCAGCAATCATTTTGCAGCTGATTCTGGTCCGTGAAGAGGATTCACGGGACGTAGAAGACTACCTGCCAGCAGGCATATACACGAAGCGCTCCGGATTCCGTCCAACTCCGTCTGTGTCGAAGCGGTCATGTTCTTGACTTCATCAAGGGAGGTGGCAACGCTATGCTTCGCGCAACTTTGGATCAAGCGTCGCGCTTGTTTACAACATCGGTGATAGCCTCACCACGCCTGGCCTGTTGAGATGAGATTCCACTGGTATCGGCTTGACCATCAGCACCTTTGCCCTCCCTGTTGAGCGAATGGAGGGACGCCTTCTTCTCATCGAATGAACTTTTTCAGTTTCTGGTCGCTCCTCGCCGGCCACGCAATCTACATGACGAAATCTTTTTTTATCATAGCGAGGGTATACCAAGGCGTCGGACCTGCGCTTTTTTTTGCCAGACGCTGTGACCTTTCCGGAGCGCACCTCCGCTCAGAACGAAACACAGAATACTGTCGTCAGCCTGTTTGGCGTTAGTGCGTCTCTGCATTTGTCGTCGCTGCCATTTTCGGGAGCACTTCGCTGTCCACCTCGCGTGTAACCGGGTGTATTACCTCATGGCGATCTTTTGCACTCTGCTCGACGTCACGATTTGGGCGTTTGTGCCAGACGATGACAAGCCAGCGCTATTCCGTGAAGATCTATAGGTATGGAAAGCATACCTAAGAAAGGAGAGTTAGCCAGTGAAGAGCCATGCAGAGGATGTTGGCTGCGTAGACCTCACCAAAAGCAGCGATCCGAGTTGGAATTTCCGATGTTTCCAACCGTTTTCCACTTTTTCAATTTTAGACCTTTCGACGCGTCTCTCGCGCTCGGGCCGCCTCGACGCCTATTACTTCTCATGGTAAACGCCCCTTTTGTCTCTATCGAATAACATGTCTTGCTTATATCGTCCCGGGTCGAGGTCTCGCTGACGCTCGACCGACCAGCTCGGCCGACGTACCGTCAATGGCTGCGGGCACGTCGAGCACCCAGACTTCCAACTTGAACTCATTCGTCGAGTAGACTCGAGACCTCTTAGTCCTTCCTTTTCCGACATGAGATTCAACCGGCTAATGCGTGCGCTATCGTCCTCTTGAAGACAAAGTGCTGGAGGTCCGATTGGGCGAGATTTCGATTGTGCACTCTTACAGATAAGATTTCCGCTGTCAGCTGACAGGTGCACAGCACTTTACAGATGCTCTAAGATGTCGAGATCTTAACAATTTGAAGAAATTAAAGGTGTACATGTACGCGGTAAGGAAGAGACAAAATCGTTCATCGAGTGGCTCAAGGTCTTATCCGAAGGTAAGCTTCTCTATCCTCTCAGTTTCAGTACGTCGGGCTGACCTTTGGCAGAAACGGATGCGATATTTCGACATCAGTCGGTACCAATGGAAGCATGTTTGTGGCAGGTCCTACGAGAGGAAGTTGAGCGATAATATCGTATTTGGCAATCTTGTGACCGATTTGTTGAGGAAAAGTCGGAACGTCCAGTGGCCTAGAGCCAGTCTTTATGTGTCCTGTGCCGAAATTAGTCGCATGAGATTGGCACCACTGGCTCATTCGCGAATTTGTGTGCCATTGTTGTTAAGGACGCTTTGTCTTCGGTCGACCCTCGTGCGGCCTTTTCGAACACTAGAGCCTCTGAGCTGTTCTCTATACAGGCGTAGAAAGCCGTGACGTAAAACAAGGCGTGTGACTGAGGAATGTCTTCCGATCGTCCTTAGAATACCTATTTCGGACACTCTGAGTGCTAATATCATAACTTTGACTCCGTCTGGCGGGGCAGCCCGGACCGAGGAGAAAGGCTTCGTCACAGCCAGTGCGCCACGCCATTGCACACCTTTCTGTCTCCCTTCGTTGCTCCGACACCGAATGATGAGCAGCAGCCCGGTCGTCAACAAAATATGTAGCACGGTTGCTTCTTCTCAATATAAGTGCTCAAAATATACGATGACAGAAAGCTCTGCGCATAATCTTTTCAGATGTACTCTGTAAGTACTGTACTAACTAACACGCTGGCTACGATGACATTCGACGGCTCTTTGCGCGCAGCTTTGGCCCATACTTCTTCAAGACCCAAGGAAGAGGGACCAAAAGCAGAGCGAGTCCAGCGAGCATTGACGAAGCGCCTTGAACTGTCATACCTTTGTACATTTGCACGGAAAAGAGGGGAAAGCTTGCTCCGAACGCAGCGCGTGTAAAGGTGCTGGCCGCAAGGGCAAGAGGCGCCTCAGAGCCAGCATAGGCGACCAAATAAGGAATGAGGGCAGTGAATATCACCATCATCCCAAGAGCAAAAAGGGCCATGCCAAAGGCAGCGCCGAACCAGTGGACAGATGTGAAGGGCGCTGTCCAAGCGAATATAAAGAGCCCGATTGGCGGCAACGCCCCAGCCCAGAGCATTTGTTGCAATTTCGTCTCTGGCGGCATCTTGCCGTCGGCCTGCATAGCATAGACTTTCTTCTCGTGGAGGCGTTGAGGAACGAGAACGACAACAACGGCTGCAAAAAAGCCGACCAGAAGGCTGATGAAAATAAGACCAGTACTTTCTCCTGACCACTGACGGATGTCGCGGAAAACGTAAGGGAATACCTCGAAGAAGCCGTATAAGATGCCGTAAAGCAACGACAGATAAATGCAGATGACAAGGACGACTGGCTCTGTACGGGCGAGATTGTTAATGTACAGTACAGTACATGCAGTTCTTTGACAGCGTGAAGATCGCTTACCAGTTGCTAACCAGACGAACGGACCCAGAAGGGCTCTTTTGCAAGTAGCCCAGATGAAGGAGCTTTTTTTCTTGCTTTCTCCCGTCCCGATATTCTTTTGCCACAACGCAGGCGTACCCAGTTGAGGGATGCAGAGAAAGCACGCGACCGTGCAAATCGCCACGAATATTGCCTGCATGCGAAGGTTCCATCGAAATCCTGCGCGATGGTCGACGAATGCGGCAATGACTGGACCAAGCCCGGGGCCTCCAAAGGCCGCTAGAGCGTACCAAATTGAGTACTGAGTCAATTGAGTTGGCGTCGTAAACTTTTTCCGAAGTTAATCTTTGTAAGATCTACCAGATGAGGGCCTCCTTGTTCAAGCACTTACCTGTCCAATCGTGGCAACCGTATTGTTGAGAGATGAGCTTCCCATGACGCCGGCGAAGAAGCGGCATACGATTACTGTTTGTATATTGCGAGCTTCCGAGATGCCGAAAGAAAATGCTGAGAAGACCATATCAGTAGAATCGATTGAGCACACGGGAACTTCCGCACCTGTAAAGCACAAATACGTTCCAATGTAGACGCTTCTGCCGCCAATCAGGAAAGCAAGTGGTCCGAAAAGAAGTGGTCCGAGTGCAAACCCAAGTCTTTCAGCAGTACTAGCATCAGCTGAAGGAAGGCTGGGATTCTTTCAAGGTCGCTTGAGCCTTACACAAAGAGCGCAACGCCGAGGAGAACAACTACAGGAGAGCAAGAACGGTTGTCAATGACGTAGGAGGTACAAGTGCGAGCACAATACTCACCTTCGTCGGAAGCTTTGAAATGATCTGAGATTTGTTGAAGCGAAGAAGTCTGGAAGAAGGTGAGCACCGTGAGGACTGCAAATGCGTAACATGTCTGCTCACATAAGCACTTGATGCAAACGTAAGAGCGAGTGTCATGCAGCAGAGTACAAAGGTAATTCGGACCTTGGTGGACGCTGGCATCGTCTCGCACAATGGTAATCCTGTGTTCACTTTTTCGTCTTCGTTGACCTCGACAACCACATCGTCGTTCTTTCCCGCATCCCGGCACACAAATCTGGAGGGCGAAGACATATCCTCACGCTTCATTGTTCGCCAGAAATTTCTTGGTTGATGGACTGACATTGGGGGAGAAATATATGTACTTCACAGCTCCTTGCACTGTAGGGATTCACTGCTCGGAATCCCCGATCTGTCGTACCGCTCGCATCGGTCCTAGTTGCCAGTGCTACAAATCCGGAGATAAATTTATATCTGAAGAGGCAAAGTGGAACTCAACGTACTCTGCATATGTCGCAGGTCTAAGATGATGTTATCGAAACTTCCGGCTAGGTCGCTTCCGGAGATCGGCAGCAATTACCGGTTGCTCGGTGTTGCATCATCCCCTTCCAACACCGTACAAAAGACTGGTGATGTTTATGATAAGGCCGCGGAGGCTTGAACACTTTTTATTAAGCAATTTGCTTATTTCAAACTTCTGCAGCTTTGGATACCAAGCCACAATAACAATTAGTAAGAAACATTTAGAACTAATACCACAAGGCCTCAATATCTAGGGAGTTAACAACACTCAGCAGGACCGTGCCGCAAAAGTCACAGAATTACCGTATGTCCGTTCTTCCACACGTTCTCAAGAGATTCCCGAAAACCCGAAAGGCATTCTTGTAGGCGAGGATCGATGACGCAAGGTCGTCGCGGAAACATACGCAGTCTCGCGCGGATCCAATGAACAATGACAATATATGTGCAGCGAAGACTTAGCTCCGAATGAGATGCTTGTCAGGATTCCAAATAGTCAGCTCAGATCCAGGCGGGCCTCAAACCCGAATCCACAATGAGGACGCTCCGTCTGCTGAAGCATCCTGGACGATTGTCCACCCTCTTCTTGATCAGCAGAGACGGAAGATCCTTAGAACGATCTCTATGAAGAGGATCTCTATGGAGAAGAAACTCGATTGGACCCTAAGGTTTTTTTCATTTTCTTTTGAAGAGATAAACCAAATTCTCAGCAAGTAGGCATGAGCACAAGGTCGTTTGGGTGGTCGCTCCAATTTCTGGTTCTCTCGTTTTTTTAAGCACTTTGAGCCAGAAGATAATGGCAAGAGTTTCTCCCGGCAATCCAATGTATGCAGACACAGCTTGCCCTTTCGAGGGTGTGCGACCTCTAAAAAGGGGAAGTGATGGCGAGGATCGTCTGGTATTCAACGCCTTTAAGACAGCGTAATGTTCAAGCTCAGTAAGTGATTTCTAAGGGCCTTGATCGATGAAGGCAGGTCCAAAATTGCCATTCTCTTGCTACTCTCTGTGTTCCACCTCCCGGTCCACTTTCGCCTGCTTGCGGGGGGAAATAAGGGCCTATCGGATCAAGAGCAAGTACGTGCAGCATAGCACCGGATCCTTTAAATTCCAATGCTTCTCTACTCTAGTTTATTCTATTTTATATTCTATTTTTTACGGAATAGATTCATGAACGACAGAGAGCCGCGACAGACTTTTCGTCTTGAGAATCAGATCCGATTGCGCTGCTTTGTTACCATGGCTTGCTCTTCCAATCCCAGTATCAACTGTGCTATCGCGACATCTGCTACAAAGTGCTACTCGTTCGGTCAACTTTTTGTGTGGAAGGGGATGGCTGCCGGTCATGGGAACCCAATTGCCACTCCTCGTTTGGTGCCCTACTAGTGATTCCCTGATGTGATCGTGTTCGCAGGTTCAAAATGCTCCACAGCTGCCTTGACAGTGAGAACTCCCGGTTCTTCCATTAGTCTGAGCGGCCTCGGCCTTTCGCAAATTACCGTATCGAAACCCAAGCAAGACGCTCGAGAATCGAGTATACACCGCTTAGGGAAACTGCCATGCTAAGCTAGAGTGCTGCTCACATCAACGAAGTTTGTTGAGCACAGCATTCGAAGGCTTCTACCTGCGTCGCGACTGCCGAACCCAATTCTCGCATGCACAGAACCAAGGGCTTCGCAGCTGCTTGCTTCAGGCGCTGTTGTACAGCAAAAAGACCCGAAGATATTTCATGAAGGACAAAAAGGCGATGCCAACTGCTAGGCGTGGGTCTCCGACGCTAAAAAGGGGCAACATGCTCTTCATTCATTCTCGAAATATGAGAATCTACATCGGGATATAGTATCTCGCTTGTTGTCCTCAGCTGCAAGCCCAATCTAACAAGAGCAAGATTGGATCGATGCGACTGCAAGCACAAGCCTCTTTTCATCCTCTTCTTAGCCGCTGTTTCCCGAAACGAGCGCTAATCTTAAAACGGGTCAACAGGCACTAGAGTATCAGAGCATACTTTTTTTAAGCAGAGAGGTGCCGATCCGCATTCGAGCATTCTTGGCCCAGTCCCCTCCGCTGTTGCGCAAAGTGGCGCAACTTTCATCCACACAACACCCAAGCCAGAGTAAAGAAGCAAATGGCAGCACTTCAATCACTTTCCTCTCTTTACGCGCCAATGAAAATGGTCCTGGAGTCTTCTAATAAGAGATCGACAAAAAAAAAGCAGTGATCGACAGCACTGAGCATGCTCTTGAAATTCCACCTTGCACAGCGCGAGCCATTTCCACCTAGTTTAATAAAAACACAAAACAGCTCTTCATTTGCGAAAACGGACAAGTACCGTACATCTGTCTGTCACACCTCGAACTTAGATCGATTCGCTACAGCGAACTGCTCTACCGAGAGAGGTTTGCGCCCAGTGAGGTCCTCGACAACTGAATTCGTTCCAGCAAATACTCCGTCCTTGTAGTCTTGAGCGACGACGCGTAGATGTTGCACCAGACGCGGATGCATGCCGCTTTTCTCCAGGCGCGCCACAAAGTTCGGGATGCTCAGAGGTTTGTACACGAACGGCCTGCCGAGCGTACGTGTCAGCTTTTCGGCGATCTGGTCATGATTCAGTTCTTCGGGGCCGTAGAGCGGATAGATTTTTCCCGCGTGTCCTTTGGGACTCTGAAGCAGAGCAGCAATCACACGTCCTTGGTCTTCGGCGGCGATAGGCGCATGACTTGCGTCATCAAAGGGGAATTCGATGGTCCCCTTCTTCACGTTGAAACCATCCATTGGATAGGTCAGCCACTCGGCAAAAAAAAAGTTGGACGAATATGGGTTGTGGGAATCCCCGACCAATTGAAGACCTGTTCAGTAATCCAGTGGTCGCGAGATGCGTGGCTTTTGGCGTTCGCACGAGCTGGCTTTTGTGACATGTTGACAATGGAGGTGACGCCTGCTTCGATTGCTGCTTGGGCGAAAAAGGCGGCCGCTTCAACAAGACCGGGAGCGAAAGGATAAACGAAATATGCCCCCGTCACGCCCTCCAGAGCGGAGCGGATCTGATCTAGGTTCAGGAGGTCGCCCACAGCAATTTCTGCTCCTTGCTCTTTTAGCGATTCTGAACGTTGGTCTTCCTTATGCACCAATGCTCGAACTCTCTGACCTGAGTTCAGCAAGGTAGAGGTGGTGAAGCGTCCGGTTGCGCCGGTTGCACCGGCGATGAGATACAGGGGCTGGGACATGGTGCTTGTTCAGGACTGAAAGTAGGTTGATCTCTGAAACTGAGCACCTCCTTTATATGCTCCCGACGGCTCGAATCCTCTTGAGCGGTCTTGAGCAGTCCGGGAATTAGGCCTCCTGCGGATGCGCGCGTAGTCATGTTCTGAGACTGCGAACTCGGCGTAATTTCGGAAACGCCGAAGAAGCAAGCTCAAACTGCGCTGGGCGCTCGATATTGCCGAAATTAACGGGCTGAGTATCTCCGGCCGCGAATTTGACGGAAATACCGCTAACTATTGCCGGTGCGTTATTCTCTGGTGCGACACAATTTTTTGGTGCACACGCACGCGGAATCTCGGGAATACCGCGGCTCGTAGGGCTGGTTATGGTCGTCCATGGTGCTAATCGTCGGAAAAGCACTCAACTTCTTGCTCAGCAAGATGCTATATAAGCACGGCAGTGAGAACGCTATCCACCAAAACTCCTATTTTCTTCATCCAGCGCTACGCTCAGCAGTTATACAACGTTCGAAATGACGAGCGACACGCTTCGTACCATTCTTGTTACCGGTGCTACAAGAGGGATTGGTAGGACGTTCGTCGCCATTCTTCTGCAGCAAACGAACGTACGAGTCATCGCTGCCGTTCGTCACTTGCAGTCGGCAGACGCAAAAAGTCTCTCTGGTCTTCCACGGGCCTCTGGAACAACATTACTATTGGTAAAGATCGACTCGTCGCATCGTTTGGACGCACAAGCCGCATTTGCCTCTCTAAAGAGGGACGGCGTCGAAAAGATTGATACTATCATTGCGAACGCCGGAATCGCTCACGAAGGAGCTGAAGTCTCCGAAACAGATCTTGATGTGGTCGCTCAGCAAATGGAGGTCAACCTTATTGGTCCTTGGGCTCTTTTCAAGGCATTCAAAGGCCTCTTGCACACGAGCACAGTGCCCAAATTTGTCGCGTTGAGCACTGAAGTTGCCTCATTAACGCTTCGCGATAGCCTTCCACCCGTAAAGCTATCCGCGTACGGTGCCAGTAAAGTTGCTCTCAACTACTTGGTCAATCGTTTGGCTGCCGAAGAACCGTGGTTGACATGCTTCGCCATTCACCCAGGCGTGGTTAATACAGCTCTTGGTGATACGGCGATCAAATCCTTGGGCGGCATCACCATGGACAATCTGCTGCAAGACGGTAGAGCAGTAACAAAGGAGGAGGCGGCACAAAGAGTTCTCGACTTCATCGAAAAGGCCGACCAAGAGACGACATCTGGCCTTGTCTTTAACTCTTCAGATGGGAAAGTGATCCCTTGGTAACGAATGCGCATGAATGGCAGTCTTTATTTTCTTTTGCCAGACGAAAGTGAGTTTTGTTAGCTGCACAACACCGAAGAAGTTTCACCACAAACCTGAGAAAATGCAGCAGGGTGTGCTGTGCCACAGGGGTCTGCTCCCGGAGAAAGTCATTAGGCGGCAGCACGCCCTCTGTGTAGAGAAATTGGGTGTCGATATCGTCCAGGAGGCTCTCGTCGCACCATGAGGGGACAAGGGCGACATTGACTCCCTCGGACTGAACTGGCAGCGCAAAAAAGCTCCTGGTGGCTAGGGGCAGAATAACAAGGGGCTCAGCCCTTCTGTGTTCCTGTCGTCGCTATTGTTCTCGTCGACCACCCGAAACAGGGAAAGCAGGTGTATCTCGCCGCGACCCGGCAGCGCTTCCCTCTACGCCTGTTTTGTCAATCGATCTGTTGCCGCTGTGCTGCTGCCGCTGAGCAAGACTAACTTCATTCTGGGTCTGGCCCACGATAGCCACCAAAGCGGCGTCCAGGAGCTAGAAGAGAAGCTGGAAAAAGTGCTGCTGCTGCTGCTGCCCTTCTTGAGCCTGCTCTCCTAGTACTGCGGCGGTGTAGTCGCGGGATCGCGAAGCAATCGCTGGCGCAGCAAAAGCCCTTCCGGTACGCTACAGCTTTCTGCTGCTTGGCACTCGGTATCGATCAAGCCTTCTATGAACCATCTCTGTAGCCAATCGTCACCAAAAAGGCGTCATTGCTAGGTAGTAAGAAGCCATGCAAGCATAGCGCTTAGGGGCTAGGAATGCGGTTGGGCAACCAGGCATCACCTCACTGGACCATGATCGACACGAGGGTCTAATTGATGCACAACGTGTGGTGAACTGGGCAACATCCACATTGATGTCGCGCCGACTAGGGGATAGTTTTATCAGCTGCATGCTCGAGAGAAGAGAAAGCAAGTAGACCCACCTTGACTATATCGCAATCGAACCAGTTCCTCGCTCTTGGTCGGCTGGCCCAGACCATGACGCAGGTTGCAGACGACGACACCGCCTTTAGCTTGACGCCCCTCTCCCGCCCTAGGACAAGCTTAATCACAACGCGATTCGGATGAGCTTTCTCCTTCTTTTTAGCGGTCGAGAGGCCGCAAGAAGGCCGTGCCTCCGGAAAAGTCGAGGCAGCAGTGTCTTTCTCCCAGATCCTCGACGTCAGCACCATCGTAGATGTTCTCCGGCTTTCATCTTGCCCCACTTCTCGCTCCACGGCCCACACCTTGACGACTTGAATTTTGGCCGCAACTCGTGCGACAGGGACTGCCGCCCCTTATTGTGGAGAAAAGAGGTCTTAGTTGGAATTTCGCCTTCGCCGAGACGAGCGCCTGCACACGTGGCAGCCGACCGCTGCCACGCGCGCTGTAGATTGAATCGGACAGGTCTTGAGCTTATCGCGCGTGTTCTCAATTCGCTCCCTTCTTCAACCAATCATCATCTTTTACATCTCTTTGAGAGGGCCAAGCGCCTCCTACTCCGGTATCTTGTCTGAGAGAGGGCACCGGTCGCCGCGCGCGAGCACGTCGATTGTCAATGCATGCGGAGCGATCGGCATAAGCCAATCGACCCGCTTGCTGGAGGGAACCTCGGAAGCCACCCTTTAATCGTGCCGGGCAGTTTGGGCGTACTATACAGCCCCAGTTCGAGGCCTTCACTGGCGCTTCGAACAATCCGTTGAGGATTCGCAGCGATCCCGTACCTCCTCGTCATCGTACGCTCCAGAAGTGGCCGCCTCTGGCATCCACGTGGCTACCGCTGCGCCCGAATTCTTAACTATTTCACTTTGGTGTCTCCGGAGGAAGGCAAAGTGCGCAGTGTAGACTTTTGATGCCGTGTCAAATTGCTCTGCAGAAAACATGAAAGGTCAACCTTAGGTGCGTACCTTGGTATGAAGCTGAGATTGAGGTAGGTGATTCTCTTGACATGGCTGAGCTGGGTGCAGGGTAGCGGCAATGCAATGTCAGGTACTGCGTTGTACCTCATCTGATAAGCGATAGGAGACGTTTTCTCCCCGATCAGCCCACCTTTGAGAACTGGAAAAGGTGAAGGTGAGAGCGGGAGAGTAGGGAAAAGAGGAGATTCGAGTTTTGCTCTTACCTTTAGACGAACAATCGTGCGTTTCAGGCAGGTTGGGGTTCATGCGTGAGCACAGGCGAACCAAATCTGTTGGGGCCAAATTGACCAGCAGCTGCAGTAAGTTGGAGTCAAGACTTTGGCCGTCGTGTGCTGTAAAATTACGAGGCAGCGTCTTGAGACGAGGCAACAGGACATTGACACTGATCACGTCAGGCGGGCTAACTTTCCTTTCAGGCAGATTCACCTTTGTCAAAGGTGAGATAAGAGGCGTAGGGCGCGGTCAACGATTTGGAGAGTGCGTCATCTAGGGGGCATCCATAGATCTGCAGTCCGCAGGGAAGCGAGCAAGCCGGACAGTACTGATAGCACGCAAAATCTCCGTCGATGGCTTTTCCCTTTGCTTGGACAATAAGGCTGGTCCCGATGCTAGCACTTCGTGAGAGACAGTACTAGTGAGCGGCACAGGCCAAACTGCAGCACTTGCTAGCAAGCTTTTTCGACGTGTCATTGGCCAACGCGATAGCGATCAATTGGTAGCAGCTCAAAGCGACTTATGGTGCGCAGCTCATGGCAGCCACCTTCGAAGCCCGTGTTCTCGCCAGCTTGGTGGAGAAGTCCTGACGCGCCATCAACTTCAGAACTTCTCACTTTCATATACAAGTTCGTTCAACTGTGTGCATGCTTCATACCAAGAGATAGGAATCAGAATTCAGGAATGTTTTCAACAAATGTGGGGTATCTTTCTATAGCTTTAGCGAATGCAACTTTTGAGCTCTACTAAAAACGTCGGCAGTTGTTACGTGCCAATCATTTGTGGTGTCCTTTTCAATCGTGCGCTATCGTCTGATAATAAGGTTTTAATATTCCTCGTGAAAGTGTTCAACTGCCAGAAATGTCCGTGCGTGCTCCCGCGTCGGAGCGATAGTCCACACTGGCAATTAGCGGGCACAAGAAAGAACTCTGAGCCAATGCCTTTCTTTGGACGCCAGAATACAGGTTTGTCCCGCTCAATAAACGAACACCAGCATCGTCGGCCTTCCTTGCCGCCCATCGCATCGGACACCATGGAGAAGGTACTTTACGGAGATGAGGCTTTACAAGTCATCAACAGAGAGCTACGCAGCTCTTTGAAAGCGCGTCAGCTCCTCGGGCCTTTCAAAGAGCACTTCACCGAGCAGGCCGAAACTTTTCTCCACGGCGGGCAAATTCGCCTGGCTCGCGTGTTCGTTGTCCCTCATCAAGACACCATCGCTGTGATCGACGCAGTCTCCCGATACTGGGAACGCTTTTTTAGCGCTTCCATTCATACTGGATTGCCGAGCTGGATGCCAATCATTGAATGCGTGTTGGCGCAAGGCCCGTCGAGACCACTTGTAGCGAAAGTCCTGCAAGCATCTGGTCCTTCTCACGTCACAGCTTTCTACCGCGGTCAGCTGATGGCACGTGTCACACCCCTACTCCTCGTCAGCCTGGCGCTTCTTGATGGCGCCACCATGCACATGTCGCAAACACATCAGAAGGACGTTGTGCTCCGGCTAGTAGGCTTTCGCTCAGGTGCGTACACGACCTCTTGGTGCCGTACGTCGGATGACTGATAGAGGATGGACAGAGATTGTTGTCTCACAATTCCAAGGTACCTGTCTTGCTCATATAGAGCGGAATACTAGTGGAACGCTTTCAGGAACGTGAGCTCGTTGTGTCAGCATATGCCTCAGCGTTCGATTAAAACTCGTTCCCGGCAGCTATCCGTTGGATGTCGATTATCAAGGCTTCTTACAAACAGGACAGTCATGGCACAACCCTAATGACCTCCTACCATCGTCCGACATTCAGCAGGCTATCCGTCTATGCGGATTTTCGGGTCTTGAGGATGAGATACACACACTAGGCTTCCTCCAGCAACAAATGATGACGCTTCCGGTGGCTACCCAATACATGCGCCTCGCCATGCAAGCTTATGAAGTAGCTTTCATTGGCTTCGACAGCAAAAGTGTTTTAGTGCCATTCCCTTCATCCAACTCCGAAGCAAACTCACGTCCAAATCTGCAGCAGCGGCAGAAAAATCGACAGGATGAGGAAGATCTGGACATTGACGCCATATCGCCCTGCGAGACAGATCAAAAGTGCCAACACCTACTCGAAGAAGCTATGGGAGCTTTACGTGAATTAATGAGCTCAGAGTACTTGTGAGTCTACCTGACATGATCCTGCTCCTTCTATTCATGAAAATTTGTACACTTCCGCGTAGGGATAAGTTAGGCCGACCCAACGCTCGTCGTCATGAAGCACAACTTCGAGAATTTCACGTCCATAGCTGGGTTGCACTTCTTCGGTCTCTTCTATCTGCCTCTCACGACAGACGTGCCTCGGCGAGTACGGACGCACAAGAAACGGAGGCTTACATCGAAACTATTTACCTCCCGGGAACTTCTGTTTCGAAGCAAGCGATTAAGGCATGGCTGACGTGCTGGAGCCTGTGCCGGGTCATTGTTAACACACAGGTGCTGCCAGGCTTCATCGGCAGCCATAACACTGACCGCTCTTGTTGGCTCGTCTGACGAGAGCCTTTAAGGACTAAGTGTCGTTAAAGTCTTCCGTGATACCCTCAAAGTACGTTCTTGCTCAGCGTCTTCCTATACACTGACGATGGTCAGTCCTCTCGACTCTTAATGAAGGAAATACAAGTTTCCCTTCATTTGTCTGCAAATGGAAAGAAGGCTTTTAGATCCTTACGTTGACGCCGTTCTGTACTGAAACGCCTTTCCAGCTCGCGCCCTTCAAGGTCGCGCCAGCGGCAGGGATCGACTTGGCTCGAAGGGGTCCATGGGCAGCAACATTAAGTTGAGAACTCGGGTGCAGCGGTAATCACGTGGTCGCCGAAGGCGATCACGGCGGAGCGTACGATCATCGAGGAAGTACTGGATCAGCTGCGAATCCTCAACGGAGTGCCTGAGCGCCAGCGAAGGCCTCCGGCTGATGCTGTATAGTACACCCAAACTGCCTGATCTTGCTCAAAGGGAGATCAATCCCTTCGGCGACGTCGATCGCTTCGCGATCGGCGTCATTGCCGACAATCGTTGTGCGATGCGCGTACACCGACCGGTGCCCTCTCAGACGTAGCTGAATTCGAGGGCGATGTCAATCGATTGAAGTTGTTGGATCAAAAGAAGAAGTACATCAAGGACAAGCCGAAGGCTCGTTGCCTTGCCTTCGGCAAAAAATATGTTTCCAAATCTATACTCCGCTTTGGAGCTGCTCGGGCCAGCTCTGTCTTTTGAAGCTAGTTTGAGCCGAGATTGACCGGCATGTGCCTTTCACAGATGAAGTTGTTATGCTTTGCTGTCGTTTCTGCGGATACATAGAGGGAATGACAGCGTTCGACTCTTGCCTCTCGCTGAGTCTGTCGGTGGCAGGCCCATCTACATCATCGCTTACGGCACCTTCTTTCTCTTCTTCCTCCTCGTTGCCCTTGCGCGAAACATCCAGACGGTGTTCGTCGCGCGCTTCCTCTGTGGAGCTGCCGGCTCCGTGGGTGCCACAATGGTGGAAGGCACTCTGTCGGACATCTGGACCCGTGGGGAGCGTGAGGTGCCCATGGCCTTTCTTTTCCCTCTCTGCCCTCTTTGACACGCCTATCAAGCCCATCTTCTTCAGCTGGACTGGCGGTGGCGGCGTCAGCTGTCAATGGATTCACTGGACTTTGGTCAAACTAGCTTTTCTTCTTCTCGTCCATACGATGTGCTCACTGGCATATCTGCTGACGGTAGTAGCTCATCTCATCGGTCCCTTCGGCTGCGCTGGTCTTCCTGACCTTCAATCGCGAGATTTAGCTCTCTGTCAGGCAGAGGAAGGGGCAGCCAAGCGAAAGGCCCACCCTGGCTGGCATGGCCAGGAAGATCAAAGCTTCGCTCTCGACCTCGCTCGTCAGACCGCTGAGGGAGTGAGCTTGTGTACACGCACAGGGGACTCTTTCCCCTTCCAAAGATCAGTCGCTGAGGTGGCAACGACGTAGTGCTCCCGGTGACAGAGCCCATCGTGCTCTGCCTCTCGCTTTGGATCTCATTTGCCTGGGGTACTCTTTATATTTTTCTGGAGTCGGTGCCCCTCGTCTTTGCGCAGTACGTTATCGCACAGGGGCCTAGCTTCGTGGGCATGGCTATCGACGCCTTGATCGGTTTTGCTATCCACCTCATCTATGTCCAGCGTTCCAAGCGTCAAGCCGGCAGCACGCCCGAGACGAGGCTAGGCGAGGCGTGCTTGGGTGCAGTCGCCTTTGCAGCCAGTGAGTTCCAACCTCTTATCTCCTGTCTCATCTGCCTATGCTGACCGTCCCCGGGGAGAACGGGCTTCTTCTTCTATGCGTGGACCGGTCTGCCGCAACTTCCGTGGATCGTACCCCAGATTGCCTCGGCCTGCATCACGGTCCGCCGGTACTCGGTCTATGTGAGCTGCGGTTCCACTCCTCTATTCGTGTCGCACACCTGGCTGACCAGCCACGCAGGCCTGCATTCTCATTCACCTGTCCGAGTGCTACGGTTTGTATACATCGTCGGCGCTTGCCGCTCAGAGCTTCCTTCGGAATGTGTTTGCCACCAGTGAGCGTCCCTGCCTCTTGCCGAGCTTTTCCCCTCTGGCTCCCCCGTGCTCGTAGCCTTTCCATTGTTTGCAGCCGATAGTGAGTCACCCAGCACCTATTCGCCGTCAAATGGCTCTCTCTCTGATGGAAGAGAGTCCACAGTGTACCGCAAGCTGACGTATAGATGGGCGTCTACGCTTCTGTGCTTCCTCGCCGCCACCCTCGCCCTATTTCCTTTTCTCCTCGTCCGCTACGGCAATGCGCTGCGCGAACGCTCGCCTTTTGCCACCAAACAGATACTTGCACAGGTTCGCAACGAAGCCAGCTACACTTCAGCAGTACCTGCCGTCTTGTCCATGACGTTAATCGATGCCTAGCTGCCAGTGTCCACGGCTCATAGACGATCCCTTGCCGCAACTGAAAGAAGCGAGATTTCTGTACCGTTGCCCATCCGTGCTCTGCTGGAGCTGCTGATCGTCCGTTGTAGGTGAACAGTGGCCGGACCTTAGTCCCGCTCTAGGGCCTGCCAAAGCTCCTTGTGACGGATCCCTTACTTCTTAGTGATGGTACCGTACAACTAGCTTGCAACGACGACATGGACAAATTCTTCGACGTCCTCAAGTGCCTGCAACGACGGGCTTGTCTGGAAGACGACCCAGAGGAGGGTTGCCTTTTGTAGAAGCACCGCCTTATTGTGTGATCAGGGCAGGCTACATGCCTTCTCGGCTGCCACACACCAGCCTGCTGGGAAGCGGCGAATACGGTCTCATAATTTTTTAGAATGGCCTGCGCTTTTAGTATTACTTACTAGTAATTCAAGCACCAGGTTAGCATAATCAACGCCTTTTCTCCAAGATCCGACTTCCGAATAGTGGCGCTGAATCGCGTACGTTTCTGGGGAATACGCAGCTATATATTACATGGGGTCCTCGCAAGTTATTCAGTGTTCACCTAAACTATCGCGCCATGAGATTCTCCCACGAAACGACGCTGGACAGTTACAGCGAGTCCTTCAACCTTGCCGACTGGCTTTTCACTTTATCCGAGGAAGAATACCATGCATGCCAGGCCGGACATCGCGCAATTGGGGTCGTAGGCAAACGTGAAGGGATGGTCAACGTAGAATCGATAGGAGGCTCTCTCATCATTCAACATTACCGAACTGTGGTTGCAGAGCGTGATCGAGTGCTCATGAAGTCACCGCATAGTAGAGCATACCTTTTGCACCTCATACCTGCGCCAGTCGGTGTCGCCTGGGAAATGGAGATCATCCAAAAGGGTCAAACAAGAACTTTCAGGTGTACAATTGATATTCAACTCCCGCTTCTTCTCCGTCTACTGTCGTCTATGATCGCCACGCCTTTCTTTATCCGGCGCCATCTAGTGCAAGAGACAGACGGCTTTGCACAAGACATGTCAACGAAAATGTCGAAATGAGTATATTGATAAACAGATGCAATACAAGTGGAGCAATAAGGCAGAAAAGAGCTGTACGACAGCGATTTCATAGCTGTAAAGTGTGTGATGGCGCCACAGGTGAGCTTTTTCGGGCCAAGCGGCAGCCAATGTAGTGACATACAAGAGTTAAAGCTCATTTCCCTACCTCCACCGAGGGAGGGCAGAACAAATGCCGAGTTCGCACAGCGCGGCAGCTCGGGCTACAGGCATAGACGAATTCACCATCTGCGGCATTGTCCTCGAGATGCATTCCTCAACTTCAATCCATCCGGAAGACGTGCGCACGCCGATGCACAATCAGACGCTCACCACCACAACAAGGCGGCAATTTTTGAGCTAAGGCCAAGACGGGCTATGTTGTTAAACCGGAGGCGGTAGGCGATACATAATTACTGGAAGAGAGCGTGAAGCAAGGCACAAAAGACGAGCGGCTCATCTCCCGCCTTTTCAGGACACCCTCGAGTCGCGCTTGCGAGGTTGAACATTGATCAGGGGTTACAACGAAGAAAGATCTCCGTACAAGAGCCTCTCGCGAGAAAAACCTGCGACCTTGAAAGGTGATTATCACTTCCCGGCTTTTGAATAATTTGTTCTCTCTATGTATGTAAAAAGGCGATGATGAAAGTCAAGTACCTTCAACTGCTAGGCTTTAGGATTTAGAAATGATTCTTGGGAGCCTGACTGCTCTCGTCGATCACGGTCCATGCCTGGTCAATTGCTTCTACCCACTTGTCTCGCAAGGGGCCCTTTTCGAAGGCAATAAGTTTTCTTCTACATGCTTGATCGAGGACGCTGAAAAGATGACTTTATTATTGTACTCTTTTTTTTTGACTGAGTGGTGCATGGACCATCGCAATGCTGCCTCTGCTAAGGGGATCACTTGCGCCTAAGCTTCTGGCTTTATGACCTCTGTCGCCTTGAAGATAGAGACAATGGCGCTCGAGGCCATCGGGGCAGATTGGAGACTGTCGATGGCTTTGACTTCTTTGGCCGACGCATCTTTTTCAAGCGCTCGGACCACCGGAATATTTAGCAATTCACGTCTCCAATGGCGCCCATTCTAGCCATGCGAACAAGCACAACGGAAAGCCTGCGACGCCTCCTGTAGCCTTCTTCGGTGCTCGTTCTCTATCAATTTATCATATTCTTCATGCCTTTTTTTTGTCGGATCAATTGGAAACGTCGGCGGCTTCGAAGGTAGGAGACTGGTCAGGACTGATGCGTCTCTGTCAAGCGCTCGGACCCTTAAGACATTTGAGAAAATTGCCGTTTTCGACGGCTGTTGTGCCCTGGAACTTACCTTTTCGTTGAGCATAAAGTTGACTCGCTGTTCGTTCTGGCACCTGCAGGTCCATCAGCAAAACGATGCAATCCTTGAAGCGAGGTCGTTGGAAGGATCGGGTCTGCTAATAGCATTGCAATTAAAGATGTCTTCAAGCGTGCGATTAGCCCGAAAAGAAAGAAAATGTATCTCGCTTATCCCAAGATTTTGACCGGCACCTGGCCGCCAGCCGTGTTGACGAGTCGTGGTTTGAGACTTGTCCCACTGCTCTACAAGCTTTTTAGTGGAGCCTACAAGCCTCTCATTTATCCAGAGGTTGTGCTTTACTAGATCCCTTCTCTCTCCCACACCCACACCCACACCAGAACAACGTTTTGGCCTAACTCCGATGCGCAAGTACTTAGTGCCGCATATCTCCGGTCGCGTATACGTCCCATGAGCTTACGTTTACTCTTTACAAGCAGTACGTGATGTACAACACTGCTAAATCCTTGCTCAGAAAACGCGAGCAGACCGCAAAAAGCTTAGGGCAAAGCTCTGTTTGCCAGACAGCTTGCTTAACTTGCTTTGTGCGACAAGGCCCGTATATAAAACGCGGATTGTTTGCGCACTTCGAACCTCAGACAGAGTGGAGATCGGTTCAGAAACTTGGAGCAACACAACTTCGGCGACCATCAGACACTTCGAGTACTCTAAACGACATCATTCACTCAAACACGAATCGGCAATGGTCTCCTATGCAATCACGGGAGCGTCCCGTGGTCTCGGGGCTAGTCTTTCTGCTTTTTTCTCCGCACTGTCGGGTCACCACTGACACCCCCACAGCTCGAGTTCATTCGTCAACTCTCCCAAAACCAGAACAATGCGGTCTTCGCCATCGTCCGTGACACGACCTCATCTCCGAAGCTGACCGAACTCGCTGCCAGCAAGCAAAACGTGCACATTATCCAAGGCGATCTCAATTCCTTCTTCCAACTCCGAGAGGCAGCCAAAAATATATCTTCCGTGACCGGTGGAAGCCTCGATGTGCTGATCAACAATGCGGCCTACTTGGACGACTCGGTTGCCACGGTTCAGCCCAGCCAATTATCCGATCCTGAACACGTCGAGCAGCTGAAAGATGCAATCGAGAAATCTGTGGAGTCAAACGTCTTGGGCACAATCCATCTCACCAATACCTTCCTGCCGCTGATTGAGCAGGGCAACGAGAAGAAAATCATCCACACAAGCACCGGCCTTGCCGACACGGATGTCATCCTCGGCACCGAGATCTCCGGACTCGTGCCCTACAGTGCCAGCAAAGCGATGATGAACGCAGTCGTGGCCAAGTACGGTGCAGAGCTGAAACCCAGAGGAATCCACGTCGTGGCATTGAGTCCTGGGTTCGTGGACACTAATCCTATGCCTCAGGAGGCGTTGGACTGGATGTCGGCAATGTTTAGGAAGATCGATTTGAAGGTCAATGGCAGAATCTCTGTCGAAGAGAGTGTACGTGACCAACTGGACACGATTTCGAAATTGGGATGGGACGTTCAGGGAAGGATGATTAGCCAGCATGGAGATCGCAATTGGTTTTGAACGAATTGAAACGAATGGAGTGTGCTGTAAAAATGTGCCTTACTTAGCAGCAAATTTTATCTTCATGAATGTAAGACGTATCTCTGCATCATTCTACAATCCAACTTGACAACTGCTCGATGATGGGCTTGCAGCAGCTCGGATGGCCTCTCACCGTGTTTACTGTAAGAGCGAAACGAGCAGGAAGACAAACAGACTTTGCCTTTGAAGAAGGCGCACATCGTTTAGTTTGTCAACGAGGGTTCCATGGAGGGGGGCGCAGACTTTGTTGGACTCACGCAAGACGAGGTTATCAAGCTGGCCCCAGATCTAGATCTGAGACGATTAGACACATCCAATATGGCCGACAGGGTCCCATACCAGCACGGAAATCCAATGACCTGCAGCTCCGATACGCCTACTCTAGCTGCCGAGTCTCTTCAAGGGTTTGTTAAATGTCTTTCATCAAACACTAACATGACGACGCAGGTCAGTGCCAAGAAACGTTGAGATGCTTTCAAAAGCGCCAAGTGGGCAGTCAAGGGCATGCCAGTGCCTGACAGCAGGCTTTCGATCCGCATTGCACAATTTCTCGGTAGTAAACCTCTGCATTTATCTTTTCGGCAGATATTGACGTACTTAGGCCGCTCAAGGTCCTTTCGACGGTGTTGCTGCAGGCAAAGCGATAGTTGAAGATTCGTCCGAGCGGCTTGGCGAGGTTACTGATGGAGGCCATTCACAGCGCGTAAGAATGATATCGAGATTCTTGCCAGCCAGCTGCCAAAACATTGGCGCGCAGAGCATCAAGCTAAAGTCAACCAGGCAAAGCTTTCAAAGACTTCAAAGGCAACGTAAGTTATCTTAACGAGCAGTAAGACGACTCCTGAGACGGGAGCGTTGTTTGTCCTGGTCATTGTCTCTGTCTGGTCACTTTTCGCATAAGACTGAAGCTTTCGGCGTCTCGATGCACAATAACGCAGTGCGTGCCGATCAACAGCATCGCGAAAAAACATCCCAGTATATAAGAAGACCTTATAGAGACAGCGTGGTAAGAAAGGCCAGGCTATCTCGGATTGAGGCAATGTTCAACTCAATATTTGACCCGCGCCCTACGACGATGAATTGGACAAGCTGAAACGTTTCATGAAGGTAGATTAGACGCCCGCTCTTGACAATGTACCGGAGCAGAAGCTCATCAACTCGATTCGGCCAACTATTTTGACATTCTTGGCATCCAGTGAATTTTTTCGCGGTGAGACCTCGAGTAATCCTCGCGAGAGTGACCCACACCCACAACACCAATTGGTTAGGGCATGAACACGGCTTGGCGACCCATTTTTTGGATTCAGGTAATTGCGCTACGATTTGCGGACACTTAGACCGCCGACTATTGGGTTGGCACCATGTACGGCCATGCACGATGCCACTCGCTCGGAGCAGCGAGTTGCCAATGAGGTTCTGGCTGCTTTATTATTCTGCATTCTTATCTTCAAATTCCTACCACTAGGAGAATTTTCAATATCTAAAGTGTTACATTCGTAATCTCATCCCACGAAATGATGTCTACCTAATAATCCCTGTGAGGCCTTCACGGTGTATGACGACAGTTGCCTGCACTTATCTTTCCGTCGAAGCCGTCGCAGACCAGTGCCAAAGAAGATTGTCTGCAAGGAAGTCTGACGTGATGGCCATGAAATTGAAGTGGTTGTGTGGAATCCCTCTCACTTAAATCTATCGAAAGCCGTCTCAGAGGTCAGTGAGTCATAGCCCTCAAGACTTTGACCTGCGCCAGCCTGCTGCACACTCGACGACCGGGTAGGACAAGTCGCGTGAAGCCTCTCCGATCGAAGAATTGCCCCTTGTAATGAACAGCAGCCCGACGCCAGACGGGCCCGAGAGCAGGTATGCAAATGCTTCGAACAAGATCTTGTTCGAGTGACGTTGGTGTTCCAGCACACAATCCACAACCCACGCTTGCCCATCCTGCGAGCTTGCGCGTGAAGGCAGAATTGCCCACTGACGCTTGAATTTGCGCTGTCAGCAAGGCGACTTCTGGAAATGTTTGTCGTCATCGTAATACGACTGGCCTTTCAGATTGAAGAGTCGACGAGCTCAGCCTGCTCCTCACAGTCTCAAAAGCTTTTTTGGATGACAGATGAAAAGGCTCAACAGTGGAGTGAGATTTGGGAAGGACAGTTGGAATTTCGCCTTCGCCGAGACGAGCACCTGCACACGTGGCAGCCGACCGCTGCCACGCGCGCTGTAGATTGAATCGGACAGGTCTTGAGCTTATCGCGCGTGTTCTCAATTCGCTCCCTTCTTCAACCAATCATCATCTTTTACATCTCTTTGAGAGGGCCAAGCGCCTCCTACTCCGGTATCTTGTCTGAGAGAGGGCACCGGTCGCCGCGCGCGAGCACGTCGATTGTCAATGCATGCGGAGCGATCGGCATAAGCCAATCGACCCGCTTGCTGGAGGGAACCTCGGAAGCCACCCTTTAATCGTGCCGGGCAGTTTGGGCGTACTATACAGCCCCAGTTCGAGGCCTTCACTGGCGCTTCGAACAATCCGTTGAGGATTCGCAGCGATCCCGTACCTCCTCGTCATCGTACGCTTCATACGTAACCGCCTCTGGCGCCCACGTGGCCACCGCTGCGCCCGGATTCTCAACTCACTTCACACCACTTACAGCGGGACAGCGAGCAACTTCTCTGATACAAAATCAAATCAAATCGGAAGACAGCGTGTCTCCTCAATTATTAGATTAACGAACGAAGTCACGTCATGAAATCATACTAATCAAATGCGCAGATCTCGGTGTCAGAGTACCTCGAAGGCACTTTCCAGCGAAAATCGAAGAAAGTAAGGTGGAACTTTGAACCGGCCTTTGTGAAGCAAGCCAGAGAAGACCGTCAAAAATATCGATAGTCCAATATAGTGTTTTCGGTTCTACACCTCGAGAGATTCGAATTGAAAACTGTCGGTAGGGCCAGGTCGCTTTTTGTTGACCTGCACACGTGCCGCCGCCATCTCCGTTTCGGAAGGCATGTTGACAATCATTAGGTAAAGGATGTTCTGGTGGGCCAAAAGGCATTAGAAACCGCCCTGAAGAGACATGGGGAACTTCTTGTCCGATCAAGAAATGCTCAATACTCACACGAACAATACGACGCTGGAGTTGCCCGTTCTTCAGCATCTTTACCTGTTCCTGCATCTGTCGCAGCTGCGAGTCGTAAGCATCTTGGTATTGTCGGAGAAAAGCTTGTTCTTGCTCTACACTGAGACCCATGCTGTGAGCCTGCTGCTGCAGGGCATCTGTCATGAGTCTTTGCTGGTCTTGAATGGCCTGCTCCTGGATCGCGTATTGCGTTTGGATTGCTTGCATGCTTCTTTCGATGTTGGGTGTCAGGAGCCCGCCAGACAAGAAGCCCAAAAGGCCGCCATTGCTTGCAGAGGAGTTGGGGTCAAGGTATCGGTTCTTGAAGCTCCGCACATGAGGATTTGAGAGGACATCCCCTTTGCTTTCTTTCGCCTTCATAGCGGACCACTCAGGTTAGCTTTGCAAAGCGCAAAAAGAAAGTCCAACACTTACATATCGCGCCTGTGCTCGTCGATCAAGGTAGTTGTTAAGGCGAAACACCTTTTTGATATCGGATCCATTGGGCGAAGCTGACTTTTGCTCATCCCGGTAGACCAAAGCGGCTGCCTTGCTTGGAAGGTTGCCTTCACCCTCGGTAGTGGCGGCCACTGGATTGCGCAGGTTCCTCTTTGCGCGGTCCATCAGCTTCGATCGCGATTCCGACGAAGACTCCGGAAGCATAGATCGCGAGATGGCGTCGACCTCTTCTACGCTTTCCTTCTGTTCCATGGCGATAGGGTCGTAAGACATGAGCAGGCAATAAAGTCCACGGGGGCGAAAATACTCTCGGTTGATACGATCCAAAAAGGAATTGGTTCTAGGATTGTGCTGCGAATCAGCACAATAACTCTCGTAAATTTGCAAGTAGGCGCGGACGCACCTCCACTTAGCTTCCGCCTCTGCAATTGCACCGGCAATGAATTGCACAGCAACTGAAACCCCCAAGGCTATGTTGCTGGGCACGAAAGAGGTTCCGACTGCAGCCAGCTGGATAGCAACGAGCCACTTGTTTTGCTGGACCGCCTGGTTGACTAATTTTATGAAGTCAAAAAAGGCCTCTTGACTAATGTCATGCTCTTGTAACGCGGGTGCATATGCCTTGACGAAGCCACGTTCTTTGTGGCCGGGCCTTCGCTGAGGTACCACCACTGGGTGCGTCAGTTTCGGCTGCTCTCGAAGTTCTCGGTCGAGCGGGTGACGATAGGCATTTAAGAATTTATCGATGGCCGACTCGGCATCTTGTGACTTTGAAAATGTGTCACCATCGTCGATTGTTGCGAGCTCACGATCGGGATCTCGAAAGTTGTCAGACGGCACACGTGTGCCATCGTGTTGTTCAGCCATTGAGTGGGTCTTGTCTTGCACCCCTCTAAACACAGTCTATATATATACGAAATCCCACATCGCCCACCTAGCCGAGACTCTGCCGAATAAAGGACTTTCATGCAGATTCAGCAACGTCAGGAACGAAGATCCAATATCTGAAAGATGGCGTAATTGCACATCTCTGTTCTTTTATTGAATATAATGACGTGTCGCCTGCTTGAGACGTTCGCCTTGCAATTAGAACCCCTCTGCATAATATTCTCCCGTAGCGCCAATGTTTCGTGAAAAGAAACTCCAAAAGGTCAAATGCTTCGTAGCGTTTCAGGAACACCTTTGTTCTCGATCTGTCCAGCCATCCTGCAGAGTTTAAGTCGAGCACAAAATTTAAGTCAAGCACGCTAATCGTAGTGGTACTGTTGGTCCGCTCCGTTCATGTGAGGTGCCCTGAGGCTAATTGCTCTGTGCGGTTTCGCATATTTATTGTCGACCTAGTGTCCCTGCAGGCCAGAGAGGCGTTGCCGCCGGGCCCGCCGTTGGGCCTGCCGAGAAACACTAGTGTTCGGGATTAATGGATATTCGCATCCCCTGTCAAGGAACGACCGGGATTGCCTGTACGGCCCACACTTTACTGAGACACGCGCGAGGAACTGTGACTACCAGGCGAATCTTGCTCACGACATGCGCGCCGATAGCGGGCCTAATTTTTTTGATGCATCCCTCAAATGGTCCATCAGGACGCCAAATGAGGAGAGTGCGAAGAGTGGCGTTTCTGCGCCGTCACCAATGTCCATTGTATCGATCGGTGGTGAACATCACGATTTCACGAACTCGTACTCGTCCAAGGCGACTCAAATCAGCTTATCAAGGCCTACCGAACAGCTGCTGCTCCTGGCGGTCCTTCTGCAACGCGTCAGTGTATTTAATATTAGAAAATGACATGGCTCTGCGCAGTACTCTGAAGCCACGACGTCTACGCCCAACCACGACGGCGACGCCATTAGGTGCTGCAGACAAAACGAAAGCTTTATGTTACTAAGATGTATCCGGCTGGGCGGAGTCAGCTCGGGTCATTTTCGTGTCGTCTCGGCGATGTAGCCCGACTTCCTGTGAACAGCGGTTGATTTATAAGGGCCACCAGCAAATTTGTCGTACGTACCCAAGTGTCTCGTTCCCACTTCGCCAAAACCCTCAGCATGAGACGCCTGCAAACAGGTAGGGCTACATAATCTTAAGCATGTCAGTGCTTCTCGCGGGGCGCTGAGAATCGAACAAATCACCGGGCACGACGGGCACGACTTGTTTAGGTTCCTTCAGTGAATTCGCTTCACCATCTTTGTAGTTCCTATCAGCCACAGTGTGCAACCATGTGTGGTTCCGGATGTTGAACCTTGACTTCAGCGAAGGCTCTGCACCTCGAGGCCCCCATTTGGCAGGCTTGGCTGCTCTGGTTGACTCCACAACGCTGCGTCTGCGTCTCGTGCTGGCAGGCAATACGCTCTTCTTTCGCGGCGTGCAGCAAAGCCATTGTAGCCACATTGGCACATTAGGCTGTCCAAGAAATAATATCTCCACCACTTTTCCGCATAAACGATTAGTCTAAGTATCTGCCCATAATTTCGCGCACTGCCCACCCTGTAGAAACAGATATGCGTAACAAGAGCGCCGTAGCTGATGGTCTGAACCTGAACCGATAAGCGTGAATATGGGTGTTTCCGATGACGATGGCAGCTCGGCGCACCAATCAGGTTCGTGGATGGAGCTAGGTAAGATGATGATGGCCTCTCCATAGCGCTCGCTATCCGTGACTGTCTACGTAATTGGCTCAGAGGGCGCAGAGGGGATGACGCATTCTCGACAGCAACGGTGGCTCGCTTGCTCCTGCTACTACATGAGATTGCTAGGAAGCGTCGCGCTCGGACGCTGCCCTTTGGGCCTGTACAAATTCATCGCCGCCGTACCCATCGAAATGAAAGCTAGATGAAGCGCCCTGAGGTAAAAGAAGAAGCGATGACCAGTATGCTTCGTCGAGGATGCATTCCAAAGAGAGCTCTGACTCCTGCAGCGAGCTCATCACGCTCGTGAATCTCGCCGAGGCATCATTCTCCAAGCAGCTGTTCGAGACTGCACTTTGAGTGCTAGGCGGCACTGACAGCTGGTCTGGGCGAGGTTCACCCATGAGTGCTGCAGTACTGTGGTTGCAGTCTTCCGGCAGTAAGGACGGTGAGGAGGGAGAAATTGTGTTTGACCTCGCCACGGAGGTGATGCTGGTAAGCGGGAAAGGGGGTGGCGCGAGACCTCTTGTAGTAGTCTGCTCCGATTCGAAGGATGCCCACGCGTCGGATGCAAACGGAGTCTTCTGACCGTCGGCATGGCCAATCTCGGCTATTGGCAGAGCACCGGACGAGGCAGCGCCGATTCGGCTCCTGCGATGACGGTGGTCGCTGCGTCCTTGCGCGTCGACTTGGTGGTCGCTGCCTTTATCAATGCCGACTTCTCTCACGCTTCCGAGCAACCCATGGTACGAGTCTACAATGGAGCGCAGAAATGCGGCGTACAGGGCCGGACAATGGTCACTATCGACAGCAATATCATCCAAAACCTTGACTGCTCCTTCCACCAAGTTGTAAGCCTGGGACGGGGATGCGAGTGTTGAGAAGCGAAGTTGAGGGAGTTTGAGAAGGAAGATGCAGGCGTACGAGATCATCACATACTTGTTGTCAGGGTGATGGGCATGAGTAATGTGAGTGGGGAGGAAAATACGTCGAGGGGAACTCACTTGAATGTCAGGACTGTAGCGCAAAGACGCTCGCATCTCTCCTTCAACAGCCTGAACAACATTTTTGGCAGATTGAAAGCAGATGTCGAAATCTGTGCCCAGGTAGGCAAGACAGTGGTTAGCCAATGCACGCAGCACGAGCAGATCGCAAGAAAAGAGGAGGAGTGACGCAAGAGCTATAAACCGATGCCGTGTGCGCGAGACCGACGAACACTCACATCCTTTTCCCGGACTTCCGGCCTCGAGAGGCGACTTCATCGAGTGCTGGACCCCATAGCTGTTTATGATGAGCTTGGCGTACTCGAGTCGAAGTATGAATTGCTTGCGAATTGACACCAGGACAGTTGTCGACCACTTCTCGTACGGATCGTAATCCACTCCGCCCATGTCGTCCACATCCGTGGGTTGGACTAACCCTCGATGTTCCCATTTGCGCTTCCAACGGTCAAGCTCCGCATTGAATGTTGACAGTGTCATGTGTAGCTCATTTGCCGTGCTCAACGCGTAGGTCCGGTTGGTGAAGGCATTGAGACATTCGATTTGGTTCGACTGTGCGGGAGTTCGAAACAGAGAGGTGGTTGCTCAGCCCCTGCTGGGGTAGCAACGACAAGACTGGCGCTCTCACTGTACACTCACCAGGATGCAATACAGGTCGGCAAAGGCGCTAACGGCCACATCCCAGGGCGCGCTTAGCTCCTGCTGGCACCAACTTTCGCAGCCGCGAACGAGGGAAGACTCTCTAAGTAAATAAGCTTTGCCCATCTGGGCGCTCATGCTCCGATCGATGGCAAAGATTAGGAGGTAACAACGCTGGCGATTTAGTGTCTCCATATCTTGCTCCCGACTCGACGTCGGCGGTTGCGATTTTGTTTGAGCTTGCTGTGAAGTTGAATCAAACCTGCCCTCGCGGCCCAGAAGTCCTCCGCGCTGTAGATCAAGATCCGTGGCCATACATCTTGCCAAGCCGCTAAACGTCCAAGCGTTGTCAAAGTCGAATCGTTGGCAAGGGCGTCGCCACAGGCACAGGAGAGCGAGGCTGCATCAAGGCAAATAAGCGGACAAAGAGAGGCTGATAGCGAGGCTCTACTGCAGAAGACAGCGACCCCTCTTTGCGACTCACCCTTGCGCAATTTCGACGCTCTTGTGACCCTGAAAGACGCAGACAGACGCGAGTCGCTCACAAATGTTCGACAGTGTATGGTACAGCTGCTGTTCTGCCGGCCTCGTTCGCAACCTCTTTCTCAACAGTGGCGACTCATAGTAGCGGCTCGCGATGGCACAGATGCATGTATAGAGAAAGACCGACCTCTTGAGTGTCATCGTTGGCGTGTATAGCGTTGGGTCGAGTATGCACAGGTGTTGAGCGCAACTGTTGAAAAAGATATCAAAGAGCTCCGAGGCTTCATCGCGCGTGATTAGGCCAGTCGTGAGAATCTCGGCCTTGCCACAGCGATCGCCATGCTGAAAGGCGGGATTCACGCCGCCAATGTCTTCCTCTCCGGTGGTGTCAAAGTATTCCTGACAGGCCACACCCATCTTTGACGATGCAGTGTGAGAAGCAGGGGATGAACAGGCAGCCATCGAGGACCCCCTAGCTCTCTTCGGCGACGAGTATCCAAGCGCATCGTGCTCTTGAGAATGCCCGTCAGCGATATCTTTGCTCTCCACAAGGCTGCAATACGCTGTTTGTTGGGAAGTAGAGCTCATGACTGCATGAGCAACAGCGCTTCGACGCGAGGAAGCTTCCCGAAGAGTGTTCATTGGCGCGAAGCTGTAGCCCGTAGAGACAGGACCTATAAGGGCACTGGTCAAGTTATGTTGCTTCGGCGACGCGACGCGATCAAACGGCCGTAGCTCGTCCGATCTCATTTCTTCGTATGACGCTGCCAATGCTTTTTCCTGCGGTCGAACGTCTGAGAGAATCGACTCGATCCTAGCAGTTCTATGTAGTATCTCCAATCCATCTCTGTCAAATGGATTGACTTCTGTCGTGTGACTGGCATCTTGCTGGCGATCACGTCCGGCTTGTGGTGCTGCACCGTCGGCGCTTGTTGTGCGGGCGTTGCAGCTTGCACAGACCAAACCGTAGGTGCTGGTCGTCGCCGTCACCTCATGCCGATGCAGAGAAGGGGACGAAACCTCATCTCTGGCACTATGCATGCGCTGTTCGAATCGTGCTTCGTCGCCTCGCAAAGTCTTCCCGTCTCTGCTGCATGCCGGCATTCGCCCGCCCAAGAAGCGGAGTCCATTATCAGACGAATTGACGCTCGTTTCTTCTCCATTCCTTCGCCTCAGCACAGGACCAGACCGCGTGGCGGCAAATATACACGTATGCCCCACCCGGGCACACCGCCTGCACGGTCCTACTATCTCCCTGCTTCCCGAGTAGTCATACTGGGGCTCGCATCTCATCTTTGTCTTGCGACACTGCATGCATGCGGTTGCTGTCTTCTTCGGCTCAGAATCGGCCCTCATCGCTTCGGACGCCGCCAAAGGTCTCTTTGTCTTTGCTCGATCTAGCGGACCTTCCCGAACAAAAGAGGACGCCAGTGAAGACGATGAGGCGAAGGACGCGGCCCTCTGCATTTTCCTCTGAAAAATGCGGTACTTGTCAGCTCTGTCATCACCTTCGACGACACTTTTGACAGCCACCTCGGTATGAGAGACAGTAGACCACTTCAGCTGAAGTGCTACGTTTTCTCTTTCGCCGGCGCCGTTGTTCGAGTACGTGGAAAATTGCTGAACCGTGGAACAATCTGCCTCGGCAGCTCGATGATATCGTCCATCGTCGTCACCACCACCAGCACAGGACGCGCTTCTAGAATGCATCTTGGCACCACTATTTCGCGACGTTCCGATTTCGTTGCCGGCCGGATGGGACCATCTCTGGCCTTGGAGAGCGAGTGTGGGGCTGGCACTAACACCGAGACTATCACGTGCAATTGTCGCTTTTGCGGGGCCACATGGCACAACCGATCTACTCCACTGTCGCTTGTCGCACGCGCCTGGTGGTCTGAGCGCGAGCGCTTGGACCGCCTCGACGCCAATTACTTCTCATATAAATACTCCTTTTTCTCTTCATCGAACATCATCTCTTGCTCTTCTTCGTCATCTGAATGATCGGGAGCATGAACAGCTTCACCGTCGCCGCGACACGCGGCGGTCGGAGCCACCTCAGAGCGCAGGGGCAGCCTGGGCGAGCTATATCGTCCCGGGTCGAGGTCGGGCGTCAGCTCGACCGACCCGTTGGAATCGATCAGCTCGGCCGATGTACTGTATTACCTCAACTCCGTCAATGACGGCGGGCACGCTAAGCACCCAGACTTGCAACTGAATCATCTCAGCATTCGACTAAGAAGGTCCATACAATATTGTTACAATATTGTTCTAGTTCAACTTTAATAATTTAGATTATCAATTCAAAAGGAAGGTGGTGAATCATCTCAGCAAAACTTGTCGACATATTGTTTGCGGTAAGATGCGGTAAAAAAAGGGAAGGGGTGAGTGAGTTACTAGCTATGATATGATAGAGTTTTCTAGCAGGAATGGTAGATGATTCATCTAGGCGCAGTTTGTTGCTGCCCCCGCATCGCACACATCTTGATGAGAAAGGTGTGTAGTTTGGTCAGCGAGAGAGTCGACTCTCAAATAGGTCTTTGGTTTCTCACATTGCTTGAGAGGTGGCTCGGATCTCGAATTCGTCCCGTCAGCGGTCACCAGCTCAAAGGCGACAGTTACCACGTTTTGGATCTCTGCAACGGGCGCACCAAGATTGTTTTGCTGGCAGCTCGACTTGTCGAACTTGGTGATGTCTGCAGTACCGCTGGAGGTAAAGGCTTGCTCTGCAATCGCGTAAGCCGCCTGGTCGAAGGGTAGCAAGATGTGCTCGACAGCATGGGACGGGCCGCATACATCTTGAGATTGTAGCGGAAATTGAGCTGACCCATTGAGCGCGCTTGTTTCGGGTCCGACGGGCAGGATGGCGGCAGCCAATGGGTCATTTCCTAGTAGGAATTCATCGAACAGTTCCGTGTAGACGACCGTCGTTGGGACGAGTGCATGAGTAAGAAGAAGGTTCTGCGCTGCGATGAAGTTGCTGTCGGCGTTTTGCTGAATGAGGCTCGGCGCACAACCCTCCCCCAGAGAGAGGGCATCCTCGGCTGCGCATATGGCATAGAGGGTAAGTTTGATGCCCTGAAAGTCAGGCGCCAGCCCGACGAAGTCGTCGACGACATTGCGTGCGGAGGGCCAGAAGAGGAGTGCGTGGGGAATGTTGAGACCACCGCCCTGACTGTGGCCAACAACCTTGACCTTGCCCGTCGCGCTCTTTTTTGACAGTTGAATGATGTTGTACGCAACGTATTCTCCAGACACTTGGGCATCGCTCATGGACTGATTGGGTAAATCAACTGTGGCAGAAGGATGGTCAACAGAGAGGTTTAAAGTATATGGGATCTCATCGTATTCACTCCAGCATACGTCGAAGCCAGGTCCAGCGCTCGGCAATTGAGTAATGAAGGGGCTTTCCGAGTACGTGATTTTGCCCGTGAGCGTGGTTCCATGTACCAGCAAAACGACACCGCCAGCTGCAAGAAATTCGAATCAGGAACACGCATTGATGGTCAGGTTTTCTTGCTCACGTTTGCCCTGTACACCGTTGGGGCAGGTGATGGCGCCGGCCATGTCAGCAATAGGCTGGGTGAAAGGCGCATCTTTTGTGGGTAAGCGTGGGTTGAGCGCTGCCGTCGGTGCAGCCGCTGCAGAGAGTAAGACTTGGGAAAGCGCAAGTGTTGCGGCCGCACCCATCGAAACGAACTTCATCGCTGTTGGTGTTGGTCCGGATGAGGAGTGCTAAATGGCTGTGGATGGGAGTGGATGAAGAGACATGATGGTTGACGAGCTTACACTTTATATCTATTTACCACTAGGCTTCTTTCTTCCTTGCCCCGCATTGTTTATTTTGCCCCGCATTGTCTAGCTTGGCCGGCTTTGTTTATGCTAGATTTGCATCTATCAGACCGCGCCGGTTCCGACGCTAGCAGCAACTGATCGATCCGCCGGTCCCGACGCTAGCGGCAATTGCCCCATCCTCCGGTTCCGACGCTAGTAGAAACTGCTCGATCGGCCGGTTTCGACGCCAGTAGCATTTGTGTCGGACCCGGTTCCGACGCTAGGGGTATAAGCTTTCTCGTTCTGATCGTCGGAGGAAGCACACAATTTTCGGTATCAGAGAGGTAAATGCAGGGTGAGCAGGCAGACTCAGCGGTGTAATGAGCGCTTAGATTAGAATAATACATCGTTTGCGTAGCATGGGTCAAGAATCTATGATTGTGATGTCTGGGGGAGGGAAATGTTTACTGCCGGGTGCCATGTTCACGAGAATCGATGGCTCCTTCGTTTGATACACTCTCACCCTACCCACAGCCGCCCATTCGAATAGGGCCCTGGTCACGTACAACCTTCTTGTTCGAAAGCTGAAGTACGGATAGACAATGTCCTCTTAGCGCGGGACGCGGGACGAAAGACATCTCTCGGATGCCCTTTTACGGGACACGCTAGGAGTGCGGGGATGTATGCTGAAGCAAAAGGCAAGCGCCTTTGGGTGTCAGTGATTTCTTTCATAATCTCGACACCTAATGTTGTAAGATACAAACGAAGTGCACGCGGGAGCGAGCGCAAGAGCAGGATTCATGTCGATCTGGTCGAGCTTAAATACCAAGGGCAATCTCCGGCTAGCCCTCTCATACTCACAAAAAAAATGAGTGCACATTTACCTATGAGGGACGTCAGCAGCCATGACAGCCGCCATGACGAAGAAGTCAATGAATTCAAGGAGCTCCAAGCGCACCATCACTTCCAACGTCGTCATCGTGCCTCTGGCGAGCTAGGTGAGCATCCTCTATCTACTTTGACATCTTCTATCGTCTAACGCGGTGTCCTTGCATCCTACAGAGCTTGGAGCGACCGAGATCATTGAAGGCCGCTTTGATATACAGCGTCAAGTGGTAGCCTCTTCAGGTCTCGCCGACAGCAAGCTCCGTCATTTGTGGGAACAAATTCGACCAGATCTGGTCAGCGCTCTCTTTGCCGAGGCCGTGGGAGGTGAGCACAATGTAGTAGAGGAAAGTGTCGTCAAGTTGTGCTAATCAGCTCCATTTGCCGTAGTCTGGTTCTACTGTATTGCTGGCGAGACTGCCACGGCAACTTTTGTTCTGACAACGGCCGCAGGTCAAACTCAAGGAAATCTCACCATGATTGGATTTGCTTACGCCCTAGGAATCACCTTTGCCATTGTGGTCGCTGGTAGCACCTCAGGTGGCCACTTTCACCCCGCGGTGAGTTTGTTCAAAAATCGTTCTCTTCTTGTCTGCGGAGTGTAGGAGCCGAGGAACGACACGCTTTTGTCAAAGTGGGCTGACACGTTCTCAATTTATAGATCACAATCGCCCAAGTCATTTTCAAGGGATTCCCGCTCCGAAAAGCGCCACTTTACATCTTTGCTCAGCTCGTTGGGGGCTTCGTTGCGGCCCTTATGGTGTACGCAATGTACAAATTCGAAATGGACAGCTTCGGTGCGGAACTGATTGCCGGCGGAAAGCGCGCCCAAATTTTCACACCACAAGGCCCCGCCGGTATCATCGCCATCTTTAATACGCCTGGCCGGCCACTGGGTCAAGTTTTTGCGACGGAATTCTTTGCTGACACTGTGAGTGGCGTACAGCCCTGTGAAAAATCATTGCTCCAATCTGATATCTACGCGCTCACTCACGACTTTCTTGCCTATTCCAGTTCATTGCCATGGTCATCTGGTCTCAGCTCGACTCGCAGAACATTTTCGTCCAGCCTGCCTCGGCACCTTTTACTATTGGCCTATCCTTTGCTGTCGCGGTGTGGGGCTTTTCTACGGGCACCATCGTGACAAACACGGCAAGAGATCTTGGTGCAAGGTTTGCCTGTGGTGCTATCTACAAAACGTCGGAGTGCTTCCCTGCGAGATATAGCGCCCTGGCGGCTCTTACTAATATACCCGCCACGTTGTTCGGCGTCTCACTCTATACATTCCTGCTGAGCGACACGAGAAGGCCGCCCGCAGCCATTGCCCTCGGGCATGTTCACGACGACGAATTACGGCGGTACGAGCGCAACACAAGCAAGCACGACGAGTTGCTCGATGCGCGTATCGAGCGCGCTATCAGCAAAGGTGTCGATCCACACAAGCTCGTGTCTAAGCGCTCCAAGGTCCCGTCCGTGAGCTCTGCCAAGCCCGTGCGACAACTTTGAGTGTACTTTTTGAGACGACAGCTCAGAGAGATGGGGAGAATGAGAGCAATTTCATATTAGAGTGATTGCGAACTGTGAGAATTGAGGAAAACCGCTTCATCCCAAATAACGAGAGAGCAGTGAACGAAAGATATAAATGTATGTGATGCTCGTATGCATGCGCGAGCGAAATGAGAGAAACTCCAAGTAAAAAAGGGAGAGGGGACGACCTCTTCCCTAAGTCGAAGCATTCAGAAGCGTAGCAACGTCACGCTTCCACAGCCTCGTTTGCACCACGTTTGCCGACCATCTATATGCTAAGTGACACCAAGGCGATGTAGACCCTATACAAGTGGCGCACCAGGTTCGCGTCCGCGCTTGCTAAGTCACGCAAAGACGATGGAATCTGGAGAATTCACATCCTCTTGCTGTGGTTGCGCTCTGTCAAGGCACCGCTTGCCCTACGCATGTCAAGATTATCTGTCCTACTGATGTCAAGAAAGGTGTAGCATAGGAAATACTTTGAACAACGACACTTTCGCGGGTTTTGGGCCACGTCTCAAGCTGGTACGGAATGAAGTTCGCTTCTGATGCTATTTTGAAAATGTTGGTGATCTATTGCATTCTCGAAAGGTTTCTTACCTCTCAATTGCAGAAACAATAATCCTGGGGCGTGACTACGTATAAGTTGCTGCTTTTCTCACCTGTCAAGCAAGGTAGTACTTTTCTCGACGCTCTCGAATTATCGCTTTGTCTCCCGAGAAGAATCGTCTTCCGAGTTGAACAGTTCTTCAATTACAGACCAGAGCAAGCAAGCTAAAGAGGTCTGGTGGTAGCGATACTTGAGCATAACCATGAGCAGGAGAAAAGGTGACATCACCGCCATTCTGCACAATGCTGAAGCGCAAACGACTTTGCCATTTGTGAATACCGATAAATTAGTAATACTGTGAATCTCTTTCCTCGAGGAAGATCCTTGCGAATACTGCAGAGCATAAGTGATGAACATGTTTGCTTCTCGGCACTTCGAGGCGAGCCGTAGCGAATTCAGATGTTTTCCTTCGATCGGCTCAATCACATTTTGTTCTGGCGATCCCGTGCATGACTGAGGCACTTCCATTCTGTTCTTAAGCTTCAGGTTGAAATCGTGCAGTAGATTGGGGTTGAACAGCGCTCCTTTGTTGCCCTGATATTTACAAATCTTTTCAATGATCAAGTATCATGACTTTCTGGCCTTGGTGTCTTGCCAAAGGTGCGAACACCTTGACTGGCTTCTTGAGATTGCGGTCTTCTACAGCACACAGCTGTACACACATAGAGTCCAAACATCTGACCGTTTCTGCGACGGGACCCTCAACGGTTCAAGACCCCCCAATGTTGTGGTGCTTCTGGTTGCACTTTTGTCCAGATTTGTGATGAAAGTCGCCTTGCTGGCGCTTCCTCACGATGTTTCATTGCGAGGACCCAGTTGAAGCATGCGCACTACTTTTGCCAGACTCGCGGTGAGCAGAAAGGAAGTCGTATGTCAATGTGGTGCGTAAAATTCTTCCTGAGAAAGCGTGAAGGAAGCTAGCAGGAAGCGTGCAACAAGCGTGCAGCAAGCGGTGGTCTTGACACGGTGAGGCTGAAAAGGTCATACAAGGTATTGCATTGCCGATGGTGTAGCTGTCGTCGATCCAATCTCGCTTGTGCCATTACCAATTGAGCTGTTGCAGGTGGACTCGTCGCCATTAATAAGGGTCAGTTTTCTTAATACACGTTCGCAGACACCCGTCCATCGAGAAAGAACCTTTTTCTTGTTTGAATTCCTGCGTATTCTGGGGAACGATGAAATCAGAAAAACAGATACACATTCTAGAGGACGAGGGAGCATTGGAGTTGTTGTTCCCGGACGATAGTGATTATCACATTCGGAGCAGTCGTGGTGCCCTAGCTTTCGAAACTGCTGACCCATGTGTATTTTTCTTCCGAAATTTCAGGTATTCAGAATGAAGTGAGGACACAAGATTCATATGGACACTTAGCCCTTTGTTAAAAGAGCTTTATGCACCTTTGAGGGCTTTACATTCAACACACTGTCAGCCTAGCTCTCGTCGGTGCTGACCCCAGTATTGTGTCGTAGACACGGGGCCAGTTGACGAAGGCCTCGCTCCTTACTGCTAGGGAACCCTAGCGCCTTGAACGCTGCAGGCGACTTGCAGGTCTCGGTGCTTCACGAGTGTCGGTCATCCCTACCCTCTGCTAATGGAGCTCCACAAGGGAAACCGCGATCTCATCAATGACCTACACTGAAGTTTTACCGAAGCGCGTGTAGCGTAAGGTGCTCGCGGTGTCCGTGACCTTCTTCAATTAGCTGTACGGGAGTTTCAAGAAGATTTGCGCCGTCTACGCGTTTGTAAGCCCCGTTCATCAGGAGGTCGTCAACCGGGCGCAATAAATGGCATCATCCACCTCATGGTCCTCTGCAAAATTTTCCATCGGGGTAATGCTCTCCGTGCCATAGTACTGCCTAGGCAAGCAGCAGAATGCCGTCACAAGCAAGGACTGTGATTGTGTTCACGTCGAGATGCCCAAGCTCGAGGACAATGCCGGCAAGCACAAGCAGCGGCACCGGCTGCGAGACGGCCTACCGAAACGGAAAATTTATCATCAGATCTACCCTCTTCCGACGGATTTTGGCCCGGGGCAGTCCTCGTAACAGCATTTGAAAGTGTTAAACCAAAGGTGATCCTACCAGACGCTGTCGACATGGCCCTTAAATTTTCATGTAAGGCTTTGAGGGTTCAGAAGGCGCAAGGTGCGGCGGGTGGATTCCAAACATTGCATTCCCTCACTGCTGTTGTTGTTAGGCGTTCTCACATCTCTGATGGACTCACTCATCAAGTAGAATCGAGACTTCTAAGACCGTCCTTTACCGACATGAGAGATATATGGCTAACGCGCGCGGCATTGTCCCCCTTGAGAACAAAATGCTAGAGGTCCGGTCGGGCCAAAGATCGATTTTGTACTCCATTTGATTAGATTTATCTTGATTAGAATTCCTCTGTCAGCTGACAAGTGCACAGCACTTTACAGATGCGCTAACACGAAATGACCAGAAGCGGCTCATCTGTAGTGAGGCGTCAGCTGACGTGTTCCGTAACTTATCATGATAGGCGTAATTTGAAGATTTCCGCGCTCCACACGCTCCAGCATTTAGCAACATCATCCCGCGGTCCGGCTCATCAGGACTAAAGGCTGAGAAGCAAGCGCTGAGCAAAAAGCGGGCCGCTGAGCAAGGACACAAGAACACGACCCTTCCTGACTCCTGGCTGAAGGGATTGATAGAAAGTCTAGATATACGTTGCGTCTTCTGCCTCCGAACCTCGCATCTTCCCTGCGCCCTGAAAAGGTTTCCTTGGAGAAAGCGCCTTCTTGACATCTTCTAACGTCATGTCATTTCAGAGGAAATCTTACGCAGGTTCGATCCTCATCACCGGAGGCACCTCAGGCCTAGGATTTCAAGCGGCGCTCGAAATCGCCAAGGCATGTCCAGAGTGCTTGGTCGTGTTAGCATCTCGCTCGAACAAAGATGCAACCGAGCAGATCAATGACAGCCTTAAGCAAACAAACACGACATTCCAGTCACTCAACCTTTCGTCTCTTTCTTCGGTCCGCGCCTTCGCAAGCGCTTGGGAAGCAGAAAACTATCCACCCTTGCGATGCCTGATTCTCAATGCTGGTCTCCAATTTCCTGGTGGCCTGGTCAAGACAGACAATGGTCTCGAGGCTACCTTTGCCATCAATCATGTTGGTCACGCGTTGCTGTTTTATCTCTTGACTCCCTATTTCGAGAAGGAAGCAAGGATAATCATCACATCAAGCGGAACGCACGATCCTGACCAGAAGACCGGCATGCCCAATGCGAAGTACAGCTCAGCTCAAGAATTAGCGTACCCTTCTGACGACATGGTCAACATCGATGGGAGGCAACGATACTCCAGCAGTAAATTGGCAAACGTACTCTGGACTTATGCACTTGACCGGCGTTTACGAATGCAGAAATCAGCTCGACTTACAGTCAATGCATTTGACCCAGGCCTGATGCCTGGCACGGGCCTTGCAAGGGCATACGGCGCCATGCCAAGATTCATTTGGAGCAATGTCATGCCACGCCTCCTTCCTTTGCTTCGCCTCGCTCTTGGAACCAACAATATCCATACAACGGCGAATTCTGGTGCAACTCTTGCTTGGCTGGCTACAAGTGAAGAATTGGACGGGAAAAGCGGCCTCTACTTCGAGGGAAGACGGGCGATTAGGTCAAGTCTTGCAAGCTACGATCGGGAGAAGCAGGACGATCTCTGGAGTTGGACTGCCACACACGTGGCGCAGACAGAGGAGGAAGAAGCAAAATTTCGAGATTTGGCTACTCTATAATTAGATACACTAGGTGAATTGCATACCAAGTATTTAGTTAGGGTACTAGTCTCTCAGTAACGACTAAAATGATAATGCATCACGGGAAGCTTCACAGAAGGGGCGGTGAGAGCGAATTGAGATACATCTCTTTTCAAAGGAATTGAGATGTAATCTCGCACAGTCTGAATACGAATAAACCACTTGGGACGCTGGGCGCGCTCGCAGCCGTCGCCGGCGGTGAATAAGTAAGTACCTTGGGCCGCGCGGACGGGGTTGGTCGAGCTTCAGTGAAGACGTCGGCTTCTGAAAAATCAGCTCACTCAGATTGCCCATGAACAGGGCATTGACACCAGCAAATGTCATCGCGTTGACAGGGCCGTCGATGCTCTCGACCGTTCTGGCGACAGACAGAGCAAGAGATACAAGATAGTCAATCGGAGCGATTACTAGAAAACTAAGACGCATGTCAGCGCGGACTCTTTGACAACGACGAGCTCATTCACAACTGGCTCAAATGCCACTTGAAGCCACATCCCCTCATAATCGATGGCGGTCCTCTTCTTTACGGTCTCAGCGAAACCCAGATGAGGGCCGTAGCGCTGATCCTTTCACTCCATTGAGCTTGGTCCAAGGCGTGAGTTGCTTGGTCAATCCATCCTGACCACTTCCCCATTGAGCTGACAACTTCGATTTGTCGAACGCTGCTCAGCCGCCAGGGACGGGTAAAACAACTACTATCGTGGGCGCCATCGGGCTTATTGATGCCCACTTCCAAGTCCCAAATCCCATCCTTCCTGTGGATCCGAGGACTCAAAAAAGGCAAACTCTACAGCCGCGTAGCCGATAACGTCGACGCCGTCGGGAGCGCTCGAAAGAGATAGGTCGGCCAGACAATCGAATAATTGCCCTTGACAAAACCGTTGATGCTCCCTGTCGGGAAGACAAGAAAGAGAGCAAGTAACGTGGTTATTCGGAGATGAATATGAGCTTCCAATCAGACAGGAATAGGCGTCGCAGAAGTCCCAGAGCTCAACTTACCAAGCATTCCGGCTGACAGACCGCTGCTGTGGAAAACATCGAATTTCAAAGTGTCCTGAAGGCCCGAGCGCTCGACAAGGAGGCGTCAATGAGGCCGAAGTAACTTGTGCAATCTTGACTGCCTCTACTGTCCAACGGAAGGAGGAGGGTTCGCGACTTTGTAGGCGATGGCGACAGCTTCACTTTCGCTAGGTTCAGTTAGAACGAGTCGAAGCTCATCAAAGTGAAATAAATTATAATAATAAGTCTGACTCCATGTATCGAAGTCTTACACCGGATCAACATCGTTACTTGATTGAACATGTAGAACATGTGCTCTTCGCCCATCTCGACTGCACCGCATCTCCAGTCGCCTCGCCCGGTCTGATGAGTCTGCCGTAAAATCGGTCGTTCCAGCTGATGCCGTACTTATATTGAGCCCCACTCTGTTTTCTGCTCACCCTTTGCGAAATGCTCCCTAAACAGACATGCAGACTCTGTCTGACAGGATGCAGTGAGTAATCCACCTAGCATGGTTTTATTTCTGTTCTAAGCACCGTTCTCGCTCCGCATATCCTTCTTCGCAGGTCGTTGTTCATTAGAGTTTTATTGTAAATGTTCTCTTAGTCGCCCGATCTTCTTTCTAACCTCAACGCGAGAGTAGCTTTTTTCTTTTCGCACGAAATTCGAAAGATATGCGACCAACTAAATTTCATAAGGCAGACAAGGTAGAGAAAGACTTTGGCGCCAATGTGAGTAAACTTTGAACTGCGCGGCTTTAACAGTGAGCTTTGCACTGTAATTGGTCAAGGATCATAGCGCCTTTAAAGTCCACCGATTATAATGTTTGCTAACCAGTCGCATCACGACATACGTGACTAGTGCTTCCTGTACCATGTAACGGCACGCTCGATTCCACTACCTAGCAGACCCGAAAAACTCCGAAAATATTTCATGATAATATATAAAGAGCAACGAGCAACCAGAAACTCTCACTGGCAGCTCACCAAATATGTCGGGAAAGACTATAGTGGAACGCGCGCTGCGTGTTGCAGAGGAGGAAGATAAGATACTCGGCATTCGCTTTGGTCACAGACAAAACATTTCAGTCGGTACATTCATACCACGTTCAGGTGAGCCAAATTTCTTATGGACGCCATTTCTTTTCTTTTTCGATGGAGAGACGCCTCACAACGGCTGTTCTACAGAGGCGCAGGATCTTCCCCTGCTGCATGCGCCGGCAAACGTGAGGGGAGGAAGGAGATATGTTGCCGTTTGCATCGACATCGACGCGCCATTTGTGTCTCTTCCGATCCTTTCCCCGATTCTGCACTGGATTCAGCCGGGTTTCATCGTGCAAGATGCCGAACAAATCTTGTCGACAGAGGAGCCATATATCTGCGATTACATTGGCCCAGCTCCTCCTCCCGGCAGTAATCCGCACAGATACCTCTTTATCCTGTACGAGGAACCCAAGGACTTCGATACAAGCCACTTTGCACCACAAAAAGGCAAAAAGATCGGAAATTGGACGAGGACCAAATACAATCTTCAGAATTTCGTAGAGCGCGCCAAGTTGGGCGAGATTGTTGCCGCCAATTACTTTACCTCGAATTGAGTTCGAGATGGCGGGAGATATAGGGTTATCTGCATGATGTCCTCTTCTCATCTGTTCTGCCCCGCGTCCCGCCAAGAATGTCAGTGATTGCTCGACTACTACCTCCTTTCGCGTCCACGTATCACGTCGTCGATCGCATGTCGAGAATTGTGTTTTGCGTACCACCACAATATCAATTCGTATCTCCGATATGCCGGGGACATCATTCGCAATTTCGAGCGTTGAACTAGGCCAAGTACTTATAGCTGGGTCTACTCATTCATGTTCGAAAGACCTGGCTCTTAGCAATTCGAAATGATGAAAAGTGTAACGTGGTTGTGCCGAATGACCGTTTCTGTTAACAGAGTATATAAAATTAAGCACTTTCATACGATTGAGCTTCTCCTTTCTAAAATATACCTTCTTGATATCTTGCTGTGTTACACCTCTTCCTTCTCCGCGCTTTTCCGGTACCTCTCTTGAAGGCCCTCTCTTCGCTCTTCGCTCAACTGATTGTTCAACTCCTCGATTCCGTTTCCGCTTTGGGCTTCGGCAACGATATGAATTGTGGCTGATGACCTTTCGCCCGCTTAGATGAAGCCCTTGGGTTTCATATTATCTTTGTACGGATTGAGCGGTCTTCATTTTGCGGGTAAGGAAGCATGGACCCCTTCGTCCTTCATGGCTGCAATCCTTGCGTGGGCTGTAGATCACTGGCGGGCATAATTACGAGGTTGACTGTTGTAATAGGCATGTCATTGTAATATATTTTCTTACAAAGCTCAGTGGCTGATTACGTACTCAAGCCGCGCACGGCGCTTGTGTCTAAGCTCGTACGCGTCCAGCATGGCAGCATGATGACACAACTTTCTTTGTCTCCTCTGCAATCTTTGCAGCTCTGGTACTCGATGTCCAAGTCTATATCACCAATACCAAGAACAGTCCCAGGATCATCCGTGGACGAGGTGCAACCGCCTTAGTTGGAAAGTTGTGACCAGGAAATTCGCTCTTCCGTCAACTAGTCCGTCAGTTCTAGGTCTCAGGAGAGATCGGCTCTTGAAGCGATATCCCGATCCTCACAGCATCTCGAATGCTCTGGCTTGCTAAGCTCAGAGCAGAGCGAGAGGCGGAATCTCGACCACAATACGATGCAGCTAGCTAAGACCGCATCTCAATTCTCAAAAACCTCGCCGAACCTCCTCGACGAAGGTAATGAGGACCTGAGCCAAAGCAATCTTCGGTCACCCAATAAAGGCGGCGGCGGTGAGAACGTCGATTTCGACTCTTCAGACAGTGGATCTGGGTCCTCTGCGGGAAACAAGACCGTCAGAGAGGGCATCGGCTTGGTGTCAAGCAGCGTTGGGTCAGGATATTTGCCGTCTTCGGGGCAGGATGCCACGGTATCACAAACAAATGTCTGGAGCTCAAATTCGTCGGCGAAAGTCAGCAACGCCATGCCGACGCTGAATGATATGGTACACAGAAGATCTCGTGTGAGCGAGCTCGAGCAAGAGAGCATGACGTCTGCAAGTAGAGACGGCGATTCCAGTCACCGTATTGACGACGTGAGTAATGAGAACGATTCATGTTGCTGGTCTCAGATCAAGCTCACCGGACAGCTCTACCGGGCAGCCTTCTCACAATTTTGGGTTTATCCAGTCCTTCGGCTGCTTAATAGCAGTACGAGAAGCGGACGACGAAGGATCACTGGAAGTTCGACAGTGCTCCGAGGTGAGTAAGATCTGTGCCCTATTATCCTTCACCATGTCGTTGTCTTTGCTCACCTCTCGGCTTTGCAGAATACTGAAAAAATTCTTGGACTATCGCCCGCTTACCTTTTCTCGTTGAATTCTTTTCTGGATTGTCTCGATGACGATCAAGCAGAATATCTCCGGGACCACATTGAGGCACTCTCCGAGCCACAAGACAAGGAGACTGAGTCTGACCCGAGCGTCTTTCAGCTCAACGGCTGGAGTCAGGGTGAGACTGGAACGAGGAAGCGGTGGGACTGTTGGTGTGCCGCGCACTGCGTCGCAACGACACGGAAGGATGAACCAGAGGTGAACGTACAGCCCAAGCCAATAATTGCACTAGAATTCGAACTCGTTCACGACAAGGTCAATCCTTTGGCACATTTTCTCCCTCAGCAACTCTTCAAGGAGAAGGAGTCGGAGGCCGAGGCGGGACCAAACAGATTGACGAGACTTGCTAGCAGCGCAAGTCTTGACGAGATTCGTGAACCGTCCGCTACTGTGGCTGTTGATTCAGTCGTCGCGCTAAATGAAGTCCCAATCGAGGGTACGCCAAAAGCAGTCGTAAATTCCGAGCACAAGCCCTATTTGCCCGCGTCAGAGAATCCGGCCGAGCTGAGGAATCCGCTTTCGAGGCCAAGCAAGGCCGTAGACCATCCGCGGCGGAGTGCTGCTGGCCAAGCAAACGAACATCGCTTCAGACCCGGCCGAACGCGCTCCTCACAGAACCCAATTAAAAACCTCGGCGAAGGACGGTCAATGCTCGATATGTTTGGTATCCTCAGCCAGGTCAACGGACGGATGCAGGCTCAGAATGACATTCAGGATCTCTTTACGGTGGCTGTGAGCGCCATCCGAGAGCTCACGGGCTTCTCCCGCGCTGTGCTGTACCGTTTCGATCAGCGATGGAACAGTCAAGTGGTCCACAAGCTTCTTGACTGGAACCAGAAGAACGAACCCTACAAGGGTGTGCATTCTCCGGACATCGACATCTCCAAGCAGGCTCAAAATCTGTGCAAGATCAACAAAATCCAAGTCCTCTATGATCGAGATCTGCATCCGGCCAAATTGATCTGCAAGGACGTGATCGAGCTCAGAAGACCAATCGACACGTCTCGCTGCTTCCTCCTAGCCGTGCGCCCGAATCGCCTCAGGCACCTTGCCAGAATGGGTGTGCGTGCGTCCATGTCCGTTTCTATTACAGCGTTCAATCAGCTCTGGGGTTTTCTTGCTCTGCATACCTACGATGCTAAGGGAAGACGAGTGTCATTTCCCATGAGGCAACTGTGTCGACTTCTTGGCGACTCAATTGCGCGCAACATTGAACGCTTGACCCACACGAAGCATTTATCGGTCTCAAGCCCAACAAAAGCCCTCAGAACAGACGTCAATACGAGCAAGCTTTTGATCAGCAACGCAGCAGAACTCCTTGTGCATTTTGACGCTGAATTTGGTGCTCTCGCTCTCGGCGATGAGATGGACGTATTAGGCCCGCCCAACGTGGAACCAGAAGTCGTTGATATCGCTAGATATCTGCAAAGCAAGAAGTTCCGGAGAGTAGTCATCTCGGAACACATAAGCGCAGACTTTCCCGACTTGGCTCTATCCAATGATTCGTCGAAGGATATCACTAGCCTGCTTCTTATCCCTTTGTCTGAAACGGGTGCCGATTTCATCGTATTTTTTAGATAGTAGAGGCTTTGCATGTAGGATGAATAGCCGAGACAGTTGTAAACGAAAGGGAAGAAGCGGTTATTTCGTCACCTAGCTTACAGTACGTGTAACGTCAAAGCAATCCTCAAACATTTCTATTAATATCATCAGTAGAATATCGAAAGAGTAGAATACCGACAATCTAACCCTGCGACAGTGAAACTTCACGTAGCCACGCTTCGGGTGACATTCCTGTTTCATGTTTGAATATTCGGTGTATGCGCCAGATGCTAACGCCGAGATCGGCAGCGATAGCCTTGATCGTCATCTTCGAACCCAACCTGGAATTTTGCCTCTTTTGGTTGTGTCCGAACTTCGCGGAATTTGGTGACCCCTCCATCAGTCGGAGCTTCACTTGTCTGGTGAGTTCGTCTCGCGAATCAGCCACTTTGTCTCGACGTGAGGCCGGGCTACATCTTTTGCACGGCCGATATCCTCGAATCTCAGCTTCTCCAGAAGTGTCTTCGAACGTCACTTGAAGTCGCGCAGGCCTTCGTGAGGGACACGTCGTGCGACAGTAGATACGCGTTGTTCGAACACAATAGACAAAAGCGGATGAAGCAGATGCGTCTCTGTTCAAAACAGCCTGCCAACGTAGGTCGTCGAGACTGATGTCAGGTGTTGTTTTGAAAATCGGTTCAGTTCCCAGAATCTCTGCGTCTAAGTTGAAAATCTTCAGAATCTCTTCAGCTGAGCCTTGCAGAACGCTGTTCATGTCGTACTGGCAATTGAAGATGAAGAGAACTCCTTGTTGTCGGCGGAGGACGCAAGATGCGGTTGGTATGTTTATACAAGGAAGGGTTTTTGTGGGACCAGAGAAATTTGAAAGCAGGGCAGACGAGCCTTTCCCAAAAGCACGTTCTTAAGCTTTTCCGGAACAGGCAAGTCTCGAAATGTAATTTCTTTATTTAGTCTCTGCACAATGTCTGCACTCACTTACACCACAATTTGGCACAAACACTTTGGACTCATCCTCTAGGAGATTTAGAAAAGTGGGCGAGGGAATTGCCCTCAAGGCACCAAAGCACCTTTCTGACCTCGTCGAACCTATTTCTACAATCGATTACGCACAGCACCGGCCAAGTCCTTCAAGTGGATTGTCTTCTTCGTATTTTCAGAGCCCATCGTAGCTAGTTTGATGAGCGAGCTTTCGTGGGCACATTGAATATGTGCACCTATCTGTTATCGAGGAGCCTCAGCTACTGTTTGCCTTCTTCGCTCACTGGCCGTGGCTCTGGCCTGTCTTCACATTCGGCCACATTTTCCTCTTGAGTTTCGAAAACTTGTTATAGTCAACACAACCTCCTCCCTACTTTTTTCATCTCTCACTGCCACATTTTGCCGCATCGTATGGAAGCTTATCTGAATAGCGCCAATAAGCAGCTTGCCAAAATTGAAGATTACTAGCTGCACACCTTTAAGATCTAAGATCTATAGATCTCCGAAGAGGGAGACATGCGTCTGCATATATCCGAATCAATTTGGTCGTCATCACCTTTTTTTTCAGTCCACCACGGGACCGTATTGCTTTAGCTTAACAAGACGGGACAAGAAAGATCGAAAAAAGGCAACACGCTTGGAGTCGAAAAAGAGACGAGAGACCTGAGGAAGAACATTATTCTTGAACAACTTGCATAACTAAGTCTGAACGTATCTCATTGTTGTTCACATACGTGTTCCTATCTATACAGGGAGACGATAATTTTCTTCGTCGATGTCTGCAAGAGTAGACTCCGCTAGCTGCCCAGCCTTCAAACCATAGAGGTTCTGGAAAGACATTATCACCGGTCTCCATTTGTCAGAATCGATCCGGTTGACATGGCCCTCTAGCCGTAGCTTCTCGTCGACATAGGTCTGTAGAACTTTGACTTCAACAGCCAGCAGAAACCCCTTGATCGCCGACGGTCCGTCCTTCATAAGCTCATGAACACCGCTCACTTCGGCTTCCATTTGCACTGGACATTCCTGGATGCGTGGCGGAATTACTTTCGCCGACTTTTGCTGAGTTAGTCTCGATGTCTTGAACTTGTTCCCATCATATCGATAACCGAGCTTGATCTTGACATCGGGAATTTCCACCGTGGCAGTCGTGCGAGCAAGTGCATTGATATTAGAAACCATTGTTTCGTCGGGAAGGTTGAGCACGCATTGCTTGGTTCGCAGTAAATTAATGGTGGTTTGTGAGTTGCCTTCTAGACCCAAGACACATCGATCGCCAAGCCACCAGGCAGACGACATTGGACCGATATTGGCTGTGCCGTCTTCATTGGTCGTTGTGACGAGGACGACAGGAGTCCCCCAGTAAAAAATTGCCGGAGAAATGGGTGAGTGAATCATCGTCAAATGTGTTGCTGTGAGACACGAATGAAGCTCGCGTACGATGTCAGCAGTGAAGGAAAGAGTCGACGTTCTCTCGGAGGAAGGTGAGGGAGGGAGTTTTTATACGGCTACCATGCTGGATTCTACAGTAATGTGATGTAAAGTTTGGCGCCAATGTCGCCGGCCTGTCGTTCTTTCTGTCTGCTTTTGAAATAGAAATCTTCTGACCTTCGTTTTCGGAAATTATCCTCCACAGCCGGGCACGTGTAGTCCAGAGCAGCTATTATTAGCACTCAATTCCTGAAAGGAAGGCCAAATAACATCCTCGCAACCCAGACCCCAAGTGTCAGAGTGAACTGATTGCGCAAAGGTTCTTGAGACCATTAAGAATGAAAGTTTATCGCGCTTGCCATAATTAATCTGGTCTTCATAAAGTTTACGTTGATTTCTTGCACGCAAGTACCTTGCCACAAAGTCGTCACTGTCAACTTGACAACTTCTTAGGTCTTTGTGTGTCTTCTTGTGCGCCCAACAAGCACCAACGAAGCCTAAAGAAAAAAAAAGTGGTGGCGAGCGGCCGTAAGTCTCGTTATATGTTAGCACGTCTACCACTCGGGTTGGTGTGTTCTACGATCTCCTCGGATGGATCGAAGTGGTCATGGGCATGCCGACGCCCGAGCACGGCGAAGAAAGCTGAGAGCCTACCACGCGGTTGGCCAAAAAATTTCTATCAACAAAAGCCATGGCATTCGTCGACCAGTTCCTCAACCCACAATGAGCTTTGGGCCTATCGCTCATGCGATCACGGGAAGAGGATTTCGTTGACCTCCTATGATTATATGATAGCTGACGTTGAAGTTTATGCATTGCAACAAGCTCTCTGAAGTGTGAACGATGGGCCTCGTACGAGTCTGTTCGGAAACGACATCGGCGTCGTCAGGGAGCTGAATAATGCTTCCGAGAGGCTTCCCTCGACAAGATAACGGCCATCTGCTACTTGCAGCAACTCATACAGACGCTTCTCTGACGAGATTCAACGGCACTGGAAATATCAAGATGTTAAATGGATTACACCCCTTGATGAAGCCATCTTCCAAAAAAACAGAAAAAAAAACGGGCTCCTTCACCGTTGACACGACTACCGTCGTTGCCGCAGAAACGACATCCTTTCTTTGGCCGTGCTGCACACTTCGATCAGCTACAATACAAACGGAACGCCGGCACACCAGACACGTTCGATTGCACGCGTTGCCCGGATGTCCTGTGTAGGGTCGTCGCGGAGCAGCACCAAATCGGCACGATTTCCCTCCTTCACAATGCCGCGATCACGGAACCCGAAGTGTTCTGCAGCGAGGACGGTGGCAGCACGCAAAGCTTCGACATTAGAAAGGCCTGCCTCGACGAGAAGCTGCAGCTCGCGATGCAACGACTCGCCATGTTGCACGTTGACAAACGTGCCCGGCTCCTCGTGACAATCTGTGCCCGCCAAGATTGGCACACCAGCCCTGTGCATCATGGCCACGGACTCTTTTGCATGTTCGTATTGTTGCTTTCCCTCTGCACTCCTGTTTGACCGAACGAGCGCCATGAAGAGAGAGGGCGAGCGGAGCAACCCAAGCATGGCACTCATCGGAGGGCGTTTGCTGATCTCTTGCATCATCACCAATGTAGGCACGGAAACAATGCCATCCGCCTTCATGCGCTCCACCAATTCCGCATCAACGCAACGGTCCCGTGGCGCATGGGTGATGATGTCAGCCTTGGCGTCCAAGGCCATCTTGAATGGCGTTGAGGCCGATGCGTGGACCACCACCATCTTCTGCTTCTCGTGTGCAGCTCGTGTTAAGGCGTCTAGCGTCGCCTGGGAGGGCCCTGGCACATCTGCAATCAGCTTGATGTAGTCAGAGCCCTCCTGAATCCTGTGCTCGACAAAAGCATCTGCACCGTCGGGACCGCGTAACATTGCCTCTTCTGGCAGGGGCAGGATGTGGCTGTGGATGCTGCCAGGCGCGGTAGCGGGCAGGCCAGCGCTCAGGATGTCTGGCAAGCCCGCTCTTGCTCGAAGGCCATTCATCTTCTCTGCCGGCCAGGTGGCCATGTCCAGTGCGGTTGTGACTCCATGCTTGGCAAGCGCGCGGAGATGGCCTTCGTGGTGAAGGTGGACATGGGCGTCAATCAGGCCAGGCAGCAGAACGCCTCCTTGGCCATCGACAGTTTCGTCGGCGCCTTCTGTGCTCGATCCGATCACGTCACCATCAATGACCACCGTCTGGGAAGCTCCAAGGTTGCCGGTACAGCTATCGAAGACACGAACATTGTGGATCACCGTTTTGCGATGGGCGGGCAGGGTCTTGGAGGGAGACATGAAGCGCGAGCGCGATTGCTCTGCGGACAAGCCAGAGGAGGGGAGAAGTCGAAGCAGGGAGGGCAGAAGGGCGAGATTGGAGCCTAGACCGACTTGTGATGCCCGCTCGGAATCAAGATGGAGGAGGTCGCTGAAGCTGGATCCGCGAGTAGGGCGCTTCCAAACTGTGGTGATCGAGGATGACGCTTGTAGTGTACAACTCGAGATCTTGCCAAAACTGCTGTGGGGCTAGGCTCGAGAAGGCTTGCTTGCTTCGGCGCTAAGTCTGTGTATAGATGCGGTATCCTGGTTCTAAACGGCTGATGACTACTACTTCTTTACAAATACGCACTTGCACGCCGCGGCCAGCTTAACCGCGCGCGAGCCGAACTAGCCGAAACACGGCAAGTTGGATGCCTGCTTAGCTCGCTTTCCACTGATATGCTTTCGCGCACGGCTTGCCTTAACCACAAAAGCAGATCGCAACGCTGACGTACAGTACTTAGCCCACAAAGCTCACGGGCCCACCGCCTACGCTTGGGAACTCCCGTTTCAGGTTGCCTATAAGGAGTGTACGACGATCTTTTGCTTCGTACCCACATCCTCTCAACAAAGTGAGCAGGGGAATTACCAGCTGCGAGAGTCACCCGGCCGAAAACTTGGAGGATGTCGTCGTCTTATGATGACCCGGCGGATCCTGAGATCGTCAAACAGGCCAAAAAAGAACGAGTCGCCGTCGAAAGCCAGTACGACGAGCGCGACGTCGCCCTGTACAACCTCGGAATCGGAGCCAACGAAAAGGACCTCGAATACATTTACGAAGGCGATGATGCCTTCGAGGCTATTCCAACCTTTGGTGTTCTGCCCATGATCGATGCCATGCACCAATTTCCATTGGACTTCTTGCCCAATTTTGAGCCTGCCAAGCTGCTTCACGGGGAACAGAGCCTGCGTATCCTAGGCCCGATTCCGACACGCGGCAAGCTGGTGTCGAACGCACAGCTGATCGAGTGTCTAGACAAAGGCAAGGCAGTGAGCGTCGTGCTCAAGACGACGACGAAGACGAGCGCTGCAAACCCCGGGGGGGAGAAGGTACTCTTTGAGAATGTATCCACACTCTTCATCCGTGGCAGCGGCGGCTTCGGCGGACAAAGGCACAGCACTAGGAGCGACGAATCCACCGCGACCAATCGTCCACCTGCTCGGAAGCCCGATGCCATCATGTTCCACACGACAAGCGCTAATCAGGCCGCACTCTACCGTCTCTCGGGAGACTACAACCCTCTGCATGTTGATCCAGAGTTTGCAGAGATGGGCGGCTTCAGCAAGGCAAGTCACCGTCGTTGCTTTTGCGTTATATTTGTTCTTCTTGTTGTTCGTGGTAATACGGTCCAGATGCTGACCGATTGGCTTTTTCCACTATAGCCTATCTTGCACGGACTCTGCTCCTACGGCATCTCGGCGCGTCTGTTGCAACGCGAGTTTGGCAAAATCACTCACATCAAGGCTCGCTTTGCGGGCACGGTGCTGCCTGGCGAACGACTCACCGTCAAAGCATGGAAGATGGACGCCAAACACGTCATTTTTGAAAGCTACGTCGACGACCGCGTTGTACTCAGCGCTGCTGCGGTCAACCTCGCGTAGCTGCGTGCGCTTCAAAACCTTTCCCTCCTCGATACACGTCGTCGATTGCATTTCAATGCTATGGCCGTTTTTCTAACCCTAAGACTTCACTGTCAGAGCGAATCGTCGCGTGCTCAGCCTGTGCCTTCCAAACTTGTGTCTGCGTACCCAACTCAGATGTCTTAGACCTTGCCTATGAGGTGTTTTTCCAGCGTCTTTGACCTCTCCCGCAGGTTCGACAGGGACGACGACGATGGCGCAGCAGTGGGATTCAGAGCAGTAGAAACAATTGCCGCAGCAGCAGCAGCAGCAGCACAAGTGACGATAATCGGGAACATAAGGAAGCCAGAGAGAGGAAAGAAAGTCGCGGCGCGGTTGCTGGCGTCACATATAGGGGCTACGTGGGAAGCATGTACAAACAGTAAAGGGAGAGCGCATGGTCTAGAGCTGAAAGAGGAGCAAGCAAGTTGGAGAGCGGAAAAGAGAGACTGCAGCAGAAGACAAGTGCCAGCCACGCTTACCAGAGGGAACCGTACTACGATGCTACTTCTGCACATCCCACAGGCTCGCCAGAAGTCTGCGATCGCCTTCCCACGTTCGACGGCCGTGCTGTACGGCCAGGTTGTCGAGCAGGAGCACGTCGCCCTGCTGCCATGGCACGTCGACCTGCTCTTCGGTCGTGATCTTCCGGATGCTATCAATCCACTTGAGCGGAAAGGGCAGGTCGTCGCCGTGCGGTCCTACATAGTACGGTGGCAGGTTGTGTGGCTGCTCCGAGGGCGACGCCAGCTGCTGCTTCAGCCACGTGTCCAGGCTCATCGACCACGGCTTTGATGTACGATGGGTGTCCGCGTGGAGCGTGCGCGAGTGCACATTGGTAAAGTAGCTCGGCAGGTGAAACACCGGGTGCTGACGGACGCCGGGGACGCGCTGAACGACCATGCAGGAGCCGTCGGGGAGCCAGTGAGAGGAATAGCCTCGTTGCTTCCAAGTGTTTTCTGTGGCAGTGGCATTAGGTTGCCAGCCGCCTTCCTCAGCGAGCGACCTGACGTTGTCTTCCACAATGGACCGAAGCTGCTCTTCGGTCACGTCTTGTTGTTGGGTCTGAGGACCAAAGGCGCTTGGTTCAAAGACGCCATTGCCACCCAAGGAGTTGGCCACTCTCGCGCGCGGATGAGTAATGGTGTATGCGATCCCTTGTTTTTCGATCGTCGCGAGGTAGTCGGTTTGTTCCTCGGCAAAGCGTTGGTACAGCTTGAAGCTTGATGCGATCGGTGTCTCGCCTCGCTTTTCGGGAGCAGAGAGACAAAAAAAGGCGATGAAGGATGGGTGGTGGGACGATAGGCCGTATTCGTTGTGAGAGCCAATCGCCAAGTGAGAAGGACCTTCATTAGCCGAGGCGACATTCTTGGCGTGCGGACGACGGAGAACCATCAATCCTTTGTCTTGGTGCGGCACCCAGCCTGCTCCCTCTGCCAGCGTGTGGATGAACGCAGAGAAGTCATCTGCTGTGCGGAGTGGCGTGTTGCGGAAGTGCAAGGCGCCACCCGAGCTCGTCAGGAGCGTTCGCAGGGCCGACTGCCATTGAAAGGAGGAACGACGAGAGCGTCAATGAAGAGTGGTCTCGTCTGATCTAGGTTGACTTACCTCGTCGGCCTTCGCCGTGCGATGCGCCGGCTGAGCAGCCAAGCTAGACGCCTCCGATAGGAAAGCGTCCAACGTGGCGTCGGGCGATGCGTCGAGGACGCCAGGAAAGGCATCGGTCAAGATTTTCTCTGGACCATCTGATTGGCTGAGCGTGATCGTACGCTGATACGCAGCTCGGCCGTTGGTGAAGATGTTGCGCAAGGGAGCCGGTTGGCTTGCAAAGTTGACATCCGCGGGCGGCTGTGTCGCCGAAATTGTTTCTACGGCCATGCTGGCGATGAGCTTCAAAGGGGAGACGAGGAGACGAAAGAGAGAAAGAGTGGGGAGGTGAGGGCAAAGAGCGCTGTTGTTATAAAAAGAGGAACAAAGGGAGTCCACTTTCCGAGCGCCATCTTACTGCTCAACATCCGAGCTTGCTTGACATTTTAGCGCAGCCGAATTCATTTGGCGACGGTGCCTTGCTGCTTGCTGTCTGTATCATGCGCATCTCGATGGTACCTGCGTGCAGCTTCCGTTTTGCCTACCCGCCGGAGACCATCTGCCGAAGCGGGCCCGAGGGAGCACGCCGCGAGCACAAAAAACACGGTGCGGATGGCGAGCGCTCTACGGCCAATGACGAGATTGGGTGCCAGGAACAGCTAGTCAGCTCCAATTTTTTGTGCCATCACGAAGAGAAAATGGAGCAAAGACGCTAAGTGCCAACTTTGTTGCCATGCTCAACGACACTGCTGGACCGTCTTTTGCGTCGCTGTCGAGGTCGTGCACGCCATAGCCTCGGCTTACATGACATCTATCTCTGCCAGTCTGTGCCGAGAAAGAGCATCAAGAGAGCGTTTGATAGGCCCGATCTGAGCGAGGTTGCCAGGCTCAAAGACACTGCTGGACCGTCTTGCGTCGCTGTCGAGGTCGCGCACGCCATAGCCTCGGCTTACATGAAATATAACCTATGCCAGTCTGTGCCGAGAAAGAGCATCAGGAGCAGCGTTTGATAGGCCCGATCGAGGAGAAAAGTCTGATAAGTGACAGGGTCTATCGACGCAGCCAACGAAGCTTAAAAAGTGCGTCCAAGCGGCGAAAAGCCATCGTCACGCTCAACCTCCCTCCCCTCTCCGAATTGTTCCTGCGCAATCTTGCCTGAAATGAGTCGGCTTGGTCTCTTCTATCGCTCGGTTCTCCTTCAGATCATCCTTGTCGGCCTGGTGTCCTTCTCCCAGCCCGGCATCTGGAATGCGCTCAACGGGCTTGGTGCCGGCGGCGAGGAGGAACCGTACCTGGTCAACACGGCGAATGCGCTCACGTACGGGATCATGATCTTTGGCTGCACCTTGGCCGGCGGTGTTGTGAACAAGATTGGCGCCAAATGGACCTTGGTGATTGGTGTGATTTTGTGAGTGCAAGAGGGGGCACGCAAGGCAGACGACGAGGGCTGACGTGGTAATGCAGCTACACTCCGTATGCGTCGAGCTTGTACTGCAACAACCGCTTCGGCAAGTAAGTCGCCGCCCTCTTGAAGCCGTTGGTGTTGGCTGACCCGCCTGGCTCCCTTACCAGCGAATGGTATGTCATCTTTGGCGCTGCACTCTGCGGGATCGGCGCCTCGTTGTTCTGGGCCTCCGAGGCGTACATTGCCGTCGGTTATCCGTCCGAGGCGCAACGTGGTCGTCTGATCGGCATTTGGATGGGTCTGCGGAGCAGTGCTCCCATCATTGCGGGCGCCATCTCTGTCTCGCTCAACATCGGACGGTCGACCGCTGGCAAGGTGAGCCCCGACACTTACCTGGCGCTGATTGGGATCCAGTGCATCGGACTACCGCTCGCCTTGTTGCTCAGCCCTGAGTCCAAGGTGAGGCGTCCGGACGGCACAGGCGTACCGCACCTTCGCAGGACGACGGTCAAGGAAGAAATCAAGGGCATCTGGCACACCATGCGTCTTCCTCACGTCGTTCTTCTCATCCCCATCTTTGTCATGGGCGAATGGGGCGGCGTGAGTCAGGGCAACTATTTGACAAAGTACTTTTCCGTCCGATCTCGCGCCTTGGCCCAACTCTTGACGGCCATCATCAGCGTCATTGCTGACCTTTCCGTCGGTTTTGTTGCCGATACGCGCTGGCTTGGAAACCAACGTCAACGAGCCCGTTTCCTCTGGGCCTTTTTCGCCATCTTTACCAGTGCGCTTTGGATCTGGCAAACGATCACACAAGTCCGCTTCTCGCGAGACCCAACCCCTGTCGACTACAAAGGCAGCTCGGGGCGATTCAACAGCGCGTTTGCCGTCTACTTGCTATGGAAGTGAGTCTCTTGTGTTTCTTGCGTCTGAGGCGCACCCCGCTTAGCACAGTCTACTGCAACGTTGCCCTCTAGATTCGCGTACGAAGGACAGGTCGTCTTTCTCTACTGGCTCATTGGCACCTACCCGATTGCCAAGGGGACTTTACCGCGGGCTGTGGGTGTCTTGCGCACCTATGAGTCTGTCGGCAGCTGCTTTTCGTTCATCGTCGGCGCGACACACTGGCCGAACCTGAACCAGAGCCTGCTCTCGCTTGCTCTCTGGCTCGTGTGCATCCTCCCGACCACGCTAGCGATCAACAAGGTCCCGAGCGAGCGGATTGAAAAGCTAGACGAAACAGAGGGCGCGAGGGAGACGGACATTGTGCCAACACTCCAGCGAGATCAAGAAAAGGGTTCACTGCAGGACGAGGTGCGCGACAAGGTGCACGACAAGAACTTGCTCGCATCGGACGACTCGGTCTGATCGTTCGTCTTTGTCACTTTGGGAAAGGAGTAGCTTCGCCGTTGTAGACACTCTCCTACTCTCCCTTCTTTCCTCAGACCGCTTCTTCCAAGCCAGGTTCCCTTCCTTCCTTCCTCCTCCCTCTCACCGTATGACATGTATAGACCGCTTGCATGCCAGAGAAAAGAAGGGAGGAAATGGAAGCTTCACAATCTAGTAAGAGGCTCGCGCGCACACCTTGTGCCCTCGAGCGCATGAACCAATCGGCAGTGCTGCACGACGAATGGGCTTCTTGTTGGTGCGACGAGGATGATCGTGGTGCTCACTCCATCAACACAGTCATTGTGCTTGGCAAACAAGTTCTGATTGTCCAGAGACCATACAGCGTCATGAAAGAGCGATGCTACCATCTGACAAGCCCACTCCGATCGACGCGCACGCTCACGCAATCGAGTCGGTCTCGTTGAAGGGGTGGTCGGGGTCATAGGGGAACTTGCGCACGCCCTCGTCGCCTGCATACGACCACAGGTTCGGGTACGCGGCGGCGGCGTCGATGGTGCCCTCGGGCCGGACCTTTTTGCCGAATGTGTGGAGCTTGCTGGCCTTGCCCTCGGTCCCGTAGTCGATGCGCACCATCTGTCTCGACCGCCGCGCCGGGTTGCTGGGCAGGTAGTTGTGGGGCGAGATGAGCATGGATGCTTGTGCCTGTGAAGAAGGGAGCGCGGTCAGCATACTCGAGCGGGCTGTCCCTGCTTGAAGTTCACACCCACCTTGGTCTGCACAGTATTCGGAAGATCCGTCTGGTCGGGCACGTGGAGCATGCCGAGGTTGAACCAGACAACCACATCCTCCTGGTCGAGGCTCTCGCCGTCGAGGAACTTGCCAAAGTCGACGATCGGGTGGGCCGGGTCGACCGAGTTCATCGCATTGGCCACGCGGGGCTCGGTGTCCTTTTGCTTGGTAAAGTAGACGTGCTCCTGCGTGAAATGCGCCGAGTTGAGCAGGTTGGGGCTGTCCTTGATCGTGAGCGAGTGTCCGTTGCCGATGGCTGAGATGGTGGAAAAAGAGAGGATTAGTCAGATTCACAATGCGCGCGCGCTTCCCAAGTGATCACACCCACAAGGCATGATCCGGTAGCCGATCGGCTGGCCAAAGTCGTCGGTCTCGTCCTTGTTGACGATGAGCAGCAGGCTGTGCGTGCCGCCGCCCCAGTTGAAGCCCGTCTCCTGGTCAAGGTAGGACCGCTGGAGGTGCATCGTGTTGCGCTTCAGCCCGTCGTTCCAGGGGTAGTCGACCTCGACGGGCACGACGGCATGCTTGGCGACCGAGTTCTTTGTCCCGCCAATGTCCATGTCCGCCTTGAAGGTCAAAACATGGTCGTGCATGCTGCCCGAGAGGCCCTTGCGGATCTGGTAGCCGTACTCCTCGTTGCCCGCGTAGAAGGCCGACTGGATATAGCCCGAGGCCGACACTTTTGTTTCGATGGTCCCGTCGAGGTGGAAGGTGTACGAGAACGTGTAGTCGTAGTTGCCCACCGTCGACACGGTCCGCAGCACCAGGGCAATGTCCTTGGTGACCGAGATATAGGAACCCGACGAGTGCCGCTGGATCGGCCCGCCCATGTCGCGCTCAAAGACGCAGATCGCGTCCCGGTGCGTCTTGGACTCCTCGGCGGCGTGGAAGGTGGCGTTGAAGTAGGTCGCATAGGCAGGGCAGTCGTAGCCCTTGACGAGCTGGAACGCATAGGGCCCAAAGCCGTAGTACGTGTCCAGGTAGCTCGTGCCTGCCTGTACGGGATCGTTGCCCGCATAGTGCGCCACGGCCTCCTGCAGGCCAAGCTCAAACAGGATGCGCTTGCCCCCGTACGTCACGTCGTACAGCCGAAGGCCGGTGTCGCGCGTAAAGGTAAAGTAGAAGGAAAAGTCCATCCACTCCACGTAGCGGCGATCCTCATCCACCTTGAACCGCTGGCCGTCTGGCGCCACCTCGACGGGAGGCAGGCGCTCGTCGTCGGGGTATGCGTCCCCCACGCGGTCGGTGCCGTACCACGCATCCTCGTAGCTGGCCACGAGGGGGCTGTTGGTCTGCTCGGTCTTTTTCAGCGTGCCCGACGCCCAGGCCGCTCGGAATTCCTTCGTCGAGGCAAAGAACTGGTCGTTGTAGAGCCAGCCCGTGACCGCCCAGTTGGCCTTTTCGCGGCCCGTCGTGTCGGCGCGGAAGAAGAGGCCCTGGGGCAGCAGCGTCGTGGCGTCGTACCCAAACGTGTCTTCGGACACGTGGGCCCAAAAGGTGACCCACTGGACAACCCTGCCGTCGCGGTGCCAGAGCGGGTCGACGCCCCAGATGTCAAAGTCGTCGTCGTCGGAGCCGGTGACTGTGCCGTTGATGAGGTCTTTTGTAATATCTTGGATGTCGGAGGCAATCTCGGCGAACCAGTCTCCCCAGGCGTCCTCGTCGGCGTTGTACTTGTGGACGCGTGCTTGGCCCTTGGTCGACAGCCAGGACAGGTCGACGAGCGAGGTCTCTGCGGTCACGGGCAGCGGTCCCACGCCAATAAACTCAATGTACGGCTCCTCGCTGGCGCCGTGTGACACGGTGACGACCGCATAGCGCTTCGGCTTGTCGCCGTCGCCGTCGAGGTAGGCCAGCGCATCGGTCTTGTTGGGCATGAGCACATCCACCACGGTGATCTGGTTGTCCCACGCCGTCGCATTCTCGGCCGCCGTGAGGTTCAGGCTGTCCTGCTCGTGGCAGAATTTGATCACGGCGGCTGCTTCATCGTTGGTCAGGCTTGCGAACACGTTGTCCTTGGGCGCGGTGACCGTGGGCGCATAGCTGGGGTCAATTTGCGAAGCATTGGCGACGCTGTCTTGGACCACAGCCTTGGCCGCGGGCGCCGTGGCCTCCTGCACGGCTGCCAGCTTCTGCGCATACGCGATGGGCAGGCGAAGGCGCTCCGCCTTGGGGGCCGCCTGCACAGCGCCGATCAACGCGAGGAAACCGGACACTGCGGCAAAGGAGCACCGCATCTTGAGAACACTGGGAAGGAACGGACAAGGGAACGACCGTTCTTCTGCGAGGAGGAAGAAAGAGGACTCATTTATACGCGCTTGCCTCCCGCCCAGGGCCAGTGGAAGCTAGCTATCGCCGAAGAAAGGCTGCTCTTGCCCCTCCCCCCCACCCGGTGAAAATGGCGGACATGGCTAAGCCACAGCGGCCGCCGCTTCGTCGCCTCGTCGCTTCCGTTATCTCTTTGCGCAGCGCAGGTACGCTGTCACCAGGGCCAGGGCCACTCTTTCTTCCTGCGCACTACTCGGCCACGTGGCATGGCCCTTATCGCGGCCTTGTCGGTCCTCCGAGCGTGCGGACGGAGAGGCGGTGAGACCTGCATGCATGCAGAGCCTTATCGCTGACAGGACAGGACAGCGAGTGGCAGGCAGTACTGTACAGTACGACAACACGCACGTGGGGTGGCAGTTCTTCTCGATAATTTACGCGCCCTTATCGCGAGGGAGCGAAAGTCTTCCTCTCGTGAGAAGAAGGCCGCGGAACGTTCTCATTCGTTATCAGTGGCAGGTGGCGCTAAAGTCCCAGGAACAGCCGCATCTCTAAAATTGCTACCCGCTCCCTCGGCTCCCTCGGAGTGGGGGGGTTTGCGCTCCCAAAATGCCGCAAGCAAGCTACTCTACGAGCTTTAAAAAGGCGCCCGTGTGTCGAGTCATAGACGTGCAGCGAGGAAGCCAGGTTCGTCGACTGAGACGCGACTGCAGATCCGGCCAGGCAGGTTTGAAAGACGTCCGACCTTTCCTCCCCAACACCACAATCAGCGATGGAGCCCGGCAGATTTGCTGGAGCGTGGCTTCTCCCTCGTGGCAGCTGTACGAATCAGCGGGAATAACACCTTTGCCGAGACAAGCGACTGAGACTAGGCGTGTCCTATAGCCGTCGCTTATGTAGCGTTCGGGGTCGTACTCCCTCCTACCATTCTGCTTGCACTTCTGGCTCACTTGTACCGGTAGCCCGGCAGAGGCGATGAGGATGGCGTAGTGGGGTGCTGAATTAATCAAAACCACGTGGGCGCTGTGCTCGGGGGACGGCAAGAGCAAGTTGCCGGTACCGTAGGCTAACCACGACGAGGAAGAAGTCTCGCGTCAACACACCACTTCGAAGAGCCCGTACCCTGCCACGATGCGCATCACGGCCCTGTATGCCGCACTGCTCACCCCGCTCTTCGTCCTGCTGTCGGCCCGCGTGATCCAAGGCCGACGCAGCAACAAAGCCGCCATGGGTGACGCGGGCGACAAGGCGCTGCGTCGGCGGATCCGCGTCCACGCCAACTTCACCGAGTACGTGCCGTTTGCTCTGGTCCTGATCGGCTGCGCAGAGAGCCTGCAGACGCCGTCGCTGCTGGTCCACACGCTCGGTCTGGCCCTGCTGACCAGTCGCGTGCTGCACTCCTACGGCATGTCGCAGGAGCGAGAGAATTTCAACTTCCGCGTCGCCGGCATGGCGATGACGTTCGCTACGCTGAGCACCGCCGCCCTGACCTGCTTTGTCGGTGCGCTGCTGTGAAGATTGTTCTTCTGCCAGCGTCATCCGCGTCGTCGCAAGTCCCCGAGAAGAAACTTAAACCAGCGCCCGCAGCCATCGCGCCAAAGAGCAGGGCACCACGTCCACCTTTTTCAAAGGCAGAGACTAAAGGGCTGCTCGACATGCCGGCAACCGACTTCACTTCAATTCAGGATGGGCCAAGGACAGAGATTGATCGGCAGAATGACTGAGCGTGGCGTACTTAATCTGAGCGGAAACACGGACCCATCTTTCTCAGCATCGGACCGGAGCGAATCGAACTGCACGCAAGCAAGCCAGGCAGGGGACAGCGGTGCACAGATTCCATGACAGATAGAGAACAAAAGTGGCCAAAGGAAAACGAGAGATGGCGATAAGGCGGATTGCAGTTCGAGGCGCCCTTTTCTTCAGCGAAAGGTGGGCGATTCAGAAGCTCTTCCGCTATCTAGATGTAGACTTTCCCGCCAAGACTGTCGCAAAGTGATTCGCGCATTGAGCGTCGACAGAAGCGAGAGCATGTAGAGATTCGCCAGTGGGAAGTTGAAGATCATGTCGAGGGTCGCTGTGCTGCAAAGATAAAGGATCAGATCGACGACTGCAAATGCCGTCGTGGCGAGTCCAGTCTGGAAGACAATGTGGACCATCACGCGAACGCTCTTGTCGATGCGGTCCACGCCGCTCCGCGTGGCGCTGAGCTTGGCGATCAAAGAGCTCGTGATGAGAACGTCGGCAAAGGCGGCCATGCCGAGCCACACACCGACGGCCACCTGCAAAGACATGGGTTGCAGCTGGTCAGACCCTTCCAGGAAAGCTCAGAGGGGGCATCTTACGCACCCGGAAGACCTGGAAATCCGCAAACGCCTTCACCCTGGTGACCTCGACAGTTGTCCAGACGGCACACGCAAAGGAGACAATGCTGACGACGGCAATGACGGTGGGCATCGCATGATCCAGGAAGTATTCTCGGTCGGACAGTCGCCAGATGCGCCAGGCGGACAGCAGCTGCACCAAGAGGGCCACAAAGGATGTTGTGGTGGACAGTGCGGCAAACGAAGGACTGGCAGCCGCAGAATAGGTGGCGGAGCCGAAATTGGACACGAGGTCGTCCTGGCCATCTCCTGTTTGCATCTGTTTCCTCCACAAAAGAGAGCCACCATGCCACTCACATATACGAATGAAATGGTCAGAACCGTGTTCAGCGTGGTGGCCAAGAAGAGCACGGTGACGGCCGCCTTTAAGATCTTGACGTCTTGTCTGAAATGATAAAAGTAGACAAGCAACTGCAAGCAGACGACGCCGTAGAGCCAGACATTGAGCACCATGCCAATGAAAAAGCATCCCAGGCTGCAAGTTGACTCAGCAAAGCCCCCAAGACGTCTGTCAGCCCACATACCTCAGGTCCACCGACGACATCTTCGACGATCGCAAGGGTAGGAAAGAGAGACGAGTGATGTCAGAGTCTCGCGACTTTGTAGATGAACGCGGAAGCCCAAGCGTGCTATTTCCCATGCACTGAAGATCATTCTTTGATGCAATGCATGTCGTCTTGGTGGTCATCATTGTTTCCTTTTCGAGAAGGCTATATTCGCGCCAAATTTGCGGTACTCTTTCGGTGAGATGCTTGCGCATTAGCGTGGGCCGAAAAAGATAGGCGAGACGCTCGTGCGCAGCCTTCACAGTGTTCTTCTTTTACGTCCATCAATCGGTGAGAAAGAGCGACGAAAGAGGCTAAGAAGCTTGCGAGAAGCCTCATTCTGCCCAAGTTCAGAAAGCGAGTCGGCAGTCAACGGTACCGAAGCAGATGTATCGAGCACTTCGGAGACTTCTTTAGCGCAGGCAGTTGTGGCCTCCTCCGCCTCAGAGAAACGACACTCAAGCAGATCCTAGCAAAGGCCACGTCACCTCGTCTCGGGCACAGAGAACCGGCTGTGCAAGACGGGCCGACTAGTCACAAGCACGGCCGGCGCTTCGCTCATCGTTGGCCCTCTCTCGAGGAAGGGCGAGGTGGTGACAGCGGATGGCGAGCGAGGCAGACGTATACCCCTATCGGTGCGGGATCTAATTTACTACGCTTTGTTCTCCTGGGAAGATCAGGGAAGTCCCAGAAGCCGCACAAATGCATGTGCCTACTTTGGGAAGGGTTAGCTCGAGACGAGGCTGATACGAGTTTCCTTTTCGGGAGGCTGTCACCACCTGTCGAAATCTCTGGACGCGGCCAGTACCGAAAATGCCCAGGAATTCCGAATCCCGAGATCTTATTTGTCCATTGTTGTACGGTACTGTACTGTACTGTGCTGAACTGCGCTGCATTGTACTGCACTGAAATGTACACTGTACTGTTATTGAAAGCGTTTACGAACAAGGAGAACAATGGCTACCTGTACAGTCGTTCAACGCATGGTTGAGAACGGAAGCCAAACCGCTGCGCATACCTTTCCACCCGCCTGATTCGAGCATACAGCAATTCTCAGGGCAGTGCGCTTTCTTCACCTTTTTAAAGTTCAATCTTCGCACTTGCGGCTCATAGATACAGGCAAGCACGCAGGTTGTGAGAACTGTACAGGCCCGATGCGAATAACTTCCTCAGCGTACACTAAATAAGCCTTGTCAAACAGTCAGAACTCAGTAATCTCCGTCTTTGCTCGGTCTACGTGAGCAGCAAGCTCTCGCTCAGTGCCATCGCTTCGTGCCGTCGCTCGTTCATCTCTGCTTGAGCAAGGTCAGGATGTCCCCGTGCAGCGCGCGGAGTAAGCCGATGGGCAAGGTGCCGTCGTGAAAAGAGAAAGACCAATCGACGCCGATGTACGACCGCTGATTCACATTCCAAGCGCGAAAAAAGCTAGTGTCGGCGCTCTGTCAGCTCGTTGCAGACGACAGGAGGAGCGAGGCGGACTCACATGCCGGCTGTATTGGCGACCTGCGTGCTGGTGTCATAGTCAAGCATGCCCAGCTTCAGCCCATCGTAGCGCGCCCAGTCGCTCTGGTTGAGGTACCTTCCGCCATCCAATATCGAATCGGAAAACATCTCACACAAGTGTGTGTTGAAGCTACAAGAGCAAGATCAGCAGGATGACTGGCCTCGTACTGGTAGTACCTACTCAAGGAAACCGTCACGCACAGCCCCGTCAATGGCATCGGAAAGCACCGCATGGTTGAGTGCAAGTCTGCGGCGGTGCTCAAGGGAGCGCACTGGGCCATAGATGTTCTCCATGCCTGCTCTCGCCAGGTGCAGGACAGCTGTGGCGAGGTTGCCATTGGAGTCCTGCCACAGCTTCAAACTCTCGTGCAGGGGTAGCTCAATGGGCACGGCCACCGCATAGAGACCGACGCACCTGCTCGACGGCAGCGCTGCTCGCGGATCCACGGGGATCTCGGACTGGTATATGCCCCGTCTCTCAAGCTTTTCGATGCCCTCCGTGAGCGCACTTCGAAAGACGACGGCAGCATGCAACAGCGCGCTGACCGTGATGCCGTTGGCCCTGGCGAATCGGAGCAGCATCGACGAGTGCCGCTCATCGAGACACACGAGGCCGTGGCCCGTCTTGCCAAAGGGTGTCTTTGCTTCCGGCAGCTTGCGGGCGCACTGATTCTGCATGTCTCACGATGGCTTAGCTTTACACACAGCAGCCACCCTGACCTCTGACATACCCTTGCGCGCATATAGGCTGCTTTCAGTGCCATTGCACTCATCTTTTCGCTGGCGTCTGGCTCAGGCACCAAGTCACCCATGGCTACAGGCAGGCGCGACAGTTGCTGGGCTTTGACTGGCTTGCTGCCCCATGGCGGCTCGACGGGCCCGTTGGCAAGAAGCGTGAGCAACTCGTTGATCAGAATCGTCACGCTGCCTGCGTCGACGATATTGTGCGAGATGCGGATTGTCAGCGCAAAGCGCCGCCCCTGAACGACTGAGCGCAGCTGTGCCCAGTTGTCATCTTTGTCGGGCTGTGGCCGGTCTGAAAGGGCATTGTTAAGCGTGACGACGTCGTCGATCGTCAGAGCTTCGTCGGTGTCGCGGGACAGGATCTGGACTGTCTGCTGGGCCCACGCATCGATGCTGGCTTGGGACACCTCTGCTCGATACTCGTACGCCATGTCGGAGGTGCAGCGCATCCTCAGCAGAGGGTACCGCAGTGTTAAGCATTTCCAAGCGGTGACGATGCGTCGTGCAAGGTCGTCGAAATTGACAGGCTGCTCCAGCTCGAGCAAGGCGCTGCCCAGGATGCTGTAGCAACAACTCAGTGCAATCGTGAGACTACCTCAAGCAAGACGCACTCACGCAAACTTTGGTACTTCCACCAAGGCGGTGAGGTTGGAGAAAAAGACTTCGAAATGCCTCATGGGCCGCGTTACCAGCTCGCCGTCCGCGTCCCTGGCTGCCCATCCCTGGGAGACGGTTGGAGTCATTGCTTCTGCCAAGCAGCCTAGGTCTGCTGGACTGGACATGGCATTGACCTTTATGAGCCGAGTATTTGGGGAGGTGCACGAGCTCAGACGGCGAGTAGGTTGCACGAGCTTGTCTTCTCGAGGCGTGTATAGCAGCTGTCAACTCTCATATAGCGCGTCCAGGATCTGGTCGGTGATCGGATCAACCGACGCGCAAATAGAAACCAAGCTAGACGCATTTCCATGCCAGACTACAAACCTTTTATCGGATGTCCCGAGGCAATACAACGGGTTCGACAGCTGCTGCGACCGGCTCCGACGGGACTGGGACACGCAACGCTGCATTTTCACAAGCGTCAAGGCGCTTCGTCCAGGCGCACATGTAGCAGGGGATCAGAGAGTGAGGCAAAGAGTAATCGGACGCTCCGAAGCCGCATTGCCACTGTTCAAAGCGTCACCATTCCTCTGCATGAGACTCATACAAGAGGGTGGCATCGAGTCTTCATCTCTGCAGACCGCTGTACGAGCTGTAGCTAGACACATGCTGGACGACACGTCGCTGAGAAGTCATCCCATGCAATGGCCGAGCAACATGAGACCTTGCCTTTGAGAGAAAGACAGCACGTACAGCGACCGTCGGAAGCTCTTCATCGTGTTGATCGTCTCGATCGCCAGCTTTATTTCTCCCCTTGCCATCAACATCTACATCCCCACGCTGCGTCAGATAGAAGTTGTGAGTGTTCCAGGCTCGAATTGCTGCGCTGCTTACTGATCGCTTGGAGCACAGCTGCTCCATGTGTCGCCAAGTAGGTACTGTACGAAGGGCGTATGTCGTACTCACATTCTCACGTCTCTGCTGTTTTCAAGCCGCCGCCAATACCACCGTGGCCGTGTACATGATATCGCAGGGACTCTCGCCCCTGCTATGGGCGCCCCTGTCCGACGTGAGTGAGTCGGACAGCGCAGAAGGGCGTATACTTACATCCCCCTCAGACACTGGGCAGACGGCCAGTCTACCTGGCCACGTTTCTCGTCACGCTGGCAGCCAACATCGGACTGTCCGTGGCAAAGACGTACTGGCTGCTCGTCCTGCTTCGGTTCGTGCAGGCGTTCGGCGCCGCTAGTGCAATTGCGGTGGGCGCTGGAACGATTGCCGACATCACCCAGCGCAGCGAGAGAGGCTCCTACATGGGCTACTACTCGTTTGCACAATACTTTGGTCCGACGTTGGGGCCCGTCGCCGGGGCTGCGCTGGCCCAGCGATGGGACTACCGTGCGATCTTTGTCCTTTTGTTGATCCTCACCGCGCTTGTGCTTGCTGTTCTCGCTCTGTTCCTCAATGAAACGAAGCGCAGTCTCGTTTGCGACGGAAGCGCGGCGCCTGCTGGCATCTACCGCTGCTTCTTTCCGCCAAAGACCGCTCGGCCGAGCAGGGACATGGTAGATCCCTTCCACTCGAGCTGGGCTTCGCAACACTTGGGCTTCACCGGCCACTGCGCCTCTTTGTGCAAGTACGGACGTGCGCAGTGATCATCGCCTACGCACTCGTCTACGCCACCTTCTACCTTCAAGCCAGTGCGCTGCCGACGCTGCTCGACACGACCTACCATCTCAAGCTCCTCTTGATCGGCGTCTGCTTCCTGCCGAGCGGCATCGGCAGCGCCGTGGGCACCATAGTGGGCGGCAAGATCCTCGATTGGACATACCGACGAGCACCCGAGGCCGCTCAGAATCGACTTGGGGCAGATGCAACGAGAATCGCGGCGGTCCGCCTTCGCCCCGCGTGGATCTACCTGCCCGCCTACTGCGCGTCCCTCTCGGCCTCTGGCTGGTGCATACAGGCTCACGCACCCCTCGCCGTCTTTCTTCTCTTTCAATTCTTCAGTGAGTTGGTCCCTTCTGTGTCCTGACACACTGCTGATCTCTTCCTCAGTCGGCATGTTCTCGACCATGTACTTTATCAACATCAACACGCTCCTCGTGGACCTGTACCCCGACAGCGCAGCCAGCGCCACGGCGGCAGTCAACGTCGGCCGCTGTCTGCTGGGCGCCGTCGCCGTCTGCGTTGCCCAGACGATGATACAAGAGCTAGGCGCGGGATGGACAATGACCGTCGCCATGCTCATTAATCTCGTGGGAAGTACCCTGTGTCAGGTGCTGGTCCTGTATCGTAGGAGCGTGTAGGTTCAAGTGCTGGTCATGTATCATAGGAGTGCATAGGTTCAGATGTGAAGGGTGTCTAGTATTGCTGAATCTGATAGTCTTTGGGCATGTCGAAGAACTGGCTGAACCAGTTTGCGTCGAGCAAATCGACCTCTGTCGGTTCTACCATGCCCGTGGGCGCTTCTTTGCAGCGTGGAGGGCAGGTCAGCGTTGCCTCGAGGATGACTGCAGATACGCGCTCACCTTCGCCTGATAATCTATCCATCGTCGTACTTGTATCGGTCAGCGCAAGGTGGGGCTCGACCCTTTCAGCCCCAAATACCGGCGAGACGTCCACCACAGGCTTCTCAGCGCTCCACCTCCCGCCAGACGCACGAACCAGCCTCGTAGGTGGGGTTCCCACAACGTGATCAATAAAGGACAGCAGCAGGCGCCCGTAGAAGCTGGCAAAGTTGTGCTGCCGGTTCAGATCGCCAGCGTCGCCAGCGAGCAGAAGCGCGATGCGGCATGCGATTGTCCAGCGCCCACTCGCTGATTTCATCTGTACTGAAGGAGTCAGCTGGACAGAGATTGAACGCGCGCATGCCTCTTTTCATACCTGCAGCAAGACGAGCGCACTCCAGGTGATCATGGCGCCCACATGGCGTGCCAACTGGTGCGCCCGACCACTGAAGCTGCGCAGAAAGTGGTTGCAGAGCTCCGTAGCGAGATACGCACACTTGTCGATGGCATCAGACGTCCCTTGTGAGCTATGCTGCAGCTCTTTGTGATCGCGCTCGAGCGAGAGGAGAGTCACGTTGAGCAGAAGCTGGATGTGGAGCCCGATAGTGAGGAGGTAGGCGCGCGAGAATTCGTCTGGAGGCCACGGCATCAGCAAGAAGAGAACGGCAGCATTGAGAGAACACAGATATGCACGGCCCACGCACCCTCGGCCAGCCTGGCATGGTCGACCCATCGGCTCCTCCATGCGTCAAAGAGGCCGTTGCAGTTGACTCGGACGCCCTCTGCCGTGAGATACTCGCTGCCCTCTTTGACGCTTTCGATTTGCTTGCGCACGCGGCACTGGCAGAACTGTTAGGTCGTGAGCATGCGTGAGGAGATGACGCAGCTCACCTCCATGTTGCGCAGGGAGAGGTACGCAGCGAGCTGAACATCTCCGAGTAGCGCATCTGCGCACTGGCACCACTCCTCGAGGCTGTCCCACGACACATTGAGTTCGTTTGTTGAGCCCATACCGCTCAGGGTGCCCAAGCTGGACGCGCAACACCGATGAGTGACACCCTAGCGGCACGGCCACACGCCTGCTCCTCACCTCTGCTGCGCCACCACGGCAAACATCCACGCCCTGTCTCCACTGCGACTGGCGTGCTCCGGATTGATGATGCATGTCTGCTGCCGTCGCAGCTTCTGGTCCAGACCGATTTCATTTGCGATACGGGCTGCCGTGTCCACAAGGCTGTATACAGATATTCCGGCTGATGTCAGCGATCTCACGCTGCGGTTAGTAGTGACCAAGCACGTACCACCAGCATTTATCTTCGGCCAGGCAGGACGGCTTTGGCGAAAAGAGGTAGGCGAGCAGGAGCGTCTTGACGACTTCTGGGCTCTTGGCATTGGAGGCGAGCAGGAGCGAGATGGCATGCTCCATGCAGCGTTGCAGCGCCGCGTGCTTCTCCCTCGAGCGGGGGTGAGGGTCCACTGAAGCAGCCACGGCAATGATGGTGATGAATAGCGCACGCGAGGTCAATCGGACAGTGGTAGGCGTGTCGACCAGCGGGTCCGACAGCCCCTGCTGCGGATTGATGGCCTCAAAGTAGACTCTGAAGAGGCGCACCACGTCCCTTTCGTCCACCAGTCCCATGTCCAGAGGGTCGTACTCCTTCAGCGCGGGCGGCTCCGTGGCCAGCACGTGCTGGAAGAAGATGCGCCGCTCCGTCTTGAGCTCCTGCCTCTGGGCAGGCCTCCAGCCCTGCGACGATAGCAGCTCGCTCAGTGACTGCACCTCGGCCGCTTCGTCTTCCCCGACGTGCGACGCCGTGTCGAGCAAGTCATGCTCGCACTGGTCCGACGGAATCGAGGCACACGTTTGTGATGCATATTGGCGCAAATGCACTAGAGGGGCTGGGTACGTGCGCATGCGCTTGCTGGGCCATCGTCCAGACTCTCCGGTGATCTCAGCGACTCGTCGCTATTCCTGGAGCGCGAATGACCCGATCGAGCACCCGATCGAGCACCTGCCAGATTGTTGGAGGGCGATGCAGCTGACGAAGATCGCGGCGCCCGTCTCTGCGACGGTGATGTATCTACGCTGACATCACCCGCCGAAGAGAACAGCTCGGGCACCGGGTCAAAGGAGGGCCAGATGCAGTGCGTGTCTCGTCTCCGGCACCGGCTGCATGTCGAGTCTCTGGAAAACATGCCATCGCACTTCAGCTTGGACTTTCGGCACCTGCTCGAACATAGGTCAGCAATGCAATTGGCGAGATGATCGTATCTCAACCCACTCTGCACACGCCTGGATACTGCGCCCAGAGCTTCTCATCATAGTGGACCCTCTGCGCGGGGGGGCCAAGTTATAAAAAGTGAGATCTCGCGCTAGTTATATGAAGCCCGATGAGCCCATATGCAAAGCCGGCAATCGCCGCTTCTTTCCTGCGCTCACATCGAGTCACCGAAAAAAGAATTTGGAGCTGTGGATTCCCGGCGCGCACGGACGCTCGACCTTGACATCTGTCGAGTGCTCTGGACGTGTGACTTGAATGGGTCTCGTCGCTGGTGTATTCAGAGCCGAGCGATGCTTGCCGTGGCTGTGATCAAGTTCTTTCATAGGCATTTTGCTAAATTTATGAAGGTATATGACATTGATCAACGTCTCCTAGCTATGTTGAAGTTCCCACCCGGTGCACAATCTTGCCGCTGGGTGTCTGGCCAGCTGCCGCCTGTTCGATCGCCGACTTGATGCCGCTGAGCCTCGAGAGGGAGTCATCAGCCTCTGCAGTGCCATCAAGTGGCCAGATTTGCACCGGGAGTGGTTGGATGGCTCCTTGTCGCAAGAGGCGGTACAGGTGTCCCCTGTCAAAAGACGCATAGGAGACCGCGACCTTGTAGTCGGCAGCCAGCTTCTCGGGCGTCGGCGGGACGGGGAGCATACCAAGCACGTCCGTGGGACGGCCAAGCATCGAGTGAATCAGGGCAAACGTGACTTTGACCTCGGGTCGACTGACCGACGGCTGGCTGGGAACCAGCACATGCATGTGTCCTCGGCGCAGGACACTGGCGCACGCGTCCACGGTCTCGGTGGAGCCGAAACAGTCGAGGGCGAGCTCGAGGTCTGGCCAGCTTTCTCGAATGGCGGCGCAGGTCTGTGGAATGTCTTCACGAGGATAGGCGGCGCTGACTCCCTTGCGCTGCAGCGACTCGAGCGAGGACTGCGCAGAGACAGCGACCACGGGCACCTTGGCCTGGACGAGAAGCTGGACAGCATACTGCCCACAGGCAGTGCCTGCTCCCCAGACGAGCACTGCGGGGCCCTTATTACCACTCTGAAGATCGACATTCAGCTCGCATACAAGACCGTGAAGTGCGGTGAAAAAGGAAAAGGGCAGCGCGGCCAGCTGCTCCATGGGAATGTCGTCGGGGCAGCGTATGACTAGGTCGGCGTCGCAGACTGCGTACTGGGCGAATGAGCCCCTCGTTGTTGCGTTGCCCGGCAGCCATCCGCACACCTTTTCGCCGACGGCAATGTGACTGACGTTGCTCTCCCTCACAATGCCGGCAAAGTCCGACCCCATGACGTTGTCCGGGTGCTGGTAGGCGGCAGAACGGACGGGATCGAGGACATAGGTGTCGGGCGGGTTCCCTCCAGCATAGAGGATCTCCACAAAGACCTCGTTGTCGCCGGGCCGCGGGACAGGCACGTCGGTGCGCACCTCGATCGTCCCCGGCGCTCGTCCGAGTGTGAGTGCTTGCATTGCTGTGCTGTGAGGTAGCTAGCGTTTTGAGTCGGTCTTTATAGAGCTCTGCGGGCTACTCTCGCGCACCATGAAACGTCTCGTTAGCCTACTCCAATCTTGATAGCCTATTAGCCTAAGTCGGACACCCGGCAAAACCGCTGCTGATTTGCTAGGCTACTCCACCGCGAGGGCAGTCATTGTTTAATTTCCCGGTCAATAGCCTATCAAGCGCGCCAACGCTTCGTGTCACCTGGATTCGCCTCATAGCATATAAAGCCTGCATGAGGCATGAGATGAGTACCCATCCACAACAACAAGTATGGCCGACACGGGCGAGCAGATTCGGCTTCTTTCCCGACACGATCTCCCAAACGTGCCCGGCTTCTCCCTCGTCATGCTCCAGGTCACCTACGCACCTGGCGGCTACACACCGCCGCACACGCACGGCGCCGCATTCTGTGCAGTGCATGTCCTCCAGGGTTCCATCCAGAGCCAAGTGCGAGGCGAAGAGCTCAAGACCATCAGCGCGGGAGAGAGCTTCTGCGAGAATCCAGGCGAGGTGCATCTGCTGGGGCGCAACGTGAGCGAGACGGAGGAGGCGAGCTTCGTTGCCGTCTTCATCGCCCCTTCCTCGCAGAAGGAGTTTGTCATGTGGGTGTTTGTCGACGCTTCAAGACGAATTTGCAAACTCATAGCCATCATCGACGCTGCAGCTATGACTGTCCGCGATGCAGAGTCGCCAAAGACTCGCTGTGATTCGGTAGTGCGGCTTACAGTACTGTACTTCAGACTCTGCCTCAGAGCACAGAGACGCGCGACCTCTTCTTGAAGCAAGGAATGACAATCCGTTGGCGCTGGATTGCTGAGGAGAGCCTAGCTCTGGCGTGGGGTCTTGGACATCACTCAGCAACGCATGAAGTCATGCCCGCGGATATACTACTGTCTTGCGACGCGGCCGTGGAAATAGGCAAGGTGCAAAGGCTCTGAGTCTGTACAGTACAGTACAGTACAGTACAGGCACGAAAGGAGCTGTAAATTGTCATGGAAAAGAAAGGCCCGCGTCTCTGTCCCCTCCTCGTGAAGCTCGGAACAAATCGACGACCCGGGACAACATCGGGCAAGGGCAAGAACAACGCCGGAAAAAGGACAGCGTCGGCCGATGTCGGTGAATATGTCCCCGAGCGGGATGAGGGCGGTCCGGATAAGGGGCGGAAAAGGCCCTTCGTCGAGTCTGTACATTTCCTCCGACGAGGCCGTGCCCCAGCCGAGCGCAGACGAAGTGCTGGTCAAGATAGCCTCATTTGGTGTCAACCGCATGGACCTGCTCCAGCGTGAGGGAGAGTATCCCCTTCCGCCGGGCACGAGTCCCATCATGGGCGTCGAATTCAGCGGCCATGTCGTATCCAGCCCTGGGAGCCACTTTCAGCGAGGCGAGGCCGTCTTTGGCTTGGTCACAGGCGGCGCTTATGCCCAGTATCTGACATGCCCTGCACACATGGTCCTCGCAAAACCGGAAAAGCTCTCGCTGGCGCAGGCCGCTGCGATCCCAGAGAATTGTCTGACGGCGTACCAGGCGCTTAAGCTGCTCGCTGCCATCAGTGAGGGCGACAGCATTCTCGTGCATGCAGGCGCATCTGGTGTGGGTCTCGCCGCCATCCAGCTCGTGCGACTGCTCGGAGCTGCCAAGGTTTACGTGACAGCTGGAAGCGCAGAGAAGTGCGCTTTGTGCGAGAGATTGGGCGCAGACCTCGCCATCAACTACAAGGAAGTCGACTGGGCTGAAGAGCTAGCCAAGCGCACAGGCGGTCGGGGCGTAGACGTCATCGTGGAATTCATTGGCGCGGGCTACTTTAAACAGAACCTAGCCTCACTCTCCCGCGATGGCACGCTTGTCCTTCTGGGCATCATGGGCGGCACCGAGGTCCAGGATGTAGACATTGGCCTGATTCTCTACAAGCGTCTCCGCATTCAGGGCTCCACCTTGCGCTCCCGAAGCTTGGCATACCAGAGCAGCCTTGTCCAGGACTTTCTAGCTAGTGGAACCCCTGACCGCCTCGTCGAGGGTCTCGACCCCCAGAGCGACAGTGCTGGGCAGCAGATTCTCATACACAAGGTCAGTCGTACATTTCTCCCGCTGCTGTGTCAAGATCGGAGAAATGACGGTGCAGTGGACCGTAGATCTACTCTTGGCACGACATCCAGGCAGCGCACGACGAGATGGAAGCAAATAAAAACGTAGGCAAGATTGTTGTCAGAGTGGACTGAAACGAAGCGTACACACACGATCTCTCGATATAAGGTTACCTTGGTTGCACAGGCCTGCTTGTCCCCCAAACTTGCAAACGGTCTTGAAGCATTGACCCAGTCCCATTTCTTGAGCGCATATACAACCTATTGAGAGACACAGAAACCCCGTTCCTTGGCCAGTCAAGCTGGCGTTCCCCATATACCCTCCTTCGCACTTTACAACTTGAGATCGAGAAGCTCCAGAGACGTTGTCTGAAGTCAACAAGCACAGGGTTTGTGCTGTGCGACTGTCGTATCCATACTGTCGGTGAATGTGTGAATGTGCTGGACGATTAATGCGGCTGCTTTTTACTCACTTTAGCCCAGACTTTCATATAGCTCAAACACAATCCAAACCTTGCAAGAGAGCATTCGCTGAAGGACGAGAGAGACGGGGCGAAGACCAAGACGAGAGGCCAGATTCGGAGCCTGCATTCTGGTCGCTTCTGCACAGCTTCTGGGAGAATCGTTTGGGCGCGACGTCGCTTTGCCTCTGAAGAAGAAGGGCGGTGACACGATCCAGCTGGCCCTCGAGCTCGACCAGCCGTCGTTCAAAGTCGGCAAGCCTGGCAAGGGTCCGTGAGAGGATACCGAACAGGTCGCCATCGTCCCTGCCGTGGGGTGCAGGCACTATCACTCTCGACTCAAGCTGGTTCACTCTTTCCTGGAGCAAAGACAGTGCAAGGCTAAGCTCGTCGGTTGTCGTCAGCGCATCTGGTGACGAGAGCGGAGATGTATTCTTATCGGACGTCGGCGATGACGAGCAGAATGCAGTCGTGTCGACGCTGTCCAGTCTATGCTGACGGCCTCTGGTCTCGTCACCGTCTCGCTCAGTGCAGGTATCCAGCCAATGAGCGGGTGCCAGTGTCAAGGGAGGCTGGAATGTCTGAGGATCGATGCCCCACTCAAGGGCCCAGTTGTGGAGATTGGCGGGCACGTCGGACTGCATCGACGAGCACTCACTCGATAGCGCGCGACTGATGTTGACGCTGCACGTGGACTCTTTCCCGCGTAGCTTACACTGGCCACAAGGAATGACTTTGTCGCAAAAGAGCTTCTTTGCACGGCACGCAGTGCATGCGTGCGACTTGCGATTGCGGCGCTTTTTCTCGACCGGTGGTGACGTCGTGGACGCGTCCATGTATGTTCTAAGGCGCTCAGAGGGCGGGCGTCGGCAGCTCGCCATGCAGCATGTATAGCAGGCGCCACTTATATTGAGAAAGAGAAAGACAGAGCGGGCAGTCTTCTGGTAGGTCCCTGGACATGCTCGGGCCTGAAGGGGTTCCCGCGAATCGGGCCCGGGCTTTGGTCGATTGCGCTAGCTTTTCCGGATTGCTGAGGCGCATTTCCGGCACACGGATATTTTTCATGCAGACATGCAGACGAAGCTTTCGAAAATAGCTGGACAACATTATTAGATCCCAGGCTTCGCGACCCTTGGCAATCTAATCTCGCCCATTGGACTTGGCTGAAGAGAAGCGGGCACAACGCCGGTGGTCGGAAACCGTGATCCGGGGGCCTGCCAGCGATACATGAATTTCTGAAGAGACCAGCGCGAGGAGCCGCATGGAACAAGAAGAGCGGTTTCAGAAGGAAGCAACACACGCAAAGCGCTTGCCATAGGTCTTTTTTCCGTCCCCCCCACGTCCAAAAAGAGGGATTTTTTTGGTGGCTTATGGGACGCATTAGACCAAGCAATGCAGACGCAGCGCAACCACAGGAGAGACACAGCATGACACTTTACAGCCGCGGAAGCTAGCTGGCGCCCGAGGGCGATGGCTGCCTTGTCCCGAGGGCTTGGTGGTGCTCGGCCTCGGGTCTCACGGTGCTGACTGTTGGGTCTCTTGCTGATGGCGACCGGAAGCATTGGTATAAAGGGACGGACTCTGCCTTGAGACTCGGTCACGAAACACTCAAGACATGTCGTCGTTCTCCATCGATCTCTCTGGCGGCCTGGTCATTGTCACCGGCGGCAACCGTGGCATTGGTTTGGCCATGACCAGGGCGGTCGCCACGGCCGGCGCAGATGTAGCCGTGCTCTATCGCTCCCACCCAAAGGCGCAAGAGTCGGCGGATGCTGTTGCCAAAGAGTTCGGCGTCAAGGTCAAGGCCTTTCAGTGTGATGTCGGCGATCTGCCGTCGGTCGAAAAGGCGGTCCAAGACGTGGCGGCCTGGGGCGGGAAAATCACCGGTCTCATGGCCAATGCAGGCGTTTCTGTTGTCAAGCCTGCCTTTGACTTGACGCCCGAAGACTTCCACAAAGTCTACGATACCAATGTGCTTGGCGTCTTTAACATCGCCAAGACGGTTGCCAAGTACTGGGTTGACAGCGGCTTCAAGGGCGGCGCCATTGTGGTGACGAGCAGCATGAGCTCAGGCCTGTACAACCAAAAGGGCCTCAGTGATCCCTTGACTCAGGCCTTTTACAAGTGGGTTCCTCATAATCTAGTCTTGTCCGATAAGCTCAAAGTTCTCTACAGCTCCTCCAAGGGCGCCGTGACCAGCTTGAGCAAAGCCCTGGCGGCCGAATGGGCACCGTACGGAATCCGCCTCAACATCCTCGAGCCGGGCTACTGCAACACGGAGCAGACGAGCAAGATGGCTTCGGAGATTCGAGATTTCCAGGCGCATTCGGTGCCCCTGCAGCGCTTCTCGGAGCCCCATGAGCAGGCCTTCCCGGCCGTCATGCTGCTCAGCAGCCACGCGAGCTACCTTACGGGATCGTGAGTAGCCCCTTTGAAGTATGACAAAGCACTGGCTAATTCTCTGCTTGGGGTCTTGCAGTGTTCTCCGCCCAGACGGTGGCTTCACCATTTGGTAGTCCTCTTGCATGCTCCTCATGCAGAGCCAGTACAAGTCGGATAGCTCTCTCCTCGTCCTCTTGCTCCTCTCTTCCTGTACCTCTCACTCCTACTACTGCAGCAATGCGATCAGTCTATCACTCTCTACTGCTGCATGCACTATCTGGTCCCACGAGCCGCGTGCCAGCTGCCCTTGCTGCAGCATTCCTGCTTCACCCTGCGCGGCGCCCTCAGACTAACCTCAGACTAAAGGCTCTTCTGTGGCATTGCAGTAATTTAGAGAAAGATTGCCATCGAATGAATGTCCCGCGCCAGAGTCGAACCAATTTCCCGCGGACGTTTGTCTAAACGCGCGGGTTCTTTCGTCGCTCTCCCTTTTCCCCTCGGCGTGGGCGCGAGCGCGCGTATACATATGGGCGCAAGCCAGCCATAAATGTTCAGAGAGCCCAAGTCCAGTCCAGCGGCCCGATGAAGCAGAAGCCAGCTCTGCGCCTCGTTCGTAGGCTCATGGTGTCCGCACCCAAAACGAGCATCGTGGCCGACGTGACGGCTCCCAAGCCGTCCGATGCGCTCCCCATCAAGTACATCCCAAGAAGATGGAATGAGCGCGGCTACTCTGACCTCGGCTGGCTCAAGACCTTTCACACCTTCAGCTTCTCGAGGTAGGCAGCTGCTTCCGTCGTAGCCTGTGTCCTCACTCTCACACTACTGCGGAGACAGCTATCATGACCCACGCTTCATCTCCTTTGGGCCACTGCGGGTCATCAACGAGGACCGTGTCGCACCAGGACAGGGCTTCCCCACCCACCCACACCGCGATGCAGAGATCTTCTCCTACGTCCTCTCAGGCCGCCTCACGCACAGAGACAGTATGCAGAACGTCGAGCACATCGGCCGCGGCGACGTCCAGTTCACCTCCGCTGGCACAGGCATCCGGCACAGCGAGTACAACGACCATGCCACAGAGACATGCCACTTTCTCCAGTAGGATGCCGTGACGAGGCGAGGCGTCCATGTCCATCTTTGCTGACCCTCTTCTGCACCAGGATCTGGTACACGCCGCTGGTCAAGAACCTCACGCCCAAGTACGTGACGCTTCCTCGCCTCAGCGACGAGGACAAGCTCGACAAGTTTGTCACCCTCGTCAAGGAGATCGGAACCATGTCGAAAGAGGAGGCCGATCGCAGTGGCCTGCTCCCGCCCCACAGCATCATTGGAGCGCACTCGAGTCTTGTGACGCGTGCTGCGCTCATCACGCCCGCCAACACCGTCGAGCATACCTGTGGCGCAGAGGTCCTGGACCAGGCCGGGCCACGGTGGATCTATGTGCATGTTGCGATGACGTTGGGCGCAAAGGACCCTGCATCTGTGGCAGAAGGAAGAAAAGAAGCAAAAGTAAAAGTGGGCGATGTGACACTGGTCGAGGGAGACGGCTGCTTCATCAGGGGCAACGTAGTGGGCAGCACTTTGTCATTGACAAACGTATCTGACGTGACGGCCGAGCTGTGAGTCCACCTCTTTGAACTGCAGGCAAGTTACTCACTCCAGCATGCAGTCTCCTGTTCGACCTCAAGCCTGCCTCTAATTAACTACAGCCTCTTTATTTTAGTGGTTGACGGCTGCCGAGAACCCAAAGTAGATGTAGCTTGGCCCGAGATCAATTCTTCGAGAATGCCGTGACATGCCGGTCATAGGCATGAAAGTGACGTATTGCGGAGATTAGCGTCACGTGAGCGAATTGTCTCGAGGCGTGGACTTCGATGTCATCGCGTGTTCCTGCATAAAGCCGTGCACCCCAGTACGGCCTTAACGCTAAACTCCTGGATCTGACAGGATCGGGCGTGGATTTTCATGAATTTTTCGTGGTTATTAAAGGTGGACGCCAGTCTATGAAGACCGTTGGCAGTGCCGGACGGTCGTCATGGTTCCGTTTGGTCGTCATGGATGGCAGTGCTGGTTGTTCGTCATGGATGGCAATACCGATCTGTTGCCACCGTGCGTGGGATACATAAATCAGGGAACATGAGGAGGGTAAACGTCTCTCATAGCAAGCATCTTGATCATGTCTCGACGCAAAGGAAAAGCTCTGCAACTTTCGCGAAGCGACAAGAGAGTGTCAAGAGCGTGCGATCGCTGTGAGAATGTAAGACGATCAATCTGAATGATTACAGCTAACCATGTGTACTGTAGGCCGTGAGAAGAGGTTGCGCTGCGATGACAGCGGTGACGAGCCTTGTCGGGCGTGCCGTGACGCGAGTAAGTTGTTGACCATGCGTCACTGTCGGGTGCAGTCCTTACCATCTCGCACAGAGGTTTCTTGCATCAGAACGGGCGATGATCGCCGACGGTTGGGTCACCAAGCAAGCTCGTCATCGCAGCCACCGCAGGAAAGCCCAGACTCGGAAGGCAACCAGCAGCAGCAGCAGCAGCAGCAGCAGCAACAACAACAGCAACAGCAACAGCAACAGCAACAGCAACAGCAACAGCAACAGCAACAGCCGCCGCGACGGTCTCAGCGTCAGTTGGAACAAAATCAAGCGCAGCATGCGCCAGCACCGTTGGGCCCGATTGAGCACACAGCGGTGCCAGAGCATGACTTCTCCGTTGACGAGGCGCTTCGGGAGTGGGTCGAGGCTGCGCTTGCCTCGTCCACATCCATGACGTCTTCTGCTCCCTTTAACGAGCACGGACTCTCTGCGGCTCTTACCGCCACTGTCAGCCAGGAACACACCACCTTTCTGAACCATGATCAAGACCAGGCGCTATTGGCCGCTGGTGAAGCACTTGCGTCCAGCTGGTTGCCACACGGGACTTCTGTTTCTGCACCGCAGATCGGAGTTCCACTACGGACCACCGCTGTGCCGCAGACTACGACGGCGCCCGCTTTACTCTCTGAGCCGCGACCCATGGAGGGCATTCAACAAAAAGCCGAGGGACACCCTGGCAAGCTCGAGGTCGAGTACTGGAGGCACTTTGGGGCGATCTCCGTGTTGCGGAACAGCAGACTGTTTCGGGTGGAGCTCGAGGTGCCGCACCACGTGGCATTGGCCTTGGATCTCAAGGAGCGTTCCAAGAGCGCTACCGTGAGGCGCCGAGAAGCCGGGCCAGAAGGAGTTGACGACCACGACAGCGACGGTGAGGACAGAGATACGGGTAGCAGCACGGTGGAGCTGAGCTCTGTCTCAACACGTCATATGCGCGAGCGAACCACGTCCGACGTAATCGCCAACGACATGCCCCGCCTGTGGGTCACGCGCGCGCTCGTTCCCCTCTTCTTCGAGCGTCTGGGCGACAGCTTTCCCTTTTTCAATGTCAACATCTTCAGTGAACAAGGTCTGCGAGACGATCCAAAGGGAATCCCGCTTCTATTGAACTCAGTCTGCGCGCTGAGCGCCCGATTCACGCAGCTTCCCATCATCGCAAAGGGCCGTCCCGAAGAGCAGGCCTACACCTTTGGGGTCGACTTTGCCGAGCATGCAAAGACGTACGTGCTGCCTCTGTTCAAGAGCCCCTCGGCCACGACGGTCGCCAGCCTGCTCATCCTGGGGTGGCACGAGTTTGCGGTCAATTCCGAGACGGGACTCTGGATGTACTCGGGCATGGCGATGCGCATGGCCGTGGAGCTCGGCCTTCACACGAGGCGTCTCGGACCAGAGTCCACGAGTGCATTGCAGAGGACGACGCCGCCAGACCTCTCTCCCGAGAATCTCTTCTGGACGACGTTCGCTCTCGACGCCACCGTGTCTATCATGACTGGTCGCACACCGTTCCTGTACGTCGACGACATCACCATCGACAGACCCGAGCTGAGCAGTGGGAGCGCGTTTGCCTACTACATTCGAATCTGCATTCGCATGCACAGGCTGGCCAGCTTTGCCTCCCGGTCGCGCACGCACCCAAAGAGCGAGATTCTGCAGCAGATCACCGAGACGTCGACGCTGCTCGACACGGAGTTTGCCCAGCTTCCTCTTCATCTGCAAGCCACGCGGGCCAATCTTGAGCGCAACGGCCAGCCGGCCATGCTCCTCAACGTTCATCTCTGGTACCACGGCTTGGTGATGCTGCTGCACACGAGACCGTTCGATGAGTTGCGCCTATCCTCTGCGCCAGACGCGGAGGTGTGGCGGCGAACGTTTGCACATCGGGCGAGGACGTCTGCACAACGGTGCTTCGACCTGGTCCTCCTTGCGAGGCAGTACGATGAGTCCTTGCTCCTGCTGGGCCTGCCGCTTGCGTGCCACGTCTGTGCCCTGGCACACCGCGTCATGACCGAAGAAGTGGAAGAGCTCGCGGCAGAAAAGGCATGGGAACACACGGCTAGCGATCGCGAACCGAGAGAGCAGCGCAGAGAGACGCCACTAGAAGACGAAGAAGAAGAAGAACGAGCGCTGGCAGTCGAGCATCTGCGCAGCGCCAAGCTCTTTGAGGATCTCCTCTCCTGGCAGCAGAAATGGTGGGCTGGGGTCAAGTGGGCCCTAGTCTCTCTCCAGACGAGGCGAATCCAACTGGCGCAACGGTTCGATTTGAAGTCCGAGGGCGACAATTCTTTGCCTTTGATATTGGATCCGGAATGCGAGCGCAGGAGTTACGCCACATTGACTGAGATGGTGAGTGTGCGTCTCCGCCTTGATGTGCCACTCACTTTGTTGATCTTCTATACACTATCAGAAGACGCTCCAGCGGTTGACGAGGAGGTTAGGCGGCTCAAGGTAGAAGCGACTCACACGCTGCCTCACCGCTAGAAAATGAAAATTAGTCCAGCTTTTGGGAGGTCCCACGACGCTCACCGCCGTATCAGCACGTCGCTGCAATCTGCATCGCCACACTGGTGTTTCTGAGATTGCAAGTATGTGCAAGATAGTATATACATCGCTTGAGGACGAATCCGAGGACAAGAAAGAAGGCGAGAAAGTAAAAGCGGCCAAATGAAGCGAAGAAGCATCGATCGAGTCGGATTCGTAGAGACTGAAGACTGTTTATTGCGAATGCCTGCCAATAGATGATACAGTGCCGAGCAGATGACTCAAGTCTCTTCTCGCCACCGGACGAGGTCGCGGCGAAGCTGAGAGATGGAGATCGGCTTGGTGCGCCACTCGGTCATGCCGCAGATGTCCAGGCCTCTTGTCCGGTCCTCGCTCGAGCCCAGGGCGGTGATGGCGACGATGCGGGCTGCGGTGTTGTGGGCGCGCATCTCTTGGCACGCCTCGAAGCCGTCCTTTAACACAGAGTAGAGGCGGTCAGCGGCTTGTGAAGTAGCATCATAATCGACGCACCATCACGGGCAGACTAATGTCGAGCAGAACGACGTCGGGCGTAAAGGCGATAAACTTGTGGACAGCCTCGTGACCGTCGTGTGCCTCTTCGAACTCGATGCCCATCGACTTGAGCAGCCGCGTGAGCAGACGCATATTGATGGGGTTGTCCTAGGGTGTGCAGGTATTGAGGGGACTGGAGCTGGCGTGGAGAGATCGACCAACTCACCTCGACAGCCAAGACTCGGAAAGGAGGACGAGGTGTCAGCAGCGTCGGGCGCTCGTTACTCGCAGGCTCAGTAGCAAGTCGACTGATGCTCGTCGGCCGGTGCATCTTGAAGCCTGCCTGTCCGCCCGTGATGAAGTCCTTGAGGATCGCAAGCGCCGTCGGCCCGTGTGGAAGCAGAAAGGGCATCACCGCGTGACCCTGGAGATGCTGCAGCCCCTGTGGCTTCTGCGTGGCGTGGCGCGAGGTGATGACGATGAAGCTGCTGTGCGGTGCAAAGCCATTGGGCTTACTCAGCTCGGCGACGGCGGCTTCCGACAGAATGATGTGATCAGCCTGGGCAGCGTCGCTGGTGAACGTGGCTTGTGGGAGCGCCTCGATGAGGTACTGTCGCAGCTGACTGGCGATCCGCGCGAGACCCCTGCTTCGTTCAAGCTGGACGAAAGCGATGGCGACTGGCCCCGATGGCTTTGTCTTACTTGGAGGCAGAAGCGAAGGGTCAGACTCCGACCAGTCAAGCGGCAGCTTGCGCAGCGGAATGACCACATCGCACGTCGTTCCCACATCGATCTCCGATGAAACATGCAGTGTCCCCGCCAGCTCACGCTGGAGCACCGACACTGCCGTAGACACGCCGAGTCCGAGCCCACCCATGCTGGGCTGCTCCTTGGCAAAGGGCGCGGCCAGCATGGTGCTGACAAAGTCGCGCGACATGCCCTTTCCCGTGTCGGTGATGGTGATCCTGACGGCGTGCTTGACGCTGCTTTCGTCGCTGTCCGAGCTCGAGAGACTGCTCGATGCTGTCTCGGACTCGGTCGTTTCGCTCTCGCTCGCTTGGATCGGGCCGAGGTCTCTCATGTCGACATGGACATAGCCGCTCTTTGTGAAGCGGAACGCGTTGGAGAGAAGCCGTCGCAATGCGCGCTGCACCGTGTCGCGATGAATGAGCCAGTCTGTTTTCATTGCGTCTTCCGCTGCCTCCCTTGAGCCTGCCATTGGGGAGGCTGTGCTGATGCTGACGAGGACCTCGACGTCATCTTGACGCTGCCGTGCATCAAAGGGCACGTCAAAAGCATCATAGAGCGCCCGCATCTTGAAGCGCTCGTACTCTTCCAGGACCAGGTGCTCGACGAGCTGGAAGATGTTGTGCCGCTCCAGCTCTGCAGTCGGTCGAGCCAGCGCAGGGTTGACGGTGGCGCTGCTGGCCTCGAGGTCGAGCATGTCGTCCAGATACGACTTTAGCGTTGTTGCGCACGCCTGTCCCGATGCGAGCAGACCATCGAGCATCTTTGTCTGCGCGTCCTGGCCTGCAGTGATCGTGCTGCGAATGTAGTCAATGACGCCCATGATGCCGTGCAGGGGGGTGCGAAAGTTGTGCTGCACGCTTCGCAACAGCGCCTGCTCGAGCTTCTTGACTTCGCTGCACTTTCGCTCGCGCAGAGACAAGAGGCTGTCTGTCGCACAGCTGTGGACGAGACAAGCCTGCGCGTACGTCAGTCGCCGGTGGGTCCCGGGCAGCAGGACGATGAGAACGAGATCCGCCATGGTGGCGCTTCTGTGCTCTTTAGATAGCGTCGTGCTCATCGGCACACAGACATACGCGTCGACGTCGTCTGGGAGCTGGCATGGCAAGCTCGGCCGCAGCTGCGACGAGATGATGAGGTGCTTGTTGCGGCTGAACTCGCCAAGCACGACGCGATCCGAGCACACGACCTGGCCCATGGCGTTGGCGGAAATGTCGGCAAGCCAGTCGGACACGGCCGCCTTCTGCCAGCGGTTCGCGACCGTCGGCACCTCGTCTTCGTGGCCGGCGAAACAGCGAACGCGCACTGCCGACGCGGGCTTGCCGTCCTCCTGCTCGGCTATCAGGGGCAGGCCCTTGGTGGGGCTGTGTGACCGCTTCTGCAGCTGCACACTCTTTGCTGCGGCCGCAGCGTGTGGGAGCCCTTGGAAGGTCTCTAGCGGCGGTGTGGGTGGGGAAGGGCGCAGCGCCGACCATCCCTCTTCTTGCTGCAGCGTGGTGAAGGGCTGCAAGGTAGGCACGCGACCGCGGTGCTTCCTCGCCCTGACAAGCTTCGTGTCCCAAAAGCACACCGACACGGCGCCCAGTGCGTCCAAGAGGGTGTCGCACGTCTTCTGCAGGATCGCCACGTCCTCGTCTTGCGGCTCTCCGATGCGTCCAGTGGGGCTGCTGTCAGTGGTGACAAAAGACGCCTCCGCAGACTCTCGCTTGCTCCTGTGGCGCGGAGACTTGTCTTCTTCGCGCTGTCGAGCAATAGTAGCCAATTCAAGACATCGAGTCGCATGCAAGCCGCGCCGCTGGTAGACGCCCTTCCAGTGGTGAGTCAGAAGCGCGACCTGGATTAGGTGAGCTGTGCTCTTGGCCGCCTGCAGCAGCGTCGTCTGGTCCAGGCGCGGCACCGCGAGAAAGAGCTGGCCGACGACGACGCTGTCCTGCGCATTCAGCGCGACGTGGGCTTCCGACCCGTAGTGGTAGTCTTTGTGCAGACGGGGAAGGTGGATCGGCATGGATGCAAACGCCGAGGCCTGGGAAAACGTCAGGCGAGTCTCAGCTCGTAGTGCGAGTCTCTTCTCACCTTTTGAGAGGCGTAGAAGCCAATGTATTGGACGTCGGCCTGCATCAAGACGAGCGAAGAGCAGGCTGCGGCGGCTATATCAGTGCTGCGCACGAACAAGGAAAGGAAGGGCTCTGACGCACTGGAACGAGTGCACGTAATCTCTGCGTACTGGACGGGCGTCATGCTTTGCTCGACAAACGTCAATTTGCAGCTCTTAAAAGGGGTGTGAGTAGGCTTGCTTGACCTCCAGCGAGATCGAGACGTACATTTGCATCGGAATAGAGAGCACACGCCAGAAGCGAGCCGGAGGGGCAAAAGGCGAGGCCATGCAGCAGGACTTCACGGAGTGCTTCGGGCTCGTTGAGGGCATGGAAATTGCGCAGGTGATGCGCACGGCGTCTTCGTCTGGGAGAAAGATCGTCAGCGAGGACGGGAGCACTTCATTCAACTGCACTCACTTGTCTTCCACGCCTAGCGTGATACAATCGGATCCAAGTGTTGCTTTGGTTTCGAAGATGTCAGCGGGAATTTTCAGCTGGTGATTGCTTTGCTCACCCAGCAGCCTCCGAGTCAAAGCGATGGCGTGTCGCGTGCTTCCGAGAAGCTTGCAGCCGCAGAGCGGATCGTGGTCTTCCTCCACCACGCTCTTCTCCAGCCTCTTCTTCTTTTCCTTGCCACTGTCCGCGGAGTCTGAGCGATCCTGCTCCGCGAAGTCGTCGTGCCAGGCGTAGCCTGCGTCCATCTCTTCTAACGGCATCTCGTCGCAGGTGTTCTTCCTTCGACGGAACGTGGGGAAGTGGAGAGGCACGATAGTCCTTGCCCTCCAATCCTTTTAACGCTTTCTGTGAGACTGCAGATGGCGATTGAGACCCTCATTTGATGCACCGCGGGCAAGGTGCATAAGGGCCGCGTCTTCTACTCCTCGGCTTTAAGGTAGGATGAATATGGTCTTTTCTTTTTGCTTAGGGGTCCCAAAGAGGAGAGGATTGTTACATGAGGAAGAAGGAAGGTCGATAAGGGATACTTCCCCGGCATACAGCAGACAATCCTGCATGAAAGAGGGAGGGAAGCATGCTTTCCCCTGGCTTGACTTGCCAGTCTATGAGAACCGCGAGCCTTAGGAAGGACGACCAGCTGAATCAATTACTGAGTAGCATTGCAATTGTGATCAAGTACACACACAATTGCGGACATGTGACTAAGAATCGAATGGAGCACATAGACTGCTGCCATTCATCAGATCTTGCCGCGGACAAATTGGCCGACGATCTCAGCAAAGTACGTGCCCTGTGACACAGCAGCTAGGATAAGGTAGGGCAGGACGCCAGAAACGAGGACAGAAGCTCACCTGGGCCTTGGAGACGCGGAGCTCCTTCTCCGTGGGCCGGCGCGAGTTGTTGCCCCCGGCAACTGTCGCAGCGTTGTAGGGACTTATGCCAGTGATCTCGCTGATCTCGGAGAGCTCTGGGAATTGAAAGCTGGCAGCGAAACACATCAGTGAAGGCTTCCGTCGCCCTTGTTCTCTGAACGCACCCGATCGGGACGTACTGTTTCGCGCAAGATTTTTGTTAGCGATGTCCATGATGAAGAATCTAGTCCACTCACAATCATGCCGTGATGGACAAAAAATCTGGAGGAATTTCAGGAGCGAGGCATCATCAGCAACTGTCGTGAAGAGACAAAGGAAGCGCTACGAACGGAAACGTAGTCAGAGCAGTCGTCTCGACACCCCCGTGCTGCGTGCCCGCAGAAGTGATCATCGTGACGTGCTTCCCGAGCAGCGACCCAGAGGCCCACAGGCCACCGGTGCGGTCAAAGAGAGCGCTGACCTGAGCCGGTGCGCGTCCAAAACGGGTGGGGAAGGCAAACACCTGCGCGTGCAAGGTGTCAATCACGAGCAGCAAGTAGCGTAAGAGGGGACTCACCAGACCATCAAAGTTCTTGAGGTCCTGGGCATTGAGCACAGGCAGGTCTTTCGTGAGGCTTTTGTCGGCCTTCATTTTGACCAGCACCTCGGGCGAAAACGTTTCCGCAATCTATCAACGCCTCGAGTCAGCTGAAACCTAAGATCCAGAACGGCGCGGCAGAAGCACACCTGGTATTCGGTGACGTCGGCGCCTGTGGCGCGGGCTCCCTCGGCTGCCTCCTTGGCCAGCTCTGCCACGTGTCCCCACAGGGAGCTGAAACGGGCCGTAAAGAGGGTTCAGCAAACGGAGGACTGATTGCCTCTGCACACGTACTAGGAGATGACGGCGATCTTTGCCTTGGACATGGTGGAGAGACAGCGTTGCAGAAAGGTTGCTTGCTCAGGAGGGTGGGCAGGTTGTGAGAGTCTTGACGCTTATATCAGTGAGTCGTACCGTTACATGTGACGACAAAGACCACGGATCCGTGATCAAGCGCATGGAAAGCATTGTCCCTTATGTCCTCGTCCTCGGACTGTAGGTAAGGTTATGGCCGCGGGCGAGCCTTGGGCGTCAATCTGGCGCGCTAGTGTCCTGCATCCGAGGCGCCAAATGCATCGCTCGCTAAATTGACGCGTCTCCACAGTCACCACTCCTCCGCGGTCTGCGGATCTCGATGAATGCGCATTCCGGCACGAGGACATACATTACAAAACTGGAGCGATATCCGAGCAGCCATATACAAAAGAAAACACACAAGTTCGGCCAATGACGGCCCCTTCTCGACCGGCAACAAGTCAGCTACTCGACCCAAGTGTACTTGGGGTTGTCCAGCAGGCTTTGCCAAAACTGTTTGCCATACTTTAAGCGGGTGTTGTGGTCGTCGGTGTTCTTGCAGCTCTCGGCGGTGATCGCCTTGCCGTCCTTGACCGGCGGAGTGGAGTAGGGCAGGTACTCGTTTGATGTCTTGGTGCCAAAGTACGACAAGATCGAGCCGCCCTTCTTGAGGCGCTCAAAGATGTTCTCGGCTGTTTCGCTGCCCCAGACGATGCCTGCCTGTTCCGATAGAGAGGATGGATGGGGAGACTTGACGAAAGCGCCCGCATGAGGAGCTGGAATGCCGCTGGCGGCCAACAGCCTCGCATCATCCAGGCGCAGCGCCAGCATCCGCGTCTTGACGGTCACGTGGAACTTGTCGCCCGCGAGAATGTCGCGCAGGTTGCCCTTGGTCTCTGACTCGAAAATGTTGAGGGGGCTGAGTGGCGCAGTCAGTGCAAGCCCAAACCATGAGTATATCTCCCACTCACCTCTCTCGCGCGCTCCAGAAGCCAGCCATCAGGTACGCAATGGCCTTTTTCTTGGCGTCTTCGTTGGAGGAACGAACGTTGAAGGCATCGACAATCCGGAGAATCGACAGCTCGACCTCGGTCTTGGGCGCAAAGGAGGTCGACCCCTGCTGAGCAAGTGCATTCAGCGCAAGCTTCCGGTCAATGTCGATGCCCATGTGTTCGTTGTCGACCATTTGGCCCTTGTTTTCTTCTTCTTCTGAAGGAATCTTTTGGCTTTCCTTGAGAGCACGGACGAGCTCGGCCTTTTTCACGTCACCCTCTACCTTGCCGTCGCGGGTGTGCAGCTCGAAGAAGCGCAAGAGGTGCTCGGCCGGCCAGGCTTCCAGCTGGTTTACCGAAGCGTCTGCCTGTCGGAAGTCGTAGGAGAGCGCCAGATCGAATCGGGCCGCCGCTCGTGGGTCAATGAGGATTTCGACATCGGCGCTCTTTGACCAGAGAATGGCGCGGAGCATCCAGCGCAGCGAGATGAGGCCGAGCGAGGGCAGCGGCCGCCTCATTTCTCCATCGCGATAGTGCGAGCCGGCATCGATGCTGGACTTGATGTCATCTGGCGTCAGGTGGGGCAGCTTGTCGTTGTTGTTGCCCCCGCCCACATCGCTGTGCACGCCAGGGAACCAGACTTCGTTGACAAATGTCTTGAGGTTCTTGACATCCGCTTTTTCGCGCACGTAGTCCTCCGGTTTGACCTGCTCGGTGCGCAGGATCGGGTGGCGCACTTTCTTTTGCCGGGCGTTCCAGCGCTGGATCATGAACGAGTTGCGCTGCTCGTCGAGGGCCATGGCGTGGTAGACGTGTCTGACGGACCCCTCGTGCTGCGGAAAGGCAAACGGGGCGCCGTACTTGTTGCCAATCGAGGCGACCGTGTCCCTGTGTTGCCGTCTTGGTCAGGATCTCCTTCAAGAGCAGAGTGTCCACTGCTACGAAACCCACCACAAGCCGAGAAAGTGCACCTTGACACTCTTGCTGAAACTGCTGCGGAACGCAGATGTGTTCATAAAAGAGTCGTTGAACTTGTCGTCGGTGAGGTGCTCGTCGTGGATGACATCCGAGTGTTTCTTGTACACCTCCCAGCCGGTGGACAGAATCTGGGAGCTCTCGCGAGGGAGCAGGCCGATCTGTGCTGGACACGTCAGCCATGTCATCGATCACGCAGATGTGCTACAGAGACTCACCGTCTCCAGCAGGCCGCAGAAGCAGCCGGCGGCATAGGCACCACGCGAGAAGCCCATGACGTAGATCTCGTCGCTCTTGCGGTGGACGTTCATCAGCCAGCGGTAGGCGTCGAGGACATGCTCGGGAAACGAAGAGGCGAATCCCTTTGTGAAGGCCGACTTGAGCGCCGAGCCCATCTCGCCGGCCGAGGAGAGCGTGTGGGAGCTAAAGTCGTGCATGCCCACGCCCTCGCCGTAGTAGACGAGCTGCTGCTTCTCGTCGTCCTTGCGGAGGAGCTGGAGCATGCGGCATACGTTTGTCTGTTGCTGTAGGAGGAATGGGTTGTCAGCATGATTCGAGAGCATAGCATTGTGGCAGATGCTCACGCCGGCCTGGAAGTCGTTGCCCGTGCCTTCAAAGAGCACAAACAGAGCCCTCCGCTTTTCCCGCTTCGGCTTCTTGTTTGCTGAGCCCAAGGCCGCAGCGGCGCCGTTGCTGGCGATGTTGCTGGTGCCGTTGCTTGCGCCGTTGCTAGTGCTGTTGCTTACGTTGGTTGCTTCCGGAGACATTTTAGGGGACTCGATTAGATTTTTGGGAGTGCCACCAGGACCCTCTTATGTATCTTTTCCTCTTGAACTGCCCCACTCGCTACAGGCTTCTGCTACAGGCCTCTGCTTTGCTGCCGAGGCAAGGATGTCAAGGCCAACTGCCCCATACGGCTCAATGGTCGGTCCTTATCTGCGCCGGTCTCGACTGCTCGGGCCGAGTAGAAGCAATGTTCAGCCACGGGAAGGTGCTCTGGGTGCGAACCTTGTCGAATGCGGCTTGTGCGAGGTGTCACTGCAAACCTTAAAATTGTTCCCGACGTTAGCTAACCCCACTTTCATCAATCTAGGCCCGATCCTATTTTCTCCCCCCCAAATGTGCGCGCGCGTCCGTCACGCGAGCAGTCTCATCCACCAGACGCGGGGAGGCGGCACGAATTTGTGGCTTTTTTTTTTCTTTCTTTCTGCAAAGCTGTCGCATCCACGGCATCATTGTGTTTGCCTTTCGATTGGCCCGTGCGTCGAAACACTATTCAGCCACTGTGATTCGCTGCTGAGCATCGACGAGGCCTCAACTGCGCGGTGCTGCTTTCACCACTCCATCTTGGTCATGGCGGGTTGCTTTCTAGCAAGGCAAGCAAGGCAGACCTGAGCTGCACTCAACGAGCTCCTCACTTGTCGGCTATGGTCGCACTTATCAGAGCACTCTTTCGCACCAGCCGCAGGATGCGCGCGCACTTCTTCGCTTCCTTGCAAAGGCCGGGAAGACGAAGAAAGTAGTCCCGGGCAAAGACATCGACTGTGCATTGTTTACGAAAGGGTGCATTGTTTACGAAAGGACATGCAGACTATAGAAGGGCAACATAAATGCCCTCAAGGCCACAAAATGCCGACTCATCTTTCCATGTCCGTAGCTTGTATTGGACGTCGCGCTCCGTCCACAGCGGTGTCTCACAGCTGATGCGCAGCTGCTTTGTGGGAGGGACGTCAAATCGGGAAAAGGCCGCGAATAGTTCTCTCGGTCTTTGTGGGAATGGCCGATCAAACGTTGCTGTGCCAGAAATCTCGGTGCGAAGGTCGCGCAAGTCATCGGAGCAGTTGAAGTTTCCCGAGCGTATAGTGTCGTCTGTACTGTCGTGTGCCAGCCACGAGACGCCCAGTTGGATCATTGCGCTGTTGTCAAACGTGGCCAGGCGGAGACGAAAGCCGGTCGGGGTGATATTTTCGGCCCACGCCCGTGCTCGCACCGAAAGCTTCAGGAATCTCTGGACGTGATCAATGGCGCAGACAACCTTTGGTGTCGTTTTATAAGCGACTTTAAACTCCACCTCGAGCGTATGGCTCTCGCTCGGCATAAACGCCCTCTTGCCATTTGGGTCTGTTTTCTTTCTGCCTTCAGCAAAGGAGTACCTTCCGGTCTGCACACGCCTGTCGCCCGGGCGAAAGCCGATAAAGTTGGCCTTCATGCTATAGACCTGGGTGGCAGGACCTTTGGTAAGACCCATTGTGTAGCCCACGTCAGTGACCTTGGTAGGCAAGCATAGAAAGGTGAGGTCGCTTTCCATAGAGATGTCGACCATCGTGAAGCCTGCAAACACCTTCGTCCTTTGATCCGTCAAAATTTCTTGTTCGTTGGTCTCCTTTTTGTCATTGGTTGGCCACTGGATGGTATTGAGAAGAGTCCTGGGAGCGATTAAGCCTTCTACGACGGCTCGGCTGGCCTCTTTGTCAATGACGCCGCTGATGGCAAGACGCTCGGTGCCGGATGGAAGAAGTAGAAAACGGGGCACATCAGGGGTCATGATGGATGCGGCGTCTCTGAGAGGGCCTGGCGGCTTGACCAGCTGGGTGTAAGCCTTTTCGCCATCATCTCCGCCCATGATCCTTCGGCACAGCTCCCTGACTGCTGCCTCGTTCCAGTTTGGCTTCACACTTGGCACGGCATGACCGCTAGAAATGGATTCAGTGAATGCCAAGCCAGCATGGACCGGCAGGCAGCGCACTCACAGGCCCAATGCGTGGCCGAAGAGGTGCATGGCAAGCCACCTTATGTCTTCGGCACCAAAAACATCTCCATTGGTGAAGCCTCCCAGACCGAGGCACAGGTTGGCCGTCGAGTCTTTGCTGTTCTTGACTACTCGGGCAAATGGCTGTTCGCCCTGGAGCTGCACACGCACATGGGGTGTCGCGGTATCTTTTCGGGCTTGTGTCAGGGTGAGTTGCGTCTGTACCGAGTTCCAAGCCGACGCTGCCTTGTCCACAATGTCCACAGCGACCGGCAGCTCAGCTCCGTCGAGAATTCTATAAGTAATTATGTCGCCGTATTGCCATCGCTGGTCGTCTTGAGCGATGACGGCCATACAGCATCGTCGGGGCTTCTGCCTTGGGTCGTTCTTCACCGTAATTTGAGGAGAAGAAGAAGCTGTAGAAGAAGCAACTGTAGGAGAACTCGTAGCAACTGCAGTAGGCGCCATTGCGAAGAGTGAAAGGGCTCTGAGGCAACAGGAAACGCGATAGGGCCCTAATTTATATCGAAAATAGTCTGCTTTAGCCTCGGGAACCCCGCATGTGGCCAATCCGCAACGCACACGACAGCAAGATATCAACCACAGGCTTTTAGCAAATCCCCGGGACGCGGAAGGTTCTAGCTCCGCTGCAACGGGACGATGCTTTTTCAAGCTGGCCTTGGTCGAGGCCCGTGGACAGGATCCTCTACACGTTCTGTGCGTGGGGATGTTTGCATGCTCTTGACATCCATCGTTCCCGCGCGGGACCGTGTCAACCCTACCCCACACCTTGTCAGAGTGACGTCCTCTTCGATCTAGTGGTCATGCTCATCAAAGCTAAAGCCGTATCTTGATCAGGCTAGTTACAATATCTACACGGTTTCAGGCATCATTTCACACTCCGCATCTTCGAGCAGATGGGACGGTCGACTCAGCCACAGCAGAATTCTGTGACAAGATGCATAGTAGATATAAAGCCCCTTATTCTGGAACAACATTGCCACCTGCTCCCACGCCTAGGAACGCATTGAAAACATGTCTCTACCCCTCGAAGAGGATCTGAACCGAACGACGTACAAGGGATCGCAGCGTGCTCCAGGCACCTATCTCACCACTCGTCTTGTCACCCACGCAGGCGTGCCTGTGGCCTTTGCCATTCGACAGGGTCAAGCGCGGGTGGCAAAAAAGACGGCCGTTCAATCAAAGACGGATGATCAACTGAAGACGGCCGTGCAATCAAATACAACGACCGTACAATCAAATACGACGGTCGTGCAACCGAAGACGGATGCGCAGTTGAAGAAGGATGTGCAACCGAAGACAGATGTGCAATCGGTGACGCCTGACTCCAAAGCCAGCAATGACATGCAAAAGGTGCCCATCTTTGAGTACGTGGTCCTGCAGCCATCGGCATCGAGCAGCGCCGACGACAAGCCCCCTGCGGGCAAGTCGGTCGGGGGCAAGACTCGTGCAGGTGACCGCCTCGACGCCCAAGGCTGGTCCGCCGATCCCATCCTTGTCCCCTTTCCCAACGAGGTGCGCATCGTGGGCCAGGAAGCGGTGCCAACATACATTGTTCCCACGCTCGACAATTCGGGCAGCCCCACCGACTCTGCCGGCTTTCCGCTCGACGACAAGGTCGATCAGTGGATGTCAAGCACTCAATGCTTGACGTATATGCCAAGGGGCGAGAATGGAAATCTCGACGTCAAAGACTTTCACTTTGAGGTCCTCAGCGATGGTGAGCCTTCTCTCACAGCTGGATATTTTCCTCTACTCATCGACCTGCCCAGGGGAGTACATCTACCTGTTTCGAGCCGGCCAGGGTACAGAGACTAAGTGTGCCAACGGACAAGTGCAGTCTTCGGACCTCGACGGCCTGCTCAACGGGCATCTCCTCTGCGACCGCTTTGTCCTCAACGAAGGCCGCCTGGATCGCGTCGTCGAGTCGCGCTTTCGGCGATCTGGGCAGCGGGCACTGCCGGCCAACGACAAGGACACGTTGGGTGCGCGCAGCATCGATAATGTGCCTTTCTATGAGCCGACGCTCGTCTTGCAATTTGCCGGCAAGCTCACCCACGCGCGCTTCTCCGTCGTGTCGAACCCGACAACTGCGCCCGACACGCGCAAGTGGCTCTTTGTGCTGGGACAAAAGGACGAGACTCAAGTTGACGTCGTCACCGTAGACGCCTCGGCGTCTGGGCTGTTTGATCTGCACGGCAAACGATTCTATGAGTGCAAGAACGACCATCCACGCATCTTTGACAGCCAGCCGGGTGTCTGCACGGCAGCCGTCGGCAAGGCAGGTGCGACGTGCGGCAAAAACAAGAAGCTAGTCATTACGCAAAAGAGAGTGTCCGAACGGGCCATCTCCACGACGGCCAGGAACGGTCTCCAGCTGACGAAGCCCATTGATCTAGAGACTTTTGCTGCCGGCTTTTGTTTCGAGGCGTGGGTTTGCCTAGGCGATGAGCCAAGTGTCGTCAGTAACACATCCTCGACCAATGTCATAAAACCGGCCACAACACCGTCCCCCGCGCCGGTCAAGACATCGTCAGCAACACCGTCCATCGTGCCGGCCAAAACAACATCGTCACAAACACCTGTCACAGCACCAGCCGTAGCACCGGCCAAAGCACCGAGCACAGCACCGGCTGAAGCACCGACCACAGCGCCGGCCACAGCGCCGGCCAAAACATCGTCAGCGGCACCGACGCAAACAACCACAGCATCAGGCCAGACACCGACCACAGCACCGACTCCAAAACCAACCACAACACCAGGAACAGGACCGGTCACAGCGCCAGCCACAGCGACGGCCAAAGCAACGACCACGACAACGGCCGCAGCATCTGCCAAAGCGCCGAACTCCAACGGCATTGCAGCCAATGGCACTTCAACCAACGGCACTGCAGCCAACGGCACTGCAGCCAAGAGTACCGCGACTATTGCTTCTGCTGTCAACGGTACCGCAGGCAGCGGTATTGTGCCCGCCTCTCCCAGCTCACAAGACCTGCTCGTCGCAGGTGAAGCGCCGACGCCGACGCGGCTGTTCATCGATGCTGACCTCTGTCTGTGTCTGCACGTGAAAGGGACGCAAGTGGCACGGATCGCCGTTCCTTTGCAGCGCAAGACATGGCACCATGTGGCGCTTTCGAGACGCAAGGGCAAGGTCGTAGGCTCATGGCAGTACACTGTCGTGCTCGATGGGGAGGAGGAGGCATCATCGCCAGAAGCCATCGACACGGGTGGCAAGATTTCGCACATCGCGCCTGGATTTATTGGGCAGCTCGATGAGGTACGACTCTGGAGGACGGGGCTCTCGGCGGCGGCCATTAAAGCACGATGCGGTTTGCGGCTTGTTCAGGCCAGCATGCTCGAGGCCTGTTGGCACCTTGACGAGGGCTCGGGCACTTTTGCGTACGACTCGGGTAGCAACGCAAATCATCTGAAACTTTTAGGCTCCTGCACATGGTCCGTGTCCAAAGCACCCTTGCTTCCCCCGACGGGTCTCAACCGGCGCACGATCCGGTTGGGCGGCGGCATGAAAGTTGCAGGCGGCTTGTCTGTGTGCCGCTACTCTGAGCAGATCAGTATCAACAAGGCAGGCGATAGCAAGGCGGCCAAAGACGACGGAAAGAAGCAGAAGCGGACGATGCGAATCCTCCTCGTCATGCTCATTACTGCCAACAAGGACAACAAGCTTGCAACGTTTGATGTCGTGCTGCTGGATGATGGCAGCCTCTGCGACTGGCCCGGCCTGATTTCCTTGATTCCTGATCCCGCTCCGGCGGCCAACAAGACCTCAACCGTAGCGCTGCCCGCCGCGGCATGCATCTCCACGAGCGCCGAGGGCCATCCGGTCTTCTTTGGCCTTCATGATGCCGGAAGACTGAGCTGTGATGATAACCCAACGGCCATCTTTGACTCTGCCGTCGGTACACTCAGCATCTACTACCGCTCCAAAATCCAGGGTCTCTCGGCAGTGATGTACTCGACGAGTCGCTCTCTTACCTTCCACGACATCGGAAATTTACGTGTCTTGCCTCGTCTGCGCACGGCAGAAAGCTACGTGATCTCCATCGCTGACAACCCATCAGACAAGAGAGTGATCAACGTCCAGGTTACCGCAAACACAATAAATGGCACGAAGGTCGTTGAAGGCTGGCGTGCGCTCCCAACGGCCACAAGGGACATCATCAACATAGTCAATGGGGAGCAAAAGGAACAGATCAGCCTGGGCCGAATAAAGGCCTTCAAAGGCGACCTTGTTGACAAAAAGAATCATCATGTCACCGTGGTGCTTGCCGAGCCCCTGAAAGTCAGCATCCGCGCCTGCGCAAGCCTCGTGAGCGACGACATTTTTGTGACCGCCGTCGATGCCGTCAGCAGTGGTCAGAGCGAGATCAAAGTGTGGTGGCCGCCGTACCACTCGCCAACGTCAGGAAAGGACGGGAAAGCACCGTTACTCGAGGCGGAAGCTGACATTGCATGTCTCTACTACGACCAAGAGCATCTCTTTGCCGTCTCCGGCATAGAGGAAGACGACACCAAGCAAGGCTCGGCCCTCATTTCCCTCAGCCGCACTCCGCCTGCTTCTTCACCAGAAAAGCCGCTGGACAAGGATGACCCCACTTTCATGGACAAGTTGCTGGACGAGCCAGTAAAGACTGCCACGATCCCCGTGACATTCAGTGGTGAGAAATCTGTGCCAACACTGTCGTCGCCGAGACGGTCAACCGCCTTGCAAATGACGGGCACGTATGCCTTGACCTCGATGAAGAGTGTACTGCCCACGGAGCCCACAAAGGCGCTGACGGTCGAGACGTGGCTGCGTTGCGACAAGATTGCAAAGTCATCGACAGTCCTGGCCTACAGGTGCGACAAAGCGAGCGAAGGTACCTCAGTCGTCGCCGTTGTCAACCAGGTCGAAGTGGACAAGGAGCGCTACAAGCTGGTTTGCAACATCAACAGCCATCTACTTGCTGTCTCACACAGCTCTTTCCAGCTTAAGCGATGGAACCACGTCGCACTCATGCATCAGAAGGCCACCGACCTGCAATTTGATGGGAGCAACTACGTCACGTTGGGCACGGCGCAAGACTTAACATCGCCCTCCTATACTATCACACTGAGCCTGTCCATCGACGAGAAGCAGGGGGGCGAAGTGACGGTGCTGCAACACGGCCACGCGATCCGCATTTTTCTTGTTGACGGCAAGCCAGTCATCAGTTTTGATTGTCGTGAGTATAGAGAGAAAGATGTACGACGGTAATCTTCTGAAGTGAGCATTTCTTTGCTCTTTAGAAAACGGCGAGAGACCAGCGACGATGAAAACGGTAACAATTGATCTTGCTCTGCAACCTAAGACGGCCTACAAGCTTGCTTTTCGACGCAAGCACTTTGAAGAGTTTGACAGTAACCAGAAGAAATCTGTCAAGGTCCTCCTGCTGGGTGCGTGTCTCTACGAAAGCGGACAGACGAAACCGATCAGAGAGAACTGGGGACTCCAGGAATTCGATGTGCGTGCACTCCTCGGCCCATCCGATGATCTCAAAAAGGTCCCTCCGCGCGGTAGCGTAAAGACCTATGTCGATCTTGTCAATTATCTCCGGGGGGACCCATGGACCAATTGGGATGGGGGTGCAGAAAATTGCTCGCCCATCTCGGCCGAAGAGCATGCAAGCATGTGGCTTGGCGGCACGCCTTCCACAAAGGACGCATCCAGCGGCTTCAAGGGCACCATTGGCCACGTCAAAATCTACTCGAGTGCACTGGAGAAGCTGGATCTGCAAGCACTGGCACGAGGTGCAGGAGAAGACAAGTCGCTCATCTCGGCATGGTACTTTGACGAACAAGAAACCAAGAGCACAGTGGCTTTTGACGACAAGAAGCGCAACGACGCCAAGCTCGTGGGCCGGCCCAAACGGGTCCCCGCTCGGTTCGTGTCCGACTCCCTGCTGCGATGTCTGGTCAACGGAAGCGAGGCCAAGGGGGAAGAACTGCCAGCGACGGGAGAGAACATCCGTCTCTTGCAGCCTGTTGGTCCATTTCAGATCACCCTGGGCAACCACCTCCAGGGCAATGGCAACCTGCGGTACCTCGCACAGGAGAATTACTATACAGGACAGCTCGACGAGCTGCGTATTTGGGACGAGGTGCGCACTCGCGCGGCCATTGTCGACAACATGAACACGAGCCTGAGCGACCAGCCGTCGTCACTCAAGGCCTACTATTCCTTTGATGACGAGGAAGACGATAAACTGGTGGTCAAGGATGCTTCGGCTACGTGTAGCCATCTAAGCGCTCTACGTACGGTCGCTATTGCGCGCTGTGCGTCGAGCGCGCCAGTGGGAAAGGATGCTCCCTGTGTTCGGCAGGCATTGGATCCAGACATCGGTGATGCAAAGGGCGCTTTTATATACAGCAGCCCGACGGTGTGCGAGTACGCGGGCATGGACACTACATCATTGGGAGAGCTGCGCGGCAGCTACAAGCGTGCGTACGCCTTTATTGATGAGGCCTCCCATGCGTGGAATCTCGTCACCGGATTCAAAATTGGCGCCACGGATCTCAAATGGATGAGCCAGGTGCAGACGGCCCCCTCGCTGATTGGCTTCATCGAAGGTGCGCCCCCCGTGCCGGCCGAAAACTACCAGGATCCGGAAGGAGAGGCGCCGTCGTCATCGATTGTCTTTTCAAGGGCATCGACCGTGACGCACGAATATGCCTATTCTGACGAAGACAGCAATGGGGTCTCCGTGGAGACCAGCTACGGAATGGGTGCCGCTTGGGATGTCTCAGCGGGTCTGGCTGTGCAAACGAAGCTTACCAAGGGAAAAGTTGGGGCCTCGGTCAAGGCATCCGTTGAGAGCACGGGCAGCGACCTGCGATCATTCGAGCGTGAAGAAACGACCACCAGGACCCATGATACATCGATGGCCTTGACGGGTTCCTTTGACAAAGCAGAGAAGAGGTTCAAGCCAAACAATGTCGGCATCGCCCTCGTTGAATCGTCGGTTGCGGATCTCTTTGCGCTTCGCCTCATCCTGGGAGGCGGACAGACCGGGCCCGTTGTGTCGTACCAGCTGCAGCCGAACCAAGACATCCCGCGAGACCGCAACCTCGTCGTGTTCAACATCAACCCAAACTACTCCAAGCAGGGCTGTCTTGACGGCAAGTACGGTTTGGAGGCAGACGAGACAAACTACCCCAATGCGACAGCGGGCAGCAGCAATGATCTCTCCTTCTACAAGCCCGTGGAAGCGTACCGGATCCGGACAAAGATTGAGCGCGATGAAGCACAGCGCGAAGGCTCGCATCAGCAGCTCAAACTCAATAGCATCTGGAAAGCCGGTGGCAAGGTACCCGTCAATGCTCAAAAGACGAGCACGCGAAGAAACCTGTGCAACTCCTACGTCTGGACCGCCGACGGTGGCACCTACACGGAAGCGCACACAACCATGGACAGCTTCACCGAAGAGATTGGCCTTGACTACAGCAGAAATGTAGACGCGGGCGTTTCCACCGAGGGCGAGACCGAGGGGCCTGCCTTTTACATGAAGGGAACCACCGACTATCTCTACAAGTCGTCGGTCAAGGTGACGCAGAAAAAGTCCAAGACTTCCTCGGAAGGATTCGAGCTCAAGACGGAGCTGCCGGGGCCGTGCAACATCCGCGACTCAGAGCACGCCAAGATAGCAGGTCGCGTCGATGCCTATCGGTGGATGTCCTTTCTGCTGCAACCGAACAATGACAACGTCCAGGCCTTTTTCAACTCTGTCGTCGACGATGCCTGGCTGCAAAGCAACGACGCCGATGCCGCCGTTCTTCGTCGGCTCAAGGCCAACCCAGATATGGTGAGCAAGACACAGGCATGGCGGGTGATGCATCGGTGCACCTACGTCAGCCGGATCCCCGAAAAGATCACCGCGGCCGCCGTCGTCTCCGTCGATGCATCACCGGCAAAGAAAAAGGCCGCCGGCTTTGACGCCTCTGCCAACTGGGAAATCGTGGCCAGCCTGGAGCCACTCCTTCGGGGCTGCAAAAGCCGCCAGGAAGTGTTTCAAGTTGTCAACGACAACGTCAAGACGCTACTCCCGGCGCTTTACAAATCCAGCAAATATTCTCAGATAATCTCGCCCCTCGTCACGTACATGGCTTCGGTCGTAGGCGCCGAGTAGTTGCTTGGATTCCTCCAATGAAAAATTTCTCTTCTGTACCGTCTGATCTTGTTGCGCCAACTGCTTGACGCCGAGCATGCCGAACACCTTGTATGCACATGTCGGCATGACGAAGGCTCTCGTCGACACGGTGCGAGGCTGGGTGCTGAAGACTCCTCCCTCCGGTCGCATTATGCTGCATCTTTCAAAGGTCTATTCAGTCATGTGAAGAAAGAAGTGAACAGGGATGGTCGTATCTTTATAGTGAAGGCCTGTTCTAGCCAAAGCAGGTCCGAGGGAAGACAAGGTGCTTCGAGCTCGAACAAGGAGCTCCACTACCCGTTCGAGCGGCGGGCGCGTGATACCACGTAGACGCAGTGCTCATGGTGCGACCGCATCGTCTGCTGACGAAAGGAGCTGCTCCCACCACGCATCGTCGAGCGCAACAAGCGAGTCCAGGACGGTATAGCCCCGCGCGTCCTTCCACATGCCGACGCTACCAAAATCAGGGCTCTGGCCGGCACTGGCCTGAGGGAGATGGCCATTGGACAGCGCGGCGTTCCAGTCGTCTCCTACTCCAATGGCTGAGCGCAAAGTGTGCGCGCCCAAGACGTCGTCGACTGCGTGTGGCAGCGGCTCTTCCTGCGGCAGCGAGTGCTTGTGACTGATCCCATAGGTGTCGACGAGCATGGCGAGCCGCTGCCTCGCTTCGGCGCCCAGCGGGCTGGCCTTGCACAGCGGCAGGATCTCGAGGATGCGCAGGATGTCCGGGGCCAGTGTCCGTATCTCCTCCATGCTCAGCACCGAGTGAGCAAAGGTGGGTGTGGCGGTGCTTGCAGCGTGTCTGGACGTGGTGTCGCTGGCCTTGCTACCGGTACGCGGGGGGGCTTCCTTGGCATTGGCATCATTGACGACCGCGTCTCCCCTGTACGCGCTGAGCAGCGGGATCGCCAGGGTGGTGGCTGCGTTGAAAAAGGCAGTGGCTGCCCAGGGCATCTGGATGACCTTGCCGCACGAAAGCAGCGTCCTCGTGACTTCGATTGATCGCACGGCCTCTTTGGCATTGTTGAAGGCCTCGCGCTGCAGCTGCGCCAGTAGCGGCGAGCCCAGCTCCCCCATGCTCGTCTCTTCCGTCACCCATGCACTGAGAAGGATGTTGAGCACCTGTCGACACCCGACCTGCAAAAAGGAGGCTTGGCTGGCCTTTCGGCAGGCAAAGTAGTCGCTCGCATCGACGTGGTCCGGCTCTTTGCATTTCCCCTGGACACTGACGCTGTGCTGCCACTGTCGGATGTCGTTGCACAGCCGCATGCAGCGATGGAGCAGTGCTTCGCTAGCGTGGCCCACTGCGATGCTGCCCCGTCCTCGACTGCGCAGCGCCTCGAGGTCAGAGACGTAGTCGGAGACGGCGGCGACGTGAGCAGAGAGACCGGTGATCAGCTCCCACAGGACGGGAGTCTCGTCGACTTCGTGCGGCTGCTTGAGTCTGAACACGCGAGGGACGCTCCTCGTGGCTACTTTGAAGGCAGCTGGCTCCTCTCCGCAGACTGCGCTACCGCCTGGCGCAGCACAAAAGGGCGCCGAGAGGGGCGTGCTCGTCCATCGGGGATAAGCCACCGTGACGTCCGCCTCGAGAATGCGGCTAGCACTGCCACGCTTGACGTACATGCTAAACCACCTGTTCCACATCCGTCAGTGCAAGCTTCACAGACCGCGTCAATGCCAGCTGCTCACCTTTCCCAGATGACAAAGCGCCACATCAGCCGCCGAGCGCACTCCACCTCGGCGTCGCTCAGGTCCTGCCAAAAGGCGCTGCGCTCGTCCATGAAGCCCGATGCCTCGATGATCTCGTACATGTAGTCTTTCACAAGTGGCCAGTCCTGCGGTCTGCCCTGACCGGCCGAGGGAAGATAGTCGAAGGTGAGCGCAAAGATGAGGAGCTCATGGAGGCTGTCGCGTGGGGAGAGTTGCGCTGACCCGGACGAGCTGTAGGGCGAAGCGACTCGTTGGGTCGCGAGGTAGTCAAAGACGTGTCTGATCAGCACGGCATGCAGGGGCGCTAGTGGTGCCGCGGTCGAGTAGTAGATGTGTGGGCCTTCGTTGAGGAGCAGCGCCGCAACAGCGATGACCGCAACGAGCAATACGCTTTCTGAGTGCGTGACGCGGCCTCCGTAGACGAAGCGAGACCAGATCGGGTGGAGCAGCTGGTGACTGATGCTGACCACCATCCAATCAGCCTGCAAGAAAAAGAGAGACCGTCAGACAAAGGCAGCAAGCTCAGCTGAGCACTGGTGGACCGACCTCTTGAAGAAGGTATTCTATCAGAATCTCGCAATCGCTTTGGCACGGAAGAATGGCAAGGACCTCGTCGAGATGCTCAAGCCGGTCTGGGAGCGGAGAGGAATGGATCAGAGGCGTCGCTGAGACACTGCCCGCCTGGGTTCTGAACATGTTCTCGAGACGGGCGAGCCCTTTGCGGAGGCTTTCAAACTCTGCAATAGGGGCCGTTGCAGAAATCGACTCGGCTGCGGAGACAGTGCTTTGCCGATCCCTGTTGGAGGACGGGCGACTCCTCTTGTGTGCTTGAAAGTCGACGCTTACAAGTGGCAGGTGGTGATGGCGAGCTCTCCTCGGGACTGGACTTGGAGACCCGTCGGGAAGATCGCATCGGTCTTCTGTGCGCCGGAGGACGCAAGAAGAGCAGGGCTGACAGATAGAGAACATCAGCAAATCGCAGGACGGGGCAGCGACACAGTCGCTCTGCTCACCATCTGCTCGTCACATTTTGACTTTCTCTTGCGGCTGTGGGATGGCAAAGTGAGGCGTACATCGAGGCTGGCGGACGGAGCGGTGCTTTCTCACCAAGGAATGCAGCTGATCCTGGCTCTTCCTGCCGGCCTGGTCATCATTGCGACCGGACGTTCGAGGTTGGGAGGAAGATCCCCCCCAGCACCGGAGAACAGAGCCACGCATGTCCAAAACAACGCAGCGGTGTTCACGTTCGGGGTGGAGGTCCCGATCTAGTAGTAGTGTAGTGGGCCTCGGCTTTCCCAGCCCGCGGAAATGAAATGCTAACGCAGTCACGTCAAATAGGAACGTAGCCGACCGAGTGTTAATCTGGACTAGCTTGCACTGGGGAGATCTGCTTGAAGACACACTCGGAGGCAGGCGGTACTAGCTCTCTACTGCAGACAGTGACCTGTTCTGTTCGCCAGGCACCAACACCTTATCGATTGCATGATCTGCAGTGTGATAGTCTAGACGATGAGAGCGAAGTCTGAGCACAGCATCGACAAGCAACAGCCCACATCAGCCGTTGGACGAGGCGATACGGTGTACAATCTTCCCAGACGGCAGTCTGCCCTTTGCTGCCAGATGGAGAGCCTCTTGCACGCCCTCGAGGCCCTGAAGCGAGCCAAATCCGGGACTGGCACCCCATTCCGTCACTGGCAACAGCGTGATGCGCTTCTCGACTAGGAGACGGTAGAGCGCACCGCGGTCATAGGAGAACCACTGCGTGGCCATGGCGCGGTCGCGTTGCAGCTTGGCCTCCGACGGCGCAGGCTGGAGCATGTCGAGGATGGGAACCCGCTTGCCGTGCATGCAGTGCACAAGATCGAAGCTGACGGCCACATTTGCGGGCTGCTGGACGCAAGCATCTTTGGGCCACAGCGCGTGGAGCAATCCTCCGTCCTTGCCGAGGCATCGGATGCATGCATCGATGGACTGCGACGAAGCAAAGCAGTCGAGAGCGTGGCTGAGGCTCGGCCATCGTGATCTGATACTCTGCACGGTCTCCTCGATGGCAGCACGGGGAAAGACGTGCTCGACACCGAGCCGCTGCAACGTCGCTTTTGACTCCGGCCCCGACACTGCCAAAACCTCGTGGCCGGAAAGAAGCAAAAGCTGCACCGCGTACGCGCCGCAGGAGGTACCTGCACCCCACACCAGTACTGGCTGGCCGTGATTCTTCTGCTTGGGGTTCAAATCTAGACGGAGGTTTGATGTGAGAGCATGCAACGCTGTTGAGAAGCAGAATGGCAAGGCGGCCAGCTCCTTGTCGTCATAGCCATCGTCAGGGACGCGGACGACCATGTCTGCATCGCAGACGAGAAAGTCGGCATAGCTTCCGTCGACGGAGGTATCGCCCATGACCCACCCACACACCCTGGCGGATCGCGGCACCCGCTCCAGCGCTTCTCTGCTCCCATCGACAACCACTCCGAGAAAGTCGTTTCCGAGGATGTGGCTTGGATGGCGGTAGGAAGACGATGCAGTCGCGTCCAGCACGTAGGGATCGGTGGTGTTCTGGCCCGCAAAGAGGACCTTGACCAGCAGCTGACCGTGACCGGGTTGAGGCACGGCCATGTCTCGGCGCAGAAGCGCTTCGCCCAGCGCCTGGCCGATGGTGAGTGCGCGCATCGTCGGCTTCTTCACCTAGTCTCTCATCTCTCTATAAATTGAAAGAGGCGAGAAGAAAGTAGGCGTCGCGGAACGGAAATTCGCGCTATCTCCGCCGTTGCGCAACGCCTAAAAGAAGCAGCTGGCCTGGGCTCAAGTCGGACATGGCAGCTGAAGGATTACTTTCCAAGCAGCGCTGAGGTCATCCGGATGGTGCTCGAGCAGCACGGGCATGGTTAAGAGCGGAGTCTTGTACGCAGCGAGCTATGTGCGGGAGCATGTAGTGGTGTGCGGAGAGGCGAAACCACTGCCGCGGCATCCCGTTCCGAATGGCTCCCGCGGCATGCCGGGCGCTTTGCTTTCCGCGTCGTACGTCCGCCTCCTTCAGAAGAAAATGAGTAGAGCGCAGACGGAGAAGCACGGAGCCTCCTCCCGTCGTCAGTGTATAAATGAACTGCCGAGCTGGGGTCCATTTCCAGCGCTTGCTTCGTCTCTTCTCAACTTTCTCGCGGTCTTGATCTATTGCCATGTCAGAGGAACTCAAGACTACAACGCCTCGCGAGCTCGAGGAAGCCGCAAATAGCACGGTTGCAGCCTCGGAGCACGAGCGCGAGAAGGCCATCGGCTCGGCGCATTCGACAAAGGAAGAGGAAGAAGAAAGCGGTGACACAGGCCTCGACGACACCAAGAGACCCACCGGCCTTCGCTTCTGGCTCGTCATTGTCGCGCTTTGGCTCGTCATCTTCCTCGTCGCCCTCGACCAGACGATTGTATCGACGGCCATCCCCGTCATCACCAACGACTTCAACTCCTTCTCCGACGTCGGCTGGTATGCCTCTGCGTACCTCATGACCTCGACCGCCTTTCAGCCCATGGCCGGCCGCTTCTACAGCCTCTTTTCAGTCAAATGGGTCTTTTTCGTCTGCTGCTTCATCTTTGAGCTCGGCTCGCTGATCTGCGCCATTGCAAAGGACTCCAACACCTTCATCGGGGGCAGGGCTGTGGCCGGCGCTGGGCTGGCGGGCCTCTACGTGGGCGCATTTGTCATTGTCACGATGATCGCACCACTCAAGGTGAGCCAAAGGAAGAGTCTGCTTGTGTTTCTCTGCTCACCGCCGCGTCATCCATCCGAAACAGATTCGCCCGCTCTTGACGAGCAGTCTGGGAGCCATCTACGGCATTGGAGCGTGCCTGGGCCCCATCATCGGCGGTGCTTTCACGAGCGGATCGGCAGGCTGGCAGTGGTGCTTCTGGATCAATCTCGTCATCTACGCACCCGTCGTCCTCTTCATCATCTTCTTTTTCACACTGCCGTCGTACAAACAAGAAAGGGTCTGGTACAGGCGCATCGCTCACATCGACTACCTCGGCACGGTTCTCATCCTCTGCGCCACCGTCTGCATCCTCCTCGTCTGCCAGTGGGGCGGCATCAAGTACCCCTGGAGTGACTCAAAGATCATCGGTCTCATCGTCGGCTTTGTCGTCCTCTGCCTGGCCTTCTGGGTCGACCAGTACTTCCAGGGCGAGAATGCAACGATCCCACTGCGCCTGCTCAGGAACCGGACGGTCGGCTTTGGCTCCATCGTCAACTTTGCCGTCGCCGCCGCCTACTTTTCCATTCTGTACTACACCCCGATCTACTTCCAGTCTGTCCGAGGCAGCAGCGCCATTCGCTCGGGCGTTCAGACGCTTCCTCTGGTCTTTGCTGTCATCTTTGCAGGTGGGTCCACCCTCGCTTCCTCCCTCGTCCTTCTCTTGCTTACCAAAGGTCTCTTTAGTCACCGTGTCTGGAACCATCGTCAACAAGACAGGACACTACATTCCCCTGCTCTTCTTTGGCACAGCTGCCATGGCGCTCGGTTGCGCCTCGCTGTCCTACCTCAAGCCCGACTCGTCGCAAGCGTTCTGGTGCGGCACCCAGTTCCTCGCCGGCATTGGTGCAGGCACGGCGTGGATGCTTCCCTTTATTGCCAGCTCAAACGCACTCGCGGTCCAGGACATTCCCGTGGGCAGCTCCACCGTCACCTTCTTCCAGGTCTTTGGCGGCACAATCTTTGTCAGCGTCGGCCAGGCCCTCTTCCAGAACAAGTTTGTCCTCTACCTCGACCACATCCCAGGCGCAGACGTGGAGGAAATCATCGGCCATGGTGTCTCTGCCTTTCGTGGCTTCACGCCGCCTGCCCTGCTCCCGGCAGTCGTCGATGCCGCAAACGAGGCCGTGACAAAGCCGTTCATCATGTCGGCCGTTGTCGCCGCCGTGGGTTTCCTCGCCATCTTCGGCATGGAGCTAACCCGCAAGGCTGCCATCCAATAGATTCTCCGTCTCCGCCCGTCTGCCTTGTTTACTCTTTTTACTAGAGTCGAGTCCGAGTACTGATTTGAGAGTTCATTCCTGCAACAAATACATAACCCCTTTTCTTCCACCCACTACTTCCTGCGACCATTTGGCAGCTGGGCCAGGAGTCTTGTAGTGCTTCTCTATCTAGGTCGTAGAATTGGTGCCCCGCCTCTTGCACCCTCATCACGGTTGCAGGTAGGCTCATATCGACGCTTTTCCCCTTTTTCCTGTGCCAGACAGCTTTTACGGCCTGTCGAGGATAGGCTACGACCGAAAGGCGGCCTCTTGTCTCAATCTCGATCATCACCCAGCTGCTTTACGTCAAGCTAATCGATTCGCACACCGGCTTCAAGACGCTACATATAAGGCAGCACCGCTGCTGACTGAAATCAGGCTAGAAGAGACCATAGGGTGCATACTTCCAGATCTGCGACCGCTGCCAGTACCAAACGGGCAGCAGGATGTATCGAACGGGGAGCGGCAGACCGAGAAAGTTCTTGTGCTCTGCTTGGGCACGGTTTCAGCTCACTGAAGAGGACATCTCGCACGTCTGGCTTCTCACCTCCCGAAGGCGTGTGCACAGCAAGGAATGGCAGGTCCAGAGTCGGGTTCCCAATGCTGCCTGCCTCCTTGCGGGCCACATCGTTGATGTGTTTGACGTCCTGCGCGCTGAGATGCTTCCGGAGGCTGACTGGGTCGAGCAGCTTGTTGACCTCGTCGTCGAGATGCTCAAAGAGATCCTTGTCGGCGGCCTCGAATAGGCTCACAAGCCGTGCAGACGAGTACGTGGCGGGATTGGCCTTCCATGCGGCCAGCGCGGCCTCCATGGCGTCAAGATGCCGATGGAGCGCCCGGTGCTGCTCGATCTCAGACTGGTCAGATCTTCTGCGTCAGCCAGGTCCAGCCATGTACCTGCAAGCGAAAGACATGAATCTCTACCTCTACGTAGCAGCCTTTCTCTTTGAGCCGTGGAAAGATGGCTTTCTCCTCCACGTCGTGGTGGTGGCTCAGCAGCTCTACCCATGCGCCTACGTAGCCGAGCCAAGCGCTGAGGTCGCGCTTGAGCTCCGCTTCGTCCCTCTCGCGCGCCACGGCAATGATCTGCTCGTAGGCCACCCGGATCGCGTTGTGGATCCGTTCCATGCCATACTGCATCTCTTCATGGGGGTCTTTTGGCGTCATGGTAAGTCGGTGTTTCTCTCAGTCCTACCTAGAGGCCCGCCCCTCTGGCGTTATAAGCCTTCGTTCTGGCCTCGCTACAACCGCGACGCACGGCGTTCAATTCCCTACCGGCTCGGAGTTGAGGCTTGCATGAACTGGTATGCTGTTGAGCACATCATGCCGCGGCATAGCGCGGTATCCCACGCCGCGGCGCCAACGGACGTAAGCTTCGCCGTGTCTCCAGTCTACGGACGTGTCACCTCCTTATTCAGGCTGGCTCGATCTCTCGAGGAATAAGCAGGCTCTGCGTGCTATTGGCTCTCTCTTGATGAAGATGTGTGCTCAGCGTCACGACCTCTGCGCTGGCTCATGGTCAGAACAAAGATAAACAACGCCGTAAAGACGTGTGTCTCCTCTGAAGAGAACACTGCCATTCATTGCCATGCCTTTCAGTCTTGAGGACCGCAACGTCCTCATCACGGGCGCCTCGGGGGGGCATTGGAGCCTAAATTGCCAAGGCGTTTGCGTCACAGGGTGCCAATCTCGTGCTCAACTACCACTCTGCGAACCAAAATGCAGAGGCACTTGCCGCACGTTTCCTGGTGGTGCAGATTGGCGGCTGCTATGGAGCGCTGATGTGTAGCGTGGGAGCAGTGCCCCTTCCTTCATGCCTGAATCGATCTCTTAGTCGGCGGAGATTAGAGGCTGCCATATCTGGCCCAGGTGACACTTCATATCTCTCTACAGAACAATGTCATGTCATGCACCGATAAGCTCAAAGGTTGCCTCTCCTCATAGACATGTCGGCGTTCTTCGGCCCCAAACTGTGGGCACAGTGTTGCTCGACCGTGGGCATCGAGAAGAAAATTATCTTGCTATGGCCGGTGCCGAGCGCACTCTGCTGCCTACTACGGCCGTAAAAGGAAGGCTTCAAGCGCGAAAGTCAATACAGAGAGAACACCGACAATCGTAAATTAGAGCGCAGGTTAGACTAAGAATTGCCTCTTTCCACACACAATCCAGTGTGTGTACAATTACAGCATACACAAGTCACCGCTCGAGGCCCTTGTCCTGGTTAAAACCACCACATCTTTGATCGTCCACGAGCAATTGTATTTGGAGAGACGATGAAGATTGGAATCATAGGCTCGGGTTTTATTGGCGGCGCTCTTGCGCTCAAGCTCAGTGCCGCTGGTCACCAGGTCAAGATTGCCAACTCTCGCGCGCCCGAGACCATTGACGCAAAAGCCCTCACAAGCGGAGCTACTGCCGTCTGGGCAAACGAGGCCGTTCGAGACGTCGATGCCGTCATTCTTTCTGTGCCGCTTGCGAAGATCGGTTCCGTCGCTCCTCTTCTCGCCGATCTCCCCAAGAATGTAGCAGTCATCGACACTTCGAACTACTACCCACATCGGGACGGCAAAATTGACGAGCTCGAAGCTGGGGAGATTGAGTCGCTCTGGGTCTCCAAGCGACTTGGAAGGCCTCTCGTCAAAGCGTGGAACGCTATTTACACTGCGTCGTTTGACACGCAGGGAAGACCATCGAATGCCGTCAATCGAATCGCGCTGCCGATTGCGGCCGACAGCGAGAAGGAATTCGACATCGCGAGGGAGCTCGTGGACGCTACTGGCTTCGACGCCTATTACTCGGGACCACTTTCCGAATCATGGCGCCAGCAGCCAGGAGCGCCCGTCTACTGCACCGACCTCTCGCGGGCAGAGTTGCCTAGCGCACTGGCCAGTGCTAAGAGGGAACGACTGCCAGAGCTACGAGACGCGACCATCAGGGCCTTTGTATCGCACATGGAGAGCGAAGGTGGAGAGCTCACCTCTGAGTGGACTGTTGCGACTTTCCGGTCCATCTCTGCAAGGCAATGAACCATAGTTTCCCTCTTCTTGTTCTTGTTCTCCAGGCCTGCTAAAAGGCGCAACGGGCTCTCGAGGCGGAGGCTGAGACTCGTTTGGTAGCCGGCCCATACACAATTACTAGATTGGTGTTTGGCGCCTACCGGGAACAACACTCGATGAAGTACTCGGCAGGGCGAAAAGAACACGTGCCAAATAAGGTTGTGGAGGGAGGAAAGCTGGTCCGGCACTGTCACTCCGTCTGTCCTGCTCCTGCGCTCCTGCGCTCCTGCTCCCTGCCTCCGCTCCGAGAGACGACCAGGACATCATGACATCGCGCCCACCCAGCCAGACAGCACAGAGCGCTGCTCGAAGTCGTGCCGTGCACTGGTTGAGAGAGGAGGAGCCCAAGGTCCTCAACGACTGGGTCGCGGCCAAGCTCCTCGACTATGAGACGCCTGAGGACCTGCTCGCAGCCTATGACGCGGCACCCTCGGCGCGGCTGCCCGGTGCCAGCAACCTGTTTGCTGTGCGCAACCGCTATGCGGAAGATGAGTTCCAGAAAGCACATGCAGACCATGGCTGCGATCAGTACGTCGTCATTGGCGCTGGCCTCGACTCGTTTGCCTATCGCAGAGCAGACAGCTTCCCATGCACCATCTACGAGATCGACCATCCGTCATCGCAGCAGTGGAAGCGGGACAGGCTCGCACACGCGGGCATCGCCTGCCCAGCCAATCTCTGCTATGTGGCCGTCGATTTTGAGGAGCAGGAGGCGTCGCTGGTGGCGGCACTCGAGGCGAATGGATTCGATCGCACGAGGCCCGTGTTCTTCGCCATGCTCGGCGTCAGCCAGTACCTCACCCTGGCGAGTCTCAAGAGCCTGCTCAAGGCGATTGCCTCGGCTTCTTCGGCGCGGTGCACGCTCGTCATGGAGCGCGTGCGGCCCATTGAGGAGGGCCATCTCGAAGGACCAGAGGCAGAGATGATGGAGCGTCTGCTTGCAGCCACGACGAAGATGGCCGAGCCTTGGATCACGTTTCTCGATGAACCGCAGACGGACGCGGTCTTCCGAGAGGCCGGCTTCGACAGCATTCATCATGAACTTCCGTCTGACAGCATCCGTCGCTACCTTCAGGGTAGAAAGAACGACCAGATGCCCAAAGTCGCCGCACTGGTCCTGGCCTCCACCCGCGGGGCTTGATGCGCAGGTCACCTCTACTTCATCCGCTCCTGATAGATACCCTCATACTGAGTTATTAAAACGACAAGTCAGAGTGGCAAATGCACCTTTTCAGCATTCGGAAACCCGAGATACAGAGTAGAATGAGATCATCACAGCTTCCCTGTGGTGGATAGAATGTCAGCGGGAAGCGAGATCTCGAGCTGACCCCGCTTGCACACACCAATCAAGAGGTTTCCGAGCATTTCCCTGGCCGTGATGTAGGCCGTGACTGCCAGGGTGGGCAAGTCCAGCGTGCTAAAGAGCATGTCCGACAGTCCAAACGGCATCATGGGCGGGATCCAGCCCTGCGACAGCTCGAGCGCCCAACAGCCCCCACCTTGGGCGTCAGGTATCGCATACTGCTTCACGTGGCCACGGGGCAGGTGGTGCTGCGAGCCCGGCCCGTAGACTTCAGGCTCAAAGGCACCCGCACGGAAAGCATGCTCCTGGCCCACGAGAATGTGAAAGTAGTTGTCGACCTGGGGAGAAGCGCATGAATGAGCACTGCTTCGTATCAGCTGTTGTGCCACTCACAGTGTGGCGCCCCGTGTGGCCCTCGGTGCCAATTGGCGTACCAAAGAAGATGAGGTACTGGGTTATGAAGCTTGTCTGAGCCTTACTTCTCAAATCCTGTCAATGATTGCTGGCCTCTCACCTCCGTGATCGATGCATGGATGATGTACATGGACCCCATCGCTCCTGCCAGCTCTTCTGTCATCTTGCCACTCTGTATGCCAAAGAAAAGGACCGCTCACCGCCAGCATTGTTGAACATCCATTCGCTCTCGTCCTTGATGCTGTGCCTGTTGAGGTACTTACTCAGCTTCTCGTCGCTGTGGAGCCGCGCGAGAATGTCGTCAAAGATGGCCGCAGTCGAATTGTGATTCTGCGCCAGAACTTCCCGAGTCATCGCGTGCAGCTTCGCCGGCTCAAACACGTAGAAGCTGGTCTGGTGGCGAGAAGAGAAGAACAGGACATTGAATAAGCCCCTACGGTCGCACAATCGGACGAGGAGCAGGCTGGAAACTCACCCGGACGCGGTCGAGCGCAGCAACCATGACGGCGAGGGCGACAAAAAGGAAGCCGAGGATGGGCAGGAGGCCAGGGGTAAGTCCCTTTGACCTGCTCTGAGAGCGCTTGTCCCCCGCGATCACAGCGGGCGACTTGCCGAGCGAGTCCCTGGACATGTGAGACATTGTTGATGGTTAAGAGGCCAGAAGAAGCGGAAGGTGAAGAAACAGAACGCGGACACAGAGGAAAATGAAGTCATACGATTCGCGCGCATAACGCGTAGAGCACCATTGTCTGCGTCGCAAGTGGCCGAGCTTTCTGCACACGGTCATTTTTGCACAAGAGCAACAAGTTGCCAAGACTCGCTTAAAGACTGCCGAGTACGCTTTACGGTAGCAGTGGGTCGCGCGGCCGGTCCGCCTTGTGGCTTGGTCTCCTTCTTAATTCCAACGTCAGGCTGGCCCGCATTCCCCGTGCAGGCCTAAAAGGTGAGGGCGATCTGCAATTGAAGCGCCCTCCTCGCACGGCAGGTGATGCCCTCGAACCCCACGCTTCCTGCCAGCGACACATACGGACCTTGAGACCGGGCTCGGCGAGCAGCCCACCCTGGTTACCGTCGCTTGTTGTGGCGTTAATAGGCGACCTTTGTGTGGGCTTCTGGCTTGACTGAGAGTAGGAAAAGACAGTCTGAGCTCCCAACGCATGCATTGCGGCTTTGCACCAGCTTGTCACGTTGTGAACATGGGTCAGCATTGCTCTCGACGGTACGTATATTGCCCACAATGAGACGTCAGACGGCCAAATAGTGCTGTGCTATCTAGTTCCGTGAGGTTGGCGACGGTGGACGTATACACAAACTGACCGGGAGAAGGGAAGACGGCTACTGTACATGCTGCCGTGAATATGTCGTTTGCTGTGCCGCACATGCTGTCCTGAGCCCAGTGGATCGCGTGCCCTCGACCAAATGTGTGGCGGACATAATCGAGCCAGACCAGGTCGCCATAGCAGATGGGGATGAGAAAGGGAACGGTACGCCGATGACTAACATTGTCGTCGGCGGTAAGCGATGCTTTGTCGAGCGCTAGTCCGAGAAGCAGCCGGAGAATGTCAGTCCACCGCAGGGCTCTCGTCTGGTGTGCAAACTTGCTGTATTGCGACCCTGACGTGGAGGTGCCGCTGTCGGCAAAGAGCGTAAACGAATAAAGCTGGAGGGAGAGCAGACCAGGGACGTCATAACTGTCACAGGAGGCGAAATCCTGGAGGAGCAACAGACCCGAATTGCCCCGTTCGGCCCACATGTTTTCGCGCAAGACCGCTCGGCGGTTGACGTAATCGTGACGAGGGACGTGAAAGGGCAAGTCTTGTCGAAAGGCAGAGGCAGCCGGGCTGGATACGACTTGGGCAATGTAAAGGCATGCTCTACGAAGTTCCAGGTGGGCGTCGCTGCTCATCGAAAACAATGTGATGTAGGACATCATCTCCGCTTTGTCGGACTCGGTCGTACTTGAAGCCTGCCTCTGTGAGTGCAGTCGCCCGTCGTCGTCTGTGTGCAGATGGTCGGGCATAGTGCGGGCCTCGTCCCATTCCCAGGGGTGGGTGTAATCTTGTATGATCTGGAATAGTTCCTTGTCCGAATAGCCGGCACGCCCGAAAGAGACCAAGAAGACAAGAGCCGAGGCCGCCGCTTCTATTTGGGGGTGTCGAAGTTTGTTGAGCGAGCAAAGGATTGGGGATTGGTGCCCAAGAGCGGCCAGGATCTGACTCGCTCTGTCGAGGCGATCGTGCCGCGTCCACAGAGCGCCGCATGGAGACGCTGCGAGGCGATGGAGGATATACTGCCGGCTAAGGTCGCCTTTACACAGATACTGTCTGCCGCAATCATCTCGCAGGCATATGTTGCACACCGTCGACGGTCGACTCTTCGATGATTGAGAATCTCTGACTTCTTTCTCCTTTGTTGTCAAGTCTGCCAGCGTTCGTTGCGCTGCTGCTACTTGGTCCTCGCTTGCCACAGACGGCAGCTCAGAACCGTCTGCCGCCATTGGCGAGGTCTGCTGAAGGCCGGATCCAATGCCCTCTTCCTCGTCGGGCAAGTAGGACCTCTCTTGCTCCTCGTCCCAGACCCAGGTGCCGTAGAGTCTGGCGGCGCTGCGCACGTGCTCTGTGACCGACGCTCGATTGTCCACACTCTGAGGTGATCTTGAGAGGCTCTGGTTTTGCCCATCCGTGAGGCCGAAACCTTGCAGTTGTTGGTGGAGCGACCCTGTGCTGTTGTTGGAGCCGTAGCCATCACTGGCACTGCCATCGCTGTTGCCTTTTCCCCACGACGAGCCAGAGGCGGAATAGCTTGCATCGCTTCCGCTGTCACGGCGACAACTGCCACAGTTGCACTTGTCGTCGGCATTGTCTTTGAGAGACATAGTCGCATTGAGCCGCCTCCTCTTGCGATTGGAGTAGACCATAGTAGGAAGGGCGATACGCATGCACGTCGCTTCCAGCGGGGGCTTGCCACTCAGCAGGTCCAGGCGAGCCGTCTTGGGACTTTTTAACTCTTTCTCGTTGACGTCATCAACGATCTCTTCCCAGATCCGGTCGTCGATGTTGTGCTGAAGCATGTCACGAAGGTATTGTAGCGCGGTGTGGGCCGAAGTCATCGGTTCTGCCTGGTACTTCGATCTGGAAGGAGACGGGTGTACGAGGAATTAGTGATGGATTGTGTCAGGAGGAGGGTAAAGATGCGCACTGGGGAAGATGGTAAGCGGCCCAACCAGTGCACATGTCGTCTTGAAACCAACCGTGGATTCTAGCTTCCGCCCAGCTACCGTAGAAATCTTTGCCGCTCAACCTTTCGATGCGCACAACCCACGTGGGAACCGGCTCTTCATGGAAGCCTTTCCTGTGGAGATGCTGCTTCCTGGTCCTGCGCTGATAGAAGTGGCCCAGGGTCTCGATGCTGTTCCTGTAGCCGTGCTTCAGGTACTGCTCGGGCCATGTTTTGCTTAGCCAATCGTAGAGGCGATGATATTTATGGTAGCTATCAGCGATGAGTTGTTCCTTTGTTTTGGCCTGACGCGCGAGTTCGCTGAGCTTTGGGGGGCCTATTGCCTGGCGCAACCTTCCATGCGCGCTCGCATGCTTTCCATCTCGATAGCTGGCGGTAGAAGACGACAATTTCCCCATCGGCTTGCCTCGCGGAAGAGTTTCGTCGGTCTTTGGAATTGCGCTGGAACTGGCAAAAATCGGATAATTGAGGGTTGCTGTCACGATGTTGGCGCCAGGCTTCGGAACTAGATCCCAGTCTGGTGGGGCATCGGAAGGGCGAGAGTGTGTAGATGCTGCTTCACCAGGTCCCCCAGACGGGGCCTGCTCACCTAGAGCATGACTGGGATGGACTTGCCGATGCTGGGGCGACAAGGTGTCTACGTCGCTTGTGCTCGCTGTCATCAGCCCGACTCCCCTATGTGGTCCAAGTGTCGGTGACTCAAGAGCCGGAAGAGCGGGGCTGTAACTGCCTGCCTGGGCGCCCTCTGAACGGTATCTTTCGACGTTGTCTGATCGCCAGCTTTGGCCACCAGGACCGAGCTGCAATGTGTCGAAGGTCGTCGTCGCAGAAACGATGCCGCTTCTCCCGGTCTCATTGTTTAAAACGGCATTTGCGATGCCCGAGTTTGTTTCGTGTACTCCCTGCTCTGGAATCCCGATAGACAACATGCTTTCAACGTCGCTGTAGTCGAGTCGATCGTGCTGCAAGTGGGAATCATCTTGAAACCCTCTTTATACATGCTGGGACTGGAGCAGGCCGTGTTTCCCGCTCTGTGCTTATCGGAGATTACGTCTCCCCACATGCATCTGAGTCTTCAAAGCTGTGACAAAACTGTGAAAAGACGCGGAACTTGAGTCGGATGGTGGTAAGCATATCTTTAATCAGACAGAGCCCTGGAATAATGCAGGAACAAGATGCACAGTGCAGCAGCACAACATTGCACAGGACAGGACAGTGCTGAGATGCTGGACTCGAGCGCGTCCGTCTTTACATTTTTGAACCCTGTGCTGTACAGGGCAAAGCTAGTACAGTACAGTGGAACTGTGCTCTACTGCAGTACTAGCGTACTTGTACTGTACTAGCTGTACTGTACCATAAGCGTTGTTGCACTAGCTAATGGTGTTGTACAGTACAGAACCGGCACTTTTTCGGAGCTTGAAGAATCGTGAGTGGGCCTGGACCGACCTCAGCAGACGTCATTCGTCCAGTACAGCGCAGTCTTTCAGGGTACTATTTTTAGAGAAGGCGCTGTATCCTTTCGACATTGTCTATGATTACAACCCGTCTTGATCCGCTGGACTGTAGTACTGTACGCGAACGATTGCACGAGTGAAAGGACGAAAGCCTGCGACAGAAATCACCAATGATGCTGTGCAGTTCTTGACAGCCGCTGACTGCCAACCGTCACTGGGCTCACACAGAACTGCACAGCGTACTGACGATTGGATAGGTACTACTGCCATGGCTATAGAGAGAATTACTTAAAAGGGCGGCTCCCATCGCAGCAAAGCCAGCCCAGTGTCGCAACGTTCTACCCTCCAAGAGCAAGCATTTCGACATCTAATTCACTCAAGACAATCCATCTAGTCACGATGGCACTAGGTACACGCGGCCCCATGGTACTCTTTAGCGCGACAATGTGGATGGCCTCATCGTATCCGTCGTCGAGCTTCACTGTGATCGCATCGCAAGCGACGTTGGAGCAGCCGGGACGTACTAGGCTGTGGGCCTTGAAGATCTCCATATGGACACCGCACTGGCAAAGGCGTTGGAACATGCCGGCTTCGCGCTTGGACTTTGATCGTTGGCCGTGACCCACAGACCGGCATGTTACGCGACAGACTGATTTTCCACTTGCTAGACTCTCGGCTTCGGCCATGCCTTATACCTATACGCCTGCCATCTTTGAGACGGCATCGGCAGTTTCGCGCTCCGCTGCCGAAGGTAGTTCGACGGACTCGGCTCCAGACGGCAAGATTTCCGTGATGAGGCCACATGGAGTGGCCTATATAATAATCCTCTCAGATTTGTATTTAGCTCATGACACAGATTAACAACCACGATTCAGCTTTGTCCTAGGTCTACTACATTATCTTGCTTAAATAGAACGGCAGCTTGGGCGAGTTGGAACGTCACCAATCGAGGTCTTGCTCGTCATTCTTTCTCTGCGATGTTGGCTTGCTTCTTTGTGGTGTTGAAGGGTGACCTTGCTCCTTGTCAGATGCCGTTGAAGGATCTTTGCAATGGGGTCGCCTCTTTAAGCTTGTAGTCTGCCAATGCGCACACATCCTGCCCCTCGGCGTAAAGCGGAGTAGGTGCGCGGGAATCCCTACGGCCGTGGACACACCCCGGATCAAGACCGCGGGTTACATAGTAAGAGCGCTCTACAGTGACGCTGGATTAAGGCGGGTACAGGCTATTCCAGGAGATCAGCTACGTCGCCGTGCGATTCTCTGTGGGCGAGGCGTTTCGTCTGCAAAGGCTTGTTGAAGAAAAGGCGAACTTTGCCGCTGGATTACATGGGTAGGAGCGATGACTTGGAGAGAGCTCTTATAGAATGCGGTCTAACGAGCGTGGCTGATGTGCTTCCGCGGGCGACGAAGTTAGCGGCGTCTTTGTCGGAGAAATCCGCTCCACCTCTCGAGCGCGATTAGGTCAAATCTATCGCTCCTTGCTCCAAGATCTATCTGGCCTCAGCTTCCTTACCATCGATCGAAGAGTGCATGTGTCCCGCGTCCTTTTCTTGCCCGGATCTGACACGAACATCACAAGTCGACGCAGCAGAACTCTGCATGAAGATTCTATGGTTGTATTGCTGCATCACAAAAGTGCGCAAGACTGCTATCAATACACCTTGAATATCTCAAATTGCGCATAGGCGCCGTAAGGCTCTGCGGCCTCGTCAAAGCCGCGTGCGATAAAGAGCGTGCGGTTGATCCAGCTGTACTTCTCCGCCGTCGTCTCGAGGTTGACCTTGATTGTGATGCGGCACTCGTCCCAGCCGCCCTTTTTGTTTCCGGTCGGCTTCCTGCTCAGGACTACAGGATGCGTCAATTAGCAGAGGTGACGCCCTTTGATGAGCTGAAGCTGATACACACTGTCCCCTGTCAGCTGATTCGTCTTGAGATGCCCATCGTGGGCGACATAGATGATGGCGCCGTCGTCGGTATTGAGGATTACTCTTGCATCGAGCATGTTGTATCCCTCGTTGCCCAAGTGAACGTGATCGCCGCCGGAGAAGATCTGTCGGGCGTTGATCGCTGATCCGTGGAGCACGCCTTCTGCAATGTTGATGAAGCCCCTCTCCTGCGCTGCAGTCTTGCCTACCACGATGAGATCGTCGATGCCTTCGCTCAGCGTGAACGCATGCTCGATCTTGAAGGGCGGGACCGTGTCCTTGTGCGAGACGCTCGAAGTCATTGATTAAGCTTTTGCTGTGCCTCGTATGAACTTTTTTCGGTTTTGCCTTTTGTGTGCCTCGGGGAGGATCTTGGATGAATGGTTTGTAGAACTTCTGCCTTCAACGTTCTGGTCTCTTTATACCTCTCTGATGCCCTCTCTTGGACGACGTCATGTTCAGGAAACACTATACAAAACTTATACTACGGCCTTTCCTTTCGGACTTGACTGCTCCCTCCAGCACAGGGAGTCAGCGTACACAAGTCCGAAGTGACAAAAAGCGCGCCCTAGCGCCGGATTAAGCCACTTACGACCGCGGACTTATCGAACACGCGCTAGGGACGACGCGCTCAGCGCGCCACTATAGAAAAGGTTGAAAATGGCGGCGGCACAGGGGGACGCGACAAAGTTCACAGTCCAACACCAAAATGAGAGGACGAGGGACGCCTCCGAGTGCGAGAAAGATTGCGACACGGGCATCGGGCGAAGTCGTCCAGCTCTCCCGCACGATACGATACACGATCATCGACTCCAAATATGGGCGGGTCCTTGTCGCTATGACTGAGCAAGGCTGGACGTGCTGCATCCTGCTCGATCCAAACGTCAAATCACGCGCGCGTATCGAAGGCGGCGGCGGGGCCGCCAAGAGCACGGTGAAGGGCGGGCAGCTGAAGCAAGTGGACCTCGTCGAGGATCTCCGCCAACGTTTTCCGACGTGCGAGATCCACCGCGAACTAAATGGCACCGCGTTCGATCGGATCAGGCGATACATCGAAGATCCAAGCACAATGGAAGAAGAGGAAGTGACAAAGCTCCGGAAAGAAAGCGTGCTCTATGGCACGCCGTTCCAGATCAAAGTCTGGCTGGCCATGGCGCGGATCGGGAAAGCGAAACAGGCCACCTACGGGAGCTTGTGCCGTACGCTTGGGCTAGGCACGAACAGCTCGCGGGCCGTAGCCCAAGCTTGCGGCGCAAACCCGCTCACCCTCCTCTTTCCCTGCCATCGAGTGGTGGGTGCCAATGGGGCGGTGGGAGGATACCACTGGGGCCCATGCATAAAGCAAAAGATCCTTGAAGACGAAAGGAAGACCAGCGCAAAGTTGTTCCGCTTCGCCGCTCCGGTCTCCTGATTCGCTGCGATCGCTTCGCTCGTCGAACAATCTGCCCCGCTCCACTCCGCACCATGACAGATCTGACTTCACAGTCCGGCCCTTAGTTGGAGGCATCGTCATTCCTTCTCTTCGTCGCTTTCTTTACGAATTCATGACGCATGCACATTCAGCCGATAACATTTACTTCGCACAGTGGCAGCACACTGCAGTGCCACTGAGATTGTATATACACTTTCTCATTCATTCGCAGCTACGAGTTGATCTTGCCGAGCTTCAACAGGTTCTGGACCGAGCTTGCAACCAGCTTTTCGCCTCCTTCGCGCTGCTTGAACAGAAGCTGTGGCCCGAGAGACGCACGCGCGATCCCAATGTCGCTCAGTTCACCGAGCGTCAGCCCGCCGGGCTTGAGGCTGAGGTTGAGCCTGCCGTCGAGTTCCTTGGCGAGGCGCTTCACCTCGTCTGTGCTCACGCCTCGTTGGCTGCCTCCCCAGACGAAGACGACCGTGGCGCCCGCTTCGAGGTAGAGCTTGCCGCGCTTGATCGCCTCATCGACCGTTGATCCGACAATGAGAGCGTCCGTGCGTGCGTTGATGACAAAGTCAGGAACGCCCAGTTCCTTTGCCTTGGCTTTCGTCCTCTTGATACGCTCGACTGCCTCGCTTGTCTCCATGAGCTTGGAGGGCTCGGATGCCGTTGCTCGGATGGCGTCTTCCAGATTCACGCCCACGGCCCCCGCATCCACAATGACTGATTCAATGACGCTTTCGAGCTCGTCTCCGTATCCCTCTTGAATGTCCACCGAAAAGGGGATGGGATCTGCCTTTGTGGAGGCAAACACGGCCTTTCCGATCTCGGTGCTCAGCCGCCGGTTGTCTTTCCACGTGAGGTCGTCGTCGGTCGTGTTGGCGGTGAGCGCTACGCCATACGAGGCCGTGGCGAACGCTTGGATTGTCCGCTGCGCACCTGCTTGCCCGTTTTGCTCGAGCGCAACCTTCACGTGCGAGGGTTCGGTCACGTTGAGGAGGAGTAGAGTGCCATTGGTGTTGGACGATGCGTTGTGCAGGGCGCTGAACTTCGTCGCCAGTTGAGCCTGCACCGAAGCTGGAAGGAGTCTTCTCGCCATTCTGCCTTTGGACTGATGTCGAGAAGCTGGCCTTGTGACTGACGAAGCCCGCCCTTTTTAAGCTTTTAAGCGTCTCCGGAATCGAGCTTGAGTGGGGTTAGCTAGTGCAAACGTGCTCGCTCCTGCGTCGTGTTTTCCCCGCAGATAAACCCGTAGCGTGCATTGCTTTTCCTCCGCGGATTCAGTGGCTCGTATTTCCGGCTTCATCAGGACTTCACTGCGCTCTCGTGCAGTTACCCCTCATCGGATCGACGAGAGCGCGCGGGCAAGGGAGTACCACCTCTCAGGGGCTTTCTACTAGGTAGCGTCTGCCCCGTTTTGCAGGGCGGTCGCCACCGCTTTCAGGGCAATATTAACACAGAGCACTTTTAGAAGCAGTCGGCGGAGATTTCTTTGCAGGTCTGATCGAGAAATTGATACACTGATCGGAGGGTATGTAATTACTCATGGCCAGTCTTTGCGCAGTAAATCACTTTCAGTCTTGGGAGTACATCGGCTTTCTTCTGTCTACTGGTCTTGGGCTTGCAGGCTGGTTTGCCATTCCGTAACGTCTGTCTCGGCTCAAATTCCTCAGCGCACCTTGAAAATATCTAGACAGACTACTGCGCCACTCGGGACGGCTGACTCTTCGACGCCACGAGCCAAGAACATCTGCAACGCCACTCCTTGTCAGCAGGCATTGAGCTAGAGCACTTGCGGCGACTGACCTCGTGATTCAGCCACCAATACTTCTCCGAAGCCGTCTCAAAGGAGACTTTGGTCTTCCGGTGCACGCGAGCGTCAGCTTCTACCTCATGATGCTTTCTCTAGCGAAGCGACTCACCAGGAACTCGCTCGTGTCCCATGTCCCTCGCACAAACCCGCTCTGCGCTTCCAAAAGGGCTGTAGAGGCGTTCAGTATCTTTCGAGCGTGACCCATGTACTACCATGCTCACAGCTCCTCGCAGCAGCGCTCTGTGGCTTCTGTCCTTCCAAGCGAAGCAACAATATCGCACCGTCCTGTGTCCGTAGCACCATGATGGCCGCTTGTTTTACGAATCCATCGGAGCTGAATGTGACTTCGTCGAGGCTGCAGCTGAGCTGGTCGGCTTCTACATTCGATCCCCGCAGCCTTCCTGACGTGAGCCGTACGATTCCACGAGACGAGTACGACGTCTTGCCAACAATAAGAGGCTCTTCTGCCTCGAGACGGAGCGTGAAGCACCGTTCAAAGTCGACCGGCTTCGCTTTGGCGAGTAGCAACGACATGTTGACCTTGACCGGTGCAGCGTTAGACCGCAGGCCGTCCCTGTCAATCCCTTCCTTTATATGGAGTGATCGCCACTCTCCCTGCATGTAGCCACAGACCGATGTAGCCACAGACCGATGACGTGTAGGTGCGCAAGCTTTCGAGCGATGTCATTTCTTTCTACAGAAGTCACCTTGCCCCGATACTCGGGCCTTCTTCGTTAACCGACATTGCTCTAAGGCCGCTTGTCGGCTATAGGTCAGCTTTCGCCCATGCTACAGTCGCAAAAAGAGCTGGAGGGGGAGAACAAAGAACTCTGTTTTGCTGCAGCCTACGTACGCAACCATTTTTCGGCTCGCCCGAGTGCGGAAGCAGCCTGAGTGCCGTATCTGCCGCCCCCGCGTCGAAGCTGGGCGCTCGCTACATACTGTAGCACCAAATTTTTTCTTTTCGAGAAAGCCGCGGCGTTACAGCGATTTCTCTCAGAATTACGGTCGTACCACAAAGGCATTGCAGACATCACTTCGGCTCGATCGTCGTGCCTACTCCACCTTTACGCGTATAGCCGGCTGGACCATAGATTCGGCCCTGACAGCAAACGTCTGAAGTCATTCCAGGGAGGTTTGGTCACGGAGATAGTATCACAAAGGGGATGTTCAATTGGCACAGGACGTCATGGCACCGGGCTTTGAATCATCATGTATGCTCAGTCATCAGTCCGCCGCAGCGCAAGAGCAAAGACATGTCTGTCGAGTGGAAGGGCCTGGTGTTCGTTGTCGTCCTTGCAAGGGGTCGCTAGGCTGCGCCGCTGTGGTGCTTCTGATGGTACAACGCATATCAGAGCTCTCCAGAAGGGGTCCAAAACAATGTCGTAGAATCTGGGGGCGAAGCGCGTGTACCAGCGAGGTTCCACCGCTTGCAGTAGGGGCCAGAGTCTGGGCCCTTTCACAAGTCCGCGGTCGTCTTTCGACCCTGCAACAACGGTGGAACACCGACAAAATCCTCCCTCGCCAAGCTTGCGGTTGCAACATACTCTGTAAATCCGCTCTCATCAAGGTATTAAAAGAGGCTGTGAGGACCTTCCGTCCAGCGAGGCATATAGCTGGACCCTTCTGGAGAAGAACGGCACGCAAAAGCATCTCCATGACGCAGACGATCCGAATGGAGCTGGGGCGAGTGATCGTTGCTGACGGCACAGAGGTATTCTACCGCGCAATGGGCGCGGAAGATGCTCCCGTCTTCCTCCTACTTCATGGCTACCCCGCGAGCTCCTTTCAGTTTCGCAACCTAATGCCCATTCTCGCGGCACACTACCGTGTCATCGCCCCCGACCACCCGGGTTTCGGTTTTACGAGAACAACAGCGGAGAATTACGAGTTCACCTTTGACAACCTGTCCGAGACGATTGAGTCGTTCATCGACACGTTGAAGCTCTCGGCGACACCATTTCCCGTCTATATCTTCGACTACGGTGCGCCCATTGCCCTCCGCATCCTCCTTCGTCGCCCAACGATGTTCTCGACCATTGTAACCCAGAACGGAAACGCATACAAGGAAGGACTGGGCGACGCTTGGAGCGCATTCGGAATACGTGGCTACTGGAACTCGCCCACCGAGGAGAACCGGGAAGCGTTGCGAAACCTTCTCACACTCGACTCTACAAAGTTTCAGTACGAAATTGGCCACCCATCTGCCGCCGACATTCCGCCGGAAACGTATCATCTCGACTACTTTATCTCCAACGAAAACGCCGAGGCAATGCTCGATCTTTTTTACGACTACCGTAAGAATGTGGATCTCTACCCGGCATTCTCTGCGGCCTTGAAGAAGGCCAATCCGTTTGTGCTCGCCGTGTGGGGTACAAACGACCCCTTCTTCCTTCCTGCAGGCGCAGTCGCATACGCTCAGGATATTGCTCCAGAAAGGATCAAAGTTGTCTTGCTCGACGCGGGACACCTTGTTTTGGAAAGTCATTGCGACGAAGTGGGCAGCGAGATCCTTCGATTCATGGGCGTAGTGTGAATGCTTCCCGGGCTACTCTTCTTGCATTCTCGTCAGAGCACCCTTAGCGGTGCTTTCCTTCCTTGTGCGTCGAAATCCCAATTATCAGCGGCTCTATCTTTCTGGAGCAACTGTCGGAACTCGCTTGGCGAGCTGTTTGACGGCTTGCAACGGTGTTGCTCATGCGCAACACCTTGCGCAAGGTAGCATGGAAAGAGGAGCATGTTGCACACGGCTTGGCGTGCATAAGGGCAAAAGAGATGATATTCCAGATCACTTGGCCGCAACAATTTCGATCTCGACAAGTATGTCATCTCGGATGAGCGAATTCACGGTACCTAGCATGAATGCTGGCCTGTTCTCTCCGATGAATTCGGACCTGACCCGCACATAATCCTTGACTAGGTCCTCGCTTGTGAGCCACGTCGTTACCTTGACGAGGTGGCTTGCGTCCATGTCTGCCTTTTTGAGGATTGCGAATATGTTCTCCCACGCCAGCCGGCTCTGGGCTTCGATTCCCTCGGGCGTCTTTCCCGATTCATCGAGACCAGGTGTACCAGCTGTATACAGCCACGTAGTGCGGTTGGAGACGACTACGCCGTCCGAGTATCTGAAAGACTCTTGCGTTCAGTTCCGGCAACATGAACCAAGCTAGTTTACCCACGCGCCAATGAAACGAGCAGGCCCGTTTCTGATCCCAATGTGTGCGCTCATCCTTGCGAATTGATTTGAGAGAGATTCTGAGATTTGCTTCGCCGACAACAACAGGGGAGGATGCGCAAGTGCCGTGTTCACTTCTCTGCTCCACTCTTTATAGCGCCTGACAGGCAAGAGCAGCGTTTTTTCCCGGAGATATTTCGTTCCCCGCGGAGTAAGGGAATCTCGCTTTCGTTCGGTGTGAAACGCTCCTTGGGGCATTGACTTTCTTCATCGCACAAGCTGCGAGATGGCCAAAGGTGTGCTTGCGCCGAGCTGGAGATGGCCTCCATTGCTTCAGGCGCGAAGAGACAAGCGCTTTCACCTAGCGGACACAGATGTGACGCGCTGATTGAGTGCAAGAAGAGGCCTCTTATGAGTGGTGCCAGGAGTACGCAGAAGGCGAGCGCCGCCCACACGACGGTCAAGGAAACGGAAGCCCTTGAGCCTGCTAGACACCACCAGCGTATCGACAAACTTCGGAGATATATCTGGCGAGGGCCGCGGCTTTAAGCGTAATGTGGCACGTGCATATGTCGAGACGGGTCCATCTTGCAGGATAGGGTGGTGGGTTTGCAGGAGAAAGTGGCGGTACAGTGCGCCCTCTCCTCCCTCGTCATTCCACTGGGAAAAATGGAAGGGCAAGCTGGGGTCAAGCGCGCAAAGAGGAACCGGATCGCCTATTCTTGCCTAGCATGCCGCGATCGCAAAACCAGGTGCGATCGCGGGCGCCCCTGCAGCCAATGCGTAATGCGGAACGAGGGGCACCGTTGCTCCTTTGCCGAGAAGGCGTCTCGACAGCCGAGCTCGGGCAACCTCGCGGCGGCGGTTGCAAATGAAGCTTTGTACGAAGACACGGCAAATGACAGCCTGTTTGAGGATACGACGAACCGGCTACACAAAGGGCGCAACAGCCCAGACACCGAAGCCGTGGTGGTTGGACTGCAGCAGAGATTGACAAGGATGGAGAGGCTCTTTGTCGAGCTCAACAACGTCCCGCCTTCGCCGATCGCTCAGCCTCCAGCAGACCACCGAATTGAAAATGGCAGCAGAAGCGCGTTCGCGGATGAGTCCAGAGAGGCCAACGAGGAGGAGAGAATGCTGCGACTGTTTTGCACGGCGCTGCCTTCACCCACCGCACTGGACTTGCTCTTTGTATCATAGTAGGTAGCACCTTGACGAAGCACTCGGCCATGTGCCATACTGAAGCCTCGTCGAGCAGCAGAGACCGGGTGAAATGCATGGCTGGCCATTTCGTCCACATGCCCACCCTTCGCGACGATATTCAACGTCTTGTAGCCATGGGGCCCACCCACGGTGCGAAAGCCATCAGCCGGGGCGAGTTTGGCGGACCGGCGTGGCTCGCGATGCTGTTCCTGGTACTGGCGTTGGGCCTGCGCCACTATCCGACCAGAGCCGAAGTGGAATTCTTCACAGAGCTTGACCACACAGCCACGGCCGGTCGTGAGCAGCTGTGGGCCGATTACGCGCAACGGTGCCTGAACCTGTGCATCCTCGACCCCCGGCCACAGCTCGAGCTGATCCAAGCAAGCCTGCTCTTCTGCGTCTATTCGTCCACAGGGGGACTGGATGCCGCAGAGGCAGACGAACGTAGAGCAGAGGGGTCTCAGGATGGGGGAGCGCACGAATCGCAAAAGCAAAACCTGTTGGCAGCTCGCTTGCTCAAAATGGCCATCTTGCACGCCCAAGAGCTGGGGCTGCACCGCCTGAGCAGCGACAAGGGCAGTGACAAGCGGCAATACCGAACAAAGGCCACGTTGCAAACGGAGATGGGCAAGAGGATCTGGTGGGCCTTGTGCTTCCGCGACTGGTCCTATGCAAACACCAAGCAGAATCGTGTGTCGTCGATTGGCCTGCGCGACTTCACCACACCGCTTCCGGGCAACTACAACGACGAGGATCTCATCCCAAAAGAAGGAGAGCTCCTGGCCGAGCCCAAGCCCAGGGATGGCTTCACAGAGGTGTCGTTTGTGCTCGCCATGCTCGACTACATTGTCATCGTCAAGGATCACTGCGAGGTGCAGGCGGCAGCTGGGCCAAGGACTGTGCAGGCCGATGCCGACGCCATGGCCAGCGTGGCAGCTCGCTATCAAAGTCTGATCGCGAGACTACCAAAGTACTTTCAGGTGGGTGAGACGGCAGCCCAGCATCCAAACTACTGGTGCAAGGCCCTCGAGGTGCAAAAGTGGCTCCTGCAAAGCGCAATCTTTAGTCGGTGGGTGTCTTCGACCTTGTCCTGCCTGGTTAGATGGCTTACTTTCCCCCACAGCCTCATCGCAATCTATCGCGACACATCATGGACCGACGCGGTCGGCCGATCGACGTGCGCCACGTTTGCTCGGGGCGTCCTTACGCTCCAGCAGGACCTCCGGTCGCGGCACTCGGTGGTCGACCGGCTCTGGACGAATCTGTCGCAGAGCTACGTGGCGGCAGTCGTGCTGTGCGAGCACCTCATTGCCGATCCAGACGTGCTCGAACGGTCTCTCTTCTTGGAGCTGATCAACGAGGCGATTTCAGCCTTGCTCCAAATCGCAGTCGAAGACCCCACGGCACTGCGCTGCGCACGAATCGTGCAGGCGCTTCTTCAGCACGTTCGCGACCACCAGCGGAGTCGCTCTGGGCACCCATCTCCAGCGCCTCTTGGGCACCTGGCTAGGAAACTCGTTGAAACAGCACCTCGGCCCGAGGTGAAATGGAAAGAGCAGCCCGCCTTTACGCCAAACGGACTCGATCTCTCGTTCAAGTTCCCAGATGCGCCAGCGAACGACGGCTTGGCGTACATCTTCGATACATGGTCCCACTTCGACAATGCCGCTCCTCCACCCCCGATTCCTGCCGCTGCGTGGGACGCCAGAGCAAGCGACGACTTTTCAGCCGACGCCTCTCTGGACAAGACGTGGCGATGGTTTCTGGACCAAGGCATCTTTTCCATGTAGCGCCATGCTTCACGTACTGCTTCCCACCCTTTCTTGCTATCGCTCGCAAAGTTGTACAACAGCTCTCTATTGTATATCCCAATTCCTGATCTTCGACAGTAAACGACAGAAACGACAGGCTGCCGCGCCATGACCTGGGGTAGCAAGGAAGGAGAAATGGTATTCTTCCTAGGCAGGCGATGCGGAAGCAGGACAGACGAGTGACAAGCTGAGCTAGAAATGGGGAAGGCGGGTGGCGAAAGAAATGTACAGAGTCCCTCAACGTGTCTGCAGTTGTCATCGGAGTTGGAGAAGGAACTCGGCCGATTCGGTGATTGGCATGAGAGTGACCGTCCTCATCTACCCTCTTATGCGATCTCGCAGGGAATGGGGTTGCACTGCATTGCTGAAAAAGAGAGTTGCCCTAGTCACTGGCCGCGTGACTGTCTGTTAATTAGCCGTGTCCGGTGGAGGGAAGGCCTGGCGTTGCCGTGTTCGAGAGAGGGTAAGAAATAGTCCGCGATGAGGCCGTTCGGTGAATTTATGCGGGCATCCTTAGACCGAAGACGAGGTTTGGTTGAACTTACAGGGCGTGTGCTAGCCTACCCCGCAATGCATGTGCAGCTGAGCGTGGGGGTACCGAAGCGACTACTTTTAAGGTTGAGCGAGCGAGCGCGGGGCGCGCGCTGGTCTGAGTGATACGCTGATCAACACCAACGAACGATGACCGATCACACTCTTGCAGCCCTCGTGGCCGCCGCCGCTGTGCTGGTCCTGGCGACTGTGCGCCACTGGAAGACGGCCATCTTTGCACCGGCACCCCTGCCGCGCGACACCAGCGACCCAAGCAAGCGATGGCCCAAGCAGCCTCCCACCGTGCCCTTCCTGGGCCACCAGCTGGTGCTCAACGCCAACTCGGACCGCTTCCTGGACCTCTTTCTCGAGTGGCGGCTCAAGTACGGACCGGGCTACGAGGTGGGTCTCTCTCTCTCTCTCTCTGAAACTCAAGCTGACCACCTCAGCACCAGCTCACCATCCCTGGCCGGCGCATGATCGACATCAACCACCCCGTGTGGCTGGAGCATGTGCAAAAGACTCAGTTCGACAACTTTGGCCGCGCGCACCTGATGCCCGTCCTGGGTGGCGTCCAGCGCACCGGCATCTTCAACTCGGACGGGCGCCACTGGCAGGTGCAGCGCAAGGCGGCCACCCACGCCTTTTCGCGCAACCACTTCAAGGGCCCCATCCGCGACAAGATTGGCGCCCACGTCAAGATTGTCGTGGATCTCTTTGACAACCTGGCCGCCACGGGCCAGGTGTTTGACTTCCAGGACGTCATGGCGCGCTTCACCATGCTCCTCTCCCTCGCCGTCGCCTTTTCCGAGCCGGCAGGCCTGGCCGACTGCCTGACGGCCGATCCTGCGTGTCTGGAGCGGCGGTACAAGTTTGTCGATGCGTTTGATGAAGCCTCGCCGCTCATTGATTCGCGCAACCGCAACGCCCTGTGGCAGCTCACCGAGCGCACCACGAGCCGCGGCCACGCCAGGGCGATCCAGACGGCCGTCGACGCCATCTACGACTTTATCAACCCGCTCGTCAAGGCACGGCTCGCGACGACAAAGGCCGGCGTCAAGAATAGGACAGGCGACCTGCTCGACCTCTTCATGGAGCACGAGTCGGATCCCTGGACGCTGTCGGGCTGGATGGCGAGCATGCTCTTTGCGGGCCGCGACACGACAGCGTTCACCATCACCTGGCAGATGTACGAGCTGCTGCGGCCGGGCAACGCGGGCCAGAATCTGCTGGGACGGGCGCGCGCAGAGGTCGCCGAGCTCGGCCACCAGTTCCACCACTCGGCAAAGGACGCCGACACGCTCGATTACGACGACATGAAGGGCCTCACGCTGCACAATGCCATGTGGCAGGAGACGACGAGGGTGCACCCGGCCGCGGCACGGGGCACGCCCACGGTGTGCTATCGCGACACGGTCCTGCCCGCCATTGCCGACATCGGCCAGCCGGCCGTTGTGGTCAGAAAGGGCGACGTGGTCATCTGGCAGGGTGAGCAAAAAAAAAAAAAGGAATTGGAATGCATACAAAGTGCTGAACTGCCTCTCTCAGACTGGGTCTACAACCGGCTGCCCGAGGTGTGGGGCGACGACTGCCTCGACTACCGGCCAGAGCGGTTCCTCGACGGCGAGACGGGCTCGCTGCGCAACGTCAGCATGTGGACCTGGCACTCGTTCAATGCCGGCCCGCGGACGTGCCTGGGCAAGACGCTGGCCACGTTTGAGGCCCTCAGCCTGCTCTCCGCCCTGCTGCCGCGCTACGACTTTGAGATGGCGGACCCGGGCATGCAGGCAAAGTACACGACGGGCCTCAACATGGGCATCGAGCAGGGCCTGCGCCTGCGTGTGCGGCGGAGGGAGTAGCTCCGTCATCATCCTGCCTGCTCTTTTTCAATGAATGCTTGATATCGTCACACAATCATTTGCTACAGTGGCTGTCTTGCGATGTAGCAACTCTTGCGATGAGGCATCTGCCTGGGTAGCACAGACCAAGAGTTGCAGACAGACCAAGAGTTGCAGACAGACCAAGAATCGCATTACGCATCAGAAGTGGTGACGACTACCTGGTCAGTCTTGGCTTCGTCTTTGCCGAGGGACTTGTCGGTAGTGCTGTCGGCGTCGCTGGCTCGAGCTGCTCCGCCGTTGGGTCTGTCTCCATCAGCACAGGTAGTGCCCCCCTCACGTGAGACCAGGCACCGGACCTCGGCGAGGACATCGACCATGCACGCCTCGCGCATCGCCGCATCGCGCACCGCCGAGTCGTCGCCAAAGATCTTGTCCATGTCCTCGAGCGACTTGCCCCGTGTCTCGGGCACAAACGCATAGCACCACACGGTACCAACGGCCGAGAAGACGGCAAAGAAGATGAATGCGCCGGCGCCGTGGACCTGGCCGATGAGCGAGGGCGTGATGAGGCCGATGATGAAGTTGTTGAGCCAGATGGAGCACGTCGCGAGTGCGGTGCCCTTTGCGCGGAACGTCGAGGGAAAAATCTCGGCGGGCAGCGCCCAGGGCACGGGCGACCAGGTGGCGCCAAAGGCGATCATGTAGACGAAGATAAAGGCGACGCAGACCCACGCGGCCGCCTCGTGGCGCTGCCATGCCAGACCATAGACGCCAATGAGGGCCGCAATGATGGCGTGCGACAGGCACACGCAGACGCCGCCGTAGATGACCAGCGGACGGCGGCCCACGCGGTCGAGGAGGTAGAAGACGGGCGCGACACCGACGAGCTGGCAGATGTTCATCACGCCCGACATGGTGAGCTGCAGCGAAAAGTCGAGACCGACGGCCTCGAACAGCGACGGGCCGTAGTAGATGAGGGCATTGATGCCAATAAACTGCTGGAAGAAGCCCAGGCCGAGGCCGATGTGGGTGCGCTTAAAGATGCCTGCGCCCGAGAACATGTCCTTCCAGCGCAGCGCCTCGAGGGCCAGCTCGTTGGCCAGGCCTGGCTTGCCGGCCACGTTGGGATGGCGCACGGCTTCGGCGCGGTACTGCACGGCCGACTCGGCCTTGATGGCGATGAGCTCGGCGAGGACAAAGGGGCTGTCGCGCGGGAGCCGTCGGAGGCGACAGAGCGTCGCGAGCGCCTCGGCGTCGCGGCCCTTGCTGACGAGCCAGCGGGGCGAGTACGGCAGAAAGAAGAAGAGCACGGCCAGGACGAGGGCAGGGGTGATCTGGACCAAAAAGGGCAGGCGAAAAGACCAGTCGGAGGCCATGTTGCGCGTGGCAAACGAGACGTAGTAGGCGACGACGACGCCCAGCACAATCATAAACGACTCCATGACCAGGAGCGTGCCGCGGATGTTGGGCGGGGCGAGCTCAGAGATGTACAGGGGTGCGACGGCAGCGAGGGTGCCGATGCCCACGCCGCCGATGAGCCGGCCCACGACGAGCTGGGCATAACTAAAGGCCGTCGTCTGGAGCACACTTCCCGCAACAAACCAGACGACACCGTTGAAGAGGGTGCGCCGGCGGCTGAACTTGTCCGAGACAAAGCCCGACTGGAGCGCGCCGAGAAAGGCGCCAAACTCGAGCATGGCCGTCAGCAGGCCCTTGTAGAAGCTCGCCGACGGGCTCACTGCCGCGTCGACGAGGGGAAACTGCGCCAGGAACTGCGGCTCGACGAGAATGATGGAGATGACGCCCTGGTCAAAGCCAAAGGAGAAGCCGCCGGCTGCAGCGGCCATGGCGCAGACGATGACAAACGGCGACTGCAGCACCTGTCGGAGTGCTGTGCATCCCGGTTAGCGCAGAGCAAAAGCAACGCCGTAATCATCATGCTGACGCACCACTCTTGCCGCCACGGTAGGCCTCCTCGAGCTGCTGGGGATCGCGCGCCAGCACCTCGGCTTCTCGCGGCCAGTCCAGTGCCTTTTCTTCAGCGTGAGCTATCTTCAGGGGATCCATGTCTTGTCACTCAATCAATCAAGCGCCAGTGTGAAGCTCGAATCGAATGGTCATTCGAGCTCAGAGGAAGAGGCGATACTTATATCCGGGACGCTTCTGCGCTTCTGCGCTTCTGTCGTCTCTCGGCATCATCTCGCGCTCTCTCGCGCTCCCTTTTTGCGGGGTAAATCGAGCATCATTTTCTGACCGAACATCTCTTCTGAATCTGAGTGGGGTCACTCCAGGAGCGGGGGGGTGGGCTGAGGGGAACAAGATGGGGCGATCTGTGCATGCACGCCGTCGGATGGACTGACACGAAGAAAAAGGCCGAAAATGCAATTTGAAGGCCGTGCAAGGCCCGATGAAAAATAAATGAGACGGCATGACGCCACTACTGCGCTAGTTGGCCGCCTCCAGTGCGTCTGGGTAGCGCAAGCTGTTCTGACTCCGGGCCGTCTCCATAATCTGCTGGCTGAGCAGCGTCGTGGCTGTCGAAAATGATGATTGGGTCAGAGAGAGAGAGAGAGCAAAAGAGCCTGGATCGGAGGACGCACCCAGCGGACACAGGTCTGCCTCCTTTCTGCCATCGCGCAGGCAGCGCGCGACGGCATCGGCCTCCCAGAACATGCCGTGGCCAGGGATGTCCCGCGTGACCGTCTTGGCTGCCTGGACGTCGACGTCGCCGTCGCTTTCCTTGCGCGGGAAGAAAGTGTAGCTCTCGGGACGCATGGGCGCCCACGACACCTGCAGATCGCCCTTTTCGCCCTGGACCAGGGTGCAGAAGGAGTGCGTCTTGACGTTGAGCTGTGGGCATAAACTATCATCAGCAGAGTAATCAGCAGCCGATCGAATGTCCTTGACCCACATTGCAGTTCACAGTCGACTGCACGCCCAGGCGCTCAAAGTCGAGGATCAGCGTCGTCTGCTCGTCGACGCCGGTGGCCTTGCTCTTGATCATCGAGCTCGTCACCTTGGGCGGCTGGCCTCCGTTGTCTGGGTGCTCGCCCAGCAGGCTGAGCTGCCACGTCAGTGGATAGATGCCAATGTCCAGCAGCGCACCCCCGGCGAGGTCTGACAGGCACCTGTTTCAGCACAGATCATGGGCTCCAAGACACGCAGCTCACTGGGGTTCAGGATCCGGTGGTTGGGGTCCGTGGGCATCCTCTCGCCAAACTCCGACGTCGAGCGGAGAATCTTGCCCACGATCTGCTGCCGGTGCAGAAGGTCCCTGATCTCGGCCATGATGGGGAAGAAGCGGATCCAGACGGCCTCCATCAAGAACACGTTCTTCTCCCTGGCCAGCGCAATGAGCTTCTCCGTCTGGGTGCTGTTGACCGTGAATGGCTTCTCGCAGCACACGTTCTTGCCGCCGCGCAGGCACAGCTTGACGTTGTCGTAGTGGTGGCTGTGCGGCGTGGCAATGTAGATGACGTCGACGTTGGCATCGGCAACCAGCTCCTCGTAGCTCCCATAGGCGGCCACGCGCACATTGTCGCCCTGCTGCTTGTCGGCGCCGACGCGCGCGATAAAGTCCTGGCTGCGCTGCTGCGACGACGACGAGGCGACGGCGACAATCTCGTGCCGCACGTCGCGCACCTCCCGGCTCGCCGGGTCTAGCAGCAGGTCGAGGGAAAAGGACTCGGCGATGCCGCCCGTGGCAAGGATGCCCCATCGGCAGGTGAATGTCGACATGGTGGATGCGTTGGTGAGCCAGTCTCTCTCTCTCTCCGACGAGAAGAAGTGTTTAGTAGTCCCCCCGCGTCGGCCCTTTCTTGCATTGAGCTAATTGGCCGGCCGTTCCTGCAAATTAGCCGTTCCCCACACACGCTAAACGCCGTCTCCTCGGATCTTCGCACCGGCACGTACTACTATTCCCCGTCTGCACTAGCGCGAGAGGAGACTAAGCTCAAAGTGGGGGGGTTCGGTAGAATAAGAAGGCCGCTGCTTGTCGATCCCTCTCCTGACCGAGAACTGAACACAATGAAGATCAGCGGCAGCACATTCATCGTCACGGGCGGCCTCGGCGGGCTGGGCAGCGAGTGCGTGCGCATGCTCCTCGAGCAGGGCGCCTGCGTCGGCGTCATTGACATTGTCGAGCAGGGCGAAGGCAGCGCGAGGCTGGCCAAGGCACTGCAGAGCGACGACGAGCGCAGGAGGATCGTCTATGCGCAGGCGAGCATCAGCGACCGATCTAGCGCGGAAAGGGCCGTGGCCGACATCGTTGCCAAGCTCGGCAATCTGAGAGGACTGGTGCACTGCGCCGGCGTTGCCCTGAGGGTTAGGGTAGTCCAAGCTAAGCCGTTGTAGGTAGTTGACTGACCGACGGCTCTGATTTACAGCAAGAGTTCAGCAACAAGATGGCAGACGCCGTCGACCAGTTCCGCAAGACGCTCGAGGTCAACGCAGTGGGCACCTTCTGCATCGGCGCCGTTGTGGCCGATGCCATCAATGCGCAAACAGAAAAGGAGCTCGGACTCTCGGCCCAGGCGCCCAGCCGGTTCTGGACCACCGACCAGGAGCGCGGCGTCATTGTCAACTTTGCCTCTGTCGTCGGCCACGAGCCCTCGGCGCGCATCCTCGGCTACGGGCCCAGCAAGACGTGCGTGCTGGGCCTCACCAAGAGCTTTGCCGACTTTCTCGCGCCCAGCGGCATCCGCGTCAACAGCGTCAGCCCGGGCATCGTGGCGACGCCCATGAACACCGGCAAGGCGCTCGAGTTCTTCAACAAGGACCTCCTGGCCAACGGTGTCTTTCCCAAGAGGGCCTCGGAGCCGGCGCACGTCTCGTCGGCGGTGCGCTTCCTCATCGAGAATGAGTTTGTCAATGCAGAGGACGTCAAAGTCACGGGCGGCTGGCGCATCGTCACCACGACGTTCCCGGGCCAGGGCGACCCGAGAGACTCGATGCCAGGCCTGGAGTAGGAGTGGCTTCTCGACACACGTACCCTTGTCATGGCTTCGATGGTTTCGGCCGACGCGTACCCACCCACACACGACTACCGCATGGTGCCGGACGTCGATTAGACCGCATTGTTTCTTCCATATTGTAGAAAGAACTCTGGTTTTAGACTGAAAGGCACACGATCTGCTTCCTGACTTTAGGGAAGATGACCCTTTCTCAACGTCTCGATGGCATCTTACAGGGTGGGAATCCGAGGAAGCTTTGGCACCGACTGCTCAGAGGTTGTCGACGGCAGATACGTGCGTAGCTTGAACCGCTACATGGCTTTCAACTTGCTGGGTTCGGGCATCATCACCGTTATCTCAGTCGTCGCAATCTCGACTAATAGCAAGAACACAAAGGCGACAGAGAATCTACTCATTCTCAGCATAGTCTTCCCCCTCGCGCTTCTCCTCGTCAGCCTCGCGTGCATGGTGAGACAGCGAGGACCAACCGGGGAGCCACTTTCCACCTCGCTCCCCTCCTTTTGGCTGTGCGACGAATAGCTCCACAGTATGTCTAGTGCTCTACAGCGACTGAGTTGATCAGTGTCCCTACGCTGTGCGAGACTCGAACGCGGAACTCGTCGCCGTCACCGAGCACCAGACGTGGCTGCCGGCTCCAGCCGACGCCCACCGGTGTGCTGTCGGGGTGCTATGGGTTAGAAGGAGGAGCAAGTCACAAGCCCTCGCCTGACGACCCGACCTACCCTGTCAAGATCAGCGTGCCCGCGGGCAATGTCGTGCCCTGCGAAAGGAAAGAGATGATCTTTGGAATGGAGAAGATGAGGTCGCTGTTACAGCTACCGGCGTGAGTAAAGGGCTCCAGAGGGAGGTGACGAGCTACTGGCAGCTCACTCAAGCTTGCCGGTTTGAACAACCTTGCCGTTCAGGCTGCCGGTGATCCGCACCTCGCCCAGGTCCTTGATCTGGCTCTTGTGCACGAAGGCTGGCCCGATGGGGCATGCCCCGTCGAATGACTTGGAGAAGCACCACTGGCTTTGCGCGAACTGCACCACACGCGAGGAGACGTCGTTGGACGCCGTGATGCTGTAAACAAATCAGCTGGCTGCACGGCAGAAGCGGGGACGAGGAGAGAATAACCAACCCGAGGAAGCGGTCCATAGCCTCGGCTTCCGACACGTCTTTGCATGTCTTGCCGAGCACAATGGCGACCTCTGACTCGTAGTCTGCTGCGTTGTCTGCCGCTGTGGCCTTGGGGATCACCGTCTTGGCGGGCCAGGGATCACCAAGCGACGTGCTCGGCTTCCTATGGGGGTGTGAGTGCGTTTAGCTGCATTCGCAGATCTTGTGTGCACCCACATGAAGAGAATCGGTGCTGGAGGAATCGCGAGGTTCATCTCCTTGGCGTGGCTCAAGTACTGGAGAGAAGAACAGGCTCAGCAATGCTCGAACTGTGAGCGTGGCTTCTGCTCACGTTCAAGCCGATGCAACGGATTGTCCCGACTTCAACCGCGGCCAGAGGGCTCAAGAGCGTCTTCACATGCTCCTTCTTGCCTGTTCTATGCCCTGGCTGGAGGATGGAGCTGCCAGAAAAGACCTCGACTTCAATGGGCTGAGAGCCGTGGGCGGCCAGGCCGACATCAAGAAGTTCGTCACAGGGCTCCCCGATGAGAGGCTGCGACGATGGCGCCGAGGCAGGCACGAAGCGCACTAGCCTGGCGTACGTGGTCATGGTGTTGGGCTGTCTCAGAGAAGGAAGCAGAGTGTACATAGTCTTACTTGAAGAAGAACACCACCCCGATGGAGCCGAAGGATGGCCACAAAAAGAAAAGAAACCAGCCGAAGACACGTCTGCCCTGTGGTGGGGCCGAGCAGACTAAATTTGCGGGTTTCGGAAAAAACGGAATCAAGGGAAGAAAGAGCGAGCGATTCAGAGTCTCCTCTCTTGTTCAGAGACGAACACGTACCAGCATGACGACAGCTACGCAAGAGCAGCCTGTCCAGCTCGTCTCGGTCAACACGGCACCCGACAGGGCCAAAAAGGTCATTGGCGCCGTCATTGAGCAGGTCAAGGAAAAGTACGCGATCGAGCACGCCGGAAATAGCGAGAGTGAGTCGTCTTTCATTATAACCGCAGATACGCTTGCCAACTCGTGCCTGTCCAGCTATCGAGGGCGTCGAGCCTCTGCTGCGCTCGATTCAGCCTCCTCCGGGAATCCTGGTGAGCTTCTCTTTGACCTGGACGAGAGCTCCTTTCTCTGACGCTTAGGGACTTGACAGTTTTGCGCGTCCATGGTGAGCAAATCGCATCTGTTGGCAGCAGGGACCAGAGCTTTGACTAACAGCCCGGCCACAGTGGACACCTGAGCAGCAAGAGGAGATCCAGAGTATCGCCAGGAAAGCGATCCCTGGCATCAAGACGCACGCCATTCCAACAGGCCTCCAGGTGAAAGTGGGCCCAGAGGGCATCGTAAAGTACCTCGTCGAGCGCATCGACGAGATCATGGCGGAGCCGTGAGCGCAGCGTGCTGCCACAAAATGACCCACCAAAGCCAGCGCTTCACCTTTTCGGTGTTGGCGTAGAAAGACTCCACACAAGTAAATAGACCTATGCAATCATACAACGCACTCGTGCAACGATCACTACTCTACCCAACCATGCTCTGCTTGCCGGAATAACACCTGCTCAGGTAACATACTGCTGGGCAGCGGCATCGAGTCCACATCTCAGGGACCACTTGGCAGAGCACTGTCGGACTTGCTTACAGCATTGTCTGAAATACGGCGCGGTGCCGAAAGCGCCCCACTGACCCGAATGTCCGTGGCGCCCTCACCCTAAATCAAGGTCAAGCAAGACACCTTCCCCTCGTACCTTCCCGCCATGTCTGTCCCAGTCAGCAGCGGGTTTGTCCTCGAGGACGACCCCGCCACGCCGCGCACCGACGCGACTGTATCGTTCCGCGACATTCTCCCCGCTGCTGATCACCCTCGCATTGCGGGCATCCACGGACACACGGCCCAGTCATGGTGCCAGTCGCGCCGAGAGGTCCCTGCGCCCGCCTGGCTCATCAATCGGCTCGACATCAAGAACATCGAGAGACCGTACAGGGGCTTCTCGTCCGATGGACATCCAGAACCTTCTTTCTACAGCTACCGCGAGCGTGATCAAGGTGCTCCTGTGGCAGCGGCAGTCGCAGCCGCCGAGGAGCTGCTCGCGAAGCTGTCCGAGGAAGAGCGGGAGCAGGTCATCAAGGGCGACGTGGAGTCGGACGACGAGTTCCGTGCCTGGTCGAATCCGGAGCTGTATGTGAATGAAGGTGTGTACCAGTTGTGCGTAAATCAGTTTCAGGAAGCTGACCCGTCCTTGGTTCAGGTGGCATTCGCCTCGATGAGACGCGGGAGGAAGTGCAGGACCTCATCCTTGGCGTACTTCAAGCTTCGCTCTCCCCTGCAGGGTACACGAAGGCCATCGGATGCACGCTTACGAACCACTTCTTGGGCGAGCTCGTCAACGGGCCCGCCGTGCTCAACAAGCACTCGTACAACTTCCGCCTCTTCGTCCCACAAAAGACACGCAGGCCGTCCTTGGAGCAGCCGTGGGGCTGGACCTTCTTCGGCCACCATCTGTGCCTCGCTGTCGTCTTTGTCGGAAAGCGCATGGTTGTGGGGCCGACCTTCCTGGGTGCCGAGCCTGACCGCATCGACGTCGGGCCGCATGCCGGTCTTCGCCTCTTTAGTCAGGAAGAAGTCCGGGGCCTGAACCTCATGAGGGCGCTGAGCCCTGCTAACCAGGCTCAAGCCCAGCTCTGCAAGGGCATGGACCCGACGCATGGCTTGCCAGCCGATCTCTGGAATCCCTTTGATGAGAGGCACCTCGGTGGAGCACATCAGGACAACCGCGTGGTGCCCTTTGCTGGTTGCCCGATCACTCTCTTCTCGCCCGAACAACGCGAAGAGGTGTATGCCATCCTCCAAGCATTTCACATCTACCTCCCACCGGGCCCGCTCAAATACAGGATGGAGCAGTTGCGGGCCTATGAAAGCAAGACGTACTTTGCGTGGATCGGCGATTTTGGACTGGGTGATCCTTACTACTTTCGCATACACTCGCCTGTCGCCTTCTGCGAGGTGAGTGCTTCGTCACAGCTAGGGTCCGGCTTGCTTTTCTGACCTCTCCCCCTGCCAGTTTGATTTTCATTGCGGCAGTGAGTACCTACCGTCGAATGTTCTCTCTCAAAAGAATGTCCCTCTCACACTACTGCAATTCTTCAGTCTTCCTCACGAATACAACGCCAGCAAAGTGTCACATTCATACGATCAATCGGCTGCCCAACTGCGGGGACTACGGCAAGGCTCTAATCAGGCAGTGGAGATCTGAGCAGTCCAGTTGAACGTCTACTCCTGAAGAATGCCTTTGCCCTTCAGCCACTCTAGTGCTCGTTCGATGTCCTCGTCGTGGTCGTGCTGTTTCGCCAGACCCAATGTAAACGTAGAAGTAGAGAATGAATGCAAAGGAAAGTTGTCTCACCTCCCATATCCATGCCCAGCGACTGGAGAGATTGTTGGCGAGGGCGCACAAGTCGTCTCCGTCGGGTCCTGCGAATTCGTACGCATCGCCTGCTTCTAGGCTCGTTTGCAGGACGCGATTGGCCCGCGGAAGGCGAATCAGGTCGTATACCGGCAGCACCTGCATGAGGTTGGTTGCATTGACGCCTGGGTGCGAGAGGATGCGCGAGAGAAACAGGGCGTCCTTGAAGGTCACCTCTTTCAGTGACAGCACACGTCTCGATTGTCTTCACCCCAACTCACTTCAAATGCCTGGCCAGCCAGCGCACCCTCTAAAGAGATTGTTGTTAGCGCTTCTACGGCAAGGTGAGGTCATAATCACTCACGATGGGGGACGCCGCCGTGTCTGTGGATGGAGTGAGTCAGCACACTGATGCAAAGAAGAGTGTGCGTGGTATGAGGTACCTACGCTGCGTCGCCAAGAAGCAAGACATGGTCGCCGATGTACGTCGGTAGTAATGGATCCATCTGGTGAAGTGCCCATTTCGTGGGGTTCTCGAAGCACTGGAGGATTTGCTTAGCTTCTTCCCGACTTTCTCGTCTTCAGGCTGCGTACCTTGAGCACGTTGATCATATCCTCGTCCCAGCCTTCAAACTTGCTCAGCAAGTCCTGTTGCGAGGTCGTCTGCGTCCAAGCCTCTCCCTCTACCAGGCCTGTTGTAAGTCGTGTTAGAGTGTCTGCGTGTCTTTGCTGAAGAGACAGTACTTTCATGGCTTTTCCGTCGTGCGGTCCGTGTAGAACGCGACGACATTGATGGTGTTGTGGTGATCGATGGGAAAGGTGAGAATGTGCTGCATTGTAGCGATTAGTGAAGGTAAGGAGACAACTGACGTGGCCACCGCAACTTACCCTGTCTTTGTCCATGAACATCTGGTCTCTCGTCTTGTCAGCACAGTATAGAGAATTGCATCAAGTGGCTCACCTGTGGGACTCGGCAATAGCGCTCGCGCCTCTCGCTGCTGATGGCTTCCGCAAATAAGCCGATTGGGACCAACGCTCTGTACGCCCATGTCCCGCTCCATCGTGGCGCTCCAGTGACGTCCAAGTACTCTCTCATTTTCGAATGGATCCCATCGCAGCCGATGACAAGGTGTGCGTCGTACGTCATTCCATCCTGGAAATGGAGACGGACGGGGTACGGACTCTCGGAAGGCAGTCGTTCGAGTCTGTCCAGCCGCTTGCCAAAGTGCACGCGATCTTTGGGTACGTGGTCCAACATAGCAGAAAGGAACTTGGCTCGGTGGACAGTCGAGCATGGCGCTGGCGCCGACATGGCCTGTCGTCTCTTTTGTCAGTTGTGTCCCTTGGAAACAGGGGAACAGGAACTGACTGTGGCAACCAAGTGATGGTCCGCGCTTGTGCCAAGCCTATACTCAAAATAGTAACCGTCAGCGATGAAGGTGCCAAGGTCGTTGAATTCCTTCTCAAGGCCGAGCTTTGCGATGGCGCAACGAGCGTTTGGGGCTGTTCAAAGGCTCTCGTTAGGATGCCATTACTGCAGAATAGTCTGGACACGACGCACCAAAGTTGAGCCCGGCACCGATCTCCGCAAAGCAGCGCTGGAGGAGGGGTCAGCTGATGAGAAGCTGATGCCCTCGCCCTCCACTCACTGCACCCTCAAAGACGTCGAAAGCTCCGAAGCCCTGACGGACGAGCCCGATGGCTGTCGCGATACCGCCGATTCCACCTCCCACAATCGCGATCTTCAGATTGTTCATGATGATGAAATGAGAGGTGGCGTCGCACACACCGTCAGGACAACATAAAAGGCCTCTTGAGCTCGCACAGACCGCGTGGGGCATTAAGGTATTAGGCGCCCCCACCGGCGACACGGACCCACCACCGGTCGCGCCTTTAAGTTCTCCCCACCGGCTCGAATCGGCTTCTGGCAGACTGGCCCGAATGTCTCTACCCCGCAATGTTGTCCAGGCCTGCGGATATGTCGGCCACCCTGCGAATCCGCTGCTCTGTCACTGGAAAGCGTCTTGCCTTCGTGTTCCTGATCGAGTACAGCAATTCTGCGTCTTCTAGGAAGGTCCGCTGGCCTAGACGGCGGAGTCCGCAACGAGAGCACGTGTCAGCTCCTCGCTTTAGACAGCGAACGGCCCGCAGGCAGCACGAGAATCAAGAGCCAGACTGCCGCCCACGCAGTAACAGTGTCATGCATCGATCTTGTCCGTGTTGTGAGTATGTGTTAGATGTATCTATTCTGAAGTGAAAGCATGACGACTCGAGCTCCACCATCTTTCCGTCTGACCCAAAGGTAGATCTAAATCGGATTGCTGGCTTATTCACTGTATTCTATTGAGCAGCTTGATAGATGTGGCTTTGTAGTCGCTTCTAAGTGGCTGCCACTGCGATCGCCTCAATTTCGATCAGGACATCCGGGTGATACAGCGACTTGACTTCGACGATCGTATCGGCGGGATAAGGGACGCTAAAGTACTTCGCTCGGGCCTGGCGAACGTAGCCGAAGTGCTCCTTCATGTTGACCAAGAAGATGGTCACCTTGGCGACCTTGCTCAGATCTGAGCCAGCACTCTGCAAGACTCGGCTGAGATTGAGAAATGCCTGCTCGATTTGAGCTGGGAAGTCGCCTTTGCCGACGATGGAGGCGTCCTCGCCCAGTGCCACTTGGCCCGACACAAAGACCAGATTGCCTACCTTGATCCCCTGCGAGATGCAGAACTGGGCGTAGTGGTCTGGCTCGGTCACGACCTGCTTCAGCCTAGTGCACGTCAGGAAGTCGAAATTAGCGCATGCTGTCGGCGTGAGACTCTGAGGGGTTCGCTCACTCATACTCGTCAGACATGGTGTCACCTGCTGGCTGATACAGCTGCCAGTCTGTTCTTCGTCGAGGGCGAAAGGTTCTTGTCTGTGGCCTAGTATTTAAGCTTTTGTGGAGACACGCTTTGCCAAGCTTTCATGCGCGCGCGACGTGTGATGGAACCCATCTCGGAGCTAAAGAATTGTTCTCGGATCTGGTCCCGCGGCGTTAGTCTCATTGCAGTACAAACACCGGTGATTCTTCACTTCCATGCAAGCAGGAGCAAGCATATCTCGGCGCCTCTTCCATTCCTCTCCAAATGTAGGATACGTGTACATACAGATCTCAAAAACTATGCTCGTGCTCGGAACCAAACCAGCGGGTAACATACAGTGCCATCCAGCAGACTACCCACGCTCCTTGAGGAGAGGCATGATGACCGTGTGAGCCCAGAGCTTGCCCACGCTGGCAGATCCAGGACGCGGAAGCCGCATGAGATCAGCAACGGGGCCAAGGACAAGATTGTAGCGTGCCCGGACGAACTCAAGCGAGGCGTTGCGCTGGTCGTCGATATTGTTGCGCAGCGAATGGAACTTGGTGAGGCTACTAAGGAGCTCGAGTGAATCTGCGTCCTGACACGCCCTCCGTCGGTCCTCCTCCCTCGGCTTGCCGGCGAGAAGAGACGGCGCGCGTGCTTCGGGGGAAGTGAAAGGTAGCAGAAGACTCTCGTCGCAAGTGACCTGCTGGGGAGGTGTCCGTCCAAGCCTTTCCCAGCGTCGTTGATGGATGTCGACGTCTGCAATGACGAGTTCGAGAATCGTGACTCGCGGCACTAGCCGAGGGGCTGTACTGGATGCCGTGCGGTTCTGCCGAAGACGGCAGCCGCTCCATGGCTGACTGGACCAGGACTGCTTGTTGATGGCGTGTATCGCCTCGGAGCGCGTTTGCGCGCCTGGGCTCGGCTCTCCCTCGCAACCATCGCCCGTCTCTTTTTGCTTGATATTTTGTGCCGATCGTGGAGACACAGCAAGCTTGACCACGAGTTCGGCTTTGGCCACCTCGTACGCAGAGGGTTGTTTCGTGGGTGGATCCAGGTCTGACACATTCACCCAGACTGCGAATCCGCCTGTCTCGTCAATGTTCGGCACACCCGGAGAAAATGGGTCACGACGACGCATGCGGTCACTGGAAAGACAGCAGCTCGTGGTGGTGTCCATCGCGTCGGAGACGTACTTTGCCGCTGGTGTGACCAAGGTCGGCCATTCTTGCCTGAAGGGGGGAGATCTGGGGGCTGAAGAGATTGCTGCGAGCGTCCTCTCCAGCTCTCCTCTTCCCACGCTCAGCAGATGGTCGCTCACCCACTTATTCTCCATGCGCATCCTCAGCTTCACGTCGACCCACTGCATCTCGAATTCTTCGTTGCCTTTGGTAATGTGCCCGTGGATCTTGTGATCTCTGCCTTGCACCAGCTCTGGGATATCCTGAAACGTCACGTTGACAGCGAGGTCATCTACTTTCATATCTCCCAGATATCGGTCTCCAACAACGACTCCTGTATCGAGAATGAAGCCGACTGGTTCCTGGTCTTGTTTGGGTCTTGCCGTCACGTTGAAGACTAAGGTCTCGGTACGTTCTGTCGAGCTCCTTTCGCTAGGCGGTGGCACAAAGGCCGTCTCGCCTCCCGGAACATCAATTTCTGTGCCATTGACGAGTCGTACTAGACCATAATACGCCAGATCGAACTCGTGGGTATAGAAGACGTTTGTCTTGGTTTCTTGGTATTTGTTGCCGGCATGTTGCACCTTGAATGGAAGGATGACAGGCGGGACGATGACCGTAAATGGGGCCTCATCAACTACCTGGAAGCCTTTCTCCGCCAGTATTAGCATTCCAGCCCGCTTTCGAGAGCGGATCTGGTCTCACCTGCGCTCTCCTCCTCGACAGATCCCATGTCGGCAGTAATGTCAAACATGATGCGCTCCTCGTCGATGATGGCCCACGTTTCGCTGTTGCGCATGGCGTTTGCGTAGTCCTCAAGCTTCCCGTGGTATTTGCGCTCCTCCTCTTCTCGTGCATCAATGAATGTCTCGACGAGACCTGCAGGCTGCTGCACGCGCGGGCGGGACTTGTACGTTGGCTTGGCTGGCAGCTTGGCATGACGAAGCGGGTACTTGAGCGCAGCCCGCTCACGGTGGCGCAGACCGAGGGTCCACGATGCAATCCGGCAGTCTTCATGTCCCGCGGACGTCAGGTTGTTGACGAGGCGCACGTCGCCCTCAGTCAGCGCACCGCTGTGGAGAGAGGGTCAGTCCGGGGAAGATAGCCCGTCAGATTACGCTGCTCACGCATGCAGATCGTCGGCCCGCACCCAGAGGCGGATGTCGCAGGACGACGCCGAGCCCGTCCTGACGAGGAGCGAGAAGACGCCGATGAGGCAAAGGAGACGGCGCAGCATGACGGCTAACTGCAGGCGTGTGGGGAAGATAAAGATCGAGAAGCGGATTTGTAGCGCAGTAAGCCGGGAAGGCAGGTCACGTACCACAACTTCAACAGTTCCTGCTTCTTCACTAGCGCTTTCCCGCGGAAGCCCGATTAGCGCACAAGTTTCAGAGCGAAAATGCAGCACAATTAGATTAGACTAGAGTGCCCCCGATCAACTTTGACCTACGCAAAAGCACCTGCTACTCAAAGACTTGTGCAAAGACGATTCTGGCCACGATGCTCGTCTCAATGTGCCATCTTCGTAGCCATCGCCTGCTTCATCTCCGACCTGAGCACGTGATCATAGGCCCGTGCGTGTCCTGGGGGGGCCGTCAGACTTCAAAATCCCTGGGTGTCGGATTTAATCGGCTTTGGAGCAACAGCGCCGTGACCAGACTGACCAGCGACACCTAGCGCCTCACTGTGCAGCTGTGACGGTCCGAGTGCCGCTGCACAGACCGTTGAGACGATTCTGGTGGTATATCAAACTGCCTGCTTGCTAGCCACAAGAGTGTTAACATCCACGGCAGACTGTGCGAGGCGCGAGGATGCTTCGTCGGTTGCTATTGCGCGCTTCGGCCTTGCATCTGCGAGGCCATTCATCGCCAGCTAGAACATGATCCAATCGATCCGCTATGAAGCGCTGCAGTACGACGCGGGTGCTGCGACCCTTGATGCGATTCCATCGTCCCGCTCGTCAGTGAAGGAGAACGGCGCGAATCGTGCGGCCAAGATAAAAACCGGCGCCCAATCCACAACAGACTCTTGGTATAGGCGCCGCCATAAGAAGGAAGACAATGGGTGCAAAAAATGGCTCCATCGAGGTCATTGCGCCACAGCGTTGCGATGTACATGAGCAGGCTTGATTCGAGAACGCTCCTGGAACTGGGATTTTGAGTTGAGTAAATCAAACATTCATTCGTTTGGGCGGGTGGACACGGCCATGGCGATGGGATTGTCGTTGCAGTGTAATGTGATCTGTGAGGGCCTGTTGCTGTAGGCGAACAGATCCAGCTTGCAGATCGCCGCCGTACACTGGGGTTGTGAAAGTTCAGAATGTTTCTTGGCAAGATGTGCGCAGGTCGGGACGTTCTTTATGATTCCCTCTTCCATTTCTTCTGCCTTTCTGCCTCCATTGCCGCTGCAGAGAGCTTTGCAGATGAGTAGTAAATCATCGCGGTCAACGTCCAGGAAGCAGACATGGAGGACGATCTCCTCTGAGATGAGCCGCACGTCGCCGTTCAATTCGATATCGAACTCTGCCCCCGGACCTTCAACGAAAGCGTCCACCGAGAGACCATTTGCGAAGGGCTGTGTCAAAAACTCAAGCAGAGATGCTTGGCTGGCCTCGACATCGTTGTAGTCCTTTGTGATGACTACGTCCTTCATCTAGCTCGGAAACGGATGTGCGAAGTTAGCAAAAATAGGTGCATGCGGAAAAGAAGGAGATCAACCTACCTTTAATGGTCCCACGCGGAAAAGGTTGGCCTCTTCCTCTACCTGCGAGAGACTCAGTCGTATCACAGGAATGACCTCGGGGTGTTCCTCCACCTGCTCCAGGGGAGCCGATGGTGACCACCTCTCGGCCAACGGAACGATCTCCAGATCGAAGTCGCAACCGCACAAATTAAGCCTGCCGCGGACATCAAAACCGGCCGTTTTGTAGCTTCTTGTCCCGCTGATCCCTTCCAATGTCGGGCCATGGTCGAGACAATCGAAGCCGATCAAGCGCAGCGAGTAGCTAATCGCACCCCAGGGTGGGGCGTATGCGTTGATGGACACCTCTTCGGACTCAAAGATGAAACTGGAGACCCCAAGCTCTTCTGTCCAGCTCTGTGGCTCGGGCAGCAGGGCTGAGAATCGAGTGGTGTCACCTGAGTCTTGACGCAAGCCGAGCATGTACAAGACGCTCGTCGGGATCAGCGGGTTCCCCGGTGGAAGGCTGATGTTGCAGCTCAGTTCAAACCGATATCCTTCGAGTTCGTTTGTCTAGTAAAAGCGAGGGTAAGCCTTTCGGGTTGGACTGCTGCCAGAACGCCTACCAGACTCACAAAGGCACACTTAAACTCCAGTTGCTTCATCACAAGCTCACCCAGTGCTGTGTCTGCAAAGGCGGGAAACAGTTCGCCCATCTGGATGCCTGCTTCACCACCGGACTGGTCCAGCCTTTGAACTCCTATATCGATCTTGTCTGTTTGCGTCATACCTGCGCTGATCTTCGTCTCAAGATCGTCCCAGGACGCTTTGTTGTCATTTATGGCGAATATGTAGACGTAGTCCCCCGGCAGCCCGAACAGGCCTCCCCCGCTTGGGGCCTCATGCTCGGCCTGGTTTCCTACGCCTTCGTCGAATCTCAAAGCTTGAATGGAACCGACGTTCTGGAGAGATCGACAACCTCAGCATCTTGCCGATCGGCATCACTTGGGAGATCACTCACGGCCGAGTGTAAACGGTCGAGTTGGGTGCCAAGATTTTCTCGGCGACGCTCGATGGCTGCATCATTCCCTCGCCCGACCCCTTTTCGTGCGGGCCTCTTCTTCTTGTGCGTCAGGCCCTCCTGATCCAGGTCTTCAGAGTTGTCGTCGTCGTTGTCTTCGTCATCTCCCAGGGCCTCGTATTCATGTCCAGCCAAGGCTGCATCCTCACCATCTGTCTCGCCGCCTGCGTCCTCATTCGTGCTCTCTTCAGTCGCCCTCTCCAACTTCTGAGCCCTCTGTCTTGCTTTCGCTTCCAGTTTCTCATCCTTCCGGCTCTTGGAAGCAGGTGTTTGGGTATGCTGCTCGCCGTCCTCGCTGTTGTCCTCACTATGCTCCTGCTTTCGGGCCGCCTCGGTGTCCTCCTGCCCAAATTCCTCGTCCACGTTGTGGGCAAACAAAGAACCCCCTCCTCCCGCACCCGCCAGAGTGCTATCATCTCGCTTGACGTTCTTTCTTAGCGCCACCTCATCCTCCAATTTCTTTCCAGCTTCTCGTTTCGGGAATTCCATGGCGGGCGGTGTGGCCAAATGTGTACCTGTAGTGGCCGTAATGAAGGTAAGAGAGAGTAGGAGCGATGAGCTCCGCACTCGCGACTGGGCCAGGGTCTAGTTCAATGCTGGCAGCTTGGAGGCTGCGGGGACGCCGGCTCGTCAAGAAGAAAACTCGTAGCGTCGGACCCCAGTGCGAAACATTTGACGCTCTTTGAGTGATTCAATTCGCCCTGCTTACTGTGGCTTGGCAACGCATGTGTCTGGACGGCCTCGCAGTCTGGATCGAGGGCTGCACCCAAACCTTAATTTGTCAAACCTTAAGCCATGCAGCGTAGGGCAAGAGGCCAGTGGAGGCGGGATACGCCTCTCCTGCGCTGTGGTGCCGTGTCCAACCCATCCCGCGTCTTTTAAAAAGAAAAGCCACACCAGACCTCGGGCGCGCCATGCCTATAGCACACCCATGCGGCCTCGTCGTCGTGCGGACAGTGCAAGTCAGAAAGGAGCTTCTGAGTGGAGGAGAATGCGTGGTGGGCCTGTGCGTGTCTCCGCTGACACTGATACCAGCGCTGGTGTAGGCAGCCGTCGCTTCACGAAAATACCACCACCACGACCAGCAGCATTGATCAGCCGTGCTCGTGGCCAGCAAAGACAAGATGAAAAAGGCATCCAAGGTGGTCAATAGTGGGTCACAGCCAGACAGAAGGTAGCGCAAGACTGGGAGACTTATTTCTTATGAAAATGTGGACCATAGAGGATCCAATCTTGGAGATCCCCATGGCTGAGCCGGGCTCGCAGCCAAAGTGCGGGTGCAAGCCTGTGGGCAAGAAGAACCGGTATGATTGTCGTGCGTGGCTTTTGTGGAAACTGTGCCATTGGAGTGTCGCTGATTGGTTACCTATCTGACAGAGACTCACAAACAAAAGGTTCCGGTGCCTCTACTGCAAGGTGATTCTTCTTCTAGCAGGTGTTTTGCTTTGGCTGCTGCTGCTGCTGAGGCTGCCGTCTGCATGGTCACTCACATTTCTGCTGGCCCCGTCTTCAGGCTTTGTCCCCGTCGGCGCTGATGACGACGGAAGCGGATCCCAAGTGAAAACACTGACTCTTGGGGCGATCGACCTCGCTCGTCCGGAGAGCAACCAGATGAACAATCAGATTTTCCTCTTCAAGCAGTCCCGCAGCACTCCCGTATGGCAGACGGATCGGCTTGGTGGTGAAGTGAGCGGAGAGGTTGACGGGAAAAGAAAAATGTCAGCGCTGACGCAGTTTGCTCCTCTATTTACCCCTGTAGAAGCCAACCAAGGTCGGGCACACTTGCACATTTGAGGTGCTGCTGTATCGCGGCATCGCCAGGAGCCAAGCTGGCCAGCAGCCAAAAGCGCTTGAGAGCGAGTTGTTTGTCTACACGGGCAACTGCCAGCCGGTGATCATGTCGGACAAGTTCATGCGCTTTGAGGACCTTCGCGATCGGCTCTCGTACCAATCAGCAGCCAACCAGTATTCAGCCGACTTTGATCTTGTCCAGAACGCGCAGCAAAACGGAAAGGTAAGTTTTCGCCCAATGCGACGGTCAGGGGGATTGCACTTTTCGATTTCTTCGATTTCTGCAAGTCGCTCTTCGATTTGGCGCATCAACCCAGACTGACGTTCGCACTGCCGCTGGATGACCACATCGCAGCTGCCCTTTGAGCTCTGGGACCCTGACGGCAACCCTATCACGGGTCTCAAGGTGTATAAGCACTTCTTCGACCAAGCCAAGCTATGCGATCAAGCTTCAAAGGGTTTTGTCAGTGATATCAACAAGCAATTCCTAGCTTACTGCTGTGGGTAGATGCCGTCGATCCCACTCGTCTGTTTTTTTAATCCCCTCTCTCTTCGCATCTTCCTCCCGACCCACACACAGCACTTGCCGCGGCCGCAAGCAGGGCGCCTCCCAAGCCCTTTTCGGTCATGGCGCGCTTCTGGGACCTCAACTTCAGGCTCGAGGTAGGCATCACTCTTTCAGAAAACACCGCCATCGCAGAGGTCATCGGCGGCGGCAAGGGCGGCGGTGGCGCCAAAAAAGGCGGCGGCAAGAGCAGCAGAAAGGAGTTCTTGACGGCCAGGGCGGCACAGGCCTTGAAAGATCTCAAAGTGGCCGATCCGTCGCAGCTCGAGATTGTGCCGCGCAGGGAAAACGAGCATACCGAGCTCCTCGGCGCACACCCGTCCATGTTCTACCAGCTCTACGTGAGCAAGGCTGCTTTCAAGGAGCTACAGCGCGAGGGTCTGTACAAGCCCGAGCGAACATTCAAGCCGAACGCTGTTCAAGTCTGCAAGAACGCCCAGGAGACGCTGGTCCAGGGCAAGTCCAAGGACGACATGTATCCGGTGGTCACGTTCAAGGAGGCGGAAGTGGTCGATTCGACGATAACGCTCAGCAAGCTGCACAGTGCCAAGTCTGGCAGCCGCAAGACGGTAGATTCGCAGAATGCAGTCATGAATGGCATTGGGGCACCCGAGGTGAGCGCGGCGCCCAGATTCGCCAAGGCGCGCTTGTGCAGCTGCTGTTTGGGTCACCTCATTGACCAATTCGGCCCCCTTGCTCACAGATTGCCACACTGCTCTGGAAAGAACAAGATAAAGGTCAGCGGAGCGGGAAGCTGATTGCAGAGGTCAGTGTGTCGATCCTCGCGACGACTTTTACAGGGCCCTCACAGAATTACCATTACCCTCGCCCAGTGGCTCCACCGCTCTGCCTTCTCGTACGGCGGACTCAAGGGAACGCTGGCCTCCTCGCAGGTGCAGGAGAACCTCATCTTTGGAAGCTCGGAGACCAACACAATGATGATCAGGTGCGTCTAATCGTACCCCGTGTTACGGAACGCTCACTTCCCAGTCATGTAGATACGAGGAGTGGATCAAGGAGCTCGTCAGGACGGGGAACAACATGCGTCTGACTACCACCCTGCGGCGCTTTCCCAAGGTAGACAAGAAAGGCAAGTCGGGCTGGCTGTGCGAAAGGATGGAGTACGCGTGCACGCTTCGGACGACAAAAGCCGTGCTCCGCTCCGGGCTGACGGCCGCCGCCAATGTGGGTTTGACTTGTGCCCGCAACCCTGGCGACTGTGCGCTCACACTCACACTCTTCATCCCGCAAAAAAAGCCGGCCGTGCTGCAGATTTTTCGCCCTTTTGGCCGATGCTTCCCCAGCCGGGCCGAGATCAAGATCGACAAGTATGTCAATTCGCTCTTGCTGCCGCCCAAGGACGACGATTAGCCCCCCGTCCATGTCCTTCGGATGGTAGCAGCAGCATTACAATGACTATTATGTTAATCGCCGTGCAGAGCTGCGTGTTGACTAAATGAGAAGTTGTCCAGTTTTAGTGTGAAAGTGAGCAGACCCTCTGTTCGACCTGCTCCCACAGCTGGACTACCTCGTTGTACAGTACAAAGACAGTCCCGCGTTCGTGTGCCCGTGCGACGTCGTGCGTTTGCCGGACTTACTCTTCGCTCGTTCGAGCACTTCAAATCACATCGTCGGAGCACATCCACTTCTGCACGCTCCGCAGCGACCGGCAGGGCATCAAGACGACCTCGACGACCAAGCCGCTCGCAAAGAGCCTGCGACACGTGTCCCGGTCCACCGCTGTCTCGAGCCCGGCGATGGGTGCAAAGTCGACGAGTCCTCTTCCCGCTGCGTCGTCATCTCCCTCGGCATTGTTGCGCCCAAGGGGGAGCCCCGCCTCCCTGGCCTTGGCTTCCACACGGCTGGGGAGCGTGTCGCCCAGGAGGCGCATGGACTTCGTCTTCCTCTGCACCTCGTCAAACTCCACCGAGGCCGAGCTCTTCCAGCTGGTCGACTGGTTCAGCGTCGTGCCCGCCAGGGTGTCGTAGCCGTTGATCGACAGGGCGCTCGTCGCCGCGTACGAGCTCGAGTCAAAGTGCTCGGTGTACTCGACATCAAAGAGTAAGGCGGTCGCCTTCACCGTGAGCGACTTGCGCTCCTGGGTGCTGAGCGACGCCGCGCTGGTGGAGACCATCATGGCATTGTCGGCGCCCAGGTTGAAGCCAAAGAGGACGTAGTCGCCAAAGCGCTCTTCGAACTCGTCGATGCCGTCGCCGTACTTGAGTGCAAGGCCCGCCTCCTGGCTGAGCGCGGGGGCTGTGCGCATGAGGATGGACCCGCACCGGTAGCTGGACCGCACGGATGTCTTGATGTCCTGGTGGGAGAATAGACGTGGGTAGGTGAGCATTTATGGCATCCGACCAGCCAGTCTGCTCACATCGTTGTTGGTGGAGATGTTGCGGTCGTACTGGAGGGAGCCCGAGGCGTTGCAGAAGCCCAGATCGACGGTGGCCGAGAACCCGTAGCTCTCGTGGTCCTCTTTCACTACAGTCGACTGCGTCTTTGCGGACCTAAACGTGCCCGTGGTGCCGCCGTCGGCGCAGAGATAGACCATCTGCCCGCCCTGGCCGCAGGCAAGCGGTGCGCCGTGCTCGCCAGACCAGCCCTCGAACGGCGACCGCTTCGCCCAGGGGTCCGCGGTCCGGTACAGGCGCGAGTGGAACGTCTGGCCGGGGTAGACGTCCAGCCCGGGGCTCCATGGCACGGTGATGGGCAGCCGCTGGCGCGCCAGCTGCTGCAGCGTGGGCTTGCCGGAGCTGATCTCCTGGCCGTCCGCAAGGGCCTCCTTCAACAGCCTGTCGCCGTCCATCGTCGGTGGAGAGAGCGTGCGACGAGATATCTTCTCGGTGACGCACCTCCCACGATCCTAAGTGGAGGCGAGACTGGACCGGCAAGTGGGTCTGGGCAGCACCCTGTCCGGGCCACGCATGTTGCATCTCCTCGGGCCAGACGAACCTTAAATGTGCCTTTCCTGCAGGTACCGTACGTGAGCGGGAAGCGTGCTTAAACCAGCCAGTACGTGTGCAAGGCAAACCTTAAATTTCTGCCACAGTGGCTGGCTGCGTGTGCGCATCTGTCACGCATTGTTCTGGCCCTTGCCGGGGCTTGCGGGGCCAGCAGGGTCCTCCACAAGCCACAGGCCATGACAGCGACCTGGGTGCATGTCGAGCAGGCACGGCTTGACCACTCAAAGAATTGGATTGCCTGTCTCGCACTCATCGTCGCCACTAGCCCGTCACTGAGCCTAGCCTGAACACCAACCGCACGCCGCAGCATGTCGCTCCTGCTGGCGCCCTAGTGAGAGGATGTCGTGTGATGGATGATGTACACAGCCCTGACTGACGAGCGTGATTCCCCTTTCAGCAACAATGCCATGCGGCTGGGCCAGGGGTGAGTGTCCGTGCGTGGCCTGGCTTCTCACCCTCACCGCTCACGCCCTCGCTCTCTGTCGTCACCAGGTTCAACTCGTACACGCAGCAGATCTGCATCGACGACGCCGTCGTCGTGGACCCGGACCGGCCCGAGAATGTGCTCAACAATGGCGGCGTGACGATGAAGATGCTCGCGGAAAAGGCGGGCACGACGAGCGCGCTCCAGCGCATGCCCGGCCTGCTTGATGGATCGTCAGAGGGCGAGTCAAAGAAGGCGACGGCTGAGTCGGGTATGCCACGTGGGGCAGTACCGCCGCCGCAAAGGCAGATGGAGAGCGCGGCCAAAGAAGAGAAGCCGGCAGCCAGAGAAGAGAAGCCAGCGGCCAGAGAAGAGAAGCCAGCGGCCAGAGAAGAGAAGCCAGCAGCAAAGGCGGTCGACGGCAAGGAGGCAAGGGCGGCCGAGAAGAAGGCAAATCTGGACGCGGCGGCGAGCAAGTACGCCGAGGCCAAGTCGCTCAGCGAGATCCTGGCCCAGCTCGAGGCGCTCAAGGCCAAGGTGGACGCCAAGACGACGGCGGGCATCATGGATGTGCGCGCCAAGGCAAATGAAAAAGCACTCGCCTGGACACCGGACCAGGCCCGGGGCCCAGCGCAGTCGGTCGAGTACCAGGCCAAGTTTGTCAACAAGCTGTCGGAGATCACCGACGACATGCGCATCTCGGGCTCGCTCGCCATCAAGTACAACGGCATCGGCGGCTCGGGCTCGGGCATGTTCTTTGACGCCGAGTCGTTCTACGACAGCGATCTGGTGTACTACGTCTCGGTCAAGGTGACGAACCAGACGCTGTGCTTCAAGGACCCGCTCTCGTTCAACCCGCTGCGGTCGTGCATGGCCGACCAGACGCGCTTCAACGACGTCTTTGGCGACACCTTCATCTCGGGTTTCCTCGAGGGCGGCGAGTTCAACGCGATCGTCTGCGTAAAGATCCACAACACGGCCAAGAAGCGCGACATCGAGGCGGAAGCCAAAGTCGCCCTCACTGCGGGGCCCGTCGAGGTGTCGGCGCAGGGCAACGTGAAGCTGGCCGAGGAGAACATCAAGAACAACAGCCAGACGACGATCTTTGTGCGCTGGTGCGGTGGGGGAAACGTCAAGCCGTACGACGACGAGTGGACGATCGATACGGTGATGGCCGCCGCCGCGCGTTTTCCTGCGCTTGTGGGCCTCTACCCGCAGCGAACCTACGCGGTGCTCACGCGCTACGAGCTCCTGCGCTCGTTCCGCGAGCTGCGGCCGACGGCGCTGAGCCCGATGCGCTACGAGGTCGCGCAGCTGTACACGGGCATGCTCCTCGACGGCTTCATGGAGTACAAGTCGCTGGCGAAGCGCCTCGCGGCCGACATTGCCGACGTGCAGGCTGGCTTGAAGGTCATCATCCAGGGCGACGACGAAGGAGGGATGCCACTCTCGCGCACGGTGCGCGACGCCGGCCTCGCGCGCTTCTCGCCCGACATTCTCGGTCTCGATCGCGCGCGATCAGGCGTCAGAACGCAGATGAATGCCATTGCACGCGAGATTGATCTCCTCACCGCGCAGCCGCAGCTGGCCGTCGATCCACGCCGCCGCTCGCCCTTTGTGGGGCCCGGCTCGTTTGCCTGCCTGCTGCCCAGGGTGGAGCTCAAGGACAGCCGGCGGCGGACAACAGCCTCGCCGCTGGCGCTGAAGCCACTGGCACCCGTGGAGACCGCAGCAACACAGGACGACAAGACGGGTGAGGACGGGGCCGCGCGGCTGTTTGACCGGCGCAAGTGCCCCGGCGCGATCCTGGAGCCCGAGGAGCACGCCAGCCTGTCCGAGCTCGAGTTTCTCGGCGGCGACGACATCGGCCTGGCATACAAGGTGTCTGCACCGGTGGGCGACGTGGCCGGCGGCACGCTGTTCAACACCCTCGACATCTGCCAGGCCGACGCCACTGTCTCGGAGCTGGTGGCCGTGTGCGACGCGGCGAGCGGCGCGCTAGCCTCGCTCGTCGTCACCTTCCACAACGGCCTCTCGTGCACGTACGGCCGGCCAGTCACGCAGGCGCAGGTCGAGGGCTGCCCGCGCGAGCACCGCCTCGGGCCCATCGACCTCGACAGGGAGTCGGTCGTCAGCGTGTCTGTCCAGGTGGGCGAGCTCGCGGGCGCGAGCCGCGTCGTCGGCCTCGAGGTGCAGATCAGCCCCACGAAGAAGCTCAGCTGCCTGGCGCCACCGAGCAGCCGCACGGGCGAGCGCGTGCGGCTGCACGCCTTTGCCAACCTGGTCAAAGGGGGGTGTCTGGCCGGCTTCTGGGGCCGCACCGACAGCGATGCAGAGACGGGTGACCTGCTGCGACTGGCGCCCATCTGGGCCAGGCAGCCGGTGGCCAAAGCATCGGCAGGCAAAGGCGCTTCGGGCGCAGCGAGCAGCAGTGCCCTCGATGGCATCTCGCGCTCCGAGTGGGTGTCGATGAAGCAGGCAAAGACGATCAGCTACCCCAAGGGCAAGCGCGCCGGGCCGCCTGCGCAGCTCCTCTATGCGCCGCACTACCTCAAGCAGTCGGCAAAGGCAAGGGAAAATGCAGATGCGGCCTCGAACTCGAGTGGCCTCACCATGGGTGCTGCCATCAGCGAGGTGACCAGCCAGGGCTTTCTCCTGGCGACGCAGACGAGGGCCGAGGAGGACGCGCAGTTCACCCAGTGGATGGTGCCTGCCGAGATCGAGTCTGTGCTGGTCAACTGCGGCCTGGAGGCGTTTGCAGCGTCGTCGAATGCACAGCCATTCAGCCGCGAGGAGAGGCGCGTCGTCTTCCCCGCGAGCCATGCCAAGGACGAGCCCGTGGATGTGCAGTGCTACTTTGCAGGGATCAAGGCACGCAGCCTGAGCCCGGACGGGGCCGTGCTTCACCTCCGCGCGTCCGTTGTGGCGGGCTCCCTCACAGCGCGCGGATTCACGCTGCTGCTCGAGGCGCCAGAGGGGTGCAGCCCGCTGGCGATCGACGAGGCCCGCATCGGCTGGCTCTCGCACACGCGCTCCAAAGAAAAGGCCAACGCGTCGATCGTGAGCGGGACGGCGCTCTTCGACGACCTCAAGCAGCCATCTCGCTCAATCAAGCTGACTCCAAGCTTGGAGCGGGACCCAAGCGCGCGCTTCTGGGGCCTCAACGAGATCAGGGCCGGTCTCGCCAAGCCAATCAGCTTTACCACCTCTGTCCTGCCCTCGTCTAGCAAGTCGCAGCTCGACCTCGAGGCAGGGAACCTGGGCAGCGACGTCAGCCTCCTGGGCCTGAGCTGGATCCTCTGTGCATGACCCCTCTCTCAAGTGTAGCTATCTCATCAGGCAACACCGGCCAATGACTGAGCAATCGCACCAGGCAATGACTAGAGCAATGACGCCAGCCAATGACTAGAGCAATCGCACCACGCAGCGGCAGTAGCTAGTCATACCTCACGCAAGCGAAAGAGTGGAGCCAGACGGCCCTCACACCAGTTAGCTAGTCACTTCACATGCGAGGCGGTGGCTGTAGCTGAATAAGTCAGCAAGCAAGGCTCGCAGAGGCGCTCTTCTGCTCGGCCTGGACGACGTTGGACTGAATGTAACAAGGATCCCGTTGAAATGAACAAAACAGTGCATACATGCTGCCTCGGACAACTCGCTGTCTCGCTCACTTGCCCGCCCGCCCGCCTGCTCACACGCCCTGTGCCAGCCACTGGTCCGCGCGGTTCTTGCCGCCCCGCCAGCCGATGATGTCGTTGCCGTTACTGGGGTTGTCACCGAGCAGATCGACTGTGATCTGGCGGTCCCTCCTCAGCTGGAGCCTGTTGGTATGGATGGGCCGTGAGAAGCGTCAGTGGATGCCATGCAGGATGATGCGAGACTTTGTGCCCATGCACTCACTCGAACCGGCCATCGCCCACAGCGCTGATGACCCATTCGTCGCCGTCGTTGTTCATCCACAGCTCATACTGGTCGCCGCCCTTGTGCCCGCCAAGGCCAATGTACCACCACCGGCCATCGGCCGGCTGGGCGCACCGGATCCGGAAGGCATCCTCGGCGCTCTGGTCAAAGTACCACTTCTGGTTGTTGCCCCCGTGCGAGTCGTGGATGATGGGCCTCTTGCGTCCCTCGTGGTGGTCGATGACCTTTCCGTCGCTGTAGTGCAGCCGCACGGGGCTCCTGTTGATGAGGCTGTGTGGGTGTCATTTTAATTGCTGCTGTCGTCTCGCTGCCCCTTGTGCTGCGTTACTCACCTGCGCGCATCCAGCAGACGCTTGAGCTCGCCTGCTCTGCTCTGGCTACTGCTCAGCTCCCGCTCGGCCTGCTCCTTGGCCCGCGTCACGGCATCCAGGCTCGCCTGCACCGTGGCGATCTGGCCGTCCTTGGTGCTCGTCAGGCTGGCCAGCTGCGCACGTGCACCGTCCTCGAGGCTGGCCACGCCGGTCTTGCGCTGCTCCTCGGCCTGCGCGAGCTTGGCGGCGGCGTCCTGCCTCTCGCTGGCGAGCAGCTGTGCGGCCGCGGTGGACTCGGCCAGCCGTTGCGCCTCGGCCGCGGCCAGCTGGCCCCTGGCTGCCTCCTTCTTGGCCAGCAGCACGCGCGCCGCGCTGTCGGCCTCGTCCTCGCGCGCCTTCTTGGCCAGCGCGAGGAGCTCCTGCGCAGACGTGATCTCCTGCTGCAGCCGCTGGTGCTCGGCCTCGGCCGCCTGAGCTGCCGCCCTGCTGCGTGCCTCGAGCTCGGTGAGACGCTTGCGCAGCACCTGGGCCTCCTCGAGGCGCCGCTCGGCCAGCGCGTCCTTGGCCTGGGCCTCCTCGACCGCCTTGTTGGCCGGTCGTCGCGCATCGCTCGGCTGCTCGTTGGCCCATACCATGCCGAGGCGGAACACGGCGCGCTCGTCGTCGCTGCTCTGCGTGCTGCGGCCCCAGAAGCCAATCACGTAGCCGCGCTCCAGCGGCGACTCAAACGTGATGGTGCGCACCTTTTCAAACGCGCGGCCGGCGACGATGCGACGGCCAAAGCCAGCACGCCGCGTCGACGCCGACTGGGCCACGTCCGAATTGCCGTGGTTGGTGCACAGCTTCATCGACAGGATCGCCTCGCGGCCGCGCTCGACGGCCTCGGTGCCCAGCGTGAGCACGACCGACGTCACGCGCTCGCCCCTGGCCAGCTTGATCACCGCATTGTCCTCCTCCTCCTTGCTGCCCGCTGCATCCACGAGACCGCGCCGCCACGCGAGCCCGTTGGCGTAGCGGCACACGAGGCCGGCCATGACGCCCTCGTGCATCGTGACGGTGACCTGGCTGAGCAGGAAATCAGGCCGGACAAAGTCGAGGGCGCTAAACAGGTCGCCGGGGCACGGCACCGTGTCCTGGTTGCCGATGAGGGGCGTGAGCCGGAGCGTGTCCTCGATGCCCGGGTCGCGCGAGGCGAGGAACTTGTCGATGCTCGTCGCCTCGTCGGCAAACAGGCGCAGCTGGTAGTCGCCGCCGCCGCCGCCCTTGTTCTTCTCTTCTGGCTTGATGTAGCACAGCCGGCTTGCCTCGGTCATGTCGCCGTACACGTTGCCGCCGCTCGCCTGCTTTTGCGCGCCGTCCTGCTTGGCCCTTTGCTGCTCCTCGGACGCCTCGGCCGAGCTGATGAACATGCGCTCGCCCGTGAGTGGGGTCCCGCGCTTGGTGCTGCGCTGCGCCGGCTCGACGCTGGGCAGCAGCACCTCAAAGGCAAACGGCGCCAGGAAGGCCTCCCGCGGCTGGTCAATGACCAGATTCGGCTTGGCAGTCACCTCGTCGACGCGGTTGATGACCATGTTCATCTGCACGCGCACCGCACGCCGCGCATCGTCGAGGCCGTCGAGGGAGCTGGGGAACAGGCCGATGCGCTGCTGCTTTTCCACGTCGTCGAGCTCCTCCCAGCGCGCTAGCGTGAGCACGCGCGCTGCGTCGGCATCGCCCTCGCTCGCCTGCTTCTCGAGCATCGTGATCTGGCTCGACAGCTCCTTGGCCGCACCCACCAGCTCGGCCTTGGTGAACTTGAGCGTGTTGCTCTGCACATCGGCAATCAGCACCGTGAGGCGCGTGTAGATGGACTTGTACGTCATAAACACATCCAGCAGCTCGTTGGTGTACAGCGACGCATTCTCGTACGCAATCGGCGTCAGCTTCGGCGGCTTGAGCGCCTGGAAACTCCGCAGGTTCTCGTACTTTGTCAGGATCGCATACGTGCGCTGGGGCGACTCGGCCACATGGTCGGGGAACCGTGCGGCGGCCCGCGTCAGCGACTCAATCGTCCACGGCTCGTTGGGCGGCTTGATGACGCCGCCGCCCTGCCAGCTGACCTGGATCGTCGTCTCGGTGTTTAGCTCCAGGTTGGCCTTGGCGCTCTGGTACGCCACCTCGCCCGACACGTCGAAGCTCGTGTTGGCATACGTGATGGCGCCCTCGACCTTGATGTCGGTCGACTTGCTCTTGTTGAGCACCTTCATCGTCACCAAGGCACTCAGCTCGCCGCCCTCGAGGAAGCCAGAGATAAAACTGTCGCCAAACACCTTTCTAAACCCGCCAGCGTCGATGTTGGGCAGCGGGTTGTACTCCAGACAGTCGCGGAAGTTGATCGACTGGTTGATGACCTTGACGCTGATGTAGTAATTCAAGTCTGACGACTTGAACTTGTCCGTGTCGATAAACGAGCCCTTGCCCGAGCCGCCGATGCAGCCCTTCTGGATCGAAAGGGCGGCACTGATGCCGAGGTCGTTGGTGATCTCGCTCAGCTTGTCGATGAACTCGGCGCGGTAGATGACCGTCTGGCTGACACCGCTCGAGTTCTTGATGTCAAACACCATCGTCTTGCTTCCCTGCTTGCTCATGCCCGGCGCCGTCGTCTTGCGCCGCGTCCGCTCGGCCTCGAGGATCACCTTTTTGTGCATCTCGGCCATCTCGGCCAGGCTCAGCGCGCTCTTGTACTTGCCCGCCGCCGCGTCCATGGCCGGGTTGCGCACCCGTCGCGCCCGTGCCTTGTCCAGCTCGGCCCGCTTGCTCCGCAGCGCCTCCTGCTCCTTGACCAGCGCCTCGTGGCTCTTGACCTGCTGTGCCTCGGCCTCGGCGATGGCCTTTGCGACGCTTCCGCCCGGTTTCGGCTTGATCGCCGCCTGCTCTCCGTCAGCCTCGTCCTCGTCCCCGTCCTCGTCCCCGTCCTCGTTCTCGTCGTCGTGTTCGACGACACCCTCGCTTGTCGCTTCCCGCTGGCCCGTCGCCTCTGCCTTGGTCTCCCTTTTCTTTTCCTTTTCCTTTTCCTTCTCCTCTTTCGCCTCCTCCCTCTGCTTCCTGGCCTCGGCGGCCTCGTCCCGGGCACGGACCGTGTCGGCGGCGCGCTCCTTGTTGTCTCGGTCCTGCTTGGCCACGGCGAGGCGGCCCATGTCCAGCAGCACCTCGTCCTGCTTTGTCCACGCGCTCGACCGGCCCAGCACCGTGGCTGCGAGCCGCATCGTGTTGCCGTCGTTTGTCAGCACGTTTTCCGGCTGCTGCGGGCTGACGACGACGGCGTCGTCGATGCAGATCTCGTGCGTGTACGAGTTGAAGCTGTGGAGAGACCCGTCTGATTAGCCAGTGGCGATAGTCAGAGGATGGAGAGCGGTTACTGACCCCTGGCCAAGGCGCATGGCATTGTTGCTGTGAGGAAAGGGCGCGGTGAGCAACGTCGTTCACAAGCCTGGGAGGCAGCCTCACTCACTACGGCGCGAGAAGCAGGCCCATCTTGACGTCGCTCGCCTCCGATGGCGATGGTCGGGGGAAGGTGTGTCTTTGATGGTGTGTGTGAGTCGAACCGACTGCCAGAAAAGGGAGGCGACGACCAGGAAGGGGGGAAGCGTCTCGAGTGTGGCGCTGGGAGACGGGGTTAGAAGAGGCAAGCTGACGAGTCTAAGGAGGCAGGCGCGGCGCATCGGCAGGGTTGCCCTGCGCTGAGCCGGTGCGGGCAGCCATGCCTCATCTGGATGTGCAACGGCAGGCTGGACCCGATCAGGCCAAGCCACAGGGCGGACAACGGCCAGTCGTCTAGACTGGACAGGCTGCTCTTGCAGTAGTGGTGCGTGCGACGAACTCTAAATTCTGCGCGCGTCTGTCTCTTCTTTCGCCTGTGGGGTCCGGCCCCTCTTGCCAGCTAACTCTTCGCCTTGCCGCGTCTGCAACGAGCAAACTCTAAAACGCCACTCTTGTCTAACCCGGGCCCGGGCTCGACGAAGCTGCATGCATGGGCACCCAGAAGCAGGACTGGCGGGGCCTGCCTCACTACCACGGCTTGTTTGGCTGTTGGTAAAGCCGAGAGCACACCTGGGCTTCCCAATGCAAGTCCTCTTCACAGCCCGCATTGCTCCCTACAGCAGCACCCTTCTTGACGGCACCGCAAGCCGCCTGAAGCAGGTCTTGATCCCGATCACGTCCATCGCCTCTTCCCAGTCAAGAGTCCTGTCAACCACTTTCCCAAGAGTCAGACCGACGACAACTTCTCCAAGAGCCAGCGCCACGACTACCACCCCAACAGCCAGCGCCACGACGACTGGGTCTGGCCTGTAGCATTGTCCTGCGCGCGTCATGTCGCTCCTCCTGGCGCCCTAGTGAGTGTGTCTGGATGATGGCTTGCCTGCCACTCTCTCTGACCCGCGTCGAATCGCCCTTCTTCCCCAGCAACAATGCCATGCGCCTCGGCCAAGGGTGAGTGCGCCCGCTGCTCTTCTTCTTCTGACGCCCGCTGAGACGCGTCTCTCTCCCCCGCAGCTTCAACTCGTACACGCAGCAGATCTGCGTCGACGATGCCGTGCTCGTCAACCCGGAGCGGGCCGAGAATGTGCTGTCCAACGACGGCACGACGATGCGCATGCTCGCGGAGCGCATCCAGAAGGCGAGCGTGTGGCGCCAGATGCGCGAGTACGTCGTCGATGGCGAGCCGACGGACGTGAGCACCGAGCCGGCCAAGGGGGCCAAGGCGCTCGAGTCGGTCGATGAGCAGGAGCAGGAGCAGCAGGAAGAAGAGGAGGAAGAAGGGGAAGAAGAAGAAGAAGAGGAGGAGGCGTCGACTGCAGCTGCAGACAAACGCAAGGAGAAAGCGACGGCGACCCCGGCACCCGGCTCAGGTAGCCAGACTGCTGCAAAGGCGACGGAGAAGGCGACTGCAGAGATGAGCGCAGACGAAGTCGACAAGGAGCTCGCGTCGCTGGACAAGGAGAACAAAAAGGCGCGTACCGAGCGCAATGCGACGCTCGAAAAGGAGATTGAAGCGACGGCCAAGAAGCACATGAAGCTGGACAACGCCTCCGACTCGCTGGCCAAGTCCGACGGCGAGTGGAGCAAGACAAACACGGCGCGGGACCAGATCGCGGGGGGCAAGTCTATGCTGCACGACGACAAGAGCACGGCCGCCAGTGCCAAGCGCTGGTCCGTCGCCAAGAGCCGGGGCACGAGCCAGATTGTGACGTACAAGGCCGAGTTCATCGACAAGCTGAGCGAGATCAGCGACGACATGAACGTGAGCGCGGCGCTGGGCGTCAAGACCGACAGCTTTGCCCTCTCGGGCCGCGGCTCGTTTGTCAACACGGACAAGTTCTTTGACTCGGACATCCGCTTCTATCTCTCGGTGAAAGTCATCAACTCGAGCATCAACTTCAAGGACGCCCTCGAGTACAACCCCATCGCGTCCATCTCCGAGACCGACGAGGCGCACCTCGAGGTGTTTGGCGACTGTTTCGTCTCTGGCTTCCTCGAGGGCGGCGAGCTGAATGCCGTCGTGATGATCAAGGTGCTCAACGACGTCAAGAAGAGCGACATCAAGGCCGAGGCAAAGGTCGCGCTCACGACGAGCTTCAAGGCCGAGGCCGAGGGCAACCTGGCGCTGGCCAAGGCCAACATTGCCATGAACACCGAGACGACGATCCAGGTGAGCTGGTGCGGCGGCGCATCGATCAAGACCTACGACGAGGAGTGGAGCATCGACTCGCTCCTCGCCGCCGCCAACCGGTTCCCCTACCTCGTCGCCCAGTTCCCCCAGCGCACCCACGCCATCCTCACGCGCTACGACACGCTGCGCTCGTTTGTGCGCCTCCGCCCGCGCCCGCTGTCCAAGATTGGCTACGAGAACGCAGCCGTGTACACCAACACGCTCATGGACGCCTACCTCGAGTACAAGTCCCTGTACAAGCGCGTGTCCGCCCACATCAAGGACGTCCAGTCGGGCACCAAGCGCTTCCGCCAGCAGCCGGGTGATGGTGACGATGATGGTGATGGCGACGGCGGTGGCAGTTCTGCCGCCGCCCTGCCGCCATCACGCGCGCTGGTCAAGCTCGGCCTCAAGCCATTCCCGGCCTCGCTCGCCGGGCTGGAGCTCGCGCGGCGGACGATGCGCGCGCAGATGTCGGCCATCGTCAGCGAGGTCGACCTCATCACGCGCGACCCGGCCCAGGCGACGCTCGAGCGCGACGTCACATTCGCCGGCCCAGCCTCGTTTGCGAGCCTGCTGCCCGTCGTCGAGTACAAGGTGCGCCGGCTGCGCGCCAAGCCGCTCTCGGGCCAGCGCATCAACGACGACGTGAGCGTCGACAGCGCCAAGGCTGCCGTGCAGACGGCCGACTTGACGCCGCACCTGTTTGAGCCGCGCAAGACGGACCTGAAGCTGTCGAATGCCGAGGAGATCAAGATTGCCGAGCTGGAGCGCGACAACGTCGAGCTCGCCGAGACGACGCGGCTGACGGCGCCCCTCGGTGCGCCAAGCGTGGGCGAGGCCTTTTGCACGCTCGACCTCGACCTGCGCGATCCGGTGATAGTCGAGCTGTCCGTCGGCCTGCTGGACGACGACCTCTGCTGCCTGTCGTGCACCTACGCCAACGGGCTCACCGTCAGCCTCGGCGACGACATCGACGACGGCTACGTACTCGCCGAGGATGGCCAGCGGCCCGCGTCTGCTTCGTCGGACGAGCACGGCAACAAGGCACCAGTCAAGTGGCGCAAGACCCTCGACGGCCTCGGCCTCACGGGCGAGCTCATCACCTCGTGCGCCATCGAGGTCGACGCCGACAGCAGCGAGGACACGCAGAGCGTCGTGGGCGTCCACTTTGTCACGAACCGCGGCCGGAGTCTGTCGGTCGTCTACGGTGGCGACAAGACGGAGCTGTACGGGAAGCGCCAGTTCGAGAAGCCCATCTGCGACGGCTACGTGTCGGGCTTCTGGGGCCGCCAGCTGATGCCCCAAGAGCAGGATCAGGACGAAGAGCAGGAGACAGATGGCAAGACACGCCCAGGCACAATCACCCGGCTCGGGCTCGTGTGGACGCAGGCCGTGGCCAAGGACACCGTCTTCGACGAGGACACGCCCATGCCATGCCTGTGCTCCTCGCTCGCTGCACCGCGGTCCCTCATCGCGCCCGGCCAGGGCAGCCGAGGCTTTGGCCGCACGCTCCCCGGCATCCCCCAGCTCGTCTATGGCCCCACCGCGCTGACCTTCGACGCCGCCAGGACGCCCGGCCTGGACCTGCACGTGACCGCATACACCGACAAGCTCGCCTACCAGCTGGGCAGCGCGACCACAACGACAGCAGCAGCAGCAGCAGCAGCAGCAGCAGCAGCAGCAGCAGGAGATCACATGGCTGGCTGGATGGTCTTGCCCGAGCTGGAGGGCACCCATATCCAGTGCGGCACCCTGGCCCTGACGCCCGACGAGGCCCACCACCAGGGCACGGGAAGCGTGTCCTTTGAGCTTCCGTTCAAGCCAGGCGCAAAGCCGCCCGTCGTCATCTGCTGGCTCGTCGCATTCAGCCTCGACGACGACAACAAGGGTTCTCCGCAGCCCAGCAGCGGCACGACGGGCCTCCAGTCGTCGCCCTCGTCGTCGTCCTGGGTCGATGCCGGCGCGTCAGACGAGTGGATCATGCGCGTGGCCAGCACCGACGTCACGGCGCGCGGGTTCAAAGTCACCGTGGGCGATCCGAACGTGGCCTCGGACGGCAACCACACCCTGACACGCTTCGCCTCGGCCACGATTGGCTGGCTGGCCCACGACCGGGGCGGCGTCGACAAACAGGCGGCCGCAGACAAGCCCAAGGACAAGGGTACGGACACGAGCACCAAGGGCCCCGCAGCCACAGCCAGCGCCACCGACGCCAAGGACAGCAAACCGGCCGAGAGTGCTGGCAGTGAGGCGAAAGCGACCCCGGGACAGGCGGCGTCAGCAACTAAACAGCCTGAGCAAAAGGCACCGGCAGCAGACGAGCCGCAGCCAGCGGCAAGTGCGTCCAAGGACTTCCTCTTTGAAGACTGCCTCTTCTACGCCGGCAGCTGGGAGGGCACGCTGGATCCCAGGAAACCTACTCCCGTGCACATCGACCTGCCAGCCAAGTTTAGGCGCGCGCCCCGCAAGCACTTCTTTGGCTTCAACGAGCTGCGCGGCCGGGCAGGGCGCGCCGAGAGGCTGGCGTTGGAGTCCGTCGAGTCGACGAGCACCTCGCTCGACGTCAAGGTGGCCACGAGCGCCAGCAGAAAGGCAGGCCTCGTCTGGGTGTCTGCGCTGTAGCTCAATCCTCCGCTCAAGTCTCTCCATCTGCGCTCTAGTCACTCCGTCCATGCAGACAACCCCGTCAATGCAGCGATTCCCCATTGACAGTGTTCATAGCTACAATCATCGCAATAGCCAATTGATCTTCTTTACTACAATGCTCTACGCCCAGATCGGGCGCACCCTGGCCAGCCTGCCTGCTACTTCCAGGCTAAAGAAGCCCTTGAGATGCTTTCCTGACGGCGCTTTGAGATACACTGCCTTTCTGAGCGGCTCGTCGCGGCTGTTGGCCGTCTTGTCGCCGTTGAGAGAGAGCGTCCGGCCCCTGTTGGTGACCACAGCCAGGCCGTTTGGAGAATCCCCATCCCGCGGCCGCTGGACGCCCAGCTCGACGATCCTCTCGCCGGGCTCGAGGTCAACTTGCAGCAGATTCTCGTTCGTTGTGCCCATCGAGACACCGTGCACGCTCTGCAGGCGGCCGTACGATGTCCTGATCGCGCCCAGCCGCCGGTGTCCCTGTCGGTCGGTGTCTGGGACCGAGAACAGAAAGGACACGCTGGTGGGCCATCTCGCCTCGGGCCTGAGCAGGTCGGCCAGGTCGCAGTCGTTGAAGTGCTCGCACTGCTCGGGTGTATCAAGGAGCGATTGCACAGAGAGCAGCGGCTGGTCCACCGAGATGCCCCGGTATCGCTCCCTGGCCTTCGATGTCGCCAGCAGGGCCCGCTCGGTGTCGAGCAGGCCCTTTTCCACCAGTGGGCTCACCAGCGCAGCGGGCCGGCCAGTCGACGTCGCCGTCAGCTGCTCGGTCCTGGTGATGCCGTACTGTGCGTGCTGGCTGCTTCCCTGCGTTGCCCAGACGATGCCGAGCCGATGAATGCCTGCGATGCGCCGGACGACTTCCTCCTGCATCGGCTGTGATGGCCCTGTGCCCTTTGCCTCCACCTCAACCTCGATCTTCTTCTCCTCGTCAGCGCATCTGGCCAGGCCGTAGAAGCCCACGAGGGAGCCGTCGTCGAGTGGCGAGGGAAAAGCGTGCGTCTCCAACGAGGTGTACAGCCATCCGTCGAGGTACCGTGCGCGGTGGCCGTACCTGGTCTGTATGCGCGCCTGGGCCTCCATCAGCCTGCCCGTGCTCGTCTTGAGCCTCAGCGCCGTGACGGTCGGCTCCCGTTGCCGCTCGCCGTCCCTCGCTGCCGGCTGGCCCGTCTCGATCTCGGCTGCGACGATCGTCTCGCCCTGGCCAAAGTCGTCGAGCGCGTGGCGGGTGCATTCAGCCGTCTGTTCCGTGGCAGCCGCGCCTCGCTCGTTGCCTGCGGTATTTCCTCCCCCTCCTCCAGCCGCTGTTGGGCCTCTGTCGCTGCGCGAGACGAGCCCCTTGTGCCAGCACATGCCGTTGGCGTAGCCAATCGAGAGGCTTGCCAGCGATCCCCGCGCGATGCACGCCTCGATGGACGTGATCTGCAAGTGGCGGTGCGCGTAGTCGAGCCCAAAGAACGGCTGGCCGTCGTCCTTGGCGCCTGCGGGCCGGCTCAGTCGCACCTCGGGCGCCTTGCCGTCGTCGGCGGTGCTGCCCACCCCTGCGCCGATGGCTCGAGTCATCGCATCCACCTCGGCCGGCGTGAGCGCAAGCCCACTCGGCTCCTCCTCGCACAGCACGCCGACGTCAGACGACGACGACGACGACGAAGACGATGGCGCCCCTGGTGGCTTTGCATCCTTGCCGGCGTCCTTCTCGCTCGGGCCCGCGCCGATGCGCTTGCCCTTGAGCGGCATCGTCGACAGCCTGCCCGTCCGCGGATCCTCGACGGCCGGCAATCGCTGCCAGAAGCGGACAGGGCTCATGAAGTGCTCGCCCGGGTCTTCCCTTTCAGGATTAGTGAGCACGTCGGGAAACGCAGCCAGCAGGTCGATGCGGTCGACGATGGCGCCCAGCTGCGGCCGGATCTCGGCGCAGGCCTGCTCCAGCCCGTCGATGGATGCCTCAAAAGCGGGTGCGTCAGCAGCATCGACGGCGGCATCTACAGCAGCAGCAGCAGCAGCAGCAGCAGCAGGGTCGAACCGCCGCCGGAAGCGCTTGGCGCCCTGCTGGATGTCGCGCATGTCCTGCTGGATCTTGGCGAGCATCGCCTTGTAGTCGGCAAACGCCTCAGCCAGCTCGTCGGCATACAGGACCACGTTCTCGTACGCCAGCTTCGACAGGCCGGCCGGCTTGAGCGCCATGTAGCTCCGCAGCCGGTCGTACTTTGTCAGGATGGCGTGGGTGCGCTGCGGGCACTGGGCCACGTTCTGCGGGAACCGGCTGGCGGCACGCGCGAGCGACTCAATCGTCCAGCGCTCGCCCGGGTGCTTGATGTTGCCCCCGCCGGTCCAGGAGGCCGAGATGGCTGTCTCGGTGTTGAGCTTGAGGTTCGACTTGGCCATCTCAAACGACGCCTCGGCCTTGACGTCGATCATGCCGCTGCTGAACGCGACGCTGGCCGCCGCCTCGATGTCCGTCAGCCGGGCCGTGTCGAGGACCTTCATCGAGACGAGTGCGTTGAACTCGCCGCCCTCGAGGAAGCCGGATATAAAACAGTCGCCGTACACGGCCGCAAAGTTGGCCTCGGCCACGCGCGCACTCGCCGGCAGCGGGTTGAACTCGAGTGCGTCGCGGTGGTTGATCGACATGTTGCACACCTTGACGCTGATAAAGTAGTTGAGGTCCGAGTCCGCAAACCGGTCCGAGTCGATGAACGCGCCCCGGCCCGAGCCCGCCACGGTGCCGGCCTTGATCGAGAGGCTGGCGGAGATGCCCATGTCCTTGGTCACCTGGCTCAGGCTGTCGACGAACCGGCTGGTAAAGGTGACTGTCTGGCTGGGCCCGCCGACGTGGTCCACCTGCCACGAGCGGCGCATCTCGCCCGCCCGGTCGGTGACGGCGTCGTGCACCGCGTACGGCGGTGGGCTCGGCGCGGTGACCGTGTCGATGTCGTCGCTCTCGCTCTGCTGCCTCCTTGCCCGTGCGCGGATGAGCTCCTGCCGTGCAATCCTCTGCTCCGGGTCTGTCCAGGTTGATATGAGAGCAGGCCTCTGTACATTACCGACCCACACCCACCAAAGTGCTCCATGCCCGGCTCGTCGACGATGCGCTGTGCCGTGCCCTTGCTCGGCTTTTGTGCCATCTGGTCGCGCACCCGCCGCGCCTCGTCGATCCGTGCCTCGTCCACCAGCACCTCGTCCGACGCCGTCCAGAGGCTGGGCCCGCCGGCATCGAGGGCCATCGTGCGCATCGTCACGCCGTCGTTGGTCACAAAGTTCTCTGGCCGCTTCGGGCTCGTCACCACGGCCGAGTCGATGCAGATCTGCTGGGTGAACGAGTTGAAACTGGGAAAGACAAAAGGCAACATGCGAGTGGCGGACGAGAAAGATCAGCGAATGCAGTCCATCTCTTGCTTGTCGGCCAGCACACGCTCACCCTTGTCCAATGCGCATGGCATTGTTGCTGCGTGCAAGGGTTCAGCGGGGACATTCAGCAGCTGTCGCACTGTGAGTGGCAGGGCCGCAGACTCACTACGGGGCCAGCAGCAGGCTCATGGCGTGTACGTCTTGCCGAATGGTCGTGCGCACCCTGTGCTTGAGATCGGGCGGGTGTGAATGAGCCTCGGGATACACAACGAGGCACGTGCCGCTCAAGCGGCTCCAGCGACGGCCAAAAGACAGGAGTCAGCTGCCTACTCTGCGGAAATGGTCGCACTCACTGAACGGGGAGGCGCTTCTGCTCGAAAGGCGGCTCGCACGCACGCTGCGGCAGTCCGACATCGGGCAGAGCCACTCGAGAAGCAATGTGCGAGAATAAGGTTTGAGCCTCGCCCCCGGACCCTTTTTCTGGGTCGCTCGCTAAGGAGCAGACTAACGTTTGTGGCTTTGGATTGATTTACGTACGCGTCCGTCCCGCATCTGTGCAGCGCTGTGCCATTGTGTGTGATGCTGCTTGTCGGCATCCCCGGGTGGGACAAGTCTTTCCCACGTAAGGTCTTGTTGGTGGTCGACGTCTCTTGAAATACTCGGACGGGATGTCGTAAGCATGAAAACGGCATGAGTCGGCGTGCCTGCAGACCTTGACAGATGAGAAAGTATCTCGGCCGAACCGATGGTTTCCAATAATTGAGCGAAGCAAGGACCTTTGATTGGCACGATATGGCCCAGCCCTGCTGCTCCCCTAGCAGCTCTTGTTTGAATTTCCGCAACTGCCGCCGTCGAAGCCCGTAATCGAGTGCACGACGAAAGAAGGCAGCACTCGATTGATGAAGAAACCAAAATAAGCGTGTACAGTACAGTACAGTACAATTCAGTAGGCGTCGCGCTGGCCCGAGCGCAATCGCAAGTGCTCGGCCGAAGCTGTCGAAGCCGCCAAGAGTAGCATCGAGATTCCACGCTATCTGTTCCCGCACCATCATCCACTTCCGATGAGTGGTGGACACCACAAACATCGGGTAACAGAGAGGATGCCGTCCCTAACGATCCGCCCCGCCACAATAGCGGCCTCAGACGACGAGCTCCTTGTCGATTTCCAGGACTCGCAGATCTCGTGGCTCTCGACCGTGGGCAGCGGCGGTCAGTGGGGCACCAAGTCGGTCCGAGAAGCGAACCCAACCGCCTGCGAGAGAACCCGCTCTTGGGTCGAGAGGAGTGAGCAGAACGCGCAATGGAGCAGCGGTGACTGGTGCCGTGCCTTTGTGGCAGAGGCAGGCAGTGGCACTCCCGTAGCGGGCATGGTGCTCGATTCAACGGCGCCCGCATACGTTCACTCGGTCCTGCCCACGCAGGATGAGAGCGATCCGTTTGTCTATCTGGCCTATCTCATGTCGAATCGCCATGCTGGCGAGGAGCGCAAAGGCGCTGCGGCGGCACTCCTTGCTTCCGCCAAGGATCAGGTCCGCAGCGCCGGTCTGACCCGCCTATGTGTCGACTGTTGGAGGGGCAATGACCGGAAGCTGGTCCGGTGAGCCCCGGTCTTGCCTATGTGGACGGCCAAGCTTGGATGACTGATGCGCTTGATGCTCTCAAGGTACTACGAGAGCCAGGGGTTCAAGCCTCTTGGAGACTTTACCGTCACGGAAAAGAACGACTGGCCAGGCTGCGTGTTGGAGATGCGCCTTTGATGCTAACACGATCAAGCGATGATCAACGTGGCCAATACACTTGTCTTACAACGCGCTCGTGTAGTGTTTTCAACACTATATGCTCAGCTGATGGCGCAGTTGGGCCCGGGTCATTCGATGGTCCAAGGGCAGCGTGGGCGAGCTATATCGTCCCGGGTCGAGTTCTTCACTGGCGTATGACAACTCCCTTGGAAACCATCGGCTCGACTGAAGTGAGTCCCCAACTCCGTCGACGACTGAGGGCCTACCAAGCACTGTAATGTCTAATTTGTATCATCGACCCATCTGCTCAAGCGGGAAACCATCCGAGGTGCCAGTCATCGGGCCATCTGAGATTAGCGATATAAGCTTTCATCCAGTCGCGATTCATTGACGGGAAAGTGCTGTGGCTTTTTATGAAGAGGTTTTGTGGGGTCCGGGATGGGGGAAACGTTATTTCACCTCCGAAGTCTCACATAACGAAAAGTATTTCAATATCAGTCGGGAGTGTCGGATCGGGACTCATGCTAGTCGGCGAGCTCTTTGGAAACCCCACGATGGACGGGAATGGGCTGGGAGATGTAGAGAGTCTGGACCACCAAATAGATGCTATCTCTTTAGTAATTGTCCACTTACCCAGTCTCAGCCAGCCTCTTGTACGCCTCCAAAGACCTTATCAGCTTGCTGCTGTACACCCCTTGCTCCCATCTGCCACCCCGCCACCTCCTCCCCTCGCACGCTCATCGTTGACCATACACTGCTATGCTGGCCTTCTACGACGAAGAAGACCATGCCTTAGGGTCTACTAAAGGCAAAGATTGGGATGAGCTGGTCATTCGGACGATCCGCTTCCACCGCGAAGATGCTTTCGACAAGAGCGATATGCAGATCGAGGTAAGAAAAGTAGACGGCCGACCTGAAGACGGTCATGTCTACAACCACTACGTCCCTCATTCGCGCATCGTCCGCGCTCTTGTCCAGCACATATGCAACAAGAACATGACGCGCGCGCAGGCTTTCAAGTGGCTTGTTGGGGTCACAGATAAGCTCGGCCTCGAGCCTGACCCAATCCTGAAGCTGCAAACCCAGAAGATCGCGGGTCGCTATGACTTTGACGCCTATGTCGAATGGGCCTTTGACGCGTGCGCGGACTTCCACGAAACATCTTCTACGGTCCCGGCTCGGGCGACCACGGCGGCACCACTCTGGACTATCCCACGAGCGCCGTGCAGCTCACGCGTGTTCAACAGGCGGCCCTAAGACTTCGAAAGGCAATTGGAGACGAGCTGAGCCTCGAACCGACCGTAAAAATCGAGTCATACGAGAGGGCTTGGCCTGGACCCGAGGGACCCGAGGCAAGTGGCCGTATGTGGTACCGTACGCTCAGTGGACCCGTCATGCCAGAAAACGATGACGGATTCAGCTGGCAGTGAGCAGAATCTGCATGTCGCTTTCACTTTTATCTACTGACAATTCATGGCAATTCCAGCCACGAATGGCAACGCAAGAAGTAACAGCGGCCGTCAGATCCGTGCTAGGGCGGGCGCAAGCATGCGTGGAGCCCCAGCTGCCTTAGAGCAACACACACATGGGCTGGCTCGATGGCTTTTTGAGTCCTGCTATTGTATGTCGACCACACGCGGATCATTTGTTTGTCGAGCTTTGAAACTGGCTCTTTCGACGGCTTCGACGAAGTCAGCAGACGATCGCCGCCCGCACTACCGTCACAATTCCTGCTTCTCTTCCTCACCTTCACGTTCAGCCTATTGACCAATTCAATCACTGATCCATTTTGTCATTTGTACTATTGAGGGCATCTTTGCTCGACCCCTCCGTTGTGATCTGTTCCTTTTGACCGAGGTAACTTTCCTCAAATTCGTCGACGAGTGCGAGACTGCCGAGCCACCCTAATATCCAAGTTCGGATACCGCAAAGAGCACTCGCACAGACAGAGTGGTTCTCACCTCACTCTTCGTTGACAACACCAAGACCGGTCAAGGCGGTACAACGCCACCGACGCGAGCTCCGCGCGACCCACGTCAGCGGGCTCATATCACGCCGGGCCTAGCATTGTCATACCAGGAGGTTCGACAGAAACCCATGGATCGCCTTCACATCGCACAGGCCCCCGCTACTGAACAGCATGGCAACCCTCAGTTGCTCGTCCGAATTGCAGGTCGGTTTTCTTTCATGTCCTCGATCTCCGACTCGTTCTATCTCGGCCGTCTATCCCACAGGCAAACCATATGGCATAGTCCCAGTCATGCAGGGAGTCACTCTTTAGGCCGAAATGGAAGCCATTGCAAGCGCCAGAGTCCAATGGGGCAGTAGGCTATGTCCGATCAAGCGCGTAGGCTACACTGAGGAAGAAGAATACACCAGGAGGAGACTACAAGAGACCCTAAGTGACTCTTTAGACGGCATTGAATGCGTGGCAAACTTGATCTCCATGAGGCATTTGCTCACGTGTACAGTACATGTCAAACAACCGATGGACACACACTGTCACCAAGAAAAATCGCTCACGTTGGTGTCATTTGCCGTCATCTCGTTTATAGACGGTCACTAAGTCAAAGCCAAGTTATAGTGGCAAATACACAAGATATCGGTGACAGTCGGTGACAAGGGGACCCGGGAACCAAATATACAAGAAGCACATTTACGCGGGAGAAGGAACGCCATTCACCTCCTCCTCCAATTCATCGTTGTCGTCGTCGTCGTCGTCGTCTTCCTCGTGTTTGCTACTGTTGTTGTTTTTGTTAAGATTACTGTTGCTGTTGCTGCTGCTGTTGTTGTTCTCATCGCCCTCTCCCACCGGCTGGGCGCTCGGGCTCGCCGGCGGCTCGGACCTCGACCTCGGGAGAGGCGTGAATCGCGAAGAGGCGCCCTCGCTCGGCAGGGCGAAGCTGACATTTGGCTCAGGCTGGGCCTCGCGTCGAGCCGACTCGTGCTGCATGTACCCTTCGCACGACCAGAGGTGGCCGTCTCCGCCCGTCAGCTCGATCAGACCAGGAATTGGATACTGGACCACAGACACCTTCTGGGCCAGGCTAGACGAGGCTGCGCCTCTGTCCACCTCGCGCCGCCAGCCGCTGGACGATCCTGACGCGTTGTCGGCCGCGCGCTGCTTGTCGGCGGCCCTGGTCGACGTGCTCGCCTGAGAGTAGCGGAGCCGCTGGACCCAGGCCAGGCTCGTGGGCGATCCGAAGGCGTCTTCGAACCACGGGCAGTGCTCGTCGTCGTCGTCGTCGTCATCGTCGTCGTCATCTCCTTCTTCGTCGCCATCGTGACTGTCCTCCACTCGGACCTCTTCTAGGCGCAGATCCTCGGCCATGTTCCAGATGGTCGTAGGTCCGACCTCGCGCCAGGCTGCCGAAGTCGACGAGGCGTCTCCCGTCTAGCAAGCAAGACACGTGTCAGCGTAACCTAGTCAGTCAATGGCCACGATGCTACTCACCGCAACGATGATCTCGATTGCCTCCTGCATGTAGCCACGACGCGACCGCCTTCGCGGCTGCGACTCCTGTAGTGGGTGACATACATCAGCACAAGCGTAGATAAGGAGCGCCCAGAGTCTCGTCTTTGAGCGCACGCGCTGCCCCCAGGGTCCCTCGCACGCTGGGAGGCTCGTCGAGGCATATAGAGTACTCACATACAGCTCAAAGAGCTCTTGATCTTCCATCGACAGCTCAGCAAAAAGCCTTCTGCCTTCGGCGAGATGCGCCGCATATGCAGCCAGCCGTCCTGCCCTCTCCTCTGCCGCCGTAGCCGCCGCCGTAGTCGTCGTCGTCGCCTGCTGCTGGTCCTGCTCCTGTTCCTGTTGTTCCTGCTCTTGCTCTTGCTCTTGCTCCTGTTGCTGTTCCTGTGCCCGAGGGCTCAGCTCCATGGTCAGTTCTGGGATTTCGGGTGCGATCATTCGAGGGACCGCCTCTGTGGCTGGCTGCACACGACGGGGGCGGTGTATCTCATACCAGCGACGCGAAGGGGCGCGTAGGCCTCCGGGGACGGTGAGCGACTGTGGTATGAAGGGGTTAGCGGCCAGCTCCACCCTCGGAGTGCGGGCAGCACTGTTTAGGCGGCGGGTCCTCTCCGGGTCCCTAAAGTCTTCGGGCAGCAAGATCCTGAGATTGAGGCCTGCCGCTGGATTCGTCACTACGGGCTCGTCTATGGGCCCATCCACGGGCCCGTCTACGTCGATGCCATTCACGTCGATGCGGTCCTCATCGCTGCCGTTCACATCAACATGGTCCACCTCGATGCCGTTGACATCGATACGGTCCACGTCGATGCCATTGACATCGATGCGGTCCTCGTCGCTGCCGTCCACGTCGATGCCGTTCACATCGTTGCTGTCGTGGAACGCGCCCTGCAGGCTTGTGGGGCTTGTTGGCGCACTCGTTGCCGCCTCAGGGATCTCGTCCTCGTGGCTCACGCTGCCATTGAGCAGGATGGGCTCGTCGTGGTCCATGACCGTCGTGCTGAGCTGGGCAGACTCTCCCTGGTCCATGGTGGTTGTGTCTGAAGAGACGACGCCTGCGAGAGGCCCGCGCCACGTCAGCGTTGTGGCCTACGCCCGATCAAACCCCCCCCCCCCCTCCTCCCCTCACAGAGCCAGCCTCCGACGCAAGACTCCGACCATCTGAATGGCTGTGCGGCGCACGGCCCTTTTGAGAGGCCCTGGGAGGGTGCAGTGTTTTGAGCGCCGCGTCCAACGCCGCGGGCGGCCACGGCCTCAGCACTGCTGCCTGTTTGCCAATGTATATGAAAAGGGGAGTCGGTCATCTCGGTGAAAACATAGCAGGCGCCACATTATCGCTTGGGAACAGGGGAAAGGAGAAGGGTCAGCCTGGTGTGTTTTGAGGGGTTTTCTTCTTGTGTTTTGTTTCGCCGCACTCCGCTCTTTTCATCTCCAGGAACAAAAGGAACAAAGACCGTTCGAGTGGCCCATCTTACTGCCATTGAAGGGTACAACGACGAGAAAGAGTTCCTTCTCTGTGCGAGCCCCTTCTCTGTGCGACTTCCTCCTCTCTGCTGTTCGACGGGCAAGAGTCTTACCTACGGCCCCGGGAAGAAAACAGCATGCTATTCGACTAGGAACGCGAATGACGGACCGAGCTGAGGAAACACACAAAAATAGAAAGCAGTGCTCAGGCAAAGGTCCGCTCCGCCTGCGCCCTACCCGCAGCCATCGCCGCCCTTTAATTATTCCGCCCGCTTTTGTCATGGCGGGGGCAGCCGCCACGTAGACCTGTGTCTCCAATTCGTACAAGGAGGCCATTGGCTCCTCATCGTGGGACTCTCAAGTGCATTGTGCGCAGTCTCATTTGCTGTCCCCCTGTAGTGTACATTTGTGAACGTCTTTAAGGCTTCATCAGAAGCAGACTCCGACAGACCGACCATCGGCCGAGAGGACAGGTGAGAAGGGCCGCGGCAGGAGGCACTGCCATCACGATAATCAGGGTGGGAGCACGCCGGAGTAATAGCGTCAGTGACCTTCGGAGGGGATGTGTAAGCTCATCATACTCTGGAGGCGGCTCCGTTCCTGGCCCACTTCCGGCCAGCCATCGCCGATGCGAGCGAGCACATGAGGTAACTTGTGGGGCAGCAGGCCAACCCTTCTCGCCCAGCAAGCCGCCGAACAAGCCGATGGTGTCATCCCACCAACACCACCGCTCCCTCATTCGGAGCCGGAATCACACTCACTCCTGATAGCTTGACTGGCCTCGCCTGTACAAGGCTGTTTCATCACTGGCTTCCGCACGACTGACCGAGCTTGTCCGACGGCAACAAAGAAGTGCAGAGGAGGTCGCTTGTCACACCTTCTACAGTCACAAAACCTCAGCCCTCGGAAGTCGGATTGTTAGCCCTTCCACGTCATCACTTCACCCAGGCAGGCACGGCGTCCGCGAAGCTGTGCCACTGCTCAGGCCATCGAGATAGGAATGGGGAGGATACTGGGAGGTATATCAGTCCCAGCTGCCGTTCTGGTGGGCCATCCGAGGGAGCGAGTGCAGCGCTGCTCGTGGGCTTGGTTGCTGGGCAGCACAAGCGAGATCAGAAAAAAAGGCACGTGCAGATTTAGAGAGGGCCAGAGCGGTAAAGGGGGTCCGTGCTGCCCTAGACCCGAGCGCTTCACGCTTTGGCCACGCGCCAGGCGATCTTCTCGCCTAGACGAATGATGCCTGCTCGACCGGACTGCCTGGTGGTACTGCTCTCTGGTCGTAACCTGTGCGCGCACCTTAATGCAATTAAGGCTGACTTTAGCTTCGCTTTTCTGCCCTTAGGCGCAGCGTGTGCTGCAGGTTCATTAGACTAAGTGGGGCCTTTTTAATCGCGCGTGGCCCTGTTGCCTAGCTGCACTCCACGTGGCCCCCTGGCCCTGTGCGTCGGCTCCATGGCATCGTATTCTCCCCCTCCATAAGGACGATGCTCTTCAGTGCTCGACATGCAAGATCATCTTCGGTGCGCATGGACTGCAGCACTCTCTTTGAAAAAGTTAGATTGCTGTCTCAGCCTGAATCCAGGTTACAACACAGTGTAAGAATGACAATGACGAGGCGAGACAATGTCGAAGGGAAGCACGAGCTAAAGAGGGCAGGCCATGAAGCTTCTGGCGCGAGAGCTTAGGGCACAGCATTGCTGTCTCGTGGAGTGCTCTCGCCGCAGTGACTGTGCATCGAGAAGAGTGCATCGTCGCTGATCACCATCACCATCTGAGTGAGAACTGGCGCGAGTTACTCGCAGGACGGCTCTGTCGACTCGCTTCATCTATGAGCTTCGCTTACTCCTGATGGCCGCATACTCTCGTCGACCGCTGGGTACTTCTGGAAGAGTAGAGTAAAGTCTTTCTGACGCCATATTATTCCGTGGATTGTGCTCACATCGGCCTATCATCCGTGCTACGCCTCTTTTTTTCACCGCCGCTGGCGTTGCCTGCCGTCGTCCGCCTCTGTCTTCCACAGCCATTCGATCGCTGTTGTCGCTTGGGTGGCCGCCTATTTCCTGAATACCGTCGATTTATTAGGATCATAAAGTCTTTGCTCAAAGGCGGAGAAGCTATTGCGAATGGGGACCATATCTCCGGGGCACGAAAGAGTCCTGAGGTCATCGCCGTGTTGAGAAGCACGCCGTTCGCCTAGATTGCAATACAATCATCACGCTGCGACTTTTGCCTGCAGTGTGTTCGTGAGAGACGGATAGCCATACACCCAGCCATCAGCCCTGAGCAACAAGATAAAGAGGCCATCAAAGAGCCATATGATTTCGCCTCACTACCAAGAAGTATAAAGAATATAGTCAATGGTGGACACCAAATGGGTCCATCACGAGGTCACGGGAGCGAGAGAGGGAAGAGGGAATATGTTCAAGGAGGACATAATGGGGTCGCGGCAAGGTCACAGAGGGGAGTGAGTAGAGAAATATGTTCAAGGCGACAGCTGACTTAGTTTGACCCTCGCGCACACAGCACATACTGTTCGTTGAAAGAAAGTCAGACAAGTCGCTCGAGTGGACGGTATCCCAGCTCAACTCACCGTCCCTGTCTTTCGTCGACAGGGCGCCTTTTCCTTCGCCATGCGTACTCGACCTGCTACTGATGATGAGCCGGGTCGAGGTCGAGCAAGCAGAAGACATCTAAATCCTTGCAGCGTGCTCGACCAGGCGAGCATGAGCAAGTCCGTGGGCCTCGACAGCGGCCTCGACGTGCTCCTCGGCGCTCTCGATGGCTTGTTCGTTGCGGAAACGCTGCTGTTCGAGGTACTGGCGATGGTTGTTGATATTGTTGCACTTGGCTTCAGCATTGCGGTGCTGTTCGTCGAGGCGAAGGCACTCGTGGCTGTGGCGAAGACATTCTTCCAGGGCCAGGCGATAACGCTTGTAGCAGAGCTCGATGCGTCCCCTCTCAGCGCGGTGATACTCGTCAGCTTTGCGCAGGTAGTCGTCCTCTGCACGACGGTGGACCGTGATGGACGCAAGCTTCTCCTCCCAGAGGCGCGCACACTCCTGGTTGGCGGCGTTCTGCTCCTCGGTGGCATGGGCAGCCTGACGTAGAAGAGAGGTACGATGATTCTGGAGGAACTCGAGCGTCGAGCGTGCATCGCGCAGATCGTCGTTGCAGGAGAGAACGGCGACGAGGAGAGCAGTGCCCTCAACGTTCAAGCGGCCAGGCTTCGAAAGACTGTCAATAAAGCCTCGCGCTGTGTGGTTCCCCACCCGACTCACCAGTAAACAGCTCAAGCCACTGCCGTCGTTATCAAAGGTGTTCACGACACCACCACTGCTGTTGTCAGTGCCGTTGGTAGTCACGACACCGTCACTGCCGTTGCCATTGGCATTGGTAGCCAGGATACTACCACTGCTGTCGTCGTTGTCGTTGTTATTTACGACGATGCTACTGTCGTTGTCGTTGGTATTGGTAGTCATGATGCGGTCGTCGTTGCCACTGGTGTCCGCGGCACTGCTCTTGCCATCATCGGCGTTGCCACTGTCGCTCATGGTATTCTCGCTGCTCTTGTCGTGATCGTCATTGACCACGTTGTCATTGATGCCGTCGTCGTCAACGGAGGAAGGATTCGTCTCTGAGCAGCTTCAGTCAGTCGAGACAGCATTCTCCGTCCGAGGCTTGACTCACCCATGACATGGCTGGACTCAGAGGGCTGCTCAGCAGAGGAGGGGCCTTGTTCGAGCGCGGGCAAAGCAGAAGCGAGGCCGCGAGCGTCTGGCGACAACGAGGCAGACATGAGTGTGGGAGAACGTCGACTAGACGTCGATGTGTCAGCAAACGAGAGGATAGAGGGGCTATTAAGACAGAACGGCAAGGTTGACTGAGGCCGTGGTGGTGATGAGGAAAAAGGGAGGAGGGGTGTCGCCACACAATCACTTCATGGACACCGCCGCCATGCGCGCGATCGTGGTCGCCCTGTCGGAGAATCTCTTCTCGCCGAGCGGGGCGGACGGCCAATGCTTCAGCCGTCTGGACAAGAAATGAAAATTGAGCACGGAAGGGGAAGGAAAGTAGAGCACGGAAGAAAGTTTGTATTGAATGGAATGAAGATTTGGGCTGAGCACAACAGGGCACATCGATCGAGCATGGGTCCGAATAAGACATGGGTGAAAAATGGAAAGGAAGTACGAAAGGGGCAGCCAAGAAGAGCGAAGGGAGGAACTATACGACAGGGGTTTTGTTGTTGTGGACGATGGTATTGTTGTTGCTGTCGTCAACATCGTCGCTGACGCTGCTCTTGTCCTTCTCGTCGTCATCGCCGTCCTTGTCGCAAATTTCGTCCTGACAAGTGCTGTTGCCTTCGCCAACGCGAGGGGCTGAAGTCACCAGGGAGGTGGCACTTGCTCGCAAGGCCCGCTCATTCTCTAGCCACTGGGTGATGTAAGCGTCGAGATCCCAGGCAATAGCACGAGGCGGTGTGGTTGTGGCGTCTTCGTTTATCCCTGCATCCACTTGCTCAGCATCGCCCACGGGAGTCCCTGGCGTCTCCAGCGTGGCTGGCGCACTGCGTGCGATCAAGGCGTGAAACACGGTGCCTGTATTGCATGTATTGATGACGTTGGCCGCTTGCGACCTCTGTGAACATGAAGCTGGATCATGGACCCTCGTCTGAGTCGCTGGCTCTTGAGCCTCGTTGATCCTGTTCCTTTCAGCCTGCCTGACCGAGGGTACCTCGTAACTTGCGCAGCGTTCACCAACCTCGTCGAGCGACCTGCACTGACGAACAGGCGTTGTCGTGGTGACTGGATCGTCTTCTAGTGTCTCCTCTTGAGAAGTGGCGTTCGATTGAGAGTCTGCGTAGGGACGGAAGTGCCGAAGGTCGGGCACAGGGGGAAGATTGCTGGGAATGGGCCGGAAGTTGTGCGAGGTTGCAGGCGGTTTCATTGGTGGTGGTGGAAGACGGCCAAGCTGCCCGCGGTGGCGCGTGGACATCGGACACACCCTCATCCGTCCCACACGTGAGCGCTTTCGTTACCGCCATGGCCAGTCACATGCGCAGTGACAACCAGCGAGTCATACAAAAGCCAGCTGGAGGCATGCACAGGCTTCAATTGAAATCATGAGAAAGTGGCGTAGGCCAATAGGAGGTGGTGAAGGGAAAAAATATTTACTGTTGTGATGCAGGCATGCATTGGAGAGGGCCCTTCTTCGTCTTGGCCTAAGCGAGATGTCGTTTCACAGTCCGCACGATGACTGTCCCCTCTGACTGTCTCATCATAATTACCTTCGTCGTCGTCATCACCCTAGTCCTTGTTTCCTCACCTTCCACAGTCATGCACTGATGGCTTGTCGACAATCACGCGCTCGTGCCTTGAATTCAGCCTCGGCCAATGCCACGTCGCTGTCGCCGTTCTTCTTGCCAGATTGCAGAGGGAGGGAGATCCAGTAGTGGGCATGGCAGATCGGCACTGCAGGACCACGACGGGCTCGATTGTGTAGGAGAGATGTAATTGCAGTTGGCAAGGAGAACCTTGTCGACCTGCTGTTGCCGCTCGTGACCAAGAGCTCTTCGTAGAGATGAGATTCGCCCTCCACGGCATTGTTTCCTGGCTGTATCAGGACGGCAGCACTTTCCCAATTGACCTGTCCGTTATTCATATCGTCTTTCGAGCTGGTAGAGGACTCTGTCCCAATCAAAGACTGACAAGCCAGCAAACCCACTTTTCAGGCGCCTCGATTTTCAATTCTTCGTAAATCTTGCTTTGATGGCCAAGGTGCCCAAGACGACAACATCAGAATCGTCTGGGACGGCGTGGGCGACGGCTGATCTGGCCCGTCTTCGTCGGCTTCATCAGCTGTCTTACGCAGCCTTCAGCTGGCTCGTCATCTCCCCTCTGACCCGTCGGCCTTACTAAATCCCCAGCAAGTCGAAGCTGTTTCCCAAGCCGGTCGTCGATGCTGGCAAATTGGCTGGAGACGGCATCTTCACCAGCTTGTCTTGGGATGGGAGACGTTGATGCCTATCTCATCCCGAGGCGGTCGCGGAACTGAGCAATTTGTTCGAGGTTCTGGATCTGATAGAGGAGGATGCTGCACTCATATAGCAGCTCCCGGAAGCGGTCGGCGTTGTGATCGAGCGTCCCGTCCTCTTGCCTTTGGCGTGCCTCGTAGAAGCGTTGGCGTACCTCGTTGAAACGTTGACGCAGAGAAACAATGGTCTCCGTCTGCGCGCCTTGGCAATGCTCTGCGAGTGCTTGCCAGAGGTCGCTGCCCTTCTCTGACCGCTCACGCACGGCCTGCACGACTGACTGAAGCTCGAGACCGACGGTGGGCGTGATCAAGGTGCCGAGCTGGAGGTCGAGGGTCTCGGCGTAGTCGGGATGTCCACTGTGAATGTCGCGCAGGAGGATACCAATGGCCCGGGGATGAGGCACCAGCAGTCGCTGGATCGTCGCTGACCAGGTGGCCCAGGTCTGTCGTGTGAGACGAGCGTCGACCTTGAGCTCTTCGAGGATCCAGAACATGGGGCCCTCGGCGTCGCCGTCGCGTGCGCTGGTGCTGTGTAGTGCCTTTACGTCAGTGCCATCGTCGTCTTCGTCTGTCGATCTGACTTACCTCATCTCCCCCTTCCGGACAAGGATATGGGCCCATACGAAGGCCAGAGGGTAGTTGACGGGTGCTCGTCTGACGCGGCCTTCGCCGTGCGCGGCCTCGGTGGCCAGACGCACCTCTTCTTCGAGGACAATGTCGTCGAGGGCATGCGCAATCGCCATGGTCCGTCGGATTTCGTCTTCATTGAGCTCTGCCTGCCATCCGTCGCGGGTGAAGAGGAGGACAAAGGCACTCTCACGCTCGCTCGCTGGCAGAGTCGGATCATTGTAGGCCGAGTACAGCGCGGCGGCAGACATGCGTGGGGTGGAAGGCTCGTCGTCGGTGTCGGTGTCGTTGTCGACGTCCTCCTCGAAGAAGGTGTGCGGCTCCGCTGTCTCACGACGACGAAGCGAGGCGACGCTTGGTTCGATGTCAGCCGCTGGATCGACTGGTCCTGGCATGTCTCGTAGGTGGTGTTGAGGTTATCTTGACGTTGAGGCAGCGGGGGGCGCGGACGATGGCTCCGCTTTATAGACTTGCTACGACGTGGCCAATGCAATTGTAAGGGGCGGCGTCCGCAAGAATGTAGCTGCGACTCTCTCACCAGCAATGAAGAGGGGGAAGAAAAAAATACGCAGAGTTTCGCCGTCATGTCTACTCCGCGTGGCCGGTGACGGGAGGATAGCGGAGTGTGAAGAAACAAACATGGGCATCTCGGCATCTCACAGGGTGCTGTTCGATGGAGTAAAACTAGTATTTTGAGAAGGACGAATAAACAGAGCTTGCTACATGGGGGAAGGGGCAGCAGCAGCAAGGTCTGTCTGAGTCTAGGGCTGACGTAGAGGGCTGAATTTTGTCGGCTGAAGAGAGCTACGTGCTCTTCCGGGGCGTCATTGTGGGCAACGAGGCCTTTGTGATGCAGAGCTCACGTGAGTAGATGAGAAGGAGCCCACAGCCCCGGCTGACAAGGACTGGCCAACACACTCTGGAGCGGTGGGGTGCTGCGAGTCAAAGCTTTCTCCCTTTTGTCGCTCTCCTCTCTTGGTTGCGGTGAGCAAGCTCGACATTGGATTCGACGGGCGCGCCTCGTGTAAAAGGCTTCCCCATATTGCATGCTTCCGCTGCCATCGTCGTCGAAGAGCATGTGTGGGTCATGTCGAATCCATGGCACACAGTCAAGCAGGGCGTGACTTCGAGCTCGCACGCCAAACAGCGTCTCGAGGCGGTACCAGACGCAAAGAATGCGAGGGCCCAGAGCCATCGGTTCCTCTTTTTCAATGTCAACGCTTTCGGATCCGGGTCGAGGAGGCGGCTGGATGCGACGCCAGGTGGCCTTGTGAAACGCGACGGGCCCAGCAGCGAGGAGTCGAGGGATGGTGTCGCCCTGGAACTCGTGCAGGTCCGTGGAGGCGCCCAGCTCGCTCTGCTGACCTTCGAGGCACCGGCGTTAGATGGCGCACTCGTGCAGCAAGCCCTTGCCCAGCCTTGACTCGAGCGGGCTCATTGTCGCATCGGCCGGTGTCCGCTCACCACCGCGGTCTCCCTTGGTGCAGACGACCTCGTTGGTCTCGGCAATGGCCTCCTCCCAGACTTGGCCAAAGACGGCGCGGTCGTCACTCTTGCTGTCCTTGCGCCATCGGTGGATGATCTCATGGTCCGTCTCGATCCGCAGCTGTCTAATGCTGAGGGAGACGGCCACCCAAAGCAGAGAATTTCCTCGCCAGCGCTTCAGCCCATCTAATAGAGGAGTGTTAGCTGCAACGTAGTGTCTTTTTCTTGGCTCACGAGGGCGCTCAAATCAAGCATCAGTGATGATGTTTTGAGTCCACTTGAATTGGGCCATGTCATGGCATTGAGCAGGTGTCCAAGAATGACGACTCGGCCTGAAGTGTCTCGCTGTCGTCTGTGATCGTCGTCTGTGATCGAGGATGTTCGTTATTGATTGAAAAGGGAGCTACCTGTGTACTGTACTGTACTGTACTGTACTGTACAGTACAGTACAATTTTAAGAATTGTTTACGCCCGTATTATCAGAGTATGGTAATACCGTTATGGCTATACATCTTCTATATGCAAGTAAGTGGTTACACCAACATAGACATAATATAACATCTTGTTAAGAGAGATTCTAGACGAAAGGATCAAGGTGTCAAGATGCGATCCATCTTTATTTGACCCGCGACGAGAAAGTTGCGAGGCGTCTGCAGAGGTTAAAGAGCACGCCTCTCAGTTTCTGAAAGTCGCTATCGGACCAGACCGGCTGGCAATAGTCAGTCGTGAAGAATACGGTTGAGAGGCAGGTGACGACAAACACGACCAAATTGATAACGAAGTGATAAACGTCGGTCCTTTGGCTGATGAAAGGGGTGCTCTCTTCCGGGAGGCTGAGATTTGCTCCAATGTGGCCGGTAGCTTCAGGAATTTCGACACGACTTCGCAACTCCTGACTGGCTTGGTGGCTAGCCTCATCTTGTGCTTCAGGCGTTCGAATGCCCTGCAGACCAGTAAGCATCTGCTTGCTCGGCAAGTGTCCATCCAAACGAACGGTCTCGTCCTCCTCGTCGGTATTGCTCTTGCTGGGTAGCCTTTTCAGCCTTCGCAAGGCTTCTTCGGCTGCCTTGTTGTGGCTGCGCCGGAGTTCCTGAACTTCCTGGGTTAGCCTTTCATCGGCGCTCAATGGGCTAGCATCGCGAACGTGAACATGTTTGCGCGGACGATCCTGTTCGTCCTCGTCCTCGTCCTCGTCCCCATCATCGTGTTGCTCGCTATTGTCACGATGGAAGCTGCTTCTGGGCCGCTTGGCGACAGGCGATGGTCTGAAGACTGGAGGACGGGGGCTATCGAAAGGACCCGGACTATCAAGAAGATCGAAACCTCTGCGGGTGACCTCGAAGTCACCTTGCAGATGTGAGCCGCCAAACCCGGTTTCTCTATTTGCTCGGTGCAGAAAGCCGTTGTTGAGAATGTCATTGTCATATTCTTCGTTTTCGCGCTCATCGTCGAAGTCCATGCGATTACTGTCGCTACTAAGATGCGAGAGCATTGACCAAGCGTCTTCTTCCATGGCCTTGCCCTTGCCCATGTTGGAGTAGTCGTCGGCGTCCAAGCCAGTGAAGTTGCTCGCGGGCTCTGAGAGAATCGATTCTGCTTCTTCTTCTTGCATGCCCATGCCTATGCTCTCGCTGTCGTCGCCATCGTCGTCCATGTCCTGACTGTCTTCTTCTCCTTTTCTTTCTTCATGCCCGTTTCCACTGCTCTGGCCTTCTTGTGTGTGTGTCGCTGTTGAAGGTGGCCCACTGTTAGAAATGAACAGGTATTACTCGAAGTTAATCTCACCTTGCACAGCTGAAGCCACCTTGCCTTTGACACAAAAAGCGTTAAGCTCTCTCAAGGTCAACTGGTTCTCCTCCGTGGCCTTACGGGGAGCCGAGGCCAGCCTTCCCATCAGCCGTCCCATGTAGTCGCTGCTCGAAGATTCGTTTGACCGGTGCGCCAAGTTCAAAGCTCGGATCAGCGCTGCACGAATGCTCCGAGACCTTGCGGATGCTGTTCTTCCCATGGCAGTCGATGGGGTGGCAACAGCTTTTCGAACTCCACAAATGTATGCACACGCTTTTCGCAGTCCCTTTTGATTGGCTGAACTTCTGTTGCCAGGGTCGATGCGATAGGGATGGGAGTATTTTTTGAGGGAGGGAATCAGTGGACGTAGTGCTGTCTGTCGTAGGACTCGAGACTGCGCCGGCATTACGACTTTCGTCCATTCTCCAATCTCCCAACGTGGATTACTTCGCCAGGGTCTCGAACGCCACTTTCTTGTCCGCTGTGACGACGTCGACATTGTCGAGTGGGCCGGAAGTGTCGACAACGTTAAGCTGGCTGATCCCGAACTTGCATCAGAGAGATTGTTCAAGCTGCTGTTCGACATAAGGAGGTGCACGAAGAGACGAGATAGCAAGCTGCAGAGAGAGTAGCCTGACTGTTCTCGAGTCTTCTACCGCAATCGTCGGGCTTGGAGGTACGTCTGTGAGGAAATTTGGCACCTGAGCGAGCATGAGCTATCAGGATGTATTCTTCGGCGAAGAGAAGGGGGAAAATACAGGAAAAAAGGACCTGTATATATAGCCGGGCGTCCTTTATCTCTGAGGATCGTGGTCGAGGGTGCGCTTGGGCGTCCTCAAGCCTGCTGCGCTGCGCAGCCCTCGATTGCGTGCTTCAGACGTCCAGCACGGCAAGTGAGACCCGAGAACGGGCCTGAGAAACAAGGCGTGAGAAATAAACACGGGCGAGCAGAAAACAGGGAGTACACAGGGCGCTGGACGCCCAAGCGCCCGCACAACATTGGGCTTGCAACTAACTCCGCAATCCAACCTATTTATATCGCTGCCACGCCACCAAGCATCTCGTAAGCACAGGCATAGTTGTGAGACAGGGGGTTCTCGGAGCATGAAAGGTGACTGCTTTTTGTAAACTAGCGGCGAACGCGTCCGTTACTCCGGCTGGACAGAATGACTCGCGCGATCTTAGTTTTCTTGTAGCACGATCGGGTGCAACCAGCTTCATCCTGGACAGAGCATGGTTTTCTAAAAGTACACCTATCCCCGAGCGAATGTCTGATCAACATACCAATGGCCAAGCGCAACTGACGCCTAGACACTAAAGTATGGTGTCTTGTTCCTGAGCTGTCCTCTTGTTCAGACATAACATCCCAACCCCGACAAAGAATAATGTCTCGGCCTGGAATGTCTCACCATCGTGCTTCCAGTACTATCAGAGTCTGATAATACCGTTATGAAGAACATTTTGTTTATGCTACAGGATAAGTGGTATTAGACATACATCTGGTGAGAGAGATTCTATAAACAAAGGAGCAAGGTGTCAAGTTGCCGAAGGAGAAGGATGGTTGGCCAGGAGGGTAGCCTAGGGACCTTTCGCATATCTACCAGTAATTCATCTTCTTTCGTTTCGATATTCTCGTTCGACTGCAATCACTCGTGTTCATTCTCCACGCTGCGTGTCTTGGTGCCTTCGTTGGACAAGAGTGGCAGGAGACTCGGCCAACGTCGTCGAGGATCTGGCGGCTTTCTTCTCTGTCTGACGGCACTTGCTACCAGCGTCAGGAATCTGTGCGTGTGCAGCTTGCATTCGCGGAGCGCCTGAGGGCATTTGACCGGCTGTATGGCATTGTCGTCCGTCGGTGGCTGAGGTGGTCTGACCTGCGACGACACGAGGCGCAAACCTTCTCCTGAGATTGCCGTAAAGTTTATAGGTCTCGAAGGCCGCCCAAATCTTCAGGACCCAATGGACAGTCCTGGCCGCGTACCGGAACTTGTCGTTTTGACTCCAGGGCGGCTCGCAAAAGATGATGGTTGAGAACACGGCCAGGATGAATAAAACGACCCACTCAATGATCTGGCGAGTGAGCTCGGCTCTGGAAATGACGATGACGATTCTCCCTTTCGCGAGGCCAGGAAGTGCGCCACTGTTGACGGTCCTTTCAGGAGAGTCGCCAAAAATTTTGACCTCTTGATCGGTCTGACAGCTGGCCTCGCAACGCACAGGTCGAGGATCTGGCAACTTTCTAGCGCTTGAGGGAGCAAGCAACGCCACTGGTACTGTGTATCTCCCTTGGTCCTTGCTTTCGTCTTCGAAAACGGCGCTGCTCTCGTGTTGGGACATTTGAACGGAGTGGGTTGACGGCGCAGTGTACGAAAGATGATGGGTGTGAAGGGAGAGAAGAGGAGAGGAGAGGAAGAGCCACTCTAAAGCGCGGCATCATCAAGGGCTGCGCGGCAGCTGCACAGCCACCACTTGCACCTGCAAAGTGGGCTGAACGAAGGAGCGGGATATCGGACTCGTTCACGGAACACCGCTCTTGTCCCTGCAGCTAGGGACATATTGCTGTCGTTGTTGTCTTAGAGGTCTTTGTTCACGCTTGCCCGACGAATCGCGCAAGCAATACCTACGCTTCTCATTGACCGTCAAGGGCGAAGATCTGTACTATTTACTGCGCCACAGGCGCGAGCAAGCTTGCCCGCCCCTGTGGGTGAGGACCGACGACTGCTCCAATCACCTCGGATGGCGATGTCTTCCCTGCCTGACGCAGCGAGAACAATCAGCATCGGCTGTCCCCCCACGACCTCACGACTATCAAAGGGGCCTCGCTTGTCTCACACGCTAAAGATGGCAAGAGCACCCCAAACTTCGTATGCGGGGAGATGAACAAGAACTTATGGTAAAGTACTGTACTATGTAAAAAAGGGGGGGTGGCAGGCGGACAGATGATAAGCTATAGTGTGATTCTCATCTGATTTCAAGGAGGTCTTGCATCAGACAGATGTCGTCTACCGTTCCCTTTTCGCGCGCTATGGCAGCTTCCAAGACATTTTTGATGGTATCAATACGAGCAACGACGTTATCAGGTAGATGATAGGGCTTGTTTCGCTTCATTAATTTTCTTTGGTCCTCTGTCGACAACCGGAGATAAAGTGCCGGGTGTCGAACGAGGTTGAGAAAGTACGTGGACGTGGCATATCTTTTCACATCGTCCAGCAAAGACGACGAAGACGACATTCGCTCGAGGATATCGACACGAAACTGGGCAAGCCGTCGCTTTTGACTCCACGTGACGGGATTGAAGACCTTGACATGCTCCTGTCCAAACAAATCGCTGCCGAGATAGTCGATGACAGGTTGTGCGCTCTGAGATCGCAGAAGATAGTTGAAGACAAAATCAGCCATCAGCTCTGGACGGTCTCGTCGACCTCCATTCTCTCCGTACAGGGAGGTCGATTCCAATTCTGTCGGTTCCACGAAGAAGAGTGCAGTGAGCAGTTTTTGTCGGCTTAATACGTCGTTATCGTCGGTACAGAGTAGGGAGGCCAGGTACTCGTAATCGAATTGGTCCGGTCGTTCTGACCTCTTGAGCCGTAACCAGTGGTGGTACCCTGCCAGGATCTTAGCCAGCTCTTTGCCCAGGCCAGCCCCGACCAACTTCTGATATACGTCTTTGGCTTGCCTTTCGTGGCGTACTGGCTGGTATACAGATTCTGCAAATGTTACTGACAGGTTTCGGACCTGCTGCCAGAATTGCAGGGCTGCGGTGAGGGCGGTCCGGGTATGGGCATCGACTTCCTCCCCCCTGTCTTGAAGTCTAGAAATGCTTATCGTCGCTCTTTGGGCAAGCTCTTCGACGCCTCGAAGAACTTGTTCAGAGAGACTGGCAGCACCTGTGGTTGGTTGTGATGCCGACGACATTGTCAGAGCGTGCTGTTGCGAGCGATCGAAGCCCTCTGGGCCAGGCCAATGACGAATTAGTAACCGATCTTTAAGGCATTGAAGCTGAGCACAGATGCTGGCCACGGCCATTTCAAAGGCCTCGGCTGGTCCATTGGCTGCCTTGTTGTCATCTTCGTCTAGCTTGCAAGCGGCGACCAAGCCCAAATCTACGGCTTCGTCTTCCTCGGCGCGCCCAAAAATAAGTGTTGATACTTGGTCGATCACCCTCTTTCTGGCCGACACAGGTCCTCCTTCCGTAATCTCCTCTTGTACTGCCATCCGCGCCGCACTATCGATGCCTGATCCTGCAGCATCACTATTGTATGCTTCCACCGGAACATGCTTCCTCTTTTGTCCATGTGCTGTAGATCTGGTGGATACCGTCACCACTGTTGTTGTGGGTGACGGTTTTGACGCCGGAGGAGTCGTTGCCGTCAATCTCATGGATGCCGTTGCGATTGATCTCGAAGATGCCATCGCGCTTAGTCCGCTGGGTGCCGCTATTACTGTCTCGAAGGGTGTCACTGTAATCGTCTCGATGGGTGCCGTTGTGCTCGATTTTGTGGGAGTCGTTGCTAGAGCGGATAGAAAGGACGAAATGACGAAGCGCACTGCATTTACAAGGCTACATGACTTGTCCTTCCCTCGCGCACGTCGTTGAGGAGCCGGTGCACGTCCTGCTGCAAACCAGAGCTTACCCAATCCTGCTTGTCACATAGTCGCGCTGCAATGAGACTGGCGTGGTTCACAATCTCCTCTTCGAGCATTCTCTGAACGATCGTTCTACTACTCTTGGCTCCATCCCCTTTTTGCAGTCTTCTTCTGCGTAGCTGTGCCTCCAAATGGTCAAAGTACAGTTGAAACTTCCACCATCTCTCGTCACCACCCGAGAGCTGAGCAACACGACAGACGACGTCTTGCTGGCCGTGCACGAGCCATCGTTCAGCTGTGGCGGCATCATCGTCACCTTCTGAAGTTCCGACAGGGTTGATTGAGGAAAACGAGAAGAGGTCATGGTCGACGAGGGACCGAGCAACTGTGAAGATGGCGACGCAGCGCCTTTGAGCAAGGTCGATGACGTCCATTTTGTACGTTTTGAAAGCTAGAGGCGGCGATGCATAGATACGCAGGTGGCCACTGTGCTCCTCGCCAGGGAACCAGAAGTTGATAGTCGTGCCAAATACGTCGACGGTGGTGAACGACGGATACGATGGGCCAAGGTACAGGTGCAACGTTGGAAGCAGGTCATCGACGCCTTGCAAGCAGGAGGACGCGACTGATCTTTCGGCATCGTTCGAGTTGCTGAAGTGAGCCTGGGTGAACGGGAAGATGTCGCATGGTAACTTTACAAGCTCCTCATGAGCCTGGAGCGTAGGAAGCGCCGTCAGCTTGGCTCGGAGCTGGCTCAATGCGACGCTTGTCGACGTTCTTTCCCCGACAGACGAGAAATGACGAAGCCAAAGACGGGCGACGGCTTCGATCAGAGTCGCTCGTTGACTTGCGCTGTCGCCGCAGTCTTGCACCTCTAATTTTCCTTGTCTCGAAGCCAAGAAGCCGATGGTCACATCCTTGGGATCTTGTAAGGAGTCGACTACAGCTGCAGCTGCAGCGACATCGACGTCGAGGCTCACGAGGCCGAAGATAGGCCAGTGGAGCTTGTGCTTCGCGACAGGCCAAAGATACCTCTTAGTGACCTATAGTAGTTTTGGTAAGGAAAAGCGATCAGAGCTCACCTCGTTGACGTCCTCTTCTCGGCATACGGCAGCTAACTCGTCGATACCCATTGCCAGATTAAGATCGTAGCCGTCTTTGTGTTCTTTTGACCGCAAGATAACATAAAGGTGGACCTTGACGTTCGGAAAGGCTTTATGGGTACCTTTTCCTATTTTGCTGTGAAGTCGAAGAGCCATTAGCGAATCGAGGCTGGCGCGGTGTAAAAGGCGGCGAAGTCGAGGTGAAGAAGAAGAAGAATTCAAGAGAAAGGGCGTGCGCGTGGGACAAGATCTGACGTGTGGGCGAAAGGCTGGGGTGGCTCAAGCCACCTGCGGCGCATAAGCGCCAACGATGTAGACATTGCCATATTCAACCGTGCGATCCGCTCTCGTGAATGGTAGAGGGGAGAGTAGAAGAAGGGAGAGCCGAAGAGGGGACAGCGATAGAGGGAGAAAAGAGAACTCGCGAAGAAGATCACGCTGAGGACTTTCAAACCTTTGCGCACCACCATAATTGTCCTCTCGTCAGAATGCGAACTGTCTGGTCGCGATCTTTGATGGTTTCAGGAGAGACAGTATGTTACACAATGGAGGAATTGATCAAGAGATCAAAGATCTGCTTGCTTCCACGGGGTTACCGCTCCTCTTGTCGGTGAACGCGAACACGAATGCGAAGATCAGCAGGCCGCTGGCGACGAAGATTATGAAGCCAATGACTAGATAGATGACGAAGTCTTTCCTGTCCATGCCGTGACGAGCGCTTTGTTGCGGTACGTGGGTGTCTTGCTCATCTTCTCCCGCCTCTTGTCGACGTCCACTCCCTTGTCGGTGTCCAGTTTCTTGTGGAAGTTGCCACGACTCATGAGAGTCACGCGAAGTATCTGTACCGGAGAGAGTGCTATGCTTGTAAATAAGGACAAGCAGACAGAAGCGCACAGGTACGCCCACCTTGGCTACCATCAAGCCGATAAGTGTGGCCAATGGTAGACTGGCCTAATGAGCGTTCGTGCGTCGAAGACGTATCAGACATTGCCTTTCTGAGGAGACGGTGGGAAGATAGAGAGGGAGAGAAGTGCGACCGGGGGAAGGAAGGCAGTGACAACAAGACAGCGCCTCAGTGCGTGCGAGAAGGTCCCAGTCCCCCTTTCATCTACAGAGGATAACCTTGTGACTCAGCAACCTCAATCACTATAGCCCTCTGTCCCGCGGGCCGCTAGACGGAGATCAAAACAAACAAGGAAAAGACTGGCGATTGTTGCTTGTGTCGTACTAAGCTGAGATCACATCGTCACGTCACAGAAACGCCCTTGGATGTTACCATTCTACCGCTCACAGGCCCTCCTCGGCCTAGAAGGCAGAAGTCAAGGCCACTCTTGGTAACCCGGTCAAGGTTTTCGACGAGTCGCACATCTACGCGCTTTATAGTTCTATTGGGCGAACTGAAAGCTCCGTGAAATCGCACGGGAAAGACGCAGAAATGCACAAAGGAAGTCCGCTCGGTGTACAGACACAAAGAACGGAGATAAAAAAAAATAGCTCCAGCTGGGCTGAATTGACCGCACTTGTGACGCTGTCCCGTCGCGCCACACGACGCATCCTAGAAGCGTGCAGTAGTAGCAGCAACAGTACCATCAACAACGTTCAAGTCAGCACTAGCAGCAGCATTGGCTTGATACACAAAAGCAGCGGCAGGGACGGCAGAGCAACCCTGGCTCGTACCTGCATTGCATCCATCGGTCGCTCTGCCAGTAGATCACGATTCACCTCGAGAATGACGCCAAAAAGAAGCCTTCCGGCGTTGGTGGCCATCGAGCTTTGCCTTGACTCGATCTCGGAGGAAGAGAGCGACGGCCGAGCTGCCGGTGCGACCTCGACTACTTCGAATGCAAGATGGCGGAAATGCGACTTGGTGGGTCAAGACGAAGCTAGCGTGCTGGGCGTGCACGACGTGCGAGGTATCCTAGACGCTCCGTGGCCTACGAAGTGGTTACGGAGAGCACGTCATCGTATACTTCAGCTGGAGTATATCGACCAGCCCTCGAGTCAGACGTCGCTCAATGACGCTTAGCCTGAGTAATGTCTTCTTCCTTGTAGCCTCCGTTTCCTCCATGCAGGAGATCTTCATCTGACAAATTCTCCCCACTGCCATGGATGCCCACGCATTGTTGCAGTGACCAAACGACTACTACTCCCAGGAAAAGGACTTCTGACAGCGGGCTTTCTATGAGATGCACGCAAGCAGGGTCGCTATAACCGTCTTGCGGATGGTGTGACTTTTGTAAGTCGCTGTGCGCCAGCAAGCTAGAAGCAATTGACACGGTTTTATCCTTTCATTCACTTCACTGGGGATCATGACTGCTCAGTGAATAATCTCTACCACTCGCTTAGCTTCGGTGATAGAAGAAAAGGCTCGACCGCCGATGTTCATGCAATCAAGGACGATTTGTTTTCATTCAGTAATCAAGGAAGACTCCAAAAATAGAGGGGCGGCGGCACGACGCGTACAGTACAAGCGTCTCTCGCATGGGGAATCGTAGGCTGAGAGAGCATGTAGCGGCGAGTGATCGGAATGATGAAATTAGCCGTAGCAGTGGAGAAGAATCCGATTCAAAGGCATGGAGAACGCAGACACCACGCATGATTCACATCTATCGAGAAGGTGTGTTGCACAGGTGTAGCGTGAAAAACGCGTGGTTGCGCCGAGCTCGAGGATGGCCGTCAGGAACGACGTCAGCGTTGGGTTGTCGTTGCTAATGTTCTCGGTGCCGGACGCGGCCTGGAAACTCTTCATGTTGAGCACCTGACCGAACATGCCTGTGGGAGGGGAAACGTCAGTGGGGTGGTCTTGCCGGGAGAGATGTTGTGTCCGACAGACTCCCCCTGGTTGTAGCCGTAGACGCAGCCACCGAGCGAGGCAAAGAGGGCGATGAGAAAGGTGCGCGGGTTCGCAAGCAGGCCATTGACGCCTGGCCGGGCCGAGAGCTCAGTTGGAATTTCCGATGTTTCCGACCGCTTCGACTTTTCGGCAAATAGACTTTTCGAACTCGGACCGCCTCGACGCCTATGCCTTCTCATGTAAACGCTCCTTTTTCTCGATATCTAATAACATCTCTTGCTCTTCTTCGTCGTCTGAACAATCAGGAGCGGCGACGGTGAACGCGGGGGCTGGAGCCACCTCAGGGCTCAGGGCCAGCCTGGGCGAGCTATATCGTCCCGGGTCGAGGTCTCGCCCACGCTCGACCGACCCGTTGGAATCGATCAGCTCGGCCGACGTACTCCCTCAACTCCGTCAACGACTGCGGGCACGCCGAGCGTCCAGATCTCCAACTGGCCTCAACACCTATGGCAATGCGCTCCGCGAAGCCAGCCGGCAGACGGTCAACGCCTGGATCCGCTCCTCGCACTTTGACGCCGTGCTCAACTTTGACGCCGTCGTGCGCGACCCGGCGAACCACAGCGTGATTGCGAGTAAGTATGATTCGGGCGACGGGCTCCACATGAACCCAGCCGGCTACAGCGCCTTGGCAGCAAGCATCCCCCTGTCGCTGTTCGAGTAGTAGCAGCGGAGTGCACCCAGCTTGCCGAATGGGGCCTCACGACAAATTGAAATTGTGGAAGCGCATCTTCGGAAGCGCGTCTTCGTTTGTAAACAAAACGATCTTGCCCTCCTACTACTCTACAACAGTAGTAGTAGTAATATATTTCGCCTCCTTTATTGGATCTGTCACAGTGAGACAATAAGGCAAGCCACGCACGGAAGGAAGCTCGATGGCCTTGTCGCTCCTTCCGCAACTTGCCTTTTGGATTTCCAAGCCGGCTGACGGCTAGCTACAGCTGCCCCGCTGCAAGGTCCTCTGCTTGCTCTGCCAATATGCAAAGCGGGTGGCGCCAAGTTTGGGGGAAGTTTTCCTTTGCGTCACAAGCACACCGCGCTGAAGGGGATAAAAAGGTTCAACGAGATGCTGCGACCAACACAAGTCCGCACAACCACGACAATGCCACACGAATCTGCCGCTACCAGGCTGCGTCGCCTCCGTTTGGGAGACACCAAAGTTCCCGTGCTTCTTGGCGAAAGGACACCCCCGCGTGAATTTGACAGCTCTACCGAGGGGACGCTGAGACTGGTCAACCGGCACAACGACATCAGGACGCCAGGTGCTGAGGGCAACGAGGCGTATCTATGCTGCACTCTCAGCGGGCGTCGCAGACCCGACCGCGCCCATGTGTTTCCTCACAGCGAAAGGCTGCTTGAGCAGCTCCACATCTGGTCTCGCTTGACTGGCCCTTTCCGAGGTCTACCACAACATCGAGCCCGTCGCAGGTGCGCGGTTGACAACCTCGTCTTCTTGACTCCGAACTTCCATATGTACTTTGGCCTTGAGCCGGGAGTCGACTTTACGCTCACATTGACGCCCAGTCTCGCGACTCTGATCGAGGTGGTCATCTCACTCGAAACCTTTCTCGCCAGCAAAGAGAACGACGAGACCTTCGACGTCCCCACTTTCGAGCCCTGGAGTGTGGTCGCCAGTCACTGTCAGCACGAACTCGAAAATGGAACGAAGCGGGTGAGTCAGGGAATGACGCCTTTTTCTTCATCCAGTCGCTCATGCGTCGTTCCTCTGTGATCTAGTACCAGTACCTGCTCTGGGGTTTTGGCAGTGGAGAGCCACCCGATGACTTTTTTATCCGGCTCGGCGGTCGAAGACGCGAGTTTGAGGCCAAGGCGGATACAATGGTGCCGACTCTCTTCGAGGACGTGGACTCCAAGGAGTCTTTGGAACCATTCTGGCTCGCCGTGCACCCAATCTTTACCCTCTTGGTCGCTGCGCACAATGCCAAGAGCCGTGACGGCCGTCCGCGTCAGTGGCGTCCCGAGGCCGAACCCATCGCAGAGCTCGCAGAATACTGCCTGCAGCTCTGTGAGGTGGACCACCTCTCCGGCTTTCGCGATCTCGTGAGGCCCCCCTCCCTCAAGCACCCCCTCCCCATGCTCGAAGGGCAGCCAGACACTCGCCCGCGCTTTGTTGGCGTTCCCTGGGACGGCCTCGAGGGTGTGACGATGGACGTCAACGACGACGACGGAAACGATTCCCGCGCCGAAGTGGGCCCTCCTCCTTCGTCCTCGACGGGCAGTCGCTCTTCCAAGCGCGCTCGCACAGACGAAGGCGGAAGCAGCAGCCCGTCGCACCGCCAGTCCAGGAGGCTGCAAAGGCAGGACCCGCAGGACGCCCTGTCTCCTTTTGCCAGGCCCTCGGACCTGGGCGACGAAACGGCGCTGACCGAGCCCGACGAGGGGGACAAGGGCGGCGCCGACGACGACGACGACGCCGACGTGCCAGACCTCACAGCGCTGGTGCGAAAGCAGAAGCCTACCATGGACGACTTCCTGGTCGCCATCCGTGCGGTCGAAGCGTACCGGGAGCGCGTGGCTGCCGTCGAGGTTGAGCGCGACGAGGCCTATGCACGCTGGCTCCTCAAACAGGCGAAGGAAAAGGGATCGCGAAGCCAGGCGCTCCGAGCCCTCCGTACCTCGCCGCCATCGTTCCCGGACATTGAAGCCAAGCTGTCGACCGTCGACGCAAATGCCCAAAAGCTCGAAGACGTAGTAAGGCACCTCGAATACTGCCTCTCCCACCATGACGGCTGAGGATGGCAAGGCGCATAATCAAGAGTAACGCCGCACGGCTACATGTTTCTTCCTTCTCGTCCCTGCGTATAGGTCACACCACTGTTCGTACTGGAATTTGACTCATGAATTCATTCCTTTTCTCTTCCCAACCTGCACTACAACAGCAAATGACATGCAAGTGCCGTCCATTAGTCTGCCATCCTGAACGAAGGTGGAGGAGGCAGGCTGGTCAGGGGCGCCTGCCCAACGACGACCATCTCGACGACGAGGGCCGGCTGGGTGGCCCACAAGGCAACCTAACCCATATCGGGCAAGGGTCATCTCTTCGGTAGATCCTTCCGTGTGACAGTTCTCATTTCTTTGCTGCCTTGTCCTGCTAATTATGCTGCGGTGGCTACCGTCTACAGCGGCTGTTATTGCTCGCGTTGACAAAGTCATCCTAACATTCGCCTACTTCCCTCGAAACGCCCCAGGGGGGGTATGGTACTTGCCGGCCAATAGATGAACGTGATTACTCTGTGTGGTGGACGACTATTTACGAGAGAAGATGGTCTGTACAGCGCCCCTTTCAGCATAGTACAGGCATGTCGGGCAATCTCGAGCATTGAATCAAGATCAGACGCGATGTAACTATTCAGCTTCTTTTTTGAAGCTTTGAGAATTTTACAAAACGTTTTTGAGTGGCCAAAGAATGCAACTTTGACTTTGAGGGATCGTTTTTTTCCTTGGAAACAAAAAAAATTGCGTCACCCTCGCGCTTTTTTTTCTATTTTTTACATCCAAGCAAAGAAATATTAAACATACTAAACACATAGAACTTTCACAAGTCGAAACACATAGAACTTTCACAAGTCGGAGCAGCATTGCCAAGACATCGTTGTATATGATGACGAAGACAGTGACGGTGATAGCGACAAGCCTGTGGTAGTGTTGGACATTACAATGGCAAGGCGCTGTTCGCCAGTAGGTTTCAGAATGCTACGAATGAGCTGACAAGAGCGACGTCAAAGAGTACCAAGCCGTTCGCGGTAACGATTGGTACCTTCAAGCTGTTCCCGATAATTCCGGCCTGATCGACTGATCTGCAGAGCTCAAAGTGTTTCGCAGGGGCTGGTAGAGTGTGCAACGATATAGTCTGTACTGGTGGAAGGTATCGGGAACAGCGCTGTGTACTGTGTGGAGTTTGATTTTCTCCTGCCGTAAAGAAGCTGGGACCAATGAGGGCTCCCGACAACACGTTGCCCCTCCCATCAGCTAGGGTGAGTCCTCGCTTGCTGGGACGTTCTTTCTCTCTCACTTCTGGTCTTACTCGCAACTTCCAGACTTTTTGCTTTCGGCCCTTGCAGTAGATTTCCCCCTCGATGCATTGCCTTCCGTCAAAGTCTAGTGATTTCTGTTTGGGGTCTTTGCAGACAAAGCAGCGCCATCTTTTGCGCCCGGCAGCAAGATTACTTTCATCATTGAGCTTCTACATCTTTTACAAAGAAGAGACGGCGACGGTGCTGCCTTGGCGAAGAAATCTGACGGAGAGCCTTCTTGCTCGAACCAGGCTGTCAAACGCCAGTGATAATCGAATCATCGAGAAAGCTGAGGACACCGGAAGTGTTTTTTTGTGTCGGTCAGATGGGATTGATGAGGCGATACATTCGGGCCTCCGTCCTGTCAGAGTAGCTGTTTTGTCTAGCCGAGGCGCACGTTGACCACCCGAAATTGCAAATAGATGTCAAACAGGAACGGAGCACATGACGCACCATGATGCTGTTGTTTAGAGACACTATGCAATGCTTGGCACAATTTTCCGCCCCAAAATTGTGTCCAGGCACAGTTGGACTGTACTGCAGCAGGTGCGTTGTACAGCTTGAGCGACATAACATCAATCTTCGTTTCTACGCCTGCAAGAGACTGGCATGGAATGCCACCTTTTCCGATCGGAAATGCCAGCGACTTGGGAAGACCATGGCCTCCGCTTCTTTCGCAACCGCGTCATGAAAGCTTTAGATCAGGCTGTTCGCAGAGAAGGGATATTGTGTGGAAGGTGCTCGTCGTCAGGCTCAAAGGCGCCACAGATGATCCCAGCAAGCGCATAAGACGGCACTTAAATGCCTTCCACGAGGTGTCCATTCATTGAGGGAAGAATGATCTTCACTCAGAGTGGCGCGCGCCCACGACAATCATCTAGAGATGCGGGAGAATCTGTTGCAGCGCAGAAGTCCTCAAAGTGGCAAGAGAGGGTGATGGGACTGGAGTCACATTTTCAAAGAAGTGAGACTCGCATCACTTGCATCCAAGAGTCACCGGCGCCCTGGGCGTCGCTTTCAACGGATTCCGCAGAGTCTTCGTTAACGACTTCTAAATTGTGCACGCGTCGCTCTCTGTGGATTCAAGTACTTGCTCGATCACATACACGCCGCTATGGCAAACTTCTACATTTTCAACGACTTCCTCAATCATCTCTCTCGCTTGGTCGAATTTATCAGATGCCTCGATCACCAGCCCAAAATGCGTAGACAAGTCGAGCTCGTTGCTTCACTGTGGATCGTCTAGACAATTGTGAAAGTTGCTGTGCCATTCTTCCTCACGAAAGCTTCGCGTAGCACAACGCTGACGTTTCCGACGAAAACCGCCTCAAACAAGGTCACATGCAGTGCCCAGCGTGCGGATGAGCCCCAAACGCTATCCTTCGGGAGCAATACCAGCCTGGGTGGCGCAAGATCGAGCCTTACGGACCAACGCTCAGAGAGAGAAAAAACAAAAACAAAAACAAAAACAAAAACAAAAAAACAATGGGTAACTACGGTCCAGACTAAACATTGTCAGAGTTTCGAATCGATGTCTGTAAGGGTATCATCTTGCTCTTGTGTGTGGAATGTCTCTACACAGCACTATACAGATTAGGACTGTGCACAGATTGAGCCAGGAAGTAAGGTGATCGATCGACAGACTACCCAGCTCTTCCCAGCTCCAGCCTGTCGTCTTCTGTCCCTTAAGGGTGACCGGAAAGTCTCGTCCGGATGTGTTCGCAACCTTTACCTGTCCTTCATGTGAGCCTTCTCTTGGTGTCTCATGTGGGTCCTCTTCGACGCTTGTTGCTTTGCTGCTTCCTTCCTGGAAATCAGCATTCTGTTCTCCCACATCTTTCGTCTGCGTCAAAGGTTGGCCTTTGCTGCCATCATTCACCTCTTTCTTCTCATTGACGGATTGTTGGTCGGCAGAGTGTGGCGACTCCCTTTCATGGCCTTGTGGCACGGAGAAATGCTTTGAAGATCTGCATCTGGAACCATGGCTTGACCACTTATTTAAAATTATCGCTGGGAAGATAGAGGCCTGCACAATTTGCTGCCGAGGCTCAGCCATGGGCCTGAACGCCTCGCTTGATGAGGAGCGCGGTCAGTTGGTAGAAGCTCTGCAGAGCTCTGCAGGACATAGTTACGATTTCTGCTCGCAGGCCGGCGAGTGTTGCGAAAGATTGGCGTGTCAATTACACAGAAGAGTCCGATCGCAATGCGGCCAAGTGCTTCGCTCCTTCGGAAAACTTCTTTACCCTCTCTTTGGCCCTTGACCTCGATGCTCCCGCCTCGTGCTTTCTCTTCTCGGCAACGCGCTTCGCCTCCTCGAGATCCTCGCAGGTGTTGCTGACTGTGTGCAGTCGACTGCGCAGCGTTTCCTCCTTGATGTTTGCTTCCTCCAGCTTGGCACTCAGGGCGTCTGTCTCCAACTCTGCCTCTTCCTTTGCCAAGATGGCCTCGGCCAGCGCCCGTTGCTGAAGCCAGAGGCGGTCTACCACTGCCCGCAGTGCGTCATTGGCCACCGTCTTGAGGGCCCGCGGCCACGTTGCGCTCGGCTCATCATCGCTGGGGAGGAGAACAAGGATAGCCATGCGAGAATCAGGACAACGCAGAGGCGTGCAACTGCCGAGGAACTACAGCAACAGACCTTAGCAAGCGATTAAAGCGGGCGGTCGACAGACGAACGGGCTGGTCGCTTCGAGCCAGCTCCGAGAGAAGAGAGAGGCAGGCGCTCACTGACGCTCACAGCTGTCTCTTCCAAGGCGCTAACCCTGTCAGACACTTCGTCATTGCTGACAACAGACATCGAAGAGACGATAAAGAGACTGCGACAGAAAAACTCGATCGGCGATCCGAGCGAACGGAGAAGGCAAAATAGGAAAAGACGTGCACTCCAAAATTCAGGACGCGAAGGAAAGTATTTGAGTGTGGGGCCAAGCTGACTCAAGAGGCAGACGGGGCTAGCAATACATCGGGTAGGCGGGGTTGGCACGGAAATTTGCTGCAGACGCCTTTGTCTTTGCGCAGGGAAAGAGAGGGATAGATGGAAGGGCTGCCGAACCTCGGTCAGGTGAAAAGAGCGGCGACGGCGTCGAAAGAGCCGCAATTGCTTCGCTGCCCTTTCTTGCTTCTTGGTGTGCTTCTTTGCTCGTCAGAATGACGACCTGCCGTCTGTCGCCGTGGAAGCGATGTTCAAACGCACGATTGGCGTAAGGCTCAGTGGCGCTGTCAACCCATTCGACGGAGCCTGATGCTGGGGCTTCTGAGCCTTTCTTCTGATAGAGAGCCATCAAGAGGGCCATGTCCAGGCTGGCTTCATCGTTGGAGAGTGACAGGCTAGAACAGGCGTCGTCCAGATCCAAGAGAAGAGAGAGAAAGAGTCGGCGGAGCTTGGCAAGGCAGCTTTGCTCTCTGCGATTGAGAGGTCGATGCATACGGGTGCCCAGTTTCTTTGCCACTTCACGCCCAGCGAGGAACTCGACAAATGGCGTCTTCGACATGGATGACCAGATCCGCGGCTCCCAGACAGCCACTGTTGCTAGCATGGCGCCCATATGACCCCCTGCCACAATGACTCGAGCAAGGTCGCGCTGGCAGAGCAGCTCATTTCGACTGGGCGACGTTTCCCGGACGAGGTAGGCGACGAGGTATGCGACGAGGGTGTCCAGGTGATTGCGGCTTCGGCTCCGTCGTACACCTTCCTCTACCGAGAAGCGTACGCCCCCGCCCTCTAGGGGAACGCCCATGAGGCGTGCACGAATGACGTTGTTTGTGCTCGGGGAAGCCCGCAACAGATCTTCAACCTCGCCGTCGTCTTCAGAGTCCTCTGTTGCCTCGCCTTCGCCCTCTTTCTCGATGTCGATGCCTTCGACTGAGCCCGGCACATGTTGGCTAGAGGACGAGGTCGACGTCCCTCGACCGAGCTCAATTCCGCACTCGTCCTCGCTGCCCACTCGCTGCTCGCTCGTCTCCCGCTCTTGTCTCGGCTTTTTGCTACTTGCAGCCCTTTCGACTGAAGAAGCTCGCTGCTTTCGACCCCTGACTAGGTTCACCTCGACAGCATTGAGCAGACTGGCACTGTATCGGCTCCTAAAGACGGTACGATGGGCGGGGAGAAACGGGCTGGTGTCCTCGCCAATTTTGTGGTCCGCAGTGGCTTCACGAAAGGAGATGAATGGCGACTCCAACAGGTAGTAGCTCATCTTCTTGGCTCGCGGGTAGGCGGTGAGTAGTTGGTGGTGTTGGTGAGGCAATCTAGACAGAAAAAACACACCTTAATCGCTTCGGATTTTTAACTATTTGCTAGTAGTGGCATTCCTTCGTCTTGCTGCTTAATCCTGTTGCATAGTCCTGCTGCGAGCAAAGCTGTTTGACCACCGGTCGAAGCAGCCGCAGCATCTTGTTTAGAGATCGTGCAGAGCTCGAGCCTACACTGCAATGGGTCAAGCAACTATCTCTCCGAAAGATTCGCCCTCTCTAGACGCTTGCTGTTCATCAGGAGGGGTTCGAGGGCACATGGTCCTGGACTCACACAGCTAGTAGGCCAGTGCTGCCCCTTGCATCCGAGCTAATGAGCGCATCCCCTGCCATTCTGCTTCGATGGCAACGAGGACTTCACAGAAAAGCGTGTGCGGATCATCACCAGGATTAATCGTGTGACACTCCGTCGTGTCACCTGGCTCTCGTCTTATTTCAATATTGCTGTCCTTTCCCTTCTCCCGACACGCAGATGCGGACCCGCTTGGGAGATGAGTTGTGTCATCACCGACATGAAGTGATTACAGCAGGCCAAGGGCAGCTCCGTTGACCAAGGCAGCAGAGCCGGCGCTCGCCTGCGCGTCAACGAGAGCCGCTGCTCGAGAGATGAAAGATGCTGACATTGTCACACGAGACTGACAACGCAGCGCAGCGAGTAGTCACTTAAATACACATGGTGCCTAGGGAGACAGTGCCATCGTTGCGGCTTTGCGCTGTCGCAACGACGATGCCCTTTGCCGTGCTACGGCGGCCTTCTCCTTCTTGAGGATCTTCATGAGCTTGTCGAGACTTGCGCCGGCCCGTCGCCGATCGAGGTGCTCGATTGCCTCGTCGACCGTCCAGCGCTGCTTCTCCTGGAGCTCTGCAATGGCAGCCATGAGCGACTTGCGATTGGAGTAGAATTTCGACTCCTTTGGTGCCTTTCGCCAGCGGGACCCATATGTGCGATCGAGCTGCACGATGCTGGCCTGGCCACTTAGACCGTCGTGCCACTCCGTGTCCGTGTACAGAGCGCGCACGCTGCGAATGGTGCGCGAGAGTTCGTACACAGGGACAGCGTCCCTGTTCTGTGCCTGGACCTGCTCGCTCAAAGGACCGCCTTGTGTGTCGCTGCTGCTGCCGCTGCTGCCGCTGCTGCCACTGCTGCCACTGCTGCCACTGCTGCCGCTGCTGCCACTGCTGCCACTGCTGCCACTGCTGCCACTGCTGCCACTGCTGCCACTGCCGCCCGTGCTGCCATCACTCCCTGCGGAGACGGCCAGGATCGCGGCTGCTGCCTCGTGGTTGCCAGGGTCTAGGTGCTGCAGAAGCCGGATCAGCACCTTGCGAAGGATTTCCTGCTGTCGCAGGTCTTCTGTCTGGAGACGCTGCCATGACTTTACTTCGGCGAAATAGTCCTGCAGCTTGGCGTTTACCTGGGCCTGCAGCTGGGCCAGGCCGGCCTGAAAAGCATAAGAGTGGCTGAGCTGCGTCGCAAACAGCACTGGATCCAGCATGCGCATCCGGCGGCCCTGGGGTGTCTGGCAGTCGGCCATGGCCGCCTCGAGCTGCACGGCCCACGCCTTGAAGTCGGCCGACGTGAAGATCGCAAGGCGGCCAAGCTCGTTGTCCGGCATCTCCCTCTGCAGAAGCACCATGTCCTGGAGCAGGACGATGCGGAGATGCTGCATCAGCAGGAGGAACTCTGCGCCCGCGGCGTCCAGCGTCCGACGAAACTCTGCGAGCGAATAGCGGTCGATCCAGGGCCACAGCTGCCTCTGCAGCGCCTCGGGTGGGATGAGGATCGCGCGATCGACAAAGGCGTAATTGCTGCTGCTGCTTCTTACACCCGCATACATTGGCCCGTGGCCTGCGCTCGTCCGCATCGCACCGGCAAACGACCCCTCGTTGCAGTGGCCAGTCCTGGCGCTCTTCTGCGACGCTGGTGCCACTGTCCTGGCGGCCATCTGTCGAGCAATGCGCGTGGCTTGGGATGCCTCAACGCCGAGCGCCAGAAACATCTTTTTTATTGCGAGCCTGTGCGTCGCGTACGGCATCTCTTCTGTGCTCCTGTTCCTTGCTCCTGCTTCTGCGCCTGCGCCTGCTCCACCGTGCTCGCTCGCCGATCTGGGCGGGTTCTTGCTGCGGAAGAGCGGCTTGTCGCACCACGAAGCTCTCGAAGAAAGATCTGGCGGTGGTTCCGGGGTGTGGTGCCAGCGCACAAAGAGGTAGAGGGCAAGCGAGCCGTGCACACACCGCTTCCAGTCGTGGTGCCTCGGGGTGTCCATCGTGGTCTGCCTTGGATGGCTCGGCCCACCGAGCTTGGCTGACGTGGCCATGACGATGCTCCTCCCTTGCCACCACGGCTCGGACTCGAATGGGTCGATGGCGACGAGGTCGCACAGCGTTGCCTGTCGCGCTGCAGAGCCGCGAAGATCGCACGAGTTGCTGAGATGGAGCATGCATCGGTCGCGCGTCGTCGTAAAGACGGTGCCATACCTCTGTCCCAGAGAGAGAAGAAGAAGAAGAAAGAGGTCAGCATGGGTGCCAGCAGTGGCATGGAAAGCCAAGCAGATGCTCACGGGGCCTGCGCTTGTCACAAGCGCAGCCGAGGCAGCCTCCAGGCTGAGCACAGACAGGCGCGCATCGCCGTCTTCGCACAGGGCCTTGTCCTCTTCGCAGAGGGCGTCGGTCTCTTCCTGCTGTCTTTCCGGGAAGCGGGAGCCTGTGACTGTCTCGTCGCGGGATTGCGCTGCTGTCGTCGTCGTCGTCGTCGTCGTCGTCGTCGTTGCAGCCGCTGCTGTTGCTGCCGCCGCTTCCTCCCTGGCGACTTCGATGCGGTGGTTTGCGATGACCATCGATGCAAGGCTGCCGCGCCGGCCAGGGTGGCTGTTGCTGTTCATCTTGACATTCGACTGCGTCTTCCACAAATCGACAACGGCGGCCATCTCCTGCTTCAGCGTCGCGACTGTGGCCCTGCCACTCACGCCGACCTCGCCCTCGTCGACGGTGCCACCCCCTCTTTCTGTGCTCCGGACGCGGTCTGACTCGCGCTTCAACCATCGGGCGAGCTTGATCTCATTGACGAGAAAGATGTCCGGCCGGCCGGGGTAGTCCTCCTCGCACCACTGGAGGAAGCGCGCCTGCACCCGCTCGCGTTCGTAGGCCTTTGTCGTTTTTGCTCGTCGCCGCGTCGCGACCGTCTGGGCCCTGCATGCTGTGCGCTGAGCTGCCTCGTCCGCCTGAGAAGCCGGCGCCTGCTGCTGCTGCTGCTGCTGTTGCTGCTGCGCCAGCATTACCATGGTGACATAGTAAGAGAGCGTCGTCCAGGGAGGAGAAGAGGCCACGTGCTGCTGTGCGCCAGCGGTGCTGGTAGATGAGAATGCTGGCGCACCGGCTGCACCAGCAACAGCAGGGTGCCCAGAGATGAAAGGGTATCCAGGACCTGGCAGGGACATGGCTGAAGCGACGACCGGTGCGTGCGAGGGAGGTATCGCTTATGGGTGCAGGGAGAGTGGCGCGGGGCGACGGCGCTCCAGGGGGCTCGCTTGGCCAGTGCAGGGGGCTCGTGCGTCCGTGATAAGGGTGAGATGGCGGCAGTCGCTCACTCGCCCCGGAGAAGAAAGGGGCAATCTCCCCCTCTGCCTTGCGCTGTCCACCTCGTGTGGCGGCTGCTCTTGACGCCTGCGACTAGGCGAGGCAGCGACCAAAGGCGGCCCGAGCTGCCGCATACCTGTCCATGGCCCTAGACAGAGAGGGGAAGAGAGAGAGATGTGTGGTGACGCGCAGGATAAATCCCATTGGGAGGTGGCCAGCGCTAAATTAACTGTCCACGCTTTGGCTAAGCATTCGAAGCTGGGCTGTTGAGCACCGAGTCTGTCGCTGTTGACGCTTTACGATGGCAAGGAGAATGCATCCAGACCTCTCTAAGACCGCATCTAGCTCATCGAACGTGCCCATGCGACGTGGCTCTCGAATGCACGCAAGAATGGGGCTCGTCTCTCGCGTGCTTCGACGCTTTCTTATTACAAGGTCCTCACACGGTCTCTTCGAACACCGGCTTCGTGTCATTGTGTGACGCAGCAACGGCTGCGTAAGACAGAGATGTGGGCGTCATTGCTGCCACACAGGGACCAGAGAGGCATTTGTCTGACGCCTTTGTTGCAATCGTTACTGCTTTCTCTCAGCATTCGAAATAAGAGCGTTACCCCTGTAGCTTTCGCGACACGCGTGCTGACGCGTGTTTCGCGACGATTTCTGCGTGCACACAAATAGGAGCCTGGACATTGATCGCTTGTGACGACGCGTGGGCATTCCTCTCAGTCTAAATAAGCTCGTGTGCCATGTGGCCTAAACACTTGCCTGCAATCGACATCGGCGCTCACCGTGAGCACGCCTGTAAACACAGCTGATGCAATCTCGTTTGTTGCTGATGTGAATATCTGAGCGAGACTCGTAGGTGTTCTACCTTCCGTCTTTGGGGCGTCGGAGAGAAGGTAAAGTAGATAAAATAGAGCATATGGCGAAGAGCAGTAGGACCAACGATTCTCATCTAGAATTTCCTCGTCTCCCTTGGGTTTACATCCGCTCTTCCCCGTCATTTGGAAAGGTCAATAACGACGAACATGACCAAGGCAATGTATATGTGAAGACGGCGACGACAGAGCAAGCACCTTGCTCTATCCATTCATTTTTGTCATCGTCGTCGTCTCTTTCTACTTTTGCCGTGATCGTCGTAAACAAGAGTTGCCGTAAACAAGAGTTGCCGTAAACAAGAGTTGCAGAGAGGCAGAAGATATGATCCGAGCGACATTCGATTTACCTGGTGCGAACAAGGGCTACTCGCTCTAAGAGCAGCGAGATGAGAGACTTTCCCGTCGAAATCCTATCCGCTCTTTGTTGTTCAACTCTCTCTTCGCAAAATTTGTCTTGAATTAGAGGCTGCAGCGACGCTTTTCTTCCGCATCCGAGCCAAGTTTCGACCAGTCATGGACTTGAAAACCCTCTCAGATCCTCGACGCTCACAGCCAATCTCATTTGATCTAATGCGAATGGAGAAGCGCAACAGATGCGCCAAAGTTAACGGAGATGAGGAAGGTTTTCGGCCGAATCTACTATTTCCAACGGAAAGATCGAGACAATGTGCGAAGATGCACTCAAGCTGCCTCGATCGCCAGGTCACTACGAAAGGATGCCCTTAACCGAACAAAGTACGAAGGATGGCAATTATTGACTTCAATAAGATTGACAATCAACAATGAGCGAGAACGTAGACGTCAACAAAAGGCGTCGCGGTAGCCTGAGCGTAAGCGCACGAAGCGCGGACGCGTCGGCCGAACAGTCATAACAGTCGAAGTGTCATTTTTTCTGCCGGCGTGACCAAGGTGAGCTTTGTTAGCTGCAATTTGTCAACAACTTCGGCCTGAACAAAAAGTGACGGATGTGCCAATAATGTAAACAGCACATGCCAAGATCAGCCTGAGAAACTTGGGGGTGATCTCGTGTTAGGTTAACGCGTTTCTCGATCTCCTCGCCCGGCGCCTTCGCCAGAGAGCTGAGCATCGGCGTTTGCGATCTGCCAGTGAGCTTCTGTCGAAATGACAACGCGTCTGGCTCGTCAATGCAGCGGCATGGACGAGGATGCTGGTCTGGCAACCGCTGAGCGCTTGCGCACTCCGCAACGTTTACGACTCTCTTCTGGCAAATGTGAAGGATGTTGCCTTGAATCGACTGCGAGTGAGCCGTTGTCAGTGCTGTTTCACAGGTGCCCATGCGGGTAAGTACCCGTGGCCTGAGGTCCCCGCTGCTAGGAGGACATCGCCAGAATGATTACTGTCCAGCATGCCCTGGGGCATACCCGGTGGAAGTGTAGCAATGTCGACGGCCGGCGTCGACAACGTCACCGACACGCGCGAGCGACGACGATGGAGAGAGCGACACGCGCAAGGATCAAGACTTCGACACTCGCTTCAGAAGAGTCACGGAGAGGTCAGAAAGCAGATCACTGAAGGAGAGATCGTGGCGCGAGGAGTACTCGATGGCCAAGCTTCGAGAGGAAGCCCTTCTTTGCCCACCTCGTCCCGTCCCGTCCCCTTTGCAACGAGGCGGGAGGGACACGACAGCGTCGAGGCCGATGGCACTGGCCTCGCATGACCAGCTGCTGGCCGAGTAGGAAAGCAGTGGCCTGGCGATGACGTGGCAGCGGTGCAGCAACAACAGGCTTGCCTGGGAGCTTGCTTGCAAGAAGACCCCGGCTTTCCTTCTGCGCCGCGGGTAGGAACGGCCCGGAAGGGACAGCCACCAGTAGCCTGTCTCCTCCTCCTTTTTGCGCCCGAAAAAGGCTCTGCTATCAGAGGGGGCTGGCGTGGTGTTGCTCACACTGTAGCGAAGCAGAGGTATGGCTCAATGCTAGCATCATCTGTGCCAGTCTTTGCGACAGGCGGGACTGGGAGCAGCAAGTGCCCCGGAGGGAAAGGAGTGGAACCTTGCTACGCCGAGCTTGAGTCATTTTTCAACAGATGCCGAGCTTGAGCCACACAGAAGCAAACGTTCACTGGCAGCGGAGCCCCAAACATGAGGGCAAACCCACCTCCCCTGCAAGAGAATGTGGGCGGCCATCCTCACAGGCACCGTGGGCGCCGTTCGCATCGGCGGCCATCGCGCGGGCCATCGCGCGGCCGGCTCATCGACGGGCAGTTCATTGTGGAGCACGGACCATGGACGGGGAATTTCCGGCCGATGAGCGGGCGCGCGCCCGTGCGCTTCATCAGTCAACCGTCGCAGACACATGCGTGCTAGCCCGCCCGCGGGGGGAGGCGCCGTCTCACTCCGATGGCGACGGCAACGAAGGTCTGTCTGCTAGTCTTGTGTAACAGCGAAGACGTTGGAGTCCTCTACTAGCTGTTGACCCTCCAGGTGGGGGAGAGGGTCCCCAGGTGGTAAGCGAGGCGTAGAAGCCTGGAGTTGTGTTTCCCTCCGCTTTGTTCTCTTTCATTCTGCGACCGTCTCATGATCTCGCCGCGGTGTGTCTTCGGAGACGGAACTGGGGGGCCACTCCGCTCTGCCGAAGGGCACACACATGGGCTCATTGCCTCTTCTCACCCCCCGAGCGTGGGACTTTCCCTTCTTTCTTCCTCCCGTGTCCTCCTCAACAAGAACGACAGCAATGGACTCGCGCAAAGAGACTGAGTGCATCAACTCGCCCATGGAGGGTGAGTGCTTGGAACGATCACCAAGAGTGAATAGCTTCGTTGACTGACGTGTGAGATCAGAGATCAACAAGCAGGCCAGCTCGGTGCGGCCGATGCTTGTCTTTGGCACAGTCCCTTGCGATTGGCGTGAGTTTGGTCTAGTCGCAGTGCCTCTATCTGTCATCTCTCCGTCTCTGTACTGACCCAGTCTGCCTCTTGATCGCAGGCGACCCCGCGTCGTGCCCAACGCCAATCCCCTCGCCCTCGCAGGCGCTCCCCGAACCCTGTGCTCCCACGTCTACGCCAGTCCGTGATCCTGGTGCGCCGGCCCTGAGGATCTCCCTGGAGCTGGGTCCTACTGCCGCGTTGCCGAGTGAGATCACGGCGCGTGGTCCTCGTGCGCCAGTCTCGAGTGGGTCTCTTCACTACTCTGGTCTCGGCCGCTCTCTGCTCTCTTGAGGACCTCGTGGTTGTGCTGACGCTCGGCAAACCTCAAAGGCTTATTGGGGAGGCCAGTGGACACGTTGCGGATCCGTGTGGCGGCCTGGCTGGACTCGCTCGACCCGTCGCTGAGGCGTGAGGTCAACGTGTCGATGAAGTCTGCGAGCGTGTCGACGAGGCCTTCAGACGTGGCGATGAGGCGCCAGGACCTGTCGCTGAGGCCCAACGTCACCGGCGTGGTGCACGGGGCCTCGTGGGAGATTCTGCCTGCTGATGCTGGCACGTCGTCGCGCCAAATGAACAACAACTACAACAGCAACAACAACAATAACTCGCTGCGATCAGTGCACACCTGGCCCTCGGCTGCAGACATGTCGTCGTCGTCGCGCAACAGACCCAGGGGACTCAACTTCCGCCGACCACGTCTGACGCGGACGAGGAGCTGGGACATCATCGTGGACGAAGCCAGTGGATGCGAGGTAGTAGAGCTGAGGGAGCCTGTCGACACGAGCGATGAGACGTTCTAGCCTGATGAAGAGACAAATGTGATGTGCTTTTATTTACCCTTGCCTGCGCTCAGTGAGTGTGTCTGCACTCGTCATGCGCCGGAAAACATGACCTCGAGTGAAGCTTTGCATGTGCTTGCCTTCGACTAGTCGCCGATGACATCGATCAGGAAGCTGCCAATGGTCAGCTCTCCGATGGTCAGCTCGCCGATGGGACCGGATGACAGTTGAGCTTCTTTGAGGGATAGGGGTCTCTGTAGCGACATCCTCAGACCGCAGAGGAGGACCAGGCTCACGAGGCGCTTGATGAGGACATGATAAGGTGAAGGAGTCCAGCTCGAGTATATTGAAGCACACGGGCCGCTTCTACCTTTCAAGACTTTTGCTGGCGACTTCAGTGCTTCAGTGCTTGCTGACCTCTCTTTTCGCACTAGGCCCTTTTTCGAACACCTGACCTCACTGGCTCCCCTGCTTGCGTTCGATTTCGCCAATACTCACGTCGAGGCAGAGAGGCAGACGTGTCCACCATGAAACGCATGTCTACCTTTCGAGTGCCGTCTTCACCTCGAGTGCTTGCCGCTTCTTTCAGCTCACACCACCTCATTGCTTCTCCAGTCGATCCGAAATTGCTTGCCAATCGTCTTTTACTCCAAAGAGAGAGAAGAGAGAGAGCTCTCGGCACATCACGCCCCAATCTCGGGCCTCTCTCGCAGCTTTCATGGGCCTCCTGTCCAGTAAGGGGTGCGCATGCACATCTGACTTTCCCCCAACCCAGTGCGCTGGCAATATTACCACGTCCGGCAAACTGTTTCACCAATAGATCCCGTCGTTCGTTCACCCAAAGGGCGGGTCAACATCGAGTGGCGGGCGCGCTCGAGCGTGTAGCGCAGGCCGGCGGTGTCTTGGCATGGCCATCTGTGTACTGCACGCATGCTCGAGGGCCCGAGTCTGCCAGAACGTTGGACGTCGCAGCCACTGGCGGTCTTTGCCTGGAGCACTGTGGACCCGCACGCTGGACAGGAAAGGACGGGCGGGCTCAGGACCCAGCGTGCCGAGGGCGATGTCGAGTTAAGCTCACTTCAGTCAGGACTTTGCGCGCCGAAGACATGGTGCGCCAACAAAACGGGCAAGCGCTGCACTTGCTCGGGCCAAAGCAGCGTCGAGGACTGCAACGAGCAGCTGCGAGCCGACAAAGGTCCTTGAGCTCAAATCCCGTGGCGTCTGAATGTCATCGCCAGCCAGGAGCAGGTGATGGTGCGCATCGCCGTCTCACCAATACACGTCACACCATCGCCTCGTGTTTGATCATGATCAGAAAGTGGGAATGGATGTAGCTATAGTTACAGTTGTGATGACCCGTGACAATTATGCCCTTCTTTGTTTGTAGTGACGGTGTGGATGCCTTATCTGGATATCGCGCGCGGTTCAAGCTTGTGGCTCTACGCTGCTGAATTGGTTGTGGGACTCTGTATGTCGTTCGTCGTTCTTCACTGTTGCCCCGGTTGTGGCAGGAATGCCCTATCTTTTTGCAGATCGCTCTACGCTGCTGCGTTGGTGATGGTAAAGGTGATGTTGCCTTGTGTGATTGTTGCTTGCTTGTGAGTGCTGTTGCTGCTTCTACCCTTCTGTATGCCTTGCTGAACACCTGATGAGTCGAGTACCTGGCCCGACGATGATCATCAGTGCCTGCTTATGGGAGCGAGGGCTGAACGCGCCAGCGTCTTGACCCTGTCCCATTGGCTCTCGCGCCAGCCAACGGGCATGGCAGATGACGACCGCTGCCTGTCCTCCTCTTCTTTTCTAAGCGCTTCGTAGTCGAAGTGGGCCTTCTTCATTGGCGCCTTGCCCTTGCCCTTGTTGTTCGACGAGCCTCGCCGGGCCCTGCGCGCATTGACCTTGGAGGCTTTGATGGTTGCGTCCGTCGACGAGGACCATGCAGAGCCAACCTCGTCTGAGGCGTAGTCGTCCGAGGCGCAGCTGCTGTCCAGGAAGTCGTCGTAGCGCCTCAGCTCGAGTGCTGACCGCCATGGGTAGTCCTCGCTGCTGCCGAGACTGGTGCCACTGCTGCTGCTACTGTTGTTGCTGCTGTTGCTGCTGTGACCGGCGCTGCTGCTGCTGCTGCTGCTGCTGCCGTTGCTGTTGCTGAGACTGCTTCTGCTCCCGACGCGGCTGCGGCTGCGGCTGCGGCTGCGGCTGCTACTGCCAAAACTGGTGCTGACGGTGGCGTTCATGTATGCGCTGCTGCCACTACTGCTGCCCTGGCCTCGCTCGTGTTGGACCTTGGTTGGGTCGAAGTTGAAAAAGAAGCGGTAGGAGCCTTCTCCGTTTCCTTCCTCGACCTCGTCGTAGTCTTCGTCGTCGTCATCATCATCACCATCATCATCGTCGTCGTCGTAGTCCCCAACCCCGTCCCCATCCTCGTCCTCGTCTTCGTCATTGTCCTCGACCTCATAGAAGCTGTACTTGCCGTCGCCTTCATCGTACGCTCTCATGTAGAGACCTGAGAGAGCTAGCTTGGGTGGCCGTGGTGACGGCGGAGGCAGCACTGGCCGGTCATCGTCATCGAGAATGCCATTGTATATGCCGTTGAGCCACACTTGGGCCTTGGGCAGGCCCTGCTCCTGCTCCTGCTCCTGCTCCTGCTCCTGCTCCGGCTCTCGCTCCCGCTTCCGTTCCTTGCCCTTACCCTTGTCCATGGCCGAGCCGTTGCCGCTGACGCTGACGCCACTGCTGCTGCTATTGCCAGCGGGCCTCGATGCTTCGTCGCCCGGCCCGTCGTCAACGATGATGTCGTCGTCTTGGTGCATCGTGCAGCCACACCGCGCGCCACTTGGTGTTTGAGAAGTAAGCCGAGCCACCGCCCTTGCTGTTTGCCCGCGCGCGCATCTGTGTCGGACCGAGACAGCCCCGCCACACGTGCAAGAGAGAGACACACACAGAGAGAGCAAGAGCAGGAGCACGGTCAAGGACTCAGGCGCCGGGTGTGGTTGCCCTGTCAGGTCAGTGTCGAAAACGCTTCAACTAGTCAGCGACCACGACTGACCGAGACGTCTCCCTCGACAGCGCAGCGTGGCCATGCCATGCCACAACAGAGAGCGCTGACAAGGACGACGACGGCGGCTGTGTCGGCCTCATGATCTGCCCCAATTTGGCCGATTCGGCGCCTGCGCGGCGACTTGCTCCTCTGTTCCCTCTGTCGCGGCCAGCACGGGCGGTCGTTCTCCCCCGTTTCAACGCCATCTCCGATGTTAAAACAGCTCAGCGCTGCGCTCCTACACTAGCTACTACTACTGTTACTACAGCTGTACTGTACACTGTGCCTGCATTTAGAAATTCCATGCCCCGTCCCCTATGCGTTTTGTCGGCCGACACGTCGCCCCCCCCTCCAATAATGAGCGCTTGTGCGTTCGTCACTGCGCCTTGTCACGCGCGAGGGCGTCAACGGCTCCGTGCCTGCCACGTACAGCGCGTGCATGGACCAGCTGCCCCCCCTTCGAGGGGCCTCTTCGACTCGGCCGACGCGGGGCCGGGCCCAAGCGCGAGTGAGAGCGCCAACGCGACGACTAGACAGCATTGATATGAGCGTGTACAAGTCTCCATCTCTCCTAACAGGAATACAGTCTTTTGTTTCTTTCTTTCGTCTTCTGATCGATTGAAGGCCCCACCGACGGTTTCCCCATCTCGGCTTCCTCAGGGACAAGAAAGACGCTACGGCCCACTGGCAGATAACGGTCGAGTTCTCTGCCGACGAGCTGTGTGAGAAAGGGATGGGGCCCCTTCGTCGTTCGTGCAGGGCGGCAAGGTCAGATAGCAAGCAGTGGGAGGAAGACGCTGGGATGGCACGGCACGAGCGGCATCAGGTATGATCCTTCGACCGACTAACAATGACTCGAAAGAAGAGGGCGACTGCCTTGAGCAAGGGCCGCAAAGATCATGGGCAGGCATCTAAAGGAGCGACGGCGACTTGCTTGGACACGCTACATCGCTGCGAACAGGGCCCGACATTCTCAAGTGTCTTGCCATCTTCGAGTCGGCATCCTCGACAACGAGAAAAGGCGAGGGCGACAACATTGAAGCGATGGAACACAAAGGAGGCCGCCCACAGTCGCCGCGTCCCTCCCTCCCTTCTGTCGCTCGACGTGCAGGACCAGGCAGCGAGCAGCCAACATCCAACACAGCAGTGGCAAGGAAATACCCAGCAGCGATCTCTCCGACATTGGTCCTCTGTCTTCGAGCAACGGTCGAGAAAGAAAAGGACAGCCCGCCGTCGATATCCCCATGTCTCAAGCCTAGCTCGATCTTGTCGCTGCCCTGGCCCGTCGTCCATCCGCTAGGCCTACCTTTGGGCGACCGTCTGCGCCAGGAATGGGTTGTGGGGTCGGACCCGCAAGAGTGCATCGCCAAGACGTCCTCAGTCCTGGGTCGTCTTCCTCGTCCTCCTTCGACCGTCACGCCCGATACCTCCAACGACTGGCTCCTGCGCCCTTCCAGCAGTGTGGACATTGGACATTGTTCTCTGCGTGGACATCCGAGGTGGCAGACAAGACCGAGGCCATCGACAACGACAGCAAAGCAGCGTCACTGGAACTCAGCCGCGCGCATGTACTGCATCCGCCTACTCACCGTCGTTGGCGTTGGCCTCTGTAGCCTGCGGTGAGTAGGACGGGTGGACCCAAGGATGTGAGTTCCACTTTCCTCACGAATCTCGCGATGAGTCCGAGGTGCAGAGCCTCGGATGGCAGCACGAGGAGGACAAGGAACAGCGAAGGGTTCTGTAGCAGCGATGACGTCGGCAGGATCAGGGGCCGAGGCAGCGTATAGATCAAGCACCTTGAGGAGGTCTCCATCTCTTCGAGGCCCGCACCGAGGAGCTCGAAGCTAGCTGGGACGCATGGATGAGCTCTGTCCCTCCCTACTTGGTGGTTGCGCTTCCTCAAGCTTTTGTAAGCGCGACACAAGCTAACTCAAGCCTCTCTCCAACGAGGACCGGAATGAATCGCTCTCGATGCCAGAAGTATAGCAAAAAGGTGGCGCAACAGAGCAGCCCAACTGATGACCTTCCTGCCGGATTGTCTGTCCAAGGAGTCGTAAGGGTTCTAGCTAGACAAATAGACAGAGCAACCACCCGCCGAAGAGTGTACTGCAATGTGCAATGAGCGAAGAGATAGGATGTCACTGCCATCCACGAGCAACGTCTGTCTCAGCAAGCGTTTGGTTTATTGATCTTGCACTCTCTCGGCCTATCTACAGGAAGAGAGGCGCCTTGGTGATGAGGGTGACTGGGGGAAAAATGACTGTAGAAGAAGTGACATGAAAGTCGGTGACTCGAGGCTAAGTGGCTTGGGGAGAAAGGTGACTAGAGAGCTTTGACCTGAGAAGAAGCGTCTTGAAAGTAAGCATCTTGAGTAGACGGGACTTAAGGATAGGTGACCCGAGCATAAATGCCGAGGAGAAGGCGAATCAGGGAGAAGGGAAGTCGTCGTGGCTGGTCTCTGCTCGAAGATGGAGACCGTAAGCCGAGTCTATGTCCAGTCCACCGCAGACAACTCACTCTTGCGCTTGAAGACTGTCTGCAGGCGCTGCTTGAGAGGCGCGCGGGGGTGCTTCATCGGTGGCAGCACCACACCCTGGGGCACCTTGCGAGGAAAAAGGGTGTCGACCCAGTGTCCAGGATGCCAGACGGGCTTGGGCGGCCGGCGCTCCACGTACAGGTTGCTGGGATGGGCGTAGGGATGGTGGTGCACCACGGCTGGCTTCTTGCCGATGCTCTTCTTCACCAGTGCCCAGGCCTTGTTGCCCTTACCACGGAGCCTGGGCGTCGCCGGGCGCGCAGCAGCGGCAGCCTTCTGCCAGACGCGCGGGTCGACGGGCGCCGGACAGGTCCAGTTCTCGCACTCGAAGCTGACAGTGCTGTACTGCGACACCAGGCTTGCCTGCGACGAGGGGCGACGGCGACCCTGCTCGGCTGTCTCGCGGGCTGTGTGCGACTGAGGAGGAACGTCTGTGCCGATCATCGCCGGGAAGGTGCTCTTCTTCGAAGGAGAGAAGGAGTGTAGGAGCGATGCGTGCCTGTTTACCTGCCTGCCCCCCACCTCTCCCCCACCCCTTTCGCCCTCTCTTCCCTCTCTCTCTCTGGTCTCTCCGACGCCGCATTTCCTCCTTGCCTGCCCCGACATGTTTTTTTTTTTTGTCTCTCCGCGTCTTGGCTGTTCTTCGGCTCCGACGCATCAGTCTTGCCGGTCTCTTTGGCGTCAAGAGCGACACGATCGCGTAAAGAGAAGCTCACCGTGCAGGAGTTGAGGAATTTAAGGCTCGCTTTAGCGCGTCACATGTGGCGCACCGCCAGCTTCTGACACCTGACAGGCTGGGAGTCAAGCCGAGGCGGGTGGAATGCGAAGATGTCGAACGGCAGTGCGTCCGGAAATGAGCGAGGCTCAAGTAAGAAGTCCGCACCCCGACGGCTTATAGCCACCACTACCGCTCCGTCCAACTCACCGCTCCGTCCATTTTTGCTAGCACGGACCGCATCGCTTGGAGATCACACTCGCCTCGCTCTGTATGATCTCTTCAATCTTGAGTGTAACTTTGCTCTTCGTCTTGCAGTCCTCATTGACCTTGAAAGAGGTAGGAAGCGATCCGGTCAGAAAACCGGAGTGCTACGCGTACCACCTGGCAGGGGGTGCGGAAGAAGTGCAATGCTGTCCGTCAAAACCGACTACTGTCGGTTCGTTTAAGCTTTTGTCTCTACTGTTCACACCCTCGCACAAAGCTCTACCTTCCACAAAGCTCTAAAGGCGACAAGGCTGCACTCGCGAACGGGACACCGGACTGTATGAACGCTTTTGACAGACTCATCCACGTTATCGTCTCTGTCCGGCCTGGCGCAACCTCGATTTGCCCAACGACGAGATATCGAGTCACATGCCTATGACACCGCTCGGGAACTGCTCACCGAGTCTCGATTTCATCACGACTCTTTCCTCTGCGGCCCGGCCCTTGTTGCCTTCAACAGAAGTCACTGCTTGTCTCAAGTCTACGTCCGAATACGTCCGAAACGGGCTCGATACGAAGCCGCTGGACACGTGACGCCAGCAAGTCGATGCGCCTCATTCTCCTTCCTCTTCGGAACTACAGAGAGCGCTGCATGCTTGTCAGTGACGCCTACCTCAGCTCAGGTTGTGTCGTAGGGGGTATACGATACGATTTGAGCGACTCTCTCTCAAAATTTCCAGAAGACCCACCTCTATTGATGCGCAAATGTATTGAGATGGCTTTACGCGCGCGACCAAGTGCGCCAGAGGGCACAGGCTGCGGTGACGGGCCAGCTGAAGATCGCATGTCTGTACTCGAGATTCGATTGAATGACACAACAGCTGCTTAGTGAACCTAGTGAACCTATGGCACACCGAAGTGGCAAACACAGCAATCTGGCGACACTCATCTTTTGTTCAGGCAACTTTCGTGTCACGGGTGACCGAAAGAAAGATCGGTCGATTCTTTTGACAACGTCAGTATTGTCTAGTGACGACGAAGCGCGGTTCTTCGAAGTATAAGAAACGCTTAAAACGCACGTACTGTCCCATGTCGACAGCATTACACTGAATAGTTTAATTCGGTGCACGCCTATCTTAAATCGTAGACGTTTTGACGGTTGTGCTTCATCCTCTCGGGCCGCTAGGCAGTCACTATGTCCTGATCCGTTCGAGTTCCGTCCAAAGCGGTCATTACCTCAACTGAATCAGTATGTGGACCCATTCGACGAGGCATGCGTGCTGTTGGCACCCTCACTTTATGATGAATCCGACAGATGCGCATTGGCGAGAGCGTGATGTGCGCTCTATGAAACGAAGCAGTGAGCCCGTCACCATAGTTGCGAAAGTCAAGATGAGCCCAACTACGAGATACACAAGAGCAGAGAGGGCCATGCTCTTGAATGTATTTTAAGGTCGCCGACTGGAGATCGACATAGCACAACACAGAAGAAATAGCCATTTGATTTCATGTTCACATAAGTTCATAGGGAAAGGGTCTACACGCAGTTGCCCCCGAGGTGATCTCTACCGCCACGTTGCCAGTCAAGCGGACCGTCGATGAGACTATTTAGTGAATAGCCTTTTTCCTCGTCTTCGAACGAGGTTACAGTACGAATCGATATCGCCTTGAGTTCGCAGGGCTAAGTTCGGGTGGTAGGGCGACCCAGACATCCATGTGCTGACGAGACTTTACAAGGAATTTGCAGCCCGTTCTTAAGCGATGGCCATTTCTCCACGGCCTGAGAGGACCATTGTGAACCTTTGATATAACGCCCAACACCTTTACTGAAACTCCATTGCGTGGAAAGGTGGGTGCAGGGTAGTCGCTTTCATCGGCCTCCTTTTTGAGTCGTGTGACGACTGAATCCCTCCGCCAACATCCCTCTTCAGACAAGTGCTGACTCATCAGAGAAGATGCAGCGTCTCCAGTCAATGTTTCTTGTATCCCTGGACCGTTGAAGCCGTAGTATTCTATGACGAGAAGTGAAAGATTGGACTTCATCTGCGCTTGATGGGCTAGCATCGCGACTTTGACACCACCGCGTCCCTTCCATTGTGTTGCGCTCCTCTGTCAAGGTGATCGATCCTGCGCCGCATCTCCCTCATTTCATCGGAATTTGGTGGGCTAGAGATGCGAGCATGAACGTTCTTGCCCGGACGAGTTTGTTCGTCCTCATCCTCGTCATCGTGTTGCTCGATACTGTCACCAAGATTACAGAGTTGGGGCCGCTTAGCGACATGCGATGACATGAAGAGCGACATGCGATGACATGAAGACTGACGGGGGAGGGCTATCAGAAGGACCATGAAGATTGATGTTTCTGCGGGTGGTTTCGAAGTCGCCGGGCAGATGTGTGCACCCAAGACCGTGCTTTCTCTTTCCCCTGTGCGGAATGTCGTTGTTGAGGATGTATTGTCAGATGCTTGGTTTTCGTGCTCATCGTTGAAGGTCATGCGATCACTGTCGTTACTGAACTTCGAGAGAGTTAAGCAAGCGTCTTCCTCCACGGCCTTGCCCTTGCCCATGTTGGAGTCCTCGTCAGTGTCCATGCCACTGGTGTTACTCATGAGCCTCGAGCAAAGCGGTGCTGCGTCCTCTTCTTGCATGTCTATGCCCATGCCTATGCTCCCAAAGTCGTCGCGATCAACGTTCATGTCCTCGTCTCTGCTCCAGTTGCCATTACTGTCGCTTCGTTGTGCGAGTGTCGCTATTGAAACTGGATCATTGTCAATCGCGTGCCGTCTCGAACTGTCGCGTTGTGGATTCCCACGGGATCTCTGGACAGAATTCCCGGCATAGTCCTTTCATCGGCGCTTACTGGACTGTCATCGCGAGTACGCTGATGCTTGCGCCGACGGAGTTTTTCGTCGCCGTCCTCTTTGCTACTGTTGCGTCTGAGGCTCCTCCAGGGGCGCTTGGCGACGAGGCTGGGGACACGCAATCGTGTGACGACCGAGTTCGCAGGGCTGCCGCGTGATATTGAGCCGATGCGGGATTCATCATTGCCGCTGTCCATCTGAGGGTAATCAAGGTCCATTCCCTCAAGGTCCATTCCTTAACTTTGACGGATGAAACCGCCGTCAAAGTTGTCATCATCTCTAACGCCCCTGCAGCCTCTGTCGCTAGTGGGCCCCGAGCGAAAGGAATCTGTGTCTTCGTCGCTGTCCTTGCCCTTGCCCACAATTTCGACCTCCATATTCACGTCGTCCATATTTTCCTCGTCCTAGTCTTCATCCACATTCTCCTCGTCCATGTTCTCCTCGTCCATGTCCTGGCTGTCTTCTTCTCCATCCCTTTCTTCATGCCCGTTTCCACTGCTCTGGCCTTCTTGTGTGTGTGTCGCTGTTGAATGTAGCTCACTGTTAGAAACGAAGAGGTGCCACTCCAAGTAACTCTCACCTTGCACATCTGAAGCGACGATGCCGTTGACACAGAAGGCGTCAAGCTCTTCCAAGGTCAATTGGCTCTCCTTCGTGGCCTGATGGAGAGCCGCGGCCATGGCCAATCTTCTCCTAACTTGATCCATATAGTCGCCCCTCGACGACTGGTCGGACCGATGGGCCAGATTGATAGCTCGAACGAACGCCGCACGTATTGCTCGAGACCTGGCCAATGCTGTTGTTGTTAATGTAATCGAGGGGGAAGTGACGCCTTTACGAATTCCATACAGGTATGCACATGCTTTGCGCAACCCTTCTGAGACGGCTGGATCCTGTTTTCCAGCTTTTATCGCATATGTATGTGTTCGCTTGTCAAGCGAGGGCAGTAGAGGACGCAGTGCTGCTTGACGAAGCACTCGAGATTGTTCCAATTTTTTCACTACCCTCGTCCATTCCCCAAGCTCCCATCGCGGGTTGCTCCTTTTCCGTCCAATTCGCCGCCTTCTTGTGCGTTGTGGCGTCACGGGCGTAGTATTGTCAGACGAAAGCGTTGACTTCGTTTGTGCTCGCCACAAATCGATGCAACCGCCGTCCTGTTTGCCGCAAAGGACAAAACATAGAAAGGTCAGGCCGGTTCCCAATAATTCGAAAAGCCAAAGAAAAGCTATCCCTCGTATCCCCCCTCCAGCACAGGAAGTGAGAGTGAGGGTTAAGCGTCACCCACAAGCAGGGTTTATTGGCCGATCCACCCCAAAGCCTTCGGTTTAAGCATCACCGACAAGCAGGAGTCTCTGGCGATATTCCCCAAGCCGTCGGTTTAAGCGTCACCGACAAGCAGGTGGTTGATAGGCGCGTCCCAGCTCTAGTGACACGCCTATCAAGCAACCCAGACGGTTTATGCATCTCCGTCAAGCAGAGTTCCAACGCAGTCACCCCAAACTAGCCCGGACCACGTTCCCGCTCTCGAAGAGAGAAACGGAGAGGCCGACTTTTCTTTTCGTTTCCACATGCCAGTCCCCGACCTGAGCAAGCACGTTAGTACTCACATGAATGGAACCCTGTCAGCGACTGGCCACATTTCTTGTGGCACTTGATCGCGGGATGGGCCGAAAAGCATCCAGCGCATCGGTGGACATCAGCGTATTTTGAGGTCGAGCACTGATTTTTCTGGTAATTGACGCATGTCATCACCGCCTGTGTGCAAAATTCAGCATTCGGGTAGCTAGCTAGTCAGAAGAGGCGTACGCACGAAAAGGTATTTGTCCGTCGCAGAACCGAACGGAGCCGCAGCTTGTATGTTACGGATCTCCTCTCGTTGATGCTCCATCTGACGGTGAAGGCGTTCATGCAGGCGTTCGAAAGCCCTCTCTTGCCGTTCGATTCGGCTGTGAACTGTTTCTTCCTGAACTTTAAGAAGCCTGCGAAGACGTTGCTGCTCTCTATTCCGCTGCCGCGTTACTGCTTCCCGACGCCGGTGAGAGACTCTTTTCAGGCCGGCTCCTTCGACAAACGATGACGAAACGCTCGCCGACGTTGAGTAGAAGGCACTGCCACGGCTGTACTGCCGTCGCACTGTCTGCTTCTTGGCGTCGGCGAGCGTTTCGTCTTCGTTTGTTGAGGGAGCTGGCGTAAGGAGTCTCGAGACTTGCATCTTGTAATGATCTTCTTTTGCCATTGTGCGACTTGCCGACTTGCTGTGTTTGCCACTGTGGTTGTCTTTGGGAGAAGAGAATATTTCGGAGAGAAAGAGAGGGGTGAGAGGGGGACATGGGGGAAAGAAGAGTGTTTGTTGGAGAGAGGGGGGATGTGAACGATGAATTCAAGGCTTCTTTTATACCTTGAGCCTACCACAAAACGTACAACCAGCGGGCTGCCTTTCCGGTGCAGAGAAACCTCTGCTGTCGTGCCTCTCCCTTATCTTTGCTCGCTTAGCAGTAGTGCTATAGGACACTGATACGGTGCGATACTCAGTGCTCTGGGCGGACATCAGAAGAGAGTGATATACGCTGTAGCTTTGCCCAATGAGGGCACAGAGGCGCACCGTGCACTGCACACTGCATTCAGTGTAAAAAAAAACAGCTATCGCAAGAGGCTGGGCGGCCCATTATTACGGCATTTGCGCCGCTTGTACCCACACAAAGGCCATCGATGAAGGCTGTGTTGCCCTTGTTCCGCCGTCCACGCCGCCGTCGAAAAGGGCTACGCGAACTTCTTGCGGCGTTGACGCCTCTGTCCGGCCCGTTTTCCGACATCATTGCCCACGACATGGTCTTTGAAAAGACTGTGTGAGCCTTTTCATGGCAATTCCGCCGCTCTGTAGGAATCGCGTGATCTGCCAGCCATAGGGGTCATCGCACAGAGTCATCAAGTCATGGGAAACACGGACCGCCGAATCGGGGCTTTTGATAATCGGTCCGGTTCTCAGGCTGAATCGCAGACGGACCATGTCCCAGCCTCTGGCCTTTCGCTCTCAGTCTATCAGGCCATGGGAGGGAGACAAGGACCAGGTCGGGGCTTTTGCCCACTGTTTTCTGAGAACAATTTGCATACGACGTAATTTCATGGCGGACTAGATGCCATTCTCAAAAAAGCAGCGGGGTCCCTTTCCATATCAGGACTCATTTCAAGGTTGGGCCTCTTGAGATATGCTCCGCACTTGTGTGCCGCGTCGCTCGTGAGCTCAACACTTGCTTCACTACTTGTTATGAGCGACGTCGGGACCTCCGACACGCAGCTGGGCGATAGCAGAGGGCGCGCTAAGGCCTGACTTGGCGGTGTTCGGCAATCTCGTTAATTTCAAAGGGCGGCGCGTGCACTGCGCTGCAATGCATTTAGTCAAGGCGCCACAGGAAGGAGAAAGCCGTTTGGCGAGAAATTGGTTTTCCGACAAACACCCACGACTACGACGACGATGCTGAATCGTCCGATGACGCAGGGCAGTAACCACGAAGCTACAGCCCCCGGACGTCAAGGCTTTACAGCCACGAATGTGAAGCCTTCGGACGTCCGACCTTCAGCCCAAGCACGTCATTAATAGCGTCAGCCAGGCGTCACCCTGCGATGCCTGTCCCACACAACAGACCCCTAATACTGATCGTATCACTTCCCCCTTCTCCTTTGAGAGCCTCTGTTCTCTCAAGTAACACCTCCCTCACCCAGTTTCACTTTTGCCTCCTCACTTCGACAAAGGGACACTAGCGGCTACTATGGCTGGGGCCAAGACAAATACCTCGTCTGATCCGGACGAGGCTATATCGTTCTACAAAGCGCAGTCCCTTCACTTTGATTACGACGAGATCGACCCTTCGATTCCTGAGATGTTCCGTTTTCCCAATTATGACTCTCGAGATGTCTCCGATTACTCTCACTTTACAGACCTGCTTCAGCGACCTGAATCCGCTCCAAAGATCATTGTTCACTTCCAACACCTCTTGGCAAAGATAGAGGAACTCAAGGTGGCAAACATGAAAGAACAGGAAGCCAGGAGACGCGCTGAAGTTCAGCTGGAAGGCTTGAAGAGAACGTAGCGTAGCAAGAGGGCGGCCTTAGAGCGCACACTTCTGAGTTTCCGAAGTTCTGCCCCTCTTTCTGAAACCCCTGCAGGAAGAAACTGTCTCTGTCGACCTCACGCATGGGTTCTGCGCGCCAAGGACGCTGTAGGTGCTGTTGTGGCCCGGGACGTCGCTCTACGCTCTACATACACTTGTTGCTCTCGCAGCGTTCCAAGCACCTCTCGTGATAGCCTCGAGCGAGACCATGACCATGATGACACATCCAGTACGGAAAAGATGTTCTGCGAAAGGCAACGACTAAGTCGTTGCTGTGGGTGGAGGTAGAAGTCACCCTTGTTTTCCTATCCCTCTGCCCTTCCCCGTCTCTGAGATTGTATATTTATTCTCAGCAGCGTCTACTTCATGTAATATTAGCATCTTCCTCCCCCTGTATTTCCTCGCTCTCAGCGAATCTTATCAAACACCCCCTGACGCGCAGGTGTTCGCTCCCTCACAGAAGGCGTGCTGCTCGCCTCAGAGTCCAGGCAGGGAAGTAAGGGCAGCCGGTACGCATGCGCTCGAGAAAGTGATCCCACTACTACTGGCTTATCGATTATCTTGTGAGTAAGAGCAAAGTCAGGGCAGTGGAAAGGGAGGGAGTCTTGTGCGACCCCTTGCCCCTTGACGAGACTCTCTCTTCTCTTCTCGTTCGATCATGACTGGACGGCCCTTGTCCTCTAATGAGCATTTGAAGCTCTACTCTCTTCAGCGAGAGTCTGAATAAGACAGACGTGAGCATGATGAAAAAGCACCTTCAGAAATTGGCGAACTTCCAAGCTGACAGAACCCTCCCGATCTGGCCGCGAGCTTTGTTCGTTGGCGTCTTGGAAGTTTCCCATTTTCTCCGATCGGGCTCTTGGCCGGAACTGCCCTCCACGCGAATTTGCGCGAAGGAATATAAAGACCACTACTACTAGCTGGCGCGGCCTGAAGGAAGGCACTAAAATTAGCCCTCTTCTGCAGACGATCCGCGGACATGTCGCACTCGTCCGCCTCACGGCCCATCTCGGTGTCCATTGTTGGCGCTGCAGGGCTCATCGGTCGTCGCCACGTGCAGCATGTCCTGGACGATGCCGGTTTCACACTGACCTCCATAGTGGATCCCACCCCGGGAGGCGTCGAGCTCGCCAAAGAGCTTGGGGTATCGTACTTCGCCGACATTGCCGCGCTATTGGGCCCACCTCCGAGGTCGGAGACGACTGCGTCCTCACTACCTCAGGCTGCGATCATAGCGACGCCTTCGGCCTTGCACATCTCCCAGGCGATTCTCTTTGTCGAGCGGGGGATCCATGTGCTCATCGAGAAACCGCTGTGCAACTCGTCAGAGGAAGCTGTAAAGCTGCTCGAAGTCTCACGGAGAGAGGGCGCTGGCACGATCTTGGTCGGCTTCCACCGTCGCTTCAACCCTTACATCATCCAGCTGCGCAAGTTCCTCTACGGTCACCATCTCTCGCCACCCGACACAGATGCCTCGGCCGTCGGAAGGGTCGTCGCATTCCACGGCTTTTGGTGCACGCGCAAACCCGCGTCCTATTTCGAAGAGGCACCGTGGCGCATGTCAAAGCTACAAGGCGGGGGAGTGGTCATGACCAACATGAGCCACGAGCTGGACCTCATGCGCTTCTTGTTTGGAGAGATCGATCGAGTCTACGCCGAAGAGGGCAAGAGGACCCGGGCGCACGACGTCGAAGAAACAGTCTCGATCACAATCCACTTCGTGGATGGTACCGTGGGGACTTTCCTCTTGTCCGAGTAAGCATACTCGACTCTCACTCTGTCTGAAAGCGCACAGCTGCTCACAGCCTGTCCACAGTGTCGGACTATCGCCCCACTCGTTCGAAAGTGCGACGGGAGAGAATCCAAAGCTTGCTCGACACCACGAGCCGATCTATACAATCATCGGCACCGAGGGTACTGTCACGTTTCCCGATCTGACACACTGGTCCGCGGTCGGCGGTGAAGGCGACTGGACGAAGGCTCTCCAGAAACGGGCTTCGTCTCTGGCTCTTCCCTTTGACGCAGACTTCGCTACCGAGAAGGGCCCCAATGCGCCCTTCTCTGTCCGACTCCAGCACTGGCACCGGGCCCTGCAAGGGAAAGAAGCTCTCGGGTGCACTCTGCAGGACGGCATAGTCAACATGAACCTCCTCGACGCTATACGTGAGAGCATGGCGACCGGCAAGCCTATTCACATCGGCCTCTAGTCTGCACACCCTCAAAACTAAGAGAAGACGTGAAGCCGAGGTATATTGCTTACGAGCGACCGCTGAATGCGTGGTAGATGTCGGGAAGCACAGAGGCCAGGTGTGTCATCTCCTGCTGGTCGTGGTGGAATTGCAGGTAGCTGAGCTCCCGCCCGACAATGTACTGCTTGATACCCAAGGCGTCAGCCACTTGCTCGACGGGCAGCACCTGGCCCAGCACAGGAATCGTGAGCGTGACATTGTTGCCGAGGAAGTAGCGACTGCGAAGCTCGAGACCAGAGCCCGTGTCGTACCAGAGGTGAATCATGTCGACCGCCTTGAGCGAGCCACCGACCACGATCTTTGGAACGCGCGCACACAACCATCGTCAGCCATGCCATTTCAACTTCTGACTCTTAAGCCGGGCAACCCACTTCGCCGCATGCATCCGCGACAATCTTGTTTGCCGGGAAGTCGTCAACATTCAAGCCAAAGTAGCTGGCATTCTTCCAGTGAATGTCGATTGTCTCGGTCACTTCTCCGATGATCTCGGTGATGTGGTGGGTGGAGCCGATGCGCTTTTGCGTGTCGTTGAGCGACGCATCGCCAAACTTGCTCGTGTAGTCAGAGGAGATGGATACGTGGGCCCAGGGATGCCAGAGGCTGTAGCGCACAGACTCGGCAGAGTGCCACCAGAACCACCAGTTGATCATGTCTGCTGTGACGTTAGGGAAATGCGTGCGCGAGGCAACATAGCCCTGGCCGTCGGGGTAGCTGCACCAGGCGTTTTCATTGGCCAGCTCCACCGATGGCGGGGCCAGAAGCGTGTTGATGTCCGAGAAGCTGTGGGCCACACCAGCTGCGTCAACGCCCTTGCAACTCTTGTTATGGATAGGGGCACACCTCCCACTCACTCGCCTTTCATCGCCTGCGTCTCACAGTCGATTGGCGTCCTGCCCGGCTCAATCATCTCCGAGTACACATACAGGTCCGGCTTGAAGTACGGCTCGTAAGGCGTCCCTTTGACATTGGCGCTGTTCTTGGCGAAGTTGTCCTGCAATTCCAGCTGGTAGAAGGTGTATGGGACCAGAGTGGACTGTGCCAAGGCCAGCGCAGCGAGGGTCAGGGCGCACAAACCCAACAGGGCGGGGATTGCGGAATGGCGTGACATCGTCGGTTGCACAACGGAAAAAGAGTGGTGTGGGAAGAAGGAGTGCGAGGACAAAGCGTGCGAAGGACAAAGCGTGCGAAGTAGATGGACTCCGGGGAAACAAACGGCTTGCCTTTTTCACACGGAACTGTCTCGGTTAAATTAATTTTGTGCATTGTTCTGTCGGTTGAATTAGTCTGAAACAAAAACAAATGATGCAATCAATGGCAGGTTGAGCTATGAGCCTAGCTGTTCTGACTGAAGAGGTGCTTGAGGCGATCGATATCTGCGAGCATCAATATCGTCAACGTAGCCTCGACGGACCTTACACGGTTCGCACAGAGGTCATAGCGCTGCTTACGATCCATTCACTCGGTTATGCTTAGCTTTCCCGACGCTGGACTATGCCAGATGCTATCCTATACCGGTGCGGAGGCAAGAAGACCCATTCAATCAATCTCTGAGAAAGCGTGATGGTACTGTACTTTTACCCCGTGTCGTCACGTTCGTGTAGAGAGCTCATTCATCCCGGTACTTTCCCATGACCGGTTCCTTCTCTCCGTCCTGTGTTGGCCAGCGACACGCCAAAGACATCGGAGCCGAACAAGCACAGGTCCGAATTTTTTGTGTATAAGCGCAAGCTAAGGCCTCCTTGTCCACATCTGATCCCGGACGATTATTTTTCGGAGAAGAGCGTGCTTGGCGCGGCCCGCAGACCAAATTGCAATTTGCCTGCGCCATGCTCATTCATGGCCCCGACTGCTCAGGCTAAGAGGGAAAGAGAAGTGCTTTATTAGCTCCGGCTGTCTTGTAATTTACAAATGGCAATGCTTGCTTGCTTTGATCATCTGTGCTATTCTTCGTTGCTATTGGAGGAGAAGTGGAGAATTGCTGAAGAAGTTGAGAGTTGCCGTTATGAGTGTATGTGGCATCTTGTCCGAGGCAGGTATATCGTCCGATCCGATGAAGATACTAGTAAAGTGGTCCATGATACTAGCTAGGTGGTCCATGGTTCTTTTTCGGACGCACTGCGACTCTGTACTGGGACTCGAGGACGGGCTCGGATTCAAAAAAGGACGACATCTGGGTCTGAGTCATGTTGGCGGGTCCTCGTCGGCCTTGTGATCGAGGCACGAGCCGAATGGGGCTGAAGAAGTGGCGGCTCGCAAAGCCATCGTCCTCGGGTCGCAGAGTCTCCTCTTGCTCATCGGCCGCGCCGTCGCTTGCTCTGCGCACGTAGCCCTGACGTGTCCGCGGCACGGCCAGTGGATTGCTGGACCGCCCGTCCTGGAGTTGGTTGTCGTACTGACCGGCCACGGCCGCGTTCTGCCCTCCACCACTACTGGTTGCCGCGAGGCTGATCGAGGAATGGAATGTGGACAGGAAGTTCTCGTATGACTGAAGGAAGCAGACGAGGAAGATGCCCCCGCCACACAGGATGTTAAGCCAGCCGGTGGCAAGATTGTAGTGATAGAAAGCCGAGGCAAGGGCTTCAGGACTTTTGCTGATCACGTCGAGGGCCACTGCAGTGATGCCGGTGACGATGATCGAGTACGCAGTGAGCGCCGAGATGAGGCAACCGAGAAGAAAGAGCAGGTTGATCAGCCCGCGCTGCAGCTCGCGATTGCGCACCCGTTTGACGACCGAGGACTGAACACGCCGGTGACGCCCGAGTCTATCAACGGGCATTCTCAGGCTGGGCGACGTGGTCGTCGAGCAAAGATTTGGGTCAGGAGTTTGGCCCTCGCCATCTTTAGGTGCAGAGACATCTGTCGAAGAAAATTGGCGCTGTTTGTCGCCGAGCTCCGCTGGCGGAGGTACGCTGAGACGCGCAGCGAAGTCCAGATTGTCCTCTTCGTCGTCCACCTCGACCGGGAAAGGCTCCGTGAGAGGTACAGAGAAGATCAAGTCGTCGTCGTTCTCCTGATTGTCGAGCCGGCGCATGCGGACGATGAGCTCATAGGTCAACACGAGTCCCACAATGAATTGAAACAAAGTGGTGAGCCAGGCGAACGCGGTCCACTCGCAGAAGCCGACAGTCCCCCACCACCAAGCCAGCTTGAAGTTTTCCCAGACCTCGATGGCGGCGGCCTTCTCCTCCGGTCCAGCCAGATCCGTACCGTTCGAAGTGGCCAAGGCAAATTGCAAAGCTTGTCGAAGCTCGTCGCTTGTCCTGTAATGACGGCCAAACTGAATCGAAGAGGCAATCGTACAACCCAAGACCGCTACGGGCACCAGTACCAAGAAGGCATTGCTCGCCCTTGCAGCCAAACATCGCCAATAGAGTGAAGATCCGCTTACGTTTGGCTGCTGTTGTCGCCAGGGCAGGCTGGGAATCGAATGGAACATGCCCCAGACGGACAGCCAAGCGGCAAACCATACGAGGAGCCAAGGGTATAGGAGCCAGTAGCCAAGCATGAAGGCGCTGGCATGGCCATGGAAGATGGAGACGACAATCCACTCGAAGGCGATCCAAAGAGCGCCGAAGAAGAAGTTGAAGAACTAGAGATTGGAGGATCAAGCAGGCGTGGTCGCTTAGCTTTAGCTTTAGACAGCGGCGCCGCATCAGGACTCGCGTGAACTCACCAGCAGGCAGTTGGTGCTGTGGGGGACGATGACCATTGCCCCACCTGTCGAGGCTTGCAGACGAAAGAGGGTGAAGCGTCCTTCTCGAACGCGCTTGAACATGGTGAGGAAGCCCACGATCATGATCAGAACAAGCCCGGCGGTGTGGATGTAGATCTGCACGTAGTAGGAGTCCGACAAGCGCAACTTGAAGTACGCATCGATGAAGTCACTTAGCTGAGCCTTGGTCTGTACAGCGTCGGGCAATCTGAGGTCGCCCGAGCCTGGTCGCCAGGCCAGAATGTTGGCGTTGTGACGACGAGCGAGGTACATTGTCGGACTGGACGAGGCCTGCTGCGGTCGCAAGGTGGCATGGAAGTGAGGGAAACACTTGAGCGTCGATGAGTCCGTCGTCTTTTAGATGTAGCTTTGAGCGAGTCCAAATCTTCCCGTTTAGCCACTTCAAAGCCTAATCGAAGATAGGTAAAAGCAAGAAGAGTCCCGCACCGATGAGCCGATGCGTTTGTTGCAATTCCCGATCGTCATATGGGAGCCTTTATTTTGCAATGTCTTGGTCTCTGTTCCCATAGCTAGCCAGTGCATGCAATGGTGCTTGGGCCTTCATGTCGCAAACAATGGGATGCTGTTCGAAAAAGGCTAGAGTCGGTTGGCAGTTTGCATGTGGAACATGCGGTACCAGGGTTTTGCCCTTTCTGAGTCCGCTCAGTCGAACTGTCACAGGCAGGAATTCTACATCTGACGAGCAATTGTAACAATTAAAGCACAGCTGCATTTCCCCGGACGGAGCTAGCAATGCCCAAGGCTTTTCGCGATGCCAAAAGGAGCAGCCGCGCTAGCTTGTGAAAATCGACGTGAGGTCAATAATCCTTCGTACGTACGGAAGATGGAGAGATTACCTTAGACTACTGGTACAGTACACTTGTACACTCGGAATTCCAGACTGTACTACAGTACAGTACAACGCGTCGCGTACTCCCTCAATGACGCCCTCATCGCGTTTAAGCCCTTTCCATGTTCGCCGTCGCCTCAGCCCAGATGGGAGAGCTCCAAGGTGGCGTGATTCTTCCTTGTCTTCAATCTAATTAGCCTCGCCTGGGGAGAGAGTGAATTTGTGAAGGAGGGCGGCTGAGGAAAGAATGCAAGCGTAGAAGAAGCGGTCAAAACGCGACGTGGGAACGACCAGTTTTCTCATAGCCGTGGATAACCACCCTCTGCCACTCATCCTCACCTTCTATGCTCTTTATCGACGAGCACTCAGAGGGCCATGATTCCTCTGCTGGAAGCGACGCTGCGTGCTGCAGCCAATAACTATTTGAGTCGACTAGCCAAGACGATCTATGTCGTCTTAGCACGAGGTCCGAGCAGGCGCTCAGCACACTCCGGCGAGGCTCTGCGGTCGGTCATTACTTCCTTCCATCTGTTCGACCGATGCTTGTGCTACCAGACAAACTACACCGTCGGCACCGAAAGTCTTCGAGGGTCCGGATGGGCAAGCAGCCGCGGCACAACATTTAGCCGAAGTTGGAGATCTTTGTGGGGCAAGCGCTGCAGGCGCAGATCCGACAGAATCTGGCTGATATCAACGGGTACGCAGATTGACTACTTTGTGACCTTGCAGGTGCCGTATCAGCTTGCTCTGTAATATTGGCTCCGCTTTTCCAATCTCAGCCGTTCAGAGAAGAGGGTACCGCTGTTGCCTTGTTCTAAGAGCTGTAGGGCACCGAGGACGTCTGCTTCGCAAACTCATTTATTATTAAGGTTTTGTATTCTGGGCCTGCTTAACGAAAGTTGCGCTTTCTGCACTGCGCTAGAACTTTCGAAAAGGGACTCTAAGCCTGCTAGGGAGCGGCGCGAGCACTTCGCTAGAAGCTATCGCGCAATCGCCCCAACGACTACAATCACTGGAGAGACTAGGCATGCATGGAGAGGCCCTCTCACGTTCTATTCAAGGCCTCAGTGACGTCAGGGTGCTCAAGGGCAACGGCCCAAACAACAGCGTTTCAGAAAGAAAGATCCAGACATCACCGACAGGTGCTGGTTTCTTCCAATAGTCTTGCTTGGCATCTCGCAAGGATTCGATTTTCGTCGACGAGAACAGCAAGACAACCACGGCGAAAGCGAGGCTTCCAAGGGTCATGACCAGGGAGGCTGCTGTTCGTCGACCCATTCTTCCCACCCGAAGATGCGCTCGAGCCTACTCAAGCCCAATGTGAGCGCCTCTGGAGCCAAGGTGTAAGTCATCCGGAAGAAGCCTGGGACGGGGTGCAGGTAGCTCGTCCCCGGGGCCAGCATGACTCCTTGCTGCCGCAGGCGGTCGAGAAGCCTCATTTCCGATTCTCTGGCCGCAGCCTCGTCCTCGCCGGGGATCACATCGAGATGCCGGCGCAAGTCGATGAGAAGGCAGAAGCCGGCGTTGCTGGGGACATATGGCACGCTGTGTCTTCGAAGAAATGCCGAGAGGTAGTTGTAGGAGGCCGCGACCCTGCGACGGTTCTCAGCCATGTAGCGATGCCGGAATTCAACGTCGTCGAGCAATGCAGCAAAGAGATTGGCTGACGGCGACGCAGTCTGAGCCAGGAGAGCCGTGGAGAGGAGAGCGCGACAGAGATCGGGATTGTGCTGTGAGATGACGTAACCGAGGCGGAAGCCTGTGCGTGTGACGACGGGCTCAGCCATGGGAATGTGCTCTACAATATACAGCAATAAGCAAGTGAGTGGGGGGATGACTGACCATTGATGCTGAAGTCTTTGCTGGCGCCCGAGATGACGTGAACGCGGCTCGGATGAAGGCCAGCTTCCTTCTCTACATCGATGCCCAGGATGGAGTAAAAGGGTGTCGGATCAGGGACGTCTTCTGTGCGAAAGACAGATCTCGAGTAGATTCTAGACAAGGCGCGAGCTCAGCATGATCCTGAAGAAAATGAACGCCAGCCTTTTGTGCTCACTCATCCACGACAAGATGCAGATTGTGGTCTGCTGCAAAGTTGGCGAGGGCAACAATGGTCTCCCTAGGATAGATAGCGCCCGAAGGGTTGTGAGGGTTGCAGACGAGGAGGCTTCTGACTTGGGTTCCTTCCTTCTCTGCCTTATTGAGCGCATCCGCATAGTACTTGACGGTTTCGGGGGCAACGTGCTCCTTTGGCTCTTTTGCGGAAGCCACAGGAACCGGAGGCTGGACAACAACCAGCTTGGCTCTGTCTCTCGTGATCGTGTTCCTGATAAATGCGTCCTTCAAAGTGCTCCACATTTCGGTCGTCAGCTTCGAACTCTTCCTGCTCCTTTGTCCCACTTTCGCCTGCATATACACTCACGTAGTGGGGCTGCGAGAGTAAAAGGCCCTCGCCGTCATCGAGAAGAGCCCAGAAGACAGCATCCAGAATCCCCGTCACGCCATTTCCTACGACTAAATGCTCGGGTCTAACCTCCGTAATTGGCTTTGGCCAGTGCTGCCTCTTGTCGTCTTCAAAGAAAAATCCATCGGGAATCGTATTGACTATGTTGCAGATGGCTAACAGCAATCTCTTGCTGCACATTCCCTGATCGGCATATGTGAGGTCCTCAGGTTTCAGACCGAGTCGTCCAGGAGCATTGAAGAACTTGACAAGCTCGGGACGCATGAGCTGGTTGTCGGCTTGTGACATCGGGATAGGGCCCTCTGGATTCTCCAAACTCCAACACTTGGAGCGCTGGTCAAGGAAGCGTCCAATGACTGCTTCAATCTCAAACAAGTTGCGCAGCCCCCGTTTCGAAAGACCAGCTTTCTTTTGGCGTTCGGCGTGCTCCATCGCAGAAGTTTTGGCAAACTCGGTCTTCGCTATGGGGGCCTCAGGCGGTGAGGACATCTCCGAGCGATATGCTGCTGCATGAACAGTTGAGCCGCTGCTGAGTGTATTCTCCATTGCCTCTGAGATTGCGTCTTGGCAACGATGAGGGAGAGAAGTGCAGTGTCGTTCCATTCCTGCTGCGCCTGCTGCTTTTATGTGCGAGGTGCACTCTCTCATTGTTCCTGTCCTTGGAACACATCGTGTCACTGTCTAGTCCGCATCTTTATTGTTCGGCCGTCGTCTTGCCCGAGACTTGGCCGGCCAATGGGGACTCCACCACCGTACCGTTTCTGTTATAATGCTGATGACGTGGGGCCGAATACATCGGACGCTAGTAGCTGCTTGACCCCTCAATTATCGCTGCGCTTCTCCTGGCTTGAGCACTCCCTCGAGCACGTGCTCTCTTCTGGCGGCGAAAAGGCCGCTTTCTGCAGAGGACAGGAACCCTTGAAGCGGGGTCCATTCCCAACGCTCAAGCCTCTCTTTCTCTTTTCTTTCTCCTTTTTCTTCTCTTCTTCTCTTGAGATTCTTGACCAAAGAAAGCGATATCAGAGGAGAATCCGCGAGGGGCTAGTGAAGTCAAGAAGTCACTACATTGTCTAGCATACAATAGTACTGTACAGTACAGTACATAGCATCGCTCACCATGCTGGTCGAGGCTGGCCACCGACGCTAGCTGCTCGAGGAGCTGTTCTCCACAAGCTTTCTGAAGGGCGCAAAGACATCTGGTAATACCTCGCTGTCCTCTTCGATCAGCCTCGCCTCGATGCGCTTAACACTTTCTGCATTGCGAAAGTTGACCCAGTAGAGAAAGTAGTCGAGGTGAATGGCATGGAGATGGAGGTCGAATCGCTCCTTGTCCTTTTGCCACTGCCAATCCCCATCGACAGAGGCGTTACAGGAGGCGGAGAAGCCGCGCTGATAGGGCTCGAATAGCCACTCCTGGAATTGGGCCTGGGTTAGCTTGGTGGTAAAGGCGAATCTGGCCAGGGGATACATTCGATCCATAAGCATGAGTTGTGTCTCCCTGCCTTCCTCGCTCAAGCCATAGCACCGACTGGGGTCCAATCGATCGACCAGCACGCCCTGGGGGTATACGTTGCCAACGCACAAATGCCATCTTGACCGGTATCTGCGATCTCCCATCTTGCTCTTCACGTGCTCCGCGCGGTCCCGTACAGCCTTGACAGTGAGCTTGACGCCGTGCTCGACGAGCCATTTCTTGGCCGCATCCATCCCCTCCAAGAGGATTTCCCCGTACCGACCAAGGGCACCATCGTAGCTGAAAGAGTTTGGAAAACGTGATGACTGAATAGGGTCACGCAGGGCCTCGTTGGCGTGGCGCTGGCCCATCTCGAAGCAGGTCGAGGCAATGCGCAGAAACCAGTCGTCTCCCTGGCCTGTGAAGTCGCTCAGCGGACACGCCGTGTCGGGCAATGTCGAGGGATTCACTACAACGCCAGTCAGATGCTGAATCGACTTGAACGTTTCCAAAGAGATGTGGGGGCTGATCGCCGTGCTCGGCGACACGGTGACCCTTTCTTGGATGGGAAGCTATCGAACAGAAGTCGCACTCAGCTTGGCTCGCAAGTGTCGCAGGAAGCAACCTCACCTTTTCGAGAGCTTCGGCAAGCTTCAAGACTTCTGCTGCTTGGGTGGCAGACTGTGACGGATCACCAAATGCAAAAGTGTTGCTCCTGGCGATGCATGCTCGACCGGTGGCATCAGAGAGCATCCATCCGTCCGGCCCATGCAACGAGAGAAGGAGGCAGCTGGACAGCGACTGATCAGCTCAGCCCAGCCCACTTTTTCCCTCTTCAGCCTATTCTCACTAGTCGTCCTGCTCCGACACAGCCTTGGTCAGGCCTCTAGACTGGATCCGAAACGGCTTGGCAGGCTCCCATGGATCGTGGGCCACATGGGAGGTGCGCTGGCCCCAGATGCGCCGTCCGGCTGCCTCTCCGGTACACCGTTCGAGATTGCCCCTGAGCTCCAAGTCGCATCGTTGCGCCGACTTCTCAAAGGAGACAAACGACTTGGCCCTCCAAGTCGAGCCGACGAGTTTGCACATGGTGAGCAGCGCAAAGCCCGTCTCCACTGGTCCATGGGCCCCTCTTCAGCACAACAGCTCTGTCAGCTGTTTCACATCTACTTACACGCCGAAGCATCCGCCATTCGAGGCAATGACGTGATGATGAGGTGAAATGCCTTTCCGATTGGCCGTCTGACGGTGTCGTCGGTGATCTTCTCGAGCGGTAGGTGGTCTCGGCCCGTTGGAGGCACCGCAAGTCGAGCCTGGAGGCCATTGTATACGATTGGCCCTTATTTTCAAGATCAGCAGATGGGCCGACACCCTCCAAGAAAGGTCAACACTCACTGCCAGAGTAGTCTCTTGACTGCTCGCCCATGGCGAAACAGTGGCTCTTTGTCACATTCTTGTCGACGAGATCGGAAAAATCAACGTCCGACGGACTCCAGGTGAGAGCTAATTGCGCGCTTGCATAGACCGAGACGGCAAACTCCTCAGCCTGAGACAGACGAGGGCGCTTCTGGCCTGCACTTGTCCCTGCAGACCAGTCGGCGGCGGAGACATTGCGGTCAAACGTGACGGCAGGGTGGGGCAACACCAAGTCCGGGGTCGTGCTCAGCAAGGCTGGATCGATCAAGCGGGGAGATGAAGGTCCCTCAGACGAGGGTTGGATGAGCATATTCGAGTAGTCAGAGGGAGGAACTAGGGGTCGATCGACGAGCCAAGCGTCGTACCCTGCGATTCGAGTGAGATCGAGGAGATTGGCGAGTTCAAAGAGGGACGCGGGAGCAATATATAAAAGTCGTCGAAATCGTCTATCGGGAAGTGAAGCATAAATTAGATTTACAGAAAGGGTATCGAATACATACAACGCCACGCGCAACCGATAACCGCTAGCCTGACCGCCAGGAGGCCTTCTGGCCCATAGCTGACTTGGGAGGCTGAGAGGGACCAAGATGAGACAACTCACTCACCACCATGGAGGCGTACCAGTCATGGCGGCCCGGCAACTCGAGACGAGGCGCCATCTTTATCAATGTGCTCCATGATGACAGGCGTCAGTCTCGTCCACTCGCCGAGCAGGCGACATCGAGCTCCGATACGCAGCCGAGTGACGACTCGCCTCCCTTTTCCGACTCGCCGCAAAGAGGCAGTCCTACGGCGAAACGGACCAGACAGAACCGAGACAAGAGTCAGCGCTACCATTTCCGCGTCAAGACTCAGCGACGAATACTGGCCACACTGCATGCCGAGCTCGAAAAAGAGGCAGAAAAGGTCTTGGACGCAGGCACGCTCTCGACCGAGTTGCGGCAGGCTTTCGCACACAGGCGCTCACTCCCTACCAATTCGTCCTCTCAGAACCTTACAACGAACGAGAGAAAGAGGAACAACAAGATAGTTCATCGGCAGCGGGAATTGGAGAAACTCGAGTCGATTTCCTTTGTGGCTGCCGCCTTACTTTCTCGCTGCGAGAACGACGTCGTTGCGACAAACTTCCCCTTAGAGGCTCCCGATTTTGCAGAGGAGCACATCAGATGGGCCCTTATCCAGGTCTTTTTGTCCTGGCACCGCGAGTGGGAGGAAATCATCTTGTCTATTGACAGGACAAGAGAGGATGTGGTATACCTCAAAGGCGATCCTTTACGACGATTAATCCAGAGCCTTCGTGAACAATCGCCAAAGTGACATCAAGATAGTTCAGAATCTATCCTCTAATCTACAATCAGCCTCTTCTACTTTGCTTGGCCCCTCTCGATGAGCGACACGCCACTGTCAGTCTTTACGAGCTTCTTGCTGCGTCGCTTCAGAAGCAGAAAAAGAGCAACGGCAAGGCAAGACGCGACAGCTGCACCACCTACCACCGGTCCGGCGATCCAAGCTTTATCGTCTCGTCGAGCCAGTCCGCAAGGGTCTCTGTTCTCCACTTTGCGACCAAAGGCCGCTTCGGGAAGCTCTCCCGTACAAGAACAGATCCTCGCAAAGTCCCCGTCGAAGGCTGCGCCACTACAGAGTGATGCGATCCCGAAGCCGTCGATGTAGGTCCAGTCGTCCTGGCCAACATCTTCTGCCCAAAGGTGCGCTGCACGGCTCTTTGCCGACATGTTCACGCAAGCTCCATCGACGCTATTTCCAGCCGTGATGTTGCCGATCTTGATAGAGGTGGCGGCGACGACATTACAGTGCCTCCCAAAGTCTGCTTGCCATGGTGTTGCGAAGCGTCTTTGCCCCTTCGTCAGTCGTGTGGTACTGCCTAGCATTTGCCAGATGGTGTTTCTCACTTATCGCCTGGAATTTGGCCGCCTGCAGTGCTGTTGGAAAGCTCTTGACCGCAGGCACATATATATCGGTTTGGAAAACCGGTGTCCGGGTCCGGCCAGCTCAAGTTGCGGAGGACATTGTCGCACGTGTAAGGCTGTAAGCCCTGATAGGAAGATGGGATAGCGCCCAGTCGTGCTTCGGCGGTACTCAAGTTCCAAAGGCATTCCTCTGTCGAGCACGCGCCAGCTGGTTGGACAAAGAGATAGTTGCCATCGGTGAAGTCCACCTCACAGACTGCTGGATCGAATGTCGACATGATGTGCTTATGGTGGGGTGGTTTTCGTGAGTTTAGACTCGACGACAAACGCTCGATACCATGTCACGAGCGTAGCGCGCGCGGAGCTTGAAAATCGCTAGCGTTCCCGGGCGGCCATGGTGGAGAGTCTCGAAAGTCTCTAGCTTGCCCGAACACGAGCTGGCCGTTTGACGTCTCGCCGAACCATTTATTGCGCAATCTCTCCGAATGAATATTGCTCTTATCTCCCTTGTATTTCCAGCACGAAACTCTTTATCTGCGCACGGCCGCAAAAGCAAGCAACAGGCACGAGTGATTGCAGTGACAAGCGTTTTCGCGAGACTTTGGTCCGTCTTGCTAAGGAAGTTCGGTCCGGTTCGTTGTGACGGGGTAACTAAGGACCTTAGTCAAGATCCAAATAAGAACTCGAATACAGCATTGTTTGCAAGCGTATGCGTATGTAAAACTCGAGAGATTAATTGATGAACTTTGCTCCAGCGCGCGGACGCCTGAGTTCCACATTGACCCGCTACTGTAGAATATATGCACCGCTGACTTTGAATACCTTGCCCGCCCTGTTAGAGTCAGAAACAGCAAGATAGTAAGTGTCAAAGGGGTTCCAGGGGGCATTTCGAGAGAGGCAATCATCATCAGAAGATTGCTCGACATAGCGGAGGCGTGGTTACTCTAACTACAATGATCGAATTCACGGTGACGCCGACGATGTAGCGGCATGTATGAGAAAAAGCTTGTCTTCTCCGCAAGAGCTTGGCTCGTCCAAAGGCAAGTCTCTCAGATTGATGGTATCAGATTAATTAAGACCACCAGCCCTTGTCTTGTCTCCTCGAGCGGGGTTTTTTTTTTTTAGACAAAGATATGTCCGCATTGCATAACATGAAAGATGACCGGGGTTGCCCTTTGAAAAATAACATGTTGAAAGAAAAAGCGAAACTTGTGTTGATCGAGGATTGGAGAGAGAACAGTCAAGACTCGAATCGATGGGAGATAGAGTCAACCCCTGGTCGGCTCCTCATCTTTCAGAGTCCATCCTTTGGTTGTGGAAGCCTCCTCGTCGATCCCGACAGGGTATGCCTCATTGACGTAGCCGAGGTCATGGACGAGGCCGATGCTCGCGTTGTTCGCCTGCTGCTGCTTCCTTCGCCTGAGGCAGCAAGCCACAATGAGGGCGATCAGAGCCAGCACGACTACTCCGCCTCCTACGCCGCCGCCAATGGCCGCTGCCGAGACGGGTTTTCCGGTGGCGGTCGGGCTGTGAGCAGTAGCAGGTGTAGTGGTCGTCCCAGTCGAGCTGGAGCTGGAGGATGTTGTGGTAGTAACGGGAGTAGGATGGAAAGAAGAGGTGACGGGAGTAGGACGAACGGAAGAGGTGGCGGGAGTGCTTGTGGTGATTATGGTGCTGGGCGCGGTGGTTCCCGGCACAACCGGGGTAGCAGTCGCAGGGCACGTGAGGTAGGGAGAAGCTTGGGCGACATCGGGATCATTCGCTGAGCTGTAGTTGATGGGATTCCCACTGTATGTGTAGATACCCGCCTTTGGAGAGCAGATTATGGAGTCTAAGTCTCGGTTCTTAGGTGGGCCTCAACATAGAGAGAGCTACACTTACGGTGAGGGTGTAGGTGCCCGCCGCGGGGAAGTCGACGTTTGCGACGAAAGACCCAGTCAGGAGAGTGAGAGAGAAGTGATCCACTAGGTTTATGTATGTGACCAGCTGGTTCTGGCTGTCATAGACGTTGAATCGGTCACCCAAGTTGAACTCTCCGCTGATGATGCTTAGTGAATATTTGAGCTGTGTGCATGTTGAGCCGGTGAAGTCGACGTTGAAGGCCCTAGCCAGGCCAACACTGACGAGCAAAAGAGCAAGAGGGTGGTGGAAGATCATCTTGTTTCACGGCTTGACTTCATGACGGCTTGTGAGCTCTTTATAGCGATGTGGCTGTCCCTCGCGCACGTCCTCGTTGGCTCTCTCAAAAAAGTCTCGACCATGTCGCCTCACCTTTACGCGTTTTGACTTTTTTGTGTTTCGGGACCTCGCAATCTCCCATTCTCGCTTGTGGCTTACTTTCCTTTTCAACCTTTTCATGTCACAGCAGGGGTGAGAAACGTATCACTAGAGCAGTGTCGGAGGGACGGAGGGGATGGTGACTACTCTATCGTCTCGCGTGACTTGTCGACAGCCTTGCTCGGCTTCGAAGCTTACTTGAAGTACGGTGCTGTTCCTGTTCAGTTCCAAATATTTCTGATTCTTTAGGTCCACGTTCGGACTAGACTGTCTAGCCTCGTGATGAGGATGATACCGAAGAAAGTAATTGCACTCACTCATCTAGCACACTCACGATTGCATTATCCGCGGAGATGAGTCGGGGTAATTCCTTGCACCGGACCGGCTGAAAGAGAGCAGCTTGTCAGCTTGGAAAAGCCGATGTTTCTCCGCATCCAAACGCTGTTCTTCGCGTCACTGGCGTTCGATAGATCTTACGCCTTGGACTTTATTTGGGAGAAGATTCCACCTACCTGCACGTTGCTGTCGCACCATGGGTAATGAAACTGCCGAAAGCTGGTCGCGATGAAGCACCCTGGGCAAGTTTTGCGGAGGAAAATGTATGTTCTTCATGGTGTCGTTCATGTCGTGAAAGTGCAGACGTAAATCGTCAAGTGTCAAACCAGATTCGGAAGTGCTTGCGCCGAAGACGAGGATCTCTAGTATACCAAGGGCCTCTAGTTGCTTTTGTTCTGAAGGAAAGTGAACTCTAAAGTCGTTCCAAGCATTTGACCCAAGGTGAAGATATTGCTGTGACACTTGGTGAAGATCTGGCAATCGCCTTTGTCGTTGTAGATACAGAATGGCGCAAAGAAAGCTGGGTTTGAAGTGCTGCACACCAAGGTGTATACTCGACAGCATAGCCGCGTACGATGTCACGTACAGCGCTCGAATTAGGTCGTTGCAGCCAGGGCAGGCCTCCTCGACTTGCCAGACTAGTCTTGCGTCTTGTTGATCCATTCCATCCTCAAGCCAAGTCTTGATCCAGGACAAGCTGCAGTCGATGAACGCAAGGCAGAGATCGGTTGAAGCTGCGATGAATGCGTCACCGAGACCCTCATACCGATCCTTCATCTCTTTTCGTACTGCTCCTTGATGTGTCTTTGCAGGTCTTGGCGCTAGACTGGATAAATGCTCGAGCTTCTTTCCGCCTTCCTGTTGAAGACCACAGAGCAATTCGTTGACATGGACGCCCTTGTTACGGCCAAGAATGCCGTGTGTCAAGCCTCTTGCCAAATCGTCGCGCGTGCCAAAAATGCTCGTCATTCGGCCCAAGGCGTCTTCGTCCCATCGCTGCGCCGTGATTGCTCGGGAGGCTCTGCGAGCATAGCCGCAATGATTGCCCCAGCGCAAGGAGATCACTCTGGCTTCATCGTGTCCCTCCGAAATCAGAATTCCCCTCATGTGACTACCCATTCTTGCCCTGTCATACGGGTCTGGTGGAATGCTTCGTTGCCTGAGACCATGCACGCTGTCCGTGATATCGTGGGCGACCTGTTGTCCTGAACTAGTAAAGGGAAAGCGAAAGTCTTCCCACCTTCGAAAGGTGAGATTTTTATAAGTGCTTTGATCTCCAACGATCCTGTGGAAAGCTCGTGGCAAGTGAAAAGCAACCTGCTTATCTACCGCACTGCGGCTTGCATTGGTCCAGGCGAGATAGAAGATTTTGGCGCGTGATCGAGAAAGGATTGCCTCCAGCAGTCGGAATCCCAGGGCCAAGAGAGCGAAAAGACTAGCAGCGAGCAGTGAGCTTGCCCCGAGATTTTCTTTATCGATCCCGCGAACGATGCCGTAGAAAAGGGTGACCGAGGAGAGCAGCCCAGCGAGCCAATAATACGTCTCGACAGTCAGCAGTTGTAGGCGCAGAGTCCAAAATCCAGCTCTCGTCAACAAGCGAGGGAAACTGATGAGTAGCAGAGGAAGTGAAAGATTGGCGAGAAGCAAGATGGTCAGGAGCAAGGGTCCCATGATGGTGAAGCTTAAGAGTCATCGAGGTTAAATTTGCTCTACAGATTGACTGGACGGTTTTGTCGAATTTTCAAATGGTACTGTATGCGCGCCTGGTTTCCCACCATCTCTTCGACCACACGGTGTGGGATCCTAGTGTGGAAATGAGCAAGTTTCGGGGGCCTCGACTCGGGGAAACCCAGCTTGCCCAAATTTGCTACGGAATCGGCAGGGATTCCCAGCCCGACAGTTGTGGCGACGTCGAAGCCGTCGGAGCCTGAATTGAGCAAACGGCGAAAGAAGGCAGGGGATTGACTATTTAGTCTTTTGTTAAAAATGAGCGTACGTGTAGGCGGAGAAACAACGCTCGGGCCACCAAAGGGCATTGGCCAAATTCGTCAAAGCACGTTGCAAGTGTCCTTCTTGATCCCTTCCATGAGGTGAGAGAGAGGGCAAAGCCATCATGTATACGCTGCATTGGCCGTTAGATGGTCTCAATCATACCATCGCACTTGCTCTGTTGCACGCCAACTCACTTGGACTGCAGCGACCTTAGAGCGCCGATGCGCCCAGCGCCAGAGTGCCCATCATCATAGAAGCCATCGAGGAGCCTCTGGCAAATCGAAAGTCGACGACGCCTTCGTACGCTGTGGCAAAGTAGCTGTAGGTATCAAACACATTCAACCAAAAAAAGGCCACCAGCAGCCGCCTTCGTTCGCGCGGCTGGTCTGTTACGAGACACCAGGCGCCCAGGATGAGATCGCGCACCCCCCCGAGCCGCAGGGCAAGATGATTGATCTCGTGCGGAGGCGTGTGGAAGAGATGGAGGGAGAGCCAGACGGGCGTGAATGTGAGTGCGACACCAAAGCAAAAGAAGACGGCGCCCACAGAGAGCTGGATGATCTGCCGGAGCGCCATCGTCGTGCGTGTCTGTGGAGGCGGGGGTCGACAGATGCTGGTGCACATTTGGGAGAAAGTCTTATCTCAAAACTTACCCGTCGCGTGGCACTCCACGCCGGGACGATCTGTCCGTGGATCACAAGGTGGTTCCTGGCCTCGCAGCTGCGGCGACGGCGAGGCCATTCGTGCCCCCAGTCAACCAGGCGACGAAAGGGAGCACAACAGTGTATTAAAAGAGGAGATAACAGGGCTTCTAGGGAATAAAGCAGAGGCAGTCAGTCAGACAAAGCCCAAGGCAGTGCAAGCCATGCCGGTCCCTTGTCGATCTAGGCGCCTTGCTACGATGCTGGCTACGTCGTCGTCGTCTTGTCTGCCTGATCAGACCACCCAGTGATGAGCACTTCGGTGCGTTGTGCGCGCTGCGGCCCCGAGTCTTATTTCGCAGGACGGCCATACGGCTCCTGACCAAAGTTCGCTTGCACCGTCCCGTAGAGCGCTCGCAGTGATGCGCCGTTGGCGCACGCGTCCAGTGCTCGCTCGGCAATGGTGGCCCCGCGAATGGAAGAGACCCAAAAGACAAAGGAAGCAATGCAAAAGTCAATGTAGCACGGCTCCTTGCCGAGGCAGTAGGGCGTCGCTTCCTCCGCCGAAGAAGGAGCATGGCCCTGCTTCCATTCAGCCACGACGTCGGCGAGACTGGTGAACAGCCTGTGCCCAAGCTCCTCGCCGTGGTCCAGGGCGGCCTGCGCGGCAATGAAGTCGTCGAGCGTCTTGGGCGCAAAACGTGCATTGCGCGACGTGACAAAGTACTCGGCGCTCCGCGGTTCGAGTCGGGCCGGCACGTAGGGAACGATGAACATGGTGGCTTCACGCTCGCGGATCACAGAGACGGCCGATCGATAACGCCGAGTGAGCGCCTGTACCTCGTCGCTGCCGGGCCAGAGACCCAGGTGCTCGACAATGGCAAAGGTACCCATGATGACGCCGAGTTGCGGCGCATCGTCGTCGGTGATGGCCGGGAGTGTGTAGGGCACCTCCTCGTTCTCGTCCTCGTGTGCCTTGGCACCCAGTGGGACGAGCACCTTGGCGATGTCAACCATGGGCACGCCATGCCGGACGAACGGCCGCTTCGAGTAGACGAGTGCGTAGAGGATCCGCTGTGTGTTCGGGGACCACGGTTTGCCCTCGGCATCGTCAATGTCGTAGAAATGGATCATGGTGTCGAGAGACGACTCTTACGGAGATGTCTAATTTCGATTAGCCGATTTGCTACCGTCGCGTGGCATCCTCCGCACGCTACTGAACTCATGCCGTCGACATGCATCACTTTTCTTTGATAGGTGGAGGCACTCGATCCGGGGTATCGGGGCATCAAACTCAGAGCGAAGCTGCACAAAACAGTGGTGAATGATATGCAAAGAAGGGTAAATAATTAGGACTGTCCAGACAATTTCAATCCGCTTGCATCTCGATTGACTGCCCCAGACGGAAATGGGATGTTTTAGCTTGCCCTTGGGTGCTAAAGCGGGCCCGGACCCTGCTGCTACAGCGACGGCCAAGCCGTTGACGCTCCCGTCATTCAGACAACAGCAAAGCGCAAAAGATGATGTAAACAGGATAAAAGGAGCGACTTCAAAAGAAGTAGCAGGTGTCGTGGCGCGCGCGCGTTCGGACCAACAGAAGCGTCGGCTGTAAAGGTCGAAGTCGGTCGAATTTCCTTCTTGACAAAATGCATGCCCGGTAGAATGACTCGGCTTTTAGACTTGGTGCCTGCATCGATTCGCCGCGCATTGGCTCAGTAGCAACGCGCGTTGTTCTCTGCCTTTGTCAGACAGTCAGCAGTCGTGGCCAATGTTTGTTCCGCATTGATCTCTCACAATCTCAGACGACTTGTTCACGAAAGACCTTCGCAGCTTTGCCGTCACTTTCACTCGAGACGCCGATGCGCTACTGAGAGGCGTAGGCCACCTACAGAAGATTGGACTAAATAGGACGCGTGCAGAGGACGTCGCCACCCACAGTGCAGCGACACTGTGATGCTTGATGAGATGTAGAGGTCGAGTCTGACTGAAGCTTCTGCGCACTATCCGCAAGATATCAAAGACGAAGACTAGGTGATGGCCGTTCCCATAAACCATCGTTCTACGCGCAGGCGCCCACGTGGATTGAACGCAAGACGGCGGCACGCGTTTACCAGGTACAGGGGTCCACGCTGCTAGACTAGCGGCCAGCATACACGCGCACTTGCTATTCCTGCCCCACTCTCATTGTTACCACCACCACCACCACCAGCACGGCATTGACGATGGAGCTGCACCTGTTGCCCTTCTACACGGCCAATATTCTCCTGCTCGCTAGCTTCCCGGTGGTCCTGCTCGCCATCCGGTACGCCGGGTCAGCTGCCATCTCGTTGGAGACGCAAATTCTGACCCTGATTACCTTCATGCTGCGGTATATGGATCTACACAAGAACTGGCAAAGTCACGACACCTACAGAGTTGCCTTTAAGACGACGTACATCTCCCTTGCCACCATTATTGTGGTGACTCTGGCAGCGGCGAAGTGTGTTTACGCGGATCTGCGCCTAGTCCGTTGACCTGCAGTCCTGATAATTTTCTTGTCCCTCTTCAGATGGCACGCAGGGCATAGATGCGCATGGCCGACGTTGCTCATTCCGATAATCGTCGTGTCTGCCGTTCTCGCTCTACCGTTGCGCTATAAAACGACGACCATCAGCGGCGAGCTGTTCGAGTTTGCGTGGGCCATGTCCGAGTACCTGGGTGGCTTGGCGCTTCTCCCTCAATTGATACACTCCTGGACCCGTCGTTTCTTGCGGAGAGATGGGGAAGGGCCCATCCGTGTGCATCGCTCCATCTTCGTGTACCTCTATGTGTTGCTCGGCCATCAACTTCTGTATCTTATCAACTGGACAGTCAAGTGCGTATAGAGGGCGGCAGCGACCGAATGCAGCGCTGAGCGTAGAGCTGAGCCACTTTGCAACAGGTACTTTGTCAACGACACGCTGGATCCAATTGCAGCTACGTCTGGCTCCTTTCGCTTCGCGTCTATCATTGTCTTTCTCGCCAGGTACGCGGAGCACGACTCCGAAGGCCAAGTGCTTCTCGTCTAGCCCCGCAGAGGTCCAGAATGGCATTTCTATGCACCTCTCTTTCTCTCTCCGTTTCCTCAAAACATGTCACAACATTTCCAAGTTTGAGTTCCTGGAAAAGAAGAGGTTGGGCGAGCAAAATACTACTCTACCACTAGCTTGACAAAGGGCTCTCGATTTTGGCGAAATAGGACTCCTACCGGTATAAACGGCGAAGTATAGCAAAACACGTGGAGACAATTTCAGAATCCATGCGGTCGATGCAGACCGCATGACGAGTCCCTCATCGTTGAGCTCGTGTGATCACCTTCATTGTAAATGCGGCACCATGTCTCATCGACGTCCAGCGAGACAAGTGTTCGATCCGGCATCGGTTCCCCGTCCACGGTCCTCTTCGAGCAGAATCGCCCCAGCCAGATGCTGCTGTTTGAGCTTCATTCTAGTGTGCACCGTCATATTTCTATACGGCCTTGCTTTTGTAGCAAAGACGTTCGTTGAGGTCGCTCGCAACTTGGCTTCGCCCCATCAAGACATCACAGCCGAGAGCACTGAGTCCCATAAAGTAAAGCCTCTAGTCAACAGCTCTTCTTCATTCGACGTCTTGGCGACCGTTTGGCTCGATGTGACTGAGCATCTTGCGGCTGGCCTGCTTCTGCCCCCGGAGACGGCCGTCGTCACATACGAAGCTCCTCCCGGGAATCGACGATCCGAAGCAATCTTGTTCAGCGGGCCTATTATCGAAAACGTAACCATGTCTGAGCGCGCCCACGGCAACGCAAAAGTGAAGATACCGATCGAGCCTCTTTACTCGCAGAACCTAGGACCGTCGACGTTGCGAGCTACGTTTAAAATCCGGCCATACGGTATCGAGTCTTTAGGGAGATTGAATTCTTCCCTTGTGATTTATCCTCCTGGCTTACCGATCGGCCCTCGTTCGCCAACGTCGCCGCTGCTACACGAAACCAGGCTCATTAATGGCACCTGGACGCCGCGCACGATCTCCGAGGCCTTGGAGCATTCGTCTGTTAACGCCAACCTACTGACGCTGCTTCCCAGCAAATGGCGACTGGAAGATGTGACGCCAAATAAACGAGAGGCAGGAGTCAAAGTTCTCAAAGATGCTCACTTCGACAAGTCGGAGGCCAACGTCGCTTTCACCGAGAACAAAAAGGTCAACGGGTCCAGTCGACACCTCTACGTCGACGAAGAACAGCGCCTAATGATTCCTCATCTGCTCGCTCGTAGCCGACTTGTCCTTGTCAAGGAAGAGCGAAGCCTTCAGGCTGCCGAATACATGAAAAGACGAAAGGAGGCTGCAGATCAACTGTCCGCTACGTGTAAGCCGTCGAGCAGAGTTGACAGCCACGAAACGGTCGCGGAGCACTCTGGGCTTTGCTCGAGGCCTTATCATTCTTCACTGTTCGAGAACTTCATCAGCACTATGACCGAGGAAGAAGGCCATCTGAATTTGTTCTACGCCCCTTTCCTTATTCAACAGCAACGAGCGCTCGCGTCGCGCCACTACAGGACGCTGCCCCTCTCCAGACCATTACCGGGCAGCGCGTCAAAAGTCACCACGACGGTTGAAAGGAAGGAGTGTCTCATTCCGTTGGTCGAAATCGACGACAGCGGTGATTTCGTTCTCTTCGACTGGCACGTTTCTTTCTCGTCTCATAATCACATGCGCGCCTCTCTGCCAGACGATATTCATTGGATCCGCCAGCTCAGCCCAGGTATAAATGTCACCATGGCAGGCCTGCCCGAGAGTCCCAGGGTCAACGCTAGTGTAGAAGACGACATCCAATGGCAGGTTCGAGGTTGGTAAAGTCGTAGGTAAAAGACCCGGAGTCAGAATGGCGCTGACGTCGCTCAACGTTATGAAGCATACAGGTTTGGCGATCGGGAGCATCAGAACAGCCGGCCGACGCTCGTCTTGTTGAGTGCTGTGCTTGAGACTCTCGTCTCCATCCTTGCAAGAGCTTGTGAGTACAGTGGTCCAAATTTTCCATTCCCGGCCATTGCTTCCACTGACTTGCTTCAGTAACATCTTTCTACTGGTACACACGCGCCACAACCTGTGGCCTATCCAGCCGCGGTCAGTGGATGTTGCTTTGCTCGTTCTGCTTGCAGCTCTATCTACAGGCTCCTACACCCTGGGACCTTAGCCTTGCCGGACTCGTCACGACCTTCTTGTTTCTGGTCTTTTCGATTCGGCTTCCTTTGCAGCTTTGGGTCCTTCTCAGACTAGAGTACGACAAGTCTCGAAAGCTGTTGAGAATCCAAAGGCGCCCTGCCGGTACGCGAGAGAGGGCGACAAATCGACTCGATGGCCAATTTGGCTGGATCATACCCGTGTCTGTGAGTGTGCCACGAAGCTGCTCCCCAAGTCGCCATGTTGACCGTCTACAGCTGCTCTTGTTCTTGACGAGCACAATGATCCTCGTCAAACCGCACACGCTAGCGGTCAAATCTGCACAAGGCTGCTCACCCACTGTCAAAAAAGATCGTCGAGTATTTGCGTCACACCTCTCATTCATCCTCTACGTGTCAGGCGACATTCTGCAAATGTGGCACAACCACAGGTCCGGCCTCTTTGCCGGCAATTTTAAGCTCACCGAGGTCATCGGCCTAGCGTCTTTGGTTCTCGCTATGTCAGTTCACCACGTCGAGTTCATTGGGGGCTGGCAACCAAGGCGTGACGCCGTCAGCTTGACCCAAGTCGGGTCATACCTTCTAGCTTCCCTCAGTCTGTACCAAGCTCTTACCTATCCTGGGGTGCGACAAGACGTGGACGATGAAGACAGAGACCTGTAATCAACGGCCATCACGATCCCCCTCCCTTTTTTTAAACCAATTTAGGGGGTTGGTGCCAAACATGAAGTTGTCCATCCAAAGTGCGATAATTACATCTCGGCTTGTGCAAAGAGGCTTGAACTGGAGCGCAGATGCAAAAAAGAGGCACAATCTGTACACCCAGCTTCGTGCAGATAAAGTCTTGGCGGGCGGTGCAAGCTGGGTGCATATCACACGTGTGCGCGCTGAATTTTTGTTTTCGTAAAGAAAAGGGCGAGTTGGGGTTGCTCCGCCTCTCGCAGTCATGGCGCAATGGGCTGACTCGGTGCAAGAGTGTGACTCGGTGGACGCGGCCGAGCTCGACGACCCGCCGATATGGCAGGAGCAGCTGTTTCTGCCGGTGGGAAGTCCCAGTTTTGATATGAGGCTCGCCGTCGATGGCTCGCACTACGACCCGCGCTTCACACGCCCGTGGCAGACGGTGGGCGTGCCCGCAGATGGGATGCACTACAGCCACTACACGCGCCGACAGCGCAGTCGGACGTCGCCCGATGCTGCCAAGGAGACGCGCGATGGCGCATGGATCCGCAACCGCGGCCACGAGATCCCCCTCACGGCTGCCGTGCGCAGCGGCGACGCTGGCCGGCTCCAGCGGGTCATCGAGTCGGGCCACGTGGCCGCCGTCATCGGCGACGACGACGAGGACGCCATCCTGGGGCCGACCGAGTACCTGGCGTGCCCCACGACGGGCGAGACCGCGCTCCACGTGGCGGCCGCCTGTGCGCGTGCCGACATGGTTGCGCTGCTCCTTGATGCGGGCCTCTTTGGCGCCGACGAGCGCGACGACTTTGGCGCGACGCCGCTCATGTACAGTACCTCGCCCATGCCTCGTCGAAGCCTGTGCGCGTTGGAGCCACGAGCGAGGCCCAGGTCCGCGCCTGCGTCGACGTTCTTCTCGCCCGTGGCGCTAACGTCGACGCGCAAAACACAGCCAGCGACCCGCTGGCCGACGATCATCACCGCGGCGAGTTCGCCACCACGGCTCTGGGCTGGGCGGCGAGGGCGTGGAACGGGGCGTTTCTGCGGGCCATGCGTGGTCGCGCCGACTTCGATGCCCTGCAGCAGCAGCAGCAGCAGCAGCAGCAGCAGCAGCAGCAGCAGCAGCAGCAGCAGCAGCAGCAAGGACAATCGCAGAGACGCAGGAGCCTCGTGTGCTATGTGAAGCACTCTCTCGTCCCGTTTGGCGCGGCACAACACGCACACGGATATGGCAGTCATGAAGGTCATGCATCGCCGCCAAATCTCGCGTGGGACTATAGCAATACGCGGCTGCTGCGCAACGACGGAGCCACGAGCAGCCGCGACTGGGCCCAGCGTCGCCTCGACTGCTGGTGTGCTACTGTCGATGCGCTGCAGCAGGGGGGCGCGCGCGTCCGACTCAGCGGCGACGTCGTCGCACCCGCTGGCGTCGCCAGTCCCGCCTCGGTCACCATGCACCTGCTGCAGCGGTACTGCACGCAGGAGCACGTCGACGTGGCAGCGCTCGTGAATCGGGTGTGCACACTCGAGGGAGCGCGTGCGACCGTGGGCGTGCTTCTTGTCCTGCGTTCCCTGGGCCAGGACGACGCGTGCGAGCTTCAAGATCGTCTCGTTGCGGCAGGCGCCAGCATTAAGGGCGCCACCGTCTTCCCCCCGTCGAGCTGGGAGCAGACCGTCTTCTTTGGACGACTGCCTACGTTCCATGCGGCCCTGTACGAGGGTCGCGCAGCCAGGGAGGGCGACGAGTCCTTTCGATCCGACAAGCACAGAAACTACACGCAGCCGCTGCCCCTCGTCGCTTTCGCCCTCGTCGCCGCGCGGCCGGACCTGGTCGAGCAGCTGCTTGCACACGACGCGCACCGCGATGCACGCCTCCTGCCCGGCTTTTCCTGGCGCGACTTCATCGAGCTGCCCACGGACCTCCACGACTCCAACTGGCGTTTGGCCAGGCAGACGGGAAACCTGGAGGCCATCGCTCAGTACCTGGGCGTCTCGTCGCAGCGGCTGCTGCTCGCTTCCGAGCACCACAGACCGAGGCTCCACTCGCTCGTCTCTGGTCTGAATTAAAGCTATCACGAAGCGCATTGCGATCTCGCCAGGGTGCAGAGCTTGTCTCCGCGATGGGCCTCAAGCACGCGACGTCTGAAGCGGCTGTCTAGAATGTCCAGGACATGTACTCGAAGGACGCGAGACTTAGGCGCCAGCAAACAATGCACTGGGCCAGTCGTGTGAGCACACCTTCTGGTGAGATTGAGCTGCTTTTGTCTTTTTGACAGAGGCGGCCGATCATCACTCAAACGGAGCAGCACAAAGCGCGAGCGGCGATTCGGAGAAGAGGGACAGGGGAGAAGAGAGCCGACAAGAAAAAAGGGGAAATGAGGGAGGGGAGGGGAGTCGAGTCAAGCCGCCTTTTGACCGTCCCACCCCTTGTTGGCGTACATGAAGGCGAAGCAACGTCCCGGCCCATTCTTGCGCCCCGTAGCCACTCGTTTGGTCCACCCCGACTCCATTCCGCTCTTGGTGACGGCCTCGAGGCGGAAGTCGGCATGCACCTTTTGGCCTTTGCAGCTCCCATCAAGCACCAAGGCCACTTGCCACGAGCCGAGCAGGCCTACGTCCGTGGCCCTGTTCTCACGCATGTTGAGGTCAATCCCGGTAAATTCGTCGTTCAGCGTCGCTTGTCCAGTGACGGCCGAGGTATACGTGGACTCAGTGCTGACACTGCGTTTCCAATGGTGCCGTACATCGAGCCCGGTGTGGGGATCAGAGATGCCCAGGGATGCGCCGCTTTCCCTGTCCTTGCTGCGACGAACGTCTGCGGTGTCTTCCTTTTGGTGCCACAGCGTGAAGCGACGGATCTTCATGGTGCCTGTAGCTTGGGGATCAAGCTTGAACGCAAGACAGAGATTGGCTCGCGCAAAGATCCGGTCATAGGGATTGAAGGTGCACCGAAACGAGACGACGACGTCGCTTTCGCGCTGATTGCTCTGCAGGTTGAACAACTGGTAGTCGAACGTGATGAGATTGTTCTTGAGCCTGAGCCCTGGCAAGCCCATGGAGCCCTGTGTGCCCTCGCCGTCGTCCTCGTCACTCTCTGCTTGGAGAGCAGCCCTGATGTCGGCCTTTCCCCGATGCGAGACCGTGCTCACAATGTTGGTCTCGCCACCGAGGTGACCGCTCTCGTCTACATCCTCTTCCGTCCAGTCATCGACATCCAGACGGTAAAGCGGGGAAATGGCCGTGCTGGTCACGGCCGACTTTCTCGCGAGGGTGTCTCTGAGAGAAGGGAACGCCATCTGTGGCTGTAGTCTCCTGAGTTTGCCAAGGCAGCGAGTTTTGGAGAGGAGGAGCAAAGAAAGGATACGACAAGCTCGTTGCTCGGCCCCTGTGCTCTGGCCGCTCTGGACTAACCCTAACCCTCTCGACCGGCTCCTCTTTGAATCTGGCTCTTCATTCGAAATATAGTGTAGTAGTAGTAGTAGTAGTAGTAGTGGAAGTAGTAGTAGTAGTAGTAGTAGTAGTACTAGTAGTAGTAGTAGTAGTAGTAGTAGTAGTAGTAGTAGTACTAGTAGTAGTAGTAGTAGTAGTAGTAGTAGTAGTAGTAGTAGTAGTAGTAGTAGTAGTAGTAGTAGTAGTAGTAGTAGTAGTAGTAGTAGTAGTAGTGTAGGGTGCTGTGGCTTTTCGAAGATACAGTCGGGGACGAATCTAGAGAATTTCTGTCCACGACAGAGAGAGAGAGAGAGAGAGAGCAAGCGCAGTCCTTCGCACGGGCCTGGCGTGGAGCGAGATCGGGCCAGGCCCGCGCAAATGATAGGCACACCACCCACCCTGGGCGGTGCTCTCATCGGCCATCTCAGCTCCTTGTCACGGGGCACCAATGGCGAGTCTTTGCGACAACAGCTACGTCAAGGCTTTCCACCTGGCCCAGGTGGGGTTCTTTGACTCGGCGAGGGCGCTTGCGCTAAGCTCAGGGAGCCAGAATGGCTCAAACGAGGCTACTTTCCAGCAGCTCTTCACCCTGGCCGTCGTGGAGGGACTGGCGGGCGACTTTGTCGAACAGGGAAGGGTTCTGCGACGCTGCAGTCAGACCGCAATCCATAGCTCCAGCGAGCTTTTGCTTCTTCAGACAGCATCCTCGATCGTGGAGATTCGCATGGTCCAAGATCTCGTCGGCAGCGCCGTCAGAGTCAATCGCCTGTGGGCAGAGGCGAGTAGCCAGTCGCATAACACGGGTGCATCCTCCTCTCTGCTTCTTGGCGACGCCACGCTGCTGGAAGTCAAGCGGCAGCTGTGTCTTGCCTTTTTGCTTCTCCACACCACGCAGGAGCCGTTTGAACTCGTGCTGAGCCAGAGAGAAGCTGTGGACACCCTCAAAGAGCTGTCCCGTGCGCTTCTGGAAAGAGATGCTGACTCGCTACACGTGGCGGCAACGGCCACTGCGATCCGCTGGAGTCTCGGTCACTCGTCGAGTTCCTACAAAGTGCTTGCGAGAGAGGCGCAGGACCAGACCATGGCGTTACGATGGGAACTCATGGCCCTGGAGAAGGATGCCGAGGACGGCGTGAGGCTGGATGACGACCAGAAAGACCCCGAGCGGTGGCAACAGCTCACGCAACTTTGTCGAAGCTCCTCCGTTGCCAGCGATGTATATCAGAACAGGCTCGACCTTTTACTTTTCCAAGCCCGTTTCCAAAATGGCCCGCAGGCGAGAGGCGAAGTGGAACAGGGCCAGAATGAGCTGCGAGAGCTCAGACGACGCTTTGCGCGCGCTGGCTCCTATCTCGATGTCTGGGACACGTACCTGATCGAGATGAAGTCGCTTGCGCCCTTTCAGAACTTCGAGACGTCGGAAGCTGTCGTTCAGCGAGCGGTGGATCTGTCGGAGACTCGCTGTGGGCCTGCCATGATGCTCGCCGTCTTGTCGAACAAGGCCGATTGGTTCTACTCGCACGGCTGCCACTCTTCTGCCGAACGCCTGGCTCGCAGAGGCCTGCAATTCGTTCACGGCCTCACCCATTACCGGCTCAACTTCCTCCTCGCACTCTCGCAGGTTACGTCAGGATGTGAGCAAAAGCGCATCGCCGAAGAATGCTTCGACCTTGCAAAACGAATGGAAGAGACGCACTCATCCCGGCGCCAGGCGGCTCGCAATCTCGCAATGGTCTATGGTGCGGCGGAGGAAACTAGAGCGAGGGCAGAGGAGATCCTCCACGAGCAGATCACTGCCCAAGCCGAGGCTGGCTGCTACGACGGGATAGCGGATTTGCTGCATGTCCTCTTCCTCTTTGCATCCAAAGACCGGTCCTGTGACCAGATGCGGAGCATCGCACAGTACACGAAAGACCTGTCCCACAGTCGTCCGCAGCTTCTAGCTCTCGAAGCGGCTGGCATGGAGGCATCTCTAGCCTTGCAAGAGAAGAGATTCGAGGACGCGATGCTGGGCAACCTCCGATGCTTGTCTCTGCTGGGCAAGCCAGCCAAAGCCCGGGAGAGCTGCGTGTATAGATTGAGCATGGCGTCCTGTCTAGCTCTTCAAGGCCAAGTCTCGAAGGGGCTGGACGTCTTGGAAGACAGCTACCGTGATTTCGCCTTGATTGGCAATTGGGAGGGGCAAGCGAGGGTGCGACTGTCTCAAATCACCCTAGCCCGACCGCAGATAATTGCAGATGAGGGGGTCTATACGTCGGCCAGCGCGCTACTCCTCGAAGTGCAACAGCTGGTCGATCTGATGAGGCGAGACTACAACGCGCTACCACCTCCCGAAGCGCTGGTCAAGAAATTGGCTTTGGCACCGCTCGCCAGCCGGCTCTACGAGTCTGGGATCCTAAGCGCCCACAAACACGTCGGCAGCGGCCAACAGGAAGACTGTGAGGACGATCATCTGCTCTACTGGGTTCAGCAGTCGAAGAGCCGTCACTTTCTATCTTCTGCTTCTCCGTCTACCTCCGCTCCTCTCTTTGCCTCCTCCTCCGCCACCACACCCTTAGACGACGGCTCTCCCTTGCCGTTTCACGAGACAGTTACGAGTTGGGCAACCCGATTGTGGTCCTCCATGCCCCCTGGTGCGACACTGGTGGAGTGGTACACGGTCCAAAACCAGTTGCACGTTGTCATCTGCAAGACCGACCAGGAAGATGCGAGACGGGATCAAGGCCGGCTTGCCGCACCTGTCGTCCGACGCCGCCGCTTCCTTTACAACGACTACGACGCCCTGCAGCGACAGTTGAGCCTCGAGTTTGAAGAAGACAGGTGGTCTTCCATCGAAGAGCCTCCTTCGCTCTCGAGATTTGCTTTTTTGCTAAAAGGAGTCGAAGAGATCAGCAGACCCGACGAGCTCGTCATTCTGGCCCCCTTGCCGGGCATGGCCATCGCTCCGCTGCACGCATTCATCATTGGGAATGGTGAAGAAGCACAGCCGCTTCTGGCCAGAAATCCCGTTTCTTACACGTTTGGACTTTCGAGGGACTTCCAAGTAGCTGATCCCTTGCCTTCGAATGCTACTACTACCACGACGAGCCCTCTACTTGTTGGGTATCCTCACGGGGAGAGATTCCTGGCGCAGTCAAATTACAGGGAGCGCCTTGAGCAGCTCGCCCACAGCTGCTCTGCTCGGATCCTGACGTCTAGGAACGCATCACCGGACAAGGTGCGAGAGGAAACAAAGTCGGCCTCACTTCTATACTTTCAGACACACGTTGCCAAGCCTTTCACACCTGAAGATCCTCTCTCCGTATCCATGAAGCTCGCCGAGGGTCGCCTGACGGCTAGGGAATGCATGGAGCTTCCGTCGCCGGCCAAAGTCGTGGTGCTTGCCGGCTGCGCAAGCCTCCACGGCACCGCCAACGTCGTGGCGATGCTAGGTTTTTCTGCCGCTTTCGCCTTGGCGGGAGCTGATTCGGTATTTGGAACGCTGGCAAGGATCCACGAGGAAGACGCAACGGCCATCGCCGAGCAGCTGCTTCCCTCTCTTCTTTCGGTTGCAGACGCCACCGAGAGAAGCCACGCCGAGATTCTCCGTCGCGTCATCCTCCAACACCGCCGGAGGGAGGGACGCTCGCATCCCAGACACTGGGCCTCCTTTGTCTTGCACCGCACACGGTAATAATCACTAGGACACGTCTCTACCTTTATTCTCCTTGCTTTGGGCAACACGTTTATTGAAGCTCCCCGGCAGAGCAATAGCATGGGCATAGTGTATAAGACAGATCTTACTGCTGTAGGATGAAGATGCAGGTCCGATACACTCCTATAACGCGTTGCCAAAGCCCGGCGATTTGACTAGGGCTTCAACATTGGTGTTCTGTCGCAACGTTGCATCGCAAAAACAGCTGACAAGGCAGTGCCGAGGGGGTTTATCCCTGTCCAGAGAAGGAAGCACCTGGAAGTGGCAAGCCCGGAGCAGGCGTTTCGCCATGCAACATACCAAGCAGCGCCTACACTGATCTCAGAAGCACGGCTCTTGCAGGGTAAAGTGTGGTTAATCTGCAACAGCAAAGGTGGCATTGAACGTGTCCCGCAATTTTCGGGTCCGCTTGGGCATCTGCACGCCGACGCCGTTGACATTGACAGCTGTCCTCCCAAGCATAGGCCCTGCATGTCTGCAGGTCGTGCACAATCTCGCGAGGCTCCCCCACCCAAGCAAAACCGTTGCTCGAGACCCCGTGCTTGGCAGAGAGACCCTTCAAGGCCACAAACCAAGGCTAACCCAGGGATCTCGCACATAAAATCGACGCGGGCCCTCCACCCGATGCAACCCGTTACTTAGCACGAAAAAGTTGCAGCCTGCGCCTGGCGAAATATAAGTCGAGGCAGATTGGCGGGGCCATTCATTCATGCATGAGCACAACCACGCACGCCATGCTCTCGTCGCTGCCTGCGACCGCCATATGCGGCGTAGGCGTCGCCTACCTGGTCCTACGCGCCTCCTGCAAGTATCTCTGGGGTGTTCTCTATGAGCACAACCTCAGGGAGGCCACCGTCGTACGCGACTTGCCTCGCCTGGCCGAGACGCCCTCCACGCCACGAGGACGGACGTGTGTTGTGATTGGCGGGAGGTGAGGACAGGCACGGGTGCTTATGCTGCAACGTCACTCACCATCTCACACTCACAGCCTGGCGGGGTGCATCGCGGCAGGCGCCATGTCCAAGATGTTTGACACAGTGGTCCTCATCGACCCGCTCATTGACGAGGAGGAGCCCAAGAGATGGCGGACGCAGGTCGCCCAATTGAACCAGGTCCATGGTTTCTTGCCCACCTCGGTGCAGGGCCTGCAGCTCATCTTTCCCGGCGCGTTCGAAAAGGCTGTCATGCGCCGTGGCGGTCGCCTGCTGAGCATGAGCGAGTCTCCGATGGAGAATCTGTTCAACCACGGCTATGTAAAGTACGACGAGAATCTGGCGACGATCATCGCGGGCAAGAGCGACTCGCTGCCCATGTCGCGCTGGACGCTCCAGCAGGTTGTTCGGGAGCTGTTGCGGGACACGCCGTCGGTGATGATGGCAAAGGGCAGAGTCACGCGCTTCAAGTACAGAGAGGCGTCCGTCTGCGGCGTGCTGTTCGACGACGCCAGCGGGGTGGAGAAATCCCTGGACTGCGATCTCGTGCTCGACTGCTCCGGTCCCAAAAGGGCCTTTCGCAAACTCATCGCCGGTTATCCGCGATTCAGCGAGCCCGTCCTGACCGTGTACAACCTCCCCATGACCTATTCCACTGGTGCGAGGAACCGTTAATTCCTTCTTGACGAAGAAGATCTCTGACCTGGCGCTCTCTTCAGCTATTTTTGACATCCACCCCAGCCTGGTGGATCGCATGCCGGTGCCGGACTCGTGAGTAGCTGCAGATGACGGCTTTATCAAGCTGACAGACTGCCGTCGTCGCAGAATAAAAACACACACGACCTCGTGGCGCGATCTGGGCGGTGTGTCGATGGTCCTTCCCCATCTCACGCAAGTCGGAGACTTCCACATGATGTACCGAGGCGAAGGCAACAAGCGCAGGTGTCGGGTGTTCATGTGCTTTTGCCCGTCTTCGATGTCCTGACAGCTCTCTTTGCTTCCTCACAGTCACGCTAGGCACCAATATGTTCACGTCTGAAGGCGGTAGGAGCTATGACGAGGTGCCAGCCACAATCGATGCATATCGGCGGGCGTGGAAGTCGAGCCACTTTGCTCAGACAGGCCAGGAAAAGGAAGCATGGTTCGACGAGACGATGGATCTGCTCGAGGAGAGTGATCGTCTGCATGAGCATGCAACGCCGTTCTTCAAGCTGCGCGAGACGCAGAGCTACGCCTACCAGATTGATGCGAGCGGCGACGGAGGCAAGCGAGGTCTGCCCGACAATCTCGCCATTGTAGGCGACGCCTTTGCCAAGCTCAATCCTACGTTTGGACAAGGATGCAGCAAGGCAATGGCCGACGTGGCGACGCTGTATACAAGCCTCCTCGACCACGAGCGCATTGCCGACGCCGTGTGCGACTTTGACAAGCGCCGTCAGGCGCGCACGATGGCTATGTTCGAGACAAACATGGTTTTCGACTTTGGCTTCGAAAGCGTGCAAAAGGGTAAGAAGCGTCCTGTGCTTGCTTGCGTGAAACCGAATACTGACCGCCGGATTGCCGTCACAGCCAACCCAGCCCATCCCAGCAGCAAGGGACAGTTGATGCGATGGTTCTCCAAGGGCTTTCTCAATGCCATAATCAAGACAAAGGATCCCAACTTGGGAAACTCGTTTGTGGGCGTCACGTTGGGTGCACTGCCTCCGCTGGAACTCATGCGTCCCTCCCACGTCGCCCTATCGCTCTTCGCGCGGCGCTTCTGGGACTGCAGTCCGTAGTGTCACGGCTTTTTCGAACATGTTGTCTTGACATCTTTACTGTATCATATTATTTCGTGGTCGCTTGTCCGGAGGGGCAAATTCTAATCTAATGCATCACCGCTCCCCACAATACACTCTTTTCCGCTCCGTTTACGCTAGTCTTTCTCCGTCCGCTCCACGGAGAATTCAGCGCGGTGCCACACCACCGCCGTCGTGAGCAAAGGCATTTTCCGAGGATTTTCGCGCTAGCGGAGTCGCTCTGCACTGCCCGCTACGCAATCGCTGCGAGAAGGTGACTCGGGTTGCGCATTAAGGAAGACATCAAGCAGCTTATAAGGTTGGACGATCCCGACACAAGCCTCACGAGCAAGCACTTGCGCCATGCCGTCTTCGCTGCCCTACGTTCCCAGTATCAAGCCCTCCTACGCGCAGCATCGCAACAGGCTGGAACTGGAAGCAAAGGTGAAGGGCATGTCGTGCGCGAACCTCGACATCGTTGTGAAAGATGTCGGGACAAACAGCCCCCTATTCCAAGCAAAGGGCAAGTACGTCTTCTTTGCCAATGGAGTGGACGTAAAAGCAGCGCACGGCGCGCTTCTCTACCGCGTACGGCAGAGGAGACTATCGCGCCGCAAGGTGTACAAAGTCACCGACGGTGAAGTTCCAAAGGACGGGGCATCTGTGCTCATGCAGGCACAAGCCCGCCGCGCGTTGAGCGACTGGACAGACCTCGCCATCCACTGCACATCTTCTTCCGACAACGGTGGACAGCCACGTCCTTCGATGCTGAAGATTCGCACCGTGAGTCAGAAGTAGCATTTCCATTCCGTGTAGTGACTGACTTCAAGGATACCAGTCACATGATACGATCGAGGTCCTAACAGACAACGGCCTCGTTTTAGGGCAGATCATAAGAAGCAAATCTGCCTTGATCAGACTCAGCTGTGAGCACATTCTCCTGTTCAGTCTCACTCGGAAAGATTGCCGTCGCTAATGTTTGGGCGCCCATCAGCCGCTCAGTCGTACCGCATGCTGATCTCGCCTGGCGTGGATGCCTCACTCGTCGTTTTAGTATTTGTATGCATGCACATGCAGCGCCTCGTCCGCAAGAGCACCATGAGTACGGTGGCCGTCACCGCTGCCGCGGCCTGAAATGCATATCGAGGTCTGCTGTGCCCTAAGTGGCTAGAGCAGAGCAGCCGGAGGGACTCTTCTTCTAGTCATGTGTACAGCTACTGCCGTGGGTGTTTGTATCTAATCGAAGGGCAGCCATGTCAACTCAGCATTGTCGAGGCCATCTCGTCCCGTCTTGTCTGAGAATCCCGCACGCGTGTTGGGCAAAGTCTCGACCCTCTCTTGCACGAACAGGGATAAGCAAGAGAGGACGCTGATTGTCACTATCACTGTGGAGCAGGATCAGACAAGCCGCCCTGCAGCTGTGCCTGCACCCATTGGTCTCGAGCGCATTGCCTTCCTTCTTCATTTCGTTCGTCGGACGCCCGATGTTTATGGATCGATAGTTGACTCTTGACTAGGGTTCCTCGCCGTACCTTTGTCCGGCGTAGTGGACACCATGTTAAATCAAACCTCTTTTCTCTTTAAATTGGCCTTCATTCGATAGCTGAGAGAAGTGTAGTTGAGAACAAGTTTTATCTTCGGATGTCCAACGACGCGGGACTAGGTTGATTGAAGGGTCATCGGGGTTGATTGAGCTAGTTTTAATTTGAAAAAAGGCAAGATAAGAAGTAAGCGGCAGTGTCCCTGTCAGAGATAAAAGCATACAGTATGTCCCGGATGCTTAGGCCTCCCGGGGCGGTCAAACCCCCAGGACAAGGAAGCCCAATGGGGCACCAGGCGCCTTTGTCTTCTCTGTGCAACACCATCGTCTTCCCATCCAGTGAAGATATCCCTCGATGAGCCGCCGCTTTGCGTTTGACTCGCCAGACCTTGTGCGGCCGACATCGTTTGGCTTCCAGGCCGCCTTTGTCTGCTTTCTACTTACCGCGCTCTTCTGCACCCTCGTGGACCTTGAGTCGATTCGCCCTTCTTGGAAAGAGGAGCCGGACTGGACCAATGGCTACACGCCACCGCTGCCCCCATCGATGCAGGACGATGTGACGCTACATTCGTCGACGTGTCGGCGAGAGTTCCCGCTCTTGTACGCCCAGTTGGAGGAGAACGAGGTGTCGTGGCGGGCAAAGGGAGGGCTCACCTTGCACCACGTCGACGAGGCGTGGGAACGCTGCGCCAACGGATGCGCCCGCGTCATCATCCAGGATGGCCAGGTGTTTCTTCGTGGGTACGCCAAAGACTGGCAGTCGCGGCTCGCCAGCATGCTCGGGCTTCTTCAGACGGCCATTGAGAGTGCAAGCTGGGAGGAAAAGCAACAGCTGAACAACGTCGACTTTGTCCTAAACGGCGCCGACAAGCCGGAGCACGGCGGAGAGGGAGGCGACGGCGCAGCATGGGTGCTTTGCAAAAAGGTCAAAGCCCCACCTGGCCAGTATCTTGCGCCTGACTTCTCCTTTGGGGCGTGGCCAGAGGCAGGCATCGCTTCGTACCGCGAGTTCCGCAGAGATGCGAGAAAGGTCAACAAGCAGCTGCCCTGGGACAGGAAGGAAGACAAGGCGGTGAGTTTGTGGTCCTCCTGGCATTCCTCAAGCAGCAGACAGGCAGAGAGTGCTGACGGACAGTGCCCACCAAACAGATCTGGCGAGGCGCAATGCTCAAACATATCGGTGTCCCAATCAGAGACAACCTGTGGGAGGTAACGCATCAACCTGGGTTCATGGACCTGTTCGATGTGAAAGAGACAAATGTAGGTAATCGCAGTCTCACTAGCTTCAGCCTTCCCCTCGGCTGACATGGCAGCGTGGGTTTCCAGTTCTGGGACCAGGGGCCGCAGTTTGCGCCCATCGAGCCACCAGTCTACTTTTGCAAGAACAAGTACCTGCTACACACGGAAGGCAACGCCTACTCGGGCCGGAGTAAATTTCTTCTGGGCTGCGGCAGCGCCGTCATCATCCACCGGCTCGAGTGGAGCCAGCATTTCCACCCTGCTCTGGTCACTGCCTCTGCACACGCAGACCACAACGTGATCCAGTCCCCAGGCGAGATGTGGCACGGTCTTCCGACGCTCATGGAGCAGTTGCGGACCTCAGACGAGGGCGAGAGAGTCGCCGAGGCTGCCAATCGCACCCTCACGAACCGGTATCTGACCCCGGCCAGCATATCGTGCTACCTCCGCGCAGCGCTGATGTCCTACGGCTCAATCATGGCCCGATCCACGTGGCCCAACGGAGAGGGCGCCCAGGTCATCGAGGGCGGCGGTGTCAAGCCGGGGGCGGGCGCGCGGGCGACGGTCACGCTCAAAGATCTCGGCGTGCAGGGCGACATCGAGTACAATGTTTGGCTGAACCTTGGCCAGCCACAATGGCCTCCGACGTAGCAAAGCCTCGGTTCACTCCAGCGCATGATCATTTGTTGCCGTCTGCGTGTTCCTAGCTGGACACAGATTCTGTGTATGAGTATTTTGATTTTATGGGTGTTGGTTGAATAGACACAAAAACTCTGTTTCCAAAGTACGCTTCTTGCCTCTCACGGCGCGGGCGAAGTGCGGGAAATGTCTTGGCCGTACGAAACAAAAGAGGAACTGTCCCACAGCAGCGCTGGTTTTTTCTCTTACTGTGGACGGCGCGGTGTGTGTCCAAGTCAGCCGTTGCGGACGCCGTGTGGCACGCAGAGACGGATGTGAGCAACGCTCACTTTGGCCAGGCACGTATTTGCAAGAGCACGCCTGACTTCTTTCTTTGCTGCTCATCCGAGGAATCCTGCGATCTGCTCGTCTTCGGACAAGTGTTCTTCTCGGATAGGAGATGCATTGGTTAATCGAAGGACACCGCCAGGGTCCTACTTGAGTCGACGGAGGCCCTCGATAAAAGAAAAGGTGACCACGTCATTGCTGGCGGAGAATGGTTAGGCAGGCGGTGTCGTACACCACGCTGAATTCTCCGTCGCGCAGGCGGAGAAAGGCCAAGTGATGAACAAGAATCGCCGTACACTTTTTTAGCCTGAAAGCCAGCAAATTCCGTCGAGGTACGCGTTTCTAACCCCTCTGCACAGGTCAGACGGAAAAGAATTCTCCGCCCAAGATGAAGCAGCATCCGTCCTCGCCGTCAAAACTCACGCAACGCATGAGCTCGCCTGAGAGTGAAATAAAGCAGGTGTTCGTATAAAGCGGGCATCGCTATGAAGCAGACAGACGAGACTCAACCCTTACGAGCATTTGGTTGCTTCTGCGCCATCTCCTACGATCGAACCCCATCAATAAGGAGGTCAAAAAAGCGTGCACGACAAGACACCAGCAGGTATCCATGGCGAGTCCCAGATCTCTGGGCTAGCTTCATGTATGCTCACTAATCATCTCTGGCACAGGGCAGACCACTCCATTCTCAAAGCAACAGACGGGACCATGGAGTGCTTCGTGCGGTGCTGCAAGGACGCATGGACGGCTCTGTCGTGCTCTGACGAGGAAGAAGACCAACGGCTGTGCACGTCTGCCGACAGCGGCATCACCTTCCCGAATTTGCTCACTTTACCTCAGAGCCGAGCATCTTCTCGCCTAGGTGAATATGATCAAATGGGCCCCAGCTTCCCACTGGTCAGTCTGATCTACCACATCCGGCATACACGGGCTCTTTCGTCTTGAAGCGAGTGGAAATCTGTACATGTAGTGAAATGCAAGGACATTGTTGAGTATGTGAACGTCCTATGAACACACAAGACCGGGGTATACAAGACGGCCGTCGTTGATAAGCGAGCTTCAGGACATGTCATCTTGTCTGTTGATACTGGGACGTGGCGTCGAGGCGTGGCGTGCAATAGCCACACTGATGCGTTCGGCCGGTATGCAGCGGAGGCCTGTTGGTCGCCTTGAGTGCCTCTTGCAGCTGCAGCACGATGCCTGCCGTGTCGAGTGAGCTCCTCGCACTCTCGACTGCGCCCAGAAGCACTTCGATGTGGCTGATGAGCTCCTCCTCGTCGCCGCACCAGACCGTGACTGCCGCGCTGCTGCTGCTGCTGCTGCTGCTGCTCTCGTCGTCTAATTCTTCTTCCCAGCGGTGCAGTCGCTCGATTGCTCGCCGGGTGCAGGCGGCCGCCAAGTTTCGCGTGATTTCAAACGTGCGATCAAAGAAGCCCAGCTCCGTGCAGACAGAGGCCAGATAGACTGTCTCCATAAAGGCCATGTTTGCTCGCAGCGCCACCGTCTGGCGTACCTCGTGCTGAATAAAGGGCTCGCCGAGGATGCTGTGGGTCACAATGACGGACTGCAAGACCAGAAACTTGGAGAGCCACAGCGCGCGAAGGATGGCCGCTTGAATCGACGGCGTCCCAGCACCAGCAGCAGTAGAAGCAGCAGCAGCAATGGGCACGTGGGTGCCACACTGCAAGGCCACGGGCAGGACAGCATGCCACTGTGCCAAGCGATCCAGGATGTCCAGAAGCGCTCTACCCTGGATTCCGGACCTGGCGGCGCTCCTCGCGTAGCAGAGAAACTGCAAAGTGCGAGAGATGCGAGCCAGAACGACGAGTGCTTCGATCCAGTCGTCGACACCGTCGGTCCTGCGCTCGTGGCCCAGGAACGACACGACTTGCTCGTCCTTGATCATGGGCACCTGGCCCGCACGCGTGCGCAGCGCATCCAGGATGAAGACGACTTTGAGAAGCGCCGTGCGATCGGCCAGGTGCTGCATGTCACGAGACAGCTCGAGCGTCTCGAGTCGCTGGCTGTGCTTGGTGCGACGACGAAGGAGCTGCAAGGCGAGATGGACGAGTGCCTCGTGGCTCAGCGGGTGGACCTTGAGCGGGCTTGGGTACTGCTGCAGCCACGCCTGCTGTTTGGTCTCGATCATGACAATGTCCGAGACGATGACGATTGTCTGCAGCAACGCCAGGCCATAGGCTTCGAGGGGATCCTCGTGCGCCTCGATAAGCGCCACGATGCGCATCAGGATCTGCTGCTGGACCGCGTGCCGGGTGGGGCAAGTGATGAGAAAGCCCATCCCCTTGGCAGCCACGGCGAGCAGAAGCAGCTCGAATGCTGTCGTCGCAGGGCTGTCGCTGGCTCCTCCACTGCTGGGGGAAAGCACGGCGAGGTAGGCCGAGTACTGCGACTGGAAGAGGGACGTATTCAGGATGGGAAGCGTGGGGTCGACGTGTTCGAGATAGTGCATCACGCTTTGCTCGAGCAGTGCTCGTGTCAGGCCACTGAAACCCAAGGGAACCTCTTGTTGCCAGTCGATGCCCGTGGACGGCGTCGAGGGAGAGGCGGCTGCCGCGATGGCGAGGGGGTTAGCGAGACCTATCGCTTCATTGATGGGTGTGAAGCGCAGCGTGTCGTCGCATGGCAGCAGCACCCTCGCCTCGAAGATGTCCTGGAAGAGATCGTCGAGATCCACGGTCGGGCCTGCGCTCTCCACCTCTACTGGAGGACTGGGGTGCCGCACGTCTCGGCCATGCAAGCGACCCGACCTGGCGCCCTCCGCGGACACGGAACAGACGGTGCGTCGCTGTACGCAGAAGCTGCACGTCTCCCCAATGGCACCCTCGAGCCGATCACATCTTATCTTGCGCCTGCGGCACAGGTCACAGGATGTCCGTGGCGCGCCTCTCTTGCGCATGGCTGAGGCGGTGCTGCATTCCCGACTGAAGGAGCGCAACCAAGATCGAAAGTCACTCGGAGTCGCAGAGGTGGATTTTGGACAGCACCGCCCTGTTTCTGCTGAGACTGAGTAACCAGGCTAATACTTTCTGGAGATTGCCCTGAGCTAAAATAAAAGCACGTTTGTGGTCGGAACTGCATGAACAACACGTGTTGCTCATGCTTGTTTTAGCGGCATGTTCCTGTCTTGATTCCGACAGGAAGGGAAAGGGAGGGAAGGAAGCCCAATCGGCAGATCTATCTGCAACTGTTAGATGGAGGTTCGGCGCCTTGCATGAAACGCAAGTCCGAATATTGCCAATCAATTTCTCAGAAGTAGCGACTTGCTGAGCCTGTATCCAAAGAGACGGAAGCAAGTCGGAATCGGGCTTCTAGAGTTCTGCAGTAGCGCCGTCATGGAATGGCCGTGCCGAAAGCAACCCCAGACGGCTGAGCCCCGTGGCCCAAGTTGCACGATATATAGGCCCCCTTCTGCCGTCGCCTTCTTCCTGCCTCTGAGTCCGTCCACGACACCCGCAAGCATGCCGTCTCTACCTGCGCTTCTTTTTTTTCTTCTCGTCCACGCAGCGGCTGGGTATCTGGCCCCCAGTCCACCCGGCAGGCACAATGTCACACTCACAACTGGGCCTCTTGTCGACTACAGCCGCAACGACCCCTATGCGGCAGCCCCCACGCCTCGGGCACTGATGCTGTCGGTCTTTCAGCCTGCAAAGTGCGCATCCACCGTGGCGGTCCCCTACATGCCCAACAAGACGGCCGAGTACCAGGGGCCCTATCTCCAAAAGGAGTTCAACATCACTGCCGACTTCTCGCCCCTCTTCGAGCAGGCGCATCTGCCCGTGTGCTCGCACAGCCACTCAGTCCAAGAGGAAGGCCCGATCCTGCTCTTCTCGCCTGGCTATGGCATCCCGCGGCTTTACTACAGCGTGCTCGCCGCCGCCATTGCCAGCGAGGGCTTCACAGTCGTCACCATCGACCACCCGGGGGACGCCAACATCATCACCTATCCCGATGGCCACGCAGTCTACGCCAACGACACGTCCTCCGTCATAGAGATCATACAGCAGCACCTGCTCGTGCGCGCCGCCGACGTGACTTCTGTCATCGACCAGCTGAGCAACGCGACCGCGATGGCTGCGCTGCTCCCCCAGCGCGGATACCGGCCGTTCCCGACGGACCGCATCGCCATGCTGGGACACTCGCTCGGTGGCGCCACAGCCGTCACCGCCGCGGGCAAGGACGACCGGCTGCGCGGCGCCATCAACTGGGATGGCACCCTGTATGAGCCGCTGCCCGCGTCGGGGCTGTCGCAGCCCGTGCTGTTTATCGCGCATGGCACGGCCGACGACGACAGCTGGACGCAGGCGTGGCCGCTGCTCACGGGGCCCAAGCTGTGGCTCACCATCAACGAGACGCAGCACCAGACGTTCTCGGACGTGCCCACGCTTTTGCAAGCGGCGGGCCAGAATGCAACGGCATACGCGGACCTGCTGGGCACGATTGCACCGGCCGAGATGGTGCGCATCCTCACGGCGTACACGACGGCGTGGATGAAGGGCTCTTTTGCAGGCAGGCAGGGAGGGCCGCTGCTGGACGGGCGGGAGCAGGCCAAGTATCCAGAGGTGTCGACTGTGATGAAGGCCAACTTCTGAGTCTCGACTGTGATGAAGGCCAGCTTCTGAGGCGTGTCTCAAGCGAACAGTACAGTACAGTGGGGGGACAAAAGTCGTACGCGAGCTGATTTTTCGCGTTTCCAACTTCCCGCCAAAACATAGGGAAAATGCGGAATTGCTGGTCCTCACAGCCCTCAGTCATGACTACCCTTTAAAATAATGCTAAAAGTGATTTGAAACCTGGAAGAGCTGCTCTGTGCGTACGGCTACCACATAGCTAGAGCACAAAGAGTGGTCACGCCAATTGATTGCGTAGAGGGTGAAAAAGCAAGCCCATTTTCAAAAAAGTCGAAATTTACTAGTAAAATCGACCTTTTTTGGGAGGGCACCTCTAAGAGGTCTGTCAGCTCCATCACCACCCGTGAGAAACGCTTGGCTCTTGGCTATGTGATGGCCCTACACATGAAGCAGGTTTCTTGCTTCTCAAAACCACTCTAGATTGCTTTTAGAAGGTAGTCATGACTGGGGTCCGTGAGGGGCAGCATTCTTGATTTTTCCTATGTTTTGGCGGGGCGATGAGATGAGAAAAACGCGCTCACGCACGACTTTTGTCCCCCCACTGTACATTACATCAGAAATAAAAAGGCAGAGAGAAAAGAGGTGGATCCACGAAGGGACGAATCTTGATCGAGCGTTGCTCGCAGTCGAAGGAATCGGGTTGGACACAGCCGCCTGGCTCGGGAGGCTGAGCCACTTGCTTTCGCTGTGGATTTAGACGAGCTTCTTCGTGGTCGGAGTTGCGGATCGCAACCGGCTTCCTCCACAAACGTGCTCCGTTTCAGGTACTTTTAGACTCAACTTGACGTCTGAGTCCAATTCAGACGAGGAGGAATCGGCAGATTCGCAAATCAGATCTAATCCGGCGTTTTGCATGAAAGGAAGTCGGAATAGTCCACGTTAATCACAGAGAGTAAAACTGCGACGGAGGCTCATTGACCGAACCCCTGCGCTGTCTCGATAGCGATGGGAGCTAAAACGTGGGAGCAATTCGGAAGTTGTTGGCAGTAGCGCCGTCATTGCATGGCTGTGTTGGAATCATTCCTCCCAAAAGGTGGCTCCTTCGAACGTCTGGGTCAAGGTATATAACCCCCTCCTGCCGTTGTTCTCTTTCTGCCTGTGTTCGAAGCATCGCAATCTCCACGACGCTCGCACATAGGCACTCCATGCTTACGACTCTCCTCCTCTTGCTCGTCCACGCGGCGGCAGGGTACCTCGTCCCTACTCCACCTGGCAAGCACAATGTCACACTCACGACTGGCCCCCTCGTCGACTACAGCCGCAATGATCCCTATGCGGCCACAGTGACGCCTCGCGCACTGATGCTCTCCGTCTTCCAGCCTGCAAAGTGCGCCTCCACGATGCCAGCCCCATATATGCCCAACAAAACGGCCGAGTACCAGGGGCCCTTTCTCCAGCAAAACTTCCAGATAGCCGCCAACTTCACACCCCTCTTCCAGGAGGCACGCCTGCCCGTGTGCGCGCACCATCACCGCAGCTGCTCACCGCTAGAAGATGTTCCCATCCTGCTCTTCTCGCCTGGCTACGGCATCCCGCGGCTCTACTACAGCGTGCTTGCTTCCGCCATTGCCAGCGAGGGCTTCACAGTCATGACCATCGACCACCCGGGCGACGCCAACATCATCACCTATCCCAATGGCCACGCAGTCTACGCCAACGACACGTCCTCCGTCATAGAGATCATACAGCAGCACCTGCTCGTGCGCGCCGCCGACGTGACTTCTGTCATCGACCAGCTGAGCAACGCGACCGCGATGGCTGCGCTGCTCCCCCAGCGCGGATACCGGCCGTTCCCGACGGACCGCATCGCCATGCTGGGACACTCGCTCGGTGGCGCCACAGCCGTCACCGCCGCGGGCAAGGACGACCGGCTGCGCGGCGCCATCAACTGGGATGGCACCCTGTATGAGCCGCTGCCCGCGTCGGGGCTGTCGCAGCCCGTGCTGTTTATCGCGCATGGCACGGCCGACGACGACAGCTGGACGCAGGCGTGGCCGCTGCTCACGGGGCCCAAGCTGTGGCTCACCATCAACGAGACGCAGCACCAGACGTTCTCGGACGTGCCCACGCTTTTGCAAGCGGCGGGCCAGAATGCGACGGCGTACGCGGACCTGCTGGGCACGATTGCGCCGGCCGAGATGGTGCGCATCCTCACGGCGTACACGACGGCGTGGATGAAGGGGGCCTTTGCAGGCCACGAGGGAGGGCCGCTGCTTGAGGGGCATCAGCCAGACAGATTCCCAGAGGTCTCGACTGTGATGAAGGCCAACTTCTGAGAGGGGCAACTTCTGAGAGGAGCAACCTCTGAGAGGAGCAACCTCTGAGAGGAGCAACCTCTGAGAACAGCAACCTCTGAGAACAGCAACCTCTGAGGCGTCTCACGAGCTAGTCATGCTGTGACTTGACTTGCTCGCAGGCCTGGACATGACAGCTGCAACAGCGAGTGTTCTACCGCACAGACTCAACAAGCGTTCTACCGCACAGACTCAAGCGAACAATGTCATTTCATTAGACGGAAATTAGAAATAAATAGGCGCAGAAAAAGGGCCGGAGCCGCGCTGAGGAGTCTTCCTCGCCGACTGGCGCGCGCCCAGGAGTATAGCTGTGTTCTAGGTCCTGACTGCACTGGTCGTGGTGTCTCAATTTCCCCGTGGTGTCTCAATCTCCCCGTGGCCTAGCACTCGAGATGCGTGTGGGAAGTGATATGCCTACGCCACGATCCGCTTCTTGAGCGAGCCAAAGAAGCCGACCTTCTCCTGCTGGTCGCCACCATAGTCGGACACGCCGGCAGCCGCCGCTGGCTTGGCTTTCTCGCTCGCCTTGCCGTCCTGCACCGGGGCCGCCTTGCCGTTCGTCGTGCCGTTCTCCACGGCACTGCTCGGCTTGCCGCGGACTGGCACAGCATTGACTGCGCGCGCCGGCTGCTGCTGCTGCTGCTGCTGCTGCTCGCCTGCAGCACCGTCCTTGGGCGCCTTCTTCTTGGCCTCGTCGATCGTCTCGGGTCCATTGAGCCCGATGACGTCGATCAGGGCAGCCGCACCGGCGAACTCGTTGTCGTGCAGCAGCTTGCCGTCCTGGAAGCCCGTCGGGGGCGCAGGCAGGTCCTCGCACGAGTCCCACTTGCCCCAGGAGCCGTCCTTGAGCATGTCCCTGGTGCGCGCCTCTGCGAAGTCGACGGGCGCACCGGCGGCAATCTCCTGCAGCTCACGCACCAGCGTCTTGCGGCTCGACTCGTGGCCCAGCACCTGGCGGATCTTTTTGCCGTCGGCGTAGGGATACTGCCACCGGATCATGCCCGGGTTCTTCATCGACAAGTCGCCGTTGCGGTGGTGGACCCACATGCCCTGCCAGTAGGGCTCGTAGTCAAAGTGGGACACGCGGAGCTTCTTGACGAGCACGCGCCGCGCCTCGCTGCCCTCTTTGCCCTCGGTCGCCACCCAGTGGCGTGTCACCTGCTCAAACTCGTTGCACAACCGGCGGTGGTTGTCCCAGCGCCGCTTGCGCTCCTCTTTCTCTTCTTGCAGGCTGTTCTCGCCCTCCTCGGGCGGGACCCAGTTGAACTCGACGTCGACCTCGCCGCCAATGTACTTGAGCAGGTGCTCGGGCGGAATCTCCTTCATGAGCTCCTCGGGGTGGTTGGTGAACTGCACCTTGGCGCGCACGACGGGGTCCAGCAGCCACTTGACGAGGTGCCACGCCTGCTGCAGGATCCACGGCGCCTTGTGCAGGTAGAGGACAGAGAGCGTCTCGGGGAAATAGGACTGGAGGCACTGGAGGATGTAGAGGAAGTTGGTCACGTCCAGGTTCGATGGTCCGAAGCCGGTGCAGTCGAAGAGGAGGACCTTTGTGAAAGAGTGTGTTAGTGTCTTTTGCGCAGTGAGACAGCGCCCTCCTGGCACACTCACAATCTTGTCGTTGGGCGGCACCACGAGCAGCCGGACGAGCTCAAAGTGGGCGATGATGACTGGATGGACAGGCAGCGTGTCAGTCTCTTTCAAACACGAAGCTAGAGGGAAGCTGTTGCGCACACTTCTTCGTCGTCGCCTGCGGCTGCGCCCAGATGATGTGCTTGCCAAACTGCACATACATCACCGGCTGGTTCTTGTAGTTTGTGCCGAGCGTAAACACCTTGCCGTTCTCGTCAAAGTTTTCAATGTACTTGGGAATCTCCTTGCCGTTGCCCAGGTCGCCGTTTTCGAGGAGCGAGTCCAGGTTCGTGTCGAGGCGCCACTTGAGTGTCGAGGCCATCATCGCCGTCGTGTGGTCGATGTTCCACTGTGTGTGTGTCCTGTTAGCGGGTGTTGACATCAGACACACGTTCTGTCCTGCTCACCTTGCGCGCACGCAGGAAGCGCAGCATGGTAATGTCGGGATTGTCGCGCTTGCACAGGCCCCAAAAGGCATTGCGCAGCGCCTCGGGCCCGTACGTGGCGAGGAGCTTCTCCATGTTGGCCTCCTCGGAGCGCGCCTGGGCCGCCGCCTTGGCGTCGTCCTCCTTTTCGATGCCGCTGTTCTTGAGCATCTTGGATGCGCCCCCGATGCCGCCCATCTTGCTCTTGGCCGCGTTCGTGTCCACGCCCCAGTCCTCAGAGAAGCCCGTGGCGCCCTGGTCCTTGTCGCCGCTGGCCTTGTCGCACACGGAGAAAAAGGCGTCCCACATCTTGTACAGCTTCGCCTGGTGCTCGTCGGTCAGGTTGTTGAGGTAGCCCTCGGGCATCTCGTACGGCTCCGGCACCACCTCTTCCCATCCGTCGCTGCTCATGGTGGGTCGGATGCGATGTGGTGGGTGGTTCTGTGCTTGTTGATGTATTTGCGCGAGTCTGGGATCGGTGTGGCGAGGATCTGCGCACGGAGTGGCGAGGATATGGGCACAGAGAGGCAAGAAGCTGGGCACAAGTCATGCGACGCGCGACAGCGTCTTTTTAACCTGGGCCGGCTTCGTCTTTGGACGCATTCACCTGTGCTTGGGCCTGAGCCTGAGCTTGAGCCTGAGCCTGAGCCCGGACGTGGAGCAGGGCAAGCGTTTCTTTTGCGCAGAAGACGGTGCTTGCCGTGCCTTCGAGATGCGGACGGCGCTAAGTTGCGGGGCCCTAGGCCTAACCCCGCATTTTAGCGCCTTGTTTCTGCTGCCATCTCTGAATTTAGCGCCTCCGAGCGATGGATCGGCACTGACAGCTTCAGACGCAGTGCGCACACGCTACTTTTTTTGGAATGTGGGAGAGGGGAGAGGGAGAGCAAGGCCCGATGCGTTTGCCAGCATGAATGCCCGAGCCTCGGTGTGCACTTCGGCATCCGAGGTGTAGCGCACACACCTCAAGCCGGGAGCGAGTCCTGCTCGGTGAGGGTGATCACGAGCGACTCGGCGATGGATTCTGTGAGCACGGGCCGCCGATCTTCTCGTCACTATTTTAGAGTCCCAACAAGACCTTCCTCGGCCAACCCACCTTGTCGCCACACCGCCATCCCTGTCCGCCCACACACAGCCTGTCCCATCATGTCTCTGCCTAAGTCTCTGCCCAAGTCTCTGCCTGTGTCTCTGCCTGGAATCGACGTGTACTCGAGCCCGATGCTCGTCACCGCCGCCCTCGTCCTCGCCGTGGCCCTGCTCGCGATCTGCTACCCCGACCGGCCCCCCGGCGTGCAGTCGCGCAAGGGCATCGTCGCCGTCACGCCGGCGTATGCGCTCGTGGGCAACCTGCCCTGGATCGTGTCCATCATCCGGCAGCGCACCCGCATCCTCGACGAGGTCTACCGCCTGCAGAACGAGCAGGCGCCCGGCGGCAAGCCATTCACGCTCACCTTTCCGGCGCTCGGCGGCCGCGTGACGGTGATCAACAACCCGGCCTACCTGCAGTACATCCAGAAGGTGTGTCCACACCCCCACAGCTACGTCAGGCAGAGAGAGAGAGAGAGAGGATTGCTAACTAGGATGCCCGGTGCAGACCAACTTCGACAACTTCCCAAAGGGCCCCGACCAGCGGCGGATCATGTGCGACGTGCTCGGCATCCACGGCATCTTTGCCTCCGACGGCGCCATCTGGCTCAAGCAGCGCAAGCTCGCCACCCACATCTTCTCCTTTAACAACTTCCGCACCCACGTCCAGTCGACGGTCGTGCGCGAGGTCCACACGCTCGACGCGCTCCTCCAGGACGCCTCCCATAAACAGGCACCCGTCAACTTACCCGACACCATGTTCCGCTTCACGCTCAACTCGTTTGCCTGGATGGCATTCGACGCCGACGTCGACTGCCTGCCGTCGCGCGTCGAGGGCCTCGCGGTGCCCAACGAGTTCGCCAGCAGCTTCGACTATGCGCAGATGGTCATGGACCACCGCATCTTTGCGCTCCTGCCCAAGTGGTCCGAGTGGTTGTGAGTGGAGAGTCACGTGGGGGATGTAGGCGATACATGCTGACGAGTAGTTGCACAAGCACCCGCGAGGGATACCACATGCGCAAGTCGCTGCGCACGCTCAACCGCTACTGCTACCGCATCATCGACTCGCGCCTGGCGCGCCGCGAGAAGCTGGGCGCAGGCAACGCGACCGACAAGGCGGGCAAGGACCTGCTCGAGCTGTTCATGGACCGCGGCCTGACGCGCGAGGAGCTGCTGCCCGTCATTCTCAACTTTCTCATCGCGGGGCGCGACACGACGGCCCAGAGCCTCGCCTGGCTCTTCTTTGAGCTGTGGAAGAGCCCGCAGTAGGTCCTTGCTTGCCATGTGCGCACAAGTGGTGAAGTCACGCTCAGTCTTTTTCTTTACCCAGATACATTGACAAGATCCGCCAGTCGCTCGTCCCGCTGCTGGGCGCGCCCGGCGAGCAGCGGCCGATGCAGTTCGACGAGATCAAGGAGCTGCCGCTGCTCCAGGCGTGCTTCTACGAGGCCGTGCGGGTGCGTAGCCTGCATGTAGTCGTAGTCAAGTCGAGCAAGCTGACTGACCGCCTCGCACAGCTCTGGCCGGCCGTGCCCAAGAACCTGAAGCGCGTCGTGCAGGACGACATCATCCGGCCCACGGGCGAGCACGCCGCCGAAGGGCTGCCCGACGTCGATGTCCGCGGCGGCGAGACGGTCCTCTGGAGCGACTGGTGCATGGCGCGGATGCCCGAGGTGTGGGGCGCCGACTGCTGCGAGTTCCGGCCCGAGCGCTTCCTGGAGACGGGCAGCGATGGCAGCTTGCGCGTGGCGGAGTTCAGCCAGTTCAAGTTCCACAGCTTCAATGCGGGCCCGCGCATGTGCCTGGGCAAGACGCTGGCCACGTACGAGGGCATGGCTGTCACGGCTGCCATCTTGGGCCGGTGAGCTTGGAGCCAGTGTGCTAGCTGAAAGTGCATACATAGCTGACGAGTATCGATACAGATACGACGTGCTGTTTGACGACCACACGATGCGCACCAACCCACCCACATACGGTGACAGCCTCACGCTCCCTTGCTCGCCCTACTATGTGCGCTTCCGGCCCATCGCTACCTGATTTTAGTCTGCTGCGCCCCTTTCTGGCCCTACGGGCATGCCGTGCGGGTCATGTACGTACCTCGCGAGGAAGTTACCCTTCAATCGCTTCTACTTATCTTTCAGCCAATGACAGTCCTTCGTCTGCGACGAAACAGAATCTGATAGTCCATTGGCAAGAGCTTCGGTGGCCTTCTACGCCAGGTCTCTAGATACGTGCTTTGAGGAATAGTAGTTGACATTTTCCGCACTGGCATCCTCCGGAAGCATCTTGACCGTCTCCAGCGGGTTCTCCTGGTGGCCATCGTTGATGAGACACACAGTCGCGATGGGGTAGCGGAGGATCCACACGGCGAGCGCCAGGAGGATGGGCGCTGCGTCGAGGCCAATCAGCCAGCCCTCGGACTTCATCAGGATGCTGTCGTTGCCGAACGCGTACTCGAGCACACGGTAGGTGCATCGAACCAGGTAGAAGGCGTTGGTGACGTGAAAGGCCCAGAACAGATGTCGGAGGCGTCGGACAGCGTCGGCTCCGAGCTGGCTCTGGCTCATGGATCGACATCTGCCGACGCTGGCACGAGCGTGAGCGGTGACGACGAGCGACGTGAAAACGCAGTAGCTGAGCGCCTGTAGGCCGACGCCGACGAGAAAGATGCGTGATCCCCACACTTGCAGGGGCCCTTGCTTGGCCTGCAGTCCGCCGGCGCCGCCCTGGATCCAAAAGGTGATGACATCGGACCAGACAAAGATCTTGGAGACCTTGTCCGGTGCGATCCAGCTCAGTCGAGGCTCCCGCGTGGCTGTGATAGCGCGGCCAAAGATAGCGTAGTTGAATGCGATGAAAAAACAGGGCGAAAGGATGATCAGCATCTGCTGGCCAATGAAGGTCCCCAACTTGAAGTCGCACGGGTCGATCTGCGGGCGGATAAAGTAGCCGATGCCCGAGAAGATGCAGCCGCCGGGCAGCACCCATCCCCAGCGCCATCCGGGCGCGCTTCTCGATCGCCAGCGGAACTGGTGCACGGCAAAGGCGATCGCCCATGCGATGTAGATTGCACCGACGACGAGGTTGACGGCCTTGTTGGGTTTGTAGTGGATCACCGTGTAGCGGCAAAGCTCTGATGCAGACATTATGGCCGAACGAGCGCTCTCTCGCGTGCGGAAGGATCGAGTCGTTGAGACGCTGGGTGGGAATGGCCTTTGGTGATCGTGAGGAAGAGAGAAGTGCAGGATTCAATGTTCCCTCCCATCTTCTTATGTAGGCCAACCGACGAGGATAGGTCGCGGAAAGCCATTGCGGCTACAGCATGAGGAAGAAGTTTGCACAGTGATCCGACGGAATGGGTGATTTTGATCGAGGAACAACCACTAAGAACAAGTGAGACGCGTCCCTTCTCTCCGTCGGAAACGCGAGAGGAATAAAATATTCATCCGGACCGGAAAACTGTGCGCTTTCTCGAGCAGGCCTGCCTGATCTTGGCTCGAATTCGACGTGCTCCGTGACAGGTCGGGGCTGTGTGACGCTGCGCAGCGGTGTCCTGAGGCTGTGTCAGCAGGTCTCACGGTAGCTTTATGTTCGAAGATTCGACTTGGGAACGGGAAGAGCGCGCCCCAATCTCTTCTGCCTCGCAGCGTGGCTCTCTTGGACCGCTTTCCGATACCTTTGTGAAGGCTACCAGCGCCAGCCTGATCGATTGCAGTCCACACGGCGTCCGTGCTTCGGACCTTCTTCCGACGAAGTGGCGCACGATTAGTGGCGGTCTCTCAAAAGGCCCCTTCGTCAGCTTCATTGCAGTCTGGCCCAGTTCGTTCTTCTCACGCAGGTACAGTACAAAACTGCTCAGCAATCCCACGGCAATCATGGCCGACGGACAAGCAAATTGTATATTTTGATGATGGAGAAGGAAGCGACAAATCAGAAAGCACCCGTGTCAGTCGAAGGGACTACCGCAGGTTGCCGATGGTGACGAGCTTCTCGCTCATGTACTCGTCCATCCCCGACCGGCCGCCCTCGCGGCCGAATCCGCTGGCCTTGACGCCGCCAAAGGGGATGCACGGCTGCGAGACGACGCCCGTGTTGACGGCGACCATGCCGACCTCGAGGCGCTCCGAGACGCGGTGCAGCCGGTTGACGTCGGTCGTGAAGATGTAGGCGGCGAGGCCGACGTCGGACGCGTTGGCCGATGCGACGACGGCGTCCTCGTTGTCAAAGGAAAACAGCGGCACGAGCGGGCCAAACGTCTCCTCCGTCTCGACAGCCGCACCCGCAGGCACATCCACTAGCACCGTGGGCTGGAAGAAGGTGCCGTGCAGTGCTTTGCCGCCCGTGAGCACGCGCGCGCCACGCGAGACGGCGTCCTGGATGTGGCGCGCGACCTTGGCGACGGCGGCCTCGTTGATGAGCGGGCCCAGGTGCGTCTGCGGGTCGAGCGGGTCGCCGACAACCAGCTCCTCGACGCGCCTGGCCAGCGCCTGCGCGAAGCGCTCGTAGAGGGAGACGTGCACGTAGATGCGGTTGGCGCACACGCACGTCTGGCCACTGGCGCGGAACTTGCTCGCGATCAGGCTCTGCACGGCCACGTCCACGTCGGCGTCCTCGAAGACGATAAAGGGCGCATTGCCGCCCAGCTCCATGCTCAGCTTCTGGAGCGTGCTGCTGCTCTGGCGCATCAGCAGCCGGCCGACGGGTGTCGACCCCGTAAAGGAGATCTTCGACACGAGGGGGCTGCATTCACGTTCTGTGAGCGACGGGGATACGCGCCTAAGAGAGGGGAAAGCGACCAACTCACTTCTCGCACAGCTCCAGCCCGCACTGGGCCTCGCGCTCGCCCTTGCTGACGGTGACGCAGTTGACGACGCCGGCGGGGATGCCCGCGCGCTCGCAGAGGACGCACATGGCGAGCGCCGACAGCGGTGTCTCGGCGGGTGCCTTGATGACAACCGCGCAGCCGGCGGCGAGCGCAGGCGCCATCTTGCGCGTGATCATCGCGTTGGGGAAGTTCCTGATGTAGAACCCTCGTGTCAGCATTCAGCAGCCGTCTCAGCAATTTGTCAGACACCCACCACGGCGTGATGAGGCCACAGACGCCAATCGGCTGGCGGATGACATTGTTGCGCGTGCCAGGCAGTGCGCTCGGCACATTGTGGCCATACGTCCGCACGGCCTCGCCAGCGAACCACTCGACAAAGCCCGCGCCATAGTGGATCTCGCCTTTAGACTCGGCGAGCGGCTTGCCGTTTTCGAGGGTGAGAATCAGCGCGAGGTCGTCGGCATGCCTGCGCATCTCGGCGAGCAGGCGGTAGAGGCAGGCCTGGCGCTCGTACGCGGTCCGTGCGGCCCACGCGGGCTGCGCCGCTTTTGCCGCGCTCTTGCCAGCGAGATTTGAGCACTGTCAGCCTCGTAGTGCACGCGTATAGGAGTGTCAGACCGCACTCACAATCGCTTCGGCGACCTGCTGCCGGCTCAGGTCGGGCAGCTCGGCGAGGAGCTCGCCCGTGGCGGGGTTGTAGACCGGAAAGGAGGCGCCGCCGCCTGCCTTGATCCAGCTGCCATTGATCAAGGCCGAGGATGTCAGCAGCGACGGATCGCGCAGTGTCGTCGAGAAGGGAGTCTTGGAGGGCATTTCAATCAAAGCAAGTGGCTGAAGAGGAAGATTGAAGACTGCCTGCCTGTCAATATGTATTCACCAGCCCTCTTCTACAGCCACGGGTGAATGAATGAAAAACTTAGGCGCGGTGCAGTGAGTGGCTCGAGCGTCGCGCATACAAGCGACGCTTAGTTTCGCGGCCTGCCAGACTTATCTCGGCCAAGCTTCGTTTCGAGAGGCTCAGGCGCCGAGTGCGAGTGCTGAAGCGACGCCTGCGCAGAGGGGGAGACGATGTTGTAGTTCGAGCATGCTTGGGCTATATTACTAGCAGGGAGGGGGGCACGCACGCCAGGATGAAGTCGAAGCACACACAATGACACGGACCCACACAGCGACACGGACCCACACCGTCGCCTTTATCCCCGGCGACGGCATCGGCATCGAGGTCAGCGCGGCCACGCGCAGAGTGCTCGCCGCGCTCGAGGCCAAGTGCGGCGACTTCCACCTCGACATCGCAGAGAAGGACTACGGCAGTGGGTTGTCTGTTCGTGTGATCAGCGGCGTTGTTGGAATGCTAACAGCAGCCCCCCGGCAGGCCTGCGCTACCTGCGCACGGGCGCGTACGCGCCCAAGGGATGGCTCGAGGACCTGCAGCAGTACGAGGCCATCTTCTTCGGCGCCGTGGGCCACCCAGACATCGAGGACCACATCTCGCTGTGGCAGCTCATCCTGCCGATCCGCCAGGCCTTTCAGCAGTACGTCAACGTGCGCCCCTGCCGACAGATTGAGGGCGTCCAGTCCGTCGTCGCTGCAAGCTCTCACGTCGACTGGGTCATCCTGCGCGAGAACACCGAGGGCGAGTATGCGGGCCAGGGCGGGCGCACGCACGTGGGCACGCCGCACGAGGTCGCGACCGAGGTGGCCGTCTTTACGCGCGTCGGTGTCGAGCGCTTCCTGCGCTACGCCTTTTCCGTCGCGGCGCAGCGCGAGCGCAAGCAGCTGACGCTCGTGACCAAGAGCAACGCCCAGCGGTTTGGGCTTGTGCTCTGGGACGAGGTGGCCGCTGCTGTGGCCAAGGACTTTCCCGAAGTGCACTGGGACAAGATGCTGGTGGATGCCATGACGGTGCGGATGGCCTGCAAGCCACACACGCTCGACACCATCGTGGCGACGAACCTGCACGGCGACATCCTCAGCGACCTCGCTGCGGGCCTGTGCGGCTCCATCGGCCTGGCGCCCTCGTCGAGCCTGAACCCTTCACGCGAGCGGCCGAGCCTGTTTGAGCCCGTACATGGCGCTGCGTTTGACATCATGGGCCAGGACATCGCGAACCCCGTGGCGGCGCTCTGGTCCGCGTGCGAGATGCTCAAGTGGCTCGGCGAGGAGGACGCGGCGGTGCGCCTCGATGCTGCGATCCACGAGAGCATCAGGCGGGGCATCACCACGGCTGATCTCGGCGGCACGTGCAAGACGAGCGAGGTGACCGAGGAGATCTGCAGCCTCCTCAGCGACGCGTGATCACACTCCAGACTCCAGACTCCAGACTCTCGAAATAGGCAAAATATGAAATGAAAAGCGGCTGAGATATGAAGAGTGGCTAGCAGAAGTGGAATTGAGTTCAGATAGCGGCGGCCACGACAGCGAGGACAGACTGGCGGATGATGGCGAGGGCCTCGGCCATCTCGGCCTCGTCGACGACGAGCGCGGGGATGAAGCGCAGGACGGGGTAGATGGACGTGGTGAGCACGACGAGGCCGCGGTCGTAGCACGCGTCCTGGACGAGCTTGTTGGTGCCCGGCTGGGTGAACTCGAGTGCCACCATGAGCTGTGGAGGGAGAGGGACATGTCAGCTTTAGGTGTGAGGGCATGCGACTTTCGGAACTCACCCCGGCTCCACGGACATCGACAATGACATCGGGAAGCTCGCTCTGCAAGGTGCGAAGTCCCGCGAACAGCTGCGCCGAGCGCGCATTGACATTCGCAAGCACGTCGTGGCGCTGCATGTAGCGCGTCGTCGCCAGGGCAGCGGCGCATGCGACGGCATTGCCCGAGTACGTGCCGCCAAGCGAGCCCGCGGGCATGCTGGCCATGATGTCGCGGCGCGTGACGACGCCCGACAGGGGCATGCCGTTGGCAAAGCCCTTTGCAAACACCATGACATCGGGCGTCACGCCGCTGTGCTCGACGGCAAACGTGCGGCCCGTCCGGCCGAAGCCCGTCTGGACCTCGTCGGCAACCAGGAGGATGCCGTGCCGGTCGCACACGCCACGGAGCGCACGCATAAAGGACGCCGGCGCAGGCACGTAGCCGCCCTCGCCCAGGACGGGCTCGATGAAGATGGCGGCTGTATCTTCTGGCGCGCTCTGCTGCTGCAGCGTCTGCTCGAGCTGGTGCACGGCCAGCCGCACCAGCTCGTCCTCTGGCGTCGAGGCAGGCACGCCCAGCGCATGCCAGTAGGGAAAGGCGGTAGTGAAGACGCAGGGCATCAGCGGGCCCGACCGCGCAAAGAAGCTCGTCTTGGATCGCGTCAGGGCCGCAGCGCCCGATGTGCGCCCATGGTAGGCGCCCTGCATGACGACGATGTTGTTGCGTCGCGTGTGGGCGCGTGCGATCTTGATGGCCGCCTCGTTGGCCTCGGAGCCCGAGTTCCAAAAGAAAAAGCTGTCCAGGCTCGGCGACGGCATCATGCCCACGAGCTGCTCGACGAGGTCTGTGTATGGCTCGCTCAGCGCAATGGCACACTGCACGTGGACGATCGCCGAGGCCTGCTTGACGATGGCCTCTGTCACTGCGGGGTGGCAGTGGCCCAGCGAGGTGACGCCGATGCCCGCAGTGAAGTCGAGCAGGGAGCGGCCGTCGCTCGTCTCGACGCGCAGCCCGCGGCCCGACGTAAAGACATGGTCGCGCAGCCGGCCAAGCGCAGGGGCAATGTGGTTCCGCGCGATGCTCTGGTAGCGCGCGGTCGACTGGCTTTCGGGGCCTGCCTTGGTGGGCAGCGGCGCCACAGGGCCTGCCTCGGAGACGGAGGGAGCCATGGTGGATGAGTTTGAGCTTGTTTCGAGCAAGTGATCTTCCAGCAGTCCCCTTTTAGGTTATCGTTCTAGCGGACCCCTTCTGGGTTCTGCTCCCTCAAGCGGCCCATGCATAGCCGCCGCTTATGGCGCGCATGCCGCCAGGAACAATGAAGCGCAGGCTGCCTGCATACAAGCGATCTGATCGGCTAAATTTTCACAGTGGGGGGGGTGCCAGTTATCTCGTCCAATTAGCGTCTCAGCGCGGTCTCTTTTTAAAGCGCGGGTCCACGCCGAGCAACGAGCATCGTCAATTCCGCACACCATGCCTTCTGTGATCTGTGAGTGCAAGCTCTCGCCTTCTTTGCTGGCTATGCGTGTCTGACTCGCATCGCCCTCTCCAGTCGACGTCGTGGGCACCTGCTGTGAGTAGTCTTCCTCGCCAAGCCCCTCGTGTCCCCAGCTGACGCAGCCCCCAGTCACCTACGACAACGGCAGAAAGGCGCTGCAGGAGCGCCTCGGCGACAAGCTCGCCAAGGAGGGCCTCCCCGCGCAGCTGCTCATGTACGCCTGGGTGACGTCGACGGAGCGCGACTACTCGTACCTGTCGCAGATCAAGCAGTACAAGCCGTTCATCGAGATCATGCGCCACTCCTTTACCCGGCTCCTCTACCAGGCGGGCGCCAAGGACGCCGCGAGCCTCTGCACGCCCGACGACATGGAATACATCCTCGCTGAGTACAAGCAGCTGAAGCCGCGCGAGGGCCTGGCCGAGATGATGGACCTGCTCCGCACGAGCGGGTTTGAGGTGTGGTGCTGCACCGACGCGAACCAGGACCGGGTCAAGGGCTACTTTGACAGCGCGGGCATCGACATGCCCCTCGAGCGCATCCTCAGCGCCGACGAGATCCGCGCAGGCAAGCCCGAGGCGGCCGTGTACCAGTGGGCCATGGGAAAGGCAAGCAGCCTTCGGCCAGGCGAGAAGAACATCTTTGCCGGTGGGTCCGTTCCTCTTCATTGCTCGAGGACGAGTGCTAACCAGCCTCCTTGATCAAACAGCGAGCCACGCCTGGGATGTGGCGGCTGCCCGGAGCGCAGGCTTTGAGATTGCATACTGCACCGCGTACGAGTACGACCCATGCGAGGCGATCTACGGCGCGATGGACATCATCGAGCCGGACCTCGCAAGCCTCGGCAAGGCCATTGTGGCCAAGTACGGGGCAGCCAAGTGATAGCCAGACTATGTAGCTGTAGCCGTGTTGCCCAATGCGCATTCATCTCTGTCTTTTGTCCAGAAAAGATCATAATGAGTGTGCCTGAGAATGCCCGCAGTAGCCAGAGCTGATCTGCCGGTCCAAGGACCCTCGTCTGGCTAATCTATGACAAAGGAACAGTCTTCCTAATCTATGACAAGAGCACAGTCTTCCTGACAAGTTCCTGACGAGGCACGAAGATAACATTTCCCCGGCAGGGAACATAGTTTAACACGGCTCGCCAGCTTATCTCGAGACATACTCTCTTTTCTTTTTGGGGTACGCGTACATACTGTATGATTTGACAGATTAGACTGCTTTTAGGCTCCGAGTCGAGGCTCCGAGCCGGGTGCGTCGCCTCTATCGCTTGTATGCAAGATAGCTAGCTGCCCACGTCTGACCCTCGCCCGCCACAATGCTCTGAAGTGGGATACCATCTCTGCTTGACTGGACTTGTCGTGTGGGGTGGAGAAGGGTGCGCTTATCACCACCGAGCGCCAAAGCCTTCCGTGTACAAAAGATCGCCTCCCCGCTCCTCGTCTCAACGCCAGACAGACCCCAAGCCTCAGCATGTCGCCCAAGTCCAGCCCAGCAGAATCCAAGGTCGAGCTCGGACAGCAAGTCAGTGTGGCCACCATGGAGCGAGACGAGAACGCGCAGCCGGCCAGCCGCCTCGCGCGCATCTACCGCTCTGCCCGCTTCCAGGTGCTCGTCGTCAGTGCGCTCGCCTTCTGTGGCCCCGCCATGTCGGATGCGATTCAGAACCTGGGCGGCGGAGGTGCCGCGACGCCCTGGGCTGTCAGTGAGTGTTCAGTACCACACCGAACGATGACAGACAGGCTGATGTTTGAAATCAAAGACGCCGCGACGGCCGCCTCGTACGTGGCTGTGTTTGCCGTCTCCATCCTCGGTGGCCCCCTCGCCAGCCGCGTGGGCATCCGCACGCTGCTCATCTTCGGCGCCATGACGTTCCCCATCAATGCTTCGTCGTACTACGTCAACCTCAAGTACAAGGTCCAGTGGTACCTCGTCCTCGGCCGCACCATCTACGGCCTGGGATTCGGGGCCTGGTACGTGGCCGAGGCGGCCATCATCCTCAGCTACCCCGAGGAGGGCCGGCGCGGGAGCTACCTGGCCATCTGGGTCATGAGCCGCAACCTGGGCCAGCTCGTCGGCGGGTCCATCAACCTCTCGCGCAACATCCACAACGCCAAGGCGGGCGCCGTCGCCACGTCGACGTTTCTCATCTTCATCGTCATCGAGGCCCTCGCCTTTCCCATCTCGTGGCTCATCTCGCCCTCGGACAAGGTCAAGAAGTCGGACGGGACGCAGGTCAAGCTGGCGCCCAAGCGGTCCTGGAGCGAAGAGTTCCGCCTGCTGTGGGCCTCGCTGACCCATCGACGGGTGAGTACAGCAGCCCGTCAGAAGAGGAGAAGCAGAAGAGGAACTAACATGCACACAGACCCTCTGCCTGTCCGTCTACTTCTTCTACTCGTACTTCTACGGCGGCGTGCTGGGCACCTACCTCTCGCTGCACTTTAGCGTCCGTGCCCGCGCGCTGTCCACGCTCATCGTGCCGCTCGGCATCATCCTGTGGGTAGTGTCGACTTGCTCACAGCGGCCCCTCTGATAGCCTCCCCCCCCCCACAGCTTCGTCTTCCTCCTCGGCCTCGTGCTCGACAGCCAGAAGATGACGCAGCGGCGGCGCGCCCAGGTCGGCTTTGTGATCGTCATGGTGCCCACCATCGCCGCCTTCATCTGGCTCACCATCAACCAGGCCCACTACGACGGCAAGAGCACGGGCAAGCTCGACTGGTGAGCTCCGTCCTCTTTTCATCGCAGGATATGAAGGACTGACAATGTCTCAGGACGTCGGCTGGCTGGGCCAACGCCTACCTGCCCTTCTACATCCTCCAGATCACCGGCTACATGTGCCAGACGTACATCTACTGGCTCATCTCGTGCTTCTCCGACGACGTCACGGCCAATGCGCGCAACGGCGGCGTCTTTCGCGCCATCGAAGCTGCTGGCCAGGCCGTCTCGTACGGGCTCAACAGCAAGGTGCAGCGCGTCATCATCTCCATCTCGATCAACTTCTTTCTGTGCATGCTCGCGCTGCCAGGCTGCATCGCCGTGATCCAGACGGTGCCGCTGTACCGCGAGGACGCCAAGCAGGTGCAGCCGCGCCAGGATCAGCAGGAGCAGCGGGAGCAGGAGCAGGAGCAGGAGCAGGAGCAGGAGCACAGCGTCGACAGCAAGAACATCGCCTGATCGATGGCTGCTCGTTGCTCTCTCCTCTGTTCTGCATGACCCCTGTATCTCTAGAACGTCTGTGCTGTGTGAATCGCATCTTGTTTTCTGTCTGCAATCGTAACGTGCACTGCAATTGAGATGCCATTACAATGGACATGTGCACTGCAATCGAATCGTGTGATCAGATGAGCAGGACCTGCTTCCCAATGGCCTGCATGAGCGCCGCAAACGACCTGCGCCCCTCGCCTGCGTCCTGGCCGCGCCACTGCTCGAGCAAGAGCTGCTTGGCGACGCTCAGGTCGTCGCAGTAGTCCTCGCGAAAGGCCTCGACGAGGCCCAGGACCTTGTCGCGCCGCTGCGGGCTCGCAAACGAGCCGCAGATGAGGAGCGGCCAGACGAGCATGACGACCTGGCGCAGCGCAGAGGCCTCGCTGCAGAGCTCGAGCGCGCAGTCGATGCTCTCGACGATCTGCGCGCTCGTGCTTGGCTGGTCGAGCACCTCGCCGAGGATGAAGACGTTGGCTGTGTGCTGTGGACGGGAAGCGATGAGCACGTGATAGAGTAGCAGCAGCAGCAGCAAGTGCGATCGACGAGCAGGAAATGGAGGAGCAGCAAGTGCGATCGATGAGCAGCAAGTAGAGGGGCAGCAAGTGCGATGGATGAGCAGGCGATGCAGGAGAAGGCCAGGTGAGCAGGGCAGGGACCCACCTTGTAGATGAGGTCGCCGCACGTCACGCGCACGTGCTGCGAGATGGTGCCGAGCTGCTTGGACCACACGTCGAGCTCAAGCAGCAGCTCGTCGGCCTGGCGCCGGAGGTAGGCGCGCACGACGCGCATGCTGCTCGGCTCTTGCGCCTCGTCGTTGGTGAATGTCACGTTGAGCCGCTTCTTCTGTGCATTGAGCAGGACCACCTGCAGGGAGAGACACGTGTGGTGAGTTGGTGCAGGCAGCAGTCAACACTAGCACACACACCCTGGCGATGAGCTCGACCATGCCCCGGGACACGCCAAAGGTGCGCTCGACGGACTCCCACTCCCACTCGCTGCGCGAGCTCTCGGCGCAGGCATACCACCAGACGTCAAACTTGCTCAGGAGCGCGGGCTCGCGCTGCGTGGCAAAGCAGCCAAACACGTCGTGCGTCGCCAGGTTCTCGAGCAGAAACCGGCGCGCAAAGTTGCTGCTCTCTTCTCGCAGCACGGCGCGCGGGCCGCCACGCTTCGTCACGAGCCGGATCGCGCACTCGACGTTGTCCTCCCAGCCCGGCTGCGCGGTCACGACGTCGCGGATCATGACGAGGACGCACGTGGCGAGGATGGTGTCGAACTGGTCGACGAGGTCCTCCTCGGCGAGGACGACGCTGGCGAGGGCGGCGCTGCGCAGCCGCCGGCTCTGCGCCTCGACGGCGGCGATGATCGCCTGCCAGCGTAGGCCCTCGGCGCCCTGCATCCGCCCCGCGTCTGTCTTGGCGTCGTTGGCGAGGTGGGCGACGCTGATGCTCATGACGCTCATCCGCAGCGCCGCCGCCGCTGCACTGCCGAGATCGAGGATGCGGGTCGGCGTGCAGATGGACAGGATCGGGTTGGGCCCGCGCCGGTTGCCCATCGTGACGAGGATGCGGCTCGTCGAGGCGCAAAAGTGGTGGAACAGCTGCGACGAGAGCGGTGTGGGAAACGCGCTCTTCATGTCGTGGGGTGCAGTCCAGGGCATCGCCGCGTCGTCGTCATCCAAGGGCGACGCTGCCAGTGCGGGGACGGCAAGCGGACCCAGCCGGATGGCTAGCTCGTCTTCGGACGCATTGGCCAGCGCCTGCATGTCGAAGCCGTGCAGCTCAAAGGACGCCTGCTGCGGTTGCTGCGTCCGCGGCTGCGCGAGGACTGCTGCCTCGGCCGCTGCTGCTGTAGTCGTCGTCCTCGTCCTGGCGGCGGCCCGCCTCTTTGCGAGGAGCGAGTTGGCCAGCGCCGCCGACGGCCCTTCCGTCATCGCCCTCACCGTGGCATCGTCGTCAGCAGCGCGCGGGCGCGGGTATGTCAGTGGAGCCTGCTGCTGATCTCGCGCGCAGTCGCTCGTCTTTGAGCGCCGCTTGGGCCGGCGCGGGTGCGCAATCTGCTCGGGGCTCGGCCACACGCACGCCCGCCGGAGATGGGTGCAGCGCAGGCACGCCGGCTCGTGCTCGTCGCACTTGACCTTGGCGCGCCGGCACGTCAGGCAGCCGTGCGCGCTCCGTGTGAA